CCAGCCTCCAAATCAATACTGCAGACCTCCACAGGCAAATCACTCTTGGCCAAAGCTTTTCCATCCTGCCGCATTATGACTAAAGAAATCAAAACCAGAGACAAACACAGAGTAACATAGTAGAAAAGAGAAAGACTTTCGATTTAAACAGACCCTTTTCCTTAACATGTAATCCGAAATTGAAAAACAGAGGAAACAAACTCATTCTAAAACCAAATTCCCAATTTTTTTTCTCACTCGCTTTCTAGTCAACAGAAACAGGACGAACCAAAGAGGAAAAGGATTTCCACAGGGAGCGAGAAAATGGGTTGCTTACTTGGAAGGAAGAGAGGTGAAGAGCGTAAACGGAATTGGTAGCAGATGCGAAGAATAAGCGACTTTGGTCGATGTCATAGGCTGCGAACCGTACAACTTCCTGGGTCGAATGCAATTGGATGTTCTGAGAAACCTCCGAGAAAAGCTTCAAATTTTTCATGGCGAATCGCTACCACTTCAACGAACTTTGCAGCTGCAGATCCAGGGAGCTGATGTAAACCCCCCAAAAGAAAAGAACACTGATATTTAGGGTTTAACCCAACACAGGCTAATATCTCCTTCTCTGTTTTGTTTTTCTTTTATTCTTTTTTTAATAACAGAAAGTCTCGGATTTTTTTTAAAATATAAAATATAAAATTAAGTGAAGTTTCCATTTTCTTTTCCGAATGAAACTGTTTTGATCAGTAAATTTTCTTAAGAAACTGTTTGGCTATGCTATCTCCATATCCTTGCTTACTCCCTCACTAGACTAGGAACAGCATGCATCCCATCAAATTAGTGTTGTTGGTTTTGTTAATTCTTTCACTTCACTCTCAATCGTTGTCAAAACAACATCCTATCATCGACGGCCTGCTTCACCGTTTGGATTCCCTACGACAAATTCCGGCTGTACAAGAGTCAGCAGCAAAGGGTTTATTGCAGAGACTGATTCCGACCCATTTTCACAGCTTTGATTTCAGAATTATCTCAAAGGTTCTTCCTTTTTCTCTTCCTTATACTCTATTATGCTGTTTTCAGGTGGTTGGTTTTACTGTACTGATTGTTTCTGTTCCAATAGGATGTTTGTGGTGGTAGCAGCTGCTTTCTAATTGAAGACTATGATCGACCGAGTCGACATGGACCTGAAATTGTGTAAGTACTTAGAATTTACTTGAAGATTCTTCTCTTCCTATTTTTGATTTTTAACTGGAATTTCAGGATTAAAGGCACAACTGGAGTTGAGATTGCTTCTGGGCTCCATTGGTATTTGAAGTATAAATGCAATGCTCATGTTTCTTGGGACAAGACTGGTGGAATCCAGATTGCCTCTGTTCCACCGCCTGGACATCTACCTCGTCTAGATTCTAAACGCATCTTGATTCGCCGTCCTGTCCCTTGGAACTATTACCAAAATGTTGTTACATCTAGCTGTAAGACATCCATCTATATACACTTCTTGGAATCAATGTTCCCTCATGCATGTGCCAATGGTTTTATAATGAATCACTCACATGAGATCCCTGCTTCTACTTGTCCTTTCTTGTTTCCAGATTCATATGTTTGGTGGGGATGGGAGAGATGGGAGAGAGAGATTGACTGGATGGCATTGCAGGGAATTAACTTGCCTCTAGCATTCAATGGGCAAGAAGCTATTTGGCTAAAGGTTTTCAAGGTAAAAATTTGATTCCTATTCTTGCCCAACTGCAATAAGAGAACAGTAGTTGCTAGCTAACATGTTTTGGCTATTTAAATTCCTTTTCTTGATGTCGATTTTGTTTAGAGGTTCAATATCAGCAAAGAAGATCTTGATGATTATTTTGGTGGACCAGCGTTTCTTGCTTGGGCTCGCATGGGAAATCTTCATGCGTAAACAACCTCATCTCTGATATTTTCAGTTTCTTATCCTTAGTGCTCCTTCTGAGTTAGATTTATCTTTCATTCTTGGAACTCACATAATCCATATCCCTCACTACATCACAGGTGGGGTGGTCCATTATCTAATAACTGGTTAAGTGATCAGTTGCTTTTGCAGAAAAAGATACTTTCTCGGATGCTGGAGCTTGGCATGACTCCAGGTACAAGGAACAATCATTTTCTTCTTTTTCATATACTCGATAGATTGTTCTTATAGTTTCCTTTTTTGTTTTCTTCTTCCCTAGTACTTCCATCATTCGCGGGCAATGTTCCTTCAGCTTTGAGGAAAATATATCCTGGGGCAAATATAACTCGACTTGATGACTGGTTCATTTTCCTTCCGTAATTCATGCTAGTTTCTTACTGTTTCGTCTTCACACAAACAATAATATTGCGATTTGTGTTTCATTTCTTCTCAGGAACACAGTGGATGGTGATCCTCGCTGGTGCTGCACTTACCTTCTGAATCCTTCTGATCCTCTCTTCATTGACATTGGAGAGGCTTTTATTAAACAACAAACTGAAGGTACCCTGAAGCTATTTCTGTTTTCCAAATTCTAGCAAAATACCACTTTTTAAACATACACATATTAATCAAAGATCCCACCTGATCACAGTCTTCTTAATAATGTATATATGCCGTTAATCTTACCTTGTTACTGTCTCAGAGTATGGAGAGATTACAAACATTTATAACTGGTAATTCTCTTCAAATTCACAAAAATGTGATTCGGGGGAAACAACAGAATTGGCTTAGCTCTTCACCACTTGTGTTAATGCAGTGATACATTTAATGAGAATACTCCTCCCACAAGTGAACCTGAATATATATCATCACTAGGAGATGCAGTGTACAAAGCTATGTCCAAAGGAAACAAGAATGCTGTCTGGTTAATGCAAGTATGGCCACTTTTCCATTTTTATCCTTGGTGGCATTTATGCTTTGGGATGCTATTTAGAAAACTGCTTTACTGTAGTGGTATTGAAGTTACGGCAATACTGAATGACGGGGCAGAAAAACCTCAGTTTCATGTCATGATGCTTTCTTACTTGAGCCCCACCTTTGTGCAGGGTTGGCTTTTCAGTTCAGACTCAAAATTTTGGAAGCCGCCTCAGATGAAAGTAAACTTCCAATTTAGTGTTTATTGTATAGATATGGCTTTTCTTATTCGGTATCACAGCCTTTCTTGCTTTCTGCAGGCGCTCTTACATTCGGTTCCCTTTGGCAAAATGATAGTGCTTGATCTATTTGCTGAAGTCAAACCGATATGGAACATTTCCGCCCAATTTTATGGAACTCCTTATATCTGGTATATCTTTGTCTCGGTTTCCCTCTCATGCCGGTGTCATAGAGTCATATTTTACGTGTTCTCATTGAAATCGGATGAATTTCAGGTGCATGCTTCACAACTTTGGAGGCAACATTGAAATGTATGGTACTCTTGATTCCATTTCTTCAGGACCGGTTGATGCTCGTGTCAGCAAAAATTCAACCATGGTATTTCTAAGACTACTTTCACAGTTTCACATCTTTAATCCTATGTATACGCTTTAAGAAGACGCAATCTAGTTATTTGTTGTTTCACATAGGTTGGTGTAGGAATGTGCATGGAAGGAATAGAGCACAACCCAGTGGTTTACGAGCTAATGTCTGAAATGGCATTTAGAGATGAGAAAGTTGATGTACAGGTAATGCATAACATAATAATCACACTCTTGAAACGACACTAGAAAGTGTTTTCTACTATCAGTTTCATGCATTTTAAAAAATTCGGTTTTACAGAAATGGCTAAAGAGCTATGCACGCAGAAGATACATGAAAGAAAATCATCAGATTGATGCCGCTTGGGAGATTCTCTATCACACTGTCTACAATTGCACTGATGGAATTGCAGTATGTTTTGTTTCGGTCACTACGCATCATCTCTCCTTAGATCTGCTCTGTTTCGTAAGAAACTTGCTTTTATTTCTCTGTTTTTAGGATCATAACACAGATTTCATTGTCAAGCTTCCGGACTGGGATCCATCTAGTTCTATACAAAGCGAATCGAAACGAACAGAGTCATATATGATCTCCACTAACTCATATGAAACAAAAAGAAGATTCTTGTCTCAAGATAATAGCTCTGGTTTCCCAAAGGCGCATTTATGGTATTCCACAAAGGAGGTGATCAAAGCTCTTCAACTTTTCCTGGAAGCTGGGGATGATCTGTTTGGGAGCTTAACGTATAGGTAGGAGTAAGTAGAAACAGAGTATCCACCATTTTTAATGGTTACTGATTCCTATGGTTTTTCCTTGCAGGTACGACATGGTTGATTTGACGCGTCAAGTTTTATCTAAGCTAGCAAACAAGGTGTACACTGAAGCGGTGACCGCTTTCGTAAAGAAAGATATTGGAAGCTTAAGACGATTGAGTGGGAAGTTTCTTGAGCTTATAAAGGACATTGATGTTTTGCTTGCTTCGGATGATAATTTCCTTCTTGGGACATGGCTTGAGAGTGCGAAGAAATTGGCCAGAAACGTTGATGAAAGGAAACAGGTGTAACATCAATTTTGTTCTTGGAACGTGCAGGTAGAAGAAGTACATTGCTTGCTTATGACTGAGTTTTTGTGTGTGTACAGTATGAGTGGAACGCGAGAACACAAGTAACGATGTGGTATGACTCGAAAGATGTGAACCAAAGCAAGCTTCATGATTATGGTAAGAAATCAACTTTATCTTATTAAGGGTTTATTTATATTAAAAAAAACTGTTCATCTTTTGTGTTCATCATCATCGTCAGCAAACAAGTTCTGGAGTGGATTACTTGAAGACTACTACTTACCCCGAGCGACGTTGTATTTCAATGAATTGCTGAGAAGCTTAAGAGATAAGAAGAAACTTGAGATAGAGAAATGGAGAAGAGAATGGATAAGGAGGTCACACAAATGGCAGCAAAGTTCAACAGAGGTTTATCCGGTTAAGGCAAAAGGAGACGCATTAGCGATTTCAAGGCATCTGTTGCGTAAGTACTTCACATGAGTAGCTCAAAAAAAGAATGAATAAAATAAAGTAGTACTAGTTGGGTTTCTAGCTTGTGCCTGAGATAAAACTGACATTAGTACTGTGAATTTGAGAGTCAGGGTTGTTGTGTTTTAGAGTTAGAGACTCAGTGAATGCGAGTAAAGGTTGTAACAACAAACTCTGCTTTATCTCTTCCAACAGAGACTTACTTGTGTCCATTCCTGCAAGGTATCCTCCATGTACATATCCGCTAAACTTTTCACTTGTGTGTTCTCCTGTGAAGAATATCCGTCCAACCGGAGCCTAAATCATAAACCGAACCAAAAACTGTCTTTACATTCATGGCATGTGTGTATATGGCGCTAAAAACAACAAAAGGAGAGTGTTTTTTTTACCTTAATATTATGAAGAAGCTGATTATCAGATATCATAGGGTAATTACTGTAGCAACCGCGTTGAAACCGGTTGTTCCACCATCTCGGGACAAGAATATCAGTTGCGTAAGGAACGGTGGGACCAAACATGTCCCTGAGAACACTCATTGCCTCTTTCAGTGTCTCCTCCTCTGATTGAGCTTCCACGCGCTTTGATTGCTCGTTGGTCAACGTCACCACCAGAATATTAGAGCCCGGGTACGCATTTTCCATGTGCTGATAAACAGAGCAACAGTTAAGACTACATTTAAGCTGGAGAACAGAGCAAGCAACTTGTACTAATAATATTAAAGCCATCTACAAGATTTTCTAACGGTGATATAATATTGTGTAAAAATCTACTACTGACCACATGGCCCATGCCGCTGGTTAGACACTGAAGATAATTAAAGCAATGATGATAATCAAAGGGACCCCAGCTGTTTAATCCTTAAGATTAGAGAGTGCATGTGCCACGTTTCGGCCGTAGGTGAAACGACCAAAAAAGATGCATTGAGATTAACAAATTAGTATATCTCATCATCAAGGAAATCTACCTGCCAAAAGGTGAAGTAGCCGCGTTGTTCGTGCGCATAGATGAAAAACTCCTGACCAGGACCACATGGCCAGAAACAGTGAGGGAATTTGAGGAAGATCTTGGTGTACACCATCACATCGCATTTCTGTATTGCTTCTGTTTTCCATCTCTGTCACCAAAAGTTTCAACATGTGTCACAAGATAAACCAAGACTTTGGTAACTAAATAAACTGCAGATTTGCTACATCAAATGTTCTACTATTTGTTTCTGTTATTCTAAAAGGCCACTCTTGAAATGTGTGGATCAACAACCGGTGTCTGGTTTTGATTAAAAAAAAAAGGAAGAGACCATGAACTCTGACTTTCTCTACCTAATGGCTAATGCAATTTTATATGTCTGTCCCCAGTTTCATGTACATTGAATGATTAAAAATCTCCCCACTTTTTGTGCAGGAACATTGCATTTCTTTATTGTTAAAGACGCATCAAAGATAAGACCAAGGAGTAGTTGATTATAAGTTATACTAGTAGTTAATAGGAGAAGAGGGTAAAGTAAGCTAACGGGTAAAGGAGGCTGGAAGGAGAGAAGATCGGATTGGAGAACACCGATACTCGCAGACACGATCACATAATTAGCCTCGTACTCGGAACCATCCTCTGTCTTCACCAAAACCCCATTCTTCGACTGCTGTATCTCCCTAACCACCTGCCATTAAATTCCCACAGATTCATCACACTGTAGCTCGAATATAGAGATTACTAGAATACTAATATAACAACAGCTTCCAAAGTTAAGCCAGCTAGAGGCAATAAATAAAACACGCTCACTCATACAGACCCCACAACTTTCACAATAATGCTTCCCAAGAATTCTGGATAGTATACAAAACAGAACATATAGTTACAATGACCTGGAGCGTAATCAATTTCACTAGAAACCAAACGCTGAGAAAAACTTGCAACAGTATAAGTTTAAAACTTAGCAGGAAAAAAACGGAAAATGCAAATCAAATCAACCTAATAGGGCCGGTTAACAACAGCTAAAAGGAAAAAGTAGCTTTGCAAATAAACGTCGTAATTATAATCTTTTAACTCAAGTAAAAGAGGTCAATCAATACCATCAACTCTAATTAAAGATAGTTTTGTGTTGAAGAATAACTAAAGATTAAGTCACCTTGTTTAGTTTGAGGCGGTTGTCCAGGATGTTTCCATGAGAGGTAAAGAGAAATTCCTCAGCCATTTTATATAATAAACATTCGTAACCTCTTTCATCAGCAACCAGAAATTCCCTTTCGCCGAAGTCCACATAAGTCGATATTGGCTCAACCTCTGAACACCAGTGATAAAAAATCAATCAATCATTCGATCAGCAAATTAAACTAAATCATGTTTTAACTTTCACTCACCTGCCATCTCGAAATCATGCAGGATAAAGTCAATGGCGAGTTCTATTGGCGTCTTCGGTGACCTGTGGATTGTTTATTAACAATGATTAACAATGGATTGTTTCAGCAAAAACCAGTATAAACAGAGAGGAGGCGTACGAAGGAGCTTCATCGGCTACTTGGCCGGCACATTGAGCTTCAAGGCTCTTTAGCTTCAGAATCGCCGAGTCAACGGCCTTCTTATACGAGTCAGCAGCGAATCTAGTCGGGAAGATTTCTCCACTGCAATTCAACGAATCAATGATGAGGAGGAAGCAAGTGACTGAGTAAAATCATAATCGGGATTAGTTTTTCACCTTCGATCGTAGATGTTGTAACGCGCATTGGTGTAGTCGGAGAAGCAGGTGCGGAGATTCAATCGCGAGGCGAGTTCCCAGACAGGATTGGACTCCTTACCACCGACGCCGGCAATCCAACCGGCACCGAGCTCCACCGACACGTCACCGAATTCCTGCTTGTGTATTCTTCCTCCGATCCGGTCCGTCGCCTCAAGTATCAATATATCTTCTACTCCGTTCTCTGCGAGCACCTTAGCCGCCGATACTCCTAAATTCCAAATCAGATAAAATTTCCGTTAGTAATGAAGTCACCGATGGTTCCCCAGTTCACGTATGACGTATGATACGAATGGTTTAGCTCGAACCGGAAATTCCGGCGCCGATGACGATTACGGAGGCGGACGACATAGATAGGGGGAGAAGGAAGGTGTTTGTTTGTTGGGCGAGAGTTTGTTACGTTTTCGATTTGTGTGGCTTATATATATAGAGAGGCACAAGGAATGATTTATACTTCCAAACTCCAACTCAAACTGAAAACAACAACATAAATACAGTGGACCGCGTGTGGTTGACGCGCTTGCCTACACGGAATCGAGAGCGAGTGGCTTTTGACGTGTCAGGTAGATAAATGGGCTGGAAGGAATTTCTCTATTTAACTTCAGGCCTGTTCTCATTATCCTAAGGGCCCTGAGCCGAAACAAACTATTTTGGCCCACTAAATTAATGTTATTTAAAATGAAAGAAAAACAAAACAAAAAAATTGGCGGGAAGAGTCCAGCTCGTTAATACGGATGAATCGATGACGTTCATGTTGCAAAACGGGAGAGAAAATTTTCTTATGTAGCTTAATTAATATTTGCATGAACAAAACTTATTTCCAGTCCAAATTACAAATGTGTATTGGCCAGCATTACTTATGCTTTTCGGATTTGATTATTTCCAATTCCACCCATGAATGAAGAAGATTGCAGTTTTCTTTTCTTTTTTGAAAATGAGTGAAGATTGCATTTTTCCTTTTTCCCGAAGAGAGGAGCAATTCTAGAGAACAGATTATAAATAGATCCATAAAAGAAAAACAAATATTCTTTCTACCACATGGCTCGGCGAATCTTTCTATCAGAAGAGAGGAATCAGTTATAGAGAAGATTTTATAATTAGATATGGACATATGGTACGTAAAAACATAGATTCTTTGTAGCATTTGGCTCGGTGAATCTTAGGATATTCAAAAGAATCCAAAATATCCAGCCCATACGTGGAAGTGGTCACACTTTGTTATGGCAGAAAACGACAAAAGAGCTTTTGTGATCTAAAAGAGAGATTACAAGATCTTCTGAACACGTGATTCACTGCCAGAGTGCACATGAATACATGACATGTTCCGAAGATCAAAGATAAATAAGGGGTAGGTAAATAAGTTGCAACAAGGTTTTCTTTCAAACGTAAGAGACATTATTAAAACACTGCAACACACGAGATGAAACAAACAAGAAAGAAATGAAAAGCAAATTTCGCCATTTCACTCGACATACGAAGAGCATCCTCTCATCCGCTCACTCTGGCTTCCGGGCCAAGAAGAAGTACATTGGCGTGAAAATCTCTCTCCTGTGAAACGAAACAGAGGTTTAAGAACTTGTCCACAAAAACAATGAAGGAAAATAAATACAACAAGTTGGGATCCTCTTACTTTCCACCGTCGACTAATCCTTCAGCGGCCTTCTCCAGAAAACCTGAAACCCTTTGGCTTCCTTGAGGTGCGAGTCTTACGTACTCAAGGACCTTGACCTACGCATGAGTAACAATGACAAGTTGAGATAAATGAACAACTGTTAGTTGATGTGATTTGGTCAGAGCATGTTTTCTTTTTTACCAAGTTTTTGGTTATGAAGCGTCCAACAGCTGTTAGGCGGAAGCTACTGAGCGAAAAGTGGTTTTTGTCCAGAGGTAAGTACCATGGGACCGGCGAGTCCTTGGCCAGATCCTTTTCCCAAATCACCTTTATCCAACGCAGACGATAAAAGTATTTAGACGTTGGAAAATGTGTCTGATGCGTTTGGAAATAGAGAGGATCCGTAATCAGATACTTACTTCAAAACCGGCCTGGTTCAGAGCTTCGAGGCATTTTGTAGTCCGCCTAATGTCAGGCAGACCATCTCCAACCTCTATCTCTAGCTGCACAGTGGAGGGAGTCTTTGTTTGTGATATTCAAGTCGGTCATAGATGCACAAATAATATAGACAGATGCAAGACACCACACTGAACCTTTATTTTCTGATGCTGGGCGTTCTCAGGGTCAAATGCATCAGTCATGCACCACTCAAAGGCAGCAAAACACTGCCCTGGCTTTAGCACTCTGTAGATCTCTTTGTAGCATCCATACTGTTGTTGAGATCATAATGATGAGTCATAAATTTCCATAGAAAACAAGCAAACAGCTGTTTAGAATTTCACATACTGCATCAGGTGCGTGGCAGGTTGCTTCAATTGCATAAATTGCATCGAAACTGTTTTCAGGGAATGGCATCTTCATGAAGTCAGCCTGCAGAATTTATTAATCAAACCTTGATCACGTTGCCCGTCACAAGGTGTTTTCTTATGAAAAAAAACATGATTTACAACCTATGCAGTAACTATAGAGCTAGAAATTCAAATAACCTTGACAAAGTCACATGTCTTGTCAATACCAGCAAGTCGGTTTAGTTCCTGCAAAGAAAAGGATATCAATGTGAATCCTAAAAGACATTGAGGACAAAGACAGGAAATGCATCATCTTTCACAAACGTAGACACTTTACCTTGCCTCTGGTGATCTGGTACTCGTTATTGTTGAGCCCAGTTACAGATGAATTGCTGCAGCAGAGCAAACACAACACACAATTCATCATCAAAATATTTTCCTAACCGTGAAATCTGCTTCAAAACTGAAGTGTTTGCTTTTTGTATGCCTAGTCATTTTACCTGAATCGTGCAATTTCTCTCAGCGGTCCACCAATTCCACATCCAACATCCAGTACCTAATCAGAAGTATAAAGGAAATGAGCAATTCGATGGCCAAGGGTCCATTTTCGAGCCTTCTGTCTAGGTTATCATACCTTTTGTCCTGGTTTTATGCCAAGCTGAAGAGCAAGAAAGTGCTCATGTCGTTTAATACTCTCACGAAGTGATTCTCCATTCCATCTACAATCCAAAAACTCATGCTAATCAATATACATATATACACAACTAAAGTATCAGCATCTAGGGCTGCAACAGAGAAAGTTTATTGTACAACTTCAAATAGACTTGTAGAGTCTTGAATTTACCTGTGCGCAAAATGGAAGGATTCTCCCCAACCGTACTCATAAAAGCTAGTAGCAAGGTCATAGTACTTATTAACCTGATATATTAACAGGATTATTCAGTCCAACAGGCAATGATTAACTTCACTACTCGGCCTAATGAAGTTAATTACTTATCTATCAAGAATATGATCTCCTGAAACACTAGTGATGAGCTCATTCAAAATGTTTATTATTTGCAAAAAAACAAAAGTAACATTTTGGATTTTACCATGTCTGTGTAATTTGCTTTTCTCTCTTCCTCATCTCCTCCATGGAAACCGTGATAATTCTCATACCTACATCACCGGACCACTAGAAGTTATACCACCATGGGTGGAGAAGAAAGTTACATATGATGCATGTGTTTCTACATCTTCCATAGATTGAGATGATGTATCCAACCAAAAAAAAATTAATAAATAAAAACAAAAGCTTTAAATAGAAGTTGCCCCCATGGCAATGAAACGAGTCGGGCCCTCGAACGTGACGTTTTAGTGAAAATAAACGTCAAAAGGATCTATACACAAGAAGGAAAAAAAAAAAAAAAAAACAAAAAAAACAGGGACCATTTCGATCTTCTATTTCAATGTATCGGAAGCTCAGTCATTTCCTAAAAGCGGCGAAAAATCAATGCCTCATTTTCGTTGGATTTGTCAAAAAATCAAAAAGGTGATTCAAAATTTGGGAGATTATTCCACATAATATTCAACGAAATATTGGGAGATACTGCACATAACATTCAGTATTGATCTTATGAGTTAATCGAAAGGAAAAAAAAGTAGACCGTCGTTAACAGAATAAGATTTGTTAACGAGAGCATGAATCAATCAATATGCATGAGAAGAAAACGCGAATTGTAAGTGAATCGGAGAATGAAACTACGATCGAGGAATTTTCACGATGCGTTTGACGGGGAAAAAAAAAAGGGAGAATAGAAAAATACTTTTCGACGGCGGTGAGGACATCGGATTTATCGATTTTACCACCAAGGCCCGAGGCGAGATCCATAGCGCCGGACTTCGACATTATGCAACGAACGAGATCTGCAACTGCGAAACACAGAGAAAGGCAGAAGGGAATATGAAAAATCAAAGAGAAGACAATAATCGGTGTGGAAGGAGGAGGAGGAACGCCACTAACTTACAAGCTAGGCAGAGAGCTGAATCGAGGAGTGAATAGGAAAGAAGGCACCTGACTGGCTTAGCTTATAAATAATGGGAGGAGAGAGTTGGCAATGTGTGTGTGTAAGTGACACACTTGAAGTTACCAGAATATCCCTCTCTAGTGGCTAAATATATTAATTATACTGTAGATGTTTATTAAAAAAAAGCTGCCTAAACTTTATGAAAATACAAATTATAAGTATCTTTTACACTTTCCCCATCTTATAGTAATCTCTTTTTATTATAGTTTATTCTGTAAGTATAACTAAAGTATCAGCTATGCTTTGTTACTTTGTTATAGTAATCTCTTTTTATTATAATTTATTCTTTTCTTACAAATTTTAATGGTTACTGATTCGGTGATTCCTATGGTTTTTGCTTGCAGGTATACGACATGGTTGATTTGACGCATCAATTTTGATCTAAGCTAGCAAAGAAGGTGTACATTGAGGCAATGAGCGCTTTTGTAAAGAAAGATGTTGGAAGTTTAAGACGATTGAGTGAGAAGTTTCTTGAGCTTATAAAGGACTTTGATGTTTTGCTTGCTTCGGATGATAATTTCCTTCTGAGGACATGGCTTGTAACAACAAACTCTGCTTTATCTCTTCCAAGACTTACTTGTGTCCATTCCTGCAACTGCAAGGTATCCTCCACGTTCATACCCACTGAACTTTTCACTTGTGTGTTCTCTTGTGAAGAATTTCCGTCCAACCGGAGCCTGAATCTCAAATCAAACTTTTGATTTTTAACAAATGCAACGAAAATGATACATTGATTTCTCTCCTCTGTTAGGAAATGACTGAGCTTTCGATACATTAAATTAGAAGATTGAGATGGTCCGTGTTCTTTTTCCTTCTTCTGTCTAAATCCTTCCACGTTTATTTTTCACTAAAATATCACGTTCTATTGGACCCTGACTGGTTTGATTGCCATGGGACAAGTTCTATTTAAAGATTTTGTTTTATCTATTAATTTTTTTTGGTTGGATACTTCATCTCAATCTATGGAAGATGTAGAAACACATACATCATATGTAACTTTCTTCTCCACCTATGGTAGACCTGGACTGTTTTTCTCATTTATTATTTTGCTCGACATTTATTAACTTCTAGTGGTCCGGCGAATGGCGATGTAGGTATGAGAATTATCACGTCTTCAATGGAGGAGATGAGGAAGAAAGAAAAGCAAGTTACACAGGAGGAACAACGCCACACTTGCAAGCTAGGAATCGGAGTGGTGGGGAGGGAAGAGGAAAGAAGGCACCTGACTGGCTTAGCTTATAAATAATGGGAGAGAGGTGGCTGAATACAATGTGTGTGTAAGTGACACACGTGAAGCTACCAAAATATCTCTCTCTAGTGGCTAAATATACTGTTATAGATGTTGTTTATTAATACAAATTGTAAGTATACTCTACACTTATCCCCATATTACAGTAATCTCTTTTTGTTAGTTTATTAATACTGTAAATCTCATATTAGAGCCAACCAACTTCGAAAACAAAAAGGTCTCCACTATTACTCCCTTTTTAGCCCTTGTAGATCTACTCTAGTGATTAAGAAATTCATCTTGTCTCCGACCAAAGATTTAAAATATTATGAACTCGTATCATAATTCAGAAAAATTAACTACCTATCGTTTAAGTCAGGCACAGTCACATCAGCACAGCACCCAAGCCATATGCATTACGTTATTTGTTTGTGTATTTCAATTGACTTGTAAAAATTTCTAACACTTAATATTTTAATTAGTATTCACAAATTTATAGACACTTTCCCAATATTTTTCTGTTTTGTAAGTTTAATCTCGAATACTAGTATTAATGAATTTTTTTTTTTAAATTTCCTTGTGAAATTAAATATTTTTACGTAAACTCGGGCTTTTCTTACTTGTTCTGTTAAAATTGTATCAAAATGGGTGGTAATTTGTGCGGCTTTGTGATTAACAAAGAGAAATCAACTTCCTCCACACACACAGACCACATATTTCTCTCCCGCCCAATCCTCTGCGTTCCCAGCCCACGCGCCGAGCCTTCCTCACACTTGTCCTCCGGCAGTAATTAGAGGCTTAAAGTTAAGAAAAGTCACAGCTAACAAGAAGTTCCTCTTTCTCTCTCTCTCTCAAATAAGCAAGTAATCTATGGCTCTCTACACGTTAATCTCAGCCACTCCGCTCTCCGTTTCGTTGCCGAATCATCACGTGCTACCCACGCGCCGCCGTTTCCAGTTGCCGTTAGCAACTCTGGGCTCGGAGTCATCGGCGTCAACCCCTACTAGCTCGAGTTCCGTTGTCAACGGGAACACGTTGACCAATTCTTACGGAACTCGCAAGAAGGATCCGGATAGCAACAGCCCGGTTGCTCGCTTCTTTCGTTCCACCGAATCCAACGTTGAAAGGGTAAAACTATAAATCGAACTTTCTCTGGCATCTCTCAAGACTTTACTCTGTTTTATATATATGGTCTCTGTTTTGACTCAGAGAGATCGGTTTATCAAGTTTGTAGTTTTCCGAAAAAAGTTGTCATCTTGAGTTTAAGAATGGTGTGTGTGATCGTTTTTGCATGTATCTGGTGGATGGAGCAGATCATATTTGATTTCCGGTTCCTGGCGCTCTTGGCAGTAGGAGGTTCACTGGCTGGCTCGCTACTCTGTTTCCTCAATGTAACTTTTGTGGTTTTAGTCTGAAAATGTTTCGCCACACACACACCATTCTATAACACTAATGTAATGACTCACTCACTACATAGGGCTGTGTCTACATCATGGAAGCATATAAAGTCTATTGGACTAACTGTGTCAAAGGCATCCACACCGGCCAAATGGTCTTACGCCTCGTCGAAGCTATAGGTAACAAAACATATGAGTGAGACCTATATAAGCCCGGTTTGTTTCATTACTATGTGATTTTTTATTTGCAGATGTATATCTTGCTGGGACAGTTATGCTAATATTCAGCATGGGATTGTATGGACTCTTCATCAGCAACTCCTCACCTGATGTCCCTGCGGAAACGGATCGTGCCCTGAAAGCCTCTTCTCTCTTTGGCATGTTTGCCATGAAGGAGAGACCGAAATGGATGAAGATCAGCTCTCTGGATGAGCTTAAGACCAAAGTTGGACATGTTATTGTTATGATTCTACTAGTGAAGATGTTCGAAAGAAGCAAGATGGTTACCATCGCCACGGGTCTAGATTTGCTTAGTTATTCCGTTTGCATCTTCTTGTCCTCTGCTTCTCTCTATATCCTCCATAATCTCCACAAAGGAGAGCACTGAGTGAAAACCATTCATCTTCTTCTCCATTTTGTACAGAACCCAAAATCCAATATATGTGTTTATACTTTATACTCTGTTTCGTTTCAGTTGCTCTTAATGATTGTGAACAAACCATATATGCTTATTCAATCACTGGAGGAGGAGGAATAGTATAATTTCAAATCATTCACATAATGTACATTTCGTAGCTTTGTCAAGGCAATGCCATTGATTTGCCTCACCCGCTCTCTTGAAAGCTTCAACGACTTGCCTATCTCTTCAAACGACATAGGAGTCTCTCCATTGAGACCAAAGTAGAGTCCCAACACTCGAGATTCTCTCGCTGTAAGAGTTCCCAAAAGCTGCTCAATCTCATGCTTCATGTCTTCCCTTTTCACCATCTCCTCTGGCCTTGTTTCATCCGGTCCCTTTACAATCTCCTGAAACATGGTTCACCAGTCCGAAAAGTCACTCATTGTTCTAATGTTCTCTCTCTGCTTTGCATTATCATTGAAAAAAAGTGAAGTGTACCTGCAATGTCATGCGGCCATTGTGAGATGCGACTCTGTCCAACGAAACAGGGGATCTGCTCCTGTCCACGGCAAGTCTAACCGCTGACACGTGGATGTTGAGGTGCTCTGCGATCTCTTCACAGCTCGGTATCCGTTTTAGTTTTCTGGTCAAGACGTTACTTGCTTCTGCAACTTTCGCCGTCAGCTCCCACATGCTTCCCTACACACAACAAAGCTAAAACGATGCATTCACTAATTACTTACCACTTCAGAGGAACCCATTACACTTTATTCCCTACGTTACTTTATTTTAACATATAGTTTAACTATACAATGTAACACATATAACATATTCATCCCCAAGCCATAAGGATTTGAAACTCTTGTTCAGTCAAAAATGTGATAATAGATAAGAGATGCAAGGCTCACCGGCAATTTGACTAGTCTAGACTTGTGCGCAATAGCTCTTAAGATGGCCTGTTTGATCCACCAGTAGACGTAAGTTGAGAGTTTGTAGCCACGTTCTGGATCAAATCTCTCAGCTCCTCTTAGGAGCCCTATGCTTCCTTCTTGAATCAGGTCTTGCAGATTCAACCCTTTGCCTTGGTAGCCTGTGGCGATAGAGACAACGAGCCTCCGGTAACAACGAGTAATCTTTTCTCTCGCTTCTCTTCTTCGGCATAATATTTCATTAGCACTACGCTTCTTCTTGCCTTTGCCACTGGACAACAAAACTGATACCATCTCATTCTCTTCAGCACTTGTTCCAAGATTTTCAAGTTTTGCTCCTTCCTGTTTGTTACCGGAAGAAAGTACAATGAGACGGGACTAACACAATTCTAAGACATAGTGGTAGTAATGAGCCATAAACCAACAAGGATAAATAGGTTTAATCAAGAACACATACCTTGAGGTACAAGCAAAGCTGAATCTCCTCTGAACGACTTAAAAATCCAGACCGTGTAGCTCCAGCTGGAACACTGATTGTCTCTGTTTCTTCTCCTGCTTTTGCGCCAGCATTTTCGTCTTCTTCCGGTTCCAAGCGCTCGAAACCAAGTCTTCTTCTCCTCCTCCTCTTCCTCCTCTTTTCTAATTGAAGTCCCCATTTGTCAGGTTTGATCATCACGGAGCTCTCAGTGGCTCTATCCACAGTGGTCTCACAGAAAACCAGAGCGGTGCTAAGCTTTATGGAAGATGGGGATGATGAGGAAGGAGATGGTTGACATTGGTGAGTTGTTCTTAGTAACGGCGAGATAGTTGGGAGAGGAGGAGACGGACACATGGTGGCGGTAGCTGTGGTGGGTATCGTCGCCATTGCAGAGCTTATACGCCTTAGATTTTTTTCTTTCTTTTATCTTCTTTTTGGTCCAAGAGATGAAAGCAGAAGATAATTCGCTCTCTCTATCAGTGAGCCTCTGCGTCATCGGTTATTTATCCCCCCAATTAAATTTAGGTGGAGTTGTTGGTTTCTTTTCTATTTTTTATTTTGAAAAATTTTGGTAACTACGGTTGAACTACCACTTTTGGTTCTTGTGGTAACTAACATTTGAACGCTCTCAATCAACACACTAAGAGCATGTGCAATGGCTCTTTAAACTTACTAGGTTTTTCACCCGCGCAAGCGCGGGTCTGTTTTATAGTTTGATTAGTAATTTTTTTTATTCATAAATTACTATGAAATCTTATTTTTCGCCAATTGTTTATTATTCTTCGATCTATTCTTCTTTATTCGTTTTTTTTCTTCTTTGCTTTCTTCTTCATCTTTACTCTCCTTTTATGTTTCTTCGTCCTCGTGATTTCTTATTCCGTTATTTGGTCTGTTTCTTCATCTTTGTTTATCTTTTGTTTATTTTTTGTTTTCGTTCTTTGATATTTTTGTCTGTACTTTTTTTTATTCTGTATTATTCTTTTGTTTTTTCTATGATTAGTTCAGACGGTCGAAGTTATAGAGTTTTGCTACTTTTTTTCTTAGATTATTCTTTGCTGGAATTTTTTAACCATTGTATCCTTTTAGAAATATTTTTTATGTAATCCTCTTTATGTAAAATAATATTTTCACTATTTGATACACTTAACCAAACTTAAAAATGTAAAGGATTCATAGAAATAAAATAAAGTTAGAAATATACAAATATATATTCACACATATATTGAACAATGTCTAACAATAATTCAATTTATGTGATCATAAATATATAGTTAAGCATAACTTTCAATTTCATATTCTTTGGTATCATCTTTTTATTTGGTTTCTTGGTTTAGTCTTATATTATATGAGATTTTTTATTTATATTTTTGTTCTTTGTTATTTTTCGTCTTCGCTTTTCTTAATCTATATTTTTTTTTTGGCTTTTCTTGGTTCTTATTCTTCTATTTCTTCTATGGTTTATTTTTTTCATCGAAAATGCTAGGTTTCCCTATAGTTTGTTTATTCCAGATTCCTCTTCTTCTATGTATTGTTTGTTCTTCGCTTAAAATTCTCCAGGACTATATTTTTTGTAAAATATGTTTATTATTAACCTCTTTAATCTTAGGTAGAAACAAATTTTCACTATCTATCTAAACCTTTAAAAAATAAAATGTATGTCTAACAAATTTAATCTAGATAAGCTAATATTATTGTAGATAAACTAATGCTACTATTTAGGTTGGATTTCTAGGAGTATGAAATTTATTTGAAGAGAAGTTAATTGACACATCGTTGTTCTTCATTTCCTTCTTTACTCACTCTTGTTTCTATGTTTTTTAATTTTATTTCTTGATTCTCTTCATTTTTTTCTACTTTGATTTTTTTTTATTCTTATTTGGTTTCATATTTATCTTCACTCATCTTCGCTTCGGCTCTTCTTCGTCTTTGCTTTTCTTTATTCCTCTGTCTTGTTCTTGTTTGGCTTCTGCTCTTCTTCGTCTTTACTCTTCTGTACCCTTTCTTTGTATTCTTGTTTGGTTTTATTTCCTTCTTCACTTTCGTTTATATTTTTTATTTATTCTTCTTTAATTTCTCCTACTTTGATTTCTTCTTTATTCTTATTTAGTTTTTTTTTTCATTTTCACTCATCTTTGCTTAAACTTTTTTATTTATTCCTCCTATGTGTTTTTTTTTCATATATTTGGTTCTTGTCTTAGCAATATAACTAATTTACATGACAACTTTTTTTTGTTGTAAGTAGAAAATATATTTTTTATTTTTAAAAATATTTAATTACTTGAAAAGAAATTGTGATTACATGAAGGTTTCTATAAAAAGGAAAATAATTACTTAATTTTAGTGATTATCTGGAATGATATTATTGGGCTGTTTAAAATCATATATATGTAATAAATAATTTCTTTATTTCTTACATATTTAAAAATTGTAAATTTTTTTAATCATGTATATCTTTATGTAGACCAATCAAATTTAAATAGTAAATTTTATATGATGATATGTAATGATATTATTGGTTATTTTCCAATTAAGAAACTTTCTTGAGATATAAAAAGTTGATTAAATTAATTTTTAGAAATATAATTTATTTCCTATGATGATGTCGACTGATACTATTGGTTATTTAAAATTGGAAACTTTATTAATATTGGAAAACGCTTACATGGACCAATAATATCGAGTTTTTAAATCCTATGTAGACGCTATCAGAGGCTTATAGCCTCAACTTTAGGAATTGTGATGTTTTTAATTCAAATCTGGTTAGATAATGATTGTTGTCATATATCTTAGATTTTTTTTAAAAAAACATATTAATTTAGTTTATTTTTTTGTTGGTATTAAAAAGAAATATGTTGTAAAATCTTTAATGCAAAACATTTATAATATATTTAGATTAGGAAACTTTCTTGAAAATAAAAAGGAAATTACCAAATTTTATATGATGATGTGGAGTAATACTATTGGTTGTTTAAAATCTGGAAATTTCCTAATTGTGTAGATGCTTATATGGACCAATAAAATCGGTTTCCTAAATCCTATGTGGACGCTCTTAGAGGCTTATAGCCTCAACTTTTATATAGTATAGATTTTATAATAAAAAATTAATATTTTATGTCTAGAGTTCTGAGTAGAATTTTGATAATTTAGCCTCCACAATGGAGAGCTCATTGTGGGTTCTTTAAAATTAATTAAAAAAAAATTACAAAATGAAAAATAATGAAAATTCAGCATCAAGTGACTTGTTCTCCTTGTTGAAACTAGCAAATCTCTTGTCACTGTGAGGGATGTCAAGTCCTAGTTTGGTCGCTGTCTGAAAGTCTTGCTTCTCCTGGTTTGGTCACTGTTGTTGTTGCTGCCTTTTCATCGTCTCTGATTTTAGCATCAATCTCTTTGCTTGGCGGATATTTTGGTAGAGACAATGGATCACAAGCAAACGGCTCTGTTTTGAAGTACTGCTCGCACAATAAAACTATGTGTTAATTCACTCAAATCACAATGCTTTGAATGGATCACAAACATAAGCAAAAATATTAGTACCTCACTCTCAAGAGCTCTGGCTGCAGAGCCTCTCTGGTCAGGATCTATGGAGAATAAATCTTCCCAAAGCGAGAGAACATTCAACGGCAAATCCTTGAACATCTCTGCTACACGTCGTCCATATGGAAGCGCCGGTCTAAACGCAGCTGAAGGTGGTAGCTTCAGTTTCCTCCAGTAATCTTCTGTTGGTGAACCACATAGCTTGAAGATCTTAGGCAGTTGCTCTACCTGTAAAAGATTGAATCAATCATAAGTTAAATCAGGTTTTGTAGACAGTCACACCAAAGAAAACTTATCCCACAGGTTTTGGTCGACTATGAGAATTCATCTTCATCGATGTGAATCATCAGAGAACAAATCAAAATTTCTTGGTGAAAGCGAATTCGTTACTTGTTATCTTGGTGAGATTCCAATCTGATTGGATAATAAGATGCTTCTGCAAACTGAGGACGAAGAATCCCCCATTGAGCAACACATGAGCTTTCAAATTGTATAAGCGCCATTACACTCCCTGCAAAACACAAACAAGAATCCAAATTTCTTCAGTAAACAAAGAAAGATTCAGCAATTTCATTTCGACCCGAGAAAACAGATTCCGGAAAAGAGTTTCACTTTCATCCTCTAAATCTAAAAAGACAAAGCTTTCTGAATCAATTTGACGAAAATTCACATTTAAACAAGAGCTTTGTGCCGCAAATTTGTATCTTTCACTTAGGAAATTCAGCCCAAGTGAATTTTTTAACAAAGACGACATTTTCAGGATGATTTCTATCGAACAAGAGAGAGAAAACGGCGAAGAAGACAGAGGAAGGAGGAGAAGCTGAATCTTTACCGTAATCGAATGGTGACGACGACGGGAGAAGAAGGCGCAGAAGAAGAAGAAGAAGACGAAGAAGAGAGAGTTTGTGCAATAGATAAGAAAACGAGTTTGTGCAATTCATCTGAACAAAGAACGTCAAACAAGAAGGAATCGGAGATTGAAGAGGAAGGATTTGGAGCGGAGCAGAAGTTGAGATCGGAGAAGATCTTCTGCAGAGAAAACGAAGAAAACAAATTTCGAAGAACAAAATGAAAAAAAAAAATTGATACAAAATGCCGACATTTTTTTTCTCCGCAGCGCTTTCTCCTGCCGACACGTGGCGTGTAGATACGTCTCTACAGTCTCTTCGGGAAGAGACGGATCTGGGCCGCGCTACTGCCAGATGGATATTTATTTGGGTTATTTATTTTCTTTTGAGGTTGAGAGACTGTGAAAAGATGTCCGGTGCACATGCTCTAACATCCCTTGTGTTGCTCCAAGAGTTACACATAGGATTTTCCAAAGTTTCATGTGTTGACAACTCAGTAAAACTCTTTAGCCAATCAAAACATTCTAAATAATACCAGTCAGCTTTTTAATTAACCATGTCAGTCAGTCTTTCTCTTTGAAACCGGAATCTGTCTCATTCTCGCTAATTCTCCTCTTCGCATTCCCAAGCCCAATGCCAAACTTTCTTTTGAATCCAATAATCCTAAGAAGACAAACGCTAAATCCAAAGTTGTAGAATGATTCATTAGATGCACATGATTAAGAATGAAATCATCCATGTCCAATTCCAAACATATCTCATCCCTCTCTTCCTCTTCACTCCGACCAAATTTACATCGATTAGCTATTTGTCTTCTTCTATCTCAGCTTCTGAGCCGCTTAAACCAAATTGCTCTTCTTCGTTGCAATTTTTTTTTCTCGATGATTCTCCATAACTAAACTTCAATTTGTATTGGATCTCGAGTGCTTCGTCCACATTTTTCGGCAAAGAGTGGAATGTGACTGCAGAATTTAAAATCAGCCACGATGCGTCTGTCGAAAGGAGAGAAGAAGACGTGAAATCAGACGAGGAAGAAGACCCAGAAACAAAAGATTGTCGGAGTTGCTTCAAATCAGATAGTAACACAGTCATTCATCTCCTGCAATGTTATATCAAATCCCATATTTTGCCTTTGTTACGGGTTGCTTTCTTTATGTCGATTGTGTTGATGATGATATAATCAAAGTACTTTTTCCTGTTTGTGGTTATCTGGGTTTCTGTTGATTTTCAGTATTCTATTTGGTGTTTTAGAAAATGTTTGTGTTGATAAGTTCATCATAAAATTGTCATGAAACTTGTTCGTTGCCAATAATACAGAAATGATAGGCTCATCTTTCTTTGATTCTTAAACTTCTTGATCAATCTCCTCATCTGCAACTCAATCCTAATTGTATTGTATATTTCATGAAATTGCCAAAGAGAAGGTTTAATTAATTATTCATTGCAAATTATTTCTCCCACTTGCATTATCTTCCTTGATCTACCGAGTTTTTAAAATCTCTTTTGTAACCAAGGTAACCAAGCATTCAAAGAGAAACAATGGCAGAAATCTATTGGTTTATACTCAGAAGCTATAAAGCTAAGTGACAACATTGCTACTTATTACAGTAATGATTCTTAAAATTTGGAAGGTAAATGTTACTCAGATCCTAAAAACCAGTTTTCCTGTGAGGTCTTTCTGTGTGATATTGCCTAAACAAATCTTATACATACAGTATTCTTCAAACCGAAGAAAACTGTACCAAAACTATCACTCTCGACAAGAAGGTACTTTTCTTTCTTTAAACACAGAAGCAAGTTTCGCTTGTAAGAGCATTCTTGTTCTTGAATCTCAACAACAACAACAAAAAATATTTGTTTTTACAGAATTTTAATTCTTATTAACGAAAAGGAACGGTAAGAGAAATGTTAGGCTATTACAAGGAAACTATAGACGGTAGCTAACCAAGTATCATTATGCTAAACTAGATTCCACCTCAGTCAATTTGATATTAATTAGCCATAAACGGTAAACTAATCGTTCTACCAAGACTCCACCTGTATATGAAGATTCCACCCATGCCCAATTTCTACCAAGAGCCAAAAGGTACCACTAATGTAACAGAAGGTACAGCTGGTCCTGTTGTGACAAAACCAAAAGACTCATCATCATCTACACTGAAGAAATCCAGTCTGAGCCAAAACCTGTTAAAACTAAAGAGAAGTTAGGGAAAGCCAAAGAAAGGAAAAAGGACGGGAAGAAAGAAGAAGCAGAGAAAAGAACAGAAGAACAAAAGGCTACGTGTCTGCTAAACCCGAAGAGAAGAAAGAAGCAGATAAAAGAGGAGAGGAAAATAAGACTTCTTCCGTGGCTGCTAAATCCGAGCAGTAGAAATGAACTCCAACAACATTCAAATGAAGGCTGAGATTATGGTAAGTGAAGTTGCAGTGGGAAGAGAGCCTTTGGCAATGATCTATAATGTATGCTCCTTCTTCTTTTTCTTCTTTAAAAGAGTTGTTGTATTGATTAATGTTTGTTGCATTGCGTTTACTTTAAGATTACTCTTCACTCCAAGTATTTTTAAACTTATATATGTTACGAAGATGGAATATGAGTGAATTTGAACAGTAGCACAATTATTAGTTGTGTAAAATATTGATGTCAAAGAAAGCTGGAATCACCTGTCATTGAAAAAACCCATAGTTTAATTAGGAAATTGACAGAAAATCGACTTCTCCATACAACTAATTGAATAGCCGATCAACTTTTACAATAAATCAAATAACAGCCATACAATTCATGGGACGAATGAAGAAAGAATACAGATGCGGAATAAACTAATCAAGCACCGCAGTATTAAGCCTAATAAACTAACGGAAATGAAGAGAAAACTGATCTCCTTCGGTCAGGAAATTAGTCAGTTTCTCCGTGTATTCTAGGCCAACCGCAAAAATAGATCGGATACACCCGTAAGACGCAATTTTTTTTTTTAAATGATACATTAAATAGGCTTATACGACAAAAACAAAACAAACTACATCAAGCAACAGGCCCAACTGATTTCTTTCATTTATATTTAACAAATAAATAAAAATAAAACAAATTGGAAAAAAATTATATCAACCGCGGCGTAGCGCGGGTCTAACACTAGTTATTATAAGTGTTTCTCACTTTTTTGTTTTTTTTGGGTAAAGGAAGTGTCACTAATCTTCTTCCTCATTTTTACAGCCAAGATAAGCAATTAATGAAACAAATTATTTTTTACCGATCTTTATTTTCGTTTACGAATCTCTTCTTTATAATTTTACCAGTTTGTATTTTAAACGGAACTCGAAAATTAACTAACATGTTGAATGGCAACAATTTTTTTTTTTTTTTTTTTATGTATAAAACAAAACAAGAACCACAAGTTTCATCCAAACAAAAAACTCTAAAAATCTAAAGTCAGAATTGCTGTTGAAACGCATTTGTTTGTAAACGCTGTTCCAATCGTTATTTTCTCTGTTTCCGTGAAATCGCATTCGCGCGTTTAAACGAGTTGAAACCGAACCTCAAAACCCAAAGTTTAGTTGTTTTTGGACCCAAATAAAAGGCCCAATAGAATTGGATCCTTGTGTATTATGTCTTTACGCATATATCGTGTGACTGTGCATGTATGTAGAAGACTGAAGAGATATGGATCCAGTGTCACTGTCTTGACCCCACGTGTGAGACGGTGGGTGCCACGCACTGTTGTAAAGCTTGCCTGTGGTGAACTGTGTTGGCAACACGCGTAGCTCTGTGACTCCTCGTGACTTAATGGTGGGCTCCACACTTATACCACTGACGTGGAATTGTCCACACACCCATTACTCTGTTCGGACAAACACAAGTACACACACACGAGGAGTCAATTACGTAATACAGTACGTACCACTGCTAAATACTACATGGAATGAAATTGGTAAAGACAGCATATTATATTATTATCGTCTTTTGTTAACAATGCAAATCAGCACTATATTCTAACTACCTTTATACCAATATAAATTACGTACACTGCCTTGTTTAAATGATTAAAGTTATAATTAGTTTTGCTTTCCACTAGAAAGTACTTTCTATCTCAGCTTTAAGAGCCGGCTGCTTTAATTTGGGTGATGCTTTTTTTCCCTAACAAGACAAACGATAACATTATAATAGAGAAAATTACATCCAAAGGCACTTTTCTAGCTGAGAAAATTACACTCGTGGAGGATTTGGATTTGCTAGCTGAGATAAGCATTACAAGTCTTAAAGGCTTAAAGATAGATCAGAGTCAACAGCAATGTTTAGTTTTAATTTATATGTCTCTCCACTCACTTTCAGTTGTCTCTTTCTTCCTGTCTTCATTATCCCATGTGACTCAGAAAAAACATTCCTACGTTTACTGTATCCCAATATCTCATACTACTAAACTATATACTAATATATATCTAGCGAAAGCGCAACTACGTATTACTTATAAATAAACAAATTAATCTTAGCCAAAAAAAAGATGTGACATATTTTCAAATTTCAAAAAATTAATTTTGTATTATTATGCGAGTGAATAACAAGAATCTGGGGGGTGGGAGAGAGGACCATAGTCCATAGGTCAGTGAACATGTGAAGAGATTAAGATGATGACACTTGGGTGACCACCTTTTTGCCTTTTAGCTCCAGTATATATGCATATTATTAATACACATACCATATATTCGCTACGTTACCGACTCTTCGTTTTTCTGCTCCAGCGACGACGAGAGATAGAGAATCTGTGTGGTACTTAATTGAGTTTCCTTTTTATCGTTTCCAAATATTCCGTTACCGTTTTCACTCCCTAATTCCGGATTGCTTCGACGGTTTCTTCATTTTTCCGAAGATTTTTAGGTTTTTTTTCTTATTTGTTGGCTCAATTCTATAGGCTCCGAATCACCCTTTGCTCAGAGTTTAATCGGAAAGTGGAATATGGCGGACGAGTACAAGGATGCGTTGTTGGAGAAGCACAAGTATCACGAGGGATGTCCTGGATGTAAAGTGGAGCAGATGAAGCAGCTCCGGCGAGGATATCCTTATCTTGAGCTTTCCTTCGTTTGGATCATCGTCCTCTCTACCTGTAAGACCTCCTTTGCCTTCTTTGATTTCATCAAAACTGCTTCTCATTTCTGTTTATTTTCCTCTCTTTAACGATTCTGGTGTCCAATATCGGAGCAACTCTCAAGATAGACTGGTTTTTTGTTGTGTGTTTTTTTTGGACTTGTTTTGATGCTAATGGTGTTAGAATTGGCTAATTGTGACTTGTGTTAAAAGTAATGATTTTGTTAATTCAATTTATAATGCCTTGACCTTCAAAATTCATGTGTTTGCAGCTCTGCCAATTTCCTCACTCTATCCATTTCTCTACTATATGGTGAGTAATTTGATTTCAGAGCTCAAGAGTTACCATATCATAAAGTTATTTTATCACCGAATCTCAATAGTATGTCTTCCATGTCTCCTTTGTTTTTGATAGATTGAAGATTTTGGTGTTGCAAAGACGGAGAAAGATATTGGGTTTTATGCTGGATTTGTGGGTGAGAAGACATTGCCTCAATCAAACACTTGTTCTTTATTCTGCATTGACTCTCCATGATCTCTAACTAAAAATCTGTTAATGCTTGGAAGGGTGCTCATTTATGCTTGGCAGAGCATTGACGTCAGTGTTCTGGGGAATTGTGGCTGACCGTTATGGAAGAAAGCCCATTATACTCTTGGGAACTATCTCAATGTAAGTATCCTCAAAAGATAAAATCTTGATTATTGTATCCAAGAGTTTGGTGTTTAGATGACTGACTTGATGTGATTAATGTGCAGTGCCATTTTCAATGCTCTTTTTGGATTAAGCGTAAACTTTTGGATGGCGATTGGCACGAGGTTTCTTCTTGGGAGTTTCAACTGTTTGCTTGGAACAATGAAGGTGACCCTCTTTTGTTACTACAACAGTAAACAAATATTGTCAGTGGCCTTTTTCTAATATTTAATGTGAAAATTTGCAGGCATATGCGTCAGAGATATTTCGTGATGAATATCAAGCTACCGCAATGTCAGCTGTAAGAAGCTTCTCCATCACGTATTTTTTTTAATATGTTTTGACTGTTTCTGTCACTGTCATGACACTTGTAACTTGACTATATTCAGGTTAGTACTGCTTGGGGCATTGGACTGATCATTGGCCCTGCTTTAGGTGGTTTCTTAGCGCAGGTAATTTTTATATTTTCTTGACATTTCCGATGTTCTAGATACTTGAAGCTTATCATGTGTCTATATCACATTGCTGCAATCTTCCTGCATATTTAGCTTTTTAATTAATGCCTTTCAATGTTCTCTAAAATCAGCCGGCAGACAAATATCCAAATGTGTTCTCCAAGGACTCCATTTTTGGGAGGTGTTTATTCTTACTCCTCTGCTTAAGAGTTTAGTGGCATGGAATTTTCATTAAAATAAGTATGTGAATTGTAAAATGCAGATTCCGGTATGCGTTGCCTTGCTTCACAATATCAGCTTTTGCATTGCTTGTGACAGTACTATGCTGCTTCATTCCGGTACTCTATTTTTTCTTTGACGAATCTTCTTTATTGTTATAATTTGCACTCACGAATCTTCTTTATTGTTATAATCTCCTATATATGTCTTTCTCCGAGTAGGAAACACTGCACAATCATAAGCTGGACAGCTCATCACACGACGACTCATACGAGGTACTTGAAGCTGCTTCAGGAAAAAGTGAAAGAAATGCTTCTCAAGGGTCTCTCTTGAAGAATTGGCCCCTAATGTCATCCATCATTGTGTATTGTGTTCTTTGTCTGCATGATACTGCATACTCTGAGGTCAGTTGTTGAAACTGTAATGTCCTCTGCCTACTCTCATCTGGCACTGCAATGTTTGTGATATAAGAGCCTTGTGCAATGCAGATATTTGCACTATGGGCTAACAGTCCAAGGAAATATGGAGGTCTGAGCTACTCAACCAATGATGTCGGTACAGTTCTTGCTATCTCAGGTATGCAGAAACATCCTCTCTCCTGATGTCTTGTGCTTCTAATGATAAGAATCATGAGTGAAGCAGAATTATTACTCATCAACAATTCTGCTTTTAGGTTTCGGCCTATTCTCCTTTCAGGTTTTTGTTTACCCTTTCGCTGAGAAACTGCTGGGACCTGTGCTGGTCACCCGTTTTGCTGGGGTCAGTTAATATTTCCTCTGGTGCTTCTCTGCAGATTATTATGTGTAATGCACTTTAATGCAACAAGAAAGAGATTGTTCTTCTGACAATGTCTTATGTTTCAGGCACTGATGATACCAATACAGATGAGTTATCCATTTATTGCAAATCTATCAGGTCTCGGTCAAAGCTTGATGTTGAACTGTGCATCAATCCTCGTAAATGTGCTAAGTGTAAGTTTGCAAAAACTCAATTCTTTTCTTTCTTTGTGTGTATTTAGTTGTCATATACAGAAAATGAGGTCATGTTAATATATATATCTCTACGGCTGCTTATGTAGGTGTCTGCCATAACCGGCTTGTTGATTCTGCAAAATAAAGCTGTGGTAAATGGACATTCTTTGATTTTTTTATAAACGGTGGTCAAATATTGTTAACTTCAACTTCAACTTTGTTTTTGTAATATGAAACAACAGGATCAGAGCCAGAGAGGGGCGGCTAATGGAATTGCTATGACTGCCATGTCACTCTTTAAGACCGTGGGACCCGCTGGAGCTGGCATCTTGTAAGTGAATTTTCAAAAAAAAAAAAATGAACACATACTTGAAGTTAATAGACGCAGTAATGTCTTAAACACAAGTCTCTATTGCTGACAGATTTTCTTGGAGCGAGAGGCGACTAAACGCCGCGTTTCTACCAGGTATCATTGCATTACTACTTATCTTTATGATGATATCCATAATACTTATGTATTGAAACACATGTAAATTGGAAATGTGTGCAACGCAGGATCACATATGGTGTTCTTCGTCCTGAATGTGATAGTCGTGGTCGGAGTAGCTCTCACGTTCAAGCCATTTCTAACCACGGCTCGTAGGTGAAAATTCAGAATGAATTTGGTGATATTGATTCTTTTAATCTCAGATTCGAAAGAACCGTAATCAAATTTCACTAACCTTAGGATTTCAGTTTTTTTTGCATTGCTTTGTCTGATTTTATATACCAAGATTATAGAAATACTAGTATTACGCACGGGTCAATTTTCTCTTTCATTTCTCTTTTAATTTGTTCTCATAAAATTATTCAAATGGGATAATATCAGCATAACATAACATCCTTTCATTCATGAATTTTATTCTGAGACCTTATCAATTATCATCGCATATAAAGGATGTCAATTGACAATTTGACACAAAAAAAGGTTTCACAAAATTCAACATTACCGGGCCCTCCAGGGGACAGCGCTGTTGCGCTGTTGATCTATCAATCGGTTAATATCGCTTTATCTAATGGGCCGATGTGTCATCAGTATCTTTAATATTCTGCTGAGCGAGTTGAGAGTTGAGAGTTGAGAGTTGAGACGATGAGTTTGAGATGAACGTTTTTGAGCCATTAACCGAGACCAGTCTATCACCTCCCGATTTGAAGTGAGAGCATTTTTGACTGCCTTTTTCTTTTGGCGCCAAACTGTTCGAGTTATACTTTTAAGATATTTAGTCAAAATTTACTTACAGTAATTAATATTTTCGGTAATTTCTTTGTACAAATTTCCTCAAGGATATGATCTTGATGATTTTAATTAGAATATTTCTAAATCTCATTATTATTATTGAGCTGAGATACTCAGAGACGCTAGCATCAAAGTTAGTAATAAATAAAAACGAATTAAACCTATTGAAAAACAGTTGAATTCATTAAATAAAAATGAAAAACGTGGGGACGACGAAGTTTACTTACACAACAACAGAAAAAAAAAAAAGAGCCTTTATTTAGAAGAAGTCCACAGGTTAAATTATTGAAAATTTCTGGTCCACCATTAATTTCCAAATATGAATTTAGCACTCCTCAAAATTTATCAATAGTATACATAACACAGATATTACCACTCATTGATTTCCAAATATAAACTTGGACCACTTGGTCTTATAATGTTTCTTTCGAAGTCATTGTACTCATCATCCCATATCTTTATTCTTCTATTTTTGTTATACGTTTTTTTTTTTGTGAAAAGGGCATATTTCATGTTATACGTACGTTACATCATTGTAAGAGATGAACGATTTTGTCTTCTAATGAATGATCGCTTATTACGGGTTTCAGTGGATGAATATAATTTAAATAGTTTTACTAATAGCGTATATGAAAATTACTCATACCAAAAAAAAAGTTTATGAAAATTACAATGACAACGATATACTAATTTTTTTCAATAATACACAGATTTGAACCAATGACACTAATTTCTTTTTGGGTGAAAATGAACCAATGGCAGTACCACCACAAATACCTAAACAACATTATCTGATCCACGTCGATCATATTTACGCCACGTGAAAATTTCCGCCAAAGATGCATCGATCTAAACGCTGCACGAATTCGCCTCTATTTTTGGGCAACGTATTTAATAATACAATAAGAAAACATATTTGACTGAAAGATGCGATGAGTAAATAAATTCGATTTTTTCTTTTACAAGGTAAGACGTACACAATGACATGACTCGAGAGGAGAAAAGCAAACTTGTTTTCTTTTTCTTCTCTCCCTCTAGTATTATTATTTTATAAGTAGTTGTCCGTCATTTATGAGACTACGTGAAAAAAACTGTTGTGTTGGCTCGTCCCATAAATACACATCATCGCATCATCTCGATCCCTCCTCCAAAATCATTGGATCGATTAGAATTCGAGGTAGGTTTGAAAAATGGCGGAAGAATATGCAGAGTGTTTGTTGGAGAATAAGTACCATGAGAATTGCCCAGGGTGCAAGGTTGATCAGAAGAAGAGGCTTCGCCGAGGATTCCCTTTCTCCGAGCTTTGTACCGTTTGGATCATCGTCCTCTGCACCGGTAAATAAATTATATTCTTCAGATTGAATAAGAGCAAGAACATGTTTTTTCTCTTCTTACAAAATAATTACTTTTTTCTTTTCTGGTTATCAACGTTTCAGCTCTGCCGATTTCGTCTCTTTTCCCCTTTCTTTACTTTATGGTGAGTACACACACACCTAATACTTAAAAAGTAGTTTATTTTGGTGATCTTAAGTCTTTGTACGTGCTGGTTCGGATTTGGTGATTACTAAAAACATTGTGTGCTTAATTATTTTGTTTTGGTACGTACTTGGTAGATTGGTGATTTTGACATAGCAAAGAAGGAAGAGGACATTGGATTCTACGCTGGATTTGTTGGTGAGTCGTCCTCATACTACTAATGATTAAGAAGGATATTTCTTTTTTTCACCTTTGACCATTTTTAGTACAGGACACACTGTGATCTTTGAATACCTTTGAAGGTTGCTCACATTGTGATCTTTGAATACCTTTGAAGGTTGCTCTTTTATGCTCGGGAGAACGTTGACATCTGTCTTCTGGGGAATAGTGGCTGATCGTTATGGTAGAAAGCCCGTTATCCTCATAGGAACTGCTTCAGTGTTAGTCATCTTGACTACATTTATTTCTTCATCTCTTTTTCTCATATTTGTTTGATTACCTATTACTCAAAAACAATGCTTTAAAATTCTGTAACAGGGTCGTTTTCAATACTCTGTTTGGCCTAAGTTTGAATTTCTGGATGGCCATCATCATGAGGTTTTGCCTCGGTAGTTTCAACGGTTTGCTTGGTCCTATCAAGGTCTCCTCCTCTTAACAACATTTCTACATGAATTTCTCTAAGCTCATTAACCTGAATATATGGCCCATATTAATCATTCAGGCATACGCTATGGAAACATTCCGTGATGAATATCAAAGTTTAGCACTTTCAGCTGTAAGCTATTGGTTCATAAATTTCATCTTCCTTTTTTTTTTTCTCTAATTGATTTAGGAGCAATTTGGAATCTTATTATCATATATCATGTAGGTTAGTACAGCATGGGGAATTGGACTCATCGTTGGCCCTGCTATTGGAGGCTTTCTTGCTCAGGTCTCATTAACAAAAACGCATTTCAATCTTGTTTTCTAACTCTACCTTGCTTGCACTTCTTGATTCTTGTTTAATCTTCTGACCTTGTAGCCTGCAAAGCAATATCCAAGTTTATTCTCAGAGGAATCGATTTTTGGCAAGTAAGTGTTACTTTTCTAGTTTTCTTTATCTCCTCTTCACTTATATACAAATAGTCTTACTCGTCTGTAAATCATAATGCAGATTTCCCTACTTTTTGCCGTGCTTAGCAATATCTGCTTTTGCACTTTTTGTGACCATCATTTCATTACGGATTCCGGTAAGCTCTTTAATTTTTAATCTCCATGAACTTCCTAGTGATTAGCTTGAGCCTAGAGATTGTTTTCTCCTCTCCAGGAAACATTGCACAATCACAAGACTGATGATGATGATGAGTCTTTTGATGCTTTGTCTCATGACCCTGAATCACACAAAGTGGCAGAGAGAAATGGAAAAAGCTCTCTCATGAAGAACTGGCCACTAGTTTCATCTATTATTGTCTACTGTGTCTTTTCACTCCATGATATGGCTTATACAGAGGTGGGACTCCTCTTCCTCCTCCACATTCATCTTTGTTTATTTGAAACCCAAAAGTAAAATCTTCACCTTTTTCTCTTTCTCCGATAGATCTTTTCATTATGGGCAAATAGCCCGAGGAAATATGGAGGTTTGGGATACTCTTCTGCAGATGTTGGTTCTGTTCTTGCAATTTCAGGTGTGTCACATACTTCTTAATGCTAACATTTTTTAATATAAAAGTTACTTTTTCTGATTCTGACATAAACAGTAATACTTGTTTCTAGGTTTTGGTCTCCTCATGTTTCAGCTTTCTCTCTACTCCTACGCGGAGAGGCTTTTAGGACCCATCATAGTTACACGTATATCTGGGGTAAACAAATATACTCCGTCTCTGCTCCGTTGATCTTATGACAATGAGGCAGGAAAGTTCTTATCTTTAGTGCTTTGTATGTTTTTGATACTTGACACAGAGCCTGGCTATACTTGTCTTATCAAGTTACCCATTGATAGCAAAATTATCTGGTTTTGCAATTACCCTGACGCTAAATTGTGCATCCGTAGCAAAGAATGTTTTAGCGGTACGTAAGTTTCGGATAACTTTAGCAGAATGTGTGTTTATGCTTTTAGTATATATCCTCAACACAACAGTTGTGTGACTCTCTCTGTGTGTGTAGACGTGTGCTATAACTGGCTTATTCATCCTCCAAAACAAGGCAGTAGTAAGTATTTTGAGAACACTGATCCGTTTTACTTAGGTGAACCTCTTTATTAATATAGATATATATATTTTTTTTTTTTTTTAAAAACAAAAACAGAGACAAGACCAAAGAGGAGCAGCTAATGGGATTGCCATGACAGCGATGTCTCTTTTTAAAGCAATAGGTCCAGCAGCTGCAGGCATTATGTATGCAACTCTTTTTCTACCTTTTCTTCTTTTACAATATTATGCTTCCAATGCACACAACTTATTTTCGTCAACATATAAGTTTCTGTCGTTTCATCATACATATAATTTTCTTCGTTCAATTTACAATGGTTTGTTCTGTTGGCAGTTTTTCTTGGAGCGAGAAACGTCAGGATGCTTCTTTTCTCCCTGGTAATGTCAATTCTTCATATTCATATTGATCAATGATCGTTAGCTATGTTCAGAATTCAAACCTAACCAATCGAGAATGTGCAGGCACCCAAGTTGTATTCTTTATTCTGAATGTGATCTTGGCACTCGGAGTTGTATTGACGTTCAAACCGTTTCTACGTGTACCCCAACACTAGAAAAAGCGATGAAATATTGATGGTATACAATTTACATGGGATGTGTATTTAATTATAGATTGTATGTGTGATTTGTCTGATGCCAAGTTAGATCAGAGATGTGTTTAAAGTATAGTACTGGAAACAAACAAACTTGTTAGAATGTTTTAGCATACACTATTATACATTTAAGTAAAAAAAACAAGGTAGTGTAAGAAACAGATACGTAAAAGGTGTGGAGGAAGGAGAAGAAGATATTTTAACAAGTCAGAGACCAAAGAGGGGCGGCTAATGGGATTGCCATGACTGCCATGTCTCTCTTTAAGACCGTGGGACCTGCTGGAGCTGGCATCTTGTAAGTGACTTTTTTTTTTTGAACAGCAAAGTGACTCTTTAAATGAACACATACTTGAATTTGATAGAAGCAATGTCCTAAAACACAAGTCTCTATTGCTGGCAGATTTTCTTGGAGCGGGAGGCGACTAAACGAGACCGGTCTATCGCCTCCCAGTTGGAAGTGAGAGTATTTTGACTGCCTTTTTCTTTTGGTGCCAAACTGTCCGAGTTATACTTGTATATTTTTTGGTTATATGAAGGCCTTTTAACAAAAAATATATATATACTTTTTGGTTATTTCTTGGTACAAATTTCCTTAAATATTTTGTCATTTTTTAAGTTAGATAAATGAGATTTCGGAGATGCTGTCTAGAAACTGTCTAAAATGAAAAGCGTGGAGAAGACAAAGTTTACTATTGCAACAACCAAAAAAAAAAAGAACCTTTGATGAAAATGTCACAAGTCAGGTCCAGTCCACCGAAAAGATAAAGAATAACTTTTAGTTTAATTTCCAAATTAATTTCTGGTCTCCTTAAAATACATAACCCATATATGACCACTCAATCATTCTCAAGTAATTTCTAGTATTATGGAAAGAAATATCCGATGGATGTGAACGTCTACGTGGTATATGTTTCTTTAAAAAGTACATCTTCCCCATATGTGACCCATTAGACGTTATCAAAATCCAAATTACCATGAAAAGTTTAGGGACCTCTCGTCATATACAATATAAGGTTTCGCTCTTTGTTTTTTTTTGTATTTTTTATAAAGTGTTTCGCTCTTTGTTATACGTTACATCATTGTATAAGATGATCGATTATTGTATGTCAGATTATTTTCCATAATACCACCACAAATAATTAGACACAACATTTTCAGGTCGACGTCGACATATTTCAGACCACGTGAAGATTTCCACTATTGCATCGAATCTAATTAACTCTACACGATTTGCCTCTATTTTGGGCAACATATTTAATAATATTGTACTGTAAGAAAAACGTATTTTATTTGTCCGGGTTTGATTGAAAGATGACGACAAAGGAAATAAATTCATCTATATATTTTTTAAAAGGTGACATACATACTGATAGATGTACATGCATGTCCCTAGCTAGCTAGCGACTCGAGAGGAGAAAAAGCAAAGTTGTTTTCTTCTTCTTCTTCTCTCTCTAGTATTATTATCTTATAGTTGTCCGTCATTTATTTCACATAGATTATTAAAAAAAAAGTACGTGAAAAAACTGTGTTTGCTCCTCCCATAAGTACGCATCATCTCGATCCTTCTTCCAAGTTCATTGGAAAATGGCGGAAGAATATTCAGAGAGTTTGTTGGAGAGTAAGTACCATGAGAATTGTCCAGGGTGCAAGGTTGATCAGAGAAAAAGGCTTAGCCGAGGATTCCCTTTCGCCGACCTTTGTATGGTTTGGATCATCGTCCTCTGCACCGGTAAATATATTATATTCTTCAGATTGAATAAGAGCAAGAACATGTTTTTCTTCTTCACGCAACCAAAACAAAAGAAATAACCTTTTTTTATTTTTGTTGTTGTTGTTGTTATCATCATCATCATTTCAGCTCTGCCGATTTCGTCTCTGTTCCCCTTTCTTTACTTTATGGTGAGTACACACACACATAATACTTAAAAAGTAGTTTACTTTGGTGGTTTTAGTCTTTGTACGTGCTGGTTCGGATTTGGTGATTACTAAAAACATTGTGTGCTTAATTTGCTTTTGGGTAGATTGGTGATTTAGACATAGCAAAGACGGAAGAGGACATTGGATTCTACGCTGGTTTTGTTGGTGAGTCGTCGTCATACCAACACATAATGATCTCTTCTTTTTTTCTCTTGACCTTTTTGACCATTCCTAGTACTACATCATCACACTAACACATAAGTCTCTTAAAAACTCACAATATTGGCTGTTGAATACCTTTGAAGGTTGCTCCTTTATGCTCGGAAGAACGTTGACATCTGCCGTCTGGGGAATAGTGGCTGATCGTTATGGTAGAAAACCTGTTATCCTCATAGGACTTGCTTCAGTGTTAGTCATCTTAATTACATTTGCTTCTTCATCTCTCTTTCTCATACTTGTTTTATTACCTATTACTCAAAAACAATGATTTAAAATTCTGTAACAGGGTCGTTTTCAATACTCTGTTTGGCCTAAGTTTGAATTTCTGGATGGCCATCGTTACAAGGTTTTGCCTTGGTAGTTTCAACGGTTTACTTAGTCCTATAAAGGTCTCTCTCCTCCTCTTAACAACATTGTTACATGAATTTCTCTAAGCTCATTAACCTGAAAATATGGCCCATATTAATTAATTATTCAGGCATACGCTATGGAAATATTCCGTGATGAATATCAGAGTTTAGCACTCTCAGCTGTAAGCTCTTGACCCAAAGTCCACCTTCCTTTTTTTTTTGTCAATTTAGTAGAAGCAATATAGAGTCTTATCACTTTATCAAAAAAAATTTAGAATCTTATCTTCATGTAGGTTAGTACATCATGGGGCATTGGACTCATCATTGGCCCTGCTATTGGAGGTTATCTTGCTCAGGTCTCATTAACAAAAACGCATTTCAATCCTGTTTTCTTACTCTACCTTGCTCGCACTTCTTGGTTCTTGTTTAATCTTCTGAGTTCTGACCTTGTAGCCTGCAAAGCAATATCCAAGTTTATTCTCAGAGGAATCGATTTTTGGCAAGTAAGTGTTAATTTTATTTATCTCCTGTTCACTTTTATTCAACTGATATATATATACAAAGAGTCTTACTGGTCTATAAATCATAATGCAGATTTCCCTACTTTTTGCCGTGCTTAGCAATATCTGCTTTTGCACTTTTTGTAACCATATTTTCATTATGGATTCCGGTAAGCTCCTTACGTTTTTTCAATCTCCATGGATTTCCTAGTGATTAGCTTGAGCCTAGAGATTGTTGTTTTCTCCTCTCCCAGGAATCATTGCACAATCACAAGATTGATGATGATGATGATGCTGACAAAGTCTTGTCTCATGACCCTGAATCACACAAAGTGGCAAAGAGAGATGAAAAAACCTCTCTCTGGAAGAACTGGCCACTAGTTTCATCTATTATTGTCTACTGTATCGTTTCACTCCATGATATGGCTTACACAGAGGTGGGACTCCTCTCCTCCACATTCATCTTTGTTTATTTGAATCTCAAAAAAACAAATTATTGAGCTTTCTTTCTCCGACAGATCTTTTCATTGTGGGCAAACAGCCCGAGGAAATACGGAGGTTTGGGATACTCCTCCGCGGAGGTTGGTACTGTTCTTGCAATTTCAGGTGTGTCACATACTACTTGTCAATGCTAACTAACATGTTCAATATTAAAGTTATTATTTTTTTCCTGACATAAACAGTACTATTTCTTTCTAGGCTTTGGTCTCCTTGTCTTTCAGCTTTCGCTCTTCCCCTATGCTGAGAGGCTTTTAGGACCCGTCAGAATCACGCGTATATCTGAGGTAAAAAAATATACTCTGCCTCTGCTCCGTTGTTCCTTATGAGATTGAGCAGGAAAGTTGTAATCTTCCGTTCTTTTTTTGTTTTTGATACTTGACACAGATCCTGGCTATACTTGTCGTATCAAGTTACCCATTCATAGCAAAGTTATCTGGTTTTGCACTTACCCTGACGCTAAATTGTGCATCCGTAGCAAAGAATGTTCTAGGCGTAAGTCTCCTATAACCTTAAAAGAATGTGTAGCTATGCTTTTAGTATATATTCTCAACATAATACTTGTGTGTTTGTGTAGACGGCTGCTATAACTGGCTTATTCATCCTCCAAAACAATGCAGTAGTAAGTATTTTAAAACACTGATCCTTTTTACTTAGGTGAAATCAGCAAGAAATGTGAACCTCTTTCTTAAATTTTTTTTTTTTTTTTTTTTTTTTTTTTGCTTTTTGTTCTAACAAAACAGAGACAAGACCAAAGAGGAGCAGCTAATGGAATTGCCATGACAGGGATGTCTCTTTTTAAAGCAATAGGTCCAGCAGCTGCAGGCATCATGTATGCAACTTTTTCTACCTCTTCTCCTCTTGCATTATGCTTCAAATGCACATCAACATATAGGCTTCTGTCGTTTCATCATACTTATAATTCTCTTCGTTTAATTTACAATGTTTTGTTGGCAGTTTTTCTTGGAGCGAGAAACGTCAGGATGCTACTTTTCTCCCTGGTAAAGCCAATTCTTCATATTCATATTCATATTGATCAATGATCACTAGCTATATTTTATATATATAAGTTCATAATTCAGACCTAACCAATGGAGAGTGTGAGACTAATTGATCTTGAATTTGCAGGCTCCCAAGTTGTATTCTTTATTATCAATGCAATCTTGGCACTCGGAGTTCTATTGACGTTCAAACCGTTTCTAGTTGAACCACAACACTAGAAAAAGCGTTGAAACTTTGATGGTATTCAATTTACATCGGATTTGTATTCTTTTTATTTTAGACTGTATTTGTACCTTGTCTGATGCCAAGTTAGATCAGAGATGTTATGGTATTGGAAACAAAAAAAAAAACTTGTTAGAATGTTGCAACAATGAAGTAAAATGTTTTCCCTCCTCTACAAATTCCAACTTTTGTAATTCAGCATCAATCCTTGCAAAGTTTACCCAATCTCTCACATATACACATAACTAAATCAAATCTTGTTATTAAAATACCTAATTTTAATACTAATGTTTTCTTGCATGATATTTTGTGCGAATCATATCTACAAACTATAGATGCTCTCTCTGACTCTTCTGAAGAAGCAAACAACATGCTTATACGGAACTCAATCTCCCATCAATCAAACAACAAACCTAAACATATCGCAACCGTCCGTTTCCGATCAAACCGCAGACGTGTCGCTTCGTCTGCCTTGTTGTAGCGTACACGTCAACACACAAGATAACGATCCAACAATCTTCACGTGTGTTTTTTTCCAACAACATGCACTGAAGATAACTAACGCAGACTGTAATAGAGAGTGTGTCTCACGCGCGGAAAATCTTGCACATGTCAATTCTCTGGTAGTGTCATCATCATCATAATAATAAACGTTACTGGCAACAACAAAAGAATGAACAAAACAAATCGGAAACTATGAAAAAGTAAAAAAAGAAACAGTAACATCTCCACACCAATCACACAAATAACGTAATCAAATTTATTCCACTTAAAAAGTTAGATCAGAAACTTTCGCAAACATTCTTTAAAGACCGAGAGACGACCCGCCGTCGCCGGGAAGTGACGTCACAGAAAAAAGCTGTCAATGGGTGCCACTGAGCCAGTAAGATTTCTCAAAATCAGATTCCTACATTTCCTTACAAATTACTCTTTTTCTTTCTAAATTAATAATCTTGTCTTTTGTTTATTTCCAATGAAGACGGTGGAGGAGAGAGAAAACAGAGGAGAGGGTGAAGAAGAAACAGAGGAGCGAAGAAGAGAAGTGAAAGGTGTGGAGGAAGGAGAAGAAGAATCAAAGGATAAAGATGAACTCAATCATCACAGGTTTTTGTCGAGCTTGAACAGACTAAACCCAACAAACCCTCTTAGGATCATTTTCAATAATAATGGCGGCGGCTCTAGATTCACCACGCCGCCTCCCAATCTCGCCCACCCACTCCGTTCTTCCTCAAGAGTCCCTCCGCCGATGCAGCCGCCTCCCTCTCGAGCGCCGCAACCGCCAGAAGAGCCCCACCCTCCGCCGTCTCCGTCTCCCTCGCCGCCACCGCCGCCGCTCCAACCTCAATCTCGTTCCCTCTTCACCCCAACCCCTCAAGTAATTTCCTTTCTAATTCGCATTTCACTCAGAAAGTAATCATTTTTCAGGAAATTTGATCCGTATTTTCTCAAAAGTTGTTAAATTTGAAACCTTTAGTTAGGAAGTCTAAGTTTGGTAAGTTTAAAATTTTCAAATTTTTTCAATTTTGTTTGGATGCAGGAAACTTTAGCGTCACTGAATTCAACAAAGTACACAAACAAGTTCTTTCTTTTGCTCTTCATTTTCCACAAGATTGTGGCGATTGGGTTTGTATGCTTCCTCGTCTTCAGAGGCGTCCAAGGTCTAATCGGATCCAACGGCCGCGTCAAAAGGAAAGAGCAAAAGATCCTCAGATTCCTACTCCCGCAAGTCGAAGCGGCGTCGTTCTTGAGCATCATACTCGCATTCGCATGGCAAATGGCATTCCGTCTCTGGCCTGAATTCATGATCCACTTCATACTCTGGAGCACATTTCTCATGTCACTATCCTCAGGGATTCTCTTACTCTGTTTCCAGATGCCAGCCACGGACGCTGTTGGGGTTTGCCTCATCGCCTTCTCCATCGGAAATGGTTTGTATGCTTGCTGGGTCACTCGCAGGATCAAGTTCTGTTCCAAGATACTGGTCAAGTCGTTAGAGCCAGTTTCAAAGTTCTCGGATTTGAATCTGCCAACCTATTACATGCTAGCTGCTGGTTTCTTCTGGATGTCTCTTTGGATTTTCGGTGTCATCGGTGCGTTGAACTTCTATTTCCCGCCGCTGGTGATCATTGGTTTGGTGTTAAGTTTGGCTTGGACGACGGAAGTGATGAGGAATGTTGTGAATCTAACAGTGAGTAGGGTCGTTGCTTTGTTCTATCTTAGAGGAATGCAGTCTAGTACTCGGTTTAGTTTCCAAAGGGCTTTGTCTCGTAACCTTGGGAGCGCTTGTTTGGGATCTCTGTTTGTTCCAACGATCGAAGCTTTGAGGATCGTTGCGAGAGGATTGAATTTGCTTAAGGGTGAAGATGAGTGTATGTTTTGTTGTGCTAATTGCTGTCTCAAACTCATGACATACATTTTCGAGCATGGTAATGGCTGGGCGTTTGTTCAGGTATTAACTAAATTCTTTAAACCATGTCACTCACTCATTTTCTTAGATTCGAATCATTCTTCTCATATTTTTTCCAAGGGAGCAGGTTACAGTCGATTTGTAGTGATCTCTCTTTTCTTAATAGTGTTTATTCGGTTTCGTTATATAAAAATATATTCTTTCAGAGAGTATAGTATTTAAAATCAACTTGGTTGTGGTGGGTCTTTGTTTCTTGTTTGGTTTTCTGATATGAGAATCTTGCATCATCTTGACAAGTCGAGGCACTACCACATGCTTTTTCTGCATTTTTAGTAATTATTTTGAATCACAAAAAAAATAGTACAGTCAAGTTTTGGAATCAGTATCATTGGTCTGCTTTAGTAGTAAATGTATTGTTGCAAATAATTTGATCTTTGAATATTTAACAACGAACGAAGACTAGATTGCATTCACAAGTATTTTTGGTCCCGTTGTTGAGTGAATATATTGTTGGTTGTTACACAGATAGCAGCGTATGGGAAAGGATTTGTGAGGGCGTCACAAGACACGTGGAAACTGTTTGAGGATGGAGATATGGTTGAGATCGTAGATGCAGACATAACAAGCTCCATCTGCTTCCTCACTGGCATCTGCAGCGGTTGCGTCTGTGTCATTGTCGCAGCCACATGGACTCACACAGTGTACAAACCTTTTACAGCCACCATCTCTTTACTTGCTTTCTTCATTGGATACCTCATGGTAATAACACTTTTTCATTCTTTGGACTCCAAAAGTTACTCAATAATATTCTCATCATCATCAACATCATCCCTTTGTCTTTTGGATGTTATAAACAGACGAGGATCTCAATGGCATTGCCACACGCCTGCGTAAGTTGCTACTACACTTGCTATGCGGAGAATCCGGATAGTAGATTCTTTGACAAAACCATAAAAGATAGGCAAGCTTTGATCAGAAATGGCCGTGTTACTGTCCTCCCAACCCCTAGAGTCCGCCGTGCTCTAGCCTAGCCTAGCCTAGCCTAACCGGCCCTGCCTGCTTTTCTCTTTTTCCTTCCTGTCTAGGTGTTAGTTAAATCATAGAGCTAGTTTACAAGAATTGTATTTAAATTTGAAAATTAATTTTGTTACAGAAAGAGTGAAGTGTCAATAATATATCAGTGCCAGTGGGGTTTTGAAAAGAATGTGAATAAGACAAGCTCATGACATAGACAAAATCCAACTAATGAACCAAAAGGCAAGTTGGTTGAGCTTTTTTCTCTTTCTTTTATTATTTTCTCTTTCTTTGTTGTTGTTGTTGTTGTTGTTGAGAGAGTTGAGACCCCTCAATTACTTTCTGTACATAGCTTATTTTCTTATTCCTTTATAAATTCATGGGTATATTCTTTCTCAATATTGGAAAGTTGTAGTTCATTTTTTATCTATACATAAAGTTTTTTTTTTAATTATGTACTAGGACCTACGCGGCTACGCGGTAGGTAGAGATGTAAACTTTTGATTTATTATCTTTCCTAAAAAATATTTCATTCATAGCAAGTTAGTTGGCATTTGAGTGTTGTCTGTCAAAACAAAAAAGAGTTACAATTTGAGTGAAGAAGCAAGTTTTCACTTTTCAGCCTTAACTTTTCTGCAAACCACACCACACTTCCATGGAAGTATGCTACACTGGATATTGATTTACACCGTTAACGTTTAACTCATTCAAACATATGGATACTTAAATTGGTTACGTTGGATCCAAACTGTGTTAAGCCGGAAATGTACTACACCAAACTGTGTTACACCAAATCGTAGCATAGCTAACTTTCGGAACCAAGCCTTTCTTTTCAGGAAATACCACCACCATACCGGAAATGTAGAAAACAAACTTTGAATCCCATCAGTTTTCCAAGTGGTTAAAATGGAGAGGCCCATAAAAAGCCCAGTTCCAAAAATCTCAAACCTCTGACGTCGTCTCACTCTCCAGAGAAGTCAAATCTTATCATAACATGAAATCTAAAACCAGCCACGTGTGATTCGTCGATTTGGTCTGAACCCCAAAAAATATGCAACGTCATACGATTACACACGACACGAACCCGAATACAAAAATTTAAAGTTAAATAAAATTAAAACGTGTGGTCGAATTTTTTTCATGGCGCTGAAAATTAAAATTAAATCCACAAGTAAAAGAAAAGAGAAGGAGAGAGAGAGAGCTTTCTCTCCCTCACAGATGGCCATTGCGAGCAGATCGTGGGTAGCCACCGTGAACCACCATGCAAATCCTCACACCTTCACATCTCCGACGAAACCCGTCTTCTTTCTTTCCCAAAAGCCTCACACTTTCCACGTCTGCTCCTCTCGATGCTCTCTGGTTCTCGAAGAAGATGAAAAGAAGTCACCGAAAGGAGACAAGTGGCCATTTTTCGAACCTGCCTCCGATGGCCTCAACCGGGTCTTATCCAGGTTGCTCCGAGACCCACAAACGGAGAAACTATCTTCCGAGTTCTACGAGAAAGCGAAGGAGAACTCAGAGCTAAGAACGACCAAGCATCTGATCAATTACTTGGCGAGTTCCAAGAACTGGGACTTGCTCGTCTCTCTTTGCGAGGATCTCAGGGAATATAAAGCCTTGCCCGATGTTCACACGTGCTCGAATCTGATCAGGAGTTGCATCAGAGAGAGAAAATTCCGAGTCACACATTGCTTGCTTAACGTGTTTCGTTCAGACAGAACATTGGCTGTCTCTGCAACTGATTCAGCGATGAAAGGCTTTAACAAACTCCAGATGTATAGTAGCACGATCCAAGTGTTCGATAGGATGAAACAATCTGTAGGTGTTGAGCCAAGCCCTGGCTGTTATTGCAGGATCATGGAGGCTCACGAGAAGATTGGTGAGAATCAAAAGGTGGTTGAGTTGTTTCAAGAGTTTAAGAGTCAGAGGTTGAGTTTCTTGGCTAAGGAATCAGGCTCTATCTACACGATCTTATGCTCCTCTCTTGCAAAATCAGGACGAGCATTGGAAGCTCTTGAGTTCTTGGAAGAGATGAGAGATAAAGGAATTCAGGAAAGTAGTGCATTGTACTCTACACTGATCAGGGCCTTAGCGGAAGATGGAGAAGTTGTTTCCGTGGAGAAGCTGTTCAAAGAAGCAGGAGAGAAGAAACTGTTGAATGATCCGGAAATGTGTCTGAAGGTTGTGTTGATGTATGTCCGAGAAGGGAAAATGGAGAGGACTCTCGAGGTTGTGACGGCGATGAGGAAAGGCGAGATAAAGGTCTCTGACTGCATTCTCTGCGCGGTTGTGAATGGATTCTGCAAGCAGAGAGGCTTTAAGGATGCGGTTAGGGTTTATCAGTGGCTTGTGAAGCAAGAATGCGAGGCTGGGCAAGTGACTTACGCGATAACCATCAACGCGTACTGTAAGCTAGGGGAGTACGAGAAGGCGGAGATGTTGTTCGAAGAGATGGTGAAGAAAGGGTTCGACAAATGCGTTGTGGCGTACTCGAACGTTATGGATATGTACGGGAAAACGAGGAGGCTAAGCGACGCGGTGAAGCTCATGGCGAAGATGAAGCAAAGAGGGTGTAAACCAAACATTTGGATTTACAACTCCTTGATTGATATGCATGGAAGAGCTATGGACTTGAGGCGGGTTGAGAAGATATGGAAAGAGATGAAGAGGATGAAGGTGTTGCCAGACAAAGTGAGCTACACGAGCATGATCAGTGCGTACAATAGAGGGAGAGAGTTTGATAGATGCGTGGAGCTTTACCAGGAGTTTAGGATGAACAGAGGAAAGATTGATAGGGCCATGGCAGGGATCATGGTTGGTGTGCTCTCCAAAACGAGTAGGATCGATGAGCTAATGAGGCTGTTGCAGGACATGAAAGTTGAGAGAACCAGGCTTGATGCGAGGCTATATTCCTCAGCTTTGAATGCCCTGCGTGATGCTGGTCTCGATTCCCAGATTAGATGGCTGCAGGAAAGCTTTGACATTGCACAAACTAGTACTTCAAGATATTCATATATCAAGAACGCAAGAAATTTGCAAGGTTCTTAAGGACGTCAAGATTATTTTTTGTAATTAAATGTACTCTTATTGCCATAGAGATCTGTTGTCTTGCAAATAGAAGATTTCAATCTGAAGTTGTAAAGCATGAAAGGAGATTTTTCCGAAACATGATACAAAATAAAGAATGGCTAAATATCAAGTACAACCAAAAGAAAGACGAAGGAGAAATACAGAGTGTTGGTGACCAAACCAAATGTCTGTGTCACTCGAAATCATATGAAAGCTAAATAGGGAGCAGTAGTAGAGGGAGCAAATATACTACACTCATAATCACCTGTTTTGGTCATCCTGCTTTCGAGTCTCACTTGGAACTTGCTTGGGCATGGGATGTTTCTACAGCTTTTGCATCACCAGAACAACATCCACCTCCATGTTGGTGATGATGGTGCCCGTGGCCGTGGCTATGGTTTTGCTTCCCCTTGAGATTCTTCCGCATGTCGTAGGCGTCCTCCCCATCAGCGTAGTACTTTGCTTCTACATCGTTAATCTTGTAGCCTAATGTCTCCGTGTACAGATTGAACGCTGCTCGGTTACTTCTCCTCACATGAAGTGAAACATACTCTGCCTCATAAACCTGCCACACCAAAAAAATCCTCAGAATTATTCAAACCTGCCACAGGTAATCAAAGACTGATTGTTCCCATCAGTCCAAAGCATAACACAATCGGAGACAAAGCTATAAAAAGTGATGAATCTGCAGAGCTCGAGTTGCTTCAAATTCCAAAGAAAGTCATATACTTCATCAATTAATGGTTCCCAAAGAATCGCCTAACTTAAATCCATCTTCAACATAGCTCAAATCACACAAATTCGTCCACAAGATCATTCAAATTATTCAACAGGAGCTAACACAATCTAATTATACTCCTTACTGAATGCAAACATGTACGAAAAGAAGGAAAAAACTAATGCACCTGTTCCATGGCGGCCTGAGCAGCGGTCATGAGCTTGGTGGCGAGACCGAGCTTCCTATGGGTGCGAAGAACGGCGAGAGAAGTGATGTGGCCGTGGCACTCGTTGCTCTCTTCTTCCATCTTGGCGAGCACATAGCCGACGATGCGACCATTGTAGTCCTCGGCGACGTAGAGGAGCTGAGGCCATGAGAGTATATGGTAGAGATAATACTTCATCTGGTAGTTCTCGGGAAGACACATGAGATTGCAGGCCTGCATCGCCAGCAGATCGTCGACCGTCGCTCGCCTGATGCAGACCATGGCTGCTCGATTTCCTTCTTTCTTCTCTCGCGGCGGATGAAAAGGGGGTTTAGGGTTATTCGTTTCTAATGGCTTCGGGATTTAATCTGGAGACGGTTTATAATAACAGAGAAGTATTGGGGCGTTATTGAAACTTTTAGCTGATAGTTTCGGGGCATTTAAATAATAAAAATATTTTCAACTCTTTACCTTATTTATGATTTTAATCAAATTGGGCCTTGATTGTTTATCTTGTAATGAAGTGTTGGAAGATTCCGACAATTACACATTCAGACATAGTGATTTTAACTCTTTGAGTGATTCTGTGTTTTTTTGTGTGTGTGTGTAGTATAAGGCCACTAAATGTTGTCACAATGTACATCACAATGCACTTGCAAATCAGAGGAAATTTATAACTAGATCATGCATAGAGCCATGTTCAAGATTTGTTATATTTTTTTCTTTTTTGGTCTTTTTGGTTTGGTAATTTGAGGGAAGTAAAAAGTGAAAAACAGAGATTTCTCAACCTTGACAATTTCCACTATTAGAGATAAGACATTATATGATTATAACAAGGCACAAAGTTGACTGTAAAGGTTATGGTCTTATGGATATCAAAACTCTCAAATAGGTAATATCTTCGTCATTAGAGAGATAAGACAATGATTAATTTATAAGAAAAAGGACAAAGAGGTGAGGTTAGACTAAAATAGAGATGAGACCAAGTGATCATCTTCTCAATCGAATACTTGCTAAATAGGAAACATTATGTAACTCACTCCCATCATATGTCTCTATGGCTAAATAGAGAACCTTTAGAGTTTTGTTTTTTCAGGTCGGAAATTAGCTAAACTAGAGTGATCCTTTGTGCAGTTTCTCTGGTCGAGCTAGTTGTCACTGAGTCGCCTGATGGGCTCTCTTTGTCTCCTTCATTCTTCCTTCTATCATGTGCCTCTCCCGGCAACCTTCAAGAGAACACAAATAGTAAGTTTTTTACTGTATCCATTGTGTTAAGGCATATGAATACTAGAAAGGACTAAAATAGGTTTCTTAATATTGAAACCAATGACAGCAGAAAATAGTTAAAGAGAAATACCCCAATTGCAAAGTTGTGTCGGAATTGGAATTCATGTTGTCAACGCAAGAGTGGTTAAAGAGAGAGTTATTGGGATCTCTAGTGAAGCATTTAATATTGTAGGATGGAACAAAGTGTTGGTTGATCGACGGGAGAAAGCTTCTGAGCTGTTGAATCTATTACAAGACATAACTAAAAGTCAAGCGAAACAAAATTTGGTGTCTGTCTGGAGATGGTTCAACAAAAAGAAACGGTTCCATTTACCTGTCTACGTAAGGACTCGTTTTCCAGCTCTGCTCTCTGTTCCTGCAAATTTTGAACATTCTGAATGATCAAGAAAATAAATATTATCGCAGAAGCTTACATTTCGTTATATCCAGTTGGAAACTTATTTAACAGGAAAAGCTAGTGTTTGAATATAACTCAGGGCATTACCTTGAGCCGTGATTCTTCAAGTTGGTTAATCAACAATAGTTCCTGAAATCATATACATTCATTAGGAAAATGTAAACATGTTTTTGAAAAAAAAAAGGAATGGGAGAAGAGTGATATTAATTACTAGATTACCTTTCGCTCTCTCACAGATATCAATCCGACATTTAGTTGCTGCTCGAGGTGTTGAAGCTCTTTCAAGCTCAGAGTATTCAAGCACTTACCCTGCAGTTGTCTGCAAAATACACAAAGATATCAACACAAAAGTGGTCGATGATTTGGGAAAAAATAGAAACAGCCAAGTGGGACTAAGTTGAAAGATTTTCCATACAAATGTTTCTCTTGAAGCTTTGAGATCTCATCCTTTAAATGATCCACCTCTGTACAGTCCTCCTGGTTCTAAACGGCAAATCAGATTTTGATGCATGAAAACAAACAAACACATGAATCTATACCCAAAATATAAAAATCAACATGAAACAAGAATTATCACCTCTGCTTTACAATTAATCAGAGCAGCATCTGGAGAACTCTGGTAGTTGCCGTATCTCGAAATTGTTTTCTTCATCCTGAAATGAAGTTACAAGAACGAAATTTGAGATTAGTTAGGACTCTCTTCAGCTCAATCAGAAAATTGAACTTAACGAACATGCAAAAGAATCATTTTTCCAGCAGAATTACACTTATAGCAACACTGTTAACCTAAAGCCTTCCCCAGATCAATTAATTAAATTTCAAGACATGCAAATACAGAATCAAGTTGAGAAATGACGATTACCCAGTACTGGCGAACTCGAAGAGCTTGCCAGACTTGGAGAAGACTATGACGGCAACCTCAGCGTCACAGAGAACAGAGAGCTCATGAGCCTTCTTCAGTAACCCAGCACGCCTCTTGGAGAAGGTTACTTGCCTGCTATTCGAATTCTCGATCCTCTTTATCTCGATTTTGCCACGACCCATCTTCTTTTAATTTTCCCCCAAATTTGAGTCCTAATCGCATAAGACAGAGAAAGAAGAAGAGTAAGAAGAAATCTTCAAACTCTCTTCCGTCTTGCAACAAACCCCCGAATTGGAATTTGAGACTGCTTTTTGGGGGCTCTATAATGGGAATGCAAAGATTGCTAAATTTGGAAGGAATCTTCAGTTTATAGAAAAGAAAAAGAGAAAAAGAGATAGGTAACAAAAGTAGTAATGTTGTGTGTTGCATGGGCACTGTTTTGCGTGCTCTCTTTTTTGAATTTCGGTGTGTTTGCATGACACCTTTTTGCCACATTTGGAGGGTTTGCCAGTTCCTCTGGGTCCCACGTTTCCTCTTCTTGCTAAAGTTGTGTTTTTTCTCTTTTTCGGTCCTCTATTTTCAATTATTTTAACCAATGTACAGTAACGTTCTTCTTTCTTTCTTTTAAGAAATTGTACTAGATGACAAAACATGTACTAAAATGTATTGTTTGTACTTTGTAGTTGTAATAATATAATTAGATGGTTGATTTTGTATTTTGATGGTCGATTTAGGTGACTAAGTATGATAATTGCATTACATAACAAGGTGTGGAAGATAATCTACATACACATATATACAGACATGCAGAGTCTGGCATGATTTTTTTGAACATTTAGAAATTCGATTCTATCAGACATCGCATTACATCATAGATTACACAACTATCTACACTAGACGACGACGAAGACAGTTGCAACTGCTACTTCTATGGAGACTTCCGTCGAAACACCCTAATGAAACTGGCTCTGAAGGATTCTCCAACTCCACGCCAGAACGAATACTTTGAGCCGTACAGCCACAGATTCACTGCTTTTTTCCAACCTTCTCTCGGAAACTCTATTTCCCGAGCAATCCTGGACTGTTCCCAATCTTCTTCACCGTCGTCCAAAAGCGGAAGCGCTTCGAAGCCACCAGACTCCAGGTGCTTGATCCATCCTCGCATCAGATAGTTCACCACCTACTCGTTTTCATACATGCAAATGAATTCATTACTCAGATCAAAATCGTTTTGAGGACAAGTTTTTTGACTTGTTCATTGTATTATTACCTCAGGGACTTCATCGTGTGGGCAGTGACCTGCTGGGCTAATCTCGTAATATGGAGCGTTAGGCATTTCCCTCTTTATCCTCTTTCCCCATATCGGTCCAACCCATGGATCTTCTCTTCCATACATTAGACATATGTTCACATTGTTCTTCTTACACCTACCATATACCATCAAACACCATTCCTCCATAAGCCGCAAGACAGGGGAAAAAACATACAAAACAAGAGAACCCGTACTCTCCTATACCTAGATAAAGCTTCGGAGAAGGATAGCCGTCCACCAGGAGCAAACATGATGGAAGCAAACGACGCTGCAGCAGCCGGATGCTGCGTGATCTCCACAATACGTGAAAACACTTTATCCACATTTGTAGAGTGGTCTTTGTACACCTGTTTCAGTATCTCAGCTATGCTTTCAGGATCACTTATCTTCTGCCACCTGCCATTCCACAAACAAGCATAACCAAACTAAGATACTTTTTCAGGTGAGAGAACATGTGTTCACAAAAAGTCTTTTTACTTACACCAACTCAGTGAGTTTTCTCACTCTTGGCGGCAGAGGGAATGTTCCAGACCATGGAAAGAGACGTGATAGAACTGGGGATCTCACTGGGTTAGGGAAGAAACCCCAGAAAGGTGTTGCGTTGAGCAACGTAACACCCTTCACAAGATGAGGATGTGTTGCTGCTAAGTAGAGAGCCACATAGCCCCCTAGTGAGTTCCCTGCTATGTACACTGGCTCACCAATCACCTGCACAGCAAATTCCACAATCCTCTTATGACTACAAGTCTACAAGTGAATCAAGAGCTTAAAGAGTGAAACTTTGACAGATATTTTGTTTTACCTCTTCTACAATATACTGAACTTGATCCCTCCAGAGATCCAGAGAGTATACAAGTTGATCAGCCCATGGTTCAGCTTCATCACCAAACCCCCAAAAAGTTTCATTATCTCCGGATATGGTAGTGGGATCTTCGGTAGGGAGAGATAAACCCTGACCGAGAAAATCAATCGCCCAAACTCGATAATCCCTTCCCAAATCCGTAAGCTGCTTCTCGTAGTGGAAAGAACCAACGCCAAATCCGGGAAGAAACAACACCGCAGGAGCTTCGAGGTTACCGCAACCAGATTTCTCGTAGTGTACAGTGAGATTTGGTTTCCACTCGCGGTGAGAACGGCTGATTTGAGCAGCAGATTCGCCGTTTGATTCATCAGGCAAACCAGGAATCAAAACCTTCGATTTTGATTCTCCTCTTCTGGATAAACTACCCAAGTCTTCGTTCTCACCAACCACGTAACCATCGGAGTTTCCGTTTCGAATCACGAATCTGGATTTTCTGATCCCAGGTGATGAGATATTTGATCGGTTTGGGATCAATCTGTTGTTGGTTAATTTACAATTCCAAGTCACAACAGAGCAGTGAGGGAGGAAGTTGTGTGAGATTATCTCCATAACCAAATCCTTCATAGCAAAGATGAGTATCAGAAAGGAAAAATCACAGAGAGACTAGCCAAGTTTATATAGTGATTCTGTTTAAATTTCAGAATTTTTGCCGTAATCTTCCGCTTATCAAATCTAACTAAAATCCATAGCAATTCAATTTTCGTCACCCGATTCATCAACAGAGAAATCCAACTATAACTTAACAGAACAAAAAAATGAAAAGAAAGGAGAGAGAGAGTTCGAGCTTAAACCTTTCAAATTCCGGAGGCGAGGAGGTTCATCAAATGAGTTCCGTGACGTTTTTGAGAAATTAAAGCGGTGTGTTTGAGAGATTTATAAAAAAAAAGAATCAAGAGGTGAAGAAAGAAGGTTGAGAATTGGCTTGCTTGCTGGCTTGGTTAAAGTTCGGTGCATACCGACAACAACGTTTTTGTTGAGTTTATTATTTGTTTTCAAGGATTCCAAATTCATACTGCTTACTGGGGTCTGTTTTTTTCCACAATATGACATTTCTTTGGATCTGAGATTTTTAGCTATTTTGACAATACGAGCAGTGTAGGGCTAAGCATTGAACAATCTGTCTTCCACACCCCCACAAACCATTATTTCCTTTGGTCATTTGGTGAAGCATCGCAAACTTATGTTCATTACTTCATTGTACTTTACGCAAAGAAAATAAACTTTAGTGAAAAAATTTGTAAAATTGTTTAGCTTTTAAATCATACGAATTTAATTTTATCATCCATACAAATGTTTAACATATTTCTAGTTAATTAATATGATCTCTCTTATTAAACAGTTTTCTTCCTTGACACGGTGACACCACAAAACAAGTGGTGTATATCCTAAGCCCAATTGAAAGACCCATATTTAGCTCACTTGGCCCAAAAACAAAACCAAATCCAACTCTAACACCGCCCAATCCGATTTCTCCCGCACCTTTTGACTTCTGTGACCATTTTGGAACTAAATGTTCTAATACGGCGACCCAACCGCGTTTTCATCAATTAACAACTATTCCTCGCAAAATTCATCGTCGTTTTCCTTCCTGTTTCGTGTAAAAAAAAATCAAAAAGAGGCTTTACAAGAGACATAATAATAATAAATTTGGTGAAATAAATAATTGGATTGACAGGAAAATAAAGAAAGAAACAGAAAAATTCATTGCTTTACAACGAAGGCAGAAGGCTAATTCGGAGCTCTCCTCCACACCTTTCTTCTCCGCAACAAAAAGACAAAAGCGAAAACCCAGAATCGCATATTCTTTCTTCCATTTCGTGTTTCTCGATCATAGGTAGGTGAGAAATCTCCAGCTCGAAAACGGAGTGCCCGATCGTTCACATCTCAATCAAATCAAACCAGAGAAGCTCATTCTGTTTTTTCTTTTGTTCCGATCGTTATCTCTGTGCAGACGTTGAGGGAAATACCAATTTCCATATCTTCCTGGGAGGTGATCGATCGGTGAGTCGATTGTTGTATCCTCAATTTCTCGTTTAGATTTGAAATTGATCGTAGGGTTTTGATTTTGTCGACCGGTTTAGATTTTGCGCCAAAAACAGCCGCCGAGAGGTGTGTTTTGTGATTCTGTTGTTTCGATGGCGGGATTAGAGAAAAACGCGAAATCGGCGACGCCGTCGAACTTTTTCAACAGGTCGCTCACAATTCACGGGAGGACAGTGGCGGATTCGAGTCCCAAATCCCACAACCTAAATCCTTCCCTGAATCGTACGACCTCCGTCACCAAATACTACAACCCCGCGGAAACAGTGGGAAGCTCTCTCAAAGGCAAAGTTAAGAATCTCTGCAGATTATTCGAAGGCTCCAAATCGCCGAAAGCAACCCCACCTGATATTCCTCAGAAGCCGAAATCAGGGAAATCGCTGTTACCGGAATCGCGGATATCGCCGTTTCTGAGCTTGAACAACTCGGTGATTCGTCTTCCAGGGACAGAGGACAGAATCGTGGTGTATTTCACTAGTTTGAGAGGGATTAGACGGACGTACGAGGATTGTTATGCGGTGAGGATGATATTTAGAGGGTTTCGGGTTTGGATTGATGAGAGAGACGTCTCCATGGATTCAGCGTACAGGAAGGAGCTGATGATTGCAATGGGGGAGAAGAGTGTGTCTTTGCCTCAGATTTTCATCATGGGGAAGCATGTGGGTGGTGCTGATGTGATCAAGAGCTTGTTCGAGATCGGCGAGCTCGCTAAGATCTTGAAACAGTTTCCGGTGAGAGAGCCGGGGTTTGTGTGCAGTTGTTGTGGGGACGTCAGGTTTATTCCGTGTTCGAATTGTAGTGGGAGCAAGAAACTGTTTGATGAGGATGAAGATAGGCTCAAGAGATGCCCGGATTGCAATGAGAATGGATTGATACGTTGTCCACATTGCTCTTCTTGAGAATGAAAAAAAATCAGAAAAGAGAGAGGTATTTGTTTCTCTTTTGTTATTTTCCATTGTTGTGTAGAAAGAGTGAATGGTGCTACAAAGTATCCGAAAATCTCTTTTGGATCAGCAGCATTTCGCTTTTGGGTTTAAGGTTTGGGGACGATCATCGGTAATGGGGAATGCTGATGATCGTTTGATTTAGCTATGTATGTTTGCTAATGTAATTTGTGTTAGTCAAAATGTCGAAACGGGTAGTAAGCATTTTGGCTTCTTTTGTGTGTCAATGTTGTGAAAAAAGACAACTGTGTGTGTTATGCTATATGTTTGATTGTAAATATTTAGTGTGCTTTTATGGGTATTACAGTATGTTGATTATGACAGTAGTTGGGTTCTATTATGTTGATTCACAATTTCCGTGGTGATCGTTTTTTATGACAACTTGGTAAGAAATATTCTTCCAACATAATTATCCTTCGGTTTGTTTCTTTAACTCTCGATAACGGATGTATCTCGAACCCAAATCTTTGGTTGAGCGTAACGAAAGTGGTCTAAACATAACAGATGAGACTATTGTACATCATTGACATTATTCAAAACTTGTTTCAGCAGCCATTCATGACAAGTCTTTAAAGGGGTCATATCGATGCAAAGATTACGAATTAAGTGACCTCAACATTTAGCCTCTATTTTCAGCACGCACAAAAAAAAATCAAGCTCCCTCAACGCTTGATTTTTTCAACCAAGAGCAAGTTCCAGTGTTCCACTGTTGAAAAGCCCAGTTGTGGTAGATTAATAGTGATGCGACAGCCCAGCTAAAAAACGTTAACTTCAGCGACAAGCGTCGTCGATTGCAATTTATAATGAAAAGGAAGTAAAAGTCAAGACATTTGTTTTAATTCTCGAGCTGGACTCCTTCTGCCTCGGTCCAGCAACTGGTGTAGTTAGGACTTTTGTATCTTGGTGGAAACATGGTTTGGCTTTTTGTGTTCAATCTACTTAGCTGAAACATTGTCGATGATGAATCGCTGATGATGAAAAACAATTGTTGAATGATGCGTTGTTTTGCATTTGATTATTTTATTCATCTCTCCTAAATCTAATCCATAGCGCTTTATCAAGGCTATGGAAATATGTGAGTTTGTAATCATCAGTTTCTTTGCCGGCTTTTTTTTTCTTCTTTTGGCACGAGGAAATCCTTTTTACGTTTTGAATTATCATCTTTTCTTCTTTATTTTTATTTATTTATTACTAGTATAAGTCACAAATTGACGGCTATAGATTGTTCTTCACGTAATGGTTTCCAGTTTCCACTTTAATCAAAAGGTTACTTGAACAGTTGAGCTACTACTGGTAATGGTATCTTCTTCGCTTACGCAACCTCCCCACATTTAATACACACCTTTGTTTATTACTACATAGATAACCGTCGGGGAAATCGTATTACTAGCTTTAAGATTAACTCTAGATTTCTTATTTAATGAACAAAAGTTTATAAGTCTAAACGAGAACAACACATCATCAAAAAGTATAGGAAGTATTTAATATTTTTCCTTCTAGCCTTCTATTTCAATTAGTAGAATATATATAGGGAACATGAAATCAAATACATCTACGAATCTACTTTCAATATCACAGAAGATCTTGCCGATAAAAACATTGGCTATTCCGGAGATATATATAAACATAAGTACATAACCAATGTTAATAGGTAGCCATTTAATTCGTCAAATAGATTGGGATATATATAACTTTCTGGCAAGAGGAAATTAATTGGAGATGGGAGTACAAGTTGACATGTCGAGTAAACTTTATGCCAAACACCTCAACGAATATACGGCCTTGAAGCATACGAAAACGTGTCAAAGCCCTTGCTAAAGCAAACAACTTTTCAGAAACAAATGTAGGTGTCTGGGTATTGTTAGAGAAATGTGAGATGTTGAGATTCTTGTGAGCTAAAGGATTATTGTATCAATTTCGAAGTGTTGCCAGAATATGAGAACCATGTGATGGTGTGTGATTGCTTTACTCCAAATTGGTGACAGCCCAAAAATAAATAAAGGAGAAAATACTGTAAAAGAACAAAAGCTGTTCAACTAAACGAACTCGCAGATGAGGAAAGACGAGATCTACTCTTCCTTGGTTCCTTTTTTCAACATATATATAAACATAATTAGTTACAAAAAGAAAAAACATATAATATTTGTTACGAAATCTTCCGACTATCAAATCTTATCTGGAGAATTTTTAATTGTTCTCTTTTGAATTAGTTGCTCTGTTAACGTATAACATACATGATAGAGATACCAAAAAAAAAAAAAAAAAACATACATGATACATCTGACTTCATTTCTGGAGTATAATAGTATATGATACCATTTAGAAACTTTAAAAATGGGAGAGCAACTAGTGCCTAGTGGTGTGATACATAGGCGATGTCATATATCATAAATCGAGTTATAAAATTCTGAAATGTTCTGTTGGCAATATAGATGCGTATACAAATCACAATGTACGTGAAACACAAACACATGGATATCTTGTATATACAAGGACATGGATATAAGTCCAACATTATCGGCGTAATAAAAAATTATGACAATGTTTGAGGGGTCTGAGTGTGACAATCGACCATGTGAAATCTTGTTTTTCTATATATAAATACTACTTTAGTCTTTTGTTTTATTTTAGAGATTCATTTGTTATTATACTATATCTAGCGATAAGCTTCTGCCAACTGACTTTCAAATTTAATGGAATATCCTCGATTTGTTGGGTGGTTGGATCTCATATACATTATAATAAAAATAATATGCAACAAACTATTATTTTAGTTAAATATTTCAATATCCGTCTTACCCAGCGATTTAACAATTTGTATTGGTTTTACAATTTGGATTTAGGAATATGCTTTTTCTGTCCATTAAGAAATATGCTTAGCAGTATAATGCTTACAAAACAAATTCATGGATGATTAATTGATTATTCTATATGTACAATAGATTTATTACTTAATCTTTATACAGGTAATAATTAAAGGTTTGGTAAGGTAGATGTTTTAGCTTTGCCAAGATTATGTTATAGTTGTCTCTTCCTAGTACGTACGCAAGTAGTATTGTTTGAAAGATAAATTTTGACTATATGTGGAATACGGTGAATAAATTGTGGCCTAGACTGGAAATGTATGAAGTATTTTTACGATAGGGAGAGAAGTCAGTATATTCAGATAATCGTTACAGAAAAAACAAGTTGTCTCTCTTACCTAATGTCAATATTTAATAACTGTGAATAAACTTACAAACATTAATGTTTGACTAATAAAAAAAAGTCATAAATAGAGCTTTGAATGGGAAAGACTTCCATAGTTCCATTTGTTTGGAAACATAATGAATTTAATTTACACTATATTACCTACCTTATACGACCCAACAATAATTTAATTAGACTTAAAATTAAAAGAGAACCACAGGGACAATTACCATGTCATCAAGATAATACACGTGGACCAATGATGTTTAAACGTGCACGGAACAGTAAAAAAGGGGATCCACGCGGTATTATACCCTCATAATAATATTCCTTTCAAATGGAATAATCTTTTTTATCCAATCCCGAAATTAAATCTTTTTTCTGACAATGGCAAAGAAAATAGGTTTCGTGTAGTGAGAGGATACTCCACGTGTCGTTAAGGGGAAAAAAATTGGCCCGAGAGGTTAGAAAAGTGACCGGCTCTAGCCGGTTAACCACTATCCTTTAACTGCCACATCTCGTTGTGTGGTCAATAATTTTTTTTTTTCTGTATTTTCTCAAAAAGAATAAATGGGGGTTTAAGCATTTCGGTTGTGGTTTCTTTTCAAAGGGTTTTATGTTTTCTTCGTTATTTCTATTCCAGAAGAGAGAGAGAGAGAGAGAGAGAGAGAGAGAGAGAGGTAAAAGGAAAACGAAATAAAACGAGAGACACGATCACCAAATCTTCATTCTGAAATCTTCGAATTCTCCAACTCTCTGTAAATTTCTTATAACTTTTCCGGTATTCTAATCAGATTCGTGAGGAGATTTTACTGGGTAAGTAGCGTGATCCGGATTCTTCAGTTTGCGTGATCTATAATCAACTGACGCAAGGTTGTGATCCAAGGGTCGCTGCCTGATTTGGTGAGTTTTCATCACAAATCTGTTTTTTTGCTTTTATCCTCGATCTGTTTTTGTATTGTGATGGTAAATTCTTAAAACCCGTCGAATATTTTGATACAAATTTGGTTTCTCGTAAGAAATTTTTGCAGTTTCATCGAGATCTGATCAGTATGATCACGTCATTGATTGTTGCTACGTAAATTGTAAAAATGAACTTCCGGCATTTCAGTCTTATGTTTTAAACAAATAATCTGATCAAGGTTTGATTGTTAATCTGATCTGCATATTTTGATATTGCATCTGACCATAATCAACATTTTCATAAACCTCTAGCTGATTACCTTCGGATCTGTAGACCTTTAGTTTCACACTTGTTCAAAAGTTTTACATTTTGCTGGAGATGATCATAGAGATAACAAATTTCCTGCTGAATTGTTGCAGCTTGTTTTTTGTTATGCAATTGAGAGATGGTGGTCAAGAGGAGGTTAAAATGTTGCTCTAATGGCTTTGATTTCCCCAATATTCCAAAGGCTCCTCGTTCAAGCAGGGTAAAGATTCATGTGCTTCACTTGGATTTGTTTTAATTTCTCAGTGTTTTTTTTTTTAATGTTTTTTGTAATTTTTCTCTGATGACTTTTGGTTGGTGTTTTGTAGAGGAAGGTATCAAATATGGGAGGTGGTGAGTTTGACAGTGAGTTCAGTGGAATTAATTTGCTGGCTTCTTTGGTTGGAAAGTTACTGGACGAAAGCGAAAGCTCATCAACCTCTGCCTATGATCTTTTGGGTGGAGAGATTAAGCAAGAACATGAACATGTCTATGATCATAAGCCTTGCAAATCCGACTTCTCTCATCAAGGAAGCCCCGCAACTAGTGAAAACACTAGCGAGACGTGTTTGCAGATTTCGTCTCTGGAAAATGATTGCATTCTGGAGCAAACACCTGTCTCTGATTGCAAGAGAGTTTGTGGTTTGAATCCCTTAGTAGGGTGTGAGAACAAGAAAAGGGATTGTGATTCTCTGGTTGAATCTGGGGGCATCTCTGAGGAGACATGTGTTCTTAATGTAGAAGCGATCAATGGCTTGGAAGACGGTGGCTTATTACCGGAATCAGTCCCTAATGGTTCTGTTAAAGGATATGAGAATCATTCTAAGTTAGTTTGCAGAGATGATGACGAAAACTTTTGTAAGTATTACACACTTAGTGACAAATGTAAGTCGTATAGGCCTTTGACACGTGTTGGAAATCGAAGAACAAAGATGACGAAATACGGGAGAGGAGTCCCCAGGTCCAAGTGTTTCGAAGACACTAGAACAGGTTAGTATCATATTCTACTGTGTTTCTCTTTGATGCATCCTTTTGAGCTGCTGCTCTGTTCTAACTCTGCTTGTTTGCGTATATATGTCTAGATGGTTGCTTAAAGGCTTATCACCGCAAGAGGAAATTAGGTTATGGTTACAACTCATGGAAGCATGAGACCCTTCATAGGAAGAGAAGATTGTCTGACAAAGGGTTGGTGGTAAACTCTGATGGAGGACTCAGTAGTGAAAGTGTATCCAATTCACCTGAGAAGGGAGAGTCAGGTACTTATCAGTCTATATTCAGATGCTTCATTATCTGGCTAGGATGGTTTTGATGATACTTTTTGATTAATTTGTGAAATGCAGAAGTTGGTGTTTTCTCCGCTGCCATAGGTCTTCATTCAAAGGACTCTCGTGGTACTTGATCAGTTGATAATTCACACAAGCTTTTTAACCAAGACATGATATTCGCTTCTCATTTCATTCTCATTGTTTGCAGTAAAGTTCAGCATCAAGTCCCTTAGGATTCCAGAGCTTTTCATTGAAGTTCCAGAAACAGCAACAGTAGGCTCACTTAAGGTGCTTGATTCAATGCCTTTGCCTGTTTTTCTCTCTAGATGTTTCTGTTCTCCTGATACTTACCACTTTTGGTTACAGAGAACGGTGATGGAGGCTGTAAATGCTTTAATAGACGATGGAATACGCATTGGAGTGTTATTCCAAGGGAAGAAGGTTAGAGATGACAACAACACTCTATCACAGACTGGTCTTTCCTGTAGAGAAAATCTAGGCAACCTTGGCTTCACCTTGGAGCCTGCTCCCGAAAAACTGCTTGTCCCTCTTTGCTCTGAAAGTCCTATGATTCCTATGCCAACTGATTCTACAAATTTTTCAGAAAGGTACTGACCAATTTGCGCTTATGTCTTTTTCTGTTGCAAGTTTTGCTTTTGTGCAAGGAAACATGTGAAATTTCTAGAGATTATTCCTAAGGAAATCATTTGATCTTGCCAGGTCTGCAGCTTCTCCGGCGTTAGATTCTAGACTTTCTTTCCGTCTCCAAGATGCAGATCACCTGATTAGTTCGGGAAATAGTGTGGAGAATAAGCAGGAGTTAGTTCCATATCAGAGTGACATATCAGCTGAAGAACAACATTCATCAGACTCAAGAGCGCTGGTTCCAGTTTCAGCCTTGGGATCGGAGGCTCTTGCGATTGTTCCACTTAACGAGAAACCTAAGCGTACAGAGGCTTCACAGCGCAGAACCAGGAGACCATTCTCTGTCACAGAGGTCGAAGCTCTAGTACATGCAGTTGAGGAACTTGGCACTGGAAGGTATAAAAGACTTTCTCAGTTGATAAATGGTTTATAAGATTAATCTGGTTGTGTGTCAACTAATGATTGATGATCTTCTAATATCACAGATGGCGTGATGTGAAACTGCGTTCTTTTGAGAAGGCTAATCATCGAACCTACGTGGACTTGAAGGTAAAACACATAGCATAAACTTTGTCAAATACACACTTTTGAATTGTAGCTTAATGGTTCCACTAACTTTGTAACTTTTGCAGGACAAATGGAAAACTTTGGTTCACACAGCAAGTATTTCGCCGCAACAACGAAGAGGAGAACCAGTGCCTCAAGAACTGCTTGACAGAGTGTTGGCTGCACATAGGCATTGGTCACAGAACCAACTTGAGAAACAGAATGGGAAACATCAAGCTGCTGCAACAATGGTGGTTTAATCAGGTTCGTCCATGTAAAGAAGGAGTAAAAGTAAATTACAGTAACTTTCACTTGACGACTAAGGAGCCAATGTGGGCAACCGTACAAAGGCAAAACAACAGAACGCATACTTTATTTTATGTTTCCAACTTGAAGTTTTTTAGTCATAGCTGGCGGAAACAAGACATACTTTTGGTTACTGTTATGGTACATTTGTTTATTTCAATCTCTAATTGATTTGATTCTGTAATATGGTATTGGTGGTATGTCCATGAAGACATTCTTTTATTTTTTGTAATCATGTAATTTTAGATATTCTTTCATTTTTTGTTCATCATTCAATCTATGACACTGTAATTTTGTTGGATAATGAAGTCATCATTCTCAAACCATTTGTTTATGCGTACCGCTTGTGATTTCATGAAAAAATATTTTTGAAATTTATAATTAGATATAATGTAACATTAATTGATTAATTTTCATTTTAGTCATTCTTGAATTTGACGAGAAGTTTAGAATGCCAATTTATAATAGCCTAGTGTTTAAAGAGATTATATAGTAAAGATTATTGAATATACTAGGGATTGAAGCCCCGCGAATTCTTTTGTATGATTTTATTTATCTTTGTATATTTGAATAATAATAGTTTTGTGTTAGTCTCCATGTTTTGATTATATTTTGAGTTAACTCTAAGCATATGATCAATTTGTTTTGTTTTATTTTATTAAGATATTAACTCTACACTTCATCTCGAGCTTTTCGTAGAATCGCATTTGCATTCGATGTATTACTGTTTACATATATGTTTTGTTGTGATAGCATTTGAGCATAATGACATATTGATTATTTCTATAATGTTAGTTTTGTAAATATAGATTGTATTTTTGAAACAAACATGTCACAATCCTTAAAATTTTCATGTTTTATTTGGGTTTTTAAAAAGAACTCTAAATATAATTTCTCATTAACTTCTACTATATAAACTAAATTATATTCTAACTTTTTTTTAACTTGTAAACACATTATAACATTTAAAAAATAGGAGAAATCTTCTACAAAAAATTCTAACTCTAATTTTTTTCATGAGCTTTCTACTATATTAATCAAAAAATTATATTCAATATTTTTGAACTTGTAAATACATTATAAACTTTTTAAATAGGAAAAATACTATTTTATGTTGCATATTTCTTTATTTCATCTCCATTTTATATTACAAATGTTTCTTTAAATTTTAACACCAAGTTATCACATACTTTATTTTAATTAATTAATGTATTTGTGTATATTTTTTAGTTTTATTTATTTTAAAAATAGGAATATATGTAAAGAAATATGAAAAGACAAGTATTTAATAAATATTGTAAATATAATTTATTGTTTTTGTGCTGATGTGGACACTCTAGATGGAGAGAGCAACTCCCTAATTATATATAAGATATATATATATATCTGTATTCGCTTTTTAAATTGTCATAAAATAAGTTTTTAGGTTTTGAAAATGTGTTTCAACGTATCCACTTTTACGTCTATATAACATAGTCTTTAAAGTGTAGTTAAATATAAGGTAACATAATTATCACTGGAAACTTAAATTGCAAGAAATAAGTTTTGAGGAATAATTATGTTATGTTATAACTAGTTTTGTTGTTGAATAATTTTGTTAAATATGACTTTCGTGTACACGATTATATAAAGCGAAAAAAACAAACCAAATGATCGTGTACACGAATGTAATATTTAGGGTTTTTGATTTTGATTTTGATTTTTAATTTAAAAAATATTAAATGTAACTCCAAACCTCCATTTATTTAGGACAAACCAAAAAATCGTGTACACGAATTTTATATTTAGGGTTTTTGGTTTTTACATTTTTAATTAAAAAAATATTAAATGTAACTCCAAACCTCCATTTGCTAAGGACGACAACGTTTTTCAAGTGGTTTTATTGAAAACGCAAGCTTCCATAATGCTTTCAAAGTAAATCCATAAATAACACTACAACAGTGAGCTTCCAAGAACTTTCGACAGTTTTCGATCATGGAATGAAAAGCGGACTTCCGGCGATACTTATGTGCAACATAGTCTACACGACTACACCTACTTAAGCTTTTACATGTTCTCTATATCTTCTTATATATGTATATCATAAACAACATTAACTAGCCTTGTTTCGGTAAAAAAAAGTGTAATATTATACAAACAGCACTACATACATCTAAAATTCATGTCGTACTTGTTTTACTCTATTTAGTTTAGAGTATTGACGCAGGACACAACACACATCTTATTATGAAGTTGGCTGCTTCTAGTGAAGTGCACTTCGTTTTTCCAGAGTCTGTAATCATATTTCAAATACAAATAAGCTACATTCAGAAAATAGATTTACTAATTGTTATGTAAACGATCCATTGTATTGAGTATTGTACACTACCATCATCCACAATCTAATTTAGATGCAGATGAGGTATTCTTCCATGAGTAGAATGTATGAACTACGTTTCGCCGAGAATCATCGATCGAGATGCATGTTTACAATTTGGTTTTAAACATTTTTTAAAGTTGAACCACCGATTCAAAATTCAGGGTGTTTAAGACCAAAAGAAAAAATCCATGGTGTTCTTCAGTAAGTTGCTTTTGTCTACTATGGGAAACCTCTCTCTAAAAAACAACTTTTGTAAACAATAGAAACAGCAAACGGGAGAGAAAAAAAACAATGCTCAAATAGTCAAATGATCCATAATTAAAAATATCAATTCAAGACACAGGTAAATTCCTTTTGTCTAGGTACTTTGGAATTGAACCCTTTTACATAATTTATTTATAATGTCTTTCATGATAATCACATCAATAGACTAGTCGTCGTCGATGACGATGACCACGCGATTCGTTGCCTCAAGGTCTGCGATTATCTGATCCACTTCCTGCCGAGTGTTGTACATCTGCCCTGCTGGATCGTAATAGTACTGCACATTGAAATTATACGAAAATGAATATGTGTTACATATATCAAAAAACCTTAAAGAGATGGAGTAAAACATGAGAGAGAAACTATATGCATCTGCAAACAATCATGAACATATAACACACAATGGTAGTGAATCTGGAGATAATGTTATCTTATCATTGTTGATAAGACACAACATGGTTTATCCTAAGTAAATTTCTCACAGATCTGGAGATTCCATCACAAAACACACAGTATCAATCCTCTCGCAGTGACAAATAAGAAAAATGCAATTCCATAACCTAGATCTAAATGAGGATAACGATTGCACTACTATCATTTCGTTGATATATAAGATGTTAATTCTTGGTCACAAAACATTCAAACCAAAAGGCATTACCCGGTAGAGACGGCCGCTGTGGATCATACAGCGCTCCTCGACAAGCCACCCGGGGCGAAGCCAGGTGTAAGGAGCAGCGGTGTTGTCGTAGACAGTGCAGTAAGTCCCAATCTTTGTGTTAAGCATCCTCTTACGGGTGCTGTTGATGATCATGTGGGTCCTTTTCCCTTCTGGAGACAGCTGGTTGACGCTATGCTGGTAGCCGGCAATTTGCTCTTGCGATGCTCGCAGCTGCCTCCTTCGGAGGAGTTCTTCGACAAAGTTGCTGCAGCTTCCTTGAGCCCTCTCCATATTTTCAATTTGTTGTTTTTGATGTCTTAATTAATTTTCTTAGTGGTGAGGTTAGCGTTGTTCTTGTTTATATAAACGAGATTTATCCACCCAATTACGTGTTTCAATCTTTATCATTAGCTTGCCATTTGTTTGTACTTGACTACACTCTTGAAACGGAAACGTATCTTTGACAACTTTTTTACGAGGTCCACAAAAATTTATTTCTTATACAAACTTTCCAACTTTTTGTTACCCTTAAACAATTAATGCCCATTAAGAAAATAGTTTAAATACAGTGTTTTTAATTTGTTTCCAAAGGTAATATCTAAAAGAAAATCTGAGTTTTCCCATTTCTGAATTTGGTAGTACTATTACCCCGTTGAATTAATTAATACAAAGCCTTAATATGATAAGTATAGTCATTGTTTTTATAAATATATGATTTCAAGTATTCATTTTCTTATATATTTAAAGGGAATTTGCTTTTTTTTTTTTTTTTCTGATGATAAGTGTTGTGCCATTTGTTTGACCTCAATTACACCAGAGCTGTAAAAGTTTATTTACAACTTATACACGAGGTCTAACAAATTTTCTTTCCGAAAGCGAACTTATAACTTTTTCTTACCCTCAAAAGTTAAAAAACAAATAAATAATTCATATCCCATTAAGAAAATAGTTCTAAAATCATGTATTTTATTTGAGTTAAAAGGTAATATTTGATAGAAAATCTGAGTTTTCCTTCATCGTTGAAAAAATAAAATAATAATTAGACAACAAGTCAACACCAAGTGGGCAAATATGATACGTTTCCACTCTTCATTCCCTAAAATATATTTACTTACATATAATATTATACGTTTCACTATTTATTTATTTTATTATACAATCAAAAAGAAAACTTAATAATTTTGTATCGTCTGTACGGCGCCATTTTGTACTGCAATTTTATCGTTACTTATTTGGCAATATATCAAACCGCTGACGGCGGTATAAATGATGGAAAATAATTTTTACTTTAAATTGTATAATAAAGAAAATAACCAAAATGAAAAAAAGATAAAAAAATGATTTTAATTGGTAATTCCTTCTCAAACTTTTAATCGTAAAACATAAATTTAAAATTAGAAAACCCTAGATCCAAAAGAAGTTTTTAATGAAGTTCTATAAATATTTTATTAATAAAATATTGAAAATAAAATATTGAAAATGGTAAATAACATATAAGATTTACATTCTAACTTCAAAATATAAAAAAAAAATTGTTAAAAAATAAGTAAATATGTAGTAATTGATTTCATGAATTCTTAAACACGCTAAAAAATAAATTATTGAGAAAAATGAATTGTTTCGAATAATATGTAAAATAAACCCCAATTTAATCAGATATTTGTTAAAAAAAAATCAAATTAATGAAAATATACCTTTTATTTTGTCCATGTGTAAATTTATAATTTCCAATCCTTGCTGGGGTGTATGTGACACAAATATAATTTGAAGTTAAATTACAAAAATAAATAAAAGTGTGGGAATTTTAGGTTTTCGTTAAAATAAAAGGGAAGCAGAAAAGAAATCGGTTGTCGTCGGCGCCGGAGGAGAGATGAGTGGGGCAGGAGCGCCGGACTTCTTCTACAGAGAAGCTCAACGTCTTGGCTATGTCGCTCGTTCCGCTTTCAAGGTGAAATTACATTCATACCCTCCTCTGCTTCGTCTTCTTCTTCTTCTTCTGCTTATTCTTACATGGACTCTTGTCTCTCCCTGGCACTGCAGCTTCTACAGATTCAAAAACAGTACAAGCTCATCAAACCAGGGTCCTCTGTTCTTGACCTTGGCTGCGCTCCTGGTGCTTGGCTTCAGGTCTTTTGACTCCAACTTGCATTCTTCGATAAGAGGCTTAGCTTGATCTCTTACTATAATCCGTTTTCAGGTTGCCTGCCAAAGCTTAGGTCCACTTAGAAGCGGTGGAAATGTCGTCGGTATCGATATAAAGGTCAGAGATTGCTTTACTTGATTTCCCATTAATGTACACACTCAGTTCTTGGCATTCTTTTTTTGCTGTAAACTGTGTGAATCCATTAGCTTCTCTTTTTGTTTCAGAGCAGAAGGTGAAAGTTCCTCCACAGTGTGATTTGCGAGTGCAAACCATTTCCGCTGATGTTTTAAACTTCCCCAGACAAAAGATTAGGGAGTTCTCGTTTCAGGTGATTCCGTCATGTTCTGAGCATTTTAATAAGAGCAATTATTAGCTGTGAATATATGCCAAGTTAGGATCTTTCCTAGTTGTTCTTGAACTTTACTATGGATTGTTGATCTGTGGAGTGCAGCAAATGGGATTTTCAGTCGTTCTTTCAGATATGTGTCCGTCAGTATCTGGAATCACCACTAAAGATGCGGCGCTGTCTGCTGAATTGGGAATGCGAGCTCTTGATTTGGCTGTTGGTCAAGCTGCCATCTCTCAGTCACCTGATGGCAGCATCGAGAGTCGTCGTGGTGTCCTTAAGCATGGAGGTCATCTTGTTATCAAGCTTCTAGAAAGCGAGGATGCTCAAGGTAAGGACAACAACAACAACTCTAAAACAGAGTCCAACAAGTAATGCTTTGTCTTGACAATACAAAAACTGTTTCTTTCTTTTGGTTTTAGATTTTGCCAGGATTTGCAAGCCCATCTTTAACAAGGCATCTTGGTTGAGGCCAAAAGCTACAAGATCATCTTCTCGAGAAATTTACTTGATTTGCCAGGGATTTAAATCATAGAAAGCCTCTTTCGTTATTTATTAGATGATGTATCAGGTATTTTCTGGGATTATTATGTTTACAAAGAATCAGAAAAAATGAAAAAATAAAACAGAATGCAGATTTTGCGTGTTACATTGCAGCTACTCTATCTGTCTCACTGTGCAGTATTACATTATGTCTCTCTCTCATACATAATTTAAAAGCAAACTACACGTTTATCGGATCTGTGTCCTCCCTAATGACCAGAGGCCTGTGTCCTTCACCGGTGTCTGTAAACAGTAAAACTGATGGTCAATCAACTGAGCAGAAACAGCCAAAAGAAACTGAAGGAATTTCAAAACTCGAAGAAAGAAATACAAACCTGCATTTTCACTGAAGGGAAGACATTCCAAAAGCGGAGGGTCTCATCTCCTGCTCCGGTCACTATAGTCTGTCCATCAGGTGACGTTGCCAAGTAAAGCACTCTCATACTGTGCCCAGTTAGAGTTGCGACCTACACAGGTTGATGCGTCCAGTAAGAAAATATCAAGAAATGAGCTTTCAAGTGTGAGAAGAAACTATGTTGTACCTTTGACATGGATGGGTACTTCCAGAGCATGATTTGGTTCTGAGAGTAGCCGTGAGTGCTCACAATCTCGTTAACATTCTTGCTCCACGCAAGATTGCAGACCTGGCTTCCCGTGTCAATGCTGTTTAACTGATGTCCGTTTGTCGTGTTCCAGAATCTAATGCATCTGTCTGCGGTTCCACCTCCCGAAGCAAGGAGGCTGCTCTGATGAGGAGACCATGTAATCGCCTTAACCGCTGCTGTGTGCTCAGTCAACTTCAGAATAGGCTGCTGTGAATGATTGTTCCATACCAGTAACTGTTTCACACAAAAATACTTTAGTACTAAAGAAGTTCAACAACTCAGCTATGGGATACATAAATAGCTTGTGTTGAAGATGACCTGATTATCATTGCCTCCAGAGGCAAGCTCTCTATCATCATGAGACCATTTCAGACCGCAGACCTCAGATTTGTGTCCCACGAGTTTGCTGACGTAATCGCTCTGGACACGGATATCATGTTGAAGGATGTTTCTGTCTCTGCTCCCTGATGACAAGATCCTCGAGTTCCATGCCAAGACACCAGTTCTCGTCTGATGACCTCCCATTGTTCGGACTCTCTTACACTGTGTTCCGTCCCAAACCTGCCACCAAAAGTTTAAACCTTTATTCACTTTCAATGACTCAAAACACAAAGTTTCCTAAGGTAACAAACAACACACCTGAACCTGACCATGACTTGTACCGATAGATATATATGAACCCTCTCGTGTCCACTGAAGCGAGCACACGCTATCATTAGGTCCCAGGTCACATAATTTCGTCACCTGTACCATATAAGTCCACTGTTCAATGAGTCCACCACAACAACCAATAACAACATTATGCAAATCTTAAAACGTAAGAGGAACACTAACTTTGCTATTGGAAGCAGTCCAAAGATAGACGCAAGTTCCAAGCCCCACCGCGAGAACATTCTGCGAGCTCCAGTCCACAACGTTCAAGTAGAAGTCATCTTGCAGCGAAGGAGCATCCAAGACCTGAGACCACATCAAAACAAACATTCATTTCTACTTCCCAAGAAATCTGTAACCAAATTTATAATAAAACAGATTTGAATGTGAACGGATGAACAATACCTTGTGAGGCGTTTTAGGAACCTTGCGTGGCGGTTTCGGAGTCGGAGACGAGTCACTGGAGAGTCCATTGTCGTTTCCGAGGATGGAAGGAGAGAAAGGGGAATTGGGGCTTGAATTGGAACGATCCGTCTTGAATCTGAGCATGTTGGTACACGGACTCATCGGAGAAGAAGCAGATCCCTGAGCACCTGCAGGAGACAAACAAGAGGAAGCGAAATCAGATCCAAAAAGCTCAGATTTCAAAAGTCTGGAGTAGGCTTCGTTGCCTCCCTCTTTCACCGGAGTTGTCGTCGATTCCTTGTCCTGCAGATCGAAAGCGTGGAGTCTCGAGGAAGATCTGCAGGGTATGAATCTGTCGCTGCAAGTCGATTTAGAGGGAGAGGAGAGACTCGAGATCCCACGGAACGAGCTCGAGAACGTCTCCAGCCGCAACGAAGTCTGGTTCATCCCGGCGGGGAGATTCAGGCCGGTTTTGGTTTTCTGTGGCGACTCCATTTCTGGGTTTTTGTTCAAAGTCAGTGAGGATTGTGTAATGGATTGGTCGGAGAGAGGGAAATGAAGGAACAACCGAAGGAGAAGATTGCAAAAGAGCTTTGATCTCTTACTTTGGTTTTCCTCTTACAATGTTCTCCAACGGTCAAATTTTGTTGGTGGGGTGCGGTCGAGATTATATATAAATACAGGAGCGGGATCTAAAGTCTTTTTTCTTTTTCTTTTAATTCTAAACCTAACAGGGTTATATTGATTTGATTAAATTACGCACATTTATGATCAATGGTTTATGAAACGATGTATCTATTGATTCGGTGTGTTCATGCTCCAACGGTCAAGTTCTTGGGGATAACCACGTATGGGTTTAAGTAAATATAACTAAATACACCATATTAACCGCATAATTTATGCGATTACAGTTTACACTCGCTACATTCAAGATAAATAAGGACTTTGGGCAAAAAAATATCTTATAAAAAAATACCATTGTCAAAAGCAAGTAAAATTAGTAGACCTTAATCTATGGAATTTGTTCAACTCTTCTTGATGATGAGTAACTCGTTCAGACAGCGAGTTTAACCACGTGGCCTTGGGTTCGACTCGTTCAGACAGCGAGTTTTTAAAGTCTTGTACTTTCGGTTTGGGCCCCATATTCCGAGTCTATCTCTTGAATTAGAGTAAGAAAGGATAAACTAAAAAATCATACCCGTCACTCGGTGCACTTCAAAACGAGTTTAACCATTTTACCATTGAAGAAGCCATCAATCTTTCTTTCTAAGGGGGTTTTTAGGGTTCCGTGTCACTGATAATCTCTCGCTCTCTCTCTCTTCGATAACATGACTGCTGAACTGAAAGAAGAGGAGATCCTCGCTTCCAAATTCGAAGAGCAAAAGATTGATGTAATAACCTCTTTTCTGCTCTTTCTCGCCTTTTTTTTTTGTTCCTTTTCGATTATTGTCATCTCAGAGTCTGAAAATGTTTGTGCTGGATTCGGATTATTGATTTATTCCTACCTAGATCTCATCGCCTGGTTTTAGATACACCGAAGCTACCGATTTTGGATCTTAGCTTTTCTATTGATGAACTCCGTGAACATCTCGGTTCTCGCATTCCTCAGGTTTTAATAATTTTTGTACTTATTGTTTCTTCTGATTTCGATCTGTAGCTTGACAAGCCTGAGGTTGAAGACGATGATGACATTGATGAGGACGATTCCGAAGATGATGACGAGGCAGAGGGTAAGCTGTCTTGTTTTAGCCTCTTCCGAATGTTGCAACTTTATTTACCAAAAATGCTATATATTTCGAATTTTGATGTGGTTTATTTAAGTTGAATCTACTTGCGTGTAGAGGACTAACAGAGATAAATGCTTGACTAAATTTTGAAACCTTGTTGTAATGAGCCTATCTGTTGAACCCAATTGCTTTCATATCACTCTGGAATCACTCGTGTTGGATAGATGCTGCTGATTGCTGAAAAGTTTGATACTTGTATTGGTAATAGAATAAGGAAGTGAGTATCATTTCTTATAAGCTAAGCCATTATGGCTATGATTTGTTTAATTAGGACATGATGGAGAGGCGGGAAGCCGGTCAAAGCAAAGCAGAAGTGAGAAAAAGAGTCGTAAAGCGATGCTTAAGCTTGGGATGAAACCCATCACTGGTGTTAGCCGTGTCACCGTCAAAAAGAGCAAGAACGTTAGTGGTCTTCTGAGAAATCCAATTTTTTGTTTATGTTAATAACAGTCATGGCTTTTTCTTTTGTTGCTAATTGTTGTGATGAAATGTGGATTGAAAATGCAGATCCTGTTTGTGATATCGAAACCCGATGTGTTCAAGAGTCCAGCTTCAGATACATATGTGATCTTTGGTGAGGCCAAGATAGATGATTTGAGCTCGCAGCTTCAGACACAGGCTGCAGAGCAGTTCAAGGCTCCGGACCCGAGCAAGGTGGTTTCAGCAGGAGAAACATCGAGCGGTGCAGCTGCAGCTTCTGCTGCTCAGGATGATGAAGAGGTGGACGAAGAGGGTGTCGAGCCAAAGGACATTGAGCTTGTGATGACCCAAGCAGGAGTTTCTAGGCCAAGGGCTGTTAAGGCTCTCAAGGAGGCTAATGGTGATATAGTCTCTGCCATCATGGAACTTACCACCTAAATCCCAAACCGGTTCTCTACTATCATGTGGTTTTCTTGTTTTTACTCTCCTGGTTTTGCTTGTTGTATCATTATACACCGTAAGTTTGGACTCATCTTAATAATTTAGAGTTTAAGTGCTTTGTTATGAGTTTATACTACTTTGTGTTATTATTAGTCCAGCTTCAAGATACCACAACATTTTACAGAGACACCAAACGAGACTTGAGAATTGCAGAACGAGAAACATAATTCCAAAACCAGTTGATTCATCAAAGGGAAGGTTACAACTTACAAGTAATAATCGAAATCCAACTCTGTATAGTGTTGTATACGTATATGCCTATACACAACGATAGTAATCAGCGAAAGCTATAGCTCCACAGATGAAAAATCTTGCCTTCACGAGTGCAACCTAGCTGCGATCGAAGCAACCTGAGCTTCCATCTGTGTGGCTCTAACTTTCTCAGCCGTGGCTCGGTGGAAGAATTGTTCCCTCGACAACAACCTCACATTCCTCAGATACTGATCAAATGGTAACAACCCATCTCGAAACGATTTGTCCATCGAATAAACAGTATCTTCAATGGCTAAATCCGATGCAGTGCACTCTAACATCTGTTTGGATAGTGCTCCAATGCAATCAAAGGCATTATCTACATCCAAATCTACTGGCAAATTCTTGGTTTTCCCTTTGTTCTCTACAATCCAGGAATCGAGAAAGTCGGTGTTCATGGCCATAACCTGTAATTGCTGCTCTAAGGTTTCCTTCTCGTCCACCATTTCCTGCAAACCTCTGTTGAGCTCTTCTTCTCTCCTCTTAAGGCCAGCTTGTAAGCTCAATAGTCCTTCCGCCTCCGCTTCTCTAGCAATCCTCATCGTGACGAGATCGACGTGAATCATCTCCACCATCTTATTGATCGCGTTCTTCTTGTACACCTCCGCCGCATCATCCGTACGCTGCTGCTGTTGCTGGTGGTGGCCATATGGAGACGGAGGAGGCCGCGAATATCCGGATCCGATCGAAGGAGAGGGGGAAGGTGGCTGGGGACGGCGCTGAGCGTAAAGCGGCGGATCGCGGGAGAAGGCGGCGCTGAGCTGAGCGGCGAGATCGAGGAGATTTGAGCTAGGGTAAACCCAGTTGTGGAGGTAAGGGAGAGAGACGAGGCCAGAAGGAGAGACGTTGGAGTGAGGGCGTTTGATGATCATGTCGCGAGTGGGATTGACGTAGACGCAAGGAGGATGGCTGGGGTACGATTCGAGGAGCCAGATGACGACGGGGATGTTGTAGCTGACGCCTTGGAAAGGCATCGGGACTGTGCCGTCGGCCTGGAGGAGGATCACGGAGCGGCCATCGTTGTGAGTAAACGCCGCCGTTTTGGGCTCGAGGGAAGCGTAGGAAGAGATTAGGTTGAGGAGGTGTTGTCGGATCAGCCATTTGGTGGTCTCGGCGTAAGGGAGAGCGGAGGGGCCACGCTGGGAGAGCACGGAGGAAAGGAAGTGCTGGATCTGTTGCATCTTCGCCGGATCGGTCGCCGGAGGAGCCATCGGCAATCAGTTTCGAAATGAAGACGACGACCGATGAGAAATTCTCTAAATCCAATCAGGCAAATACACTTTATTAGTTCGTGTGATGGATCGTTATTAGTTCGTGTGATGTATAACGAAGGCGCAACTAGTCAAAGTTAATCGTCAAAAGTAATAAACGAGTCTAAAGCCAAAATTTAAATTCCAATATTTATGATCATAAATAACTCCTAACTCTTAAATCTTCAAATTTTAATTCTTAAAATAATCTCTTTAACTAAAAAAAAGTTAAAAAACATAAGATTTGAGACTAATTTCTTTTATTTGAAATCGTAGATGTTTTCCTAAATTATTCCTTTCTTACAAGCATACTGCCGCATTTCTTGAGTTGTCATATTTCTAAACCATTAGATCTTTATAGTCATGATGATAGATTGGATTGGACAAAGAATTTGAGGCTGTGACCACTTCTATAACTGATTCAAGCCTCTCTAGATCATTTTTTCCATGTGAAGAATTGACATAAAAATACAAGAAAGTAGGAAATCTTGCAAGTGTTACATCCATTGGTAAAATCGCACTAAATGTCACGGTCTCTGCGGCACTCAGGAGGAGGCACGGGAAATCGAACGCGGTCAGTACAATAGTTATAGATGGTGTATCTCTGACGAACCCATTTGAGACGCTTGTACTGGCTAACGTCCAAGTCTTGAAACTCCTTCTGATCCCACCAACGCTTCCCCTGCGTCTCACAAAACTTAGCATTCACTGAAGCCTCGCATCCATCGACGTGGAAGCCTCTGTAGGACGCAACGAAAGGAGCATTTGCCCAGTTTGTCTTCTCTAATCCTCCTCTTGTGGCCCAGTCGTCTGCGTTCCATAAACTCGAGTATATCTTCATCGGCTGGTCAAAAGGAAACTTCACACCAATGTCTTTGCTGTTCTTGAACACTCGTATTGGCACATCATCCACAAAGAACCTGTTGTAATACAGCTAGACACTTAGCTGTGGAATTTTTGAGTTTAAACTACATTGTGAGGAATGTTTAACTTACACAATCTGATACATATTCCAGAGAACTGAATAGGAATGATAGGCTTTGGAAGGGTCGAACCAGAGGTTGATTCGCTGCTCTCGGTTTCCTTTCCCTCCTGTGAACACGTTTGTCTGCAAAATGTAAGGCTGTCCTGTTCTGTTTCCGAGAAACTCAAAGTCTATCTCATCATGTTCTGAGTTCTGTGATGATAACTGCATGGAAATGCAAGATACAACTTTTCTTCAGCTGACAATTTAAAAGATGATTCTAAATAATTGGGTCAAAAGATTTTCACTTACGTAGAAGGCGGTGACTGTTCCAGCGGAGTCTCCAGGAACCATCTTTATGTGCATACTGAAGTGGCCAAACAAGTAGGTACCTTTGGACTGAAAGCCGGTGCCTTTAATTAAGCAAAAAAAAAACAATCAGGTTGGGTTTTTAGATGAATTTGTGTCAAGAGAAATATATAACTAAGGCAGAGAAACTAACCAGTGTACTTGTCAAGAACAAGGTGCACTTCAGAACCACCACTGAGATACTTGATGTGATCAAATGCCCAAGTGGGGAAATAGTTCCTGCCAAAAGGAACATCAATGGACTTTCTAGGAGGTACACCAAATGTTACTGTGGCCATAACCAGAAAGGTGAGGCAAAGAGTTAATGGAAGAAGACCCATTCTCACTTTCATTGCACCAAACAAACATTGCGCGGACGTTTCTATTTATAGCCATATCAGCTTGCTGTTATTTGGTTATTATAATCACACTACATTTTTGTGGTTTCTTTCTTGCAATGTTTTGAAGCAGTGTTGTTAAGTAACTTAGGGAGTGTTGCAGGTGCACATGGACTGACTAGTCTTATGGTGACACGATAATAAGCTCCCATCCCCATGTTCTCGCTAATTAATGCATCTTTGGATTCTTTTCCTTAAGATCTGTGGGCTGCACATAATAAACAACACTATCTGACTCCAGATAACACCGACCAGATTTGCTAGAAAAGTAAGCTTTCACGCTATCCAGTTAGACTCCAAACCGACCTGAAAAATCGGAAAATATCAAGATGGAGAAACCACAGAATAAACCAGTGAAGATAGGTTTGGGGAGAAAAAACAAACCAGAAAGCTCCAAGTTTCAAGAAGGGAAACAGAGACATGATCACGTGACTAGAAGCATGTGCGATTCACCGTATACTTCACTCCTCCATTCCATTTAAAAGATATGACCACTTGCTCTACATCACCAAATTATTTACAGAAATACTACTGCAGGAACATTTGACGACGTCGTTTCCCAAGGAGCCAATTAGGCCGATCCTGACTTAATATTATCAGTTAATGGGCCTAATTGGCTTTAGTTATATAAATCGTATATATATACAGGCCCGTGTATAGGTTAATCATAAAACGATAAATAATGCTCGCTGGCTCGCTGTGGTGTAGTGAAAGTGCTTACTGAATCACAACAAGAATAGCAAGAAAAAACTGTATGATGTATATTAATTTATTCGTTAAGAAACATGAACGAAGAGGGGACGTTGCTAGGTACAGGTTGAAGAAAGTTCCCTAAAAATGTGTTACATGTCCCGATTTCATTTCACTGCCGCAAACAACATCTAAAAGGATCATTGCGTCGTCCCTCCTTGTCCCCAAAAAGCCAAAAAGAAAAACTCAAGGAGAGGAGTTATATGTATATTGAGATTGGGATCAGGAGGATGTATCTTGAGTCTCGAGAGAGAGTTGCTTCTGCAACCACATCTGTCGGTGGAAGCGGGTAATGAAAAGGTCAGCCACTTTGTCAATCTCGTCTTCCAACCGAAACTCTTCTCCCTTGTCTTCCTTGGAGTGTTTCACCATGTCTATCACCGAACCCTCTGCCTCAAACAGCGAGTGTCTCAGGTCTGGATACTTCTCCTCCTCCTCTTCCTCTTCATCTTCCTCCTCGATATATTCATATTCTACGTGGGGAGAGACGGGTGTGCTAGACATGGCGTTATGGCTATAAACCACCACCATGTTTTGATCTTGTTTCTGATCCTTACCATCATCTAGCTTTTTTGATGTTGGTTTGCCCTTGAGCTTGTGGGAGAAGGAGCTCACCACCATGTTTCTGTTGTGAAGAAGCGAGAATATCACAAGACGGGTCTTAAAGGCTCTCGTCTTCTTCTTCAGCTCCTTCGTCTTGTCCTTCGCTAGACCAGCCAGCATGTCTATTATATGCTTCACGAAATCTGCCGCCTTCTTCATGATAATATATGTTTACTTGGCTTCGCTTTTGGATCCTATAAAAATGTATTTCTTTTAGAATTGTGTTGTTGTTGTAAAAGAAGTCTATGGAGAATGGAAAATGGGAGAGATGGAGGAAGGGTTACATTTATACAAAGTACAAAGCCAATAATGGTGTTGGCTAAGGAAAATCCATATAGCTGGGGAGGACACGTGGCTACCCCTTGTTGGTGTAGATGATCACAATTCACAAATTGCCCGTGGACCACTCCTCGTCTGCCGCTATTCATGGTTTCTTCCTACACTAGTCCAATCTTTTTGCAAATTATTATTGTTTTCTTTTCACGATATTATCTAAAACCATTTTAATGATATTAGCTTGGATTAAACGTTAAGGAAACAATGTGAAGGTGTATACAGTGACAAATAATCCTCCCTCCTCTTAATGTTATTTCTGTTTCCATGTATATTTTTAGTCAACTACTTGGTCGCAAACTCTCGTCTCAAAAGGTGAAAGAGAGAAGAACCTCTTAAATTAAGATACGTTACCGTTGATTGAGGCCAAATCACTTTACTTTTGTCTCTCTTTAATCAAGCTTTTGTTGCCTTTTGCTATTATCATATTCGCGCACCTACTTTTTCTCTTGTATAATGTTTGAAGAAATATCTTCAGACATGTCTCCATATGTTTTGGCCACACACAAACCATATGCGTGAATGCAATGTACTCATCATCTGTCTCGGTGTTTCTAGAGTAGATAATGTGATTTACGGAAACAATATATTAAGACAAGTGTTGTAGCTTTCAGTAATAAAAGAGTGAAAAAAATACACATAAATATTCGCACCATCACGAGTTTTACTTTTTGGCCGTTTCAAACTCTCATTTGATTGTTTTAATCCTTTCTCCTTTTTCCATAACTTAACAACTAAGGTTCCACCACCATTCCCCTTCGCACGCGTACTCCTCTAGATTTCAAGCTATCGAAGCATACCAATACAATACACATGTACGGGCTTTTGCTCGGGCCCATAATAGCAAATGACTTGTGGGTATAGGCTTGCTTCACCTTATGTTTAAAAGACTATCAAACATTACAAAGGAGAGCAAGTTTGTGTACACGATGAACTACTGTTTATCAACGCAAAGAGGCGTCGTTAGCAAGAACAGATGTTGAAGACAGATTGATCTGTTGTTATGCGCATGCTTCCAAATGCAAGCTCACTGTTAGTTTAGTTGACTTATAAATCAATCAATGGTCGTCTATCTTAACAACTAAATCATACCTCTCTCTTCTGCATTCATTTTACTGACTTACAAGAGTACAAAAGTCTGTTACATCTTAAATTGCAACCAATTTGAAAGTCTATTACAAAAGCCTGTAACCATTTGTTTGTTGCTTTGGATAAAGCAAACTCAAGTCGAATTGAAGTACAGAGAAGATGATATAGATGAAGATAAAACCGTTGCGCCGAAAACGCGAAAGAGAATGTGACAACAACGCAAGCCTTAGCTTAGGAAGCCGCACATCAAAGAAGACAAATGAAGAGGACACCCGAATGAGAAAACATACCTTGTGTTCCTCTTCTTTATGTCTTCTTTGACATGGGACTTGCCTAAGCTAAGACTTGCATTGTTTGTCACATCCTCTTTCAGGTTTTCAACGCACAATCTGATTTCGAACGAGTTTTATCCTCATTGTATCATCTTCTTTGTCTTTCACCCAAGTTTTGCTTTAACCAAAAATTAAATAAACGTTACTTGATGTGAAACAATATTCCAAGAAACGAAATGAAACATCGGTCAGACAAGATCATCTACGTCCTAAACTGAAGGAAAAATCCCCTAAAGCGACCACACCAACATGCCATAATATTCTGAATCAACAAAGAATATACCATCATCTTTCAGCTATAACAGGATCGAACATTGTAATTGGATAAAGCCTTGTCAAAGGACAGAGACCATAGAGCAGCAACAAGTTCCCAAAAAAAAGTAAGAGCATACAAAAAAGGCGAGGCAATATGATCGATAAGCGAAGACATACACGTTCAGGCTTGAGTTCCGGTCATAGACTTCATCTGAATGTGATTAGAATCAGTGGAATTCGTTGGCAAAGCCTCGTAAGAACCGGTTCTTCGCACTCCCGTCGCCATGGACACCATCGTGTATGTCACGAAGAGGAGGATGACCACAAGCACGACATGGACAGTGAACATAAGATCCAATACAGAGACAGCTCTTAGCTTTGACTCCTGGATATCACACTGCGTAGATCCTTCGACGCCGCTGGCAACATCGAGAAGACGATGACATCCCTCGGGAATGAAGCCATCGACGTATAGAGAGAGTCCGGTCTGGAGCTGCCAGAGACCCTGCAGGCATATGGAAGCAGCGAGGGCAGCGTCAGCGATGAAGAGCCTGGGACGGCAAGCGAGGAGGAGGCAGAGGAGGGAGCATAGAGCGGAGATGCGAGCGGAGAGGGAATCGCAGTGAGCCTGAAGATCCGATGTCTGGATTGAGGCAGATGAGGAAGCGGCGGAGTAATGGAGGAAGAAGCCACCGGAGGCGAGTGCGAAGAGGAGATCGGTGGGGAGAGGGATTAAGGAGGCGGACTCGGAGAGGAGAAGGTAGACGGCGATGAGGAGGAAGAGGAAGAAGACGGCGGCGGAGTTAAGGGAGGAGAATCGGTGGACCGGGGTGCTTCCTTTGACAAGAGGATCGGAGTAGAATGAGATTACGGTTTGGTGGAGGAAAGCGACGAAGAGAGAGAGTATGAGGACGATCAAGGGTAGGTTTTGGAGGCGGTGGTGATTGTGGGGGTTGTTAGCGGCGGTGGAGAAACGGGGAAAAGCGTAGAAGGGCTTGGCGGCGTAGGATTGAGGAGTCTTGAGAACGTGGAAGAAAGTGCAAATGAGATGGTAGAGTCCGAGGGTGAGCAGCGACGCCGAAGCGAATAGCTTGTACAACATCCCTCCCATTTTAGCCGGAGATGTTGCGAGATTGGAGATTTTTTCCGATGATCGGTCAACAATGCTCACTCGGAGAGGGTTTAGTGTTGGTCGGATTGAGATCCTTTGTACGATCCGCTCAATAGAGGAATAGAGGACGATCTGGTCAACTGCCCTTCAAGTGACCGGGCACAATTAGTTAAACCAGCTGAGTTTTTCGGTTATTGGAAGATAATACCATTTAATCCGGTTTGCTATTCGATTTAGAATTTTTGTAATGAATTGTTTTCCAAAGTCCACTTTAACACGTTTTCTTATTTTTCTTTCACACTTTCAGAAATAAAAATGTTTTTAAGGATATCGCTGAGCTGAGAGCCTGAGATTATGGAATTTTCCGGTACTCACGAAGAGATTGATATGTCAAAAATGAATACTGTGGAAAAAATGGAATGACTATTGTCACGTGGAATAAATGGTACATTAATGTGTTGGTAGCGATCAATATAATCATAACTCGTAAGTATTCAAACAAATAAAACGAATGAACAGTTGTACAACCTTAACAAGGAAACAGAGTGCTACTATATAGACAAAGAGATTTAGTTTATTTGAAGAAGACATGACATAACGGTGGCTGCAAAAGCAAATGTCGTCATCCAATAGGACTGAGAAAAGGAATTGCCAGTGGAGGAACTTCGGTCTGAGTTTGTAGATCCACGAGATCCTACAAAAGATAGGCCAAAAAGTGAAACGGATGAAACAAATAAAAGAGTCACAAGTAAGAAAATGGTGTACGTACGTGTCAAGCAGGCAAGGGGATTGACGTGTTCACCACATCGAGCAGGCAACATTTGAGCATCATTGACATTGATCCCAGCTCGCTCGGCCTGAGAACTCCCTCGGTTACTAATCATACGGCACAAGCACTCTGGATTGTCCTTGATCACTGATTTGAGAGGGTTACAGCAAACTTGAGGCACTTCTTTGGTTCCATTCAAGTAATTAAGGCATGGAGCAAGCTGGTTCAGGCACGAAACGCTCTGCCCACTTGTGTGAATGATCTCAAAGTTGGCTACAAATAGAAGTGAAGCTGCAACGGCATAAAAAGAGAAAAACTTCATCTCCATCTTAATCTTAATGAATTTCCTCTTCTGGGCACCACTTATATGTACTTGTTTTTTTATTTAAATGTTTGGTAACCAGCTTTTTGAGTCAGGTGGACATGGTTCACCAGTCAAAACCTACTACCATTTTTTGACGACCGACAACATTTTAAGTTACCAGAACCCATCAAATATGTAACATTCCAGATTACAAAAGCATATTTACACCAAAAAAAGCACAGAGAGAGATGTAGTTATTGTGCCTACCAAAAGGAAACGAACAAAGTAAGGTTTATGCCAACCCATAGCCCATTAGGCATCTTCATGAATGAGCCTTTAAGCTCTAAGGCCCATATATAATATGTATGTGAATTTGTGAAGGTCATCATCAGAAAGAGAGATTTTTCTTTTAATTGGTAGAAGATACAAAGGGATGATAACATGTTACTGAAAAACTAAAAGACAAACAGTCACTTTGATCATAGACAAGGAGAGATCAAGGACCGCGAAACATAATAAAACCCAAAATAAATGAAAAAAAGGTACAAATGATAAAATAATTAAATATGGATGAGAAGAGGTTAATTAGGACTTAGGAGCCGAAATGGTTGAAACCTTGAGACAAAGAGTCGGAAACCGGAGGCATTCTGCTGAACATTGGACTGTGGACGTACTCACCTTCGAAATAGGTAGCGGTGGAGTAGTCTTCCACGCCCCACGATGATTGGCTGTAACAAGAATTGGACAAGTCGCTTGGAAGAGGAGGCAGCTCGCTGCTGCTGTTGGAGTAACAAGAAGGAGAGCCACCAAACATGTAACTGTCCCCTTGATGACCAGAGTGAGGCTGCAGCATTGGCGAGTCTGTGGATGAATATTGGTTAAACATCATCATGTAATCGACCGGATCATTGGAACAAGGAGGAGCAGTAGCAGGAGGAGGTGGAGGAGGAGGAGGATCGTTGGGAGAGATAATGGAGGTTACTGAGGAGGAAGGAGGCATGTCTGAGTAGACAAAGTTGGTTCGGGCACGAGTACCACGCATGGACCGAGCGGCTCTATCGTAGGCCAAGGCAGCTTCCTCGGCTGTATCAAAAGTGCCAAGCCAGTGACGCTCCTTGGTAGTTGGGTCTCTAATCTCAGCTGCGTATCTTCCCCAAGGCCTCCTTCTCACCCCAAGAAACCTTATTCCAGTCTCTTCTTGCTTCTTCTTGCTCTTTGACGATGTTGTGTTCATCCTTCTTTTTTTTTTTTTTCTCTTTATGATATGGTAATGCAAAAATCAATCTATGTCCGGTTTATATTCTTTTCTTTTTGTAGTTGGAGGAGAAGAGAAAGGAGAGAAGGAATGTGTGTTGGCCTTGGAAAAGTATCCCTTTCACAACCCTTTTATATAAGAGATGCAACTTTCTTTTTCACCCTCTTTTCAATTTTCTTTTATTTATTTTTATCTTATTCCAATACGAACATCATTTAAAAATAGCACTGCGTAGAGTTAATTGTGGCCCATGATATATCAATTATCAGTCAATCAAAAATATATAATTATCAAATGATTTGCCACTTGGTAGCATGTTTCATGCATTTCTCAATGGCTCTATACAATAGTGATCATTTCATAAATGGTTCTGCTAAAGACTTTGATCATACCGCTGCTACGTATATGTATACTCAATCAATTAAAATAGATGGAGATTTGTTAATTTTTTTGTTACAAATGAGAGTGAACTAGATAGATAGATACACATATACTCATCATTCATCAACAATAATAAGCTGAAAATAAAGGTTCAGGAATGACTATCAGCATGCATGTTACTTTAGATACCAATGTCCCGTGTCTCATAATATGATCACGCAGCTGATAAACAAATCAAAGATAAATAACGTAGTAGATAAACTATTCAATTCGGTGGATATATTTTGTACAACGAGTCCAAATACTATTACATACATGTGATGGTCCAAATTAATGATGCATGAACTGCGATTGTAATCATACACTCTACAACGAAAGAAAAGCAAACCCTGATTATCTCATATATCATATATAACGTAAACACTTTCCTTCTTATCAATCATGTAACACATAAAAAAAAAGAGTTTAGTGTTCTAGTTAGAATAGATAATTGGTAAAGAAGGGTGCAATGATGGCCGCATGATGGAAGTTAGTCGACTTAATTATGAGGATGAAGTCATTACTTAAGCATCTATTTTATGTATATATTAGTCTTTGTAAAACTAATCACTCAGTGTTAGGATTTGACTTTTGACCAACGCAAATAAAAGAAATGGCGACATAACGTAGAAGTCTTATAGAGAGAGACTAATATGATATTTGATACGAGTATCTAAGGAAGCAAGTGGTAGCCTTTCTAAGACGATCTTGTATTGTGTCAGAGTAAGACCAAAGACCATTTATGTTTTGGCTAAACGACCAACGTTAGGGACGGTGATAGTGGATCGTAATCGTATATATCTTACTCTTTTTTATAATATACGTCCCATTAGTCTACATGTACAATAATCACAACCAAAAGTGGTGGTTAGTTAATTAGAGAATAATCAAAAACAAAATAGGGGTAATGCATGTGCTCCCAATTTTATAGGCTGCAACTTCAATGAATAGTGCCACACCAATTTTTATCTCCCCATTTTATAATCCCAAAGCATCTATCTATTTCCTTATCATTTACCTGTTTTTGCTCTCTTCCTAAATTCCATTTCTTAACGTATAATATTCTGATCAAAATACTCCTCCATTCATATTCGTTTGCTCTACTACTATTTATAAATGAAAATGTTTATAAACATGCATTATTGAGAACAAAGGAATTTGGGTTGCATGTGAGCAATCTTTTATGCTTTTGAATGTCATCTTTAATCTAAATTTCATTGGAGAAAACAAGTCCTATAATTTATGTTCCCTCCTTTTGACCTACTCTAATATTTTTTCTCTCGTTTAGTTTTTATATTGTAATTCCAATCTTGATGCAATGTATCTTGTTTACATTACAGTTTACGTTCCATCTTCCATTCTCTATCGTCTCTTGCTTTTATGCTCCGGTCCTTAAGTTTTTAAATCAATACTTCGTTCCCACGGTCTACGGTCGAATATGAATATCCGTAGATAAAAAAAACACGTTGAATGTAATCGAACTAGCACTCGACGACATTCTGTGTTTAATCTCGAACTATTTGTGATGTAGGTAATTTGATGATTTTGAGCCTCTAATTGTGTTTTGTTTTAGTATAAAAAAGGAAGAAAGAAGAGAATGCATGTGCGCCAATGTGGAAAGGCATTCTTCTTCTTGAACGCTTAACATAATTAATCCCTTTACTAAGTATGACCTACACAATTATCTTTTGTCTTATTCAAATCTAATTACTCTTTTAGTCAAGCAACCATGTGATGAAGCGCACTATGTAGATTCATAATTCTCAACCACATTCAAAAGTTAAAAACAAAGCAAGTCTGCTTTTGGCTCATCTAATAAACCTGAAAACGAGCTTTGCAACAGTCACTGATCAATTAATCCATCAATCTAACTAGTTTCTACAAGGTTATATTACATTAAGGACTTAAACACGTTAGCTACTTTGCTAAACTTAAATGTAACCAGTGATCATTACCTTACAACACTTACAATGGCAGTAGCAAGCTCAGCTTCTTCTTCTCTTCATATCTACAAACTCTTTTTGCTTCAACACTTCTACTCCCTTCCCTAGTTTAGCTGCTGTCTCTTGCATCGTCTTCTGAGACTCGGCAATTTCTCCAGCCACTTCCCTGCAACTTGCTCCAAATTCCAATGTCTCAGCCTCGCAACAAGCCATTTCCTTCTCTGTTTCAAGCAGCAATTTCCTGAGATGACTAGTTTTCTCATGAAGTAACCTAAGTCGACTGTACGAAGCCATAAATGCACCCAACACTTGTACATGCTTCCCTGAAACACTCTCCAATCGGAGCTTCTCTGAGTTGTATTGCTCAATTAGGTCCTGCAAATTTGGGAATGACCACTCAGCTTCACCAGTTCCATCAACAGGTTGCTCATAGTCATTCGTTCCATCTTCCACAACATAACCACTAGAGACCGCATCTCTGACCAATTTACTCAATGCTTCATCCACACTAAACTTGGAAAGAGCATAATCACAATGTAGACTCTTCATCCGTTGCTCTTCAGCTCCGATCACAGCAACCGGATCAGACAGAGGGATGCCTAGTAAACAGCATAAGAGTTGAAAGAACAAGAAAGTGTACTGAATTACTATAAAGAATCGAAATTGACCATAACTGAAGTACCTTGAATCTCAGCAGCTGAAGAATGTACATCAGAAAAAGAAGTGTCATCCAAATTTTCGAATACAGAATCATCATCGTCTACACTAACAGAACCTTGACATTCTTTCCCTGGCGGTGCCACTTGGTTTGCATTCTCCGGTACACCACCAGCTTGGAAGCTGCTTTCCACATCACTCAAAATCAGACCAGCTTCCACCCAGAAATCAATCTCATTCTCATCTACTGTAGCACCACAGCTCGGAGGGATTTCAACATTCTCATCCTCCCACTGGAAGAATCCACAAGCCCCGAAACCCTAAATGAATTCCTTAAACATGTTTAACCAGTTATTGTTCAGAGGGAGCCTTAAAAGTTGCGAATGTGTCAAACCTTTTTGATGCAGCAAAGCAGGTAAGCTCGTCCGGAATCGTCTTTAAATCTCCGGCAGGGTCCGGAACCGCATGGGCAATCGGGGATGGTGAAGGTAGGCCGGAATTTGATGTCTTCGTCGGTTACTTTGTCACACCACTTGAAGAATGTGCAATCCCGAGCCTGTGAATTTCAAAATTATCTGTAAGAAAGTAGTAATGCTTCGAGAAGTAGCAGGAGAGGATTCAACAAAGGAGTGGGATACGAACGGCAGGGCACTTGTAGAACTTCCTTCCGGGGTTCTCTTGGGTTTTCGAGACCTTGATTTGACACAAACCACCGCCGCAACGGCAGTGGATCGCCGGTGGAGTATCGTCGTCGATGGGTTTGACAGGGCAATCACTGATCCAGTGGCCAGGCTGACGGCATCGGAAGCAATTTCCGGTCTGCATTGTGTCACTCCTCGACATTCCCATTTCCAGGAGATGTTGTTAATATGGGCTAAAAGCCTTACAATGCAGGCCTTAATTTTTAAAGCCCAGATAGTTCCAATCAAATAGCACATGACAGGGCTTGATAGGCCCACAGGTTTTACCGCGCTGCCGAAGCGATCTATGGTTCAACCACGTCATGTGGGCATCCACGTGGCACATGATTTGACCGTAAATTTGGCGAGCTTTTGATAGACGGATTTTCTGCCTAGCGTGCCACGTCATGTGGTCAGCGAGAACGAGTCAAGTGCAAGGGCCCACCTTCGAGTATAGGCCGATGTGGTAATATTGTTTTTCAATCAAATGAATTCCTCTTAACGTGATGATGTAGTTAGTACTACAAGCTACAACTATTGTTTTGTGGTCGACAAAACAACGAGTGAATACTAGAAAACGATGTGATATATGCATAAATGATGTTTTTCGAAAAATTAATGAAAAATAAAACAAAAAGAACGAAACAAATGCATCTTGCGTTGTTGGAAGGTGAAAAAAATGAGCACATTCAGATATCATTATGATGGGGTGGGAGAGAGAAAAACAAGACATACCTAATGCTAATACTAGTTAGTTACAGGATTATAAGGTAAATTAGATCATTAGGAAGCTAATGATGGAGTTAAGTATGCACGTGTGGGGGAAGGGAAGTATGGTAAAGTTACAAAGATCACACAGCTAACTAACCCCATGTAGCTGAGGTGTACGTATCTTTAGATATGTAAATGTATAGATAGAATAATATAATAAATACGCAGAGAGAAATATGAAATTAATATGACTTGTTGTTGTTGCGAGAGGTATAAATCACAATAAAACCCACCATTCAAAATTTCTTGGTAAGTAACGAGAAAAAAGGGAAGCAAGAAGGAGAGCCACAGAAAAGGGGGCTAACACAAAGACACGTAGTGCTTCATCTGCCCGTCCATCTAACCTACCACATTTGTTTCTCCCTTTCTTCTCCTTTGTCCTCTTGTTTATATAATCTCTCACTCCCCGCTTGCTTTCTTAAATATACAAACTAACTTGCATAGTACACCAAGTCACAAGAATCATCCAACTCTTATTACTATTATCAAACCAACCATGGTGATGGGTACGCCTTCTTCGTTGGATGCCATCAGAAAGGCACAGAGAGCCGATGGACCAGCAGCCATCTTGTCGATCGGCACTGCCAACCCTGAGAACCATGTCATCCAGGCCGAGTATCCGGACTTCTACTTCCGCATTACCAACAGTGAACACATGACCGATCTCAAGGCCAAGTTCCAGCGCATGTGTATGTCTTAATACTCACTTCCTTATTAATTTCTTCATTTCTTTTCCAAATACATTTACTTAACAACTACTACTGCTATAACAGGCGACAAGTCTACGATAAGGAAGAGGCACTTGCACTTGACCGAGGAGTTTCTCAAAGAGAATCCCAATATGTGCGCCTACATGGCTCCTTCTCTCGATGCTCGTCAGGACATCGTTGTGGTCGAGGTCCCTAAGCTAGGCAAAGAGGCGGCAGTGAAGGCCATCAAGGAGTGGGGTCAGCCCAAGTCCAAGATCACACACGTCGTCTTCTGCACGACCTCCGGCGTCGACATGCCTGGCGCTGACTACCAGCTCACCAAGCTTCTCGGCCTTCGCCCTTCCGTCAAGCGTCTCATGATGTACCAGCAAGGTTGCTTCGCCGGCGGCACTGTCCTCCGTATCGCCAAGGATCTCGCGGAGAACAACCGCGGTGCTCGTGTCCTTGTCGTCTGCTCCGAGATCACAGCCGTCACCTTCCGTGGCCCCTCTGACACCCACCTCGACTCCCTCGTCGGACAGGCCCTTTTCAGTGACGGTGCAGCCGCACTCATCGTTGGCTCAGACCCTGACACCTCCGTGGGAGAGAAGCCCATCTTTGAGATGGTCTCTGCTGCTCAGACCATCCTCCCTGACTCGGAAGGAGCCATAGATGGACACTTGAGGGAAGTGGGACTCACGTTCCATCTCCTCAAGGACGTTCCCGGGCTTATCTCGAAGAACATTGAGAAGAGTCTAGAAGAAGCGTTTAAACCTCTCGGGATTAGCGACTGGAACTCCCTCTTCTGGATAGCTCACCCTGGTGGTCCGGCGATCTTGGACAGTGTTGAGGCAAAGCTAGGACTCAAGCAAGAGAAGATGAGGGCGACGCGCCACGTGATGAGCGAGTACGGAAACATGTCGAGCGCGTGCGTACTCTTCATACTTGATGAGATGAGGAGGAAGTCAAAGGAAGATGGTGTAGCCACGACAGGTGAAGGCTTGGAGTGGGGTGTTTTGTTTGGTTTCGGACCAGGTCTCACTGTTGAGACCGTCGTCTTGCACAGCGTTCCTGTTTGAACACAACGCTATTTGCCTACCTACCGACTACTACACATACTTAAGGCGTCTTACGTTTTTTTTTAAGTTTTATATGAATTTTATGTATGCAATAAATTAAGGAAGAATTTATTTAGTGTGAAATGTGGTTAATGAAATGTGGTGGACTGAGATGGACTCGCAGTTGATGTGTGACGTCCTTTCAATTTATTGTCTGCCTTTTTTTTGTCTTTTAATACAATGCCAAAAGTTATGAATGACATCATAATCTTTTTTTTTACATCCACAAGGTCTCGAAGTCGTTTATTTGAGATTGGTAACGCTCTTCCTTTGCGGTAAGTTCATCATGAGGGTTCATTTGAGGCTCAGTCTCTGTTGGCTCCTCATCTTCATAGTCAGCACCATCTCTTGCCTTTAGTACCATCTCTTCCGTCGTTGTTCCCATTATCTCGTTTGCTTCCTTCATACTCACGCATCCATACCTGTCTCCTGAATCCTGACCAACCCAATTTCCATTTCACAGTATTAGTTTACATAGTGTATGTGGAGACAAGTTTGGATTACAGAAGAGTGATGGGATTTGGGAGGGACTCACACGAGAGACAAGTCCAAGCTTCTCAAGCTTCTTGATAGCATCATCCACGTCGAAGTTGCAACTTTCGTTGAACTCTTCTTTGATGAAGGCTTCACTTTGCTTGTCAAGCTCCTCCTTGCTCGTGGGACGACCTTGCTTTATCAGCATGAAGAAGGAAATGATGACCTCTTTAACCTGCATTTGATCAGTTCCTTAAGCATACGACATAAACAAATTAAGAAAGGGGTTTATTGTTAATTAGCACCTCTTGTTGTATGACTTCGTCGCACAAGTGAAGCAGAGTGCCTCTTCCACTGTCTAGCTGCTTATCATACACAGATCTTGTGATAAGGCTCTGATAATCTACCAAGTTTCTCTGAAACCTACATTGATACAGGGGAAGAGACAGAGCTAGATAAGGACAAATTTTAACAAAAAGTGAGGGTGCTCAGGGTTGTCTGATTAAATGAGTGTAGATTACGTGAAATATGTTTTAACGCAGTAGGCCACAACCGTGCTAAGTATGGCAGCAATGACTCTGACGTCAGTGTTTTTAAGGCTAACTGAACTTATCACCGTGACCTGTAAAAACAGAGTTTTGAGATAAATCACATTTGTCATTATCTAAACTCTTTAGAATAATGCAGCAGAACTGACCAGTCCAATGGCAGCAGAGACAAGAAACTTGACCCAGTCCAGCGGCGTAAGACCTGGATTTTTCTTCTCTGGCTGTGTCATTGTGAGCAATCGGTTAGTATATATTTAGTAAGGTACATTTGAGTGAAAAAGTGTTGGTAAATGGATGCTCACAAGTACTATTTCCATATCAGCCATTGGAATGCTCTTGAAGTGTTTCACATATACGTTCCTTTCTGTTTCTCTCTTCCCTGAAATTCTCCTGTGTGCGCGTGAGTGAATCCAACCGAAACCAACATGAGACTCAAAACTCACATTCCTCCAAAATATCCTAATAAGTTAACTCTGCTTTTATACCTGTACACTACAATGATTCTCTCAAAGGTAGGCTCTTGGATGGTTATCTTGTTCATCAAGTTGGAGAGACTGAATCAGTAATAAAAAAAACACAGGAGACAAGTCAATGATAAGCCTTCTAAAAACAGGAAGAAATGATTAGTTAAGAAACCTGAGCTTTAGCTTCTCTATGCGGATTCTTTCTATGTATAAACTATTTTTCTCTGTTTCAATGGTAATATCAATCTGTTCTGACAACCCTTGCGCATTCTTCTTCCCATATACAAGTCTTTTTAAGCTGCAACAAGAAAGTTCCTGAGTACAATAATTTTTTCAGTTTGATGACAAAAGAGAGCGAGAGAGAGAGAGCTTACCATGTAATGGTGAGTATGAAGTTCCAAATACGGAAGAGGATTGTATTTACTTTGGCTAGGAGAAAGTAAGCTGTCATATGATCTATCCCAAACCCACGTCTGAATATTATATACTTATTAGCGAAATGAGGAAGATCATCACGGGGAAACTTGGAGAAGAATCTTGTCAAAAGCCTTGTATCAAGCTACATCAAGGATCCATAGATTAAAGATGTCGTTTACAAAAAAAAAACTTGTTGAAGATTTGTCATAGTATATTGGTAGGTACGTGCCTTAGTTTCATTAACTACAATAGGAAGATTGAGACGATACTGAGCAGAGAGAGCTACTTGTATTTCTTCATTTGTTATCACTTTGAAGTTGCTCTTCTCCATGACCTATGATACTTTTGTGTTTGTTTCGTTACATCGTTAAATTTTGTAGTTAGTAAACGAAAAAAAAGGAAGTGAAACAAAGATAGAACCTCGAATAAATGAAGAAGGAATTGGTGTTCAAGAGCATCGATTTCATCAGATGATAAATTCTGTTGTTGAAGCCTGTGAGCGCCACGGACGGGCTCAAAGAGTGAATAAAGTTGCTACAAATTAACACAATCTCCCTTAGTACTTAAAAAGATTTTCAAGAAAGAATGTAAGATGATGGATAGGTAAAGTATGTACCATAAGATCCTCAAAGTGAAGGTGGTACCAAGCTCTAATGGTGCATTCCACTCTCTGGCAGAATCTTAGGAACTCCTCTCTCTCAGATTTCTCTGTTGGAGAAATGATTATCAAAATGTATAGGAGAAACAGAGAAATGGATAAGAGAGAAACAATGAAAATGTAGAGAAAAGGAGGAGACCAAAGTGAAGGGACAAGGCAGAGGTGAGCTTGTGCTTTAGAATTGGGATCACAGCTTCTCTCTCTAATCTGATCACCTCTTTTTTCTTCTCCCCCATCTTAATCTTGTGTTTATTTCTGATGCAATGGTAATTTTTACGATTTGAAAAAAGACAAGAAATTAAAACAAAACAAGAATTTTCATAGTTTTTCTGTAAAGAGAAAGCTGTGGCGTCACCATTCTTGTCGGAGGGGATGTCCTTTTGTTGAGTCTCCTCCTCTCACATCTCTCTACTTAATTTTTCCTCTCCATAGTTGGTTAGTTATTTCCGTTTTTATTACAAAATCAAAGCTTACTATTTATTTTTATTTAAATCAAATTGATTTCTTATCTATCCAATAAATTCACTTTGGGACATATACCATTTTTACTTTCTCCGAGTCTTTCATTATGCGAAAAGGAATCAAACAATCATTAACTGGCGAGATGCTGATAAGGCAGACAAATAAAAAGGTAGCTGGAGTATCCTCCTCACTTTTTTCCTAGTCCATATCTCAAAACCTAAAGTATGTACAAAACAAAAAGTTCCTCTGTATCCTTTCTATGTACAGGCACATATAAATAAATGAAAACTAAGAAACCCATGTTGGGATTTGTATATCTTAAAAGAACACCAGGTGCGTCTTCTGCAATGCAAAACTTCAGAGACATAGTTATGGATTCCATGACCTTGGATACAGCTTGCCTAGTGGGTCATGGAGACCAGAGTTCTGGCGAGTCTGGTTTATCCAAGCTACATCATCTGGCATCAAAGATGTTGCCGGGTTGCTACCACTCAAATAATCAAGCGGGTTCGCAGGCTGAGCCAAATTGCTGCTTATCTGAGTTGTGCCTCCCCCCATCAGCATTCCGTAGTTACCAGATGCAATTACTTGAGCACTCGAACTTTCTGGCTCGAAAGCAGTTCTGGGACGGCCTAATTGACTGCACTGAGAGAGAACAGAGAATAAGCTTTGATCTGAACTACTTCCCCTATGAATAACCTGCTCGGGGTTAGTAGCAATTCTGAGAAGGTTCTGCTGATCTCTCTCAGTCCCGGTCTGACTGCCTTGGTTTGCACATCCGACACCGTTTGTGTTTGCCCACATGCTCTTAAATTGCCAGTTCTGATTCAACAGAGGGCCAGGGTTCAACTGGGGCTGTGTGTTGACTCCAATCTGAGCAACACTGGTGTTCCAGTCTGGCCGCTGCATCAAGAATCCACGTCCATCGCAGTAAATGTTGTCTGACATGTTTCCTTGGCCATAGATGTCAACTTGTCTTTGTTGGTCCTGGGACAGTGCTAGTGGTGCAGTCATCTGATGCTGGAACTGACCAGAGAATTGACCGCCGTCTATCAAATTGTTGCTTCCTTCCTGCTGAAAACCAATGCCCATAAGTTGTTTATGGTCCACGTTAAGCGGAGCTTTAAGAAGAGAGTGAAGCTGCTCAGTATTACGAGATGCCACGCCTTGGCCTTTAAACAAAGACTGGAGTAATTCATTTTGATCGTTGTTAGGGAAAGAACCAAAACTGTTGCTTGCTTTACGCTGCAACATCTTCCTCCTATCAACTTCTTCAGGCATGTTAGATTCTAGGTCTATGAAACAACTTTTCTCTTCTTGATCACCATGAGGATGGTGTATGATTGATAATCCGGCACTGGGGTTATAAGCTTGACGGCCAATGTAGGACTGTCTAATTTCTCCCACTGGCTGCCACACATTTCCACCAGAACAAAACTGCTGCTCTTCTGTTTGGCTTGGAGTTATACAACGAATTCTCTCGTCTGATGAAGCATTCTCTAGCTCTGGTACACAGTGCTTGCCTTCATGATTCATATCTTCGATATCTAAAGCATGGGGCTCATTAGGAAATGAACCCAGTGGAAGAGACTGGCATTGTATAGAGCTGGAATAAACATTTGCTCCAACATCGTCTTGATTAAGGCCATGACCCCTGCTGGGAGAAGAATACTGTTTCTCTTCTGTATCCTCCATTTTGATGCTATTGCCACAATCTGGTGACGAAACCTGTGAGGGGTATGTACCAACTTGCAGGCAGCGACCTGAATCTGGGATTTGGTCTCCATAAGACGTAGAATCCTTTGAAAGGGAGTGATTGTTGGCAGAAACTTGACCAAAACTTCCAGAATCTTCACCGTCTGTTGCTAAATCACCACTTTGATCACTTTCTCGATCGTTATTCCTCAAATCTAGTTGAACATCAAGCTTCTGCAGAGGATTTTCTGCAGGGTGAAGTTGCTGTTTATCCTGTAGACAAGAAGGTTGTTAATAACATGGCGTAAAGAAACAATAAACATTACAAGTTTATGAAGAAGAGAAACCTCATTCCATGGATTGACTTTGTCCGTTAGTTCTCTTCCCACAGAGTTGATTATATCTCGTTTCTGTAACTGCAGCTTTTTCCAGATTGCATATGCTGCAGGAAGATCTTTAACCAGTTTCAACCTGCACGAAACAACTGAAATTTAAAAACAATAGAATTAAAGGCCTGACGAAGGAAGCCGCTTGTTTCACCAGAACACTGACCAGTGAGCGCTCAGTTTCTTCTGTTCTTCTTCCACAAACAATCCGTAAGGTTGAACATCCAAACTGTCGATGTTACCCAAGATTCGATTTAGTGCTCTCGATTGAATGCTTTTACCAGACTGCTTCATGCTTGTGACAATCTGATGCTGCTTCTTGCTTATCTGAATAATACAATACGCAGTCAAATGCTAGATCAATAAGCATATCTCTTACATGAACGGCAACTGCACATTCAACCCAACAAACACCACAAAGGATTTCGATAATTGTTTTCCAAAACAGCTCTAAGTTACTAATACCAATCAGGTAGCTGTATCATGGAAATCAGAACATTCTAATAATTTCCAAGCACATAAATTTGGGACGGCAAGTTTACTGTTGATTGATGATTGGTCATACTAATGGATCCATATAACAGCATGCGGGTGAGCTTATAAAGTAAGGAATGCAGAAGAATAGCTAACCTTAAGGTAGGACATGTATTTAGCACCATCAGTTTGCTGAATGCTATGTTTCGGTAGCTTGTCCTTTTTTCTAGCTTTCACGCCCACGTTTGCAACATTATCTTGAGATTTTTCTTTCTCTAGAGCAGAACTCTTGGGCCTAAAAATGGACTGGAAGAATTAGTATGCAGGTTTGGGAGAAGGGAAGAAAACTAACAGTAATTGCATATACATGTGAAAGAGTATATGTTCAGCACCTTCTCTGAACATCTCCAGTCTTTACAAGAGAAGAAATCTTATCATCACTACTGCATGGTTTATCATCTTCATTCCAGGAACTAGACTCTGAGGCAGTAGGTACATCCTGGCAGCTATCGTTTACATGTGCATTGCCGCCTCTTGGTTTCCTGAAGAAATCAATGCAAACAACAAACAGTAGGTGAATTATAATTACTTTTTAATGTATCAACTTGATTACATTACACTTTTAACAGTTTTCATTTTTATTGACAATCAAAAAGCACTGACCCCCACATTTTTTTAAAAGCGTCCTTCTCTGGATCTTTGCAGCTTTCCCATTTCTCCTTCAACATCTGCAAATAATCTATAATACTACCAGAAGCAATGAAAAAAAAGAGAGTTACAATCATGTGGACAGACATTTCAAGTGCTCCTATCATCTGAATAGAGAAATCTGCACATACTCATTATGGTATTTCTCTAAATCCGAGTAATATCTCCTTTTATGATCCCTCAGGGATTCCTCCCGAGAAGCAACTTGATCGGGATGAGCTTTGCTGGAGCAGACAGCTGTCCCCCTGAAACCACAACTTACATTCAAATGGGGTCTAATTTCCTGAGCATAATTTACACCATCACCAACTATACGGGTTGCAAAGAATCACAGAGGAAATCAAACTAAAAAGACCAGTGCCACTAACCAATCAAGAAAAGGATTTCCAAAATGAAAACTCTCCCCATCAAGCAATGCTTGTACGATTTGCTCCACATCAACTCCCTCGGGAAGAAATTGCTGCAGATAATGTCTATCGCCATCAGATAGACAATCCCGCCAAACCTGAGAAAGACAAGTGGAGATAAATGGTGAAAACTTAGTACCTCAAAGGTGTAAGCAGATGCTACGCAAGGAAATAGCACTGTATTACCTCGTTAGAAAGCACCTGTGACAGATTTTCCAGCTGGAAAGTTTCATGAGGGACAGGGCACACTTGTGCCAAGATATTCCGCCTAGAAGGAACAACATCAACAAATTCGCGTAGATGCCTCAAACTTAGGCCAACTTGTTCCCTCTTAGAGACAACTTTACTTCGGTTGCGATCCCATTCAAGACTGATGTGATCTCCCGAACGCAAGGTCCCATCTGGTGAACCAATCTTTTTCCTTTTGGCTCTGTAGTGCTCTCTAGAACTGAAACCAATAACATTGGCACTATTCATCCGCTTTCTCCTCTGATCAGCTGCCATTCTGATTGAGTCCATAAAGAAAACAACCGATTGAAAAAAATGAAATTTGAGCTCAGGCTAACACGAGTGTCCAAAATGAAAACAATGAAGTAACAATCATCCGATTCAGGAATCAATTTCAAAAGAAAAGGCATTTACTTTCACGGCTGAGTAGGGAAGAGAGCGGCGTATGGTTACCGATGATCAATTGAATCGGAATACCCAATCACTTGGTTTATCTGAAACAAGCCCCGGAGATTGAGGGAGAAGAAATACAATCAGGGAGAAGTTAGCAATGCGATAAAGCAAGGAACCAAGTCGAAATAAATTGGGGAAGAGAGTGATGCAATTGGGGCAATTGAAGAAAGACCTAGAGCAAGGGAAGCAAGGGAGAAGTATACCTGGATACAGAGAGACTCAACAGCCGCAGAGAAGAGAAGAAGAAGAAGAAGAGAGATTTGTTTGGGAGGAAGATAAGGGAGAAGAGGATTTTTTGGGCTCTCCGTTAAGTAGCCGTCAAACACCCTGCTTCTTCGTCCTCCATGGACCACTCTGCTCCGGTTTCCACTTTCGTACCCTTAATTTTTTGAGTTCTGCCATCGAACCGAACCGAACCGCTTCCCTTTTAAGAAAGGATTGAATTGATTGAATATCCAAAAACAAAAGAGAATCAGACTGGGCCTTTGAAAAGATGGGCTTTGTAGTCAAATACTCTTAAGTCAACGTAAAGTCAATTGATGATATGGTATTTCGGTACACGAATCATTAGATCCCTCCCCGTTTGATTCGATCTTTAAGCATGGATAGGAAGATTTTGAAGTGTTTTTCTTTCTAATTACCGAATATACAATCGCACTTTCTTAGATTCTGATTTACAGGAAAAAGGTAAACAAATGATTCGATTTTTAGCATGGTTCATAGTTTTATTAAATAAAACTGGGCTTATATAAAGAAATCAAAGCTATCCAGGTGGATGCTTATCCATTTTTGTCCGAGTTCCGACAAAAGTATTTAGGAGGGAAACCGAAAAGTCGAAGCACCGGGAAAAGAGGGATATTTATTTTAGGGCAAAAAAAAAAAAAAAAACAAAAACAAAAGCAGCGACGCCTCTTTATCTTCGTGTCCGTCTCGAGCTTCTCAGTGTACTAATCTCTTCTTTGCTGGTTCTCTTCTCTCCTCTCTGCCTTTTTTTTCATCTCCAGATTTGCCGTATCATCGTTTTGTTGTTCCTGTCTCGATTTGATCGGATTCTGATTAGCAGGGGAAAACACGGAGGATCGATGGCAGGGAAGAAGAAACAAGCAATTAGTCCGGAGAAGATGGAGCGACGATTGAGTCCCCGGGTACTTGAGCTGAGACAGAAAGCGCTAGATGAGAAGGAGCGCCTAGCTCGCGAGAGGATAAGTCTACTCCGCGAGAAAAGGACCGAAATCTGTGTCGATGAAGAGGAGCTACATGCGGAAGAAGAAGACGCTGTCAATTTGAGCCCCAAGCGGAAAGGACGGAGCTCACCTCCACCCGCATTGCAGAAGGGGAAGGAGAGATTGGACTTTCACGGGTATGGCGACGACGAGGATGCTCATATGAAAGTGAGGAAGAATCTAAGGTTTTTCAACAAGCAATATCTCCTAATGGTCCAGGTTTGTCTTTTTCCCCTCTGATTTTCTAGCAAATGGGTTTCGTCTGTGTTGTTGATCCACTGTCTTTTTAGGCTAAGCTGAGGAGACCTGATTTGAAGGGGATAACTCAGGCAAGTAACTATATTCTCCTTTCAACTTTTGTGGTTTTTATGCTGCATCATTGTGTTAGTAGTAATGATGGTTCATGGATTCTGTAAATTTCAATGCATGTTGACCTAAGCCTTTAAGAAATGTTTTTTTAGGTGATACAAGCTAATGCGGTATTGTACTCGAGAAAAAGGATAGGTCATCTTCCAGGTTGGTTGATCGTTGTGTTTCTTTCCCCACAGTTTACTTCCAAGCACACCATACGGTTTGGTCTTAACATACTTGTGCAGGTATCGACGTTGGACACCGGTTTTTCTCAAGAGCTGAAATGGTTGCTGTAGGCTTCCATAGCCATTGGCTAAATGGTATCGACTATATGGGAGTCGATTTCAAAAAAGTAATACCTCTTTGCCACTTTTATCTGATTTATAAGACATTTCATCATATTTCTTTGAGTCTTTAATCTCACTTTTATCTTTCCACAATAGGATTATGAGAACTACCGGTTTCCCCTAGCTGTTTCAATTGTTATCTCGGGCCAGTACGAGGATGATCTAGACAATGCAGAGGAGGTGACTTACACTGGCCAGGGAGGCAATAACTTAACTGGTGATAAACGCCAGGTTAAGGATCAAGTGCTCGAACGAGGAAATATGGCGCTAAAGGTCTGTTTTTGCTCTAATCTTCTTATCATTTAAGATTTTTCTTTATACCTCTTCCTAGTTTTCTTGTTGTGCGTGTTAAGCTAGTCTTTTACATGGAACTTACTTTACTTGCATTTGTTTCAGAATTGCTTAGATCAGGAGGTGCCTGTCAGAGTTACTCGTGGTCACGAATGTAAAAGTAGCTACAGCAAAAAAGTCTACACTTATGATGGATTGTACAAGGTACTCGTGCATATATTTATTTATAATTGGTCTTGAGTTCCTTCAATCTGTAATATTACCTTTGATGGATTGTACAAGGTACTCGTGCATATATATTTTCTTATTCATTGTTGTGACTCTGGTCCAATTGTACACCTTCTTCGTACAGGTTGTAAAGTACTGGGCAGAAAAGGGCATTTCAGGATTTACGGTGTATAAGTATCGACTGAAACGTTTGGAGGGGCAACCAGAACTTACTACTGATCAGGTCTGTTTGTTCTCTTGTCTTATAAATTATGATAGCTTATGATGTGCTTCTGTATTCCTTGACGACACTATTAGATGAGTTATTTCAAGCTCACATGTATGTTCTGAACATATAACGTAGCTCATTCAAAAGATGTCATTCACATTGACTATTAATTGAATAACGTTTCTTTTATTGCTTTTCTAAATCTGGTTTCTAGGTTGCTTATGTATATATTGACTATTAATTGAACAACATTTCTTTCATTGGTTTTCTAAATCTGGTTTCTAGGTTGCTTATATATCTTTGGAAATATCTACTATGTTTTAACTTCTTACCTGGCTCAAAGAATGCATATGATGTTTAATTTATGTTTGTTTCCTGTCATTGCAGGTCCATTTTGCGTATGGAGGCAAACCAAAGTCTACTGCAGATATTCAGGGGTATCTATTTAGCATTTTTCATGTAGCATTAGACGTGTAGTTTCAGTTTAACATCCAATAATGCCATGTTTCCATGAAGCTTGATATGCGAAGACATCAGTGGAGAGATGGAAGCTAAGCACATTCCAGCCACTAATCGTTTCGATGATCCACCAGTTCCACCCTCAGGCAAGTTGGAGCAAAACCAGAAAGTAGTATTAGCATTTTTATCTACTTGATGATCTTTACACGAGATGAATCATACTCTATTCAAATCTCAGGGTTTACATACATCAAATCTTTGAACATTGAGCCCAATGTCAAAATTCCAAAGAGTTCAACTGGGTGTAATTGCAAAGGCGGCTGCACTGATCCAAAGAAATGTGCCTGTGCCAATCTCAATGGGGGAAACTTTCCTTATGTGGACCTTAATGATGGCAGGTGAGTCATTGTCCATTAGTTTGTATGATCTATGTGTATTGTTTGAACTTAAGTTTGCAATGAGAGGAGTAGACAATTAGTCGACTAAAATGCAATTGCTGTTTCATTCTTTTCCTTCTTTTTCTATGAGCTTTGACTAGCAGGGCTCTCGGTGTAATGTTGTGGTAAAAGGTTACAGTTGAAAACTGATTGGGTTGATTTTCTTTTATTTTTCCTTTCCAGATTAATCGAGCCTCGAGACGTTGTCTTTGAATGTGGTCCACACTGTGGGTGTGGACCTGAATGTGTCAACCGAACCTCTCAGAAGCCACTGAGATTTAATCTAGAGGTATGTTTTGGTTATAAGTTTACCACCAAAGTTGTAACGAGACCTTTAGTTTATGTAGCCAGATGACAAACGTCTCATAAGTTATAGAGAAAGAACCAAACTCCATTATTAGAAAAGTGCAAAATCCAGTGTTCTTTTCATTTAAGATGTCCTTTGGAATCTGAGCTTATTACATCTACCGGATAAATTACACTCTGGAGCCTGAGTTTATACCTTGGTGTTCTTGTCTGTGGCCTCAAATAGGTTTTCCGGTCTCCAAAAAAGGGCTGGGCAGTTAGATCATGGGACTACATACCATCTGGATCACCAGTGTGTGAGTACATAGGAGTACTCAGAAGAACTGACGATGTGGACACCATATCTGACAACGATTACATATTTGAGATTGACTGCCAACAGACAATGCAAGGTCTTGATGGAAGACAGGTAACTTTGAGAAGCTTTCTTTGCTATGTGATCATCGCTGAATCTCAGGGTTTTTTTTATTTTTTTACTTTTTCTTTAAATAGAAATGTCTTGTGTTTTTCTTGCAACAGAGAAGACTTAAGGACGTAGCTGTACCAATGGATAACAAAGTCAGTCAGAGCAAAGAAGATGAGAATGTACCAGAGTTCTGCATCGATGCTGGTTCAAAAGGGAACGTTGCCAGGTTCATAAATCACAGCTGCGAACCAAACCTGTTTGTTCAGTGCGTCCTGAGTGATCACCAGGATTTAAAGCTGTCCCGTGTGGTTCTTTTTGCAGCTGACAACATTCCACCTCTGCAGGTTAATCTAGAAACTCTTATGTGTGTGACTGACTCGAACATTCTCTTTATACAAAAAAAAAACTTAAAACATTTCTCTTGTCTCAATTGTAGGAGCTTACTTACGACTATGGATACACGCTTGATAGCGTTCACGGGCCGGATGGGAAAGTGAAAAAGCTGACTTGCTACTGTGGAGCACTTGGTTGTAGAAAGCGCCTCTACTAACAAGGTGTAGGAGAGGAGAAATCATATGGCGTTTGGTAAAAATCATATTTTGGAGTAGTAATAAGTAAGGCTACTTAGTAACATATTTTTTGGGGAGTGCATAGCAACTATCTCCCAAGTAAATCCCTTAACATGGGACTTATTCAATCTGCAGCGTACAATTAGTAGCTGCCTTATTGGGGCATTGTTGCCTCCCAAACCCTCTTATGTGCCATTGGCATCTATTATATCGGGTCTGCAAGATGAGTATTTAGTAGAGCTTTTGAAACTTGCATTTTCGTCAAATTATCTGCGTTATCCTAAGCAGCAAAGACACATATAACTTGGTATTACCCCCACAACTTAAAAGAGTGAAAATCATAATCGAATCGAAAGATACATCCAGAAGTCTCTATAAAATTTGATTTCTGTCAGCTAGACTTCTAAACTCCATTAATATAAAGAAAACGCAGCAAAGCGAGTTTAATGATCTTCAACACTTATTCATCTTCATCTTCTCTGGCCTTGTTTCGATACTGACGGCCGGGTCTTCTTATGACATTTTGAGCTGTTTCCATTTCATCTTCTTCCATGGCAGAAACAGTGTTGTCTTCTACGGTACTGATAACAGCCACAGCCACAGCCACTGCACCTCTTCTTCCATCACGACCCTTGTCTTCGTTTTCTACTTTGCTCTCCGCCATTGGTTTTCTCTTTGGCACAAAAGCCACTGACGTCGGAAGCTCACCCAGAGGCTCTACGAGAGGCTCATCTCGGCTCCTAACCATGTTGAGAAACTCCATATAAGCTTTCCGGTTGGACTCTTCATCAACCTCACCTTCATCAAATGTATATCTTGTGTACTTTGATGGGTTTCGCATATAATCTGGAATCCCACACGGATAATCTGCCCGCACTATCTGCTCATCCGGGGAACTTGTCTCCATCACAGAATCTTTCTCACCTCCACTCGAATTCTCATCTCTGGTATCAGAGCTAAAACGAACACGCTTCTGCAACTTAGAATCGACCATGTTTTCTTTCCTCTTCAATATCGGTTTCAGCCCATTATCATCTGAAGAGCCAACATGTTCCCCCTCAGACACCACCAGAGACGTGGACATGGATATCTTATCCTCATGTACCTGCAAAGAATTCATATTTTCTTAGTTTCTGAAACACGCCTTTAAGCCATGAGACACAAGACAGTGATTGATAATGATCAGCAAGCTATAGCAGAGTTTTACAAAGTTAAGCAAAAAAAAGAGGGAAAGAGTAAGGTACCTCAGAGACATGTAAAGAATTCAACTTGTTAACAGCCTCAGCGTCTTCTTTAAGCCTAAGCTCTGCTGCGATGAGATTAGCACGAGGGTCCTTCTCTCTTTCTTTGAAGGAAGCTGGAAGCTCCTCCCAGTCGTCTGCTTCCGTCTCATAGTCATTCACATCCTTCGTGTAACTGTACAATTCTTCGCCTACAGCTACTTTGTCATTTTCATCTTCCTCTTCCTGAAAACATCGAAAACCCCTTAAGCTTAGCCTATTGATACTGAAAACATAAACCATCTCAATTCATCATTAAAGGAGATAGATAAGAGTTGACTCTATACCTCCATATCAAGAGTAGTGTCCATCCCGATTAAGGATTTGATCTCCCACTCCTCGTCATTGTAATCGCTCGGCTTCTGCGATACACTAGACTGTCCTTCGTCCTCATCGACGCTCAAATCTTCTGGAACGTTCTCCTCCGGTCGGGATCCAGAAGGCTCCTTTTCTCCTCCGCTCCGTTCAGTTTTATCGATCTCGTCGTCCGCTAGACACCAAAGTGAGCTCAGAGGTGAAGAAGACGCGGATGAGGACGAAAGAGACCCAAATATCTTGTCGATCCTCACTCTGAAACTTTCCTCCATCGCGCGAATTTGAGACGACAATGGCAACGGAGAAAACAACTGGGTGATTTTATGCGGTGTTGGGGTATACATGCCTCTGTAGCCAAACACTAACCGACAATTTCAATCAATGGCCCAGATTGAAGTCCAGTTAACGTATTGGGCTTATTGGCAGGTTTGGCCCATTTAACTTGAAATTCACCGTTACTCTCGAGCTTCTCGCCTTCTCACGTGAAGCAATATTGAATATTCAATCATATGCAGATGCAGGCTGCTGCATTTCTCTGATGATTTTGTCTGATTGATGATGTGTACATTGGAGCGTAACCTCCCTTCTAAGGTTTGTTTATGGATAAGGTCCACTTATTAAAGTAAGCAGTGAATTATTAAAGAAGAATAAAGGACAACATTTTCGGAAATAAAGTTGAGATTTTGAGAGTTGAAAAAGGGCAGCTCTTTCTTCTTCCTCGTCACTCTAATTGAGTTGACTGAATATACACAGTGCGAGTGTGAAGAAACTGGTTTTGAGAGAATGGATCTTGCGAAGATTCTCTGTTTGGTTGCATTGATTCTGGGGATCTCAAGCGTTGAATCGAGGTACATGGTCTACAATACTTCACATACCATTGTTCCTGGAAAGCTGAATGTCCATGTGGTTCCTCATTCCCACGATGATGTTGGTTGGCTCAAGACCGTTGACCAGTACTATGTTGGCTCTAACAACTCTATCCAGGTCAATCCCTTTCTGCATTTCTTTTATCCTATCATCATCATGGATCAGATTCTGTTGTACTTACCTAATTTTTTTTTTTTTTTTTTTTTTTTTGCTTATTGCTCGTAGGTTGCTTGTGTTCAAAATGTGCTGGATTCACTTGTTCCTGCACTGTTGGCTGATAAGAATCGCAAATTCATTTATGTTGAACAGGTAAATTTGGTTTCTTTTTTCCCTAATTGATTTATGGAAGGTGCTAGCTTTTAGGGGAGAACAGTCCCAAATTTACAATCATTGGAGTTGAATGACGGTTAATTTTGTGATGATGAATTCAGGCGTTTTTTCAGCGATGGTGGAGAGAACAAAGTGAGGAAATCAAGCGTATAGTGAAGGAACTTATACGCTCAGGCCAACTAGAGCTCATGTATGGGTTTTTATCAGTGTACTTTATGATCTATATATCACATTTGTGTCTTGTCTCGTTTAAGTAATCATTGCCTCTTACTGCAGAAATGGTGGTATGTGTATGCATGATGAAGCAGCACCACACTATATAGACATGATTGATCAGACGACTCTCGGGCATCGGTTCATTGTCAGAGAGTTCAATGTGACTCCAAGGATCGGTTGGCAGATTGATCCTTTTGGACATTCGGCAGTGCAGGCTTACTTGCTAGGTGCAGAAGTAAGCCTGCTACTCTCTGTGCCTTCATTTTAGTTTTTTTTGTTTGTTTCTGGACTCAGAGGTATGAGAAGATAATGGTTTACTGATTTAACGCAGGTGGGGTTTGACTCAGTCTTTTTTGGTCGGATTGATTACCAAGATAGAGAGAAGCGTTTTAAGGACAAGACTCTTGAAGTTATCTGGCGAGGCTCTAAGAGTTTTGGCTCTTCTTCACAGGTATAACCTATTGCTTAAACTGTGAATTTCACTAGATTTTCAGTTTCTTTTTACCAACATTGATCTGGCTTGATACAGATTTTCGCCGGTGCTTTCCCTAAGAACTACGAACCTCCACCTGGTGGCTTCTATTATGAAATCATCGATGATTCTCCCGTTGTCCAGGTATTTTCCTTGGCAGTTGATTAATTACCATTTCCGTTGTATCCATCTACTCCTATGATAAGTCTTGCTCTTAATCCGTGAAGGATGATCCCGACCTGTTTGATTACAATGTTCAAGAACGAGTGAATGCTTTTGTAGCTGCAGCTTTGGATCAGGTAGGTTTATATAAATGTTATTTTGTTGGCTAGAATTTTCTGTTACATTTTTGTGACAGTTTTCCTGGTATCTGCAGGCCAACATTACTCGAACGAATCACATCATGTTTACCATGGGAACAGATTTCAGGTACCAGTATGCGCACACCTGGTTTCGACAAATGGACAAGCTTCTTCATTATGTTAACCTTGTAAGTCATCGAAAGTTCTCTCTACATTTTATGTTCCTTTTTACGTCTCCAGAAATTTTTTTGTGTGAAACTATAGTAAGCTAGATGGGCAGAAACAAATGAGATATCTCTAACTCGTGGACCCTTAATTATTTTTAGGATGGGCGTGTCAATGTTCTCTACTCTACTCCTTCAATATATACAGATGCAAAACACGCGGCAAATGAGGCTTGGCCCCTGAAAACAGAGGACTATTTCCCGTGAGTTGGGTGTTATTTTTTCTATCTCCTTGATCCAGGTTTTACTTAGAAATTGAACCAATCTTTACTTCAGTTATGCAGACCGTATAAATGGTTACTGGACTGGATATTTCACAAGTAGGCCAGCACTTAAGCGTTATGTCAGAGTGATGAGTGCCTATTACTTGGTATTTATTCATCCCAAGTTTCAAATAATACTCTTGAAGGTGTGTTTTTATTCATGTGTGATAGTTGTGAGTTTAGGCGGCAAGGCAACTTGAGTTTTTCAAAGGGAGAAACGAGAAGGGTCCGAATACAGATTCGTTAGCAGATGCGCTAGCAATTGCTCAACATCATGACGCTGTTTCCGGTACATCTCAACAGCATGTGGCTAATGATTATGCCAAAAGACTAGCAATAGGCTATGTAGAGGTAGTGTGCCAAATTTCTCTGTGAATTGTTGTTCTCTAATGGCCTGTTTGCTCTATTTGCACGTTAATAAGATCTGTTGACATTGCAGGCTGAGAGTGTGGTTGCCACTTCTTTTGCTCATCTGACTAAAGCAGATCCTGCCTTGAAGCCAACCTTTCAACAGGCAATTAATCTCCTCACTTATACGTATTTCTCAGAAGAATCTAATCAATATATTGTGAAGCTTTTACATATGAGATCTGTTTGATAAAAGGTGACCCATCCATTTTTCTTAGCTATCGTTTGGTCTTTTCTTTCAGTGTTTGCTGCTGAACATAAGTTACTGCCCGGCAAGCGAAACTGACGTATCCAACGGGAAAAGTTTGGTAAGCAGAAAACTATTGTTCCTCTGGGTTTCACCTCATATATTAGAGCTATCTGTGCCTAGTTCCTGAAACTTACAGTTCTTGTTCTTCTCTGCAGGTCGTATTGGCTTATAACCCACTTGGATGGAAGCGAGTGGACATTGTCCGGCTTCCTGTGAGTCAATCAAATTCTTGTTCGTTAATATCACTGTTATGTGTTACCAACTATATGACGGACGGATTGTTGATAGGTTGTGGATGGAGGCATTGCGGTGCATGACTCTGAGGGCCACGAAGTTGAGTCTCAGCTCATTCCATTTACGGATGAATATGTGGCCTTAAGGAACTATCATGTAGAGGCATACTTAGGTCACAGCCCTACACAGGTGCCTAAGTATTGGCTTGTGTTTTCGGTTTCTGTGCCTCCTCTTGGCTTCACTACTTACACTATCTCCACTGCTAAGAAAACAGGTACAATGGTGCAGACATACCTATTTGGTCTAACGGAACAAGCTGTTGACCTTGACTTCTGTGACATTTTGTTTCTAAATTAGGTGGACATTCTAGCAAATCACATGTCTCCAGGTTCCAAAAAGGTGAAAAGTCGATGATCGACGTTGGTCATGGGCATCTGAAGCTTAGTTTTTCCACTGATCAAGGAACAGCAATCAATTATTCTAACAGCAGAACCTTGGTATGTCATTATTTTTGACACTACTTGGCAGTGATCCTTAAAGCTGCTGATAAATCTCCTTTTTTTGTCTGTGAAGATGACAGAACCACTCAAACAGACATATAGCTACTACTCTGGATACAATGGAACAAATGACAAAGCACCTCAGGTAAGCGGGGATCCTTTTTCTCTCTATTTTTTACACTTTCCTTTCGATGGCGAAAGTTCAGTAAACTTACTCCAACTTTCTCCGATCTCCTTGTCTGGTTTGCAACCACTAGAACTCGGGTGCATATGTTTTCCGTCCAAATGGCACATACCCCATCAACCCGGAAGGACAGGTTGATACTCACTTCTGCAAAAATATTGATATTCAAGACGAATCATAGAAAAGAAACTCAATGTTAACAACTGTCTCCAAGTTTCAGGTTCCTTTGACTGTTATACGTGGGCCACTGGTGGATGAAGTTCATCAACAGATAAATCCATGGATATCTCAGGTAACTACGTTTACAGTGTTTTTGCTTTCCCCATAAATTGTCTGCATTTACTGACTCTTGGAGTTTACCTTAAGTTTGAACTGTTATGTGGCTTCTTAAACTCTGTTTGAACTTGCAGAAGTGCTAATTGTATTTTCTAATACTGTCTGACCTTGTATTTGTCTCCAGGTCACTAGGGTTTACAAGGGCAAGGAGCATGTGGAAGTTGAATTTATTGTGAGGCTGATGCATTAACTAGTCCAATACCGCTTTTTATGTCTTATACCGTTTTTAAAGGCTCTAGGATCATCTGGGTATTTAGGTTGGTAGTATACCGATTGATGATGGAGTTGGCAAAGAGGTCGTAACACAGATCTCAAGTTCCCTGAAAAGCAATAAAACTTTCTACACAGATTCAAGTGGACGTGATTACATCAAAAGGGTATGAAGTACATTTTATCTTCTAACACCTTTTATGTCATGAAGTTAAGGATCTGTATTCTTCTTTTGTGCTCTTGTTTTTATCTGTTCTTTTCTAACTAAAACCTTGTTTCGCAGATCCGCGATTATAGGTCAGACTGGAAACTAGAAGTCAACCAACCTGTTGCAGGAAATTACTACCCGGTATGCAGTTAACTGACATTGTTCAAGCAAGAAACCAGTTGGTAGTTTACAATTTTCTGCAAATGAGCATGGATTGAGTTTGGCCTAATCAGTTGGGTTTAAATTACATATTCTGCTCAGATAAATCATGGAATTTACATGCAAGACAGTGAGAAGGAATTCTCAGTGATGGTGGACAGATCCTTTGGAGGGTCGAGCATAGTGGACGGACAAGTTGAGCTTATGCTTCATAGGTATTGAGCTTAGTTAATATCAAAAATTTCCCTGACCCTTCTTTTTATGGCTCTAATCAAACTATCACCATGATCACAGGAGACTGCTCCTTGACGACTCCAGAGGTGTAGCGGAGGCTCTAAACGAGACAGTGTGTGTTCAACACAAGTGTACGGGGCTAACTGTAAGTACTGATAAGATCAAATTGTTTACTTCAAGAACACTCTGTTTCTCCTGGTCTAAGGTGCAGATTCTGACTACTTTTACAGATCCAAGGAAAATATTACTACAGAATCGATCCTTATGGAGAAGGTGCAAAATGGCGGCGAACTTTTGGACAAGAGGTCTACTCGCCACTCCTCTTGGCCTTTGCTCAACAGGTGAAAACAAGTGTAAAATTGGAAAATCAGGATGCTATTCTCTAGCTGTCCCAGAGCATTTACACAACGGATGTTAACATGTTTCAGGATGATGGAAAGCCGCTGAGTTTTGGTGCAGCATCATTCTCTGGGTTTGATTCATCCTACAGTTTGCCTGACAATGTCGCACTTCTCACTCTTCAGGTGCCCTTTTTGACAGACTCAGAAGTTATAGATAGTTTGGGTGTTTTGAGTTGATAACTTGTTGTTCGCCATTGGTTTGTTGAGAAAATTTCAGGAACTGGATGATGGGAACGTGCTCCTGCGTCTAGCTCATCTTTATGAGGTATTGATAATTATATATTCTCTACTTTCTGTGGGTTTGGTAGTAGAATGAAGCATTTGAGGTTGTGGAATTAGGTGGGAGAGGACAAGGAACTTTCAGGAGTGGCAAGCGTGCAGCTGAAGAAGCTGTTCCCTGGAAAAAAGGTAGAAGCTTTTTTAGAAAAATATGATTTTGAGATGGAAGATACTGAAAAAAGTGTTTCTTGCAGATAGCGAAGCTGACTGAGATGAGCCTATCAGCAAATCAAGAAAGAAGCGTGATGGAGAAGAAGAGGCTGGTGTGGAAAGTAGAAGGCGAAGGATCTAATGGAGAAGATAAGAAGGCTAAGAGGGGCAGAGAAATCGATCCAAGAAAGCTGGAGATGGAGCTTTACCCGATGGAGATTAGAACAGTGCTGATCCGCTTGGCGCAACCACCATCTCACTCCCACATTTACAGATTCGATGCTTGAGGTCTAAGCAAAGCCTGAATAAGTAATAAGTAAGTTTTTAAGGATAGAGTCTCCTTCATCTTGTGTTTTCATTACAGTCGGTGACTAACTTAATAAAAGGTGAATTGAGTCTTGCATCGAATTTTCACATCCAACTTATCATTATTAGGTTTTGATATCAACAAAGATAAATTGACTTTTTATTTGATGAATGATGGAACTGATTATAATTAACATTTACACATGGCACGGAAGCCACGATCGTTTGTTTGAATTCGTAGATATATGGATCATCCAAGCTGAGTGATTCAGACAAAAACAGTAGAAGAAGACATGAAAACTGGAGGAAATTAAGAAAAAAAGTTTTTGCAAAACCAAAAAGAAAGAAATTTAGAAGCTACGTTCTTCGCTTGGCGGTGGCTGCGGAAGCGGAGGAAGTGTTGCCGTCAAAGAGCTGGTCGATAAGATCCTCAATGTCCTCAGGCTGGTACTTGACATACTTCTCTGTCTGACGACCAGGATCCAAGTACTGTCCGAACCTGGCCATGAAGGCCCTGTAGGCAGGTATCATAACCGCTGTTATGGAGACTCTAAGCTCACTCTGCAGCTGCTCATCGTTAACCACCCACGTCGTCTGCGTCTTGTGTATCTCGTCGAAGGTAGCGTTGAAGCTCTTGAACCTCTCCTTAAGATTTGGCTTGACTATCTTGCCGTTGTGCATGAGACCATCATGCGCTAAGAAGCCAAGCAGCTTCCCCCACGTCTCTCTCTGGTAGTTTTTGTGGTAGTTCCTTAGCTCCGACGATCTCCTCCTGCACCATGTGTCACCCATCACCTCGTGTATCTCCGCCGATCCTTTGATCTTCTGCACTATGTATCTTCCGTTGTTCATCATGAAGATGCAGCTCAGCGGAATGTCTTTGTACTGCTTAGACTTGGCCTCCAGGTTTCCGTCAAGTAGCTCCATGATCCTCATCAGCTGGCTTGCAAAGGCTGAGTCGCCGCTTTTCGCGGCAGGCGGCTCGTCGTCCTCCTCTTGCTCCATCTTGGAGTGACTCTTGAACACTTGTTCCAACGTGTCTTTGTATTCGCAAGAGTACTTGAGGTAGTTCATGGTGTACCTCGTCAGGGGGTGCACTGCACCACCTGGAACAGGTGTTTTGCTGGAATCCGATTTGATTGAATTCTCAAGATCCGAGAATATGTTAATGGCAAACTCTCCTAACCGGGAACGAGCGCTAGCCACCTCGTTCCTCAGCTCGCTGCGTAGCTCCTCCGGGAACAGCTCCTCCATGGCTGGAAAACTGTCCCTGAGTGTCTCGTAGATGTCTAGGATCTTGAAGAGCTTCTCAGTGGAGCGTTTGGTCATGGCCACGGCCTCAGCGAAACCCAAGAACTGGATGGCCAGGCAATGCGTGACAATGCAGAACAAGCTCCCCTCGTCTCCAGGGAAGATCTTCTCCGCGAGTTTAAGCTCTCCGGGGAAGAAGAGGGAAGAGCAGTCCTTGAAAGTCTTGTTCCAAAGAGGGATCTCTCTCTCAAGCGTGTCCCAGCTCATCTTCTGCACCTCGTCGATGCTCACTTTCTCAAACTCACAGTCATGTTTCAAGCTTCTCATCAAGATGTTCCTCCTCCCAACCAAGTAAACTTCTCTGCATTCCCATCCGTACCCTCCTGCTTTCATCTTCTCCGCTATCTTCCTCAGCAAGGCAACCACCTCCTCCGAGTAACCGGGGTATTCGATCTCCTGATCAACGCTTTCCGGAACGACCACAGTCTGGTCCTGATCTTGTGAAACCACCGCGTCGTTCTGGTGGTCTTGCTGATCCCCTGTGCTCTTCCTCTGGCTACTGCTGTCGTCGGCGGGGACGACCGGAGGCTCTTTGATTACGGACTCTTCTAAAAGGGCGCGGAATTCGTCTTCCAAGAATGCCATTGCACGCTGCTGGATCGATCCCGCATGGTTGATTAAGGGCTCATGATGGTCCAAACAGGATTTGGTGTTGAGCAACAGACCCATAAGCTTTGAGACACGATCCACTGCCTCAAGAAGCGAAGACACCTCCTCTGGATCTTGGTACCATGTGGTCTTAGGCTCACCAGAATCGTACTTGGAGAGCTTTTCCTCTAAGAGATCCAAGAACTTGCCAACAAACTGTGGGATCTGAAAGTAGTCTTCCTCTGTCTTCTCCTCTTTGTCGTCTTTGTGCTCCTCCTTGTGAAGGGAGAGACTCGAAAGAAGCTGATCCAGTTCTTCGGAGAAGGACTCGAGGGTATGGCGAATCTCTGGCTCTGGTGCTTCTTCTTCTTGTGGAACCTTGTCGTCGACGACATTGTCGCCTGGATCGTGATCTGTCTCGGCATTACCAACGTCGACATTCTCTTTAGTACTGTTACCATCCTGATGCGCAACATCATCTGCAGGGAGATGAGCATCCGAAACAGCGTCGACGGCTTTCTCCTCCCCCTTGGATTTGTCATCATGATCATGATCAGGGTCCTTGTCGACGTTCTTCTCCATGGCTTCTTTATTATTTACGTAAAGATTTTAAAAATGGTGAAGTGGAATTGGGATGGTGAGGAAGGAGAGATTCATGTGTGTTCTGTTTTCGTTTAGACTTTAGGATTTGTGGTTTGTGTGGTTAGAGATGGAGAGATGCGATGGAGATGATCGCAATGGCTGAACCGAAGAAGTAGGGGAGCCTTGTTTTTTGGGTACTTGACCGTTGACTTTTTCTTTTCATCCAATACCAATGCTTGTGTGTGTTCTATTTTTAACCAAAAAAAAAGAAAAAGAAAACCTCGTAATTATTTAACTCTTTCTATAATTTGTTTTGTTTAGAATACATTTCATGGAATATCTAAAAGGGAAGGATATGCATTAAGAAGGGATATGCATATGAAGAATGATTTGATTAAAGAGCGGGTAATGGGAGTATAGTGCGCACGCATATTCCTCACACAACTTGGTTATACGTGCATGCATAAACCATCCTTCATTTCTTGATGTTTTATTATTAAAAACTTTTTTCTGGTTTTCAAGTAATTTTTCAGTTTAGTTTGTTTTTAATGAAAATAGTTGCTTTGTGTGAATCATCTTAAAGAATTTATGATTGGTAAAGTGGAGTAAGGAGAAATGTAAAGAAAATGAGTAGTCAAACTCAAACAAGATGATGTGGAATGAGATGGCACCGAGTGATGGCTTATCTGAATGTGAAGGAGAGGAGAAAAGCCCATTTTAAAGCCCAATTAGTTTAAAAGAGTAGACTTTTGGTGTTTAAGTTTGTGCAACTTTGCACACTAATTCAATAATCTACTACTACTAATCCAATAGGAGGAAGGAGAGGAACAAGTAGGCGGTGTTCTGTCTCCTCATCTCTTCACGTGCACAAATTAAATGCAAATGTGAGTATTAAATTAAATTTAGCTTAGATCAGAGCTATAGTAATTGGTTCGGCGGACGTGGATGGGGATGGCTCGCAATTGTCAAAAAGAGTTCCACCTTTCACTGTGTTTTATAAATTGTTCGTAACCAAAACTTAATTTGGTTGAAGGTCGAATTTGGAATGTAAAACCGGAGAGAATGATGAAATGGTAAGAAGTGAAAGGGTCCAAAACAAAACAAGGACCCTTTTGCAAATGGAGAAACTCCAAACTTGCACGTTTCACTCTTCCTCTCCATCTCTTTTCTTTTTTATAGAAAATGTTCGGAATATATGACATTTTCTTCTCTATTTTATTGCATTATTTGAACTTGATAAGTCAATGAACATCCCTCAAAGCACCTTCCTTTTTCCCTACTCATTCTCATCATCTTTCTTATTATGAACTAAATAAATGTCCAGAACAAAGGAGCCATTTATTTTCAACCATTTATATTACACTACTATATATATCTATGTGTGTGTGTATCCGTGGGGATATATGCTTATATAAAGAACCTCTCTTGCTGTCATTTAGCCTGCAAAGCCCACAAACAAAAGGCTATACACACAAGTCTTTTTCTTCTCTCTCCGCTCTTCCTCTTTGTAGATGAGCGATGGATCAATGCTTGTAAAGGTTTGAAGTTTACCAATTTCTTAGGAAACTTTTTGTAAACAGAAGAGAGAGAGAGAGAGGATATGGAGGTGGAGAAAAGGATAATGGTGAATGGAGGCAGGAAACTACCAATTGGTTACAGATTTCACCCAACGGAGCAAGAACTTATCCTTCACTACTTGCTCCCAAAGACCTTTGCCTCTCCTTTGCCTTCCTCTATCATTCCTGTCTTTGATGTCTTCTTCTCTCATCCTCTTACTATCCTAGGTTTGTCTCTCTCTATTCCTCTGTTAGAGCATGTGATGTATGTCTCCTTATTTTCTTTAACCGTTTGGGTCTATCAAAGGCTGTAACTTTACGGCATACCATGTTTGGGTCTAGATCCGTACTAAAACTGAAAGGGCTTTTTCAGGGGGTCATAAAGAGAAGCAGAGGTACTTCTTTGGCAAGAAGAGAAGAGAAATGTCAAGTAATGAGAACAGAATCAAGATTTCATCTGGCGACGGTTATTGGAAACCTTCTGGGAAAGAGAGACAAATCATTGCTTGTGGTAGAACAGTTGGGATTAAAAGAACACTTGTTTTCTATGAAACAAACAAGTCTTCTTCTAATTGCAACAAAACCAGATGGAGCATGACAGAGTATTGCCTTGCAGGATTCGCATCAACTAAGGTACACATCACTAGTTATGTGCTATTATAAGAAATACATAGGACTTTGGACTAATGGGTTTGATTTGGTAAATGAAACAGGTGTTTGGAGAGTGGGCTGTGTACAATGTGTATGAGAGGAAAGGATCAAAAGGAAGAAAACAGAGGAAATCAAAAAGGAGAGATGATGAAGACTTGAGTTGCATCCATTTTACGATTGGGTCGGATCATGAAACCGGCCCTCCACCGCCCTCGCCTCCTACCTCAGCTGATGAGTCAGGCAGTATTATTTAAATGTTGTTGTTTTTTAACCCTAAGTCCCTAACCTACTCTACTTACGTTTCTTTCAAGCTATTTGAAAAATTACCATGTCTTGATTCATTTGCTAGAGAAAACAGTAACAGGAGGCTAGGGAAGCTCATTTTGATCTGAAAATGTTGTATGATTGGAGATTCCTTGAGCAAACCAAATATCTGTCAAGCTTGTTAATTTTTTTTTTACTTTTAAGTTCTTTTAACATTGTCATGGAGTTAAAGTGATCATAGCCGTGTAAGACGAAGTAAAGTTGCATTAAATGAAAAAGAGGTATCTTTCTTCTTCTTTGATGAGAACTTGATTCTCTTTCTTTTCAAACAGAATAAGAATCGATAGCATCTATATATAGGCAGACATATATATATATATATATATATATACATATTATATAAACAAAATATAGAGGAAAAGTTTATTATTAAGTATAATATGAGATGGAGATGCATTTTGTATTATAACAAGTTGATCTCTTGTGTGATTAAAAGAAAGAATATAGATGGATGGGCGAGTTATATAAATGGTGTGTTAGATAGAAGTATAGAACAAAGAGACAAAAGAGAGAGTTGAAATTGAAATTAAAATAAATGGGAAAAAAAGAAGAAGGCATCGCGCATGGGGTGTCGAGAAGCTAAAGATTTTCGTGTCGAATCATTTGATTTAATCAAAATATATTGGTTGTCACGTAATTTTAAATCTTGAGAAACCAAATTCGTGGAGATGGATTTTAAAAAAAAAAAAAAAAAAAATAGTGACGTGTGTGTGAGTTGCATTCCAAAAAAGAAAATGTGAGTATGACATATGAGCTATATATTCAAATGAAGTTCATGAATTGTTAGAGAAAATATGTACCCAACACTTTCTCAACTATAAAAAGGAAAGAGACATGTATCATGTGTGCCAACAAAAAGGCTCAATGCAAGAAAGACAAAATATTAATGAGCTTGTTTATATGTAACAAGGACAGAGTGGGGACATAACATGGGTATATGATATGTGAACAGTATAATGATTGAAAATACAAAGCTTGTATTGTTTTTCTTCTATACATTCGGACATTGTAAACTAAATAATATACAAAAAATGGTGGAGAAGGTCAAAGACAGGTCACATGTGCATTGTGCACCATCTTCCAATGAACAATCCACAAAAAGACAACATCGATTAAGGCAATCTAAGTTTCTCCTCTTTTCCACACAAATACACAAATTACCATAAACATGTCCTCTTTTGCTTTTAATCGAAGCAATCCTTGGTTTTCAAATGTAATCAAAGAAAAAATGTAACAAAGTTACCTGCATTAAATAAAATAAATAAGTAATTGAAATGATGAGGAGGCATTAAGTGAAAAGTGAGTGTGAACAAGTCTGTGTATTGTGTGTGAGCAGAGGTAACTTGGTGCCAATGGGCTTTGAGAATATGCTTAGCAGAGAAAGCAAGTTTACTTTTCAGCACACAAAAGGTAAATTGAAATGCGTGGTTGCTTCAGATTCAAGCAAACGTTTCTTATTTTGACTAGGACTTAATCACCACCCAAATTATTATTATTATATCTATATATATATATATATATAAGAAATCACTTAGGCAGATAATTAAGTTAACTAACTATACTGTGAGAATTAATCAAGTAAATGACTAATTTTTTTTATTTGTAAAAAAAATACTATGTTGGAGTGTTATTTAGAGTAAATCATGGTGTAATACTGTTATCAACTTATGGTCATTTACATAATTTAGTAGATGTTCTTCAAAGAAAAGGTAAAGTTATATCGTTGAAAAAATAAAGTGGGTCTCTAACAGAGTGGTTTGGATGAAGAAGCGATCTTAGCGATTGACTATAGAGCATAAAAAGCCTCTTTTTTACTAAAACTAGTTGAAGTCAATAGGCTTTGTGTTTATTACTTGTATATGGGCCTGAAAGAGACCATAACTAATATAGTGTTGGGCTTAGAGTGAGCAGAAGCAGATATGTGTAAAAGGTGATAAATCCAAGAAATAATGTGCAGAAGAAAAAAGGCAAAGGCAATGATGAGAAAGAGGATAGAGTGATATGTAAGTAGTGAAGGAATGGAAACAATAAAAAGGGTTAGAGAAACATCGAAACCTTCCTTGTTTGGTAATTTCTATCTTGGAACTTGACCCTTTTCTTCTTGTCTCTTCTTTGGCATCACAACAACAATGCACTATCATATCATATCAATCAAACAAACACTCTCTCTCGTTGATAAACAAAAAAGGTGTTCATAAGGATTTCAAAAATTTAATGAGTTTGAACTGTGATGTGGAGGTGTTCACTCGTGTATGTGTACTATACAGTGCACACAACTGTCTAGTCAGCACGTGTCGTTAGCAGATCATATCTCGCTGCTGCAGGATGTAACAGTCCCAACCCAAAAAGCAACCAATCGTATTTTTTTGCTAATTATCATTTTAATTTTTAAAACAAATAAGAGAGAGAGAGAGAAAAACGGAAGAGAAGTCCAGATGCCATCAACAACAACTGCATTTCTCTTTCCACTCCATTCTCTTTTTTATCTTAACGAATCAGATTAATTACTTTCCTCTTTAATTTACCCTCTCAATCAATCATTTACTCTCTTCTCTACATTCATTTATTCCTCAAGACAGTTTTTACAGTTTAACAGTTTTAAAATTTGAGAAAAACGCAATTACCGTTATCGTTTTCCAATCTAGAATGTTCCTATCACCTTCAACGACCCTAAGATTCCTTTGTTTTTGTTACAAAATAAATTCATTTAATTCTTTCGCAATTATATTTTTAACTCGAAATTGAATTAATATTTAATTATTTATATTGAAAAGTATCGTTTAAATGCATCCCATGCAAATAAGGCTGGAGCAAAAGGATTAATTGGGATCTGTGAAAATTAGTTAGAGAAAGAGATAGGAAGCTGAGTGGCAAAAGGGTAATTTAGAAAGCAGATATTCTCTGCAACAAACGACGCAAACAAACAAAGAAGAGACAGCTTAAACCCTTCCTCCATAAAACCCCAACTTTCACTCTCTTCCTCTCTCTCTCTCTCTCTCCCTTTACTTTTCGACGACGCTTTTTTCCCTTCTTTATACTCTCATCTCTCTCTCTAGCTCATAGCCCTGAAAATGGCAGAGCAACCACCGTCGTCTTTCCATCATTTCGTGGGCCCTTCATCCAGACCTCGATCATCGAACAAGAGACACACCTTCTCCGGAGCTCCGCATCCGGCATGCCACCGTCTCTTCCCGTGCCAGTACTGTCCCCGGAAGTTCTACACCTCTCAAGCTCTCGGCGGTCACCAAAACGCCCACAAACGCGAACGCGCCGCTGCTCGCCGTAACCTCGCCGTCGTCTCCCAATCTCCGTCCATCCTCGACGACTCGACACTGTTCCGTCCCTATCCTTGCTTCTACCCAAACCCACCGCAGGGATCCACGTCGGCAACCGGACCCTGGATCGCACCGGATCAACAGACGATGATGATGGATGGGTACGTCGACCCGTATCCGTTTATGTACCCGTTTGAAGCATCCGGCAACGGAAACGGCGTCATGATGGAAGAAGACGAGCCTCTGGATCTCTCTCTCCGTCTGTGAGTTAATAAAAAGGAAGAGCAGCTTTGTTGCTTTTTTCTGTTTTGCTTTTTGTTCAAGACTCTTTTAAGTACAACTTTGGAGTTTGGAGCTATATGTAGTAGTTGGTTTCTATCTTTCTTCTCTCTCTCTTTCTGTGTTCATGTTTGCATCTCCAGGAAGAGAAAACTAGTTTGCTACCTTTTTGGAATCTTCATATGATGATGATCGTTTCGATCGATTTAGTTTATAATCGAGCAGTCTTTTGGTGTTCGTTTTTTGGAATGTAGTTTCAGAACTCGGATTATTTTATCGTTAATGGATGATGCATTTGAAACTTTAATTTGTTACAAGTTAAAAGATGGATGATCGATTCGCTTGTTTTAAGGCTAATTTCGAATGTTAAATGAACAAGTGACGAGCGAGATCGAATCGGAATTCGGATTCTCTTTGTGTTTGTTCATCGCCTTCCCTAATTAGTAAAATCTGGATTTGTTTTCCCGAGTTGCAACAACAAAATCCGATCATGTCTCCGATCTGCTGAAAACCCCTAACCGCCTCCATAAAGTTGGTACGTGCGGGAATCCAACATCTCATCATCACCCACACGTGACTCCCTCACGTGACGCGCTGCAATTAATATTTATCCTTTCCAAATTAAAACGAACAAAGTGCGTGCCGTTTCTGAGCGTATCAGACAACAACCACTTTTTACCTCAAACATAGCTAAAAGCGTCTTCTTTATCATCATCCTTTGCTATATACTGTAGTAGCTTCCAAATTTCTCTTATTAGCAAAAATATTAGTCACTCAGATATTACATACTGTACTCAGGTAAAAAAAGTATCAAATTTTTGTCTGACAATAAAAACTTAGAAATAACAGTATTACATTACAATTATAAGTGGTAAAATTTCCAAAGAATATGTGTATAGAGAGTCATTTCTAACGATCAAGGTCATATATCATCATCATCATCGTCATCATGATGCTCAGAGGAGTAGTCAAGATGTTCTTTAAGCAAATGGGTCTGGTTTCCAGCAGAAGTGTCGGGTTCCATTTCAGGAAGTTCAAACTCCTCTGGTCTCAGTGACAATTGAAAGTCTGGGAGCTCTGGCAAACACTGCATTGCCCTGTGGATTTATCATATCATACATCAGCTATATATACTCCATCTAATATATATATATATATATATATGATTCTAACTAGTTTATAAACGTTCTTCAGCTTACTTTTCTTCTTCTTCAAGCAAGTAACCATACGTTTGAGATTTCCTGAAAGCAACTTCTGGAATCTTCTGGCTCAAATGCTTCATAACCCCCCACATTGGAGGAGCTCTGATAAAAGATAATGATTGAGTCACAACTCACTTGTTTGATAATGAATTTTTTGGATATTTATAATGAAACACAAACCTGGTGACAGGAGGAGCCAAGCAGAAGCTGAGACAAGCCTTCTTGCTTTCTCCTAGGATCTCTGCAGCTGCAAGGAAACAACACACTGCGCTCACGTGGCAAGATGGCTCAGTTCCTTTGTCTGTTACCAGTCCATGGTAGTAGTAAGCCGCAGCCTGTTTAATAACAATCCCCAAGAAAAAAAACAGGACATTACATAGAGGTTGGATTTATGAGAGAAGAATTGACATGGAAAAGATGAACTGTTTGATCACTTTCAACAGTAGCTTTACCTTTGCTTCCAGAAACTTCCAGTAGATAAACCGGAGAAGCTTCTTGGCGCATCCATGGCTGACTACTTCACAACTAGACAAGCAGTGATATGCCTGAAATGTGATCATTTAAAGGAAATCATCAGAGAGATTGGTGCAGAAACATATGCTTGTCCGAGAAACCACGCATGATGCAAGAATATGAACATGTATTAAGCTATGAGGAGGACCTGAGAGAAATAGATGACTTGCTCACAGGCAAGTCTTCTCTTCACAGAGAGTGTTGCTTTCTGGCTATCAACTGCTAATCCAAGTTGGATCTCAGTCCCCTGCAGTGAGATATTTCAACCACATTTACAAATGATACCAGAGATATAATAGTCTCAGCTTCAGATTCTAGAATGCTTTAACAAGTGTGTAACCTGGCCAAGTGCTTGAATAGAGAGAGATTGTAGCACACTCTCCTGCATATCATCTGGCAGCTTACTCCTGCGGACAGATTACAAATTTGCAGCTAATGTAATTATTTATGTGATAAAGCCTGAACCAAAATATTCCGTGTGTTTTGCTTCATACTTGACATCAAGAGGAAAGCGAGTCAGAATATCTTGGACACAGAACTCTAAGTATCCAGACGCCTTGAGCAGCAAGTCAACAGCCTCTCTCCTGCAATCTGTTTGAAAATGACAGTGTAATCAGGTTTGTACCACACAGAAAAGAATAAGTGGAACATAAATGTGAAGATAAAAGAGCCCAAACCAGTAGATACCACACGGACGCCATTGCCAGAAGCAGAGCAATCCTTAGGAATCAAGAGAGAGTTAGATTCAGTCAATGCCAAAGCAGCCATCATGTGGATCACTGCCAACATCTCCATCCAAAGGTTTGTAAAACATATCTCTCCCTGCACACACTTTCACATTGTTAAGAGTAACAGAACAAACAAAATCCAAATTCTCAGGATATGATTAGCTTTAAGCAAACATAAACGAACTTACTCTTTTACTGTCTCCAAGGGTTTTCCATTTGAACTCCACGCATCCCTCCATTCCATCATTCTCTACAGTGGTAAAATATTATGGAATCACTATCTGATTTACAGCACATTAAACTGATTAACTTAATTAAAATTTGCAAACACGAACTTTTCTTGATAAGACCGCTTAGAAGAGATAAGTACTCCTCCAAAGCTGTACGCAGCTCAGCGATAGCAGAACCCCCTGCGATTGAACGTGGAACACTTGTTTCAAAACAGGAACCTTTTATCTTAGCACGCAAGAAAAGGGCAAGAAGATGATCTCATTTCTCTGTACCTGTGTCCTCAGCTACCAACTGAATCTGATTCCTTAGACATGTCAATCTGTCGATGGTTGTCTTGGGAGCAACGCCTTTGAGTTGACGCTGAAGATCAGACTGAACAGGAACACGGAGCTGCAGAACAAACACTACGGATTCTTGAATGATCCTCTTCTTGTTCTTCCTTCCTACAACAACATAAGCAGATGTAGCACACCCCATGCTCTCTCTCTCTGCTATGCTTTTTGCTCACAAAATATCATCCTAGATATTCGGATACATATATCATACACAACAACATCGACAAATATGAAAGTCTTGGAACAACCTGAAGCGGATAGATCCGGATTTTTCTTAGAGAGCTAAATATTAAAAGGAAGAAAATCTGAGAGAGCTAATGGAACAGAGGTAGAGAGAGGTATAAGCATGTGTGACGGTGTGAGGGAAGGTTGGTTTGAAGGTTCCGAAGAATGATGAGTTAGAGAAAGAAGATTCACTTGGGTTTTAGAGTTCGATGCAATCCCTCCCACATGCTCTCTATTCAATGGCAAATGGGTCGATACACACGATTTGTTTAACCAAAGAAAGAAAAGAAAGGGCACATGCCTTACGGTTTAATCCAAGTTTTAATTATGTTTATTATGGGAAGCTGTGAATTCACATCCCCACTTGCCTAGTTCTAATTGGCTCTCCGGTTTAGTACTTCCTCTTTGACTTCTTTACTTAACTTTCCCGCCACCTCGATTAACCGAATCATATCAACATCTCCTTTTTACCCTGTTTTCTTACTCCAACCAATAAACAATTAGAAATGAAAATGGTAACAAAAATACAAAACCTGTATTATGTCCTTGGATAAATGTATTCTTTGGCTTGTATAAACACTAATACGTATGAAGATTTGCAAGCGCGTAGACTTTTGATTATCAAACGAGATAATTAATAGAAAATGATAACTTTTTTTGGGGGGAGGCAAACTAGAGAAGAAGATGATAGCTATGATTATAAATATTTAGGAATATCTGAATCAAATCAAAATGTGGTGTGAGAGAAGAAACATGTTAGATTGTGGCAGAGGACAGGCTGTGTGTTACAAGTTGATTGATCTTCATTACAAGCAGCTCAATCCCCAGATTTAGATCCTAAGAAAAAATGCACATTAATAATTAGAATGGGCCTCTACTAAGTGGGCCCATTATCAGGTGAAACAAAACAATTGGGCCCAACATTGACTTTATGTTTCTGAGTGAGGGTCACTGCGTGCTATATCGTCGTCGGAGGGTTTACGAGCGGAGGAAAACAATCGTAGATCTGTTTCGCATCTGCCTAACAACAACAGCTTCGAAGATCACAAACCATGGCCATCTCCTTCGCTAAGCTTCTGATCTCCGCCGTGGCGGTTTTCATGATGGTTTCTGCTTCGTTCGCGACCTCGGAAATGCCGTTCATGGTGGTCCACAAGAAAGCTACTCTCAACAGGCTCAAATCTGGCGCCGAACGCGTCTCCGTTTCCTTCGACATCTACAACCAAGGAACAGCGTCAGTTCTCTAGCTCCTCTCTGATTATCTTCTTCCCAATCCGTCTGATTTCTCTGCTTTCATTTCCGATCCATTTTAGTTTCCCGATCGTCTTTTTGCATGGAGAGATTTGCAACTATAGGATTAGTAAATTATGCTTGAGCTATCCTTAGATCTATCGTATGGATGTTTATCATTTTCTAGTAACCGAAACGCCATTTGATCTGATCGATCCCCTTGTTCCTCGCAAATTTGGATTTCGTTTTTGAATTTCTGCGAGGACTTTGAGCTTTGTCATGAATGTCTGCTAAAAAATGTGAGATATATTGTTGTTTGCTCTCAGGACGGCATACGATGTGACGCTGACAGATAATAGCTGGGATAAAGCCACTTTTGAAGTTGTTAATGGAAACACTTCAAAATCATGGGAAAGACTTGATGCGTGAGTTCTTCGTTGATCATAATTGTTTAAATAGTGATGCGGATGCCTTAGCATTTCGTTTCCTCGCTAATCTGATATTTGTGTGCAGAGGAGGTATTCTGTCTCATTCTTTCGAATTGGAGGCCAAGGTTAAAGGACTCTTCTACGGTGCTCCTGCTCTTGTTACTTTCCGCATTCCCACGAAGAATGTTCTTCAGGTTTGCCATTTATTAGTGTCCTTCCTTCTTCTTTTAGTGGAAACAATTGTGTACATAATTCCATTTCACCCATTTCACAACTTTTTCCTGTAACAAACTATCCATAACTTCTGCCACCTGGAATTTGTAAACGCAAACTAAGCTGTATAAGGTTTGTGTTGCTAAAAAATCTGCTTATGTGATGCAATCATGTATTCTTGTTTGTAGCAAGCATACTCAACTCCACTCCTACCTCTAGACATCCTCGCAGACAAACCTCCAACGGACAAGCTTCAGCTGGTAAATATGATTTCTCAAGGACTGTTCTTTCAGTCATCTCCTCAATGTTTTATTTTCTTCTCAGTTATTGACTTTCATTGTTCTTTTGTGTTGTGTCTTGGATGTTGCTCTTGATGCTCTGCTAAAATAATCACAGGCCAAGGTAATTCGATGTGTAATTCTCCCCTCTCAGTGAAATAATCGAGTATAACAGTTCTCATCTTACCTTTTCTTTTCAATTGTTGCAGAGGATTCTGGCGAAATATGGATCACTTGTTTCGGTGATAGGCATGGTGGTTTGTTTCATATACTTGGTAGCAACACCTTCAAAGTCCAACGCAGCCAAAGCGAGCAGCAAGAAGAAGCGTTAAGGTTGTGAAATGAAGGTGAGAAAGGTTGATACGGTGCTATGCTGTGTTTAGCAGTTGAACACAGTTTCAAAAGTTGTAAGAATTATAGAACACACTTTAATTTTGCTGTTGCAGAGGATAATTTTCAAAGAGTTATTTTGGTTTCGCATAATAACGTCTTTGTGAGAGCATTTAGTCATGGAGGTCTTCTGCCTTCTGCCTTTTTTTTTATTGTTTTGCCTGCATCCTCTTTAACATGAGCCTTTTATTCTTTGTTGTGTTCGTTGTTTTGTTTAATTACCTCTTTGCTTCTAATTCTGTTTAATAGTTTTGTAGTGTTAAGTATTGTGATTTTGATCATTAGTAGTTTAAAAAAATATATATATTACGGGTGTTCAACTGAGTGCTGTTGTGATATTTTTGAGCCTACAAATCCCCACCTAGTCAATAATAATGATTTAATACATGAAGGTTCTATATATGTTAATGATGATTTGAGCCATCAAGCCCCCACCTTGAATGACCTTTTCCAGTTCCCTTAGAACCAATAGGTTCGTTCAGACTGGTTAGTGTTCATTTACGCTGTTGAAATCTAGTTCTCTCTTAGGTTCTTTCGCTAGCTGAAAATTGTAATGTCTATCACATGAAAAATAGATGTTTCGATCTTCTCTTTTATGCGGTTGAAACGAACCCATACATAACAACAGGCAAAAAATCATTCCCAGCTGGTTAATGATAAAAGGCAAGGTTGATGGTTAATATTAAATAGTTTGATTAACAACTCGTATTAGACTGATCTAGCATCAAAGCCCGTCTAGCTCAGTTGGTAGAGCGCAAGGCTCTTAACCTTGTGGTCGTGGGTTCGAGCCCCACGGTGGGCGTTCGTTTTTTTAAAACATGTCTCTATTATTATGCCACAATATATTCCTTATGGCCTTAACAAGAACACAAATAAACCGTCGGGGGTTCCCCACGGTGGGCGATTTGGAAAACTCGTTTTTCGAAGACTATTACTAGGTCTATAATATTTTCATTATTATGCTTATACAAGAGGACAAATATGCAATTATGAGTATTCAGTATCCACACATTTATGAATAGTAACTCTTGACAGTATATGAGAAATTAAGGTCATAAATTGGGGAATGCAGCCAAAATGAAACAAAAAGATCAACCAAAAGAGGTTTTCAATAGAAACCGAATAAAAGTATTAAGTGGGTGTGTGACTGTGTGTCCACTCTCTCTATCTTTTAGTGAGCCTCTCATCTTTTAAGATCACATCACCCAAACAAAAAAAGGACAAGAAATAAAAACAACAATAGGCTGAGCGTATGTGAAGATAGAGAGGGAGATAGTAGTATCCTGAATTCAGGAAACACAAATTTCGGAAAAAAAAACAAAAATGATCAAGTTGGAATCAGGAGGATGAGCTCACTCTTCCTCGGTACTTATTTTTCTCAAACAAAAATCCTATCCTTTTTCATCATCATTTGGCTTCAGCAGCTTCGATGGCTGCAACTGGAGCAGCACCACCGGTGGTTGGCCTGAACCAAATGAAAAAAAAAAAAGAATGAGCGTTTGCAATTTTTTGACAGTATAGAGGAAAGAAAGGAAGGGAGGAGATAGGATCTTACAGGCCAACAAACACTTTGAAGGCATCGTATAGTCCCCACTGTGCTCCAGTCAATGTCCCGATCATCACAATTCTCAGAGGAAGACCTCTTGTGAACAGTCCCACCATTCCTATCTTCTTCACCGCCTGCAACATTTCATTACATCAATTAAATATTAATCCTAACGCAACAGAAATCAAGAGTAATCCGAGCTTATATGCATCTCTAAGAGAGATAAAATGACTTACATCTCCGACGGTTGCTCCCTTAGCGTTGTTGAGGAAAGACACTAGATTATCGGCTGGATGAGAAACGATAGCACAGAACACTCCAGCAACGTAACCTCCTGCAAAACTAACACCGAGTTGCAGACCTTTGCTGCACTGGTCCTTGGGGTTGGGGATTGCGTACTTGTAGATCATCTCCACAATCGTCTCAAACGAAGCAAACTTCATCATAGTGTCTGTCACATTGCCAAGATATCATCAGCACACTTTGCTTTTAATGAATCACGTATACTTCATGACCAAAAAGAAGAAAAAAGATATTGTGCAAAAGGTTGTAAAATAGAGGTTAGAACTTACAAGGAATCTGACGTCCCCAGAGTGGAACAAGACCCTTATACAAGCTGCAAATAAAAAAGAAATCAGACACAAAAGGCTAACTAGCTGTAACAAGGGAGAGAGAGAGTTATTGGCATTAAAAAACTCACCCTCCGAATCCTTCGGCCTTGACAAACTTGGGAAATCCATCAGCCATTCCCCTGGCAAATCCAGGCTGCGTCTGGACACGCACCTTGACAGCCTCAAATGGGCAAAGAGCAACATCTGCGATAACCTCAGCAGAAGCAGAACCAGCAAGGAAGATGAGGGTTTTGTATTTGGCAGTGAACTCAGGTCCAGCAAGGTCAGAGTATGTTTTCTTGAAGTACTCGTAGAATCCAAACTTGCAGGCACCCTGAGCACTGTAACCCAAAAGAGTAGGAACCCATCCACGGAAAAACCCTTTGACTCCTTGCTCCTTCAGCAAAATCCCAAAACCAGACGAGATGCTCTTGTACTTTGCTGGATCAATCTGGATGGCAAAGAATATCAGTTTTGCAACACCGAGTCAATCATTCCACACATACCACGGTTTTTAAAACAAAATTTGGAAGAAAAAAAAGCTCATCTAAGAATCTAACCAGAACTCAGGACAGTATTGATACATAAAATCCAAAAGAACAGAAGAAATGACGTCTATTCAAGGGAAATGGATGGACGAACAAACGTAACAACAGAGATAAAACAATTCTTCAAATAACCAAGTGCAACACAAAACCAATAGTCAGGGAAATAACGAAATGATATTAGTCTACAGAGAAAATCAGATCACAGATTTATCCAACCCAGAAAACAAAGCTAAAACGTAGATCTCAAAACCTGAGCAAACACAGCAACACAGATCTACAAAAACGAGTCCCGAAAACATACGAAGGATAACGGATCTAAGGGTGTATACCTGCATATTGCACTTGACGAGATCGAGAGGTGTAACAGTCATGTGAGTCAGACCACAGCTGAGAATTCCACCGAAGGTACAGGCGGCGTAGAAGGCAGGTGAGTACATCTCGATCTTCTTCCCTGGCTCGGTGGGAGACGCGATAAGGAAATTCTTCTGAGACAGCATCGACGTCGGAGAGGAACGCGCGGCCGGAGCAGGAGATTTCTCGAGATTGGCGGAGGCGAATGCAGCGTTGGAGTTGGAATTCAGCACCTGGTCGAGGAGAAAGCTTCTCGGCGACGAAGAAGAGGCGTAGAGGAAGCTGGGGATCAGAGAATTCTTAGAGGAATCCATCGCGGCGGAGAATGGAGGAGATAGGTAGCGTAGGAAATGAGAGCACGGAGGCGAATGTCCGATCTCACGCTGCCTAAAAGAGAACACCAATGAATGATATTTCTCTCGAATCTCGGCCCTTTATTGGGCAGTAAGATTCCCGATGAAACAGGGCATATACTTTGCAATAATCACGAAAGTACCATTTGAAATGGTTCTATTCACTTACGTGTCATGGCCCATGGGCTTTTCAAGGGTCATAAAACCCGTTGACCCATGAAAAGGTCTAGGTTACGAAATTTTCCAAATTCTATTTGTTTAATTGTTTTTTTTTCGGGGAAATGAAATTCTAAAACCCTAAATCTCCCAACCAGAAGCGAACTCTCGCCGACAGTCACCGTCTAAAGGGCTTCTTCTCGTCGACGTTGTAAGTTGTCTCCTTTTTCTTCATTATAATCAAATTTGAGCTCGATTTAGGTTAAAGTAGTAGCTTTCTTCGTAATCCTTGCCGAAATTAAGGTTTAATTAAGCTCTGTTTTCTAGTTAGATGACGAAATTGGCTGCAAATCTTATCGTTGTTGTTCTTTGATCGCAGCTGTGAATTTGCGGTATTGAGCGATGGATACGTTATCTCAGAACGCTCCGAAAAGTAAGAAGGGTAAGAGAGAGGAGTCGAAGAAACAGTACAGAGATTTTGAAGATGGGAAAGACATTGGTTCCGATGACGACGCAAGAGGAAAGAGAAGGAAGAAGGAGGAGGATAAGCAACGAGCGTCGGAACAAGTCGAAATGAAAAAGCTCGAGAATTTGTTATTCGGATCTCTCTACTCCCCTGTTACCTTCGGTAAAGAAGGCGGCGGCGATGTAGAAGCAGATGGGTCTTCTCTGTTTCACGTCGACCGCTCTGCTGCCGAAGAGATTCCGGATTACGAGGATGATGATGAGCAGCTTTCTGATGAGGAGAAGAGAGGTCAAGCTGAGGGGAGAATTAGAAAGGGAGAAGCTGCCTGGGAAGATGAAGAAGAGAAAGAGCTAACCATTGACATAGCTACTGTTAACCGTCTGAGGAAGCTAAGGAAAGAGGAAAACGAAGGCTTGATCTCCGGTTCTGAGTACATTTCGAGGCTGAGGGCACACCATGCGAAGCTAAACCCGGGGACGGAATGGGCTCGGCCTGATTCGCAAGTGAATGATGGAGAGTCTTCAGATGATGAGTACGAGGGTGGAGAAGGTGATGATGATGATATCCTCCGAACAAATGAAGATCTTGTGGTGAAACGCCGTGGTAACAAGCTGTCTTCTGGTCTTCTCGAGTACTCGAAGCTCGTGGACGCCAATGTAGCGGATCCTTCAAACGGTCCGATAAACTCTGTCCAGTTCCATCAGAACGCTCAGCTGCTTCTCGCTGCTGGATTGGATCGGCGGTTGAGGTTTTTCCAGATTGATGGGAAGAGGAACACCAAGATCCAGAGCATTTTTCTCGAGGATTGTCCCATTCGTAAAGCGGCCTTCTTGCCTAATGGCTCTCAGGTCATTGTCTCTGGAAGGAGAAAGTTCTTCTACAGCTTTGATTTGGAGAAGGCACAGTTTGACAAGATTGGTCCTTTGGTTGGCAGAGAAGAGAAAAGCTTGGAACAGTTTGAGGTGTCACAAGACTCCAAGACGATAGCCTTCATGGGCCACGAAGGTTACATCTTACTTGTGTCCACAAAGACAAAAGAGCTGATAGGAACCTTGAAGATGAATGGCTCTGTCAGGTCCTTAGCGTTCAGTGACAATGGGAAGGAGTTGCTGGGGTCAGGAGGAGACGGACAAGTCTACCTCTGGGATCTGAGAACAATGAGGTGCATACACAAAGGTGTGGATGAAGGCAGTACTGGTGGCACTGCTCTTTGCAGCTCGCCAAACGGAGCGTTGTTTGCCTCCGGAACAGACAGAGGGATCGTTAACATTTACAAGAAGTCAGAGTTTGTTGGAGGCAAGAGGAAGCCGATAAAGACGGTGGACAATCTCACTTCCAAGATTGATTTCATGAAGTTTAACCATGATGCTCAGATTCTTGCTTTGATCTCTACGTTGAACAAGAACAGTGTGAAGCTTGTCCATGTTCCGTCCTTGACCGTGTTCTCAAACTGGCCGCCGCCAAACAGCACCATGCATTACCCTCGCTGCTTGGATTTCAGCCCCGGAAGTGGCTTCATGGCTATGGGAAACGCCGCCGGGAAAGTGTTGCTGTACAAACTACATCATTATCAGAATGCTTGAAAGTGGCCCTTAGCGAGTCGCAGTTTTGGGATTGTTGTGTTTTTGTTTTGTCGCGTTAACTCTTCTGTTATCTAATTTGTTTTACATTATTTCGATCAATGGAATATTTTCTTTCACATTATTGGAACTGAGTGGGCCAAAGTCTTTTCTCACGTTTTTGTGTCAACATCGACAATATTTTGATATCTGAAATAATTGGAGGAGAAGAAGTGAGATGTCGTCATTGTTTCACTAGTTAACACACTCGAATACAATTTTAGTGCCCTACCCGAGGCTGAAAGGGTATCAATGTATCATCTCCATCCAGCGATTGAATCTGAACCGTCCAATTCTGAGAAGGGCTAACAAAGCAGTGTTGTCCCTCACGTTCTCTAATTATGTCTTAAGCGGCGTTTTCACTCCTTAAGCAACAACAACAACAACAACAACAAAAAAACATTATTTTCTTGGCGGACGCCGGCGAATCCGACCGGTCGTTTCAGCTGTGTCCGAAGGAATCCAGAGGAAAGGCTCAAACTTTATAAATTGTTTCTACGCAGATTCTGTTAAGGTACTTGTCTACATTTTTCGTCTTCCTTTGGGCCTGCTGCTCTTATCTGTATTACGATCGTCTTTAGCTATTTTCTTTTTTCAAATTCTCCAGTGATTCTATAATTTCTTGCATTTGGGCGATGAAGAAGCACCATTTTACACATTTTCTAGTTTATATGCTTCACCTTCTTTTTTTCTTTTGTTTTTTACTGAAAAGTATAACAGATCCATCTGTCTTTGACTCCTTCAAAAGAACTGTACAAGTGTTACTCTTATAATGTTGTTTACTTGTTTATTAGGATTGCTTGTTACAGTTGGTTGGTTGTTTGATTTCATTGAAAGAATAGTCGTCATTTGTCTCTCCTGGTCAACTTTGTATTTAATTGGCTGAAGAAAGTTTTTCATAGTCATTCATTCCTTATTGGTTCTACCACATTAGTAATCGTTAGATATTTTAGATCCTATGAGAAAGACCTAACATTTGTTTTTTCTTCTTGTTCTGTCTCTCAATTTCATAGTTGAAAGCTGTACCATTTGTCGAGATCACAACAACCAGTCTCTTTTTTAGCAAGCTTCACTATTGAGAAAATGGCGGCTTCATTGCAGTTGTACGGAGTTAAAGCTCCAGGGCTTGCTTTAAGCTCAAGAAGGCTTGAGTTTAGCACAAAGGGAATTAATTTTTCGGTTAACCAGGCCACAAGTAGTGCAGTCTTTAGAACCGTAGAGCATTCTTGTAGGAACATAGCTCTGAGAGTTAGTTGTGAAGCTGGAAGAGTCGATTTGCTTGAAAGAAGAGAGCTTGAGACTTGCAATTCAAGCGGAACTGGCAAAGAGCTGACATGTGTGATGAAATTCGGCGGCTCATCAGTGGCATCAGCGGAGAGGATGAAAGAAATTGCCAATCTTATTCTCAGCTTTCCTGATGAGAGGCCCGTTATTGTGCTATCAGCAATGGGGAAGACGACTAATAAGCTTCTGAAGGTAACACAACAATCTTCTTCTTGTCTTCTTCTTTCTTATGATGTTCGTTATTGATGTAGTGAATTATTTTCTTGGTCTTTGGCTTTCATTAGGCTGGAGAGAAGGCTGTTACTTGCGGTGTCACTAACGTAGAAAGTATTGAAGAATTGAGCTTTATAAAGGAACTTCATTTAAGGTTAAATAAAACGATGAATGTCCTGTTTTTTTTATGGTTATCTATTGTTCACAGTCGAAATTTAGGCTTATTCTCATGGTAAACAAAATTCTCTAATGTTCAGAACTGCTCATGAGCTTGGAGTGGAAGCAGCGGTTATTACAAGTAAGTGCCTTGGCTCTCTTTCTCAAATTGCAGTTTCTGAATTTCGCTTTGCTCATTTAGTTAATTTTCGTTTCTGAATCCACTTTCCGGTTAAACCAATTGCAGAACACCTAGAAGGACTACACCAGCTGCTGAAAGGCATATCAATGATGAAGGAATTAACCTTGCGTACAAGAGACTACTTGGTTTCATTTGGAGAGTGCATGTCCACAAGGCTTTTCTCTGCCTATCTCAACAAAATTGGCCACAAATCGCGTCAAGTATGTTGCTTTATAGTACCCTGGTTTTAGAATAACTTGTCAGCTAGATTAAAGAAACTTGAGTGTGTCAATGCTCAAAACTTGAGTGAGTTTTGATGAGTTTGTTCACTTGTTGTTGGCAGTATGATGCATTTGAGATTGGGTTTATAACCACAGACGACTTTACAAATGCTGATATACTTGAAGCAACATACCCTGCCGTCTCCAAAACTCTTATTGGCGATTGGAGCAAGGAAAACGCAGTCCCTGTTGTTACTGGCTTCCTCGGAAAGGTTTATACTTTTGCTGACCAAGTCATCATGTTATTCTCGTGGATCAAGAAATATGTAGTGAATAACTCGGATTCCTATCTATTTCTGCAGGGATGGAGGTCGTGTGCTATAACTACGTTGGGTAGGGGTGGTAGCGATTTGACAGCCACAACGATTGGAAAAGCGCTAGGACTGCGGGAGATTCAGGTAATTGATTTGGTTAAAGCCAAGATTGCTTGAAGATGGAAATTTGTTAACTAAACATTTCTTTATTTTTCATAATCTGGTGCAGGTTTGGAAAGATGTGGACGGTGTTTTGACTTGTGATCCTAACATATACCCTGGAGCTCAACCTGTTCCATTCTTAACATTCGATGAGGCAGCTGAGCTTGCTTACTTTGGTGCCCAGGTAATAATATCATAAATTATTAATCTTTGCTGATGAGTTTCTTCTCTGTCTGATGGCTAAGCATATTCCTCTTCCATTTCAGGTGTTACATCCACTGTCCATGAGGCCAGCAAGAGATGGAGACATTCCTGTCAGGGTTAAGAACTCGTACAACCCCAATGCTCCAGGAACTGTCATCACCAGATCGAGAGACATGAGTAAGGTTCGTGAAACAAGAGTGCTTTTTGAAACTCATTATATCAAACTATATCAATGACCTCTTCTCCCTCCTTTGTCTCCTTGTAGGCTGTACTGACTAGCATTGTTCTGAAACGTAATGTGACAATGTTGGACATCGCAAGCACACGTATGCTCGGCCAATATGGTTTCCTTGCCAAGGTAATATTATTGGATAAATGATATCTTTATTCGACTTTGTTGATATATCTCATTGCAAGCGTACATACTTTCGATGTTCAGGTGTTTACCACATTTGAAGATTTAGGCATATCGGTAGATGTTGTGGCAACAAGTGAAGTTAGTATATCTTTGACACTGGATCCAGCAAAGCTCTGGGGTAGAGAGTTTGTTCAGCGCGTAAACGTGAGACTCCGTTTACCTTGATACATATAATGTTGTGTGAGAATCAATATGTAATGTTGGTAAAAATAATGATTGGGTGTGAACAGGAGCTGGATCATGTGGTAGAGGAGCTAGAGAAGATTGCTGTTGTGAAACTGCTTCAGCGCAGATCAATCATCTCTCTCATCGGAAATGTTCAGAAATCATCACTCATATTAGAAAAGGTGAGTGAGAGTAGTAACCTGCAGTCTTGTGTTTTCTTTTGATGTTCAAGTTTTAGCTAATGAGAATGGCATGAACAACAAAAACAGGTGTTCAAAGTACTTAGAAGCAATGGAGTGAATGTGCAGATGATCTCACAGGGTGCATCTAAGGTTGGACTCTGCTGCTACACGTAGATACATATAAATGAATATGGTATTGTTATGGTTTTATATTGAATAAATGTTTGTGTGTGTACCAGGTAAACATCTCATTGATAGTGAATGATGAAGAGGCAGAGCAATGTGTGAGGGCTCTCCATTCGGCCTTCTTTGAGACCGCTTCTTAATGCAAGACAGAGCTATGAATGTGTTAAAGACTTGGAACAACTTCACATTCTTTGTTCTTGTTCTTATTGTTGTTGTTGTAGTAGTTGTTGTGATACAGTAATAAGTTGATAACATTATTTGAGCCAAACTCTATAATCAATAACATGATCATGACTTAACGGTCAACAAAAGTTCATAGAAAAAAAAAAGAGGGAATGAGGAATGTGGAAAAGTGTGGCATTCAAGAAGCTGCAGGCTTTGAATGAAAGAAACAAGCACTTTTGATAATTCCGAAAATACCCTTCCTCAAAAGCATACGCACCACGTACTTGTCCAGGGTTATAACCGACCGACCAGCCGGTCAACAAAAAATACACATCTGATGACATCTGTTACGTAAGGCTTCTGTAACGACCTTCGATTTATTTTAAATAATGATAAAGTGGTCCGACAAACGCAATCCCTCAAGATAGTTTCTTTTTTGTTATAAATTAATCAACTTAAGGCAAAGATTTAGTCTAAAATGAATCGACTTTAGTTTATACCCCAAATCTAAAACCAATGAAGGGACATATAACTCTTCGGACTCACTTAAACTAATATCCATGTCCTGATAAGCCTCCCCACTATTATTTAAAACGAAAAAAATCGTAAATGTGATTACATAGATCATAGATGGAAAAAAACGAATAACTTAGGGAACCTTATCATTTAGACTCGGTGAGAGGTGACTCTGTATTGCGATTGCTACCTACAAATTTCTTAACAAATTGTTTGTGCTGACAACAATAATATTTTTATTTAGCTTTTCTTTGTGAAAGGGGTTGGTCAAACATGAGAAACAAGAAGGGAAATTGGCAGATAAAAAAAGGCACAAGCATGCATGGAAGCCAAAAATGCATGTGACCAACTTTGTAAAATTGAACTTTTTTCAGGCTTTTAGTGAACTTATCTACAATATCTAAATTATATGAATTGTACAGTTTTATCTAACGTAACTGAATTGCAACTTGTAATAATCATTTAGAAACAAAAAGATGCTAGCAAGAACATGCCAACTTGTAGTTTCCATACATCAAGAAGACAAGAACACTGACATCCTGATGGAAGCAAGTAAACGCTGGTCGCAACTACATCACAATTAATAGTGTCTTCTCTTTTAATTTGAAGTTCATTCCAAGAATATTTGATGACTCCTTTATTTATCTTTATAAAAATTTGCCCAATTTTTCTATATCCTACTGGGCCAAGAATAAATGATTATGCGAAATTCGATCTTGATTACAAAAATATTCCAACTCATATAATAAACGTCTAGATATATGTGTGGGACGCTCTAGTTGGATTACATTCCAAAAGAAAACATATTCCACCTTCTTTTACGATCATTATGATATAATGATATTATGTGTAGATAGATTGTTTATAGAGATTGATTAGAGGATATAATGAGCATAAAGTGAAAATGGAATATAATGGAAAACCACCGGCCATATCCAAACATTCGACCTCATCTCAATGTTACGACTTGCTCACATAATGTTGGCAGCATCAAAGTTCTTATTCGACGCGTCTCCATTAATAATATTGATTCATATATTTTTATTTGAATATATAGGACCGTTTTTTCTTTGGTATGTTGGACCAATTTTTCAGACAAAACTAGTTAAGTGTAACTCTCTGTAAGATATTATTACGGTAATAGCCGACAAGAAGGATAGACATATATTACCAGGAATTTTCTTATTCTACCAAGAGCTAGCCTCTATTTAACAGAAAATATCAAAAATATTCGACTTTTATACTTTTGGAAATTTTTGGAAAAAGTAAAATAATATGATGAAAAAAAATATCATATTATACGAAACCATGGCCATCACATCCATTACTTTGTTATAATTTAGCATATAGAATAAATAAAAAACCACCAATTAAATTTAGAACTACACCTTCTATAAATAGTCTGCATGCTTCTCACCCTCTCCTCCAACCAACTCAGAGTACTCTCAATCTCACTACCTCTCTCTCTTTATATTTCTCGCTCACTCTCTCTCTCTCTAAGAAAAACAAAATGCAATACAAAACAGAAACTCGGGGTTCGTTGTCGTACAATAAGGTCAACAATATGGGAGTGTTTCCGTCGGAGACTCTGGCGAGGATAGAGTCGATGGCCGCGGAGAATGCGGTGGTTATATTCAGCGTGAGCACTTGCTGCATGTGCCATGCCGTCAAGCGTCTCTTCCGTGGAATGGGAGTCAGCCCCGCCGTCCACGAGCTCGACCTCCACCCTTACGGCGTCGATATCCACCGAGCTCTTCTTCGTCTCCTCGGCTGCTCCAGCGGCGGCGGTACTTCTCCGGGAGCACTTCCGGTGGTATTCATCGGAGGGAAGATGGTAGGGGCAATGGAGAGAGTGATGGCTTCGCATATCAACGGCTCACTTGTCCCTCTTCTAAAAGATGCTGGTGCTCTCTGGCTCTGATCCTAAAGTCCACCTTTCTTCTTCTGCGTTTCTTTTTTCTTTACTTTTTTTTGGTCTTTAAAGAACGAAATAGATTAGGTTAATTATAGTGTTGAATCAGAGATAGTGAGGGGAGAAGAGTGGTGCGTTTGTTTTAAGCTTAGCTCTTTATCTATCTTAATCACACTAGTTAAAATATTATATATATAAATATCTGGTTAGAAGCTTTCCGATCTCTAATTTGGCAATTTGGTCAGTTAATTTGCAATTGTGATCAAGTTCAGACAAGGACGAGGTTTTTTCATGACCTAAAATATTAACCGTAATAACTGTTAACTATGGTCCCCACTTGAGATTACGTGGCCATCCACCAACAAATAATCCGTGATTTTGACCCGACCGTTGCGTCAAGAGTCTCAGAGATGAGCTCTTTCGCTCGTACATGCTGATCCAGTAACTTCACAAATCTCACAGACTATGAATATAATAAAATCCATTGCTAAATTCTTTAGCTTTATTAACATGGAGAATATTTCTTCAATCATTCAAACAATTGATTCACCAATCACTTTCACCTACAATTTTTTTTTTCAAATTTAAAAACAAAAAAAAATTATAAGACCACATTTCCTGAGTTATAATTAAATTTGAGAATTTTATGAAATACACCTCTTAAGGTGCAAATTTTCAAAACTACACCTATAGTGTGAAAATTTTCAAAAATACACTTTTCCCCAATTTTAATATATATATTTGGGTTCACTATTCCTAGATTAGGGTTTAGATTTTGGGATTTAGGGTTTAGATTTACGGGTTCAATGTTAGATTTTAGGGTTTTAGATTTATATTTTAGGGTTTATAGTTCTTTTACTCAATGAAAAAAATGTAGTTTTGAAAATTGGCACCATAGAGGTGTATTTTTGAAAATTGACACCTCAAAAGGTGTAGTTTTGAAATTTCCCCATTAAACTTTCCCTTCGATAACACTTTTAAAGGGCTCGCCATGAAAGAAAAAAAGAAAGAAATATGCTAAATCGCATATATCGTAAGAAAATTATTCATTAGAATAATTCTTACGTAGACAATATATAAACGACTTGTAAACGTATATACATTCACCCATATCTTGGTTACAGACTTACACCAGCCTACAGGAACAGGATCTACACAGAATAAAGTGAAAAAACAATATGGAGAATCTAATTTGCTAATTGCTATAGCCTAGTTGGTGTAATTATGTGTGCTCAAGTGCCCGAATAAACGGAAGAATGGAATCCGGATCTGATGATGAGCAGAAAGACGCCGACAGGTCAGAAGAAATGGTCCGAACGAGAGATGGCGATACCTCTTTGATCCATTTCATATGTTTGATTCCAATCTCAACCTCTTTAGCATCTGCCACACATTTCAGCAGCACCACATGTGCGCCTGTGTGTTCCAAGTGTTCTCTCTCGCGCAGCAGCTGCGACGCCTCACCAAAATGTCCTACACACACACACACACACACACACACACACACACACACACACACTTAATCAATCAGAGCCAGAAACTTGACTTAAGGCAATAAGAAAAGAAAAAACTATCAAGACATAATTGTTCTCTCACCGTTGCTGCATAGATTTAAGACAAACGCACTTAATACTCTTCTTGCAACTGTTTTATCCCTCTCCATACACTTCCTCAAGACTTCCAAAGCAGCTTCAAGGTTTGTCTCCTTGCATAGACCTTCAAGCAGAGACGTGTAGATTGTTTCATCTGGTTCTATCTCTCTCTCAAGCATCTTCTGAAACAGCCTCAAAGCCTCCTCGGCCTCGCCTTCCTCTGACAATTTCCTGATAAGTACATTGTACGTCGTCAGATTCATTTTGCAGCCCTCTACAAACATCTCATCCCACAGCTTCTTCGCTGGACGGATCATTTCCGCTCTGCAACAAGCTTCGATGAGAGCGTTATAGAGTGACACGTCTGGATCAAGCCCTTTCTTCTTCATTTCGTGCAACGCACTGTAGCCTTCTCTGACTCTCCCGGCCTTGCACAAGAACGTTATCATCAGACTGTAACTCTCAACCTCTGCAAAATAACCTTTGCTTGACAAAAGCTCATACGCCTTTACAAGATGGTCGCTCTTGTCTTGCCGGCAAAGATTCTTACTGAGTTTGCTCAGAGTCCGAATTGCAGGCAACTTCCCTGTGCTTACCATGAAATTCAAGAACTCAACAGCAGAATCTGGATCGACCGCAGAGACTGATCCGATTAAAGCGTCTAAGATATCATTATCAATGGGGAAATTTCCACTCACAATCACATCCGCCACTTCTTTAGCCTCCGTTAATCGTCTAGCGGAAATTAAATCAAGGATGAAATCTCTGTAATCGCTGCTCCTAGGTGCTACTCCAAGCTTTCTCTTCTTCTTTAAGACGACCTGTCTCTCATACAGATTCCCAGTTGATACAAATGCTTCAGCTATGATCCTATAAGCCATAAAATCCGGTTTGCAATCGATGTTTCTCAGCTCTTCCAAAATGTAGAAAGCGTCCATTTCTCTCGAAGATTTGCAAAGACCATGGAGAATCAACAGTGCTACAATGGAGCCATTGATGTTCGAATTACCCCTTTTCACTTCATCCACCAATCTCAAGACATGATCCGTTTCAGAATTTCTACAGAACTTTCCAATATACAAACCGAAGCCGAGAGTATTCAGAGGCATACCTCTTTGGCGCATTTTAGCAAACAGTTTCTGAGCATAATCAGAATATCCATCGGAAGTCAAAGCAGCTAAAAGACGATTGCATACATCGGGATGAATCTCCCTTCCCGTCGATAGAGCTTCTTCTAAAACCCAGAACGCGCTCTGGGATTTCCTGCCCAACACAAGCGCATCGACGAGGGAGCGATACACGGCGGAATCGAGAAGGATTTTGTGCGATTTGACCTGTTTGAAGAGGGCGTCCATGGCGGAGAACTGCCGAGAGAGCGAGAGAGATTTGAAGATAGAGTGGTAAGATATGGAGTCGTGAGAGTAACCGGGTTGCTGGGCGGCCCAATTGAAGAACCCGAGAGCGAGGGAATGGTGGTTTAGGAGGAATGGGTCGATGACTCGAGCCACAAGCGAAGGACTTATCGAGTGACGAAAGCCGAGGCCGTGAAGACTCTGTTCAACCGATGGAGTCCATGTCCGTGGCGACCGAGAGATTCCGGATACCTTCAGAAGCTCGCGGCCGATCCTCACCGCAATCTCCGCCGCAGGTCTCATGGTCGGCGCTCGTAGGAAAACAACCGTTCATTAGTGGCCGGCGGAGAATGTGACGTCACCATTTCAGGTCACTTAACGATCACAGAATTAGAAAATTTAGTGAAACAGTCCATTGATTAACTATCAAACTCCTCACTGGCCCAGTTTAAAAAGTGACCCAAAATATTACTATCCCATTTTTGGCCCATTAAAGATCTTTTGATTCAGGTTCCGGTTTAGCTATCTCTTGGCACAGTCGGTTAAGTTAAATAAGAACAATCATCTCCATCCCTGGTTGTTATCAAAATCAAATAATTTTGATCTAGATGTAGCATGTGGAGAAAAATAGAAAATGCTATTACTTTATTTGTTTGTATTTTGAGCTTTAAAAAGTGTATGAAACTATGAATTATCATCTACTTGGGAATTGAATAATACTGAGTTGTGATATAAAAAGGAAAGTGAAGATGTTGGTATTATACCAAAAGAAGATATGATTGAAGAACAGGAAGGGGAAACTGACAAAGAAGAATATCTTATAGAGTGTTCCACGTGAATTTTAGACATAAGTCGATCACATTCTAAGAAATAGAAGAAAAGAAAAAGAGAGAGAGGTAATAATGGAGTGGGAGAAATGGAAGTGACTCCAGATTGCAAAATTTAGCATTTGTAAGCTTGTTTAAATCAGGAACAAAAGCGTACTGCTTCCCTCTTGGTCCCATACCCATACTATCAACTTCTGTTTGTTCCTTTGTCCCTTGTTCCTTTGTTTCATCTACAGATGCCTCCTTTTAATCCTAACTAACCCCTTTGTCATCCTCATCATTATCTATCTATTCGTATTTGTTCCCGCCAATCTAATCATATAATCTTCTTCTAATCTAATATGCAATGTCTACGGTGTTTTACACAGACGGTCCAGTTCCTAGCAAGCTCCTCCTTGATCTACAAAAGAGAAAAACGAAGTGCTGCTAGAGCTAAGGAAACGGGTATAGGGTAATTAACAAGGGAGAACAAACCTATTACAGTACGAGTAGTAAATTTAATATGGAACAGAACATTGACGCAGAAACTACAGTACCTGATGTCGTGGACAGCTTCACTTGTCTGAATCAACTCGTACCAAAAGGCAAAAGCCTTGTTGTTTTGTCACGGAGCTCTCATATGCTTCCTGGAAAAGGCACTCTTTCTTTACTTTTCTGCATCATCTAAATGCATTTTCTGCTTGTCGGGGACAGCCAAGTCAACAAAAGCTCTTTTCATTGGAAATTATCTCAACATAATGCACCCTCAATCACTGTAAAAGAGCAAAGAGCCAGCAATGATTGTTGTTTCAGATAAAACTAAATTACTCTCTCTCTGGGAACTAGCACCAGTGTAAAACAGAGTTTACAGTTTTTCTATAACCAACACAGAGTGAGTTTCTACCATTTTGTCACATTGGCTATGCAACTAGATTTCAAACAGAATTGCATAGAAACTCGAGATGGATAGTTTATTTTATCGCAACTTGCAGTAAAGAATGTCTAAAATTCGAGGTCTACACAACACAAAACAATAGCAAATATTCATTTTGTTTATGCTTTATTTGCAACTTGACTTGTAAATCTAATATTCATGATGGACGCCACATAAGGATCCACGAAGGTTTATGTCTTTATGATGTAGAAACTCAAATCAAGATAAAATAGTAATACCTGAGATGATTGATGATTGTAACTACAGATAAGCTACTCCACCATGAGTTTGCGCGTCATGTAACCACAACAGTAGGCTCATGTCTGTAATGGCCCTCCTCCAACTTGTTTTTGATGTGATCTTGAAAGCGAATGGCCAACCAAAACTTTTGTAGCTTTCTTGGTGTTGCTCTCCACTGTCATCAACCTAAAAGTCTTAAACCACTGTTCAACAACCAATTCACTGCTATGTGAACAGCTTTCAAGCAATCATGGTCCTCTATAAAAGTCACTTTCTGCTCTACTATTGTGTGGAAACTGAAATACGAAAATGAAGGTACGTTCCATATCTACAAAAAAAAAGTTTAGCTAACTTGTTGCTAACACTAACCAAAGCTTATTTTCTGGCAGTTTTGGGGCTGGATGCATCATAAGTTCCGGGAGAATAGCAAAGAGCCACTGAAAGATGCCACAACTGGTAATTTGACCGTACTACTCCTATTGCTTATACACCTGACAGATATGTAGGAATAAGAAAAGGAAGTGAGTTGAATTCTAGGAGAATAGCAATAGGACTAAGCAAGCACTTTTAAGGCTGAGTAATTATCTCACTACTTTAACATCCATTTCTATAAAGTTAAACTGCTGACCTGATAAAAGACTAGGGTCGTGTGATTGTGTGCAAAACATTGTGTTGCACTTCGATTGCAGCTAAACCAAATCTCTCCCTAGCGAGTATCGTCCAGTAACTTGTCATGACTCAAAACTGTCTGTTGCAACATGTGGACAATTTCCTTATTTGCTGCCCAAATCTTATCGTTTCCCAAACCTCAGAGGCTGTTCTTACTTTTCTAAAAAAATTCAACAACACTTCTCTTCAGGTAATAGCCATTTCCCCCTTTCGGCTCATCCATCCCTCGATAGCCAAGAAGGTTACCCCACAGCATGTGCTGGCCCCAGATACAGCAGTGGACTCAGAAAACAGCTTAACCTGTTCCAGGAAAGCGCCTTCGCAGGACTCGAGGAAAATACAGAAGAGAATTACAAGGATGGAAGAAACAGTGATTTCTTTCATGGATTTCTTGCCATTGGAACCCTTGGTATAGAAACACTTCCGGATGGATCAGCAACACCGACATTTGGCATGTCATTTGGGAGCCCGGAAACATACGATGCAGATGTGACAGAGAGTGATTTGAAGCTCATTAGCAATGAACTGGAGAAGTTCCTTGAGGCCGAAGCTAAAGAAGGACACAACCTGAATATCATATCACTTACCAGAGAAACCCTCTTCGTTAAAATGCGTCTGATAAGCTTAATTGTGAAAAAGGGATCGAAGAAGAAGCGAAAGCACCAGCTGAGCAACAATGGAGGATATTTTACAAAGCCGATCATCAAATTGACTTGAAATTCGATTGCTTTGAACACTAGCCCAGCCAAAGACAGAAGGAGAGACGAATCTGCTGAGTTAGGTTCTGGGCGCGGCGGTGGTTCCGATCCGGAATAGTCGTCTTCTTCATCATCGCTCACCGTTGATTCTCCGGTTTGATCTTCGCTCATGCAATTCCCTTCCTGAAACGGGTCAACCCGGTCCCGACCCGAATCGGTTACTTCCGTAATCACCACCAAGTCGTTCTCTTTTTCCGGAGAAATGTCAATTAGGTCCATTGTTGATTCGATTAGGTCGCTAACATCCTCGCTTGTCTCGAAATCCCCCTTTTCCACAGAGCTCGGCTTCCCATTGATTTGAAATCCATTGGAAGAGGAAGAAGACGGCTCCGAATCTACATCGGAAGAAATCAAATTCCGGATAGGTGCCGACTTTCGCCGCCGGAGACTCGCGGCGGAGGGATTAGCCGAATGCTGGCGGTGGGAACGGGAACGGATCGGGAAGCAATCGTAGTAAAATTCGTCAGGTGCGTCGAGGAATCGATCGAATTCCTCGTCGGTGATGGTAGGGTTTGATGAGCAATCCATTGATTATTGAATCATAAACCAGAAGAAGAGAGGAATTGCGGAAGTTGAGGGTTTCAAAGTTTCGGTGACGAGAAGCATGATAGCTGACAAATGGCGTGACCGACCAATTTTTTTTTATTTTTTTTTTAAAATATAGATTATTATAAAATATAGATGCGACATGTGTCACTTTTAAGATTATGTCCGTTAAGATCGTGACACGTGTATTAGGGGAAAAAAGAAAAAAAAATATTTTTAAAAAATAATAAAAAAAAAAAAAAAAAAAAAACGAAATTTAATCTTTTTATAAAAAAAAAAATTAATATTTGTCATATCCTAACAGAAAAAGGTTTTCCCATTCATCAAATTTATATTATCCAAACACATATCTTTTATAAAATAAGATTGAAAATAATGTAATAAATAAAATCCTATTACTACATGGAATAGGTACGTAAACTAAAATTCCTATATCTGCAAGGAATATGTTATATGAACACCTATAAATACAAAGTTACAGTAGTCTCTTTTTTCTCATTCACAAACTCATCAAAGCAAATTCATCAAATTTCTCTGATTCTCTTTCTCTAATTTAAAAATCATGTCTTTGAATGTTCAAGAAAACAGTGAAGATTATTTGACTCTAGGTCAATTGGATCGAAATCGAAATTATCGCCGTACTATAGTACGTGTTATTCGAAAGTGGGAAAGTTAGAAATCCAAAAGAAAATAATATTCTTATGGGAGTTGAGCTTCTACTACTTGATGAAAAAGGTTAGTAAGAAAATATATAATTTACAATAAATTGTTACATCCATTAAGAAACGGAAAAAAACATATTCCCAATACAAGAAGGAAAAAAAACAATATATAATAAGTTACACCCTTCATGATTTAATTGTGTCTTTATATTTTGTTTAAATTTTCTTTCTTATTAAGAAATGAAAAATCATGTCTTTAAAAGTTCTAGATATCAATGAAGAATATTTAATTTTAGATCAGTTGGATCAAAATCAAAACTACTGTCGCACCATGTATAATATTTGATCAGATTATAACATGTGTTAACACAAGAAAATTAGAAAAAATTAAATAACAAAACGAAAAATTGTAAAACAACTAACTAATAATGAAAAGAAAAATTTATAATGGTCCGAGGCAAAATAAATATTATAAAAGAAAGAATATAAATAGAAAGCTAACAAAATAATTATCAACAGCTAACTAATATTAAAAAGAAAATTTTATTTTGGTCCGATATTCTAATTTTAAATAGTTTATTTTCAAATTTTTGTTAGGTCAAAAAATATTTAAAAAATTGATTTCATCAACTGAAATCTCTTCGATGGAATAATCAAAGTTTCACGTATTAATTAGTCCATCAGATTTAAACACATGTAAGTATTTCTATATTATAAAAATAAGATAACACAAATTAATTCATTTTTCATATCATGAATTCAAAACAAATGTCAATTATAATAAAAATGTAAAAAGATTACTAATCTTATTTTATTTAGTGATTTGTTATCGGGTTTTTATTATTATTCTACTTACTTTTAAAAATGATTATATTATGTTTAATAATTTTCCAGATTTATTTCAAAAAAATTTAATAAACCCGCGTATACGCGGGGTCTAATCTAATAACTAATAAGGATTTGACACTCTCGAGTTCGGGACACGTGGCACATTCTTTTTTTTTTCCTTCCAAACGCCAAAACGACGTCGTTTTGTGGCATTTTTTTTTCTTTTTTTTTCCTCGCCTAACGCCAAAACACGTTGTTTTGCGTCTCTCCCACCTGCTTCCAAAACGACGTCGTTTTGATTTTAGGGTTAATATGATTTTTAATGTCGCCCAATTCTTTCCTCTCCACCTCTCCGCCTACATCCTCCTGAATCGCATTGACTCCACAGACGCATTGACCGATCATCTTTTGTTTATTTCTCCGGTGAGAATTTCCTTTTTTCCCGAGTTTCCGATTCTGCAATGTTCAAACTGCTATAAAATTTGTAGCCACTTCTCAAATTTCTGAGATTAGGTTCTAATTTGATGGAATCAATTGGTAGTGATGTGTGGTGAATTGCGGCACAACACAACCCCCAGATTTCGAGGTCAAGTCTTAACATCAGCATCCTTCAATTATTCCTTATCGGCGATGAACACCACCTCCAGACTCCAACCGCCGATGAAACCTTGGTGAATTCCTTTCAACCATAGATTATTTGATTCCATAATCGGCGGGATCTTTATAATTTATATACACGTCATGGCTATGTTGGTTTGATAATCGCTGCGGCTGCATTGGCAATTTTGTGATTGCAAAATGTTGTTCGTTTAGCAATCGTACATGCGATTAGCCTATAAGCAATAATCGCAGTCGCAGTAGCTAAAAAAAATTTGCAACACAAAATTTCAGTTGTTGAATCGCGCTGCGATTGCGACTGCCAACTAACTTGTCGCAATCGCAAAATCCTTACTACTACCAAATGATCAGAGCCTGTTGATGGATTCATTGATCGTTGTTGGTTTAATTAGATTGGGCTATTTGAAAAGTGATTTTGGTTTCTGTTCTTTGGGTCTTTAAACAGGTCAATATTTAGGATCAATAGTTAGGACGGCGACATCTTTGAAAGATTTCAAGCTTTGAAAGATTGCTTGTGAAAGCCGGTTAGCATAATGATCGAGACCACCAAGCAAAACTCTTGCACCAAAAGATCAACTCAATCAATTGGTCAACAATGAAATGAACTCACGCAACTCACAACTCTCTCTTTGTCGTATGAAATAAGCAAGTGGAACGCACAACACAGAGCAAACAGAAACAGAACAAAGTGACATTTACCCAGAGTCGTATCCGATGTGGAGTACTACTCTCTGGGGCTAGACTCAGTCCAGCAAATTCACTATCACGAAGGAATCGAGTTCTCAAACACAGAGAAGCTCGTAAACAAGAAGCCGTACAAGACGTGCAAGACAACTTCCAAGAGAATTAACAAACCCTAGCTGCTGGCTCAAGTATAAATACCCTTTATAACATTAGGGTTTACAATAATGTGCTAAACAAGACACCGACTTAGTCAATGTGCTGTTTAAGACAAAACCAACACAATTGACTTAACCGTCTGAATACTTAGCCAAACCAATAGCTGTTTGTCATAACCGTTTATCAGAGATTAGACCAATCTTCAACATTCTCCACCTTGGACTAATGCTCGATCAAACACTTTGCTTCCTTCAACATTCAACTTCGTGATCTCCTGTGAATTCACCTTCTGAACTTACACCGTCTAGCGAGTGACAAGCTACTCAAGCCTGAGTAACTCTAAGCATGTCTAAAGCTGATTTAAACTTGCTCACCGGGATGACCTTTGTCAAAACATCTGGTGGGTTCCTGCTTGTGTGTACTTTAGGTACTTCAACTTCACCTTCAGCAATGACATCTCTGATGAAGTGATATTTAGTCGCACTATGCTTGGTGCGCTTGTGAAACACACTGTTCTTCGAGAGGCAAATTGCACTCTGAGAATCGCTCCACACCTTTACTGCATCATGACTAAATCCGAAATCTCCAAGCAATCCTTTTAGCCATATTGCTTCCTTTACTGCTTCTGTAACGCAATGTATTCTGCTTCTGTAGTTGACAAGGCAACAACCTGTTGTAGATTTGATCTCCAGCTCGCAACATTACCTCCTACAGTAAAAATATAACTTGATATAGACCTTCTCATGTCTAAATCTGCAGAATAATCCGAGTCACAAAATCCCTGTATGTGCAACGCCTTGTCGGTCGTGTACATCAACTCAAGGTTCAGTGATCCTTTGATGTATCTGAGCAACCACTTCACAACTTCCCAATGCATCTGCCCCAGTTTGCTCATAAAACGACCTACTAGACCAATACCATACGCCACCTCTTGGGGCACAAATAATCAGTTTAGTACTTTAGTGGAGGCGTTTTTGTTTTAAAACGAGAAGATGGTACATGTCTATGGTGCAGCATCATTGAACCAAGTCTTGTCTCCTCTTCATGCGGAATTTTCTGTTCTGGTTAAGGAAGCTCTGCGCATCAACCAAAACAATCAAGGTTCAAAACTGACTGTCTACAACTGGTCAACCTGATCGAAGAAGAAGACTCTTGGCCCTCATTGGCCTCTGAGTTTGATGAGTTTCAAACTGTTCGTACTTCTTTGAATGGATTTTCTTTATCTTACATACCAAGTTTTTTAAATGTATGTGCCGATTGTCTCTTAAAAGGCACACGAGCACGAGTTTCCATTTGGGAAAATTCCATTTTTACCTATGTAAACTCTTTGGTACCAAGTTGGTTAGCCCATGAAGCTAGCCTATTTGAAATCTCTTAAAAATATATGGGTTTTTGCTGCCAAAGAAAAGACACTTCAAATTGCCTTTTATTTTGATAATTATTTTTAATTATTTAATGTGTGAAAACCACTCTCAGTTAAGATAGCAAGAATGGAATGCCTCACCGGACCAGTGACCGAACCGTAAAAGTTTTGGGTTCAACCTGGTTTGACCTGGTTCAATAATAATTTAAGAATAAAATATATAAATATATAGAAAATATAGAATAATTGAAGATGTTAACAAATTTTCATTAAGGCCTTAACTGGTAACCACATATTTGTGGAATGCTAAGGAATTTCACTGAAATTTTTTAGTTTGTTACGAGTTACATAATTGTGGAATTGTCGAATGTCACAAGATGACAAAAGTCACAAATCTTTTTTTTCTACATGAGATTATAAGTTCGATTAGGTCTGATCGGGAAATTGGATTAAATCTTTTTAGGGTTTTGGTTATTTCGAGTTTGCAGGTTTTCTGTTTAAATTGTTTTTTTTTTTAATTTTAGGCAAATTATCATATATTCATCTCAGCAGTTCCGCATATTCAAGTTTTTTGGAATGTTCATAATCGAATCTTAATAATAAAATTACGAATCCAAATAATAAATTTACAAATATGAAATATTAAATAATTTATAGAATGCTTGAATTGAGATGTAAATCTTGATGAAACAGTGGCTTGAACCGGACGAAATTATGAAGTTTGTAGGGTGAAGAAAAGAACGATTCTCTGCAGCTACTCGACCGTATCAAAAGTATATATTATATAATATTGTCACACTACGTATTGATTGTTGTGTATGCTAAGAATCTGATTCGATCTCGTGGTTATTTGGTCTCTTTCTTGTTCTTTGTTTTTTTTGTTAGAAGAGACATTTGGCCTGATTTTCTTTTGTTGTAACTTGTAAGAGACATTTGGCCTTTGAGAATTGAGAGCCTGTCTTTATCTATGACTTCACATATTTATGTAAAATTCTATGAATGTCTGCTATGTTAATATCCATAAAATAGCGGTTACCCCCGACAGATTTGAATACAATATCAAATGGATAAGTTTATTGAATTTTGGGGAAACGACATTATGTGCCAAAAAAAAAAAAAAAGAGATGATAAAATCAAGTCGTGTCCATAGAAATATAGAGCTTATCCATATCTGAGTCAATCCCCCTCACATATTTATTTTATTACACAAGATAAACGGATGTTTCATTATATATTCGTGAGACGAATATTTTAGTAGCATGTTGGTCTACTCAAAACCTTTATATATATTTATCTCGTATAAACACACGGGAAAACGACACTTCACCCGATTCATGATTTCCAAATGCAATCCTTGTTGATAAGAAAGCGTATAACCAAGAAGACCAATCATATTCGTTTCGTGATTTAGTGCCAAAAGAGAAAATAGTAGCAGTCTCTGCTGCAAGAAGACATGCATGCAATGCAAGTTGCGTTCATATAATGCAACTAGCAAAATAAACATACTTGCAAGTTGTGTATTGTTTTAATCTATGATCAATCAATATACATGTTTAAGAATACAAACTAAGATTTTTAATTAATCTCATTTAAGGAGATGGGTCGAACCTTAATGACAGGTTATAACTTATAACTAGTAACCACCAAACTAAGAAGTCCCGTCGATTACAAAATAAGTTTACTCGTCTAGAAGTCCTCACCATCTTTTATAGGACAAAGTCACAAAAGTATAAAAAAAAATATTATATTTTGCAGAAAAGGATATCCAGAACGAATAGTTGAGACTTGAGACTTGTATGATCTTCATAATTAACTTAGATAATGACACCAGTCACACCACCATACATTTATATATTCTTTTGACCGTTCATTTTTTAAAGAAAAATTGTGCTCCTTTTATAAACGTAGCATAGTAGTAGTTACAGCTAATCGTATCTCATGAAACTATTGTTTTCATATTTTCTCACATGTTTTTCGTTCCTTATGTCAATATGTCCTACAAGATAAATATATTTATTATGATTTTTTTTTTTTCAAATATTTATTATGAAATTATAAGAACCAATTAAATTATAAATAAATCCTTATTTGAAAAAAAAAATCGAATTTTAATTAATTCTGGTCCAGCAAAGACAGGCTAGGCGAGTTTAACTGTAATGTACCCTTGAATAGTTGTAAGGGATTATCAACCTCTTGAAAGATGGCAAGCACGCACAGTGCATTGAAGAATACCAACCAATCTTGCTCTCCTACATCGACTGTCATAAATTGTTCAATATCGTAATTCGTCAAGTCTTTGTTCTATACAATTTGTACACGTCTTCCTCACAAAAATCCACTAATAAGTTTCAATCATCTTATTTACTGTGTTAAATTGCTAATCAACAAACTAATCTTTCTTTTTCATGATCATTGGCAGCGCTATTACAATGGCAAATTTTTAATGTTTATCTAATCGTTATGTTTGTCGTCGGTTCCATTTTTAGAATATAAAGGGATAAAATCACTCTAAAAAGACAGACAAATCGACAGACAGATAGCTTTCCAAAAAACCGGAGACCCAAAAAAATCACTTCTTTCTAAAAGACGACATATTTCGCCGATCGTCCTTTTGATCTGGATCTTTCCCGGAGATTCCGGTGGCGGAGAGAGGAACAACGGAGACCCAATAAGCATTTCTTCAATGGCGTCGACTACGCGAGAAAAGTTTGTGTCTTTCATAAACAACAGATGGCTCGTCTTCGTGGCGGCCATGTGGATACAGTCTTGCGCTGGGATCGGTTACTTGTTCGGAAGCATTTCCCCGGTGATTAAAAGCTCCCTTAACTACAACCAGAGGGAGCTTGCCAGACTTGGAGTCGCCAAGGATCTTGGAGATAGTGTCGGCTTCCTCGCCGGGACTCTCTCCGAGATTTTGCCTCTCTGGGCCGCTCTCCTCGTCGGCGCCGTTCAGAACCTCGTCGGTTACGGATGGGTTTGGCTCATCGTCACCGGACGAGCACCGATCCTGCCTCTATGGGCTGTAAGTTATTTGAATCATCCATCTGTCTTTCTCTCTCCTTTTGTCCTATTGTGGGTTAATCGATTTGATTTCTCGTGTGCTTCACATTCAACTGATTATGTGTTAGGATTAGGCGAAAGTTGTTGGGTACTGAAAAAAAGTTGGAGACTTTCTATTAAAATCCTCTTTCAAGGTTGTTTGGTTACTAACGTCGCTATCAAATGTCTGAAAATCTATGACCAAATCCACTTTTTTGTTCACTTCATCTCTTGTTATGTTTTCGTTGAAATTGTTCTGTTTCTGGGATTTTTGTTGGCTTCCCCTAATAATAATGTAGTAGAACCATTACAGAATCTCTGAGAATTTAGGATCCGATTCTGTTGCTGACACAACCTCTTTCTCCATGTTTAATTCTCTCTGTTTTTTTTTCAGATGTGTGTTCTGATATTCGTTGGGAACAATGGAGAAACCTACTTCAACACTGGATCGTTAGTCTCTGGCGTTCACAACTTCCCCAAGAGCAGAGGTCCGGTGGTTGGTATCCTCAAGGGGTTCGCTGGGCTAGGTGGTGCGATCCTCTCTCAGATATACACAACGGTCGATTCGCCTGACCATGCCTCCCTCATTTTCATGGTCGCCGTTGCGCCTGCCGTTGTCGTTGTTTCCCTCATGTTCTTCATCAGACCCGTTGGTGGTCACAGGCAGCTCCGTTCCACGGATGGAGCCAGCTTTACTTTCATCTACGGTGTCTGCATCCTCCTCGCTGCCTATCTCATGGCCGTTATGCTTATCGAAGATCTCGCCGTTATTAGCCACAACATCATCACCGCGTTCACCGTTGTCTTGTTTGTGATTCTTCTTGCACCGATCTTGATCCCGATCATGACGAGTTTCTTCACGGATACAAACGGTCCTGTTGATACAATCGAGGAGCCTCTCGTCCCGAAACGGGAAGACCAAGATCCGGGACTGAGGACACCTGACTTGATCTTGAGTGAAGTTGAAGATGAGAAACCGAAAGATGTTGACTTGCTTCCTGCGTCAGAGAGACATAAGAGGATTGCTCATTTGCAAGCACAGCTGATGCAAGCAGCTGCAGAGGGAGCCGTTCGTGTGAATAGACGGAGAGGTCCTCACCGTGGGGAAGATTTTACTCTGACGCAAGCACTTGTAAAGGCTGACTTCTGGCTGATATTCTTCTCCCTGCTGCTCGGTTCTGGTTCGGGTTTGACAGTGATTGACAATCTTGGTCAGATGAGTCAGTCTCTCGGTTATGATAACACTCACGTCTTTGTCTCCATGATTAGCATTTGGAACTTCCTTGGACGTATCGGCGGCGGTTACTTCTCCGAGCTCATTGTCAGGTTTGCTCTCGCCGAAAGCCAAAAACTTTTAGTCTAATAATCTGTGGATTTCATCTCTGTTTGTTTTGCTCTGTTTCTGTGCTCTGTTTCTGATCTTGATTTAAAATGATGTGTAGGGACTACGCATACCCAAGGCCAGTAGTATTGGCTGTGGCTCAGCTGGTAATGTCAGTGGGACACATCTTCTTTGCGTTTGGATGGCCTGGAGCGATGTACATTGGCACGTTACTGATTGGACTCGGGTACGGTGCTCACTGGGCCATAGTCCCAGCTACTGCATCTGAGCTTTTTGGTTTGAAAAAGTTTGGAGCTTTATACAATTTCCTGACACTGGCTAACCCGGCTGGGTCACTAGTCTTCTCGGGTCTGATTGCAAGCTCCATATACGACCGGGAAGCAGAACGGCAAGCACACGTGTCCGTGTTTAACCCTGATGACGCACTTAGATGCGAAGGTTCCGTCTGTTACTTCCTGACGTCGATCATAATGTCTGGATTCTGCGTCATCGCTTGCGTCATGAGCATGATTCTCGTGCGTCGTACCAAGCCTGTTTACACTCATCTCTACGGCAAGTCCCGTTGATCTGTTTCGTTTTTTTATACATTATATTATACGATCGTGCTCAGCTTCTTATTCTTTGGGTTTTGTATTCGTTTCGCCGATACAGATGTTTTTGTTCTGTATCGATTTTTTGTTGTTGTTCTTTGTTCTTGTCAATTTTGTGTGTTGATTTGTATGTTTTGTTGGATTTCGTATCCACCGGCAAAGGCAACATCTACGATGTGTAGATTTACAGAAAGATCTTTTAGAAACTCCATATATAAAAATAAGTTTATTGGACTTATCACTTGTGTTTCAGATAATGTTTTTCTAGAATCTGAAAAACATCAACAATTTATATGTTTTATGTTTATGTTTCTAACCATTCGATTAATAAAGCTAGTTAAAAGCAGAGCAGTCCCTACGAATCTCTCCTTGCTTCCCAACCTTAACACCAACGCGGCCGAGTTTCCTCATAGCGGAGGTGAAAGCGCCATTGAAATCTCCAGCACTGTTTGCAAACCTGACCACCGTGGCCTGAGACCTGAAATCGTTAAACAGAACTTGATCGGAGGTGAAAAGGCCTTTCCGAGTCACCAGGTTCTGGAAGTAGACATTGTCAAAGACCTTTGGCGTGGTTAAGTCCAGGTCTAAGGCTGTGTTTGGGTCCGTATTGCCTCGAGGGCAAGAATCTATCAGCTGCTTTGCGTAGGCAGGGTCAAGCGTGGGGTCCACTGGCATGAACGCTGAGAAGTTGTAGAGACGGTGAGCGAAACGGTTGCAGTGAGAGAATCCGATCGTGTGTGCGCCTGAGAGAGCAATCATGTCGGTCATCGAAAGACCGTTCCTAGCGAACATATCAACTAGACCGGTCACGTCTAGCTCCGGTGCAGGTAATTTTCCGTCGACTCGAGACGACTGCGACACAAGCCCGTCTCGTCTCCCTAGCTCCACGTTAAACCCTGGCCCTCCGGTCTGTTAAAATAATATTACATAATTAATATTTTTTTACTTAGCGAATCGGATTAGAAGTTTATGAGGAGAGTTAGACTTACAAGGACGACGACGTCTCTAGCAGCGAGAGCCATAATATCGGCACATGATACAAGGCCTGGACATTGAGCTTCTACAGCGAGTTTAGCCTTGATCACAGTGTCAAAACCGTCTCCGGCGAGAGAAATATTGTCCGGCGCGTCCTTCTCGGCGTCTCCGTTGTCAGATGCTATTAACACAGAGGCGTCACATCCCTATGTGTAATTAATCACCAAAAACATGATCAGGACACAACTTTAAAAAATACCAAAAATAGACAATAAAACTTGTTTGTACGTACACCGACGAAGCAGTCGTGGAAGAACATCCGTAACGTTGCCGGAGCCGTCGTGAAAGTTTGTTGGAATTTTGTAGTAACGGCCTGCTTAACGATGAGCTCCACGTTAGGGCATGTCGAGGCATAAAATTTCTCCGATAGCTGAGCATTTGACACGGGCACCATGAAAAAGACGAACAACATCCCCAAGAAGCTCATATTTGTGTGTTTTGTTGAATCACTATAATTTCTCTGTTTTCTTTAAACTCGTATTTCTATAGCCGCTGTGTTTCTTTTATAGAACAAATGTGTGTTTTGTGTTGATGATAAAAAGTTATAGAAATGGAGTAAATATGATTTACTTTGATTAACTAAAACCATATTCACATATGAATGCCAGAATTTGACAACTGGAATTTTCTCAACTTTTACTTAAGCGAGTACATTTCTTGAGTTGGGGGGTTTTTATTGAGAGTGACATTTTAACAAACCGCATTTAGGTTAGTCATCTGCATGGAAAATTTTAAAATAATAGTTCTTGGTTAAATGTAAATATTCGCTAACTAGTAGTCTAGTATATTGTCGTTATACACAAAATGGATAAACAAAATTCAAAAGATGAGTTTGAGAAGTAGTCTTTGTCATCCGAATATGATAATATGATTTTGACCGACGAACCTTGAATTCAGCGAGTATACCTGTTTCTAATCTAGTTCATCAACTTTAGCTCAACGGTTCTTATAACATATTGAAGCCGATATTCAAATAAAAATTCAATATTTCCACTCTCGATTATTCCCAATTGCTTTTGGTATTGCTGATGGTTAAAGTGTTGTTTTCAACAAAAAAAATCAAATAACGTACGCGAAGACATTTCTATACATCATATCAATTTTCAACCACAAATAAGAAAACTATTTGTAAGTTCACTGTAGGTGACCGATATACAATATTATGTTGTGCACGTGTACAAACTACAAATATATATATATATATATATATATAGTAAGAGCTTAGATACAAATTAAATAGTTTTGATATAGAGAAAGGTTCTAATTATCACCACCAGAAAACTGTTGCGTCATCTGTCTAAATTACTAGCCAAATTTTCGATCCATAGTATATGAAACATAGATGTTATGCTCATTCCATGTTTTTTATCCGGAATTCTAGTTCGAAACTTGATTAGTTGATCCTGACTTGTGCCCTATAAAAAGGAAGTTGTTCATTTACTTTTTGGACATTTGGCAAGGCTAGGGACCCACTTAAAGTTATGTGCCTGCCAAATGTATAAAACATATTGGTAAACCAGACAGATATACTAGAAAATTTTGTTTTCTTCTAGAAATAAATTAATCTCTATTTCTTATACGTGGGCTTAAGTTGGGCCGAGTGATATAGTCCGGGAAGGATCCAGTTATCAACCGGAGCGGAGGAAATGTTCAGTTGTAGTCGGATGCTTGTTTCCTAGACGAAAAAGTCGAAAACGAAATAATTTTGAATTTCTTCTGCGTTGAAGGCGATGGCTATGGGCATGGCGGTAGACTCGGTAGGCGAGCTAGGTTTTCCGTACTGGAATCCTGTCCAACGAAGGTTTCCTCCCGATTCGCCTTTCTTCGCATCCGGAAATGTAGAGCGCGAGCTACTTGCTAAACAGGTACTCCTTCTGGCATCTGAATCGGCCGAATGCTCTTGTCAATGGAATAGTCTGCATGATCCATTTTCCAATCGAAGCGTTTCTCTGTTTATTTTCCTTACTAGCTTATCGTATAACCTACTAGTCACTCATTGATGATGAATTGATGATATTCGGATTTAGCTTAGCCCAAAGTCAAAAACTGTTCTGAAATTTTCTCAGGTAGAAATGATTTTGGCTTGTTTCTTTCATTGCCTCCGGAAACGTTTTTTGGGGAAATTAATCTGCGTAGCGATACTTGTTCGGTTTCGATCTGTTGGTGATACAATGAATTTGTGAATTTCAGTCTGGCGAAGAATTTTCCGAATTTGGATTAATCGTTTATTTTATTTCAATCGTCAATTTCGATTTCCATGAAGCTGTATGATGTTTGACCAATCACTGTCGAAGTCTTGTGCTGTAGATTGTTTATCATTTACAAAAATTTATGCTCGGAAGAGTTGAGTCCTAAGGAGGGTTTAATACACAGGTGGCGTTGGACTTAACGGAAGATGAAATCAACAATCTGCAGAAAATTGTGGAAACTGAAAGCAGGTATTTTATCCTTCTTCACTGATGAGCTCGTTGGCTGTGATTGTTTTCTGTTAGTGATGTGAAAAATTCAATCGACTATAACAATGACTGAAATTTTTAGACTAGTTTCAAATTTTCAATGCCAACTTTGGTTCACAATACTCCATGAATTTGTTGGCGTGATGGTAATGAGCTTGATTGTTTTGAGCAGGAGAATCTCGTGTCCCATTGTTGGCTGCCCTGAGCGCCTGAAGTCTCTGGACAATTTTGAAGATCACTATAAGGCACGCCACACTGCGTCTTGTTCAGTATGCTCAAGGGTCTACCCTACTTCTCGCTTACTAAGTATCCACATATCCGAAGCACACGACTCTTTCTTTCAAGCTAAAGTTGCTCGTGGTTATGACATGGTATAAACTCTTAATAGCGTTTTGAGGCAGAGCTCAAACTGTTAGTGACTGTCACTGCTTTTTACATTGATCTCTTTTTAACCTTCACTTGCTATCTGATGCTGAATTATGCAGTACGAGTGTCTCGTGGAAGGGTGTGGATTGAAGTTCAAGAACTACAAAGCCCGGCATCGACACTTAATTGACAAGCACAAGTTCCCAGCGACGTTCGAGTTCTTCAAGAGGACCCAAATCTCAAAGAAGCGAAGAGAGAAGCTTCAGAGGCAACGTGTACCAAAGCTCAAACATGAAGAAGAGAAAGAAGAAGCTTCTTCAGATGCCATGGAAGTGGAAGACAAAGCCAGCATGGACGGTCTTGTCTCAGCACTGTCCACGCTCACCACCTCAGACACAACACCTTCGAGTGTCAGCTTCGGTCGACGCCATGGTCGTGGACTGACCTTTGTTCCACGGTCTGTTCATAAGGAAGAACGGACCAAATCTTCTTCTGCACCGGGGCCAACGACTTAGTCTTGGGCTTATGGTTCCTTCTAGTCTAAATATATGATGGTGAAGAAAAATTCTGTACTAACATTGTTAAGTGCTGGTCCTTTTTATCGAATGCATTTGAGCAAACAAACGATCTACATTTTTATTAATCTCAGAAAAAAAAAGACGAACATTCAGTAATGATACTACCTCCACCACAAGACGAAGTACAAATAGACCAAAAGTCACTTGACCTTAAAAGACAGCTTAATGTGACGTATTACAACTGCATCCCGTTTCTTAGTTTTATAGTGAAACATTGTACCGTTCAAATGTTGACAGACGGCATGCTTTCTGCTGAACCAAGCTTTCTGCTGAACCAAGCTTTCTGCTCAGGCATCAAGGACACTGCCATGATTTACAGCTTTGTCGGGGAGAAAAGAAGCTCTAAAGTTTGAAAACACAATTAAAATCAACCAACTTCTCATTCAGGGATCCTGCATTTCTAGGGTTTTTCGTCTTCCTGGTAAGATTAGCTTTGCAATTTTACATAAACCTAGTTTCCATTTTTAACTCTTATACAGCAGTACTGCTTGCTCGGACTCTGTCTTCCTTTGGGTTTTAGATCTCAGTGAGTCAGTGCTTTGCTTTTAGCTGTTGTATCGTTAGCCTTTAGTAATCTCTGGAAATGTCGGTATTGTAAAATGTATGTAAAGTTTCATACTTTTGAAGAAATTTCGATTAAAAACTCCAAATAGATGAATCAGTAACTAACTGAAAAGTACAAAAAATTCAGGATTGGTATCTCTGTCAAGTAAAATCCTTTTTGAGATGGAGAACATGCGTAGCTTTTGGCAGCTAGGAGATGAGCTCAGAGGACAATCGAAAGCCTCAGAGGATCAGAAGTGGTTCATGGCTGCATCTAAACTAGCTGACCAGACTCGATCAAAGGGCGAACGTTCGAACAATCTTGATCTATCAAAGGGTCCGGTTGAGATAAGGCCAACAAGGGAGAAGTTTGGGTTTCAAGAGGAGAACAAGTTTGAGACTTTTAACTTCAACATGTTGAACTCGGAGCTCAGGTTCAATGCTAATGTTTTTGGCTATAAGAAGCATCTGAATGGAGGCAAATATAGCTACAACCAGTTCACTAACAGAGAAGGCAACAATGGTGGTAACAACTTTAGCAGCACTCACATCAATGACTCTGTAGAGAAAAGGTTCAAGACCTTACCTGCCTCGGAGTGTCTCCCAAAGAGTGAAGTGCTTGGGGGTTATATCTTTGTCTGTAACAACGACACAATGCTGGAAGATCTGAAGCGCCAGCTCTTTGGTATTCATTTGATCTTTGATTTAATTCGTTTAACTGTTTCGTCTCCATTTTCATATGTTCTTATGTCTTTTATTATCACTTTCTTGTCTGTCAGGTTTGCCACCGAGATACAGGGACTCGGTTAGGACGATAACACCAGGCCTGCCTCTGTTTCTCTACAACTACACAACTCATCAGTTGCATGGGATTTTTGAGGCTTGTTCTATACCACTTTAATTTTCTCAATGGTGCTCATGACTTGCTCTAATGACTCCATGATTATGTCTTCTCGGTTTTTTTGTACAGGCAACAACCTTTGGAGGTTCAAACATTGACCCAACAGCTTGGGAGGACAAGAAATGCAAAGGAGAATCCAGATTTCCTGCACAGGTTCCATTTTTTTCTACTCTCATGTAGTATCTGTCTTTCATCTCTTTTCAGTGATTGTTTGACACACTTCAAATGGTGATTAACAACATCATAGGTGAGAATTCGTGTAAGGAAACTGTACAAAGCTTTGGAAGAGGATGCTTTCAGGCCGGTTTTGCACCATTATGATGGTCCCAAGTTTCGGCTCGAGCTCACCATTCCTGAGGTATGCAGATCATTCCATAGTTCATACACGCCTTCCTTTTTCAGCTAAGTTGAGTTTGTACTAATCAAAATTGCTGATGATGACACAGACACTGGCTCTGCTGGATCTTTGTGAACAAGAAGGTTCTCCCTAAGCTCAAAGCCTTGCAGATCACATTTATAAGCGAGGTGGCGAGTTGATGTCTGCTGATTTCAAGGCTTCAAGTGTGTATTTTGTATCTGTGCTTTCTACATTTAAGTAGAAATTAAGAATGTAGCTCTGCAGAATAAACCATGATTGTGATTTGTGGAAGATTCATGTGTTCATATATAATCATGAAACCAGAACGATTATCACATCTCCTGCAAAAAAAGATCTTTGTTGGGAACTCTAGTAACAATAATCAGAGAAGTGCGACATACAACAAAGAGAAAATAAGAAGCAGCCATGTGGGTTTTACTGAGGATGTTCCACCAAGTGGATGTACCATCACTTCATCAATCACAGGACCACAAAGAACATCATCTTCTGTCATTGTAACCGTGTAGCTGGTGAAACTTATCTGTGCTGCAGCTTTGTCTGCTTCAAATACTAACCCAAACTTCTCACCAGAGCCAGTCCCTTTGCTCTCCAGCGTGAAGTTTTGAGCTGTGGATCCAGCTTGAACACCCACCACGAAATGTCCTCTGCAAGCATCGTTGGCATCTCCTAAAGTAAATGTGAGGTTGTATCTCGAACCTTCACTTGTGTCTCTTGTCGCTGTCTGTATGCCAGATGGAGCCAGAATTTCTATTGCGGCTTTGCCTTCTGGGACATGAAAGTGCTCCGAGTCTATGTATCTGACTGTTCCTATCACAGACCACTGCCTTAGTGGTGACTGGATTAGACTTGGCACAGCGTCAATCAGAACTCCCTCGGTTGAGTTGGTTAAGAAACCCGGTCCAGCTTCAAATCCACCATCGGTTAAGAGGTTACCTACACCAACAGAATGTAACTACAAATTACAAGATCTGTTATCATCATGTTCCATGTTGAGCTGTAAAATCATTCACTTACCACTGTCTTGGACAAGGACACCAACAGTCTTGATGAGCAACGTGTCAATGATTGGCCAACATGTGGAGTTTGTATCAGAATCTATAGTCTGGCTTTCAAGAACGAGGTTGATAGGCTCACCATTTCCCCAACGACCCAAGTTATGGCTGTAACTCTGCCATGGAACCTTACTGTAGTCTTGCCTGTAAGAGAAAACGGCGTTGCTGTCTGGCCCCGAGACAGAGAGACCAGCAGAGCTTGAACAGTTCTTGCCTCCGGGGATGAGAGCAAATGTGAGGATGTAGTTGAGATCGTCGCCTTTGGCTATGAATGTTTGATTGATCTTGCCATCTTCACCGAGCTGAATCCTATGTCCGGTATCAGGCAGATCAAGTGAAGTAACGTATTGCACTGTCCCTTGGAATGTCCATCCAGGGAGTGTAGTGTTCTGATCCAGCAACACAAACTCGCTAGAGCTTGCATTTGAGTTTAATGGTGGTGATTCGAAGTCTGGATTTTCCAGAAAATCTGCATATCAAAATGCATAAACTTTAGCTAATCAATACCAACACATTAATCAGCAACCGGATCCTGTAGAAATTGAAAACAACGGCCAAGATTTGAGTTCTGATAAAGAAAACCAAAAACAAGTATAAATAAGGCATAACTGCTTAAGCAGTTGAGATTCCAATGTACCAGAAGAGGCGCAAATGGAAAAGAGAAGCAACAGGAAGATTCTCTCAGACCACATCGCCATTTTGCTTCAGACTAGAGAGAAAACTTTGAATGTCAACGCTTCGTGGATCTAGTGATTATGTCTTGGTAAATTATTCTATTTAAAGAGAGGAATGATGCTGCAACATGTTACCATGCATACAGTTGACTGTTTCTTAAAGTTCAGTTTTGTTTAATTTAGCTTTCCATCTAATAGTTCAGTTTTATTTTAGGCATCTTAGTCCGGCACAAAATCTCAAAAGTAGAGTTAAGAATTAAGTAAAGTAAAAGCTACAAATCAAAGCTAAATTATAAGTAATAGAGTATCATCATCATACACAAGATTACAGACACACTAATCCCCTTTTCAAACCAACAGCTTGTTCCTGAATAATTTCTTCTTCTAAAAAACCTCAAACAGATGAAGAGACTTTGTAATCCTATTGCCAATTCCCTGGCCCCTCGTTCCCAGCTGCAGGCCTCCGGTTCAAGTAACGTATCACTGCATCTTCGACCCTGCAACATTTTACGATTCACAAACAATATCATCAATCAATCCGAGTGAATACAAAAGAGACTAGAAACCAGAGTGGAAGGGACTGGATGATGAGCTTACCAAGGTTGGTTGAAGTATTCTGCTCGGCGTTCTTTCTCAGCACTTCGACTGGCTTCTCCCGCTACGACCTTGAGATCCTTGCTCTGAGAGTCGATCACTGCGTTTATGAACTCAACTGGCGATTGGCTGAACCCCAAGAAGAACGCTCGCCTCCTCCTATGCTCGTGGATTTTCCTTATGGCTCCACATATTGCTTCATCACAAGCCTCAATCTCTTTGTTCTTCTCTGCGTTAGCCAGCAAATTGTTCAGATCCCTCTGGATCGGGAAGGGCACGTCCACCAACACATCGTAACATGCTGATATGGCCGGATTGTTTCCCGAGAGCTTGACTTTGTGTTCCAAGTGAATCGGTGGTATCGCTGACATGTGATTATGTATCTTCTGAGACACCATTGTGAATTTCAGCTTCTCTTCCCCAAAGACTTTCTGAAGTGCAGCGTCACAGTTGAAGAAAGAAGGGTCGTTCGGGTTCTGCAACTTCCTCGCCTTGACGTAATGCCAGATTGCTGCGATGGTTCTTGGCCTGGTCTCAACCTCGATCCCAAGAACATCCATCAGTGCAGTAGAAAGCTTGAACTTTTCAGGGATGTAGTTCATCTCCAGCCGGATACTAGCTGTAAAATCCTGGTTCCCTTTCCTCTTTATCTCAAACCCTTCCTGAGGAGCAGGTGATCGAGAACTCTCCCATGTGATCACGTTATCAGGATACAGCCTCTGATCCAGGGTAATTTGAACCTTTTTGAAGAAAGACGAGAACTTGGGATGCAATGGGTTTGATTTCTGAACGAATCCTGGCTGGTCGGGATCCACACCATCTTCCAAGATCCTACCAATAATCTTCAGAGTCCATGTTGGTGGGTCGGCGTTTGGATTCCCAGGAATGGTGTTGTTGTTTTGGTTAGCAAACGTGTTGAAAACGTAGATCCTAAGCGTCTTCTGTATGCAGGGAGGGTTCTTAAGTGCCTCCTGGATGTCAACTTTCTTTCTAGTTAACGCGGAATCCACCCGAGACTCAAACTCCAGAAGCTGCGTGTATAACGCAGACTCAGGCAAGATTGCAGCCACTCGCTCCTGCAATGACTTCTCCGGAAGCTTCTGTTTCTTCTTCCGGGCAGCAGGAGTTAACTCCATTGTTCTCATCGGGGAGATGGTGTTGTTATTCGCAGAGAAACCAGGAGGTCGCATTGGGGGTTTCTGCTGGAACCTCTTCATGTTTAAACTTCCAGGAGTGGTCATGGAAGGCGAAGATGGGCCTAAGCCACCAATCCCCTGAGAGCCTTGGGATTGGTTCATCATCATGCCTTGAGCTTGCATTTGAGCTTGAACTTGAGCTTTAGACTGTGCTTGAGCATGGGCCATGGCCTGTTGTGAGAACTGAAACTGAGCTTGAAAGTTAGCTGCCATCTGAGACTGAGCAAAGCCTTGGTTTCCAGGAACCGACGCAGAGGCCATCCCAGGATTCCCGAAAGGCGAAGGCGCAGAGCCTTGAGGCTTCTGTGGATTGTTGTTGTTACCAGCCATCGCTATATTAGCTTACCAGCCTAACACATGAGAAAATTCAGAAAAATTAACACTTTTGAGAACTAAACTAAGCTTCCGTTTGCACATAGATAACCGAAAAAAACTGGCTACAACCACAGGAAGATAACACAGAATCGAAATCTAAGAGAATTATTGCTGAATTTCAGATGCGATAGATCGGCTAACCTAGATAATTCGAAGCCTCATAGAACCCTAGTTTGCTAAGATTCAACGAATTCTTACGAGGCTTAAAATACGTCGAAGAACAAAGAAATCGAGAATGCAAATGCGAACGAAGAGCTCGATTTATGAATTTTTTTGTTTAAACTACTAAATGCCGATGAAAAGATCTGGAATTCATAAAATCTTAAAAGATACAAAAGACGGAGAACCCAGAGCTTATATACTAGGAAGATCGAGAGAGGAGAGACTCCTTACAGAAGACGAAGATAGGCAGTGTCGATTCTTCTTCTAATTCTCCTTCTTTCTAAAATCCGCCGGTGAACGCTGCTTCTCAGTGGTCGAGAGACGAAACAAATAATTAATATCCACCGGAGCTACTACCTATGTTAATTTACCGGGTTAATAACCGACCCGTATTTTCAAAGCCCAGAGGCCCAAGTTTGGTCCACGTTATTTCCTTTTTTTTTCATTAATCCCATATTTTTTTATTACGAATCTGTAGTTTTTTTTTAATGCTTTTTCCCAACTATGAATATTGTAGGTAACTGTAGTTATTACTCCGATATTTCATTTCATTTTGTAACAAAACAAAATATTGATAATACACAGTCTTTTATTTTACCCATTTATTTAGGGAGAAACAATTGAATAACATGGGCATCATGCAGTTACATAAACTAATGATAATAAAATCAAGATTGTCGTTTGAAAAAGGTAGCAACTTGGTTATAAACAACGTCTTTGGCATTAACACCCATGATGAAATCAGCATGAGCGTACTCTTTCACAAACTGCACAGTGATTTTATCGGTGTCGTGAAACTTAAACTGGTCGATAAGATACTTGACGTCCGTCACATCCGCCAGACAATCTAAACCGCCGTAGCTGAAGAAAAGCGGGAGGTCGTGTGGGATCGCCGATATGTTGTAAGCCGGCGGCAACGCTTGGCCGTAATGTTTCATGTTGCTCTTACCACTTCCGTAGTTGTATTTTCTTAATACCTTGTCTCTTACCGCTACAAAAAAATTCAAGAATATACGTAAAACGTTTTGCGTAAATAAAAAAAAAAATAGTGAAATGTTTGTGTTACTTACTTTGAGAAAGGTGGATCATGTTCTTAGTGGAAGTAGATTGAGGTTCGTTCGCGAGGAAGAGATCAATGGTTGATGCGTTAAGGCAACAATTCTTGCCTATGTTTTTGTAGAACTAATTAATAAATAAATCATCAATGGTTGATTGGTGATTTTAATTTAGCTGTTGCATTACCTGTGATAACAGAGAGTAAGTCATAACAGTCGATCCCAGCTTTAAGGCATATAGCCTTAATAAAAGTCCCTACTAGTCCACTGCCAAATTTGTTTGGTTATTTTGTGTACTCAACAAACAAAGTCGGTAAAAAATAGTATGTATTAACAAAAAAGGTGAAGAGTTACCTCTTGGGGTTAAACTCTGCCACTCCAATAATGGCGGTTGCCTAGAAGATAACCAAGTTTTGTTTATATAAGTATTTGGCACAATTTTTTTAATAAATTAACCCAAATAACAAGGAAGCTAGGGACCTCAGCGAGGAAGCTTCTGGCGGCTATGTCGCCTATGACGGTGGTCATGTGGCTGAGATAAGCAACAGGACTCAGCATCGCCGCCGACCGCAGTTTATCCACCAACCCCTTCTCCGAGAACGACGCAAATCCTATCAAAGTCCCCTGATATTTTCCAATTTTTTTATGTAATTTCATCATTTTACCAAAATTCAATACTATTCAATACTAAGAAGCATAGGAATATGTTGGACACTTGGACCCACCATGGAGTGTCCGAGGTAGTGCATCTTTTGGCCTGTTAGGCCGTGGATATGGTCAAACATTGCAGGCAGATCATAACTCACGAGCTCGTCCCACGTCCAGTCCCAGAATGCCTACGTACAACGTGCCAAGAAATAAAATCTCTGTTTATATTTAGTAAAAACGACGTAATCAATTGGTTAAAGAGTGGTTAATTGAACCGGACCCGTTGGTTAGGGCTAAGGGACTTGTGTCTTCTGCTGAATCTAGTCCCTCTTGTGTTCCCCATCCACACATCGAATCCTTGATCAGCTAAAATCAACGGCAGATTTTGATCCGCTGGATTCAACAGCCACGACATTCCATCCTGCAATACAACTTATACAGTTATACATCGATTAACTCTCTAGTAACGCTCGATTTATTACTTTATCTGTTGAACACACATGTTAAACACTCATGTTGTCTCTTTTTTTCTTTTCTTGTATGTTAACTTTACCCACCACTAAGATACGCAAATATTAATTGAATCTTACGTCTAAGTTCAAACTCGCACGTACAGAGTATAAACGACATTTCCTTTCACATTCAAATACACAAACAAACATAGAATAAAGATGTACACATGTGTACGTGTACATGTTCACGAGGCAAGCACCAGAACCAGAAGCATACACGTTAGTCTTGGCCCACATATAAATATGTTTATCCTCTTAAAATAAACCTATGCATATAAAAATGATCCTTATTCCTTACTACATTTGCATTACTTTACTTTTGAAAAATGGGTACAAGGGTTTTCACCTGACACCTAACAATGTTTTCCTCATGTTTTCTTGACGTCACTTTCCACTTTTAAAAAAAAATTACTTTGAAAAATAAAATCATTTGTTTTTTAGTTGAATCCAACCCCGCCTCAATTTAATAACTACAATTTTTTGGTGGAATGCAAAAATGCAATTTAATTACAACTACTTAAAAAACAAAAAGAAATCAATAAAAGGATAATGCGGTGTAAAAGGGTAAAGAAGAGCAAGAAATAGGGTAAAGAAGAGTTAAACTTACGACAAGAATTCCATGTTGAATGAGGACAGGCTGTCTCTTTGACACACCGCTGGTGTTGGCTCGTCCTTCCGGTATCCTTTGCATATTCAATATGTACCCATCTTTAGTCACCACCTTCATATTATTAAGCAATTCAATTCACAGCTCTATCAGTTAATATATATATATATATATATATATATATATATCATCATTAACAACTATATATTATAAGAGAATATCATACTTACATCGTGTTCTTCGCATTTGTAACCATATATGTGGACAGAAGAAGCGCATATGCCGCCGGCAGCAGTCCACTGCGGCGACTTTCCGTTGAGCCTGCCGACGGGTCCACGAGCTTCGATGGGATTAAGGGATAGAGCGAAGAAGATTAACGCCCATAAGGGTAAATTGATTGTACAGGATGAAGCCATAACCGAACGGGCGACTGAGATAGATGGTGACTCGTTCTTGGAATATAAAACGGTGAAGGGTTTTTATATAGAGAAGAGATGACGGGTACCAATGGAAAAGGATTAATTGATGTTCCAATTTTTTTTCTAAAAGTCAAATAATTGAAGCATTTTGTTTTTGGAAACATTGATTCTTCATTTGGAATACTATTTGGGACTGAGAACAGTAGAGTTAAACTTAAATGGTCTGGAATATGATTTTAGTTGGATAAAGTCTAAATTTAATTTAAACTTGAAAAATCAAATTTCCATTTAATTATATCTTAACTTTTACCGGATATATTGTATCTACCATATCAGTTTTGGTTTTATATTAAAATTCATAAGATTGCGTTATTACTATTTTACTTCATCATTTAGAAACAATTGTACATGTATTAATATTTTGATTACAAGTTTACAACCAACAGACACATATAATTCTCGGAGATCTCTAATACTTTGGTAAGAAAAGAAAAACATATCACATTGTTTTTTTTTTTTTTTTTTTTTTGAACAACCATATCACATTGTTTTAGTTATTCTTTTTGTTGTTTTCGTGTGACTTACGGGGAAAAAAAACAAAGACAGGACTAAAGAATAAACTGTTAAAGGCCCTCGGAGATGCTGTAGGGACGGATAAGTGGAGCGTGACTTCAGCTTCCGTTACTTGTTTTCTTCTTAAACTCCACACGCTTCTTTCTTTATAAAATCTCACTTCCTCCTCGATTTTCTTCCATTTCACACTAAGAATACAAGTTTTTTAATTTTTATTTTGTAATAAAAGAACCTCGAGACATGATGTTTCGTTTAGATAATAACACGGGGTACCCAATTTTTTTGTTTTGTTTTATGGGGTACACAATGTTCCAAATAACCAAGTCTTCCTTTCATATTTGGTGTCCACATTTCATCCCTACTCCCTAGGCACTCAATTATAGATATATTGCATAAAGAGTGTAAACTCGTGTAAACAAAAGAAAAAACTCGTTACAATCCGGATCAAATCATATACTGTATCTGTTTGCAAATATTTTTGTGCGGACCATTTCATCATTTACAATTCGTTTTATGTATTTTCAGAAAGCTTTTTGATAAGAATTTGTTTTTTCTGCCAAGTGATAAGCTTATTTCTTGATTAACGAAGCGAGTCAAAGAAACTGTTAAGTTTGTGTGTATAACAAACACTTAGAAAACTTAAACGAAGAAGAACTCACTTCCAGAAGCTATACGAGGAAAGTGTGTTTTTGAACTTATAAACCATACTTGTTCAGTTGTTCTTCCTTCTGTTTTCTCATATAAGTCGATATTTTAGTTTATAAAGTGATGCTTCGTCGTTTTCCTCTAATGTGGGGTCTTTATCAATCAATATCCGCTGTTTCATGCACTAACATCTACGTCGGTCATTTTTGTAGACGGCAGAGGGGAAAGTCATTTTTGTAGACGGCAGAGGGGAAAAAACAACCACAATTTATGGGCTATCACCAAAGAGCGGGCCGAAAATTGCGACTATAAATGGGTCTAAATATTTTGTAAAATTGCGACTGTAAATGGACCTTTCTATAAACATATTTTGACACTTAGCTGGTGAACCGTTTTTTGGTGAAAAAAATGATTTGCTTCAGCCATTTCAATCAGAAAAGTTACATTTGGTACAGATTTGACATGTCTCCTACCTCACTTACATTGTTCTCCAATCTTCAAACAACATTATTTTTAAAAAGCAAATTTAGTAGAAGGAACTATGATTTTTACGTTTTCCTTTTCTGACAAACCAAGCTTGTTAAACTTTACATTTTACAGACCGAAAAAAACTACATTATCAATCATTAGCCTCCGGATTCACGACGACGTGTCGGATTTGCGTTCAGCGTCTGCGGCAGACTGCATTTGAGCTGCGTATTGCAAATTCCAGAGCACGTCTTCAAAGGAAGGTCTTGCCGAGGGTTCAAGCAAAACGCATTTATTGGCGATTGAGATCGCAATCGTTAAAGACTCCTGCGAGCTCGTTGTTAGGACCGTTGGATTCACTATTTTCTGTCGACCGTCTTGGCTCCCAAATGACGTCTGCAAACACGTAACATTGCAGCAACATCTATATTCACTAACTTCGTTTCAATCAAACACAATATAATGAAGCTTTTTCTGTTTGTTACCATTTCATTGAGAAGAAAGGTCTCTCCTTTTGTAGTGGGCAATGGTCCTATCAGAGATTCCAGAAGTATGAATCCAAAGTTATACACATCGTCCTCTCTTTTAGTCATTTTCCTGCAAAATCCCCAATTTTAAAACTCATGTTTTTAGCTGCAGTTTTGAATTAGATTCTGCTAAACGCTAAGGAGTTTTGAAAAAGATACATACTTTGACTTGTGGGTTTCTGACTTTGTCTGCAAAAATGTATCAACGAAGAGTCCTGACTTAGTATCAAAGAAGAGAATACAAAATGGAGAACAGAGAGAGAGGGAGGAAATGGATCAAACCTCGAGCTTTTCGTTCTCTTCAATGATGGCAGAGACTCCATAGTCACTTAGCTTTGCAATCTTATGTTCGTCAAGCAAAATGTTATTCGTCTTCAGCTGATTGTTGAAGGAACCAGGCATTACACCGGTGTGAAGAAAATGAACGGCCTTTGCCATCTCAATCAGAATCGCTAGCCGATCTGGCCACGTTAGGATCTTCTCCGAGCAAGATTCTATAAAAAGAAACAATATTTTAACAACATTGAGCTTCCAAGGACATTGATCCAATTTCACTTTTAAGTGTACTACATATGTCTCTCTGACCTGATAGATGCGCGCGATAGCTTCCGTTAGGCATATACTCATAGACAAGGTAGAGTATGGTCGCTGCAGGATCGTGTTCTACGCTGTTATGAGTGCAATGCCCCAAGAAGCTAAGGAGATGAGGATGGTTGAGCTTAGACATCCAATCTAAGTGACCTCTGATACTCTGGCTTGAGAATTTCCTTGATAAAACCAAACATCTTATAGCTATGGAGCTTCCATTTTCCAATGTTCCTCTGTACAGCTGCTAGAATCAAAACAAGCAGAGTAGAGCAAAATGACTGACGGTAGTGAGGTTCACAAGAATCAATCTTGTGTTAGACAAACCATACCTTCCCAAGGGAGCCTTCACCTAAGAAACGTGATGAATCAAAATCGTCTGTGGCTTCCTTCAACTCTTCATAAGAAAATGACCGGCATGAGGGCACACCTTGCGCACCTAGCTTTGCTGTTTGAGAGATTAGCCCTGCAAGACGAAACAGCGTAAGGAAGTCTACATTTGCTAGCAGGCAAGAAAGTCTACATTTTGAGTCAAAGCTACTCACTTGCACTAGCAAGAACTTCAGAGGAGAGACTGGTGTGTGAATTATCTGTCACAACCTTAAGCCGAGTTTTCGGCACTCCCTTTTCACTTACACAACAACAACAGCAGGAGCGCTTTGTGCATAAGAAGAGGAGTCCTAATGCAAACAGCACAAGAACAAGAACAGATCCACTAATGACAGCAATCAAAGTCCCAAGTTTTCTTCCTTGTAACTGTTTTCCCTCGGTTTCAGCTTCTTCACATAAGAACTCTTGATGCTGATCACGACTGCCAAGTATGGACAAGCAGTTTCCACCGAGCTTCACAACTCTCTCGCCGGAAGCGCCTGCCAAGCAACGTGGAGGAGTCCCAATGAATCTGTTATTAGACAAATCCACAAATCCGAGTTTGCCTCCACAGGTCAGATTGAGTGGTAGCTTCCCGCTGAGCTTGTTAGACGCCAAGTCCAAGTAACTAACGTCTGGCAAGGAGAACAAGAACCGAGATGGAGTCCCAGTGAGATGATTGAACGACAAGTCAAGATGCTGAAGCTGAGACAAACCGCCAAAGCCTCTGGGAATCTCGCCAGAGAAAGAGTTCTTGCTCAGTAGAACAGTAACTAATCTTCTAGGCATCGGAGGTAGTTCAGAATCCAAGCGGTTCTCTCTTAGATCCAGCATATGCAGATGCTCTAACTTGCTGAGATCAGGCAATTTACCAGAAACCTCATTGTGTGATAGAGCAAGATTTGTTAGTCTTCCAATTCTGCAGATTGAAGAAGGAAACGGACCACTGAACCGGTTGTTCTTTAAGCTAAGAACAGTGAGATTGATCAAGGAATCCAACTTGTCAGGAACACTGCCGTTGAAGTAATTCCCATCAAGAATCAGACTTTGAAGCTTAACTAATCTGGAAATGTCAGGAGGGACAGAGCCAAAGAGATAATTCGAGCTCAAATCCAAGTACTCTAGAGAATTCAGCCGATGGATCTTCCCTGGGAACTCACCAAAGATTCCTAGAGACACTAAGCTAAGAACCTTCAAGCTTGTAAGCCTTGTCAATGTGGTGGCGAAAGAATCAATCAAGAAAGCTTGAGACAGAGTGTGGTTTGGAAGTGAAGACCCATAAAAGGTACCAAATGGTTTTAAGAGCTTCTCCCCCATGACCTTAAGCTCCGTGATGGAATTGCCTTCACAGGAGATGCTCATGTGAGCTGTTGCAGAGATTTGACATAAGTCTCCGTAGTAATTTCCCCAAGAGTCCAGAGCTTTGGGGAATTCAAGATGCTTCCTAAGCTGATACAGGACCTGGGTCTGAGAGTTCTGAAGTTGATGGGTGCAGCGTAAGAACAGAGCCCATGAGAGAAAGAGCAAAGGCAAGATTTTTGAGTGAGCCATGGTAGATTAGCAGAAAGGAAACAGAACCCTAGAATGAGAAGCAGATTTGGACTCTGAGAGGTGAATGAAAGAGACCCATGTAAATGCTTTTGCTTTAGAATTTGAAAAGAAAACTCTGAAGACGAAGAACTTGACTCAGAGAGAAACGGCTAGTCAAAGAAACAAAGCCCAGCTCGTGATCCCAGACGCTCCTCTCGAGTAAACTCCAAGGAAACTAGTTTATTATCAAATTCCCGGAAAAAAGGTCACGAAAAGAAAAAGAAGAAGAAGAAAGAGTGAGAAGAAATGCAGAAATTGAGGATGAGAATGTTGGGTGTTATTTTGTGTGTGTTTGTCGGATTAACACATAGACGAGAAGGAGACTGGGGAAGCTAGAGAGGAAGGTGATAAGAGCATTGATGACAGAGGGGTGAGCAGCATTAATGGCGGCTTCTGTATTTTTATCTGAGAGACTCGACAAAAGAAGAGATTTCAAAGAATCTTTTTCTTCTTCTTCTTCTTCGCTTTGTGAAGGAAACAGTAAATTGAGAATGTGGGTCACCAGAAACAATCATAAAGCGAAAAATGTGCACTCAATTTGATGAAACTTTCTTCCTTTTTAATGTCTGTGTTTCTCTTTTCTTCATTACTGTTTGTAAAGTAATACTAGTAATAAAAAAATGTTAAAACAGATGATATTTGAATTTAAATTTGGTAAAGATAAAGTATGATTGTTGATTTGAGATGATAAATTGTTTATTAGTGTTTGGAAATGCAATTTGGGACTTTGGTTGACTGACTGATAGAAGATGCCGCTAACACATGTCTCTTCTGCGTCTTCCAGCTTCGATTATTAATCTTAAACATCGATTTATGTGTGTGATTGGATTCCATGTCTTGCTAATTCACCAAACTACCCTTCTACGATACCGACGGATACGTATATGAGTCGAAACGAAGCTTTTGCTCTACGAAACACTGTTCGGTAGAAGTAGCTTTCGCTGAAGGGCAGAGATATGGCAGGCAATAAATAACATCCCCAACTATATAATAGTATATCTACTAAGATAATTTTATCAACACCATCTTAACGAAATAAGAAATCCACAATGTTTAAATTGTAGCATACAACACCATAAATTGTGACATGAATATTAATCTGGTTAAGTATAAAGCAGAATATTTAGATTTGTGGCATTATAAGGGCAAGTAGGTATTTTACTCGCAGGCAAAGGTAGTGATTATGCTTTGTTAAAGGTAAAGGAAGAAGAGGAAAAACAGAAAAAGGTTAAAGACCAGTGGGTTCCACAGGTCTGCTGTACTCTCAGAGACGGGACAATCATATTAAATATATTTTTCTGTCTCACATGCATTACTATTTCTGCAAATATGAAAATGAAGGAGAAAATTACATCCAAAGCATTTTGACAAAGTCTAATAATATCCAAAGACACTTTCTACACCTAAGGGACTTTGGCTTGTTTCAGACTGAATAAGATGACAGTTTTGCCCTTAATAAGAGATTTTTACCAAAAACATAAAAACTGTTTGGACGCTGATGCCGAAGCCAAGTGATGAATTATTAACAATCTGATAATTACACCACCACACCACATCTCTGATAATTGTTAACAATATAAGTTAAAATCTAGTTATGGATTTTTCGAAGCTCTGAGTTTTGTTAATTTTCATCGATGGTTGGGGGATTATACAACATATGCATCGACAAAAAGGCGTTCAACGATTGTCGTGATTAGTTGGATTCAAATGAGAAGAGGTTGTTAGTCAGCGTTTATGGGTTGGAGATCTGTGCTTCTTTTCTTTGAGTTTGGAGAAAATGAATAAAGCTGATTTTAGTGTCATTGAAGTTTGGAGAAGATGAATCTGGGTTAACTCGCGATCATATCCACATCTAGATGTCCACTCAGTCGTCTCCACGTTGTCATGTGTCTATCTGGACATCTTTGTTTGGAACATATGGACAGAAAACCATATATACAATTTCCATTCATAATTCTTTCATAAACGTAAATGTTTATACTAGTTTTGTCCACGCAACCGCATCTATATGGATAGTTATTCATTTTTTAGTATAGTGTATATGTTCTATGTCACAACTATCATCTATTTATTCTTTAATAAACATATATGTCTATGCTAGTGTCGTCCACTGAAACAGAGAATGTTGGCTTTGTCATTTATAAGAAGATTGAAAATTATTTTTCATTGGTAAATATGAATGATATTGAAAGAGTACTTCATTAAGTGGCAGCAATATACTATAATTATATATAATGTACTCATTCTTGGTATATGAACGATTTGTTGACAATTTTAATTATTTTGAATACGAACATTTTGCTTATGGAAAACAGTTATTTCGAGTAAATGACCTCTGATACTAATGCAATAGCTAAAGCTAAAATGTTTTGTTTTAATTTTTGGAGCTTGAATAAGATGTATGTGTGGACATGTTTACGTGTACATGACTTTGTGGACACGAAGATGATTAACAACTGAGTGAGTTTTTGTTGAGTTATTATTTATCACCTAAACTGTTCCATGGAACCGTATCCATATGATTGTATCCATACTTCGATATCCATATAGATATATAACACATGTGTCAATAACAAAGTGTAAACATAGTTCTGAAATTGGTTCACAGTCGTGGACATGATATTGTACTTTCTCGTATGGAGGATATATAATGCCTCCTTGCATTAAACCATCAAGGTTATACAAAGTGTCATATCACACAAATATGTTAAGAAAACTTACAACTTTGTCGTGGACAGTGATTTTCTTCTCATTGCGTTCAGTCGTGTACATATCAATAGCCACATGAAGCCGTGGATATGATAGTGTGGCATGAAGTCGTGGACAAGACAACATGTATATATTTAGCTCTCTCATTATCTTGATCTTTCTAAAGAATTTTTTATCCTCTCTCTTTGAGTTTTGCTCATAACTATTTGTATTGCCTTTGGATATTTTTTTTGTTTAAGAGCTTTCGAGACATCAAATTTCCAAATTTGATTAAGACACAATAGAAAGTAAAGTTATAAGGGTAAGTGAGATAACTTATATGTCTCAAGCACATAATACCGTAATACTAAAAAAAAATCCTCCTTTGTAAGAGGTGGTCATTATATTATGGATAGCTAAGTTTGGATAGGCTACACATTATATTAATTACGTTTTCAAATACCCAAAAAGCAGTTCTAATAATGGATGTTCTTATGTACAACTTGGACGGTAATTTATGGTTGAATTTCATCAATTAATACATAGTCAATCTAACAAGCATGGTATACCAAGGATGGAGGTGAATGAATAGTTATGAATGTAATAAGTTTACATCTACCATCTGCAGTATGTATTGTTCCCTTTCAAATCATAACATTTTATGTGGGTAGCCGTACATGGACTGTTATACATTTTGATCATAAATCTCATCTACATCCACATGACCAAGTGTTTAAGTGGGGTCTCTGCCACCTACAACACAGTCTATACAGATCCCATTTTTGATGTTTGTTGGACGGAGATCTCTGTACAGGATGACATCTCCCTACATGAATATTTTTATGGTTGGACATCTTCCTCCATGGATTGCTCTCAGTTCGAGTCATGCAACTCATCCACGTTTGCTTGTCCATATGGATTAACAGCCTGTAAAAATTGGACGGGGATCTCTGTACGGGATGATATCTCTATGCAGGCATCCTTTCGTGGTTGGATGTCCTTACCCATAAATTGCTCCCAGTTCGAGTCATGCAACCCATCCACGCATGCTTGTTCAAGTGGATTAACAGCTCTCATCTCTATGTTTGTCCAAGTGGATTAACAGCTCTTGTCTCTCCAACAGAGTGTAAGATTACAATTATCTTCTATGAATTTTCGCAGAGGAAACGACGGAATCGTTTAACAGTCTTTTAGAAAGAGAAGGAGAGGGAGGATGAGGCGGAAAATAAGGTTGGTGTGAGGGAGTGATTGAAATCCGTAAATATTTGATGCGGTGGTACCAGCGGAGGGCAAGTCGGAGAAGAAGATCGGTGTTTCTGGGTTTTCTGTTTCTCGCCGTTTGATTTTTTGGAGGAGAAAAGAGAACAGGTGTTTTTTGTTGTGTTAAAAAAAAAATATATAACGCTGTAAAAGAAAAAGAGTATTTTTGTAATTACTGAAAGTCACCTAGGAGTAATAAGTGCTTTTATTGTAAGTTTGAAAGTCCAAAGTGCCTATAGATGTAATTGACTCAAAATGAAAATGGTTCTTCTTCACTCTTTGTTTTGTTTGAGGAAAAAACTTGGTATTTTTGAATTGACAGTAGTGATACAATCAACGTGAATGTGAATTGCAGTTGATGTGTTAAGCTTTACGAACACTCATAATTTCGATTCATGATATTACTGTTTACTATATTCGGCTCATCATGTATCAATACTGTTACACAATTACCAACAAAATTAACCCAAAGATTCATCATCCTAGTAACCAGCGTAGTTATGAGTGTTCGTTTTAATTTAAATTAATCAATTAAGCACCACAGAAGGAACAAAACGACTAGAACAAGGCATGCTCTAATACTGATGATCAAAAAGAGACTTAACAGTGTAAATTTGGGTTTAAAACAGAGGACGCTTTATAGGAGAAGGATAAGACAAAACAGAAGAGTCCATGAAATGGGAATGGGATGTGAGACGATTAGACGAAGAGACCTGGACATTAAGAAAAAACCATCTGACACTAGGACACCCATTTTGGGACCATCTCATGATTTTTGGTTTTGGAAAAGCAACAAGCAAAACATCGATCTTATCAAAAAACAAGCAAAACATCAAAATCCCCTTCACCAAAAACCAAACAAGTTTCTCTCCAACTTGTCTTGAGAACAGATACGAGATCGACTTCAAGATAAGACAAGATCAGTAATTTGTTTTTAGAGATTCTTCAATCCAAAAATCCCCCACGCTATCATGTTCGAGACCAGTGATGCAACAAGGAAACAGACCAAACATTATATGCATCGTTTATGCTGGAATTAGTGAGTCTTATGAGAATCTGGGGTTTTGCTGAGTTTGTTGGCTAAATCTCACGGCTTATTGCATTTTACAAGTTTTACAAACTAAGTGATAAAAAGGACGAACCTTGGCAATGTTCAGAAGCTGTCCTCAAGTTTTCTTGTCATTTGAGCAAGATTCCAAGTATGAGATCACAAGATCAGCTGCTTTGCAGCCTGATGCTATTGATTTCCCAACAGAGAGCCCACCTCGATGATTACCTGTTCATTTTGGCACATGCCCAATAGATAAATAACTGCAGTGAATCATCTCAAGTCCTAGATGGACTACACTCATCATCATGGATCATGTATATAATGCTCTGTTCTTAAGAGACTGAAACTTTAACTGAAGTTACCTGCATAGAAGAATCCGGGTAGACCTTTCTCCATCTTGTCTATTGCTTCCATGACTGAATCGTAGCTGCTGTCATACAACGGGAATGCTTTGCTCCAATAGAAATGGCTGCAATCAACATATATTGTTGATATATAATTGCACTTTCTTCTTTCATACACTAAAACGATCAAATGCAAAAATCTCTAAACTTCACATACTTGACAAATTCGGGTTCACCTTCAACCCCTAACAGTCGCTGAAGGTCAGAAGTCACAACTTGTTTTAATTCATCTCTACACAAATAGAACCAAAAAAAATAAAAAGTTAGTCAGAATCAGGTGGAAACTAGAAAAAGAAGTTTTAAGCACTCAGATTTCTCTTACGTGGAAGCTTTGGCTAGTTCCTGGTTCCTACTCCCACCAATAAAAGTTGTATACAGATGAAGGTCTTTAGGGCAACGATCTGGAAACATCATTGAGGAAAAGAGTGTACCTGCGAGTAGAGGAGTACGAAGTGTTGATCATTATAGAAAGAGAGAGTAGAGCTATTTGCTTGAATTATGGCCTAAGACGCCAACAAATTACCCAGAGTTTTGAAACCATGCTTTTGCTCCTTAGATGGAATGAGTACCCCAAAACCTTCGAGAGGTCTCTTTACTTTTTCCTTTGTGAATGTACTGATGATAACCGAGAGAGGCATATACTTAATCTGAGTAATGAACAAGATCAGCATCGAGATGCAATTACCTAGGAAGAAATAGTACATACAAGAGACAAGTAATCATGCTAGAAAGTTCTTTGATGTCACATTAAGTTTCTCATTATCAGTATTTAGAGTAGAAAATCTAAGGTAACGCGAGAGGATGGACTAAATCTAGATGTAGGCCTAAATGCGCCTAATACTCTCAAACATAAACTGATGAAAATTGGATAAGACACAATTACCTCCGGGAGAAAGTTTAGCTTAAACTGTTGCCCTCCTTTCATAACCTTCATCTCCTTCACATTGCACAGAGGAGCCTATGGTACATAAACTTCTTGTCAGTTGAGAGGTTTTGTAATTTTTATCTCACATCCGACAAAAACACCACTAACCGTCATAATTACAGCATCATAATTGCGGCTTTGTCTCTGCGTCTCATTATAAGAAACACAGGATAATGACCAGTTCTCCTGACTTGATTCAGTATTGTAAGACAAAGAGAGAACCTTGGAGTCTAAATTGAGCTCATCATGTGAGAGATTTTTGCACAACATATCAGGAAGAATCTGCATTATCCCAAAGTGGAAACATATTAACAACAAGTATTACAGAGCAAGAAGAGCATGAGTACGGCAGAATATATTATAAAAGTTCTGGTTTTCATTGACAAAGCATCACCTGCATTCCCCCCTTAAAAGAGAATGAACTGCGCGAACCCTTTTTTGTTTCGCCACTTTTACCACCTTTAGCAGCAAACTTTGTTCTGATTGCACCGACTATAACCGAGCCAAAACTGAAAAATAATAGAATTTATTGAGCAACTAACTGGAGAACACTTAATGACACTATCGACACAGAAATATTCTTCCAAGTAGAACTTATTGAATATAGTATAGTTACATGAGAAAGTACCTTTTCTCTATATTCCAAAGATCTGGAAAAGAATGCTTCATCTGATCATAAATTGTAGAGAGGGAGGTAAAAATGAGGAATATCGAACTGTCATTTTTAAAACAAAGACGATTAGATAAGTGCAAAGTTGCTCACTGAAAGGGAATCAGGATCCGCGGCACTTGTTCCACCAACAAAAGGGTCGATGAGATAATCCACAACCTTACAAACACACATAAAAAGGAGCACATGAAAGGAAAATCTCAGACGTCTGAAATCAATTTAAATATTCCATAATTGGTCTTGACAAATGCAGAGAAAGGTGAAACAAAACAAAAGGGTGAGACTAGAATGTTTCTATCCGAAATTAGGATTAGGTAGCAACAAACCTCTTGTCCAAAATGGCGTTGAAAGAACCCGCTTACACTACAGCAGAGAAAAGTGAAACTGAAGTTATAACCTTATGCGATTGAGATTGCTGATGGTCTGAGCGAGAAAAAAAAAAAAGAAAAATACTCACCTCTCTACTGCAGATGCTTCTGACACTTTTGAGGACGAGTCCTTCTTCTTCCATAAAAATGGTTCCAACAGTAATTGAAACTGCAAGTAAGCCCTAGTACTTTTAAGAAAATTGATAAGATAAAAGCAGTTTGGTAGACGAGAGACTCTAGCTTCTGGTGGTAGAAATAATATGCCTCAAATAACCATCAAGACAACTTAGACAAGTCTTGTCGATGTAGTAAATAACGAATGCAGTTCTATTTGGAGAAATGTACCTTAGACTGGGTAGAGAGCACACTACTAGTGACCAACGCTATGGGACTGGTGGGTATCTAGCATGGTAGATAACATATCAGCATCACACATTAGACAAGAACACCTCATCACATGAAGAAGCAGCAGCCAAAAGAAAAAGGAAACAAGTAGAGCTTACCATCACAGGTACACCATTCCGCACAATATACCGTTTTTTCTGTGAAATTGGCTGAAACAATGAAGAAGGCAAATAAATAAAATAGCAAAAATGTCTCTTATTGTGCAATGGAAGAACATCCACGAACCACAGAAAGTACTCACAAACTGCTGTTTCTCACGAAGCCCAAGATCATCCAGCAAACTCCCAACTTCTGGCTCAGCCTCAGTCTGCACATGTAGCAGCCATACCGGATCAAGACCAGCTGAAAACAGATTTGTGCTGATGGTTCTAAAGAAGTAAACAACAAAAAAAGTACCATGGTGTTTGCTCCTTCATCCCAAATCAAGCCATTATGCATCACACTTCTCAGCTTCCCACCTGCTCTTCCATCAGCTTCGAACACAGTCACATTCAAACCCCTCGATTTCAACTTGTAAGCCGCCGCAAGACCACTTCAAAACAAACAATCAAAAGCCATGACAAAAACAACGCATCTGTGAGCGACCCATTTCCGCTCGATCAACTTTATCTAAACAAAAATTACGCGAAAATTGAAAACAAACAAAACTCGGAGCAAATAACCCAGAAACAGATCAGACTCGAAACCCGGAAAATTGATGAAAAATTAGGATAATCAGCAAAATTTCGTAGCACAATAGAGACGAAATAGTAATACAATGCAAGAGATGATTCGCTCCGTGAAAAAATTACCTTACTCCTGCACCTACGACTGCGACTCTCCTCCCTGAAACCGCTTCTAACTCTAACCAAGAACCACACACGAACAAGCAAAAACAAATTACTGGAAGATACAAACAGTTCAGAATTCTGAAAGCAAAGCCCAAAATGAAAACGGAGAAAAAACGAAAGGTTTCTTACTTGTATCATGATCTGCTAATGCGTCAGACGCCATTGCTAAATTTGCTATCTGCAACTACACGAGGAAGCCAAATGAGCGTCAAATCTCTGACCAGACGACAAAGCAGGACGGAAAAAAAAAATACAGCGGCAAAATTCCTGACGACACCAAAACTGTACCGTTTTGTTTTCTCGGGCAGGCCCACTATCATCAGGCGTATGTTGTCTTAACGGGCCTTGGTCTATGCATAATTAACACAGAGAAAAACCATATGTTTAAATTAATTTGTTGGTAATGAAAACAACTTTTGGATAAGATCATAATTGATTTCATTACGAGTAAAGTGTGTAACGACCGATGATCGCTTTTTAGAGCATACCATCTTTGAATATCAACTTAACGCATAAGCTCAAAAGGAGAAGAAAACTTAAATAATAATCCTTGTTGAGATTACGAGAACATTACGTGGCCCATTTGTACCGTGGAAAATTCGAATCTCAAATTTAATAAGATTATCGCATGGGTGAAGGAAAAAGGGGAAGTCATTTTGCTTTGAGGTAGACTAAATGTCTTTTTGAAGATTAAATTGGATCATTAACTAGACATGATATTTGCTTGCGCCATGGATCTTTAAGGTTGAAGCAAACAAATTTAATATTCAATCTCTGCCGCCAAATATGAATTCGAAATCATGTAGTTGTTTTACACGTATAACCATGTCTTTTATTATCCTTTTCAAATTTCAAATCTGAAAAAGTTGCAAGTCCTAAGATGGTTGGTGCATGTTGTTTCCCTTTTGCCCCTTTGATTATATTCCACTGGCATTATTTCATTGCTTGCTTACACTTTTTCTTAACGTCGTATTATATACTAAGAAGAGCAGCAAAACAAAAGCATGGGTTTGAATTTTGAATATTTTACATATCACATATGCTTGGTGTCTCGGCGAGTCGTGGAAGTGGATTCAAATCCGATTATTGGCTCGTGTTTGCAGTATATTAACAGAATTTTAAACTAGCTTGGTGAATCTTGTTTTGCATATTGAATTCAAACAAAAAAATTGCGATTTATTAGATTGTAGGATTGGCTGTGTGATTTTCCAAAAACATAAAACAACTAACCATTTGACAAGAACAAAAATAATAATAGTAACTACAGTCCGATTTTTAATTCTTCACTCTGCTTTATTTTATACTTACATATATTAATATATAATTGACGACATGTTCTGTAACCAGAGAAAGATCAACATTTTACATAATTATAAAAATATTGTACTTATTAAAAGGAATCAAACATGTAATTTTCATGTTGCAATCTGGATCAGGAGATCTCTCCGCGACATGTATGTCCAAAGTAGGATCCGATGAATCACGTTCATTTGGTCAACTCATTTTCATTTCAACCATATCCTATAAACAATTAATTATTTGGTTGGGTTGTGAACGCAGAAGTTAGTGCTAATGCGCAGCGCTTATTAATATATCAAAAATATGCTTCCTATTACACACCAGCCGGCATACTTTAATCGAAAAAGGAATGAAGAGAGAAATAAAATTAGGAAACTATCCTGTACAGTTTCTTGTTAACCAAATACAAACAACTATCGTTTAAACTGTTTTTTTCTTCTTTTTTACGACACTAGTCTCTATTATCACGTGCACTACAAATCTTTTTGAACGTCTTCTCACAGTCTCACTAATCTAAAAATTGACCTAATTTTTCCTTATTATAACGACTAACGTCGATTCAGGTAGAATTAGATGGGACTGTGTGTTTGATTTAACCAAAATAGTCATATCTACAAAGACGTATTCCACGAATGAGTTGTTTAGTGGTTGATGAGGAGTCAACCTCATGACGAGTCTAGTCTTTTTCCGTACGTACGATTACGAAAGTATGGTCCTATTATATCTCTCATTTATATTTATGTATCTATCTCCACCGACTTCTCCAATTCTATCTCTACCACAATTTGATCGTCCTTTGTATCATGCAAAGATCTCAGTTGCATCACTTCTCGCTCCCTCCCTCCATTTAATTTTTTATCGCCCACCGTTTCTATTATTTTATCATCTGTTTTCTACTTGAATCACATCGTCCACGACAAAAAAAGAAAGATATATGTATATAGAGAGAGTTATAAATGTGAAGATATGTGTCGTTTCCTATTGATTAAATTATTTGGTTACGAGAACTATCATTAATTCACTGCAGTGTGTCTAACGTAAGGCCAAAAAAAAAACATAATCTGAGTGACATAGCTGGATAAATTGAGTAGGGAAGAGTTGCAGGATTGTAGCTGGAGGAGTGAGCAAAAGAGTATGGACTCATTGAACCAAATAAATAAATAATCTTCGTGCTGATAAGTTTCCATATTAGCAAAGTGAACAATCTGTTTACAGTCTTATCTAACTTTGTCTTTTTTTTACCATCCTCCTCCAACATTATTCTACTTCTGTCTTCTTTCTTTCCCACCAAATTTTTTTTTTCCGTCAAAGTGTCATTTTATTCATTAAAATGGAATTACAAAGTCATCATACAACAAATCCTTTAGCCACAAAGGCGGATTAAAACGGGAAGAGTAAAAAACACCATTTTCTGGCAGAATTGAAGCTAAAGCATGTGCAACAGAATTATTTTCTCTCTTTGTGAATTTGAAAACACATTCTTTGAAATTTTGTTTCCAAGAGTTAATATCCCAAGAGATATTTTCAATATTGTAATCTCTCTGTTTACATCCTAATACATCAATAAGTGTTTTACAATCTCCTTCAAAGATAACATGGTCCAAACCTAAACTCCAAGCTTGTTGCATTGCAATGAGTAGAGCCTTTGCTTCCGCTTCTAAAGGTGAAGATGACATCCCTAAATTAGTTGTTCCCCAAGAGAAAGCTACGCCTGTATGATCTCGAATGATCCATCCGGCCATTGAAAGATTTGAGTGAAGATCATAGCTTGCATCGAAATTACACTTGTGAAAGCCCAAAGAAGGCCACTGCCAAATTAGATCCCTTGTTGATGAAACACTTCCATAGTTCCCAGAACTCTGAACTCTTGAATGTTGTGCATCTCGTGATTTGAGCCATTCCAAAACATCTGCCTGAGCTTGTTGAACAATAATATGTGGTAGAGTAAGTTCCTTTTTAAAGATTAAGCGACATCGTGATTTCCATATTCGCCATGCAAGCCAAAAAGGAAAGAGTTTCTGAAATTCAGTTAAACTCCTAATATTTTGTAATTCTAGCAACTTAGATACTTGTTCGTCACAATTATCATCATGATGATTCAATGGTTGCCAAGGAAGATTACAAATTCTCCAAACCATTAACGAGTGAGGGCAAGAGAAAAGCGTATAATTAATAGTTTCATTTGCCGCACAGCACCGTTGACAAATTTTATCTATGTTCATTCCACGCGAGATCAATCTAGTAGTTGTAGGTATTGCTTGTGACAAAATTCTCCAAAAAAAGTGTTTAATCTTTGGCATAATCTGTAATCTCCAGATTTGCTCTTTTAAAACTGGATCCCCGTGTGGGATAAGGATTTGTGGGTTATCTTGAAGATGATCTCTAAATGCTAACCAATAACCACTTTTAACTGTATATTCTCCTGATTTATCATAGCTCCAAACCGTGCAATCTTGTTTCCTTGTTTGTGGCAAATATAGTTTCTGAAGTAGGTCTCTATCTGCAGGAGTAAGAGTTTCTTCAACCAACTGCACATTCCACTTCCTTGATCTCCCAATGTCCACCATTAAATCTTTAACTAGAATGTCTTCTTATCCAGTACGACGACTTGCTTTTTTAGGTGGATGACATGGTAGCCAATTGTCTCCAAATACACTCGTAGTTTCTCCATCTCCAACTATCTTTCTAATTCCTTTTTTTTAACAAAGTTAAGCCAGTAACAATGGAACTCCACCCATACGATTCATTTTTCCAATGTTTTGCTTCTAGTACCGTAGAGTCTTTGTAGTAACGTGCTTTCATCAACCTAGCAAATAGTGTGTGTGGATGTTTTAACAATCTCCATGCCTGTTTAGCTAACAGTGCATCATTAAATCTTGGAAGATCTCTGAAGCCTAATCCACCATCTCTCTTTGAGAATTGTAGTCTTTTCCAAGCCACCCATGGAATGCCTCTATTTTTATCACCTTTATCCCACCAGAATTTCATTAACAGAGTGCTTATTTCATCAGTAATGTTTGCTGGTAGTTTAAAACATGACATAGAGAAAACAGGCATTGCCACTCCCACCGATTTAATCATCACTTCTTTCCCTGCATATGATAAAAACTTCCCACTCCAATGCGATGTTCTTTGTCCGACTTTGTTGATGATCGAATGAAACATATCTTTCTTTTTTCTTCCAAATTGCTCAGGTAAGCCGAGATATTTACCTCCACCTCCTTGCTTGTTAATGTCAAGAATGCCTTTTAACCTGTTTTGTAAATCCCCTGGAATACGTGAACCAAAAGTAATCGTCGACTTCATTGGATTGATTTGTTGACCTGACCACTCCTCATAAATTATGAACGTATCCTTAAGTGCTTTGCAATTTCTGTTATTTGCCTGACAAAAAAAACAGAGAATCATCTACAAATAGCAGATGAGAAACAGCCGGAACGCCATTACCAATACGGATTCCACGAATGTCACCATGTCTAGTTCTGGTTTCAATCATATGGCTCAGGACGTCTGCACATAAGATATAGAGATAAGGAGATAAAGGATCTCCTTGACGTAATCCACGTTCAGGTTTAATACGTCCTTGTGGGTTGCCATTGAAGAGGACAGAGTATTCCACCGTTGTCACCGTTGCCATAATCCAACTAATCCATTTTTCATCAAAACCAAAAGCTTTAAGAGTTCTTTCCAAAAAATTTCACTCAATTCGATCATAAGCTTTAGAGATATCTGTTTTGATAGCCATATATGTTTTTGAGACACGTTTTCTTGACTTTAAAGAATGCATTAGTTCGTGTGCAATAAGTATATTATCAGTAATCATACGCCCAGGAATAAAAGCTGATTGAGAATCAGAAACGATTCTATCTAAAAATAACTTGAGCCGTCTCACTAATATTTTTGAAATGATTTTATATAAAACATTGCACAAGCCTATAGGTCTGAAATCAGATAACGTATCTGGTTTATCAATTTTTGGAATCATACAAATGTTAGTATGATTAATACTTCTCTTCATATATGATGTATCGAAGAAAGTTTTGACTTCATTTGTGACATCAGTTCCAACTGTGTCCCAGCAACTCTGGAAAAAACGTGCTGTAAGTCCATCTGGTCCTGGAGCTCTATCTGCACCAATGGAAAGGAGGGCTTCTTTGATTTCAGCATCTGAGACCTCTCCTATCAGTCGTTCATTCATCTCTGCATTCACTGTCGGGATGAAGTCAGCAAATATGTTATGTTGACTAGTTTGTTGTTGTGATGTGTAAACGCCTTTAAAAAACTCCTCTGCACGATGTCCCACTTCAATGTCGCCTTTGTAGAGGTTTCCATTGTTGTCCTTGATTGACATAATTCTGTTCCTTGAGAATCTCGATTTTGTGCATGCTTGAAAAAACTTTGTGTTGCGATCTCCTTCCTCTAACCAAGTGTTCCTGCTCTTTTGCTTCCAATATGTTTCTTCATCTCTGTATGCCTGTGAGAGATCGTTTTGTATCTCAGCGATGTTGTTGTAGTTTGAGTTAGGATTTACCAAGGCAAACTCTAACTCAATCTGGAGCTCTTCTATCCGTTTAGCCGCATTTAGTTTGGTATTTCGTCTGCAGTGTGACATCGCCTTCCTACATTCTCGAATTCTTTCTGATATTGCTGGATTTTGTCTCAAACATGCAGAATTCCAACCTTCATTTACATAGTTCTGAAATTCCTTTACTTGTAAAAGACGTTTGTCAAACCGGAAACACTTTTTCCTATTGTTCTCTGCAAAACTTACAGTCGTGATGACTGGCCTATGATCTGAAGCGTAGAGACCTAAAAACTCTGCTTCTGAAGCTGGAAAGGAAGCAATCCATTCCGAGTTTCCAATTACTCTATCTAAACAACATTTTACAGTGTGGTTTCTTCTTTTCCCAACCCAAGAGAACCGGTTTCCTTTAGATCTAATATCTTGAAGGTCACAAGTACTAAAAAGTCGCCTAAAGTCCTGAAAACTTCTTTCATCTCTTATTAGTCCACCAATCTTTTCATTACTTGAAAGGATTTCATTAAAATCACCAACAAGTAACCATGGACCTTGTCTTGTGCAATTGATATCTTCAATTTGTTTCCAAAGATCATTTCTTTCTTGTTGATTTGGATATCCATATACACACGACAAGTAATAAAACATTCCATTAAAACAAACCGAAACATCAATCATCCTTACATCATTACAACATCTTACTACATCCACTTCTTTTTTCCAAAATAAAGCTAAACCTCCACTCCTACCAACAGGAGGGATTGAGATTACATAATCAAACTGAAGCAAAACACACAAATCCCTAATAATGTCACACTTATGCAAAGTTTCACAAATAAAAAACAAATCTGGATTAAACTTACGTACTATCTCCTTAAGTCTACTTTCAGTAAGAGACCCCTCAGGTCCGAGGCCTCGGCAGTTCCAGGAGGCAATCTTCATGGATATCTTGAGGGAACCGGGCCCCCCGCGCCTCCGTGTATAGTGTGATAAGCAGAGCAAGAGTCTTGAGACTCCTCCTATCCGGTCCTCACGTCAAAACCGGACTCAAACCTCGCTATGGGACTCAGGGCCATCCCATAACCTTCATCGTATGATGGAAACTGCATTCCTGGGTCAACGCATCGGCGCTTACACTTGAGCGATCCTGGAGACTCCTCATGTCTTGTGTATGCAGCAAAAACAGACAGAAAATCGGATTCAGTGAACTTCCCTTTAGCCATCTTTGCCTGTAGATAGCGGACTGTCTCAACTGCCAAATCTCTGTCTGCAATTGCTTGTGGAACATAGGCTTCTTCTCCGTCCATGCCCAAACCCGGAATCAGAGGAGCCGGAGACATGACTTCCAATTGCAGAGCGTTGTTGTTACCTTCATCGACCGGATTGTTGTCGTCCTGGTCATGGCCTTCGTCATCATGGTTCTCACCTTGAAAATCCGGACCCAGATCACCATCCTCACCATTCAGAGGACAATCCTTCTTATCATGAGTGAGCATGCCGCAACGGTTACATAACGAAATTTCAGAATCGTATTGACATCCTCACCAAATTGATAATTCCTTTGAAAGCGTAGAGGATTGTCTATATTCCAGTTTACCTTCACTCTGACGAAATCCACACGAGTGGAGTTTTCATCGAAATCGATCTCAGTCACCGGACCCAGAACACCGCCGATGAAACCGATCATTGTGCGTGTGAGGAACTGCAGAGGGATTCCGCGGATCTGAATCCAGAAAGGAATGATCTTCAGTGTTTCCGGAGGGAAATTAGGAGTCCATCGTTGAAGAACAATCATCCATTCGTTGAAATACCAAGGGCCTCTACGAACAGTGAGATTCATCGCCTCTTCAGAAGTGAAAACAAACTGGAATTGGTTGTTTTCCAAAATGCGTCCAACGACAGATCCGCCAAGGCCCCAGAATCTTGGCATCTGGCCGATGAGAGCACGAAGATTTTGCCTGCTTGGGTTAACAGGAGCCCCAATCAGACAGAATCTGTTCGCACTTGCCGCTTGATTACAGACAGCCACCGACAACGAGATCGGAGCGTCTTCCGCTCCCAAAGTCAGATCTTGAATACGACGTCCAATTGAGTCACTCATTTTGTGATTTGGAATTGAGATTTCGATTGTGTGAAAAAACCAAGAAATACCGAACCCATTTATAGAGATGGCTATCCATGGCGGTTTCGGACAGTGATACTCATCAGGGAAGGATGAGACACGAAAACCGTTAAGGACAGAGCCCAACGGAAGGAAACCGCCTTGTTTGACCCGATCTAAACGGAATACAACGGTCGGAAAGACGCTCTCTCGAAGAAGAAAATGGCAGTTAACGGAATCGCCCAAAAAATCGTCCATCAGAGAGAAAAAAAAACAGCAGGGAATAGTTTAATTCATCATCATACTAGATAATTTCATACCGACTTCAACTCAGAAAAATTTGAAACATTTTACACCAATGCATTAACCAAAAACCAATATGTAGTTAGAAAAGAGCAACACTCGAAAAAGATAATAATATGTATAATATCATAAAATATACATTTCCTTTATAATATTTTTAAATTGTACTTATACCGTCTGTCACAAAAATATTTTGTACTTACCCTGATTATTAATCAGTGAAAAATACAATATCTGTATGTTCACTAATAAGCCAACTGAGAACACGAGAAACAGTACAGTACCACTGGCTGGCAGGCATGTAACAATTATATTCAACAGTGATAAACATAATTTTATAGAAATAAACTCATAAACAATGCAACTATCAAAGGAAAAAAAAAACAAATTGTATTTGGGTATTTTGTTTCCATTTTGTATTTTGTTTCCAACCAGGCAACCAAAGAAAGAAGAGGAAGAAATTTTATTTCCATTTTGTTTTTATTTCTTGAAATGTATTATTAACAAATTTGGGTAATTTTTCTTAAGCCATTGCCAAGCAAAAAATGGGACCCACATTAATTGCCCATTTTAACCATTGAACGTTAATCATGGTTAATGCTGTAAAATCCCATTTCAATAAATTCCCACACTTCTCTTCCTTCCCTGGCGCTCACTTCTTTTTAAGTTTCATCTCTCTCTCTCTCTCTATCTATCTCTCTCGCTCTCTCTCGAGCCTCGCGTCTATAAAGAGACAAAACAATTATCTAAAGCGTCGACGTTTCGGTATCTTCCGGAATTAGGACACTCGGTCAACGGCTTACGGCGGCGTAAGGATCAATACTCCGACAATGACGGTTTTCTCCGGCAGACAAATCGTTCCGATGAATTACGAGACAGAGGCATCACAGCGGCTTCTGGATGCTATCATAAACGGCGATATCAGAACGGCGTCGGATTACGTCTCCGATCCGCTCGTCGACGTTAATTTCGTCGGCGCCGTCAGCTTAAAGACGAGGAGGAGCGAGGTCGTGCTCCGTGACGAGTCCGCCAGCGAAATCCGAGTGGAGTACGAGGAGTTCAAAACTGATGTAACCGCCCTGTTCCTCGCCGTTAATTTCGGAAACGTAGCTCTCGTGAAGAAGTTACTCGTAAGTTTTTTTTCTTTTCAATCCGATTGATTTCCTATGAATTAGATTAGCCGTTTCTCGTCGTCCCTAGCTTAGATTTTGAAACCGATAAACAAATCTGCATTGATTTGATCTTCACGCGGCGTTATCTGCCAATTAATAATTTAATATTACAATTCGCCGTTAAGTTTATTAAGAAATCGGTTTTGCATATACATGTGATTTGAATATCTTTGGTTATATCATTTGTTCTGAGCTAAAATTACTACTGTTACGGTCTATTAATGGGGGACGGAATTGATGGAGAATCGTTTTCCTCGTGATTTCCTATTTTCCATTTGTTTTCGCGCATTTCTGATAATACTGACATTTCGTGGATTTTCGCACTTTTTTTTGTCTCTTGAATTAAAGACCCAAAATCTATAATGTCTGTCCCAGTCTACTTTAACCTTTTTTTTTCTTCTTTTCGAAATTCAAATTTCGGACTGTGCTTATTTCCTCCTCTCTCTATTTTATTCATGTAAGTTTTGAAAAATCTATTTCCCGATATTTAGTTCAGGATGAACTAATTCAGTTAGTATTTCGGATTGTTTTTCTTTGATTATTTACTCGTATTGTTTATACATTTAGCTCTACCATTTTTATAATTCTAGAGATATGGATCGGATTCCGTGCGAGTTTTTAAATTCATAATCTGTTGACTAGCTTCAATCTCACTGGTGGGTTTTTGTTTAGGAATCTACCAAGATGCCGAAAATGTTAAAAAATAAAAAGGAAATTTTTTTCCTTTAACCGAGTCAGTTAGCATATTAGGCGGGTATCTTTTTCCGATCTTGAAGTCTCACAACTCTTTCTTTGGTGCAACGTCACAGATTCGCTTTTACTAATTCTAATTGTATATCTCCTCAAGAGTTTTGGACATTTGCTAGACCATATTCGTTATATACCTGAATAATTTGAGAGATCTATGAATAATGAGTATCACTTGGATATTGATTGCTTTTAGTTGATGGATATTTTGAGACACAATAGTCTCACTATTGGCTTTCAGTGATAATTGAGTGATATGATTTGATTCTCTTGTTCCCTGAAAGGAACTGATGATATTTAGTACGACAAGAAGTGTTCACAAAACAGAACCTGAGGCCCCCCATATGGTTCTGTCACTTGTCATTGGCTGCATCTGGAGTACATAATGAATACTATATTTGCATACTTCCTCTCTTTCCTTTCAAATCATCATCAGTTGTCTGTGATCACGCCATGCTCCTTTGCGTCAGTGTTGTTCCCTCATGTTCATGTCATGTAGATCCATTTCAATTATTCACTTTGCATTATTATACAGCTTACTATTTATAAACATTTTTATTTTTGTCTTCTTCTGGCTCTTGTTTTCACTCCACGTGGAGTGCTTAGCACTTAGCAGGCTAGCTTAAGATAATCTTTACAGTGATCTGACCTTTGGTGCAATATCATATCACAGAACGTTGGAGCTGATGTGAACCAGAAGCTCGTTAGAGGATTTGCAACTACTGTAGCTGTAAGGGAAGGTCATTTCGAGGTACTTGAGATTCTACTCAAAGCCGGTGCTTCTCAGCCCGCTTGTGAGGAAGCTCTAGTAGGAGCGAGCTGTCACGGACGCTCGAGGTTCGCGGAGCTGCTCATGGGAACTGATCTTATTCGTCCTCAGGTCGCAGTGCACGCTCTAGCCACTGCTTGTTGCAAAGGCTTTGTGAAAGTTGTAGAGACCTTGCTCAGAGTAAGTTCTTCATCTTGTGATTTTTAATAACTGACTATGATATTTGTTCAATGGTGAATCTTACAGGAGATGTTTTTATGTTCTTGCTTCGTTGCAGTGCGGAGTAAATGCTAATTCAACCGATAGGCTTCTGCTCCAATCTTCAAAACCTTCTCTCTACACAAATGTGGACTGTACAGCTCTTGTTGCTGCCATTGTCCATAGGCAGGTCTCGGTCGTCCGCTTGCTACTGCAGGTAATTAATATCTCTAACAAAAGTGAAAACTTGTGTATGATGATGTGTCTAAGACATCCAAGCTTTTCTTTCATTGATCTGTACAGGCTGGTGTGAAGACAGATATCATGGTGAGGCTTGGAGCATGGTCATGGGACACTAACACTGGAGAAGAGTTTCGTGTGGGAGCTGGAGTAGCTGAGCCGTACCCTCTAACCTGGTGTGCTGTAGAATACTTTGAAACCAGTGGCGACATTTTGCGTCTGCTGCTCAAAGTCCAATCTCCAAACACTCCTCACAACAGTCGGACTATGCTCCACCATGCCGTCCTCTGCGGTAACCAGGCAGCTGTCAGAGTCCTCCTCAACTGTGGAGCTGATCCTGAAACTCCTATTAAGACTTCACGAGGCACTGAATTCCGACCAATTCATATTGCTGCACGTTGTGGATCAGTGGAGATTGTACAACAACTCGTTGGCTTTGGCTGCGATATTAACTCAAAGACTGATGCTGGGGACACGGCTCTGCTGATCTCAGCAATACACAAACATACAGCATTGGTAAAGGTTCTTGTCCTCGCTGGTGCTGATTTCGGCTTAGTGAACAAGTTTGGCCACTCTGTTCTCTCGATCGCTGGATCAAACAAGTGGTCTCTCGGATTACAACGAGTGATTCTTGAACTGATCCGGTTCGGATGTGTTCCACATTCAAGCAACGCTTCGATTTTCTCGCCTTTGCTTTACGTGGCTCAAGCAGGAGACGCCGAGGCGCTTAAATCTCTTGTGAGAGCTCAAGAAACCTTCCTAGACTATCAAGACGAGGATGGCTTCTCAGCTGCAATGCTAGCGGCCATGAATGGCCACGTCGAAGTGTTTAGAGTCTTGGTCTACGCAGGGGCAGACGTGAAGCTAATCAACAAATGCGGCGACACAGTGGTTTCTCTGTCGGAGAAGAACGGTAACCGGGACATGATCGAGAAGGTGATGCTCGAGTTTGCTCTGGAGAAGGACAACAGGAACATGGCTGGCTTCTACGCTCTACACTGCGCTGCAAGGCGTGGAGACGTGGAAGCGGTGAAGCTTCTGAGTGGGAAAGGATACGGTCTGGACACACCGGATGGAGACGGCTACACTCCGCTGATGCTTGCGGCCATAGAAGGCCATGGATATATGTGCGCTTTCCTAATCTCCCGCGGCGCAAACTGCAATGCTAAGAACGGAGGAGGGATGATGCTGGTGGATATGGCGGTTGGTGATGCGGAGGAGGTGATCCGCAACGAGTTGTCTCGGAGGTTTGTGGTAAAGGGGAGCAGTGTGATGAAATACACCAAGGGAGGGAAAGGGAAGAAGCATGGGAAGGGATTGAGAATGTTGGAATCAAGTGGAGTACTAAGTTGGGGGAAGTCAAGGAAGAGAAACGTGGTGTGCAAGGAAGTAGAGATTGGAATGAGTCAGCGGTTCATGAGGAACCGGAAGGGGAAAGGCGATGCAGCGCAGGAGGAAGAAGGGGTTTTCAGGGTAGTGACTACAGAGAACAAAGAAGTTCATTTTGTGTGTGAAGGTGGATTGGTGGCTGCAGAGATGTGGGTGAGAGGAATAAGACTTGTGACCAGGGAGACTATTTGTGGGCGAACTCAGAATTAGAGTGTTGTTTTGTATATACATAAACAAGTTTTGAGAAAGGGAGCTTCACTTTGAAGGTAGTGTGCTTCTGTTGTCTTGGGGGTGTTTATAGTTGTTGGGTTTTGCTTAAGAAGTTTGGTTCAAGTTCTAGGTTTGATTTCTGCAGTATATTTGTGAAATAGCTCAATGTAATTTTGAGATTCAAGAATTGCATATGAATGAAAGAGGACCTGGATATTAAAACAGCATGACATTCCTGTCTCTTTTTAAAACAAAAAGATATTTGAAAAGCATTACACAACACAACATGAAATCAGCACTTTTGTTTACCAGTCACAAACGCAAGAAGCTATAACCAGCACAGAGAGATAAACAGAGAAGCTTTGAAGTTTCTAATCGCTATTGTAACCATCATCATCGTTATCCTTGTCTTCATGGTCTTTCACCACTCGTTCTATGAACTGTCTTCTAACTCCAGCCATCACCCTCGAGGAGTCATCGTCTCCACCTTTGCCATCGTTAAGAACTGGCTCTGACTGACACAAAACCAAGGCTACACCTGAAAAATCCAAATCAGTTGCAAACATCAGGTCTCAAGACATGACATTGTTATCAAACACAGCTAGGCACAGATTATATCATACAAAGAAGAAGCCTTTAAACTTACTCTCTGGGGTGCATCTACGACCAACGCTCTTCAAGCCTACATGAGTTCCTTTAACGGCGCCAATGTGGTAAACCAGCAAGGTAGGAAGATTGCAATCAGGGTAATTCGGAATACAATCTGTGGATATTATCTTAACGAACTTTGTTGCCGGGTATCTGCTAGCCAATTCATCTAGACAACCCAACAGCACGCCACACTCTGCGAAACTATCAGATCAAACAAGAAATGAACACAAAAGTTTAGTTTTTAAAGCATGTGAATTCTTCAATAGCAATCAGAATTTGGAAATGCTTTTCAAAAGCATACCCATCTTTGTAGAGACATACAACAACCCAATCTTCAGCAGAAGCTTGCGTGACCTCCCGCACGAAATCAGAGCCCGAGATGGGAGTCACTGTTCCATACCTCCTCACTTTCGCAGCTTCTCTCAGCTCCGTCAATCTCTTCTTCCTATAAAAAATTAGCGTAACCATCGGTCACATCGAATCAAACTAGTACTCTTTTCTCCAGGCATTACGAATAGAAAGCGTCTCATATCCAAAAAACAAACAAATCGAGAAAAAACTAGAGCTTGATAAGTGCAATCCCGATCTGAGATCATCGAGTTCTACAGCGTTACTTGAAATTGGTATATAAGAAAGTAGAATGTTTGATTAGATCTGCAAACCTGTACTCTTCGAGGAAACGATCGTCGTCGAGATCTTTGTCGTCCTCAAGATCTTCAAGCTCCTCCTCTGTCTTCTCATCGAACCATGCCTGGTCCTTAGGAGCTGAAGCCTCGTCTTCCGCCGGAGTATAAGACGGCGGTTTGAATGCCGGAGCCTTCGCGGGGAGATTCCCCAACTTCCGCTGGATATCGTCCCATTGAGTCGACGTTCCTTCGACGTCCTTGTACACAAAATGATAATCCGCCATCGATTTTGACCAGCTACGAAGCTTCAAATCTCCTCCGTTAGATTACACAGAAAACCTTTGAATCTGAGAGAGAAGAAAAAAGCAGATTGCTTTGACACTCTCTGATCGCAATCGTGAGTTGTAGAGAAAGCTTTCTTCTCCTACTAAACGGTCAGACCGGTGACTGGTCTGATTAAACCGAAATATACCGAGGCTATTGCTCATCTGATTGAAGCATGCCAAACCGAGATGTTTAATTTATAAGGCGGTTCGTAATCGGTTTATACGTAACCTGTGGCCCATTCCAAGTGTCTGCTCTTTATAAGAGGGCATGTATTTTATGGAGAAGATCCAGAGATAATTAAACTAAACAGTTCGGAAAAATCTTTTGAGAGGGAGAGAAAGGCGATCGATTAGGGTTTCTCAATTCGTCTGAATATTCTATAAGGTCGGAGCTATGTACTCGTTAGAGGGTGTGATTACGTCAATCCAGGGTCTATCGGCGAGTGCTGGGGATTTATCTGCACTTCACAAGCTTCTAAAAGGAGCCGAGGACTCGCTCCGAACCGACTCCGATGTTAAAATCTCCACTCTTGACCAGCTCGACCCCTCGCAGCATTCCCTCGGTTACCTGTATCTCCTGTGAGTTTATTCTGTTTTCTTCTCTTTTTCCGAATTTGGTTATTGCTACTGTTTCGTGTATACTGCTGTGGCTGATTGATGAGTCTGGTTACTGGATTACCTCCTCTAGCTGTTTTTTTTTTCCTTTTTGGTGTGTTTAGGGTTAGTTTCATAGAAACTTGAGGTGTGTGATGAGCTCGATAGATTACTAGAGGGTTATTTTACTCTTCTATTATTGGATATCTGATGTTAATTTTGTGTTCGTTTGATTGCTCCAGTGAGGCTCTCACGCGTGGTTCAGTGTCGTATGAGAACGCTTCTGATGTAGCTCTGTTAATTGCACGGTTCATCAACGCTTGCGATGCTGGGCAGATTCGTTTAGCGAGCGACAAATGTAATCACTGATCACTCTTGAGGGGATCTTTTCTCTTCTCTCTATGTTCTTATCTTTAGAGGAGATGGTGACGTTATTAATTTGATCTTGCAGTTGTATCTCTTTCTAAGAGATTGAAAGACAATGTTTTGGAGCTCAGAGATCCCTTACAAGGTGTGGCACCACTGTTGACTGCTATTCATAAAGTTCAACCCTCCCCCAAACGTTTGACTGCACTGCATCCAGATGCTCTTCAACTGTGTTTGCTGGCCAAGTGTTACAAAGCAGGCTTCTCCATTCTTAGTGATGATATCTTGGAGGTTGACCAGCCAAGAGATTTTTTTCTCTATTGCTATTACGGGTATGCCAGTTTCGCTCATTGCTATCAGTTTTCTGTCTTGATCAATGGTTATATAACCGTATTGATCCATATATTTGAACTTTTGTTGTAGTATATCAGAAAAAACTTTCTTATAATAATCTGCACTTTTGACAGGGGAATGATATGCATTGGACGTAAGAGATTTCAGAAAGCATTGGAGCTACTTTTCAATGTAAGGCATTCTATTTACCGTTTTCACGTGCTTTTTTTAGCCATCAAGGACCTTTTCTTTAGTTTTAATCGAAGTACTTGTTTCAGGTTGTCACTGCTCCTATGCATCAAGTCAATGCTATAGCTCTGGAGGCATACAAAAAGTACATATTGGTGTCTCTCATTTACAATGGGCATGTAAGGCCATCTGTTTCGAGTAATGTTGGTTTCACTTCAAGCATTGGTTTTATCTTAGGATGCCACTCTTATATAATCTTGTATGATTTTTACTTGTGCAGTTTAGTACAAGTCTCCCCAAGTGCGCTTCTTCATCTGCTCAGAGAAGCTTCAAGAGCTTTTGTGTAGTACGTTTGATCCATATCCCTTGTACATTTATCGATCTGCCTGTGTTATGATGTCTTCATATGTTTTTTGTTCATATCAACTATCAAGAGTTGTTTTTCCATTTCATGGTGGCTAGTCCTTTTTTCCCCCAGTTCAGCTGCGTTGTACCCCATACTTGCTTGATCTATTTATGGGCTTATGATTTTATCATTTACCCTTTTCTCAGACTTACAATGAAGTGGGTACTTGTTACAACGAAGGGAAGATCGCTGAACTAGAGGCACTGGTTGTAGCCAGCAGCTCAGATTTTGAAAAGGTAAATCTCCCTTAAACACTCATTGTAGTTTCTGTACGGATATTAATCTTAATTCACCCTATAACTTGCATGGAATGCTATTTTCAGGACAATAACCTTGGATTAGTCAAGCAAGCTGTTTCATCCCTTTACAAGCGGAACATTCTGAGATTGACTCAAAAGTACCTGACCTTGTCGCTTCAAGATATTGCCAGCATGGTCCAACTTGATAATGCTAAGGAGGCCGAAATGCATGTGCTTCAGATGGTACTGTATTCTGTGTGTCACACACGTGATTTTTGGTTTATTGGTATAATAACTGTAATATGATTGATAATATCATGTTTTCTTTCGAAACTTTCAGATCCAGGATGGTCAGATACATGCCCTTATCAATCAGAAAGACGGAATGGTCAGATTCTTGGAGGACCCTGAGCAGTACAAAACCAGTGAGATGATAGAGATCATGGATTCTGTTATCCAAAGGTATGTCTACATACCGAATACTTTGCTGTTACATAACCAATTTTTTTTTTTTTTTTTTTTTTTTTTTTTTTTTGATATGTTCTTAAAAAGGAGAAACTTTTGAGTGCATAACTAGAACGTGAAATCAAACAAGCTCTGTGTTTATATGATTTTCAGGACTATTGGGCTGTCGAAGAATCTCTTAGCCATGGATGAGAGCTTGTCGTGTGATCCTTTGTACTTGGGAAAGGTATTAATGCCATGTTTCATAGACTAGTTTGTTCCTGAACCTGAGTTTCTCAGAGACTAAGAAACTTTTTGTCAGGCTGGAAGGGAAAGACAAAGGTTTGACTATGGAGAGGATTTCGAGAATGTCCCTGCGAAGTTTTCCATGTGAACAGCAAAAGACCAAAAAGATTAAAACTCTGCTCAAAGACAACCGTGGTTGTGAATCTTGACAATGTTTCTTTTGCTTTCTTTTTTTGGGGTTCATTTATGTTGGTTTAGAAAGTTTCATATTTTTGTTTCTCACAATGGCCAAACAAATAGAGGAGATCATTTTGGACCCGCAAATCTTACCATATACTAATATTGCGATTATGTGTCTTGTGCTAATTTGCAAAAATGAAGAAGCCTAAAACAGCGTGTCGTTTTTGTGAATCTAACATGCCGTCGCGTTATGGTTTGGGCTAGTTTAAGGCCCATAACTCTAAAGTCAGTTGGTTTTCCCGTCCCCGCTAAGCGCCACGTAGATTTTATGTTCTTTCAATCATCGTCTTTAAAAAAAGAGCAAAAATCATCGTCTTCTCCATTTCGTTTTCAACCTGATTTCCCTCTCTTATCCTCATTAAAAAAAATATATACCTGAGAAAACTCGAGAGAAGACATAGCATAATCCTCAGAATCGCCGCCGGAGAATCTCTGCGCTTCGAAAAATCAATCCCATATTCCGATGGAAGGGGTTATCACATGTTTTCATCCCAAATGCGTCTCTCTTCCAATTCGTTCTTTCCCACTTTCTAGGGTTTCTTCACTTCCTAGGTGGAGGAACAGTAATTTGGCCTCTTCATCGCGATCGGTTCCTCAGAGGACCTTGTGCGTTTCGGCTTCGAGCTCAGATACTCTAGTCGCGGGGGGTTCACCAAAGGAAGATGAGAGGCAGAGCAAAGTATCAAGCAAGAAGGAAGGAGATGACTCGGAGGATTTGAAGTTTTGGATGGATAAGAAAGGGTTGCCACCTTGCAAGGTTGTGCTCAAGGAGAGACCGGCTCATGATCAGAAGCATAAACCCATACATTACGTTGCTGCTAGTGAGGATCTTCAGGTGTTTTACTTAGCATTTCAGTATACATTTCTATTTGTTTCCGAGCATCAAATTAGCACAACGTTGATGGTAAATTCGTCCTAATTCCCTCTTTTTTTCACAGAAAGGTGATGTGGCGTTTTCAGTTCCCAACTCTTTGGTGGTCACGCTGGAAAGAGTTTTGGGGAATGAGACAATTGGTATGAGCCTCTTCCTCTATCACATTTCCCATTCCACTGAGTTAGTCTTACAATCATATTTGGATTAGAATTTGTGATTGAGGGAGTGGATATATGGGCGTTTTCGTTACGTATCTGAAGCTAAAACCTCTCATATTTCCATACAGCTGAACTGTTGACGACGAACAAATTGTCTGAACTGGCTTGCCTAGCTTTGTATTTGATGTATGAGAAGAAGCAAGGAAAGAAATCAGTATGGTATCCTTACATACGAGAACTTGATCGTCAAAGAGGGAGAGGTCAGCTAGACGTGGAATCCCCGTTGCTGTGGTCAGAGGCTGAGTTAGAATACTTAACTGGCAGTCCAACCAAGGTACCGCGTTAGTATATGCATGACATGTTTGATTGAATCAGTCTGGTGGGTTCTCAGTGTTGATTTTCTTTAATATGGTCCAGGCTGAAGTTCTTGAGAGAGCCGAGGGGATCAAAAGAGAGTACAAGGAGCTTGATACTGTCTGGTTTATGGCTGGTTCTTTGTTTCAGGTGTTTTGACTACTATTTATTTGTCACCTAGGACTTTGGCTTCTCTTTTTAGTATATGGAATGCTAATAGCAAGTGATTTGTGTTTCGCAGCAATACCCATATGACATACCAACCGAAGCTTTCACATTTGAGATTTTCAAACAGGCGTTTGTTGCCATTCAGTCCTGTGTGGTGCATTTACAAGTAATGTTTCATTCTTTTTGGAATTTTCCTTCACAATTCATATTCTCCAGCCTGTGTTAAGAAGACTTTAGTTTAATAGTTTGGTCTTACCTCTGTTCTCAGAATGTCAGTTTGGCTCGTCGGTTTGCTTTGGTTCCTCTTGGCCCTCCCTTGTTAGCCTACTGTTCCAACTGCAAGGCAATGCTTACCGCTGTTGATGGTGCTGTTGAACTCGTGGTAGATAGGCCATATAAGGCTGGGGATCCTATAGTTGCCTGGTGCGTTTCTGAGCCAAATTGCTCGAGGACAGTAGCTTTTTCGCTTTCTGATTCTTCTTTCCTACTTTTGTGTTTAATCCTTTACTTCAAGGTGTGGGCCACAACCTAATGCGAAACTGCTTCTGAACTATGGATTCGTTGATGAAGATAACCCTTATGATAGAATAATCGTTGAGGTAGTTATGAAACTTTGGTGCTTTAGTGTAAACTTCAGCATAGAATTTCATGTAATTTTCTCAATGTTTTGTGTCATATATTTTATTGCAGGCAGCGCTGAGCACCGATGATCCTCAATATCAAGACAAGAGAATGGTTGCTCAAAGGAACGGAAAATTATCTCAACAAGTTTTTCAGGTATGAACGTGTGACCCTCCCATTTCAACAAGGCGAGTTAGAGATTTTTTGCCTGATTTTTGTTTTGCATCCACGGTCAGGTTCGCGTGGGAAAAGAAAAAGAAGCTGTTCAAGACATGCTTCCGTACCTGCGGTTGGGTTACATGTCTGACCCTGCTGAAATGCAATCAGTTATTTCATCCCAAGGTCCAGTTTGTCCAGTAAGTAGATGATGACCTGACCTGGCAGACCTTTTTGTCTATGTAATCTTTTGATTATTTCCTGAAATTGTATAAAAATGCTACATGTGAGGTCTCCAATGTTACTTCTGGGTCTGTTTCGTAGATGAGCCCATGCATGGAAAGAGCAGTACTAGATCAGCTTGCAGATTACTTCATGAGACGCTTGTCTGGCTACCCTACTACCCTGAAAGAAGATGATGCATTGGTATGTTTTGTAATTGCTACATATCAAACACATAATTTTCTTTCTTTCCTGCATGAAATTAAAATAGATTTCCTGTTCAACAGTTGGCAGATCCTAGTTTGAATCCTAGGAAGCGAGTAGCCACACGGCTTGTCCGACTGGAGAAGAAGATGCTAGCTGCGTGCCTTATGGCAACAGTCGATTTGTTAAATGAATTGCCCGATACAACCGTCTCTCCGTGCCCAGCACCATTTGCTCCCTCTTTGAAATAAACAAAAAAAGGCACTTATCTCTGTCCAGTGTCCTCTCTCTCCCATACAAATAATAACTAATGTCTCCTGACCCTCTAAAACAATGTTGTTCCAGGTTCGTGTGGTAGCTGCACTTTGTGGGACATGGCAAGAGTACTTGATCATTACAATGTGAGGTCGCTTAGTTAAGGTCAGTTTCGTGTGGACAAATCCATATCTGACCATAGTGTCTAGTTGAAATGAGAGTGTGTGAAACCAAAAATTTGATTGCACTGGAATTGCAGGTAGGTTTGCTTGGAGCGTTATCTCTCGGTTGACACGCAAATGTTGCAGCCTAAACAATGAAGGTCACGTTGTGGAAATCCTGCGAGTGTAATTACAGACATGAAACCATAAACTTCACCTTGTTATTCCCTACTCTTGAGTCCTAACCCTCTGTAATGATTCTTATCTGTGTTTTAGAAATTTAGTATGTCATCGTTTCAACAAAAGATTGAAAATAAAATTTGGTTTTTTTATCTTCAGAAACTCGGTTTAGCTTCGAATCTCGAAATCCCATTGGAACACTAAAAAGCGCCAGGACGTGCAGATAAAATTAGTAAAAACGGCACGTGGTTATTTGATTCCGTTGACCACATTCGTAATTAAGTTTCCATCTAAAATATCTAATGTTGTTTTGCTAGATTAGATATTTCGATTCCGATCCGACGGTCTATATTCCCCCTGCGTTTCCGGTAACCGAATCTCGTTAACCGCTGTTCCGTTAGGGTGGTATCAGAATCAGACAGTGGAGAGTATAGAGAGAGAGAACGAAACATTTCTCTCGACTCTTTACTTCTCGGTCGTCTCCTCCGTCGTCAGCCTTTTCTAATTTTATCAATTTCTACATCAAAGGGGTTTTATCTTCGTGCTCCCCTTCGCATCGTCTAAGGTTTCGCTTCTCCTTAGTTTCTCTGGCTTCCGATTCAGTTGGATCATCGATTTTCGCGGCTGCTCTAAACTTCAGTCGGTGAGTTTCTTAATTTACTTATAATTTTCGCGTATTAAGTATTTGCTTCCCTCGGGCAATTCGAGGTTTTCTTAATGTCAGTACGAGTTAAGAGATGAATTGCTCAAATTAGGGTTTTGAAGAATCGAGATTTCTGCTTTTCTAATTGTCTCCGTTTAGAAATGAATTTGAGCTGTAAGAATTTTCGGAGATTAGCGTTCATAAGCAAATCCGTCATACTAGATGATTTGTCCGTGCAGGTTAGACTGATCTGGAGCTCTAAACGCCAATAAGCCAAATCTGTTCATAAACTTCGTCGATATGACTGTGCGAAACGGTGGTTTCCTTGGAGACTATTATCATAACAGCTTCGAGGCGCCAGGTGGATATGATGAAGGGTCTGATAGCCCCAGTGCCTCAGAGGGTTCAAATTGTTCCAAAAGAAAGTTCGGGGGCTTAAATTATACTGACCAGGAAGCATTTGGTGTCTCCAAAATGGTATTACCCTTATCTGGCTTGTCATCTTCAGAGAGGAAGGAGTTGATCCGTAGGCTAAGACAAGAGCTGGAACAGATTCGTTTCTTCCAGAAAAGTTTCGAGCTTTCAAGATCACTGGCAGTCTCTGGCTCATCTGCAAAGAGTTTTGGAAAGTCACGATGCTCCACGGGGCCAGGAAAGTCTGTGAACCCTATAACTGCTCCTAAGCCGACTCCTGTCTCCACCGCGGTTGTGCTTCTGATGAAGCAATGCGAGGCGCTCTTGAAACGGTTGATGACGCATCAGTATGGTTGGGTGTTTAATACTCCTGTGGATGTTGTCAAGCTGAATATAATGGACTATTTTACTATTATTAAGCATCCGATGGATTTGGGAACTGTGAAGAATAAGTTAGCCTCGGGCACGTATTCTTGTCCGTCGGAGTTTTCTGCTGATGTTCGGCTCACCTTCAGCAATGCAATGACGTATAATCCGCCAGGTCATGATGTTTACATCATGGCTGATACGCTTCGCAAGTTTTTCGAAGTGAGGTGGAAGACTCTCGAGAAGAAATTACCCGGGACTACTGAGCCGAGTAACTCGAATGTTCACGAGGTTAACGATGTTGTAATGCCTGTCCCTGTGGCTAAGAAGCTGAAGACAATTGCAGTGGAGGTATTAGAGCCTGTGAAACGGGTTATGAACAATGAGGATAGGCTCAAGCTCGGTAGGGATTTGGAGTCGTTGACTGAGTTCCCGGTGCAGTTGATAAATTTCTTGAGAGAGCACAACTCAAATGATGGGGTGATTGAAGATGATGAGATTGAGATCGACATTAATGATCTCAGTGATCAAGCCTTGTTCCAGTTGCGGGATCTCTTAGACGAGCATTTGCGAGAGAGCCAGGACAAGAAATCAAGTGTTGAACCCTGTGAGATAGAGGTATATATCTCCATCTATATCTCATCTTTGAAACATTTAATAGCACCATGACTGCTGCTAATGGGATTTTTTTTTTGTTTATTGCAGCTTTTGCATGGATCTGTGCCAGGGACTTCTTCAGTGCAACATTGTGATGGTTAGCCTACAGCCTGCTTGTTGTTTGGGAAAATTTTCTACTCGGCTCTTTGATCGGACTGATATATCTGTACTATATCTTTGTTGCAGGTAGTGAAATGGAGGAGGTGGTTGACATTGGTGAATATGAACACCCAAAGTCGAGCATTTCTCCTGTCATGATAGAGAAGGATCTGGTGTTTGGAAACTCACATGGTAATTTTTCTCTGTCTTGTTCTGTATGGAACTTTCGCTGGGGTTGCAGTTCTATATGCAGTGAACATTAGTAGCCCGCTTATTTTATTATCTTCTGAAATTATTACTTGGAGTGAAATTATCCCTTGGATCGTACTAACTTCTGATTGCTCCTCTTTTGATGCATATAAATGGTCTAGGTAATAGCTCGGAAAGTGTATCGGGTGATCCTAAAACCTCAAGTTTACTGAGGACATCAAAGGTACATAATGAGACAATGTATCCCTGTCTATTAGTCTTTGTTACCTTGTCACAAAGTTTAGATAATTTGATATGGATACTCTTGGACCAAACATGTGTTACCACTGTGGAATCGTAATACTATGAATGGATGTCATAGTCAGTTTAAATCGTAATATCTTCTTGATACCTAGAAGATATCTTCTTGATTGTTCTTTGTGCTCCTCTTCTCTGCTGGTACAGGGGCTTGGAACCATAGATCCTGAACCTTCGTTGGATGGAGCTACAAGCGCTTCCCCAACAAGAGGACGTGAGTACATTTTTCTGTTCCGGTGTTTAAAAGTATCAGTTTCTTGTTGTGGAACTTATGTTTTTTGTTGTTTCCTTCCTACAAGTAGCATCTGTTGGTGGGATGGATCAGCTGGAAAGTGCATGTCAGGAGAAAATAAGTTGTGTTGAGGAGGCGGGTTGTCAGCAAGATGGTAAGAAAAGGAGTGTGGGAGAAAAATGTTTCTGGTCTTCTGTCTGAGGTGGCATCTCACTCTTAACCCTTTAATACACTAGGAAATAGTGCTCAGAATGAGAAGCAACTACCTCCTGAAAAGGTCTACAGGGCTGCTTTGTTGAAGAATCGATTTGCCGACTTAATCTTGAAAGCTCGAGAGAAAACTGTTATACAGGTCTGTTGTGGGTTATGTCCCACTATTCTGGGTCCTTTTTTTTAGATTTTGAAATGAATTTTCGTAAAATTTTATGCTTTCATGAGAGCAGAATGGCACACGAGACCCAGAGAAGCTGCAGCGTGAGAGAGAAGAGCTCGAGCTGCAAAAGAAGAAAGGTTAGCTTCCTTGATTTGCTGATTGGTGATATGTAGCATAGTGCAACCTGGTGCGATGATATGTGCCCTTTGTTTAACAGAGAAAGCACGATTACAAGCTGAAGCTAAGGCTGCTGAAGAAGCTCGTAGAAAAGCTGAGGCAATAGCTGCAGCTGAAGCTGCGGCTGAGGCTAAGAGAAAGCTGGAGCTTGAAAGAGAAGCAGCACGGCAAGCATTGCTGGAGGTAAAGAAGCAGCACTGCCATGATTAAGAATCAGAATAGGTACTTAAGAAAAAATGGAATAACTCTCACTGAAAGATAAGTTTTGGTGGTAAATGGTGCAGATGGAGCAGTCGGTGGAACTGAACGAGAACGCAGAGTTTCTCAAGGATCTAGAACTGCTCAAAACAGTAGACACAGACCAGCTGAGAGATGCGGGAGAGGAGGATGAGCTTGATATGTCTCACGATGGGTTGCGTAGTTTCAGCTTTGGTGGTAGTAACCCTCTGGAGCAGCTTGGGCTGTTTATGAAACAGGATGATGATGAAGAGGAAGCTGATCCACTCGCTTCTCCAGCTCCAGGAACTGAAATAGAAGAGGGAGAGATTGATTGAGCTTGACTGCAGCAGACCTACAAAGTCAAAACATCTGAAATTCTGAAATCCAGAATCCCTTCAGCTAAAGTTGAAGCAAATAACAAATGTTTCAGTGTGTGATATACAGTATCCCCCAAGTAGATAAAGGGCCGTCCAATGAATATGCATGAAGAAGACTGGATTGGTACTGTGAGTGGAAACAGTCATTCATGAATCATGTGTTGAGTATTACTTGGAATGGTCGTAGTGACCTTAAGAAATGGGTTCTGTATGACTGTATTAATGTTTTTGCCTTTGTGTTCTCTTCTTGCTTGTTGATGCTTCGCGTCGGTTTCAGTCAAAATTGTCAAACCTTACCATTCGGGTATGTAAACTAAAACTAAATAGTAAGCTATTTTTATTAAAAATCCTTGTGCACAATACGACGTCGTTTGACACCTGTTTCTGGGTTTGAATACAACACAAGGTTATGGAAAAAAAGTAAAGCTCCTACCTTATTTGCTCTCAACGAGGATTAGCTCGAATCTATCTGGAATTTGGAAAGCAGGGTTTGGTGTGGAGTTGTGAGGTATATAATAACCATGGCGAGTCCGAAGCTGCTAGATTTCTCTTCCCCTGGTGGTGAATCGGACGATTACTCTCCGTTTTCACCAACCCACTCCCGACGAAAATCTTCGCGGATCCCCGCGTTAAAGCGTCGTGCTTTCGAATCAGTAACAGACGAAAAAACAAAGAAGAAGAACAACAGCAGCATAATGGCTTCTCCAGTGAGCAACCGGATCTGGACCGAGGAAGATGAGGTCATTATTCTAAAGGTACGTCTACTTCTTCCTCGACTGCATTTTGCTTGATTGCATTTGTGATTCCTTAATCAACATCACATTTTCTCGCTCTCTTTGTGCGAATAGAGTTTTGTGGATTACCGATACAAGACGAGATACGAACCCAAAACTGATTGGGATGCCTTTCATCGTTTCGTCGGAGGTTCCATCGCTGCAAAAGTCTCGAGGGTGCAGCTGGCGAGTAAGATGAGGAAGTTGAAAAGCAAGTTCCTTGCTGACGTCAAGAGAATCAACCAAGGAAAAAAACCCCACTTTACTAGGGTTAGTGACTCTGAAGCCTTTGGATATGCCAGCTTGATTTGGGGCGAATATGAAGCTCATGGTGCCATGAATAAACCACCGCTGAGCGATAGTAGCGTAAGTGATTGACTTAACAATGCTTTTTTTATATAGTTTTTGTGATACGTTGATAAATTGCAGTTAGGAGCATTGTTGAATGATTTTGTTTGTTTAATCAGGAAGAGGAGGACGAGGTGATGGCAAATGTTGAAGCTTTAACTGAGAATGTGGCAGCGAAGAGTGAATTGGATGTCAAATCGCATCATGAAGTCGTTGCTGATAAGATAGTGGAGAATGGGACTGCTGCTGGAAAAGAGAGTCATGACGATGTTGATGATACTACCGATGGTGATGAGTTAAGCGCTGTGCAGGATGCATTCGAGACCTTGTTGTCGCAAGGTTTGAGTGATTTCAAGAAGAAGTTTCAGCTCGAGAAGCTGATGAAGCTTGGAGATGGGAAGAGAAAAGAGCTGAGCGATGACTGGAAAGCGTTATGCGTTGAGGAAGTGAAATTCAATATCAAGAAGCTTAGATTCTCCGCAAAGCTTGCAGAGGCACTAAGTGAGAAATGAAATGAAGAGGAAGAAGAAGAAGAAGTCATTGCTGTTAATTCTAAGTAGTCATAAGTATTCGACTGTTGAGTAATAATTTACCTGTGGATGTGTTTTTCCCTTTAGCTTTGTTACAACATCTGGTGGTCTACTTGAGAAAAGTGTTTGTGTGTATTTCTACATTTCAATTTTCTTAATCTTTTGATTATTCACTTACCACAGAAAGCACAACATACCATGTGCTTAGTTTCTTCTTCTTCTTTTTATCACAGGAACGAGTTTTTGAATGGCTGGAAATTTTGCTGTGTGTGTGTATAATAATTCGGTTGTTGTCACTTGTGTGAGAGTTTATGAATTAAAAAATAAAATAACAATGAGAAAAAGGGACGATATTTTTTAATTTGTTTGGTTTAAATAAATAAAGATATGATTAAAAATAGATAATGTGTGTGACTCGACAAGGAGAGACATCACCATAATCGTGAGTTCGTCTTCTTCTTCCGTGTAAAAATTAATCATCTTCAATTTCTTTTCTCGCTAGGGTTGGGGGATTCCGATCTCAATGTCGATCGACGTCGGAGGAATCTCCGTTCCAGACCTGCCACTCTTCTTCTCCATGTTCCTAACCATCTACCTGATCGCTTACTCCGTCGTCTTCCGCAATTGGAAGCCACAAATCCGCCCCGAGGCCTCCAGCTGTCTGATTTCAATCTTCCACGGAACTCCGGCAGTCTTCCTCGCAACGCGCGCCGTCTTCTCCTCCCCCACGCGCTCCTTCTCCTCCGCCAACACCTTAGCTCAGAACACCGTCCTCGATTTCAGCGTCGCCTACTTCCTCACCGATCTCCTCCACTACATCGTCTTCTACCCAAGCGACGTCCTCTTCATCGGCCACCACCTAGCCACCCTGTTCGTCTTCCTCACCTGCAGGTTCCTCGTCTTCCACGGCGCCTGCGCCATCCTAGGCCTCCTGATCCTCGCCGAAGTCACCAGCGCTTGCCAGAACGCCTGGACGCTCGCCGGAGCTAGGAAGAGCGATCCGGAGTCTCGGTTAGCCGGGAGAGTGTACGATCTCTTGTCTCCTCCGTTTTACGCCTTCTACAGCGTCGTTAGAGGCGTGTTGGGGCCTTTGTTCTTCGGGAGTATGGTTGCTTCTTACGCCAGAGGCGAAGCCAACGGCGTGATTCCGAATTGGTTGTGGATTTCTTGGGCGGTGGTTGTTGGAACTGCGATTACAGTTAGTATACTTTGGATTTGGAATCTGTGGATAGAATGGTTTAGAGAAAGGAAGGTGAAACTAGGACAAGAAGACAAGAAAATTAGATAGTTTTCTTGTCCAAGATCATTTGTTTTTAGCTTCCTTGCTTACTCACTTCCATGTATTATATACTGAACTTACCTCATTATTATTTCACCCTTTTAGAAAATCTCTAAATTATGATATATGTTTGGAATAATAGTTTTTGCTTCTTGGTAACAAGTATGTGCATACCAATTGATATCAGGTTTGTGACATATATTTGTCTGTTTCGAGCTCTTACGAGTTTTTTTTTTGTCTTTTTCTTGATTTCCTGATATGGCTGAGAATTTGGAATCTTCAAGATGCTCAGGGTATTAGAATTTGGTTTGTTTTATCTCTCCTTGTATGTTGTTTTTAGTACTTTCTGTCTGTAACAGCAGATAACTCTGGTTGATCTAGACTTGAGTCACTTGACTTCACTAGTGTAATGAAAACGAAATTGTCTTTATGCGTTACAATGAAAACAAGGGAAAGGAAGAGATTTGGTCGAACAAGGGATAGTTGTTACAAGTCATTATTATTGAATTCTCACTCAGTTCTTGGCCTTGAAAGAATTGTGCTCCTTGATTCTGGCTCGGGTGTCCAGCTTCACAAAGCGTTTGAGATCTTCAAAAGGAAGAGTTTCGACGTTCTTCCTTCTAAGTTCACTAAGCGCCGGTCGCTTATCAAGCAGACGCCAGAGACGTTCTGGATAATCAGATTCAGGCAAGATCTTAGGGTCGGATCCATTTTTCAGAATATTAGCACCAACGACCGTGCTGGATTTGATCTCTTTGCTCAGAGTCGACGCTTTTGGTGCGTCATTAGCTCCACTTCCTTTTCCGCCTTTCTTAGCTTTACCAGCAGCAAATGTTCTCTGGCACACAACACGCACTCCATCTTTTGATCTTCCAGAAATGGAATCCCCAAACGATCGAATAATGTTCATATCAAACAACCTTATACCTGACCATTTCCAAAAGAAATCAGAGAAGAAAATAATGAAAGTATACAATCTTATAACCAGTCTCCAATCTCATATGGATTCTAATCGGATTAATCGCACAAAGTTTACAAGCATAACTAACAGAGGTAAATCCGAAATCGTTCGAGCCTTAATCCTATTAATGTACTGAAGAAACAGTGGCAGCTGAAATTCTAATCGGAAATTACATTTCATAAGAAAGCATCGAGATTTCGCGAAAACTACTTCATAAAACCGGCATTAAGAAGATAGATCGAAAACAACAACAATCGCGATTGCTTAATTATTCAGATAGAATCCAGATTGAGTTGATCGTAGTATTACCTGCTTTCGATCTTACTTCTTCTCTCTTCCACACTCGGAAGTCGGAAGATTCTGGGTTTATCGAGATATCGAATGCATCGCGGGAACTGAAAAACTTAGCGAAAAGTACACTTGCGCTCTTTCGGGCCCGACATATTAAAAAGGCCCATAATAAGGCCCTTTTAAGAGACATGACTAGGTGAAGTAAGAGCAATGAGCAATCTGACTGCGGTAAATGAGAACGGGAACAAGCATTATTCTTTTTCTTCTCCCTCACGCAAAAACACCCTTTAATAATCTCATCTCCTGTGTTCTCGCACTACTTCTCACGCACCTTGAAAAACAAGAAACCTAAAACAACAACACAAAACTAAACCTAAAACAAATTTAGGAGAAGTTCGAAGCCAACCATGCCGTTGATGAGGATAGCAAAGGCGGCTTTGGGTCTAGGAGCTGCCTTGACGGCCGTTAATTCGACCATATACACAGTGGATAGCGGCGAGAGAGCTGTGCTGTTCGACCGATTCAAAGGTGTTCTAGAAGAATCCATCGGAGAAGGGACACATCTCAAGGTTCCATGGGTGCAAAAGCCTTATATCTTCGACATTCGAACCAGACCCTACGAGTTCAACACCGACTCTGGAACTAAGGATCTTCAAATGGTCAATCTCACCCTCCGTGTTATGTCTCGTCCTGATGTAAGTTCCTCTGAATCCCCAACTAATTTCTTGGACCATCTCAAACTATTTGAAAACTTTGTGCGATATTTAAAAAAAAAAAAAAGATATTTAAAAAACTAGTGTGACTCAATTTATAACATTTGTAACATATTATTTGTTTAATGAATAGGTTTGGCGCCTTCCAAAGATATTCAACCACTTGGGTCTCGAGTACGCCGAAAAGGTTCTACCAGCGATCGGGAACGAGGTGTTGAAAGCAGTGGTGGCTCAGTTCAACGCGGACCAGCTCTTGACAGATCGTCCACAGGTCTCGGCTATTGTCCGCGAGTCGCTGGTGAAGCGAGCCAAGGAATTCAACATTGTTCTCGATGACGTAGCGATCGCGCACCTCAAGTACGGTCCAGAGTTCTCACGTGCCGTGGAGAGGAAGCAAGTGGCGCAGCAAGAAGCTGAGCGGTCCAAGTTCATAGTGGCAAAGGCTGATCAAGAGAGACGAGCAGCTGTGATCAGAGCTGAAGGAGAGAGCGAGTCCGCTCGGGTTATATCGAAAGCGGCTTCAGAGGCTGGGATGGGTTTGATCGAGCTCAGAAGGATCGAGGCTGCTAGAGAGATAGCGATTACGCTCTCTAGGTCTCCCAACGTCGTTTACTTGCCTGGTGGTGAGAATTTGTTGTTTGGATTGAATGGGTTGAGCCGTTGAATTTGCTTTGGTCGACTTTTCTGCTTTGATCTAGGTTTAGAATTTGATATTTTTTAGGATTTTCATGTTTTCTGTGCGTTCCATTTTCAAATAAAGTAATCAGAACCAAATTTGAGATAATAATAATCGGTTTCACACATATATATCTACTGGTTATGTCGACATTAACATTCAAGCATATATTCATTGTGTTGAGAGTAGAGAGTAGAGACTATAGACACTAGACAGACAAATTGCATCAAATTATATGGGCCTTGTCGACTGAATCAAATATGCAAATTAGCGCGTCTTATTATTTATTTTTAAACGGCCATTAGCGTCAATATAATATCCTAAATTCGACCAATGTCTCATACATTCTCTGCAGAGTCGTTGATTTTTAGTTAAGGGTCAAGTTCACTAAGAACGACCAACGTTTTTGAATTTTTCAAGTTATCTTTTTTCTCGCAACATTTTCATTTGAACGTTGAATAAAAGTAAAACTATTGAACATTTTAACTCCTTAAGCTAGGATGGTCAAACAATTAATGAATGACTAATTCAATGTATCACTCCTTGTTACATTCCAAAATTTAAGTTAGTTTTTGGTAACAAAACAAAAAAAAATAAGAGTTTGAGAGTATGGATGGGTTGATAAATTATGGATTTTGTAATAAATAAATCATTTTTATTCCTGTCTTTATGCCATAACCATAAGTGTATGATAAGAGCATAATGAAGTGGCAACCTCTCTATGATTGATTACTAGTTTTGGAATCTCATTGAATATAGTCGAGTTTATAAATCCGTGAAGAATACACAAAAACAAAAAAAAATCAATAAAACGCAAAGAACAAAGCTCTAGAACGTAGAAAAAAGCGCGACAGAACTTTCAATTTACGGTGAACGCGTTTCAGAGGATAACTTTGCCAAATGACACTTTGTCCACAATCGTATCTCTCTCTCTCTCTCTCTTTCTTTCTCTATCTTCGTCGTCATCATCATTTCATTCTCTGTAAATTAGTCGAAACTATAGAAAACCGAAACTAGGCTTCATCAATTTTGACTCTTTCACACCCAATTCTCCATAACCTTTCGATCCCAGGTTTTATTATTGTTCCGGAACTCTTCAAACTCGGTCAATTTCAAGTCGGGGAACCCTAGCGAGCCCTCCATAGATGTGATCTCTCTCTCTCTCACACATTGGACCAACTCTTGAAAATTTCGTGTTGCTAATAGAGAAATCGCGATAAAAGTTTGGTTTTCTGGTGGAGAGGGAAATGCCAAGCGTAGCTGTGAAACTCTATAGCGTCTTCTTCAAGTTACTTTTGAAACATCGTCTCCAGAATCTGATTTCGATTTCAGCTGATGAGTTATCCGATTCGTTCGGCGTCTCGACCCGATCCGATGAATCCGTCTCCGCCGCGAACCCGTCTTTCACCGACGGGGTTGCGACCAAAGATATCCACATTGATCCGATGACGTCACTCACGGTGAGGATCTTCCTCCCCGAATCTGCTCTTTCTCCGTCCGAACCCGATTCGCTGAAGCTACGCCACAGAGATGATTATCACCACCAACCCAGATCTGATCGGAGACACAGCCACGGCCCTCTTAATCAGAACTCTCCACCGGCGGAGAGGAACGAATCTCGCCGGAACAGCTACGGATGTAACAACGAGAATATAGAACCGTACGGAGGATACGCGCCATCTCCGAAACGGAATTCGCGGAAACTACCAGTGATGTTGCAGTTCCACGGCGGAGGCTGGGTCAGCGGAAGCTCCGATTCGGCGGCTAATGACTTCTTCTGCCGGCGAATCGCCAAAGTATGCGACGTGATTGTATTGGCCGTAGGTTATAGGCTTGCGCCTGAGAATCGGTACCCTGCGGCGTTCGAGGACGGAGTCAAAGTGCTGAATTGGCTCGGGAAACAGGCTAATTTAGCTGAATGTTGCAAGTCTCTCGGTAATCGACGCGTCAATGGCGTCGAGTTGAAGAAACTGAACGTTCAAGGACATATAAAGGATGCTTTTGGAGCTTCCATGGTTGAGCCTTGGCTAGCAGCTCACGCTGACCCTTCCAGGTTTGTCTTTGTAACCTTCCCTGCTTGTTGCTGTGTATAAGAAGTATGAGCTAGAGAGAGTTAGATGTAAACGACCATAGAGTGAATTGCTCACAAGATGATATGATCCATGAGCCCTTTATGTTTTCACTGAAGTTAGAACACTCTTTGATTTAGATGTTTGCTTGCAGAGATTGCTTTCTGGAATTAAGACCCATTCCGAAAGATTAGATCTTTAGAATAGTTTCAAGTTGATCTATGAATGTAACTAAGAACAAAGTCAGGGTTCTATGGAGAATTAGTGAAATGCACTTAGATAAGCTTAACTTCCATTGCTTGCAGTCTCACATCAGTAGCTATTTCTCAACTTGTTTCTCAAATGGCTTTTAAAAACAGATGTGTTCTTCTTGGGGTAAGCAATGGTGGGAACATTGCAGACTATGTAGCTCGGAAAGCAGTGGAAGCTGGGAAACTACTAGAGCCGGTGAAAGTTGTTGCGCAGGTTCTAATGTACCCTTTCTTCATCGGAAACAACCCAACACAATCCGAAATCAAGCTCGCAAACTCCTACTTCTACGATAAGCCTGTCTCTGTTCTTGCCTGGAAACTCTTCTTACCGGAGAAAGAGTTCGATTTTGACCACCCGGCAGCGAACCCACTTGCACATAACCGCAGTGGACCACCTCTGAAGCTGATGCCTCCAACGCTTACAGTAGTGGCTGAGCATGACTGGATGAGAGATCGAGCCATTGCTTATGCAGAGGAGCTTAGAAAGGTAAACGTAGATTCTCCAGTTTTAGAGTACAAAGACGCAGTTCATGAGTTTGCAACACTCGATATGCTTCTCAAGACTCCTCAGGCACAGGCCTGCGCAGATGATATTGCCATTTGGGTCAAGAAGTACATTTCGCTCCGCGGTCACGAGTTCTCTTACTGAAATTTTTTACCCTGTTATTATCATTCATCTTCTTCCTTTTTGTATGATAGCGAGATTTTCCGAGTAGGAATTACAGATTGAGCGTTTTTTGCAAAAAAACTATCAAATTTTTTATTTTTTGGGTGGTGGTTTAAAAGATATGTATTCATGTACGTAGATATTCTGAATAAACATTTTGGTTCGATTATATTTCCAGGTTTGTTTTTGGTTTGATATCAACATCTTGTGGAGCACATCTACCACTAACTCCAATGAGACAATTCTTGAATGCTTGAAGATATGGAATAATGATAACCAAAAGGCCAAATGTCATCTGAAAAGGGCTCAATTCCAACCAAGTTTTGGGGATTACAAATCACATTTAAACAAAGAGACTAGACAAACTAAAGAGAGTATTACACAGAACAAGAAAGAACTCAGATCATAGTTTACTTAGAAACCTTCTTCTTCCCTGCAATGGCAATCTTCTTTCCTTTAAGAGTCCTGCAATTGTTCTTGGTTCTCTGTCCACGACATGGCAGCCCTTGGATATGCCTTACCCCACGGTAACACTGGATCTCTTTCAATCTCTTGATCGCAAGAGCATTGAATCTCCTCTGCACAAACACCCCACAACACAAATCACAAATCCACTCTCTTAAGGCTTAAGAACACAAATAAAAACCACATGAAACCCAAGCTAAATAAAAAATCAAATTTAACAGTCCAAGTTCTTAGAGCAAAGAATATATGCAGGAAAAGTGTAAATACCAGATCACCCTCGATCATGTACTTGGAGACTTCATCACGAAGAATGATGAGCTCTTCCTCGGCCATGTCTTTGGTGATTTTGTTTTCCATCTGGAGATCAACGAGAATCTGGCGAGCCCTTGTCCGTCCAATTCCGTGAATGTACTGAAGAGAGTACTCAATTCTCTTGTTGCTCGGAATCTCCACACCTCCAACACGAGCGCACCGGATGCTTAGACTCTGCTTCTGCATTTCAATACCAAAACACAAAAACCATAAAACCAGAGACAAGTATCCGAATCGATGGGTCTTACTAGGTTTCAAACTGTGACAAAAAAATTCAACCCTTAAACCAATAATTGACGAACGCGACTGAACACTAGCACAAATAACACTAAGAAATAAAAACCAAAATCTCCAAATTTTCAATTACAACAAATCATATGCAAGAGAGAATCGTTAAGAAAAGTATTACATTGGGAGCGTTTGAAGCTGGCAGAGCAACAGTGTTGCGAGAGAGAGGATTGGATTTCGTCCAATTGCAAATGAGAGAGAGCGAGTGCGCTACGGGCATCGCAACCATCTGCGCCATTTTTCTAACCCGAATTCTGAAATTGCAGATTCTGTAAACTAATTCAGAGGCGAGGAGGAAGAAGATGATGAGACAACGAACGGATAAGGCAAACGTCGAATCAGCTAAACAAAAATTGCAAAATATATAATTATTGGGCCTTTTGACCCAACGAAATTATTATTGGGCTTTATTCTTTGTTAATTTCAGATTTCATTTTTGTTTTTATTGACAGCATATAATTCGGGTTTCATTTTTTTTTCTGGCGTCGAATTTAAATGCATAGACTTTTAAAAAGAAGTTCCATTGAGACACGATTATTGAGTTGTTCCTCTTTGGTGATTGAATGCACAGATACATGGTGGATAGATGCAAAGTCAACGAAGGAGAACGAGTCTTGTAAACTATTGAGACGGCCGTTGACTTCGTTATCGTTACATGTTGTTCTAATGTATTTAGGTTGTTTTGCTTTCGGTCGTTTTACACTAATAATATATATTACATTGGTTGCAAATTGTTTTTGTTTAATTTTTACTGTGGAGTTTGGATAGCTAATACTCTTGTAAAAGGCATTGTAATACCTTGGTTAGAATATTTGCTTCGAAATATGATAAAAACATAATTTTATAGATAGGAATTATGATAGTAACAAATCATCACAATCTTTGAGAAGGCAAATGGAAAGAAGACATGAAATGACAAAACAAAAAACTCAGAGAAACGATCTGAAGATGGAATGGAAACACATCTCAGAGGACGAAAGATAAGGCACCGACCAATGCGGTGGCGATGAGCTGAGGGTAGGCGGAGAAAGTGGCAGCACTTGGAGCTGGAGCCTCACCCTTGGTTCCATGTGGCGATGGAGCTGGAGCATGTGACGGAGCATGGACGTGTCCGTTGTGCGACTCGGCAGTCATGACCAACACGGCCAAGACAATGCAGACGAAGGCGAAGCGGATCAAAGAACTTCTTGGTGCCATTTGAATGATCTTCTTCGCCTTCTTCTTTTCTTCTTTGCTTTCTTTCTTTGCTGTTCTCAGTTAGGATCTATGAACAAAGGGGAAGATAGTATTTATAGAGAGCGAGAGATGTTGTATAAAATGGTTAGTGGGTTTAGAAAGTCAACGCATAAGAATGAGTCTTCGTGATTAGACGATCATTTAGTCGTTATCATTACATGTTGTTAGATTAGACTTTTACAGAAAAATATCTTTAATAAAGGACAGAGTTGTGAACATGGTAATGTGTCTGAATTTGTTAGTGGACACCCATTTATATGTTCGCTCATGTTCTGGAACAGCTGTTACTCGTCACCAAAGAGTGACGTTAATTCTTGACAAACCCAAATTGATCAGGCATACAGTATATAATTAAGGGTCGATTCCAGCTGGGAATTCTTGGCTCTTGATGTGGTATAATATAAGCAATTTTTTTTTTAGTTTCTTGGCTTTGGTTTTACTAGTAAAGTGTTCCAGGCTTTCGCAACAAGTCTAAGATCAAACATCCGGGGGAAGAAAAAGTCCAAAGCTAATGAAAGCGAACAAATGTTGCAATTAACAGTAGCATCGTGATATTTATAAATTTATATTTTTCTAATTCCTAAAACTATTAAACTTTTTATGCCAGCATTCTTAGCACAAACATTTTGTTATCACATTCTTATAATACTAACTTTATTGTAGACAATTTTTTTAGCCATATACAACTGCTAAGTGCTAACGATGTATTTAAGAATTTAGAGAGATTGATTAATGTGATCTTTAGGCCCGATTAGTGAAGATTGAAGATAGGAAATTAAGTTGGAACTGATGGGCTAAAAACATATGACAATATTTAAGTGGGCCTAAATTTGATTTAAGTCAGTTTCCAGTTTCCTTCCGGGTATAACTCCTCTCGTATTATCAACTTTTTGACAGCGGGTCCCACATGTTTTTTGGGTTGTCGAGGTCCCTCGTAATCGTATACTCTTATTCTTTTTTTTTTTGCTAAAACAATACTTTATTTTATTACATTTAACATTTTCATACAGCGTAGTTCAGTTCAGTGAACCAAAACAAAATCGAATATTTGGTTAGCTGCAATATTATTTACGTCAAGATGATGGCCTACCAACAAGACTTTTTTTCTTTTTCAAAATGAAAATAAATAAATGAAAGTTGGTTATTTTGTAGACTAATTATGACCGTCTTGAATCACATAATACATACAATAATGTAAGAAATACGAGATCTAAAAAACAATATATATACGTCTGGTACATAAAATCTGTAATTTATTTTAACGTTCAGTTTATAACTAGTTCGATGAATTAGTTTTCTATAATACCGTATTCAAATCGTTTGTATACATAACATTATGAGGCTTGGCGGATTAAAGATTCAATAAAGAATAAAAACGAATACAGACATATAACTTAATTAAAGAATTATAGATTCGGGTTGGTAATTAAAGATGATAATAGACTAGGACGTACGACCGAATAAATGTCAGTGTTGTTCTATAATCAGAGGTTTATATATAATCCATATCTTGCTTGTTCAAAACGAAATATGCATTGTTCAAGAAACGAAAAGGAAATATGCATATACCTTCAAGTACTTGGAGGATATTCCTTCATGCGTGAACGCCTCCGTTTATGGAGTATTTGAGTGCAAATTGTTTCTCTTAGTTACTTTTAGTATTTTAGTGCAAATTATTTAGGATTAAAATAGTTTTAATAAAAGACGAAACAAAAGTAATACTTAAAAAATAATAGTTCAAACTAAGTTACAGTGTTTACCATAAAAAAAAACAAGTTACAGTAATCTAATGGCTGAATATTTTATTCTAAAAATTATGACCAATGTTTGGGTATGGTTTTCAGTTTAAACGTCGTTAATAGCATATCATTAAACATATCATTTTTTTTGCATCCAACTGAATAAACGAGAGTTAGTTCCACTTATTCAATTTAAGAGAATTAATTAAAATATTAAGGACTAAACATTAAAGCAAGCGAATAGAAAATTGACTCTCTTTATTAAGCAAGTTGCCTAATCATGAAGGTGTGTGCAATGCAAATTAACAAATTGTGACGTAAAAAGTGGATTCCTCAAATATTCTTAACAAGTACAAAGTCTCTACAAATAGAATAATGGAGAAAACAAAAGATGCCTTGATGACAGAATAAACACAAGGCTTTCAATTAAAAGAGGGGACCGATGGATCCAAACAAATCTCAAATCGTTTTCTTTAAACCAAACTTTTAGCAAAACATAATGAAAATTCTTCAATTAGTCATATCGATAAAATATGTATGAATAGTTAATTAATCTCTCTTTATAGAAACAACAAAAGATAATGATGTAGTGGCTCTATATACATCAGTACAATTAATCGCATTTAATTTAATTTATTTATACCCGTTTAGTTTTATTATTGCTTTAGTGCAAACTTTGATAATTAGTGAATCATAAGCTCAAAAGTTGTTTGTCGACAAGCTCGTATTATTCTAAAAACAACCTCACACAGTCTCACTAAACGTTTGTTTAATTGACTCCGCAATCATTATTTACTGCTTCACTTATTAGTGTTTTGCTTTAAATTTGGATGTATTTGTCTTTTAGCCTGTAAGTGACCTGTCAAAAGAGAGAATCTTTGCTCGTCCCAACTCACCTCTTATTATTTATATAAGTAATGCCCATTACTCGACCCAAAGCTCTCTTCTTTATATTTTTGGCTAACTCAATCTCTCTCGCTTTGCTTTAAGTTATAGCATTAGCTATATAAGTGATATTTGATAAATGTCATTGAATAGACCTTGCTTTTGAAAAACTTCAATGGGGAGAAAACCTTGCTGTGACAAAATTGGATTGAAGAGGGGTCCATGGACGATAGAAGAAGATCATAGACTCATGAACTTCATTCTTAACAATGGCATCCATTGCTGGAGAATTGTCCCTAAACTCGCAGGTACGTCATTATCTATATATATATATATACATATTTGTCTGCATGCATGACTAGGGTTTGTTTTCTTGCTTTTTATGTTCTTTTTTTTGGTTTTATGCTTTTTATGTTCTTTATGGGGGTTTAATGTTTACTTTGCATGAAGGTTTGCTGAGATGTGGGAAGAGCTGTAGATTGAGATGGATTAATTATTTGAGACCCGATCTCAAGAGAGGTGGTTTTACTGATGCTGAAGAAGATCGGATTATGGAACTTCACTCTCAACTTGGCAACCGGTACGATAATTTTTTTGTTTTTATCATAAAATTTCTCTACCCTGGAATCAAACTAGAATTTTGAAAAAGAAACATCTCTCCAAATGTAACCGTGCTTAAAATTAGGTCCGATATTTCTCATACTCAACTTCCTTCTATTATCATTTAAGTCTTTCAAAAAATCATGAAAATGTTTTCCTAAAAACAAAACTAAGATTTAACAAAAAAAAAAGGTGCATGGGACGTATATAGTTGTGCATGGAAGAGGGTTATATTAATTTGAGTGAAGAATCGGTCGTGGCGAATACAAAAAATGTGGTTTTTTAACTCGTAATTTTTATTTTGTCTAGTTCATGAGATTTGAAATATAATCACGTTATATTCTAAACGCTTAGTTATGCTTCTTTCATTTCATGTTTTATATATGGAAACAATTTGGACGTTGTAGGTGGTCTAAAATCGCCTCTCATTTCTCTGGTCGAACGGATAATGAGATAAAAAACCATTGGAATACCAAGATCAAGAAGAAGATGAAACATCTTGGGTTAGACCCGGCTACGCATGAACCAGTGAATAATAGTATCACCGACCAAACCGAATCTAACCAGAAAACAGAACCAAACATGTGTTCTACTGTCAAGGAAGGAGAAGAAACCAAGGGTCCAACTCCAAAAGATGATGTTATAACAGAAACGACGACAACATTAATAATGTCCGATAATGATGAAGAACTTCTGGCAAAAAACTGCAAAAATCTATGTGCAGAAGAAGTAGACATCGGATCTCTTTTCGAAATGCAAGGCAATGAGATATCTATCTCGTCTTCTTCTTTCTCTTCTTTATATAGTAATATTTCAAGATGTGAATCTTCATCATATATTGCACAAGATTCGATCTCTTTAGAGCAATGGGATTTGGATATGACGGATCCTTTGGTACAATGGGACCTCTTCGCCAATCTTGAAGATACTCTTTTTTTATGACATAATGTAATATAACATTGTAATGTATCTACAAAATATATAATTATCATAAGTAATTAGTAGCTTAATTTCGTGTATGTAAGTTGTGGATTATGCATGGCGTGCGATGATGTATTTGCTCATACGATATGTATGCATATGTATAATGAGTAATATATCCACAAAAATAAATAAACTAACTATAAGTTCAACAATTGAAAGAAATAGTTATTAAAAAAAACCAAAATGTCATTTTTACCATCATCGTTGCTGTTCAAATCATTTTACAGTAGTTATATTTGAATTTCCACCAAATTCTACAAATTTCTTGTTACACCTTCAAACAAATTTCCATCTGAAGGTGTAACCAAATATCTTTATAGCAAAACCAATCATATGCCCCACATGTGCGAGACACAATAATTTTTTCGTGTTATAAATTTAGTTATATGATGTGATCAATGTGTTCTTTATAGTTTGGTGAATTAGGTCAATGCGACCTTTCATCAATTAAAAGGAGCATTTTTAGTTTAAAAAACCATTAGAAATTAAAATACATATAATAAACATAATTTGTGTTATTGACAAAACCTTTTATTAGAAAAAAACTTGTGAAAATTGACCCGTTTTTAAAAGAGTTCCAAGAGAAATTGAACCTACCTACTTCTGCAAAAATAAAATAATAACACCTACTTCATTCGAAAGCATGCATTTAAATTTTATTTTTTTGATTAAAAATGATAATTCTACTAAAATTTATCTTAGTATTCTTATTTATTTTAACAAGATTTGATTTGATCTGACCAAAATAAATTAAGGTTAACCATATTATTTTAACACTTTTAGATCATGGTGATCATAGTTGTTGGGATAAAGGACAATGACGACGATGTTGCTTCCGTCAAGTGTTTGGATTTTTTCAATCATTGAATTATTTATTATAGCTATATTATTAGTTTAATTTTCTGTAACAAAACTTTCAGTGCGATAAATTTAAGTACAAAACTCCGTGTGTAATATTGTAATTAACGAATAGATAAACCACTTCCTCATAATTAAGGAAGCTAATTGTATATTACGAAATCAAATTTGGAAAGGTACGACAAAATGTGCCCATCGGCGCTTGGTGTCGAGACCCTAGTGGTTCAGGTATAAACAACATTATTGTGTGAAACAACTTGTTTGTCCTAAATAAATTACAAACTCTTGAGCAAAGTTTATTTTTGTAGAGTTTAGATTTTTTCTGATTATGAAGACATTTTTAACCATTATGATTGTGTATGTGTTAGTAACCAAACATTTTACAATGGTTGCACTTTTTTAGCAGATGGCCAATTCAATGTACTTGTATTTTAACCGAGTCTTCAAGCAATGATGCTATAGCACAATGTTCGTTACACCATAAATACAGAATCTGTTACATCAACTTCTCTCTTGTACAATGTTGGTTACAATAAAACCTGTTTCATCTTCACTCTACTGCTAAGCTCTCTTGTCTTTGTCTGGCCTAGGACCCAACAGATTAAGATCAATGGTGGCTCCATAACTCTCAGCAGATTTAACAACCGCATCATACGGCTTAGAAGAGAGCTTAAGCCCTTCACTCTGAGCCTTCAAATGTAACTCATAAGCAAGCCTTGGCTTCGCATCATTCGCAAGAGCCTCAATCAACATCTCATAAGTTATCTCATTAGGCTCAACATTCTCACCTCTCATTCTATGGAACCACTCGTAAGCCACACCGCTTAAACCATTCCTTGCACAGCCACTTATCACCGCATTGTAAGTCACAACACTCGGCTCTATACCCTTTAAAGCCATTTCCTTGAGAAGGGTCTCCAAAAGATTGAATTTTTGCTGTCCTGTCAAAACCGAAGCCATTATCGTGTATGCGTGAAGATTTGGCTCAATCCCTACCTTAATCATATGGTTCCAAACCCGAAACGCCTCGTCATATAACTTCCCTTTCTCAAGCGCACTGAGCAGCGCACCGTATGAGATCACTGTTGGCTTTTCGCCGTTTTCAACCATTCCTTTAAAGATTTGGATCGCAGCCGCGGTCTCAGAAGCCTTTGAACACGCTACAAGAACCGCGTTCCAGTGCCTGCTCTGCGGTTTCAATCCTTTATCTTCCATTTTGTTGAGCAACCTCACTCCCCATCTCCATATCCCTCTCCTGCTAGCTGCACTCAGCAAGATACTGAAATGAGAGACCACTAGCTCGTAAGACAAGTTGTTTGGTTCAGGTCCTTCGTCAAGAAGATCCTCGTAGATCTCTAACGCCGCCCACCATTTCTTAGCTTTACCCATCAGCCAGATCAAATGGTTGCAAACAGACAGACTTATCTCAGGAAACCTCTCTCTGATTCTCTTATACAGCTCTTTGCCAACAACATGATGTTCTTCACGCGTACACGCCCATATAAGCCTCTCGTGCTCTTCCCTGCTCGGTTTAAGCCCTGCATTGTCCATTGCATTCAAAAGCTTCAACACTTTAGTAGTCAAGTTCTCATCTTTCACCAGCCAACGCCTCATCACTTGGTAGCATATTCTGCCAATGAAGTTTTCAAACTTCACAAACTCAAATTCCCAATTGAAATCTGTATCATTCCCTATCTCCCTCTTTGAGTATCTCTCTCTCAACTCCACAAAGAAGTTAAGAGCTCCCATACCGTCTTCCATCCTTCTGTACACCAATAAAGCCGTGGAGTATGTTACAGGGGAAGGCTCAAAACCTTTCTCCTTGACTAAATCAAGAATCTCAAGAGCCTTGTGAAACTCTCCTTCCTCCATGTGAATGACCATTAGAGTGTTGTAAGTGACAATGTTTGGAACAATCCCTTCTTCCTCCATACCACTCAGTATCTTCTCCGCTTCCCCAAAGCAACTCGACTGCTTCATCGCACCCAAAAGACTGTTGTATATGAAAAGGTTTGGACCGATCAAACCGCCTGACTCCTTCTTCTTCCTCTTGAGCCAATCTACTACTGCTATTGCAGGCTTCAATCTCTTGTCCTTGCCAAAGCCTCTTATCATAGCACAATAGACTTGAAGAGGCAACTCTCCTTTCTCCTTGAGAACAACATCCACATCATCCGCTGTCTTAGCAGCTCGTAGACTATTTGCCAATTCTCTAACATCAACTCTTGATTTGGTTTCTTTCCCTCCATTTACAGCCTGTGGCTCAGAATCATCAACGTCTAATGAACTTGAATCTTCACTGGAGACTTCTCGTTGCTCTGTGGCCCATCCTACCCCAACCGATGATCCCAAAAGATTCCTCTTTGGCTCACACAGAAACAGAATTTTTGAGGGAGGGTTTATAGCCAAGCCTTTTCTATAATTCGAAACCAATATCAAGCTAGAGATACTACCAAAGCAAGCCTGTTCAGCAAAACATTGCCTCTTTCTAGTCTTAGTGCTAACTACAAAGCAAGAACAATCCAGCTCAAATTCCAATCTTGATCCAACCAAAAAACCAAACTTTAATGGCCAGATGCTTAAAGCTTGCATCTTTTTTTCCAGCACAATTTCACCACCGAGAACAATCAATGAGAAACCAAATGCTCAAATTTCGCATGTTTCACCGGAGACAACAATAACCCATGAACCGAAATTCCTCAAGGTCGCAACATTCCGATACAATACCTCACTAAACACACAACAAACCCTGACAGATGCTCACACCAGCTATAAGTTTTTACAGCAATCAGTAAAGCGCGATAACCCTTTATGCTTGCTTCAGCCTTTGCGTATTGCACTGAGAGACACGACCTATCCTGATCTTATCAGCCAATTTATTCATGCCAATGATTCTCAGCAAAGCAAAAGACACGAATTTGAAAAGTCAGCTCGACGCAGCCACACCAGAGATGGTCAAGTGATGGTGTGGTGCGCTTCTGGCCATCCAATTTCCTATGAGCGGGTAAGCTTCAACTGCTGCAAGAGAGAACCACTTAAACGGTATCGTTTTTCACACGTTTATTTACATTTAAGCCCAATTTAAATGGCCCAATAGGCGAGTTTTATAAAACTTGCTGACAAAACTTATGCAATATGTATATTTTCTAATTTTTTCACGTAAATGATGTGCTTTATTAAAACTGAAATACAGATACAGTTAATATTTTCTATGTAATATTTGTGTATAAACATGCGTCAGTTTTGAATTTTTGATTGATTAGTATTTAACACTGATGACTGGAATTTTGTTTTACGAAAAATGATATTTTAAAGTAACTCTCTGGTTGTACTCAATTCAAGCAAAATAGGATTAGAAGTTCTCCACATGGCAGAGATGCATTGAAGACCATACTTTAGGTTGTGTACAAACTACAAAGCATATATGTTCCTTAGTAAATTCCAATAAACATGTCTGGCCCATGCACATAGACATATAATAATAATACATGTATACTTCCACAAACAAATTATTATGTGCAAAGATACAAAATGTTTTTTTTAAAAGCATAGACAAATGGTACATACCCTATATATACATTGTTTTGATGTGTATCTGTATAATAATGATGGGCAACCATGTTGGTGGATCAATTTTTGTCTTAGGAGATTCACCATATCTCAAATACCGTCTTCTAGCTACTACACATGTTGCGATGTAGTATCATCTTGTCCATTATTAATAATCACATACATGACTAATTACGTACATCTGCATGTATGTAATATAGTTTGATTTTATCTTGATAAGCTATAATTTATACGGACATTGATCACTCGTAACACAGATCGATCGATGATCCCTAATCTATTTGTACTTTCACTTAATGCAAACACAATAATCTGGATGCAAACCGATCGTGGATTCAGTTCATGATTAATTAGATGTTACGGTTTACTAAGTTCCTGTAGTTTTGTTAAAATTAACAAGAACATTGCAAAGCGATTTAGTTTTGGGCTTCCAGTAGTCAGACTCAACAAATATCACATATATAATATCTGATTTGACAAATCTTATCTGGGTTGTTTGATTCTATAAAACCTTGGCCTAAATAATACGCTGTTGTTGACAAATTACAACTGATTAATATGTCGATGTTTAAAAGGGTCTTCATGCATTATTAGTTTTCTAAAATGGTCCTACCACATGGCGATCTTTTCGCAAGATCAAAGTTCACCCATCCGAGAGAAACGTAATCACTTTGATTGGCATTACAGGACAAATTAACTACTGTCCATTTTTGTTGATTAGGTATGCGATTAAATGACTCTAATTTGGCAAGTTTTCTTCGTTTTTGCTTTGTAAAAACTGTTAAATCTGTTACCAACTGTATTTACGAAAAAATTATAGTTTTTACAATAGCGGAATTTTGTTTGTCCTCGAAATAGAGCGGTCTAGTTTGTAAAGAAATTATTTGTCTGGATTAGAAAATAATTTGTCAAACTAAGATAAACTTAAATAAAACAAGGTTGGCGCGCCGAAATTCCTAGACAAAACAAAGCCTCCCACAATTAGTGACTTCAAATTAATTAACAATAGCATGATTTTGATTGCTTTTTATTTACATTTTTGTTCGTGTTCGGTCCTTCAATCAAGGAAGCATTGTTTACTATCAGTCGAACCATCGGCCATGTGCTTGAACTCTTGTCTGTAACAGTCTCGATCATATCTTATATATATAATATATCTGAGTTATCCTTTGTCGGCACATATTCATGGCTGATTTTTAATATTTAAAAATTTGACTCCACATTATTAATGTACATAACATAAACAAAAAAACAATTTCAAAGATCAGGCCGACTTGTAAATTGTAAAAAGCAACTTGCACATGCAAGTATGTATGTGGATTTGTCCTTGTCCAACCTCTTGTCTCTTATATAAACCACTTAGACTTTTCCATGTTATATGTATCCCAAAGCTCGAGAGAAAAAAAGAAAACAGTCCACAGAAATCAATCTAGAGAGAAATGATGAAGTTCAAGTCCAAGAGGTTTGGGATTAGATTCGGATTTGGTAAAAGAATCAACAACAAAGGTGCACAACAAGAACAGCTACAACAACAAAAAGGATTGGGTAGTAACAACAACAATAGTAGCTGCGGCAACTGTGAGATCAAATGGGAACTTAGGCCAGGAGGTATGCTTGTTCAAAAGAGACAAGAGAGCATTGGTGAAGACTTGATCTCCATTAGAGTCTCTACTTTTGCTCATTCTCATGATCTCTCCATTGAAGCCACCTCCACTTTTGGTAATTTCTCATCTCTCAACACTTGTTAATCTTTATTCCAAATTCATGAAAAACTTTTCCTTTTTCTCATTTAAGAAAAAAGAACAAATCATCAAAAGACCATTCGGAAACTATCCACTTGTATTTCGAAACATGAAAATGTTATTCCTAACAACGCCATATTTATGAACATTAATCCATCATAATTCCCCATTTAAACTGAATAGGTATCCATTAAAATTTTGATTGAACAAATTTATCCTAGTTTATAACAAACTTTCTATTTATGTGTTTACAGGAGAACTTAAGATGGTATTGTCATTGCTTACCGGTTTAGAGCCAAAACAACAAAGGCTATTATTCAAAGGGAAAGAAAGAGAGGATGATGAATATCTACACATGGTTGGTGTTGGAGATAAAGACAAAGTGTTGTTGTTAGAAGATCCTGCCTTCAAAGAGAAAAAGCTTCTTGATCTTAACAACATTTCCACTTCTTGTCCCACTATAATCGTATAAATAACCACACAAATTTGTCAAATTAGGTATGATAATTTCTTGGTGAAACGTAATATCACTATGAAAATTAACTAGAGCTAGGATTGTCATGAATTAAACTAAGAGGTTTCATGCGGTTTGGCTATTTCTAAGTTGTAAAACTAAAGTGTTTACATATTGTAATATATTTGTCAAAGTTGTAAGAGAGCATTTTTAAGAGAGCTAGGATTGTCATGAATTAAACTAAGAAAGGTTTCATGCGGTTTGGCTATTTCTAAGTTGTAAAACTAAAGTGTTTACATATTGTAATATATTTGTCAAAGTTGTAAGAGAGCATTTTTAAGAGAGCTAGGATTGTCATGAATTAAACTAAGAAAGGTTTCATGCGGTTTGGCTATTTCTAAGTTGTAGACTAAAGTGTTTACATATTGTAATATATTTGTCAAAGTTGTAAGAGAGCATTTTTAATCAGTTAAAAGTTAAAACGACAAATATGATGCACTCAATAAACTTATCATTGATATACTTCTTATTATTGTTATCGTTCAGATGATTTGGTACGAATTAGTTAACCTCACTACTAAGAGAACCAAAACGGGTAAACAAAACCGAAATTTCTGCATAACCGAGCTGGTCAAGACCCCTATACAGACCAACACCATCTTCAAATGTCGGTATACTCCGGTTAATCCCTAACTTCTCAAAAAGTTACAAAATAACAATACTACGCCAAAGATCCGTCACTTTGTTATTTTCGAAGACTAGTAGTATGTCTACAAACCACACGTTTAAACCACCAGTTTCTAGTGGTCTACTGAATTGTCTCTCTTCACAAACCGGCCCTGAAAAGAAGATGAACGACAACAGAATAACTGATTAGAACCAACAACAATTCTTTCTTATTCGACCGTTTCCACGCATTAACTAATTCTAGTTCTCGATGGGATTTCAATCAACTAAACATCTTCATGAGGGTAAAATGTGACCTAATAGATATCGTAGCAAAACAAATTTAGAAGAAAAGCTTACTTTGATACGAGGACGTTTCTCAGCGTTGAGTTTACGAACTTGGTATCGAATCCGCTTAGAGAAAAGCCGGTTTTGCCGTTTCTCTTTATACCGGAGCAAGCTGGCCTCTCTATGCCCTCTCCATAACCTCTCCCTCACATCCATCTCCGGCACTGCCCATAAACTCCCGGCCTCTCCGGCGTCGGTAACTCCCTAAACCACCAAAACACAGACATACTTGCCTAGTATCATTTCTCCTTAACCGGTTTAATGAATAACAACGAGAAGAATTGTAAAACGCTTTCTTTGTTATAGTAAAGCGTATGATTTGATGGCCTCGGTTTCATGGTTTCACAAATTATCTTATTCGATCAACATATAGTAGCTATTTCGGAATTTAGATAAGAAAATTATATAATCGATCTGCCGTTACATAGTCAATTTATAGTCAAAGCTTTTATATTATGATGACAAAATTTCGAAACTAATAATTTAATAAGACTATCATCTTTACAATTTCAAAAAGAACCCGTGATCTCATTAAAATTTTCACCCGTTTTTCACATATGTCAAATTAATTAGTCAATTAAGCACTGATTATGATATATAAATCGAAGCAAAAGAGATGTTTACTTACATCAGCGGAAGCATGCAAGTCCGGCACCGTCTGCGGCGGTTCTCCGTCGACATAAAGCGTACGTTTGTCGGACCAAGCCTCCATGATCTGCTCGTAATCAAGCTTCAAACTCAACGAAGCCCGTCCCTCGTTTCCATCGCCGCCGTAACACCGTGGAGTCCCGCTCCGACTCATCACCTCCTCCACCACTTCCGAATAACTCACCCATCGCTCCTCCGTCGTTTCCTCCTCCTCGCTGGCTCCTTTCCTCATCGCCGTCCGTAGAAGCGAAGAAGAAGACGATCCGTGCTCCTGACGATCGTACGGAGACAGATTCCTTCCCTCACTGCAATCGACATCGGCGGCGGAGGAAGGGAGGAGATCGTGGATCGAAGAAATCGTGCTGTCGGTAGCGGAATTGAAGAGGTAAGCTGCAACGGTGTCGTATTGCTCTTCTTCTTTCTCTCCTCCCAGGGTCTCTGGTCTCTTCTTCTCCTTAAACGGTGCCGTATCAGCAGCTCCTTTCGTCTTGCTCTGTTTCGACGGCTTTTTTGTGTTCTTCTTCTTGCTCTTCGTCGTCCCGGGACTCTCGCTGATCTCGTGAGAAGTGTTGAGCTCGAGCTTGAGACTGAGAAATTTGGGTTTTTTCGTCTTCGTTCTGATCTTACGAGACGCTTCAGGACTCGAAGAAGACTTTTCCATGGAGGTTGATTCTCTGTGTTTCCTCTTCCTGATCCTCTTCGATGTTCTCGTACTCTGTTTTTCTTCTCCGACCGGGCTGGTTTTGCTACACATCTTCGATCTCTCTCTGTGTGTGTGTCTCTCACTCTAACTATTTCTCTGCTTTCTAATTCTCTCTCCCTCTCGAAGTATGTAGGTGGAGGGAGAAGGAAAGCTGATAGTGATGGTACCTTTTGACGCGTGTCGACCAGTCATTGGTTTAAAGTATTGTAATTTGGATTCTGTTTGGATGTGCAGCGAGAGAGTAAGAGCAGGTGCAATGGAGAGCTCCATATATTTTTTTAATATATGGAGCTTTAAACTTATTTTGTAATAAAAATATTAATTTTTTAAGTGTAGAGTTTAGCCTCCACAATGGAGAGCTCATCGTGGGGTTCTTTAAAAATATTTTTTTTTTCAATTTTTTTATTTTAATTTCTATAAAATGAAAGAAAATGAAAATATTTATAATAAATAAAAATATATGATACAAGTGTAATAGATAGATGACAAAAGCTGACAAGGAATTTTTATAGATATATGATACAAGGAATTTAGGCTGTTGTCAAAAAAAAAAAAAAAAGATAGATGACAAAAGCTTTCGATCCCAAAATAAGTGAGTGAGGAGGGTTTTGCTTCAGAGTCCCAAACCATGAAAGCAAATGAAGCTTACAGGTAAAAAAAAAGGTTTAGAGACAGTGAGAGAGATGATCCTCCAACCTCGGACTGGTTGTGGCTGTAAGGCACCAAGAACCTACAACGAAACATCGTACTTCTTCTTTGTGCGTCAACAATGGCGTCAAAGTAAAGAGTTTGATCTTTGCCTTCCTGAAGTTGTTATACAATGAAAATTATGTCCCATCAGGGATTAAGTCTAAACCAGTTTATAACATCCATCAATGAATGCTTAAAAAGAGAACGAGATTCTGAAACCTGGAAACAAAGAACGAGATCTCAAGCAAGAACTGCAACACATTCTGATGCTTCACATGGGCGTGACCGTTGTCTTACATGCTTCTTGACGTTTATCCATTCGACTTCTTCTACTTCAAAATCCGCAAATCGAACCTGCACTTCCTGAAATACCAAACAGATATATGTGTTCATAAGCAAAACGAAGAAACTGGAACAAAGAAGTCAACTAGAAACTGGCTAGGAGCCTAAGAATTACCGGATCACCAATCTCCAAGATTATATGAGCTAGGAAAGCTTGCACATCATACCATAACAAAATTTGCAGACAGCTTATTCTATAAAGCATTTAAACTGCACAACGATCAACTTTGTTCCAACAATTTCTTCAAGAAATTGTTAAAAGGGGTTTCTTCTCATAAGCTCGTTGCACACAACACTGAACAAACCATTTTCATCAACCAATTATCACTTAATCCTAAACATTAACCATTTCAATCGCACATAATCAACTTTCTTCCAACAATTTCGCCATAAAAAAGTGACCATTCAGAGAGTTTTGCTCATAATGAACATGCCCTTTTCATCAATCAAACAAAGATAACTTTTCTATCTGCGAGACCACTCAGTGACCCGTTTGCTTCAATTTCACAATCTTGAGAATCAAAAACCCCAAATTCCACTGCGAGATTAAGGGAAAAAAGGACAAACCTTTCAGGAAACTGGACTGAGCATGTTGGGATTTAAGAGGTGAAATTTGAGGCCTACCAACGACGAGCATTGCTCCGTAGATATCCAAATTCTGAACAAAAACTCTTCTTAACGGGCTTTGCATCTTTTTCATCGATTCTAGTTTCTATTTCGCCGGTCGGAGAGACTGCCTCGCCGGAATGGATCGATTGTGGCAGATTAACGGAGTAATCGAAGCGAAGAGAAGACGAAGAAAGCCAGATTGATCGATGAGGAGAAGACGAAGACGAAGAGGGAAGGAGGAAAGAGAAAAAAAAAATCGCAAAGCGTTGCGGTGTTGACACGTGGCGAGTAGATACGTCTCTTGGGTCTCTCCCGGGAGAAACGTCTCTGGAGGTTAAGCTTGCCACATGTGATAATCTTTTCAATTGTTTTTTATTTTTGTGCTAAAGAAACTGGGCAAAACTCTCCACTGCACTTGCTCTAAGGTTGGATAGATCATTAGATTGTGTCTAATTTCTTTTTGATTAAATTATGGTTAACTCCATTCTTAATTTTTATATATACACTTTTGAAGTTCACGTTTTCTATAAAAAGGTCTGGGATATTACTATATAAGCATTCTTTTTAGTAGTTACCAACATTTATAAAGTTCAGATTTACATTGTACTGTACATGCTAATCAAAATTAACATGAGGTTGACAAGAAAATAAACATGAAACATGAGGTTTTCTTTGGGCATCAAATTAACAAGATGTTTTTTTTTAAATCAAGAAAACATGATATTTTCCGAGCCAATATTGCTGGAAAATATATCTAAAGTGATTTCTTTCCACTTTCCTCCGTGAGTAGATGAGATTTCGCTTTTTGAATTATTTTATTCCACGCTGTAATCGAACGCAAGGAAATTGTGAAACTGAAATAAATATCTAGACCCAGCATATCCAATTCATGATTTGACAAAACTAAAATAAAAAGGAATTGCCAACATTTATTAGTTTCGTTCGTAATGTAATAATCGTTTGAACTTGGTTTATGGTAAATTTGAACCACCGACAGCAATGACAAATGAAGTGAAATATAGTACAGTAGCATACTGAACAATTACTGTTCTTTGATGACACCTTTCGTAGTGAATAGATTTTCTTTTGTGATAACATTCACGTGAAATCCAAAAAAAAAAGTTCTCTACAAATTTTTTTGGTCTTATATAGGTTTCGGATGGTGACACAGATCAAAATTTGCAGATCAAACAGTAAATCCAGATCATGCTGAACAAATACAGATCATGATCTGTATGCAGATCAAATGCATATCAAATATATTAAATAATTATAAAATATCATATTTAATTGGACAATTAAAAAACAAAGAAAATTTTCAATATATATATAATATATAAAGTTTTCTTAATATATATGTATATATATATATATATTGAAAATTTTCTTAAAAACAAGAAATTTAAAAACTGAAACATTATCTTAAATTTAAATTTGATTACAATATACAAAAAAATTATTTCAAAAAATTAATGTGAAATGTTTTAGTCAGTTCATAATGTACTTGCAATATGTTCCCTAATGTTAACCATAAAAATTTTGTATATAGTTTTGAAATAAATAAATACATATAGTTAGAATTGTAATTTATAAGCTATAAATATAGGTTATATTTATATATAAATAAACAAAAATACCCCAAAATATTTAAAATCTTTAGTCATATACTCCCTCTGTTTCATTATATAAGGGGTTTTAGTTTTTGCACAAAAATTTGAAAACCTCTTATATTATGAAACAAAAGAAAAACTCCAAAACCCCTTATATTGTGAAACAGAGGGAGTATATAAAAATCAAATATATTTTTGCATTTATGAATCCATTGTACTAACTTATATGAATCTCTTTATCATAAAAGAAACATGAAACTCAAGAAATTTAAATTTTGAATTGTTATGTTTGTAATATAATTATAATGATATATATATATATATAAATATACATAATTAGTGATTGTAAAAAAAAACCTATTATATAAAAAATATGAATATGTAAAGTGAATATATTTAATTTTTAGATATAAAAATTGTTATGTTCATTATTTAATTATTTATTGAAAGATAGTTAATACAAAAAAAATTCACAAAATAATATATATATTACACAACATACCTTAAGCTACTAAGAATCTTATAGATTTAATTTTCATATATATAAAGAAATAATAATTAGAAAACCCAATATTTATAACAATTTTTAGAAATAGTTACTTGAAAAATAGTTATGCACATGTAACAAAGGTTTCTAGGCTAGTTTTAATTTAACACAGGTTTTGTGGATTTATTTGTATAAAAGTAAATAATAAATTAATTTTTATAGCATTTATAAGTAATTAAGAAATTAAAAGTAAATAAATATAATATAATAAAAAGATAGGTCTGCATGTGTTCAGGAGGCTTTCAGCTCCTTCTCTGCAGATCAGAAAAATATCACAAAAAGACAAAAAATATTGATCTGCATGCAGAGTGATCTGTATTTTCTTGATCTGTAAATAAAAGTGTGATTGGCTATGAAATACAGATCAATCTGTATTTGATCTGATCTGTATTTGTTCTGGATTTCCATTCAAGGCCATAGTTTCTTTAGGGCTGCAATTACGGAAGGTTGTACACAAACAAGCAATTCGTTTATACAAATTTGTATTTATAAACCTGGGAAATAGATATACAAAGTGTTTATAAACCATTTTGGTGGAGTTTTAAAACCGCATTTCGTTTATACAAATTTGTATAGGCAATCACGTTCTATGCTTGATTTAACGTCAAGATAGGACGTTCTACAAAACAATTATTTTTCAAAAAAAAAATCCTAACATTGAAAGACTTTCTAGAAAAATGCTATTTGTAGAAAACAGTTTTTGTTCTTTTGTTATTTTCGGATACTACTCTTTGTAAATTCTGGTTAATAATTGCTTAGATTTGACAAGTATTACAGGTAAAAGTAAAACCAACACAATTTTTGGAGTTACAAATGAGTCATTTAAGAGAGCTGACGTTGGCAAAAAAGGAATCAATAAAGCATGTCAGACAGAGAAGGGACCAATCAGAGAGAAACATAAATGGAAAAAGAGCAATTCGTGTGGGTCCTACCTCTATTGATTAATTTTTACTCTAACACTATGTTATCAAAATAATGAAATATCAATATCAGTGTAATTAAATTAAGATAACTAGACCACAAAAATCATATACCTTTCCATAGTATTTAACTTTTTTTTTGTCCACAGTATTTAACTTTATTAAACAAAATATGAAAAATTGTTTCTAACAAAATTTCATAATGACATTTAAGTTTAAAATCCAGTTAATCTCTTTGTATAAACATATATATAAAAAGTATATTTACAGTCTCAAGAGTATACAAATCTCTCATCCATCCAAGCAAAAATGTGGGCTGAGTTAACTTAGAAGGAAAAGAAGAAGAAGCCGACAGTGACGATTGTGCCGACAATGGAGAGTTTGACGGTGGTCACAGCACCGCTTGTTGGAGAATCTGCCGCGGGTCCATCGCTTGGTCCATCGGCTGCAGAGGTGCTATCAGGTGTGAGAGCTGGTGGTGCCTCAGCGGCATCACTAGGACTAGCGGCAAAGTAGTCATCCTCGGCGGTGGGTCCTTCTGAGACAGAAGAAGATGCTTTGGGAGAAGAGGCAGAGGATGATTTAGGTGGGGTGGCGGAAGAGGATTTTGGTGCGGCGGCCGGAGATTTAGATGGGGCAGCGGGAGCCTTAGTTGGTGCGGCGGTGGGTGATGGAGATTTCTTGGGTGAGGCTGAGGGAGTTTCAGCGGTGAAAGTAGTGACAATAATTAAAGTCAATAGGCCAAAAATGATAAATTGACGCGCCATTTTTAAAATAGTTTTTTTTTTATAAAAAATTAAGATTAAAAGGAGATTCCAAAAACTAAAGCAGTATTTTTTTTTTATGTTTTTTGTATTTTGTTTTTTATTCTTTATCTATGGAGAAATACTGCATAAGCTTTAGGATGAGAGGAAACAACATGAAGTGAATTTTATATGTTTATGAAGATGAGAAATTTTAGGGAAATTGATTGGATACGAGAGAAAAATAATAATTTGATGGATACGAGAGAAAAAATGAATGTTATAATCTATTTTAAAAAGGTTTCTTAAAATGATAGGATCAAAATAGACCCCGAAATTAGATTCTAAGAAAATTAGTAGCTGGGATTGAGATTTATTTTCTCCTCATCTGAAATTATATTCCATCAAGAGATTGATTCTACAAAGTCATCAAGAGATTGAAATTTATGACTGTATACTGTATATATTGAGAAAATTAGAATTTGAGTCTCAAAACACATTTTTGGGCTTTAATCTTTAAATATTTGTAATCTTTTTTTTGTACATTGTACTTTAGTTTTTAAAGTCTGTACTGTGCTTTTGAAGTAAGCCCAAATTAAAACTCCAATTTACATTATACTACAAAAAGTCAAGGTCCAAAACATAGGAACTCCCGCATGGTGAAGTTTTCTGGGGCTGGGGGTCTCGATTCCTGACATTTGTTAATGTTCTTCTGACAGAGTTATAAAACAGACAACATCTCTTTAACTCTTTCGTTCTGTTTGTGTTGTTAGCTTCTTATTTCTCTTTTAATTGGTTTCATTCTGTACAGAGCAGTAATTAGTTCTCTTCTTTTCAAAATAAATTTGTTTTGGATTTTCTTGTTCCTCTGACCGAATCTCTCATTAGTCCCGGTATTGTCGACAAAAACAAGATTTTATTATCATTTAATGAATCCCAGTGGGGCAGTGGCCAGAATTAATTATAGAGAAAACACGAATCATTCAAACCAGAATTTTCATTTATATTTGTTTAGTACGATTTTTGTTCTGTTCGCATTAGTTTTTTTCAGCTTACGCACAGCCCTAATTAATGTAGATAATTGCAGCTTACGCAAAGCCCTAATTTCTCTCAACTGTTTGCTTAAGGCACAAGCTTCACCATTCCAGAAAATACCACACCCCAATAAACTACAAAATAACTCACAAACAAAAACAAAAACATCAGAATCGCAATCAAGATCAAATTGTTCTTGTTCCGTAACAACAATTTTATGTACGTATTGTAGATTTTTCTCAGGTTCACTCGGACCGGACTCTATCCAATCTATCAACGCTCTTCCTTCCTCTCTCAATCTGATGATGATTCTGATGATACTGCTGATGGTCAACGCTCCTCCTTGCCTTGTCATGGAAGTCAACGCTCCTTCTCGACCGATCTAAATGCTGCTCGAAAGTGATCCTCAGCTTACTCTTCTTCGAAGGACCCTTTGGAGGTTTCTCTTTCTCCCTTCTGTCCACGCTCTGCCTCGGCTTCTCTCTTCTATCAACGCTCTGCCTCGGCATTTCCAAATCGCTGCTCTGGTTTTCTTCTGACTGTCCCGTGCTCGCCCTCGAAGACACAGATCTCTCCACGGTCGTGATGAATTTCTTGAGGTGTTTGATGTATTCAGGGTAGTGTTCTAGGTCGCAATGGTTACCTCCTTCGAGCCAGAGCGGTTCGTATTTCTCTTTAGAGAGTTCCCATAGTTGCTTCCCATGGGAACAGTCAACAACTTCATCACAAGTTCCCTGTAACAACAAGAAGAAGAAGAATCAGAGAGAGAGTTTATAAAACAGTCAAGAAATAAACAGAGAGAAATGGAAATGTAACTCACGTGAATGACGAGAACAGTGCAATTCACAAGTGTGATTTTGTCGATATTCTGCAACATTAACATGCAAATGTTAAGAGGACAGAGAGATGAAAGGAAGTAGAAAACGATGAGTTTATGTTATTACCTTGTAGATGTCGAACCAGTAAGTCTTCTTGACAGGATACATGACTCTTAGACCGGAGAGAATCGGGCTATGGAGAACAACGGCTTTTAAGTGAGGCAATCGAGCAGCAAGGTTTAATGTAGGTCCACTTCCTACAGATTGGCCGTAGAGGATTATGTCTTCTTGCTTTGTTCCATAGGTTTCTTCAAGACATTTGTAAGCAGCTTCGATGTCAGCATATGTATGGTGCTCACTTGGCTGCATTCACACGGGAAAAAAAAAGATGATTGGATTTAGTTTGATAGCCATTTATTTATCTTTGATGATTCTAAAGGACAAACCTTTCCAGTAGATTGTCCATACCCGGAGTAATCGTACCTGCAAGAAGAATGCACAAAAGCATATCATTTAAAGAGATGAATCAAGCTACCAAGGATCTGAGATGTTTTGTTCATAAAGATTGTTGTGAACTAATGAAAGTTGAAACACAATTTGAACGATACAAAGAGTTCAAATCATCAGCTTAAGCATCAGAACACAACCAAGTTGATTACAAAGAGAAATGAAAATGGACAACAAAATCAGAATTTGAGAAAAATCAATGAACTTTATATCACAAAGATTAGACCCAACAGCATATTCAACAAAAAGATTCAAAAGAAGAATAAATTCAGATTTTCATAGAGAAAGCAGAATCATAGACTTGAAACCCAAAAATTAAAACCAATCAAACAGTGAATCAGAAGAAACCAATAAGAAGAAAAAATCTCCTAATTTAACATTTAACCAGAAAAAGAAAGAAATTTCCCAAATCAATCAGGTTTCACTTAAGCACAAACACCTTTAACGCCAAAATCAACATGGGAACAGAGTAAAAACTCTCGATAACCATAAGAAAAAAAGTCTGAGAATTTGATCATTTACAGATACAAAACAGAACATAACTACAGACCAGAAAGCTAATCATCACCAGAAGTATAACATGATAGAGCAAAAGGGGAAAGACTGAAAATTGAACATACCCCATGAGATTAACCTTGAGATGGATGCTCAATTCGATGAAGAGCTCATACATCTGGCCCAGATCGGCTGCGTTTCCATGGGAATAAAGTAGCGTCGAGGTGGCCATCGGATGTCTGACGTACATAGCCACGATCTCTGTTCCTCTACGTGTCGGAAGCTTTGAGATTTCAACGTTTTCACGGTGAGGAAATGGGTTCATCAGAAGAAGTCCGGTCAGTTCGTCGCAGACCAGCTTGTAAGACGACGGACTCGGCGGAAAGAAAGCGAACTTCGCCGCTACTGATGACGTCACCCCTCCCATCTCTCTCTTTCTCTCCTTCTTCCACAGTCTCTTTTAGAAGACGAGGAACATTTTTTCAGCTGCTGAAAGATTGAGATTGAAGCATTTTTGTTCTCGGGAGCGGAGAGAGAGAGAGGATTTAGGAAGAAAAAGTGGCACTTGAAAGGGTAAAGGAAGAGAATGTAAACAAAAAACTGTTATTGAAGTTTGGTACTTTGGCTTATTAATTTTTAAATCTCCATAATTTAATTACAGAAACTCGATGACAATAATAATACTTCCACTGTAAAAGTGTGTTTTTCTGCAAAATTAGAAGGGGATAAAAGATTGAAAAGAATAGGGTTTTGCAGACAAGATGGATCTTATGTCAATGGAGCTTGTATCTCTAAAGTCAAATAGATGCAGACAAGTATTAGAAAAATGTCACTTTTTCAGATAAAAAAGGGTTTTAGACTAATAATTTAGCGTTGGTGGAGTGATAAATCATAGGTTATGATTAAATATGTGTATATATCTTGGAATCACCAAATATAAGAGTGAGAACATGAAAGACATAATGAAATGTTATAATTAAAGTGGACAAGAAAGAAATATCAACATCTAACGATGAAAAATAAAAATAAAGCAAATTTCAAGAGGATAAAACAATAATAATACTCTTATAGGAAGTAAAATATATACACTTCATTTAGAAAAATGGAAAGAATAAAGAAAGAGGTATGTTGGTTTGGTTCATGGGGGGCCATGAAATGTAAGAAGCGGAAAGCAAATTTTGTAGATAGTGGTGGGTCTTCACTCATGCCTGGTGTGACAGCTTCAAAAAAAATATTTTTATCTCTTTTTATTTTCGTATTTCTTTTTCTTAGTAAAAACTAAAAACTAAAGAGAATGTCTACAACTTGTTCGGTTATTAATTTGGTGGTGACATATTTTGTTCCAAAATTTTGTGTGTGTTCTCATCAAATCTATGTATATTAAATCATTACAAACTGAATAAGAAGTTATTACAAGTTTACAACAAACTGTTTACGATCGAAAGGCAACTGAACATATGTCCACGGAGGCCACCCACATCCATATGCATGATCATGAACGAGTCTCACACAAAGTATACGACGAAAGCAAACCCCTAGAAAACGTGATTGAATATTCGAAATATATATATATATATATATATATATATATATATATATTGATTTTTTTTTTTTTAAACTGCATTTGTAGTCGTGTGGCTTCGTCAAAAAGGACCTTATCGTCGTGGCTACAAGTGAAGGTTGTTTCTTTTCGGGACGTTAAAAAAAAAAGAATCAGATGTTCGTTTACAGTCCAACTTGTTTTTCTGTGTGTGTGTGTGTTTTCTCTCTTTTTGATCGTGTGACTAATGTACTCTTCGATCATTCTAAGCTCTCTCTCAGTTCGATTAAAGAAACCACGGCCATGTATGTAATACAAGCCACGGGCTCTACGAGATGATGAAAACATACAAACATTAGTAAACGTTTTGTAAGTTGAAACAAGAAATACGTCAACCCAATTTAGGGTATCTTTATCGAACCATTAACTAACAGGTACATGTCTTTCTTCTACACAAACCAACAGTGACGATGAAAGTGATATATACACAAACTAAACACAGAGCCAAACAGATTAGATTTCCATCGACATTACACGAGGGAGTATAAAACGTGGAAATCCTTTTGTGAGTTTCCAGCAAGTTGAGAAGAGGAAAAGGGAAACAAACAAAGATGTCTCATTCTCAAAAATCAATAGTATCTTACATAGCATTGTTCAATACTTCAACAATTAGGTTATAATAATTGTTTAGATAAACTAAGGTTCTCGTTTTCATTTTTAGAAACGAAATCAGCCGCTCGTGATTTTTCTTGATGACCACTTTGCCTTTTTGATGAGATTCGTCCATATATGCTCAGATTTCACCGTGGAAAGCTGGCTCGGCAACGCTTCGATGATTTCTTTCAAATAAGAGATGGTGTCACGAATCCAAATCTGCTGCTTCAGAATCGATATAGCATATAGGAAGCTTAATTTCCTCAACTCCCAAAGGCCCAAAGGCTTGCTTTCTTCGTTTGTGCGCACGAATTCCATGCTCCACGCGTGACACAAATTAGCCTCCTCTATGAACTTTTTCTTCAAGCCTTGTAGCACTTGCTGCCTCTTCGTTAGTTCCTCTATTGCTGTTTGGCAAGCACGAATTAACGATGTCTCTTTTGCCTTCTTTTGCCTGTAGCTCAAGGGGAGCCAACTTAACAAGAACATGGTGCTTCCTTGGTTTTTGATCTGCAGCACGAATCAACGATGTCTCTTTTCTCTATCGATTAGGTTTTACAAGTTTTCTTCGACTTGATGGGGGTGTGTTCCATTTTTCCAAACCAACCGTCGAAGCAGGTTATTGGGCCTCGTCCGTTCAATCCTCGGAGGTCTTTGAATTTAATCGGCCCATTAAGCCAAAAATATTTAAATAAGTGAAATTGCTTATTTTAAATATTGAGAATTAATAATAGGATACATGTTAAATATATGATTTTAATTACTATTATTATTATTGATTTGATTCCATTTGTGTAGTCAGAAAACCTAAAGGTTAAAATCTATATAGTTCCTTATATACAATTTTCCTTATTTTTGGGTCAACACAATAACTACTAACTTATCATCATCAAAGCTGAGTATTTTTCTGGTCTCACCTCATTTTTTGAATTCCCTTCTTGTCTCACAAAATAAGGCACATAATTAATCTTTTAAATTTTGGCCAGTGGAGTGGACGACCTACACAAACTTTGCTTATGTGTGTGTGTGTATATATATATATATATATATAGATACATATAGAGGTCTACAAACTAATTAACATAGGAATATAGGATCAGTCGAATTAGATAGACAATGCTCTTCTTATCCATCTTCTTGTCATTAGGATTTGTCTTTGTCTCTGTACTGATATTTTATATTTCAATAACTAAGCAAAATGAAACAGAAGATTACGCATCGCTAAATGGTAGCATGGGATGGCCTTTCATTGGGGAAACTCTTTCTTTCTTCAAACCTCATCGATCAGACTCCATTGGCACATTCTTGCAACAACGTGTTTCACGGTAATAGTCACCTCTTTTCTTCAATCGATAATTTTGCTGTTGTTTTAATTCTTTTAAAATGATAATTTACCGTGATCTAAAGAAACCCATTATTAATATCCAAGAGAAAACTAAAACATGTAATTTGTATTAAATAAAAGCCATATTTGTAATAACACGACAAAAACACAACATAACTGTGAATGCTGTTTCAGGTATGGGAAGGTGTTCAAATCAAATATATGTGGTGGGAAAGCCATAGTCTCATGTGACCAAGAACTCAACATGTTCATACTTCAGAACGAAGGGAAGCTATTGACATCGGATTATCCGAAAGCGATGCATGACATTCTCGGTGAATATTCCCTCCTATTAGCCACCGGAGAAATTCACAGGAAACTGAAAAATGTTATCATCAGCTTCATCAATCTCACAAAGTCGAAACCCGAGTTTCTTCTCTGCGCGGAGAACCTCTCTATATCGATGCTAGAGTCATGGAAAAATTGCCACGAAATCGAATTCCATAAAGAAGTTAAAATGGTAAATAATTTATTGTTGAATAATGAATACTAATACAAAACTAAATTGATATCGATCTTGTTATAGTTTTGATATCTTTGTTGTGGTTGAATCATGCAGTTCACTCTTAGTGTTATGGTAAACCAACTCTTGAGCATCAAGCCAGAAGACCCAGCAAGATGTTACGTATTGCAAGATTTTTTATCTTATATGAAAGGGTTTATTTCGTTACCAATACCGCTTCCAGGAACGGCTTATACAAATGCAATTAAGGTTAGCTCCAGTCCTAATACATTTACGGACTTTATCGTAATGTTTACATGTAGACACATTTATATTATTATATATGCAAACACATACATCTATATACTATAGTATTCTAATAAATCATTTTCGATCGATGTTTGCCAGGCTAGGAAAAGATTGTCCGCGAGGGTTATGGGGATGATAAAACAAAGAGAGCATGAAGGAGAAGAGATGAAGAAGTCATTAAGAGAAGAAGATTTTCTAGATGTGATTATATCAAATGAAGATCTAAACTACGAAGAGAAAGTTAGCATTGTGTTGGACATTTTGCTTGGAGGCTTTGAAACAAGTGCTACTCTTCTTTCCTTGGTCGTCTATTTTCTTGCAAAGTCTCCAAATCTTCTTCACAAACTTAAGGTCTTCTCTCTCTTCTCCTTCTAAAATGTATGTACTTTTATTATATCTACATGTATACACACACTCGACACACGTACGTATATACGTTTCTCCATATGAATATGTAGGAAGAACATGAAGCCATTAGAGCCAAGAAAGGAGATGGAGAACTCTTGAATTGGGAAGATTATCAGAAGATGGAATTCACTCAGTGTGTATGGTCCCATAAACCGATCCCATCAATTTTTATTTTTATTTGCTTTTTGTTTCTTTCGCAAAATTGTTTTGGTACCAACGTCTTTTATACATTCAAGAAAAAGAAAAAAATTCTATATTGTACGTAGTGATTATAATTCCTGTAGTTTTTGGGTTTGTCTTTTTAGATGTACATCTACATCATAATTTTAACTTGGTCGGATATACAGGTCATGTCTGAGGCACTGCGATGTGGAAATATAGTCAAGACGGTACATAGAAAAGCTACCCATGATATTAAATTCAAAGGTTAATTAGCTTCGATCGATCATTATAATTTTAACTTTTTACTGTTTGAAGTATACAGATTAGTCTAAATGTTTTTATAATACGCTTGATTTGCAGGTTATGTGATTCCAAAGGGATGGAAGGTGTTTCCTATCTTCACAGCAGTACATCTTGATCCATCTCTTCACGAAAATCCTTATGAGTTTAATCCCATGAGATGGACCGTAAGTTAAATATTCAAAACTAGATACATTCAAATAATAAGCAACAATGTGAAAAGAAAAAAAAACATGAAATTTGAAACTAATTTTGTTTAAATAAAAAATAAAATTTGTAATTAGGACAAGGGGAAGATGAACAAGAAAACGACGGCATTTGGAGGAGTAAGGGTATGTCCTGGTGGTGAACTTGGCAAACTCCAAATTGCTTTCTTCCTTCATCATCTTGTCCTCTCTTATAGGTTTGTCTTCTTTTAATTTGACTATTTCATAGTTTTAGTCATTTTATTGTTGGATAAATACGCTGGATGATAAATATTTGTGTTTAGAGTTAAGCAGTACGAATTGGTTTAACCAGTTTGACCATTGTACTTACGAAATTATGGTACTGGTAGGTGGAAAATAAAGGTAGATGAAATGCCAATAGCGCATCCGTACGTGGAGTTTAAGAGAGGCATGCTTTTGGAGATCCAGCCAACAAGTTAGATTCATTAAAGACTATCAGGAATCAATCTTATATAGAAATTTAACTCGTATTGGGATTTTGAAGTAAAATGAGATTTTTTCTTTGGATATGGTATACATGTGTGGAGTTCAACTATCCATTCAATTATATAAATATTTTTCTTTCACTTTCTGTGAAAAAGTACAAACGAGACACATAACCAAATGTAATTATTAGGAAAATACAGGATCATTCATAACTATAGTCTCTTTACATGAACTCGAATTATATAATTAACTAGAGAGTGATTTTAAACTGTCTTACATAATAACTCTAGGAAGAGATAGTTTAGTGTGGAATTTAACATTTTGGCTTTGAAAAGATCTGTCGAAGACATACTTATTGTTAAGAGAAGAAGGATTGACTTGCATGAAAAGGTAATTACCAGCAAAGAGATCACCAAAATGTGATTGACTCTCCTTCAACCTCTTCAGTATTTTTAAAATCCCACTTTTAACCCTACTCGCTTTCTTCCTCACAAACCCCCTAAGTCTCCTGATCTTAACTCTGACCCTAATCCTCCTTCTTCCTCCGAGTGACACCACTCTCTTGAACCTATACAAAGTCTCATTAATAATAATTTAAAAACCGGAGCTTGTGTTGTGTGTATACACCATTAGTATTCCTCAGTTTTTATGAAACAGTTAATGAAAAAAACCTGTATGGATATGAATATGATGACGATCTTCTTCTTGTTTCGCCGAAGACATCATCTTCTAGAGAAAGTCTCTTGTAGGGTAGACTGATCATTTTAGGAGACGAAGCCATGGAAAATAAAATGGTGATATTGTGTAGCTTTATCAAAGAGAGTTCTTTGATAAATGTATTTGATGAGTTATATGAGTTGCCATTTACTGTTGATAATTCAATGTGTATGGTTGGTGGGTCGATACATTTGTAGTAGTTAGGTATGTGTATGTGTATTTGAATTTATTGCGATACCTCAGTTTTAGTTTTGCATAGATTTTAATATATTTTTCAATCTACCCCCTGAAAATAATGGTTTTGCATATGATCTATAAGCTTGTACACACAACTTCATTAAAATACACTTATCCAGATTTCTCTTTGTCACTAAAGAAAGGCAAGAGTACAAGGTTAGGTGGTTTGATTTGATATATAATCACAGTTTTTAGGACAGCATGTGATTCATGTTACATAGCTAACTCGGAGGTTCATTAAATTAAAGAAAAAGGAGGAGATTTGTTATGAGTTAAATCATCAAGATCATGGACTTGGCATCATACACTGATAACATCTTTTCACTCCAACCAAAGAAGAAAGAAAGAAGTCAAAGATTTTGGAACGGGATCAAGTTAGGAAAGTGAGTCAATGAACAAACGAAAACATGATAAACTTTTTTTTTTACACAAACATCCGAACTTTCTCGGAGAGACCTCAGTGACTAAATCAAACTAAAATTCCCAAAAGAAGTTGTAAGAGGATGAACAAGAGATAAGGGTCGTCGTTCTGGTCTACTTGGTTAGTAGAGCTTTATCCTTGTCTGGATCGGTGCACGGCAAATGGGACACATTTGAAGATCAGGTCCACACTCGCAACAAGTCTTGTACCCAAACAGAAACAAAGTTAGTTTGATGTTTCAACCGATTAAGTAGTAGAAGAAAAAGAAGAAGACTGAAACTGTGTTTTTTTACCTGATGCCCACAACCAAAGGCCATGTCTTTCGGGTTGCTCAGACAAATCGGACATAGCTGTTCCAACAGAACCAAGAAGATGAAGTTTTCAAACTTTTTAAAGTAACATTTACAAGCAAGATTTCAAAGTATAGTTACCTGGTTATCGGAAGCAGATGATGTTGTAGCGGGTGGAGCAGGACTAGACCTTACGGGATAGGTTTCAGTTGGATAAGGAGGAACACTCGGTTTGTAACTTGGAAGACGAGAAGAAGCCTTTGTCGTGTTGTATGACGATGATCTACCATCCATCGGAGGCGGAAGAGGGAATCTTTCCGGAATATTCCCATTTCTTCTTCTGCACAACAAGAAAACTACAAGTTGAGAGCTTTGGGGTAAAACTTGAAGCTAAAATGATAAAGATTATGTTTTGGTGACTTACCCTAAAAGGTTAAGCTCTAGTGTCGCCTTGTATTGTTGAGGAATCTCCATGAGAGCAGAGAGGGCAAACTCTGTTTCCTTCAAGGACTGAGCTTTGTTCTTTGACATGATCTCTGTGAAGTTCACGAACTTGAAACAGAAAAATCACATCAAAAGATTTGAAAAAATAACCAAACTTTGACGTTGTTTTAGCTAAAAAGAAACTCACTTGGAAGTTATCGAAAGCTCGTGCGGGGATGTTATCGTCAAATTCCCTCATCATGTCCCATGGTCCATCCCCAACCCCAACTAAGACGATTGATAGAGGAAGCTTACTGTCATAGATAAAGAAACCAAATCATATAAGAGATATAACTTTCATTGAGAAAACAACGGTTAATCAATGTTCTAACCTCGCTTGTACGATAGCCTCCACGGTCTTCTGTTCTTGCGGACTTAACTGTCCATTTTCAGTGTCAACACTTCTTGTAACCTGAAAATGTCAAATTGAGGTTTCTTCTCTTGACACAAAAACAAAGGATCATCATAAAGTTACTATAAGTACCTGTCCATCTGCTATTATCACTAGGACGTGGTATTGGCCACCACTCTGCTCAACGATGGTCATGGCCATATCGATGATTGGAGCAAAAGATGTTGGCCCTGAGAAAAAAAAATTCAACATTTAACATTTTAAGAACTTAGGTGGTGTTTAATTAAACTTGCGGCCAAATAAGGGGAGATAAATAAACCTGCGAGCTTAAGCTGAGGCACAATCTCTTTATACCGAGCAAGAACTTCCTCAAACCCATTACAGAATCTATCCTCTTGATTGAAACTAAACACATCTTGATCATGTGTTGATGCATCTCCAAAACCGTAACATGGGATCAAGTTGTCTTCGTCAAAGGCGGCTAAGGTTCTTCCTATGATAGCTATCGCTTGTTCGTAAGGATTTGGATTACTCCCTATGAAGTGTAAGCTTTTCCTGTTAAAGGACTTGGCTCCTGTTATCAACAACAACAACAAGAAAGAGAAATGTGGTTCTTGAGTGTGAAACCATTTGATGCATTATAACACCAAAAGAGAATCTTCAGTTTCACCTACCTGTCCATTCATTGCTCTTAGTGAAATCAATACCAACGATGAGATTTGACGATTCCAGACCCGCACGTGCAAGAGCCTCCGTCACCTAAATGAAACAGAACATAATAATGTGAATCATCAAGAAACACAATAGATTCTATTAAAAGCCAACTAGAGATTCATCAAACTCACCTGCTCCAAAGAAGAGTAATTATCAGAAATTCTCGAATACTTTCTCTCCAGCCTCTTCTTGTCACTGCCGTAACTTTGAGAAGGCGGCGGCTGAGAATAAGGCTGAGTGCTATATGAAGGCGGAGGAGGTTGCGCATACTCTGGAGGTGGAGCATATGAAGGTGGAGGAGGATAGTTATAGCTTTCAGGACCATACTGAGGATAGCTTTGATGAGAAGCCCATGAAGATGGTGATGCTGATGCTGATGAAGCTGAAGCTGACCTAGATGACGGAGACTCCTGCCTCCAGTTATCCTTTGAATTCCCTGTCCCCATCAAACCTTAAAACTAAACCCTCTCAAGTCAAATTCAGTACCTGCAAATAAAAAGATTTGGCATTTAGAGTATATTCATGAAAAAAAAATGCAGAAACTTTAGTTAAGATCTTGAGAGTATATCGCTACAAGATTCAGTTTACAATACCTAACTCGTAAAAAGGCAAAAGCTTTATCTAAGGACAGATGTTGAATTTTCTCACCGCTTACGAAATTGCTTTTTAAAATCGAAGGTTGGTGTTCTTTTATATATATAGAGAAAGGAGATTCAATCACGTCACGTAGTTTTTCCTAAGAGACTTCGCAAAAAACGCGATTTAGTGACTTCTAGATTAAGATTAAGTCCATTTTTAACAAAACGTACTGCAATACTCTAACCCCAGAATTAGTAAAAAAAACAGTTTCTGACAAATCTACGAGCGGAGAATTATTATTTTCCCGAATTGAACCGAAACAATCTCGATTAATCTGACGAAAGACTCACCCAAAACTGGGAAAAAAAAAAGAGACAGAGATTCGAGGCTGAATCTACCGACATTTAGCGGAAAAAGTTTCGCAGAATGACCCAGGAGGAGTTTGATAGAGAAGAAAAGTTGTCTACCTTTTTAACTTGACGAAGAAGATGAAGAAGGAACCGGAATGGAATCACAGAAGTATTGGAGGTAGTGAATGAAGGAGCTTTCAGTGGCGGATCGAATCCTTACAGAGTTCGCCTTCAAAAGTTTCCCCCTTTTCTCCGAAAGCAATCTTACTTTCTTCTCTGTTGCTTAATTTTTTTTGTTTCTATCAAATCATTAAGAGAATAAACACTTTCGTTTTTTAAAAAGTGTTAACCACGCTAATGGTGGAAACTTGTAATTTTTGTTTAAACCCATATGTTATTCACTCTTTTCAACAATTGGCCCTATAAAATATTATTGATATCCAAAGTCCAAATATGCCTTAAAAAGGTATTAGTTGACAATTTCTTTGAATTTTTGAAATTCTTAGATTATGATTATGCAATAATTAAAGGAAATTAAACTATCATTTTCGGAAGATAGATAACTATTCTGTTTTTTTTCACAATAAATTAATTTAGTTTGTTGAAATACCAAATATGTAGTCTAGTAAATATGTATTCTGTGCTATGACTATCCATATTTAAATTCTGTGGACTACTGTTTGTATATAAACTGAATGTGGTGAAAAAATACTTTAGAATAAAAATGACCAATAATTAGAAGAAGAAAAAACTAAACCTGAAATTTTATAAAAAAAGTGATTTCATTTTAGAGCTGACCTACAAAAAAAGTTGACCTGGAAAAATAAAAGTATTAAATAATAACTGCAATAAATTCATATGGAAAAAAGGATGGTTATAAGAAGTTTCTGTTCCACGTGACAATCCTATCTTCAATTCTTGTCTTTCGTCGTACGGTTACAAATTGTCGCCGTTCATTATTTAAACTTTCAGTGCTTTTTCCTTTAGTTTTCGTTATACTGTTTGAATATTCATTTTTCACCTTGAAACATGACTTTTGAATTCATTCGTCTTTCTTTTCTGAAAATGTTCGTAAATTACCAACTAATGTTGTCTTAGTTTCAGACTTTCAGTATAACAATTTTTGTTTCCTTTGGATAGCAGACACGACACGTGAAAGTTAAGTAGACTTACTTCAATTTATGAAATTTCTAACCATCTTCGACAACAACAAAAGAAAAAAACTTCATACCCGTGATTTATGCAACTCTTTTTCTTTATTGGACCGTTTCTTGAATGAGCAAACAAGATGTACGTACGTGGACTGCACTATTAAACCAGAATAATTAGATTTTAACCCCCAAAAAAACTATAAACTAAATTAGGCAACCTTTAATTCGAAGCACTATTTCACAGAATCTAGTAAGTTGTAATACCAACATACTTTCTCTTTAAGAATAGAGGAGAATTACTACTGAATCGAAAACAATGAAACTTGCACAATCTGTCGATGATTTAACATCTACTGCAATTTAACGTTTTGATCGCTTTCAGACAAATACTGTATATAAAACCAAGATATAGAAAGAAATATTAAGCCCAATATGTACAAAAAGTAATACAAAGCCCAATATCATGCTTTTTCAGCACAAGAAGCCTCAATACAGGCCCATGAATTTTAACCGCGACTTTCAATAAAGGAGCAGAGAAACATTCGTAGTCCTCTACACAGGGGATCAGAATCTAGCAAATATTCCCCTTGCGAATAAAATCCGACACTGGTCATTTTCGTCTTCTTCTATATCGCGGGAATCTACTGTGCTCGTCACACTGTTCCCACACTATCCTTCTCTTCACTGGCAGCTCGGGTCCTCCGTAACGGGTCAGATCTAGATCCGGATCCCGAGACGCCGAGCATGAAGCACTTCAAAACCGAGCGAGTCCGTGCGACTCCGAAGCTCTTGACGTACGTGCTCGTCGGTTTCATCGCTCTGCTCGGCTTGACTTGCCTCTACTATGGCTCGTCGTTCGCTCCCGGATCCAGAAAATCCGACGAGTTCGATGGATCCAATCGCGCTGACACTGGATCCGTTAGGAATCGAGATGGTGTGCTTGGAGTGAGCCGTTTCAAAGTTCCCAAAAGCGTTCCGGTTCGTGACTTCGTGTTAAAGCATTGATTCGTGTTGTTATTCGATAAATTGAGTAAAGCTCTCCGAAATCGTAGTGTTCAAGTGATATTCTGCTTAGATTAAGTCGTTCTTCTACTAATTACTCTGTCGAAATTGTTAATCCACGTTGTGGTGGAGTGATGATCTTTGTGGGTTTAGTGAGTTTCGTAGATTTTAGCAATTGTGCTCATTGCTCTCTCGTATTGATCCGCAGATATGCGATTCGAAGCACTCGGAGCTTATACCGTGTTTGGATAGAAATCTCCATTACCAGCTGAAATTGAAACTCAATTTATCGTTAATGGAGCACTATGAGCATCATTGCCCTCCGCCAGAACGGCGTTTCAATTGCCTTGTTCCTCCTCCAGTTGGTTACAAGGTCGGTCTTCTTTCTCTTTCTCTTGCATATGCTGCTATTGTTTCGGTGTTTGTGGTTGATAATGATGTTGTTTGTGGAGTTCTCAGATACCGTTGAGGTGGCCTGTGAGTAGAGACGAGGTATGGAAGGCGAATATCCCGCACACACACCTTGCGCAAGAGAAATCTGATCAGAATTGGATGGTTGTAAATGGTGATAAGATCAATTTTCCCGGGGGAGGAACACATTTCCACAACGGAGCTGACAAATACATAGTTTCCCTTGCTCAGGTACAATGTCCTAATTTGATACTTTTTTTGCTTTATTGAATCTCAATGGCAGAGCCAATCCTGTAGAACCACTGCGCCTTCTTAGTTTGATTTATCATTTTTGCTACCAAATTTGCATTAGCGAGCGAAAGTTTATGGTAGAAGGCTAGAAGTTTATAGCAGCACTATCCCGCATGGACCAAAACGAGTATTGAATTGTCTATTGTAGACTGTGTAGTAAAGTAATGATATTAAGGCTTTGATATTAAATTCTATTGTTCCTAGATCAGGGGAGCATAGTTCTTGAATTAACAGGAGGTTTTGGCTCTGTTTTTTTCTTTTTCTTTTACAATTTCTTCTTTCAGATGACAAAATAAAACTACTTATTGCATTAGATGCTGAAATTCCCTGGCGACAAACTCAACAATGGGGGAAGCATTCGGAATGTTCTTGATGTTGGTTGCGGAGTAGCTAGCTTCGGAGCTTATCTTCTCTCACATGACATCATAGCCATGTCCCTTGCTCCTAATGATGTTCACCAGAACCAGATCCAATTTGCTCTAGAACGAGGGATTCCATCAACACTTGGTGTTCTTGGGACTAAGCGGCTTCCATACCCAAGCAGATCATTTGAACTTGCTCACTGCTCAAGATGCCGTATAGATTGGCTTCAAAGAGATGGGATCTTGCTGCTGGAACTCGATAGGTTGCTCAGACCTGGCGGCTACTTTGTATACTCGTCGCCTGAAGCTTACGCACACGACCCAGAAAACAGAAAAATTGGGAATGCGATGCATGATCTCTTCAAGAGAATGTGTTGGAAGGTCGTTGCCAAACGAGATCAATCTGTTATATGGGCAAAACCGATATCCAACAGTTGTTACTTAAAAAGAGGTCCGGGTGTCCAGCCTCCGCTTTGTCCTTCTGGAGATGACCCAGATGCAACTTGGAACGTCTCAATGAAAGCTTGCATATCACCTTACTCAGTCAGTAAGTATACATATCGTATAACTTACATAGTATCAAGCATTTCATCAAGTTTGTAATTTCATTCCATGTTTGTTATATTTTTCCCAGGGATGCATAAAGAAAGATGGAGCGGACTTGTTCCATGGCCACGGAGGCTGACAGCTCCTCCACCACGTCTTGAAGAAGTCGGTGTCACTCCCGAGCAATTCCTTGAAGATACGGTAAATTATTCTCTCCTTACCTGCCTTGCCTCTCTACCTAAGCAAACACTTCTTTATTGCTCACTAAAGTGGAGAGTGTGAGTGTAGGAAACATGGAGGCTTAGAGTGATGGAATACTGGAAACTACTGAAACCGATGGTGCAAAAGAACTCGATAAGAAACGTGATGGACATGAGCTCAAACCTCGGTGGTTTCGCAGCTGCTCTACACGATAAAGATGTATGGGTAATGAATGTCGTACCGGTTAAATCCTCTCCGAGGATGAAGATCATCTACGACCGTGGCCTTATCGGAGCCACTCATGATTGGTACGTAAATGTTTTGAAACTCTGAGAACATTGTGTGTGACTTAATATCAGATCATGTTTTCTTGAGCTTTCGTTGTGGCTTTGATGATCTTTTGCAGGTGTGAAGCCTTCGACACATACCCACGAACGTTTGATCTTATCCACGCGTGGAAGACGTTCACAGAAACCGAAACACGTGGATGCAGCATCGAAGATCTGCTCATCGAGATGGACCGGATACTACGTCCAGAAGGATTTGTCATAATTCGTGACACGTCAGAGAATATTAGCTACATCAAGAAGTATCTGACGTTGTTGAAATGGGACAAGTGGGTAACAGAGGCGACTCCGAAAAGTGATTCTCTGTCGAGCAAAGACGAGAGAGTTTTGATCGCCAGAAAGAGACTCTGGAGCGTGGCGGCCATTTCGGAGTTGTGAAAGGTTTCACTTCTCTTGCAAGACACCTATCTCTCATTGTCTATTATGGAAGCAGGTTTTAATGTCATTTCTCCGATCTGACAGGCGACGGCGACTGGTGAACGAAGGTGTTTTTCAGCGTCAGAGGCATATGGCTGAGGCAAATTCTCGGCTTTTTAGTTTTATTTACCAGTAAGAAATGGGCAACTGTAAATTACACAACATTCATACATAGTTATGATGCATTTGTTGTAGGAAAACTGCATAAGGTTTTTTGCGATTTTTCATTTCCTTAAGAATATAAATTAACATCACCTGTCTTCATGCAAATGAATCGGTTGCTTCATCTATCCAACGGGTCGAATAATTGGACCACTAGGCTTAAAATTTCCCAAGAAATTACCATTGAATAGATAAGAAACATTATCAACTCGTTCTCCATCACCACTAAAAAATATCAAAACTGAGCCCATAAATTGAAATTACACAGTACGAAGAGAAATACACAAAAGACAAAACAGAGAAAACAAAAAGAGAGAGAGGGAGAATGAGATCAGACTTATGACGCAGTTGTTTTGACCTTTTTATTCTTCTTGTTCTTCTTCTTCTTCTTCTTCGAAGGAAGGCCATTGGAACTAAGTTCTTCAGATTTCCTCTTATTTCTGCCAAGTAACACAACCGTTAGTCTCCATTTAATTCCTCAGTAATACCAAGAACAAACTCCAATAGTAACATACAATTCTATGATTATTCAATATCGATCTAAAGTCTAAACTAAGATCCAAAATTAAACTAGTATTCTGATTTAGATACTCATTTGTCTACCTTCAACAATAACAAAATCAAACTTGAAGATTACTTGAATTTAAAACATTTTAATATCATGTACCAGAAAAACCAAAACAGATATGAATTTTCATGTACCTTGCAGGAGTCTCATCCAAACCATTTTCGCCATCTTCATCAATTTCACCTATCATGCACTCATCCAAGCTATTCTTTTCATCTTCATCGATTTCACCTATTTTGCAGGATATTAAAAATGAAAACTCCAACTTGAGATTCAAAGTGGTGGCCAATAATGCACGACAGGATATACAAGTGAACAAACCTATTGGATCTTCTTCCCCATTCTTTTCCTCTCCAGGGTCAGAATCTGATCCCCAACGGTCTTTTCCATCGTCAAAGTCCCACCTCTCTCCATCTGGAGGCATCCAAAAGTCAAGCTCCTCAACATCTTCATGATTTTCATGCTCGACTTCATCAGTAACATCCTCTCCATTCTCTTCCTTTTCATCAGACTTCTTGTTTTTCTTCTTCTTGTTCTTCTTCTTCTTCTTTTTATTCTTCTTCTTTTCTTCTTTTACCCCATTTTCCTTCGCCGGCGTTTCTCCATCATTCTCTAGAATAGCTCCAGACTCCTTCTCTCGTTCCTTCTCCTCTGTTATATAAGCAACAATTCAACCGTTAAACTTAATTTTAAAAAGCATGAATGAATATCTTACGCCAAACAAGTTTTGCAACTTAACGAAGTGTCGTAGCAAGCTTCAAACTACAAACCTAATTTGTTGAGGAAGCGCCTTCCAGTGATATGCTTCCAAATATGTTCCTCAGTCTTGTTTACTGTATCACCCGTCAGCTTACATTTCAATTTTGAACTGCAACCAAAAACCAAATTCAGCAAAATTTCTAAAACGCATTTTCTTCAAAAGATAAACTCAAAATCTGGCAGCATAAACTCTTTTCTGCTCTACATTAGCACCAAAACAACATTCAAATCTTTACTGGAGTAAAAATAAATGAAATTTCTAACTTAAACCAAAAGCCCACAAAACCCTGAACCATACCACACAGAAACGGGGAAATTTTGATAATAAAACGTAAGAGATGAAAATTTGAGCATTTCTACAGTATCTAGAACCCTAATTCAATACATGATCAATCATAATTGAGTTTTATCTACTGTTACGGTCAAGTTTTTGGAGAGAGATAAAGGATTAAATTACCGAGCGCTAGGATCTTGCTCGAACAAGTTGAGTGGAGGCTTGCTGTGGGATACGGCATGATCGATAAGCCCCAGACGACACCGTTTGCTCTGCGAATAGAGCTCCTTGTCTTTCTCGAGTAGCTCGTGACCCGTCTGCACGCATCTGGATCTCCCGTTCTCGAGTTTCTTATACTTTGGCTTTCCCAATAGGTTGGTGCCTTCCTTCGTTGTCGTCGTCATCTCTTCCTCTGTAGCCGCCATTGATATTCAGTTTTTTAGCGATTTGTGTTTCACTGAAAGGAGACTGCAAGTAGACGACGAGGTAAGCTGTTTCATACAAGAAACGATTTGCCGTTTTGCTGTTTCAACGATCAGTTGCACGTCGTTTTATTTTTATGGGCTTATCAAAGTTTAGACAATATATATGGGCCTATTGATCATAGTATTAGCCCAAAAAGACAAAAGACAAAAATATACTGCTTTCTATCCTCGTACATATGGCAACTGAAAAACCAACTTTTCTTTTTCGTCTCAACTTAGGAAATTAAACAATAACAGAAAATAATTTGTTCTACGAAAATACAAAAATTATGAACCTGGACCGTTTTTTATTTTCCATTATTTGGTCATTTTCTGGATTATCTAGTCGAATAAATATTTTATTATGTTTAGGGTAAATTATGACTGTGACTGAAAGGTGCAGACAATGATAACCGCTTTTCTGGGTTCCAACAAGAACACAGCTCATGGCTGTTGAACTGTGGTCCGGTCCATTTCTCAAGACACGAGGAAATTTCTTTTTCTGTCTTTTTTAAAAAATTCTGTAATTTTTCGGAAGAGGAAAATAAAAACCCTCTTTTCCTCACACAATTTCAGAAAAATCTAAAATCTAAAAATCAAGCCTAATATAAAGACAGTAGACTGAGAGAGAGAGAGAGAGTGAAGTGTCACTACCATTAATTAATTAGCCTCTCTCTCTTTGTCACTCGTGTTTAGTTAGTCGCAATGAAGAAGAATGATCTCGAGAGGGCAAACCTTATGGTATCTTATCCTCTGTTTTCATGGTTTCTTCTCTGCTTACTAACAGCGACAACAGCTGTTTCAGTTCAGCCAACGTGTAGTTTCCCGGCGATATACAACTTCGGAGATTCTAATTCCGACACCGGAGGAATCTCCGCCGCTTTCGAGCCCATCAGAGCTCCGTACGGTCAAGGCTTCTTCCACAAACCCGCCGGACGAGACTCTGACGGTCGTCTCACCATTGATTTCATAGGTAAAAAAAAAACAGAGCTTTGTATACTAAACTTTGATTCAGTGATCTCATAAGCTTTTGATTTCTGTTGGTGGTTTGCAGCTGAGCGTGTGGGTCTACCGTATTTGAGCGCATACCTTAACTCGTTAGGATCAAACTTCAGACATGGAGCAAACTTTGCGACAGGTGGCTCAACCATCAGAAGACAGAACGAAACCATCTTTCAGTATGGGATTAGCCCATTCTCTCTCGATATGCAGATTGCTCAATTTAATCAATTTAAAGCAAGATCTGCACAACTCTTCACACAAAGTCAGTTACTTTCTTACTTCTTCATTTGTTAATCTTCAACTTGTCTGCGTCATGATGATTTTGACATGTCTTGTTGGTGTTTCTGCTTTGCAATAACAGTGAAGATAAGATCTGACAGAGAGAAGCTTCCAAGACAGGAAGAGTTTCCAAAGGCTTTGTATACTTTTGATATCGGACAGAATGATCTCTCTGTTGGGTTTCGTACAATGAGGTTCGATCAACTTAAGGCGACGATACCAGACATTGTGAGCCATTTAGCTTCTGCTGTCCGGGTGAGATTTGATTACGGTCCATGTTCTAATGTTCTCTTCAGCTATGATGCTCCTAACTTACACTACATGATTGTTTCACAGAACATATATGAGCAAGGAGGAAGAACATTTTGGGTACACAACACAGGTCCTTTCGGTTGTTTACCGGTGAACATGTTCTACATGGGCACTCCTGCGCCGGGCTACTTGGACAGAGCTGGCTGCGTCAAGGCTCAGAACGAAATGGCCATGGAGTTCAACAGAAAGCTCAAGGAAACAGTCATCAGTCTCAGGAGAGAACTCACCAAAGCAGCCATCACTTACGTTGATGTCTACTCTGCCAAATACGAAATGATGAGCAACCCCAAGAAACTAGGTTCGCAGTAAATTTGTGTGATAGTGCCTATTTTTGTAGAAAGTTTTGAACTTTGATAATTGGTTTTGCAGGATTTGCAAACCCATTGAAGCCATGTTGTGGCTACCATGAGAAGTATGACCATATCTGGTGCGGGAACAAAGGGAAAGTGAACAATACCGAGATCTACGGCGGATCATGTCGCAGCCCGGCAGAGGCAGTGAGCTGGGATGGAGTTCATTATACCGAAGCTGCAAGCAAGTACGTGGCTGACCGTACTCTCGGTGGTTTGCTCACAGACCCTCCAGTTCCAATAACCCGAGCTTGTTATAGACAGTGAGATTGTGTAAAAAAGCTTGATGAACCAAAAAATAAGCGTTTATAAGGAACGTATCAATGAATTAATGTAAGCCATTGTAATCTTTAAGAGTTGTTTCTATGCAAGCGTCTAGCAAAGCGGAAGTAGATCTGTTCTAGAAGTAGTTTTTAGTGATTGCTGCTTCTAACTCGTTGAATTCCCAAGCATCGTTAGCAGAATATTCACCTGAAGAAAAAATTGTAGAGTAAATCAAGCTTTTGAATGGTTCTGAAGAAAACTAAACTGATTAAAGCTGACTTATGAAAGAACGTACCGATTGAATCTCGCCGCAGAGCAGTGAGGTGAGCACAACTGCAAGCGAAAAGGGAACAATGATATTTAGTAGAGATTTCACCTTTTTGGATCTTGTTATAATCAAAGGTGAAAAAACAAAAGTTATCACCTTCCAAGAGATTTAGCAAGATCTGCACAGAGGGATCTTATGTATGTACCCTTGGAGCATACAACCCGGAAAATCAGATTTTGTCTGCAAAAAGAGATCTTTAGTGAGACCCAACCAAAAACGTTGCTTTCAAATTTGCTCATGCTCTGTAACAGAAAATGGATAAAAACCTGTCATCTAAGCTGCGTTCAATGTCAAACTGGAAAATTGAGATTCGTCTTGGAGCAAGTTCAACGGTTTCTCCTCTTCTTGCCTTGTCGTACATCTTCTCACCTCCAACCTGGACATAAATTACAGTTCTAAAGCTAGAAAAAAGAATGTCATCCACGATAAGGCACAGTTTAAGATTGAACAATGCTTACTTTTATAGCAGAGAACATGGGTGGAACTTGCCATATTTCTCCAAGAAATGATGTCAAAGCTTTCTTAATGTCATCGTCTTTAATATGCTCCCAAGGCTCTCGCTGAATCACCTGGAGCAATAGTACCGTTGAGTAAACTCTATCTAACGCAGAAATGAAACATGAAATCAAGGAAAAGGAGCCGTTGAAAGTACAGGAGAGTCGGCGTCTAAAGTGGAAGTGGCTTCACCAAGACGGAAAACGCCGCTATAACCTTTGATCATACCTTGGTAGCTGCAGCCAAATACAGAGGACTTTTATGTGTTTTCTTTCTGTAACTCCATGGACAAAACATTGGATTAAGGACTAACAAACCTGTCAACCACCTTAGTGGCTTTCCCAACGCAGACGATTAATAAACCAGTAGCCATGGGATCAAGTGTTCCAGCATGACCAACCTGAGATATACTTCATCAGCTAGTTGCGGCAAAAAAAACAACAATTTCAAGTCTTGAATCTAAACACGAACCTTTTTCACTTTCACTAATCTTCGTAGCTTCCCACACACAGTGAAGGAAGTCCATCCTGAGGGCAATACCATAATCAAACCACACAACATTTCAAAATGCAAAAGAAAGAGAGGGAGAGATTACACAAACTGGTCTCACCTTTTGGTTTGTTCACCAAAACCACAGTGCCGTTAGGACCATCCCATCTAGGAGGAAGCTCACCGTTTCTCGTCACAAGAAAAGGCTCTCCATCACCACCACTAGCCACACCTTTCTCATTGGGTGATTTCGTCAAACACTTGAAAAACTCTTCCACTTTCTTCTCACTCACAACCTCCTCCGGCTTCTTCTCCTTCTGCTTTTCCTTCGCTTCATCGAAAAACACCAGCTTGTCATCCTCATCCTCATCACAGTTCTCAGTACCAATTCGTTTAACCTCGTTTCTCTTTCCTGCTTTCTTCTTCCCTCTCACTTTCCCGGAATCATCATCGACCTTGGAAGTTTCTCCAGGTTGCAGAAACGCCTTATCTAAGCATTGATCCGGGAAAAACTTCTTCTCCAGCTGATACACCATCTTATAATGCTTGTCTTTCTCCCATGGATACGCAAATGTATCGTAGAAATACAATTCCTCTTCTCTCTGATGCAACCTATCGAATTCCACAACTTCAGGTTTCAATTCCACGAATCCTTCATCGGATTTTCGGCTCTCGTCCTCGGAATCGGACCCGTATAGCCTCTTCCTCCGTTTACTGTAGTACTTCCTCTTCGCCTTATCCATTTCCGGATCTCCGGAACCGGGTCGACCCTGTTCACGCTCCAATGCCAGTTTGTTATCGACCCACGAATCGAAATCAGGCTCGGCTGGGTCAGGCGAACCGGATTCGATGGCTCGGGGAGGTCGACGGCGGTTCTGAGAGAGAGAAGACTGTGTGGGGCGATTGATGATCATGTCGTATTGGAGTGGGTACGGCGTGGACTTGGTGGAGAGGAAAAGCGAAGAAGTTAAGAAGGGTTTATGGAGGTTTCTCGGTTTGAGTGAGAAGAAGAAGTGAGAAGTCATAGCCATTCTTGCTGAAGAAGACATTAGTCTGGTGAAGTGTAGAGATTTCGCCATTAATGAGAGCACGGATAGATATAGGAGGCGGGCGAAATATCAAATCTACCTCCGGCGATTGATTATCGCAGTGCATCCCCACGGAGATGATGATGATGATGCTGTCGAGTGATGAATGAAACGACACGATGTTTTCTCCTAAAGCTCTGAGACGGCACGTTCTCGGTTTGGCTTCAGTAAATTGTTTGACTTGGCGATTGACTTATTCAGTTGGAGCCAATTATTCGGTTTAGTACTCAATTGAACCATACAATAATACCCATTTTTCGATTTATTTATGTTTTCGCTTCAATAATTTTAGGGACACTAGCGAAATCGATGAAATGTTGGAATCGGTTTACAAAAATAGTCCCAAAGGCCAACTGAAGAATGAAGATGAGCAAAAATATATAAATGGGGCCTTACCTTTTGAATATATGGATGGGCTTCATGAATATGACCCTAATTACTCGAATGGAGGGAGATTGTGTTTTGTTTAATCTCATAAACCGAATCGAAACGAAAAACTAGTCCGAGTTAAATATTAATGTGAAATAACAAATTTTATTTTACTTTCCTGGTTAAGTGGTTATCACTCAATACAAAACAAAACCGAACCGAACTATTCCAACTAGGTGAACCGAGTAGTCACATAATATTAGAGAACATATAGTTTACATATTTCTCACATGTCTATCCTATGGTTCAAAACATGTTATGAATAAAATATTAGAGCTTCGAATGATTTCGCAACCAATTGGCTCTAACTCGATACGAGTAATTTTAAGTAAGCACAAAGGACAAAAGATTTGAAAAACCGTCAAAGGGACAAAACATGTTACTACAAAATTGGTGGGTGTGGTCGTTTGAAAAGAAACTGATGGACCAGGTTCTACTCCACGTCAACGCGTGTTTTGTAAACTGTGGTCGATACAATATGAATTGATGTGTATAGCGAATTAGCGATTACGTATTAGTATGAAGAGGGTTGGGTATCTAATCTAATTTGTTGGGTCAACTAACAACACTCTATTCGAGTCTAGGTCCAAAGTTGTTGGATCCACGGTTCCTTTTATTTTTAACCCTAACAATGTTTTGGATAATTCGTTTTTTTCATAGCTATATATCTTATTATATAAATAATGTGTATGGTGTTTGATGAGAAATTTCGTATAACATTCCTCCTTTTCTTGCTTGTTCCTCGATATTTATATACCACGCTTTTCGATTATTTGGGTTGACTAGTTTTCGGGGTTGAAAAGTTGAAACAATCAGGAAACAAACAATAAACACGTACTAGTATTTAATCATGCATAGTCAAATTTCGAAAAGATATAATCAAATTTCAATGCGCAGTCATCTATATATATTCCAATATTAGATTTCTAAATAGTTGAGAAAATATTACCATAATTAGTTATATATATTTTTTTCCATGATGAAAAGGAGAGGAAATTGTAAAGAGATAAGATACAAAAGTCCATATAAACGTAGTTTGCATGCAGAAGTAAGGAAGTAAAAGGTTGTCATCCTTATCATTTTAGTTTTTTTTTTTAGTATTTGAAATGCTAATAATATTATTTTTTTTTATGTATTTGAACTTAGTATAATTTTTGAAGAGAATAAAAATTTAATAGCACGCACATTCTGGTGGACAAGAACATATCATTTCGTGATACTCACGACTCAAGTCTTCCAGAGCTTTGGGTTTCCATAATGACCGGTTCTGAGTGTTTTCAACTTGTGCTTGCTTGTAAATTAATTATTTGCCACAAGACAGAACTAAATTAGAACGAGTTATATTGGTGGAATAAGTGGCGTATATAACGTTTTATCATAGTTTCCTAGTTATTATTGGTAACACATGTCAATATGTCATAATCTTGAAAGATAACGAAAAAAATGTATAGTAACCCGATAGAACCAGTAAACAAACAATCAAAAGTTGAATCCTAAAACTATACTTTTCTGTTCGAGTTTAGGTTACCTAGCTATTTATTTAAACTTACTTATAATATAGTTTAACCTTTCTCGTGTTTAATTATGTGATCACGATTTCAATCGTTTGAATAGTTTTTTATAAAAGTGTTTTATAGACTGAGTCTGAAAAAAACAAGGTTTAGGGTGGTAATTCCGTCTTCAATTATATGCGTCAAGATCAAGAATCAAGATAGTACTACTTGCTCACTTGGAACATGTAACATTGACTAAGTTGAATTGCGGAGACGAAGACCTAGCTAGTTCAAGTTACTGTTTATTATTGTTTGACATTGCAAGTAATCATATACAATAAAGTATATTCCCAACATAAATAGAAATCAAATGGCTGTTCGTATAATATTCTACAAAAGAGGCTCTATTTATCTATGATATATATATTTTTAAAATTTAAAGATTACCGGGAGCATGTGATATTGACGAAAACCAAGCTAATATTTTTCGATATATACCAAGCAAATATTTATACTATTCGATATATACCAAGTAGTATACAATCCTAGCTTGTAATTATCACGAGAAAAACAAAATTAACTCTCAATTTAAGTATTTACCACAGCTAAAGAGATGTAAAAAGCAATGAAATATTTTGGATAGGATTGAAATTCTTTCCTCGTATAACCTTGAAAACACCACAACACTTGCCAAGTACGGGATTGCCTAAAATGACTGAATCCAATCTCTAAACTAAATTTTCAAACTTTTTTATTTGGAAAATCAGATTATGTACTTGGTAGGCATTTCATTGACAGATCAGCAGGGAAAAAAGTTACTGACCGTAGGATCAGTGTCCAGAGACCCGCTTATAGAAACATCCGAGGGATGAAATTATTCCTCTTGTAATAATATTTTCTCTACTTTTGTTTAAAGCTGATAAAATATACTTTCCCTTGATTAATGTCAACAAATTAAATTAATTCCAGCAGTTTTGTGAATATATATAAGCCAAAAAGCATCAAACGGCTATAATTGGCGTTACAGTTTTCCTAAGACGAGAGGGATTAGATTATTAGAGAGTGTTTTATTTTATTTTCCCGGATATATATTTATGCTCCGAGACTTCTCTGATTTTTCTGCTTAATATTTTGTTGGTTTTTATTTTTATCTGTTCTGAGTTTCTGAGAAATTTTGATCTGTCGGGCTTCGATATCCTTCTTCGCCAAATTTCTCAGAGAAACCTCCTTTTTCTCTTCTTCTGGGTAATCATGTCCGATGGATACTATAGTTCTAAGAAGACGGACGATATCTGCGAAGACGTTTGTGGTCAGGTGAGTTCCGAGTCCTAATTTCTCCCAACTTCTGCTCTAATTCCTTATCGATTTCGTGATGAATCGGGTTTCGGTTTTCCTTCGTTTCCTTGTTTGGCATTTAGGAAATCCGAGATTCTGATAACCCAGTTTTTTGTTTTGAAATCGGAGTGAGAATTGGTGGTAATGCGGTTTTCGTTTTCCGATTCTGATTACATGTTCATCGTCATAGGGTTCGTTGCTCTCAATCTTATCTAATCGTTGGATTTAAGAATCGAATTACGATTAGATGATTCCTCGATTGTTTTTGTTTGTTTTTGTTTTAGTCGAAACGTATGAAGAATTTGAAGCGAATGTCTAATGTAACTCTTTCTCTCCCAAATTTCACAAACAATTCTAGGTTTTGCTTTGTGATAATCCCAAAGCATATTGGTTTTAGAATTCTGATTTTGTTTTAGGGTTAGAAGGATTTGTGCTATTGTTATCTCGAATTGGATTCGAAGTCGTCTCCTTTAACATTATCAAACTGTTTAATTGCTCTAATTCTCTGATTCTATGTGAAAAATTCTGAGTTTTTCTTCCTCTGGGATTGGTTTATGTGTGTTGCAGGATGGTTCTCGAGCAGCAAAGGCCTTTTCAAGGGTTAGATGCGTACTACGCGGATTCGATTTCAAGACATACATCTTCTTCTTCACCATCGTGCCCATCTTCATCTTCGGAGTCTACTTGCACGGCCAGAAGCTCACATACTTCCTGAGACCGCTTTGGGAATCTCCTCCCAAACCGTTCCAAACGCTTCCCCATTACTATCACGAGAACGCCTCCATGGAAACGCTCTGCAGCCTCCACGGCTGGAAACACCGCGAGTCTCCGAGACGGGTCTTCGACGCCGTCTTGTTCAGCAACGAAGTCGACATGCTCACAATCCGGTGGAAAGAGCTGTACCCTTACATTACACAGTTTGTGATCCTCGAATCGAACTCGACCTTCACCGGTTTGCCTAAACCGTTGGTTTTCGCCGGGAACCGGGACAAGTTCAAGTTCGTGGAGCCGAGGCTGACGTACGGGAACATCGGAGGGAGATTCAAGCGAGGAGAGAACCCGTTCGTGGAAGAAGCGTACCAGAGGATTGCGTTGGATCAGCTGATCAGGCTCGCCGGTATCGAAGAAGACGATCTGCTGATAATGTCCGATGTCGACGAGATTCCGAGCGCTCACACCATCAATCTCCTTAGATGGTGCGATGGATATCCGCCGATTCTTCATCTCCAGCTGAAGAACTACTTGTACTCGTTCGAGTACTTCGTCGACAACAAGAGCTGGAGAGCTTCGGTTCATCGGTACAAGCCCGGTCAGACCAGGTACGCTCATTTCCGTCAAGGCAACACTCTGTTGGCGGATTCCGGCTGGCATTGCAGTTTCTGTTTCAGGCACATTAGCGAGTTTGTGTTCAAGATGAAGGCGTACAGTCACAACGACCGTGTCAGGTTCTCTCACTACCTGAATCCGAAGAGGATACAGGATGTGATTTGCAGAGGGACTGATCTGTTCGATATGCTTCCTGAAGAGTATACGTTTAGGGAAATCATCGGGAAGCTAGGTCCGATCCCGAGGTCTTACTCGGCTGTTCATCTTCCGGCGCATCTGATTGAGAAAGCTGAGAGTTACAAGTACTTGTTACCTGGGAACTGCATACGGGAAAGTGGCTGATAAGGGTTTGTGCTTATCAGGTCTTTTGTAGTTGTTTAGGAGGGAAAACGGCGAGTGTTGAAACAGAGGATGGTACAGTTTTATTGGGTCTTGGGAGGAGAGGGATCTGATGATAAGTGGAGTCTCTGGTCATCATCTCTCGTGAGGGTATATAACCTTGTCTGCTTATAAATCATACACTGACCAATGTGTTTCCCATGTTGTTTTTGGGAAGTTTTGCTTGGAATAGTCTCTCTTTTCTCTTTCTCTCTATCTCTCTCTCTTTATCTTTTCAGACTCTCTCTCTCTCTCTCGCTTTTTTAGTCTGTACAATTAATTTATTAGAGATTCATTTACATTATCCTTGAGATTCTTTGTAATCTTTATTTTTTTAAATTCCTAATTTGATCTCCTCTTGATTGGCTTGTTGGTTCATTTTAGACTTGTAGCCTATTTTCTTCCTCGTTATGATGTCGTCACTGGAAATTCCAATCAATAACAAAATTTAATACGTTTGAGATTGATCCGCAGCCACTTTCAAGACTGAGTCAAAAAAATTTATGGACAAATAGAAACAACCTTGCTTGGAAACAGATGTTGAAATATGGACAACAACTATGTCTTTTCTATATGTTGGGACTAAACCAGATTACGAAACTGTATCCAAATCGGAGAGCCGGAGACACAATTCGTAAGTAGAGTACGGAAGTTTCGATTATTGAACCAACAATTCACTCCTTGGATTATTATCATTGTTTCAGATTGTATCGTAATTGATCCACGCAAACTGGTTTTCTAAGGTTTTTGTTTGTATGTGAACTAATTAATATGAAAATTCTTGATATTTGTTAATTTTGCTTCAGCATCTCTTTCCCAGTGTTGCTTCCGTAGTGTTAAAATGAATTGCAATTGTGTATTTTAGTTGATTTGGAAATCTATATAGGATTTAGAAATCCATGTGAAATTTATTGTTAACATCTAACATGTAACTTTCAGTTAATGTTCATTTTTTACCTTTGTTAACTTGTTATTCTTTGGATTTAAAAACTTTGTATTTTAACTTGTAAATATGTTCAAAACTATTTAAAATATACTGCATAATCAAATCGACATATAAATTCCTAATATTGAACTCCACTTGATTAAAATTAGTATTTAAATTCATAGAAACAATAACATAGAATTTTAATAAGGATTATAAATGGTTGATGATCCAAATACAAATTAAATTATGAAAAAAATGAAGGAAACAAAACCCATGTAGATCAAAAAAAATTCTAACACGTAATTTACGCATACCAATAAAAAAAGAAGGAAAACATGTTGTTAACTTAGCCGAAAATCAAAACCCTAAACATCGAGATCACGAAAACGACGAGACGGAGAATGAACAAAGTCAGTGACGGGTCGGGCCTGATCCAATAGGTAGGAGTTAAGAAAGAAACCTAGAAAGAGCAAGGCAGCGAAGACGGAGTAAGCCGGCTGAACAGGTCGCAGGTAACCCAAAACGCCACTTAAACAAGACCAGAAAGCAGTGAAGACAACATGTTGGATGTAAACATCTTGAGCCGGCCAATTGAGTTGCTTGACCGCTATGCCTCCAGTCAACACCCCAAACATGTAAATACCAAACTGTACCGATTGGATTTCACGCGACTGCATGAACATAATGATCATAAAAGAGGCGGTGATGCACGCCCACGTCTCTTCTCCCATCCGGCGACTATCGTTATTAATTTTCGGAACTGGAAGGCAAAATGACCTCACGACCAGAATAGCGTAAGACAAGAATATTGCTGCAAGAGAAATCAGGATTCCGAAATCTTCCCAAGGAGGCATCGACCACAGTTGTACGAGCACCGCCGTTAAACAGCCGAGAGATGATGATGTGGCCATCCCGTAGCATATAGACCGTGTTTTCCAACAGTTCACTCCTTGGATTATTCCCATTGTTTCAGATTCTCTCATGATTCTACTGGTTTCTAAGGTTTTTGTTTGTAGGTTTGAACTAATTAATTTCGAAACTCTCTCTCTACTAAACAGCCTCTCTAGTCATGCTATCTTATTATATATCGACATTGCCTGCTCCTAATAGATCCGGGAATAGAGGAAGGTTGTTTCCTAACTCCTCTAAGAATTTCCTAAGATATTGGGCCTCCCCGTAGTATACCATTCGAAGCCCATTAAAAATGGACGGTTTCATCGGAGAGAACTCTAAAACTTCATCTCATTTCAGGCTCAGTAACTTGGGTTAGTTCAGTTTCAGTGCGACGAGATATAGATTTCGGAATGAAATAAAACAAGAACTAGACGGGATGAGACGGAATAGACAGCATCGGAATTAATGGGAAGGGAGATGAAATTTATTTACCTCTTATTATATTAAATGATGAGAGGAAACAAAAATGAATAATGGGGGATGAGGATGAGATAGGACGAGACGGGAATTTGACTTGCCCCCTGTTTATAGGACAAGAATAAACGGGAAGACCAAGATGCGATAGAAAGAAACATAATGACATATGATGAGACTAGACGGAATAGATAGGACGGACAAGATGAGATGAAAAGAAACAAAATGGGACAAAATAAAAAATAACGGAATATGACATAATGAGACGGGAACGTTACGAGAATTTCGCCTAATATAATGAGACGGAACATTACGAGACTTTCGCCTATCTTTAATTATATTCAGGTATAGGACATAAAGTAACATAAGGAACATGATAGAACAAGACAAAACATGAAGGAACAGAATATGATAAGATGGGATTGCACAGGACGGACGGGACGAGAAAAAACATACATGATGAAAATGAACTAAATAGGACAAGATTAGATAGGACGGTACAAGAATTTTGTCTAACCCTAGTTATATTTAATAAGTATGTGTATAACATTTTTGAAACAATAATAAACTATAAATATATTAATTTTTGAAAAAAACAATAAAATTAACACAATAATATAACTCATAGTAACATTAAATTGCTGCTAAACTGTTGTATAAACGAAATCAATTATAAATGAGCATCTTTTCAAATCATTGTAAAACAATTATACATATGAATCATCTACAAACATAAATTAGAGTTGCTGTAGCCAAAGCCATTAAGGCTACATATCTGGTCAGCCAAATCTTCATGCCTTCGTGTATCAACGTCATTCCCGCTAGTATAAGCAACGCAATGATGAAGTTGCTTGACCTGATGTTGTAGCCTTGTATCCTAATAAGATAGTGTACTTGAACCGTTAGCGTCCCCACGCCGAGAGTGAATGCGTAGTCACCGGCAAAGATCGTTACACCGTAGATCCAAAGAAGGAAAGCGACGGAGACAATGCTTATAAAAGCTTTGATCACACCGTTTGGTCTTCTTGCCGTGTAGAACACTCGATCGCTGGACCATGTCCCAAAGGTTATGACGGCCGTGAAGGCCACATACAACGTGAGTGCAAATATTATCGGCGCTTGCAACCATGGGTCGATGTATCGGAACTTTTGAGATGCGCAAATCACCGAAACCCCAAAACCGGCCATGAAAGTTGTAATCACCGGGTTAATCAACCGCAAAGTTTGGTTGCCCAGATCACGCAATCCCTCCATCCACCTCGTCATCGGGTGTTGGTCATGGCGGACTGTAAAATGTTGCATTGAGGCCATCCTGAAAACGTAAAAAACGTTAACATAGTTTTTTTTACCAAATTCGGTATGCACATATATAATATAATTTGTAAGACGATACCAAACGAAAGATTCCGAGAAACTTACCGGAAAATCCCGCCACCGGTTGATGTAAGTTACTCGTTCGTTCGACTCGACTTAGTACTTTCTGTTAACACAGCAGAAAAAGATACAACACTAATGTTATTCCCCTACCCATTCAAGAAAGACGATACTAAAACTAAATATATAACCCATTCAAGAAAGACGATATACCAAACTAAAGACTCCGCAAAACTTACCGGAAAAATCCCTCCACCGAATTTATGGATCTGATGACTCGGCTCGTTCGTTCGACTCGACTTCACACTCTGAAACTATGTTCTCTACAGCAAATCTTGATGTTGCGTTCCTTAGAGACTCGATCGAGTACTTTCTTTTCTTCTCGGAGCGTCTTCTACGATAACAAGTTAACAACAGACTAATGTCATTCTAATACCCATTCAAGAAAGACGATATACCAAACTAAAGACTCCGCAAAACTTACCGGAAAAATCCCGCCTCGGACGACGGTTGATGTAACTTATGGGTCTGACTCGGCTCGTTCGTTCGACTCGACTTCCGTTGTTTCTTCTCTGACTGGGTTTGTTCGTTCCACCTTTACGAAGAACTGAATAGTTTATCGCGCGATGTGGAAGAATGGTGAGAAAGATTAGCGCTTAATGAAGACGTTAATGCCTTTAACCCTTTTATAATTTCGGATAAATCAAATTAAATAGCTGTTATACGGAGATTACCAAGATAATAATTAAATTTTCATATAGAACCGAACCGGACCTGACCGGAACCAATTCAATTCAATTCAAGTTTCTCAAAGATTTTTCTAATTACAGGAGGATTTTTCTTAAGTTCTCACGTCAAAGTGATCAGGGAGAGTCCCTAAATCTGCCATTTCAAAATCTGAAACTAAAAAGTATGCAGATCCCATCTCGAAATTCCCATAATTAGGCTCATCTTTTACAAGGGATGACGAAACTTCAACTTTCTTGCACACCAAGTTATCTCCAGTAACATGGAAATTATCTGTCACTTGAACTCTTTTCTCTGATGTTGAACCCAACGAAGCTTCTGGAGTGTTCTCTAGCCCCTGTTTTACACGTAGACTATTATCATGGACGAAAAACATCAAGAATACATGAAGAGAACTGAACAAACCTGAACAAATGAATCAAGAACCATCGTAGTATCACCACCACAATTTGTTTCATCCTCATTAACACAAATATGATCAGGTCTAGGTTGTCCACAAGTAAACGTTTTCGGCGTTGTTAGGCCAAGTCCAACCCCATAGTCGAGAAGAAGAAGAAGAAGAAGGTTAAACCGCTATGAGATGTCAACCACTCATACAACAACAACAACATGGTTTCGAAAATTGAACGAATTGAGAAGAAGAAGATCAAGTGATTGTAAAAAGATGAAAAATAGACATGATTTATCAAGAGAATCCGAACAAAATAAACCAAATGCTTGCTCTATTCGATAACATAACCAGAAGTGGCTTTATCAATTTATATTCATGCGTTTGGCTTTGTTCCTGCAGTGTCTACTTCTCTGGATTTTCTTTTTGGAAAACGTCATTATGGAATCCTTATTTTGGCGTTTGAAATCCATTCAGAAAATTCCATAAACTGTCTTCAGAAGCAAACTGCAAAAATCGGCAAAAGATGTGAGTTTCAAGTTTCTCAAAGATTTTTCTAAATATAGAAGGATTTTTCTTAAGTTCTCACGTCAAAGTGATCAGGGAGAGTCCCTAGATCTGCCATTTCAAAATCTGAAACTAAAAAGTGTCCAGACCCCATCTCGAAATTCCCATAATTAGGCTCCTCTTCTACAAGGGAAGACGAAACTTTAACTTTCTTGCACCCCAAGTTATCTTCAGTTACATTGAAATTATCTGCTACTTGAACTCTTTTCTCTGATGTTGAACCAAACGAAGCTTCTGGAGTGTTTTCTAGCCCCTGATTTACCAGAAAACGTAAACTATTTATCATGGACGATTAACATCAAGAATACATGAAGAGAAATGAACAAACCTGAACAGATGAATCAAGAACCATCGTAGCATCACCACCACAAGCTGTTTCATCCTCATTAACACAAATCTCAGATCTAGGCTGTCCACAAGTAAACGTTTTCGGCGTTAGGCCAACTCCAACCCCAAAGCACTCACTCTCATCTGTATCTTTCTCCCATTGCTTTGGCTGCTGATAAGTGATCTTAGAAACAACAAAGCTTCCAATCTCGCCTTCGTCTGTTCCCAAGTGGTATTGGTGCAGAACCCAGTTGGATTTCTCAGGTTTTAATCCCTTTCTCCCATTCTTGTAGAGCACCAAGATCTTCTTGCATCCCTTCTGGATTCCATTGATCATCACGGGTTTGGTTTGACCAGTTTTGTGCCAGCGAACCGATTCATCTTTTAGACCAGTTGGTGTGATCTTTCTCCTCTTTCTATTCCCCTTTTGATATGCATGCGTCGTCTTGTTAAAGAAGAAGACACTAATTCCATCCTTATTCACACCTGCAAAAACATTATAATGAGTGATTTTAATCTCTCAATTAACAACTTGAAACGTAAAGATTAACAGAGGATTTTTCTTAATATAATTACCTGGAAGGTTTTGAGGATGAGTATAGTTGATGCCAACATCTCCAGTGACTGAGCATATATAGTCATCGATAAAAGGATGTGGTTTTAAGCCATCAATCCCACACTTGGCTTCCAAATGCCCGATAACTTCCTCATCGGTTGGCTCGAATTTCACACCTTTAGGAAGACCTGGCCATGGAGACTGTGCCTGATAAACCAAAACCCAACTCAGTATTCAAATAAAACATAAACATAAGCTGCTGTTGTTACATGCATGTGTTGAAAATATGTTCTTCACATTGTTGTTGTAGATGCGGTAATAGCAGTTAGGGCAGTTGATGTAAGCTCCACAGTCTTTAGTCTGCAAAGCTGAGCACACAGAGGCATTCTTTACATTCCTAGCAATCCATGGACCATCCACAATCCAAGCACTGCATGTAAAGAGTTTTCATAGTTTTAGTGACAAGAGCAAAGCCATGTAAAAGTTATTAACATCTCTACTTGTTCGAACAAGATCGAAAAACAGGTTCATTGTACTAGATTCAAACATCTCTTGTCGGAAGCAAAATAGAGCTTTTTACAGATTATTAAGCTGAAAACAGAGGAATACAATAATGCCGAAATAGAAGAAGGGTAGGTGAAAATTTGGAAACATAATAGTCCAGCTAAAGAAAAAGTTCAATCTTTTCAAGAGTTTGGAACTAAGATGAGACCTTTCTTGAGCTTAATAATTACAGGAAACAATGGGTATCACAATCGTATAGAGTTACTGAAATCAGCTTAGAGATTTGAGTGAATTTTATATATATCAACAAAATCTGAGCTTTTAACAGATCTTGACATTGGGATTCTAGGGCTTTCAAGCTTACCTCTCCATAACCTACCAAGACAAAGAACAACCGAGAGAGAGAGAGAGTGTTAAACAGAAATATCCTAGGAGATCTTGCAATCTAGAGAGAGAGAGAGAGAAAGATTTATCCTCTAGGCTAAGCAAAATGGATTTGAGAGAGAAAGAGCAGGGATTTGGAGAGAGAGAGAGAGATGTATATACGTGTGTCGATGAGCGGGAATGGACTTTATGAGAGGTTCGTTTACTTCCGAACCTAAGCTTCGAGGAAAGCTTCTTTAGAACACAACTAGCAGACGTCAGGCTCGGAGAAATAACTTAGCTTGACTAGTGTTTGGTTCGGATAACGAACCTGAGATTTGTAAGGTTCTATGAAACTTCGAAGCACTGGAGAGCTTCGGAAGTCGAGCTGGATGGATATTCGTAAATAAGTGGTTTTCGTAGGGCCAGACTATCTTGATCACCAAGCCAAGATAGTTACGGTTTAACCTTTAACCTTTTTTTACCCGTTATGTTGTTTTCTACAGATTATAGAAAGAGTAAATACAGTACAAGAGAGTGCCATGAAATTTGATTAGTTAAGTGACAAAATTTAAAACTAAAAAGAGTAAAGAGTACACTCACTCACATTGACTTGCTTAGAGTTAAAACCAAATATTTCGGACACGATTTCCAAAACGCGCAGGTATGTTGATCCATTTGTATCCTTTTTTACCAACAAGGCAACAATATAGTCATATCTATTTATAGATACGATTTGATCATTACAACTATTTTTTTATTTTTTTAAATAGATAACTAAATGGTCACATCATTTTATCTCAGTTTATTTTTTTCTTAGCAAATTTTGTACTCATCTATATCTATGTTTTTTTTTTAACTGTAGTATTTCATTTATAAAAAATAATAATAATAGTTGGTAAATAAATGATTACATTATCTTATCTCAGTCCATATATTTTCTAGGATTATAAACGTCTAATTATTCTTAAACTTCATTTCACTATGATAAAAAAATGAAATAGAACTTCAAACAATAAGATATGATCGTTTATTTAATATTTAGAGCAAATTTGTTATTATATTAATTTTCTCTTTGTATTAAAATTATGATTGGGGGATCAGCTGATGATTTTTTTTTTCAATGAATTTATTTTCTTGAAAGAAACCCACTTCAAAATATAATTATTCAAGTCATTTTCTAATCACACCTTGAACTTTGTACTACATAAATTTTGAATTTTTTTTCTTGGGTTTATTATATTTTAGATTGAGAAAGCAGGGGAAAAAAAAACAGAGAAAATTAAATAGATGTAAATTTTGTAAGAAATAAAATCATACGTATGAATTATTTGGATTGGACTTTACCTGTTTACATTAAAGATTTATCTGCTTATATATAAATAAATAAATACTGCGTCTGTAACGCAAACATTGTAATTAGAATTTGCCATATACAACAACTAACAAAAATGTCGTTGTAGTATAGTGGTAAGTATTCCCGCCTGTCACGCGGGTGACCCGGGTTCGATCCCCGGCAACGGCGATTTATTTTTTAACCAATTCAATAATTTACTTGTACCTTTTTTTTTTTGGAAATCAAATAGTACAACGTGACTGAGTGAGTACTCAAAAGGGCCTATATCCTAATCCAATTTGTTCGTTACAGAAGAGCATGTATAAGTATCAGTTTATTTCAAAAAAGAAAAGGGGAAGTGCGAATGGAAATGGAATGACGAAGAAGAAGAGAGAACTAAAGTCACATTTCCGGTTAACCTGACCCGACAGTAAATATCCCATGATATAGGAATAAGAACCTTGAGTGACTAATAAGACAATTCAGAAAAGAAGTCAAAATGTTCCATGAAGAAGAGTAGAAGACGACTCAATATAAGACTTGATGTTTCCGGGTAAAGCCGTACACAAAACACTACATATTGCCAGTCTCTCAGTGTGTCAGTCAGAAACATTATCAGATTTGTTTAGGCATCATAGCTCTATCCATGAAGACGATTAAATTATAAGACTGATTATGTTGTCAGTCAAGTCTGGTTTTATATGTTAAATCTGTAGTGATGATGATGACCTCAGTGATCCCCGTAAAGAACCTTACGTGGATCGAGCTGGCCGCTGCAGTAGCTTGATGATACTATAGAGAGCTCTTGCCTGCCTTTCCACTCTTCACGTGGTTTCAACAAAATCGGGGCTTCTATAGCACCCGAGTCTACACACAGCATCGTTGTGTAGTCCTCATCTCCCATATCTCCAATACTCTTGGCCTTCTTGTCCCAAGGGTTCCACACAACTGCTCACACCAAACAAGATACCATCAAATCCATTAGAATCAAACTTCACATTTCACAAATATGTCTGCTTAATGATTATTGTTAAGGAAAATCTCTACACGCACCTGCATTTGGCATGCCTTCCTTTCGCAACTCGATCGTTCTCTTCTTCTCGTGATCTATGATTGCAATCTTTGTTGGTGCGTTCAAGTACACTCTATCAATCTGCATAGGAACGCACACAGTACGTTGAGATTCTGTTTGTTTGAGCGGGAAAACAATGGAATGGATGAGGATCACATTCACATACCTCACCGTCGAAGGTAATTGCATCTGCCTGCTCCGTGAATCTTTCTCTGCGCCTCAAGTTGTCCAGATAATCAAGTGTCTCCAAACCTTCAACCCGAACTTCACTGCAACATTTTGATGTTACTTAGACAAAAGAGTTTCTAAAAGGGTCTATTATCCAACTCCAAGACAACAACAAGAGCGACATACCTTATGTCAGATACATATAAGTAGTTACGAAGTGAGAACATAAAGGAGAAGGCCTTGGGGTCGGTGTTCCTCACACGCGGGATTATAGTCAGTTTGCCAGGACTGATAGTTATGCGAAGACGAAGTTCGAAGCTGCAACAGAGCAAGCAACAATATATTGAGCCAAGAGACGATTGACACTGAAATGGACTAACAGAAATATAGCAACTGAGCACAACCTATGAGGCCATGTCTTCAAATCATCTTCAGTAGACTTCAGTATTAAATCGACGGTTGATTGCTGGTTAGCTGGAGGCAGAGGCGAAGGATCCTTATCAAATGACCATAATCTGTTCCGTGCAAATCCATGTCGCTCTAGTGCACCAAAATTCCCAAACTGCAAATACGATAAAGTATGGTTGAAAGCAGAACGAAAAGACAGGAGAACACTACTCATTTTATTCTTGAAATGATTTCAGATGCAAACCTGTGGAAAACAAACAGGTAAGCCTCCTCTGATCGCCTTTGGTGGCTTCAATAGCGCCTAATTGACACATAAAAAGATTGCAAAAACAGAGTTAATTCAAAGTTGGAAACGTTAGTTACATGTTCATTAACTTATTCTTCTACTCTAAAAGCACAATTTACAGATTTATCTGATACAGGCTATGAAGACGAATGGATTAATCACTTATCTCTATCAACATAACAGAGTTTATAGATAAGATAAGAAGGCGAAAAAGCAAGAAATCATAGTTGGTTGTTTGGAGTGTTACCTTGCTGCTCATAAAAAGCAACTGCTCTCTCCTTTCATTTCTCCAAGAAACCACCTGTCCTCCATATAGAAGCACCTGATCAAACCATTTCCACCCATAAAAATTGTTAGTAAAAACATCAACATGCAAGTTCAAATGCGAATCTCTGAGAGATCATCATATCATCACCGCCGTTACTTCAAAATTGATATTCTTCTTCCTATGATCAAAATTCCATTTTTTTCTTATAAAGATGAAAATTCAAGAGACCCAAAAAAAAAAAATCAAATTTCAGAGCAAAAATTTAATGAAGAGAAGGGAGGAAAGAGTGAAAACCTCGGCAGAAGATCCGGCTGGGTCGGTCAAAATAATACGAGAGGAACCATCGCGATCGTTGACTGAATTCAAAGGCATTGATTTTGGCCTTAACTTGGATCTTATTCCCCTCACGAATGGGTTCCCTTTCCCTTTCTTCCACTCCAGCTACACACCAAAACATAAATCCCAAAACCCAGATGCATGCTTGATTAAAAATTATTTATTCAACACCAGCGCTTTAATCAAACTAATCATGATTCGTAACAAACGAATATAAAACTGGGTACACGAATATATGAAAAAATATTGGAAAAAAAGGTCGAAATCAAATCCGTAAAATAGTTGGGGAAATCGAGAAGGAATTAAGAAATGAAGAGACCACATAAGATTGATTGATACATAAAGGATTAGATTCAGCTCAAGTTTGACTGGTAGTGGAAAATCTCTACGGATTACAACGTCGTAAAACCAAAAAAGCTTAGTGATCGGCTGAGATTTTAACGAACTAGGACGCGTTTCGTGAACGACGGGAGATAGAGAGAAGATGGACACAGGGAGATCGAGAGTGATACGGAAAAAGAGTGAAATAGAGAAAGACTCATGATGCAGTAGAAAATGCTGACCTTGAGATTGTTGACTGGTCAATCAAATGTGGTTTTGGTTTTCAGAGATTTGGTTTTGAGTTGGGAGCTTGGAGGAAGGAGGAGAAGAAGAAGAAGGCTTGTGCGCATTTGTAGTTGTTCACCATAAGCTCCGATACTGCCACGTGTTCATTTGGAAAACAAAAGTTGTTTACTAGATTTAGATTTAACCAAACCATTTCATTAAATTCAAACTTTTGTACGGAACTCTGATATTTTGATTTTATATCAAACTGGTAAGTATTTTAACAGAGAAGTAAAAAAGTTTGACACACAATAGTAACAAATTTTAGAAACATAAAACCAACTGTAATTTGATAGAGATCACATATTGAAAGACGAAGGTCTTTGTATTTCTCTGAACTCAATAAAGCAAGTTCATCACAATGTGACGATGGTTAACAAATTATTTACCAACCATATATCCTATCGTTCTCCTCCAACAAAAAACAATATTCCTTTCCTTTGTGTGACGTTATATTCCATTCCAACAGTAAAGAAAAAGAAACTAATATTCATTTACAGCTTTTCACGTCCCACTTTATTTTACGAAAATTATCAAAAGTTAAATCTCCATCATAAAGTTATATCTTAGTGAACCTTCTGGTTAAAACAGCATGCAATGTATCTTCTTCTTTTTTCCAGTACTAGTCAGCTTTTGATTTACGCTACATTACGTAAGAGGAGAACATCTAGCGAGTAGTGTGACTATAGACTATAGTAATATTTATTTTGATCTATATGACGCTAAACAGAATGTAAACAAGTCGACGGATTCGCACATTACACTATACAATATTATCCTATTAACTGTGCTGGGAATGGTGGAGCCTGAAGAATGCGTTCGAAGCTTTTTTTAACAAATAAAAGAATCATGAACCGATAAATTAAAAAGCAAAGAAATAAGAAAATAATAAGGCAAACCGAAAGTGTAGAATGATAGTGCCACTCAAGAACTACTTGCCTTTGTGGACAATTTTCTATTTTATTCTTAACCAATGTTTGCCTCTCTACATCTAAACCTCTCAGTCTCGTCCGTTCATAGTCGCTCTCATTGTTTTGGTCGCGTCTGAGCTGTTGGATTGTATCTTTGGTTTTAGTTTAGTTCATGTATAACTTTCCTTGTTTGGGTTTATATTTTTCTTTTTCGCTTTTGCTTCTGAAAATGTTAATACTTTCCGCCAGCTTATATCTTGTATTTCACTTCAAATTTGATATGATCTTTCTTCACAGAGGAAAAAAAGAAAGAAAAAATAATTTGCAAAAAAAGCACTACACTCGGTCGAGTGTTTCACTAATTCTCCAAGAATATAGCCCAATGGGCCAGAAAGAATGAAACATACAAAAAGCCCGGCCAACTATTAAGTGAAACGACATCACTTCAAAGGTTCTTCGGCGTTTTGTATTCCGGCTTGAGATTTTCAGAAGCGACGACGAGGTGGTTCCGCACCGCTTTCTCCGGCGTCTCGTATTTTCGCTTCAACCTCCTCCTTCCTTTGAAATCGAATTTTCAAAATCGAAGGAATTTTGTTCTCGAATCCGAAGTTAATCAATCTCGGTTTGGTTTATTAAGTGCGTTCCCGCGGAAAATGGAGTGTTCATTTGGTTTGACAACCATTTCTTCTAAAACAGAGAGACAAAAGCAAGAAGAAGAAGCTGATAATAAATTATTGCTAAAGAAGACTCTTTCTGGGAAACATTACATGATTTGATATTTACACACAAACAAGACCTTGAATCGAAACTAAAGGCTATGTGCTGAGTTTAGAAATCATCTCTTCGACCAACTTCAACATAGTTCCTGGTATTCGCTCGCCTTCTTGATCAATCTCCCTCATAATCTGCTCAACAATCTCACTCTTCGATTGTTTGTTCTTAATGACATACCCAGAACAATCCCTCAGCTGAAGCAAGAGCTCTCTCGCCATCTCTTTACCCCTACGTGTCCCATCTACGCTCACCTGAAGCAATCCAGGCATCACTCCTTCTCTCAGTATCATTCCCCTGTTCGTCTCTCTGTCATAGTTGCAAACACAGAGCAATACTCCTACTGCGTGCTCTTTACACTGTCCTGACCCTTCTTCAATGGCTTCCACAAGAACACCAATTGCTCCGGCGATGCTGGAAATCGATTCCGGCGAATGGGTGATTATGTTTTCGAGCAAAGCTGTTGCCTTTTCAGCTAATTCTGATGATTTATCGCAAAAGTTGATGACTTGAAGCAGAGCATACGGTGCTCCTGAAGATATGACTAAAGGAACAATCTGATGGAGAGTTGATAGATTGTGTAGTGTTGCGATCCCATCAAGCTTGGCCTGAATTGTTAGTGTATCGAGTCCAATAAGTCCTACTAGAAGCTGAATCAACCTGGTTGATGATGCTATCTTGACCTTGTTCTTGTTACATGAAGAGAGTATCAGAAGAAACGCCATAGCCAATTCAGTTATAATCATCTTCGTCTCTGACTGGAGAATCTCTAGCAACATTGGTACTACGCCAGATTTCACAATTCTGACTTTGTTCCTGTAAGTTTCAGCAAACAGATTGTTATTCTTTCGGTTACTACAAGGATATGGCATGGTTTTAGAGAGATAGAGAGAAACACAAACCTTTCACTGCCAAAGGCAAGGCTGAGTAATGCAGAGAGAGCAACTTCTGTGGTGATAGAGTCATGAGATTGTAACATTGAGAGCAATGGAGAAATGATTTCTCTTTCTGAGAGTTTTTGTCTCTGCTTCCTGGTTAGATTACTCAGCTCTATAGCTGCTTCTATCTGAGCCTCTCTGTTGCCTCTGAGAAGACTCTCAACCACAATCTCCTCCATTTGCAGCACTCTTCTTCCTCTCTGTGAATTTTTGGTTAACTTCACTTGGAAGAAGAGTGAGGGAAGGTATGGTGGTGATTGGTTGAAGTAAATATATTAGACAAAAAGAAAACATAGAAAATTTGGTTGCATTAACAAGCAATGTTAGGCTTTTTTTTGGGCATCCATTGTTTCATGTTGAAGCAAACTCACATAAAGCTTTTGTTTTAGCCAATCCATTTTTTTCTTTTTCTTTTTGTTCTGTAGATAGATATATTAAGTTTTATTTCTAGAAGATCTTAAAAACCAGAAGAGAAAGTAAGTATCTGTTTGAATATTTTTGTTCTTGATTGCATGATCTATCCAATGTTGATTCCTGGAGATTGAATCTTTAGCTTTCCTCATGTAGAAGCAATGTAAGTTTATCCAGTGTCATTGATCCCAAGAAATTAAGAATTCATGCAATGACAGTTATACTTTTTCTTTATATTATCGTAATTGCAGTTGTGATTCTTTCAAGTTACAGTTTTGTAATTTGATTACCTATCTTTAAACTGGAACTTAACACTGACAATATAGACAGTGTTGGTGTGAATGCGTATATTTCTTGTTTTAAACGCACAAATTATATGATTTCTGATAATGATGTAAACTTTTTCTATAAATGCAAAAGGCATGCATTTCAATTGTCTTTAATCTACATAAACTGACACATTAATACCCATTTATGGATTTTAATAATTAACCTGATATGAAAGACCGGGGATTTGTAAACCAGTAAACAATGAGCATGTGACACATGCATGACACGAGTTTGAATACATGTTGCTTATAATAAAATTTACATAAGCAAGTATTGTTCATATTAGAATACAAATTATCCTTGCATCTTTCTCCTCTCGTTAGGACAGAGAATACGATCAAGTTTCTTTCCCCATTGGTCCCCGCTCCGAATATGTGTAAGAGAAAAGTGCTTCAATTTTCTTTAGTTAGAAGCATGGAATTCAAATACCCATATATCACTCTTTAAAATTTATGTTTTCAATGACGAGTTCCTATACCTTATTATCATCATATAATTTTGTTCCACTCGAATTAAATGCGAAATATGTGATCACTGTCGACGATTTTTCTTTCGATTTTATTAGGTGGATAAGATTATATCTTTGGGTGTACTCATGGATCAGAAAAAAGGAGATCCAGTATTCTAAAATTAAAACTGGAATACAATGTTCTTTTGAAAACCATGTTATACGGCGCCTTTGTCTTTCCGAAAATTACTGTTTTCTTTGTTCATGCTTTGCATGAAATAGAGCCTTAAAAATGCAACCGCAAAGTATTAGCTTGCTATTCCTTTCACAGGATTTTTCAGTTTAACCAAATACCGGATGTGCATAAGACAATCCTACTTGTTTTAGGAAATATATTGTAGTTTGGCGTATGACAATAATCAAAACAAGAACTCTTAAAAATTTGGCAATTATTGTTGAGCGAAAGACTAGTGACAAAACTTTAGGAAATAGCCTTAGAAAACAGAAATGTAACCAAAAACAAACAAGTTACTGTTGAGCCTTTTTCAACTTCCTCTTGCGCTCCTCGATTAATTTAACACCTTCATTCTTCTTTTCCAGCCCCATCTGCACAAGATTTCATCAAATAAACAGTGTTACAAACACTAAGACAAACTCTCATTGCTAATGATTAAGCAAGCACCACAGAGCCAGCTAACTCTGCCATCTTGATTTTACAAGACCTAAACAAACTATTAACAAAAACAGAGAATCGATAAATGTAAAATCCTACCTTCATGGCTTCGTAAAGCTTCCTCTTCTTATTCGACATCGACAATTTGCTCCTAGTATCTTCATCGTTAGCCACTTGCTTAATAGCTGCTTCAGGATCTTCTTCTTCACCCTCCTCACCTTCTTCCTCCACAGGAAGATCATCAGCGGAAGTTCCAGTTATTTCCATCTTCAGTTCTTCATGGTATTGCTTCTCCAGCGTCGCCATCTACATACAATAAACACCCACACAACACTAAGTTATCAACACATGCAACAACAGGCTTGAGTTACTATTCATATATAATAAGCTAGCACAAGTCAAACCTTCTTCTTGTTCCTAGCAGCTTCAGCTTCCTCAGTACGGCTCATAACACCAGCGTACAATAAGTTCTGAGGATCTTCAAGATCACCTGCCCCAACACCTGGCAACGGAAGAACTTCGTTTCTCGCTGCTGCTTGTAGCCTTTTAATGGTTTCAGCATAATCAGGAACATATCCTTCTGCTTCATTGTCCACAAATGGTGACAAGTGTGGCGGTGGAATTCTGCTCGTGGAAAAAAGCATATGACGAAGGTTTAAACAGCTGAGAAATGAAAACAAACATGGTAGTTAAAGAAGAGATTAGCAAAGGGTTATGCATGTGTTACCTTCCGACCAAATACTTTTCAGTAGGCAAGATTATGCGAGCATTTACAGAGTCATAGATCCACTGTGGTTGAACATATTCCCTTGAGAGATACATATGACCCGCACTTGGCTTATCAATGATCTGCAACACAGAATGGATGCTATTAGAAACTATATAGCTACATTTTGGAGACAATAGCCGATGTTAGATAACATGCTAAATGGCTTACATGATGTGTGATACACTCATCATCCTCCTTGAAAGGTGCACCTTCTCCTTCCCAAGACACCATCCCACCAAAAGCAGGCAGCACAAACAGCAGGGACTCTCTTGGAACCTACACAAGAATACAATATTATTAAACAGAGACAAACACAAGTGATGAATATTATTTCATTATTTTTTTGGTAACTGGTATCTAATTATGAATGAATGAATCCGTAAAATACCTCACGGCTCAAGAAAAACTTCAGATCCTTGAAGAGTGACTTGCACGCTCTGGTCTCTTCATCCTCTTCCACCTCTTCATTGTTATCTGCAACGAGATGCATCAATGCCCCAGGCTCGCTCGAAGGCAACTGGTGCTGAAGTTGTGCAAGTCTAAGTTCAGACTCTTCACGGTCGTTTGACTGTGAGCTAGATGAAGAATCAACTTTAGGTTCCACAGTCATGCCTCTGGAGCTAGCATCAATGTATCTCGACAGTGCATAGAGATCTGCAACATTAAAGACATGTCCAAGTATTAATCAAAGTAACATATCCCAAGATGAACTCCCAAAAGGTATCTCTTAGGAAAATCATCGCTGCTTGAAAGAAGACAACATACCTGCAGCCAGAGCCTCCAACCGAGAATCAAGGATTGGCGGATACTTCACATTCAGAGAATGGTAAAGCTTAAAGTTTGTAAATGCAAGGAGAGTCTGCATCAATAGATGAATGAAAACATGTTAGCATAAGTCCAGGATTCAATTTAGACTAGAGAACTCAAAACTATTCAATTCATACAAAACTGGTGAAACAAGTTTGAAAATGATTAGGAGTTCTCACCTCATAAAACTCCAAGAAGGTAAGCAAGACACTAAAGTCAACATCATTCGTAAAGACTTGTTGAATCGCATGAGGTGTCAACCATGTGATCTTTTGACCTTCTACTTCAGCCTATTAAGTTAATCAGGAAATTTTCATTAAAGACAACGTACTCCACAGTTCCATTACAAAAATTTCAAGGTAAAGTAACACAGTACCTGATAGTATATGCCCTTAACAGAGACAAACACTTTCCGTAGTGAATGCGTACGAGAAACGTATGCTTGCCATTCATGGCTCAATCTGAATCACGAAAGAAGCACAAAGTAAGCTTTCTGGATATGAGACAATCGAGAAAGCTGCTAACAAGTAAAGAAACAAGTGAACATATAAGATTCTGACCTTCTACAGTTGTGGACTCGTTTCACTTCGAGCTTTTCCCTGTCTGAAGCAGGCAACACGGCAAAGAGATGAACCATCGTAAGACAGTCATCCAAGTCGCGTAGTGCATCAGGGAAGGTGGGATACCTAGAGATATTCAGAACACAAGAAAGAAATGGGTGTGAACGGTCTAATCTCGTGGGATGTCAGAGACAGAACTATATAGAAGAGAATGCAGCAAACCTTTCACGGATTAATCTATCAAGCTTGTAAGTGGGTTGGCGAGTAAGCAAAAGACGTGCGAGCTCCTCGTTTTTCTTGGATTTGGCTTTAAGGACCTTCTTCTGGTATGTTTTGATTTCCCTGAACTTCTCGAGAAGAGGCTCATGCTGAAGGAAGGCAATGTCCTTCACATGGTAGTAAGTGTGATGGTTTCCCTTCACCTTCTTCTTCGGTTCTCTTGGAAATATACCTTTCACAATACATAGTCTCCTGAAAATACACAAATCGATAGGTGCAATTGAGCAAACATGAAAATGCATAGAAACAAAGCCATAAAGCAACTAGAGGTAAATATAAGACCTATTGAACATTATAAAATATGGGATATATCATGATTGAGGATAATTAAAGGAATCATTGAACCTCCAAAACCTAATATGTTTGTATCAGCAATGATTTGAAGAAATACAGTAAAGGTGAAGGGACAAAGAGGTAAGAGAGTGAACCTGAATAGGTTTAGGTTAACTTGGAGAGATTTGAGAGCTTGCGACCTGGTCATATACCTAGCGGCATTTCCTTCCTTCTTCTTTCCCTGCAAATGACGAACAGCACCAGCTATATCTTTAGAAAATCAATTCAGCTAAAAAGTTTCTCGAGAAGACGAAACTGGAGCAAAACAGCTATAATTCAACGAATCATCTGAGCTATAGAGCTTCAATCAAACAGAAAAACTCACCGCTGGTCTGTAATGCTTCGGCATGGTGAAACGCCACCAAAGAGGAAAGGAGAGAGATGGAGGAAGAAGAGAAAGAATTAGGGTTTTAGGCAAAACCAAATATTTATGTCGGGTGCAAGAGGACTTTATATATAATGGGTTTCTTAGGGCCTTATTGACTTCTGATCTTGTTCTTGTGTGATTTAATGTCTCACGGTTTTGAGGCCCAATTGTCTGATTGTCAGAAGAAGCTCAAGTTAACCGAACCAAACCGAACAAAATTTTCATCAACTCGACACCGTACCAAAACAATTTAAACTACGTTTAATCTCATGTAAACAGGTTAAATCTAGGTTACTCTCATGTTTCCAGTTTCCGAATACTCTTTATTCTTGTGTCAATAATGTAAATGTGTGCAGGAAAATTGTAGGGAACTAACTAGCACCAAAACAAAAATAAATCTGAGAGATCTTTTGTACTTTGTGATTACACTACTACTACTACTTCCATTTTCTGTTTAATTGTCAAAATTAAAAACCATAATACACAAGTGCATATAATGGAAACAGAGGCGTCGTCACTGAGAAGGAGGTTGTTGGTCGGCGGGAGGATCAGCGGGGGCAGGTGGTTCACCGTCACTGGGGATCCAGAAAGTGAGAACCGTAGAGGCAGCAACGAACATGGCTCTACGAGGTGCCCATTTCAGACACGACACTACTCCTATGTTGTTATCCCACCTCGCCACCTGCTTTTTAGACTAAACTTAGTACTGTGACAAGCATGAGGAAAAAACAATGGCGACAACTTTCTCTATTACCTCAGATGGATTCTCGATGTTCCACGCATGTAAGGTTCCATCTCCTGAACCTGTATCAAATACAAAAAACAACAATAACTGTGAGGATGAGTCATGATAAATGAAAATCTTGCATCATTTGGAGAAGTGGATGATGACCGTATTACCTGACAGAACATACTTGCCATCTGGCGTGAAGGTGGCTTCTATAGATGTACCCTGTGAAGGCTCCAAACTAAAACCACATTTCTGCAAAACAAAAATTGACATACCGGCTTTACCAACTTAAACTAAATGTTTCCGTCTTCTTCAAGTGGAAGATACATAATAAATGATTACCTTCTCTCCACGATATGCATCAAGAACGTAGATGTTGTTATTTGTGGTTGTTAGGAGCATGGATTTTCCGTCGTTGCTGAATTTTATATCGTTAACCTCAGCAGTATCCCCACCCACCAGAAATGTGTCAAAGGGACCCTACACAAGAGATCAAAGATGAGTTTACAAGTTAGAAACTACAAGAGCACTTATGTGTGAGGCTGTGTGAAATCACAGTAAGTAGCTAGCTAACCTTGTCATAACACCGGGAATCAAATAATTTAACAGCACCTCCTTCCATCGCAATTGCAAATACCAGTCCTTGTTGGTCATACGCTACTGCAGGTCTACCACGTAGATGTAGAATTCCCTATATACTAAAAAGGGTAAGCATAAATCATGAAACCATATATACATTCACAAAGAGGCTATTAAGGAACAGAGAGAGCCTAAATCGAGAATACATGTTACACGGTTCCAGTATCTTCATTCAGTTAACTTTCAAGTGGAAACTATAGCATATTCAGACTTATTCCACATGGAATTCTCAGACTTTGTGAAACTGGAAACAGACCTGGCAGGCATTTACACGAAGATCCCAGAGTCTGACACTTCGGTCGAGAGAGCCAGACATGAAGCTATCATTAATAGGAGACATACAAAGCGATACAACCCTGAAACAAGACAAAATTTTCCATCATATTACTAGTGCAAGTAGGTAGGTAAACATCAATCCTTCTCCAAATTCCAGAGGTTATATAATATGAGACCTGTCTTTGTGTCCTTTAAAGTAGCGAAGGATCCGATTATCATACATTGATAGGTATCTCAAGGATTCTGGTACAAGAGAAAGTATTCAAGTTAAGTGCGTATCCACCATTACTGATTAATTATCAAAACTCAAGCAAGTGAAAAAGACGACTCACCTCCAGTGGACTCCAAATTGTAAAGAGAAGAGCAAATTAGAGAGCTGGGATGATGAGTAAAGCACACACGATCGGTGCCATGTTTCTTATGGTATGTAATCTTCAGCTGTCTACGACCATTCAGATGAAACTGAGTTTTCACAATCATTTTGCACAAAAATTCTAGCTCTAGCGAAAATTCAGCTAATCAGTTTATCCAAAAGTTTCTTCTCGATTCCGTAAGTAAACTAGTTTATCTAGAAGTTGATGAGCTAAGTAGAAAAACCTAAAAGGGGAGGAAGAACTGACTTAGCGTTGGCGATATCGAAGAGGCGAAGTGAATCATCCTCGCTCGATGTTACCAATAGATCATCAGTCCTATGGAAACCCATCGAACGTATCTTCCCTCCCTGTCAATCCAACATCGAAAATTTCACGGGTTAATCCCGGAAATTGGATTCTGGGAAAGTTAATCAGAGTTCTAAGCAGAATACAAAAGAGAAAGAGAAAATTTCCGTACAAAATCGGAGAAGACGGCGCCGATGGCCATCCTCCGAACCAGTCCATCGTCTAGCTCCGCCAACGACATCGGTATGATGAACAAACAGTGAAGCACGAGAAATTCCGACTGCGACTGAGAGAGGCGAGCGTGAACGAATACTCTAGACTTTGGTATGAGTTTTGCGGGTCTCTAAACGACGCCGGTTTAGCATTAAACAACGCAGTTAAATCATTAAAACGGCGTTTAACAGCGTTTGTGTTGAGGTTAAAAGGAAGAAACTACTTGTCGTTCAATTATAGCCAATAAGAACTACATTTCGTTTTCGGTCGACCAAAGAGTAGCCTGAACACAAGCGAATTTGTAGTACCGCAAAGTCTGTGATTTCTTAAGAGTCAAATACACAAATGAAACACAGAAGAAGATAAAATGTCTGAAGCTTCAAGTTTCAAACACATAGGAGAAAGCTCTGAGAAAATAATGAAAATCCAAACGGATATTCGAAGATATGCTCGACCATGGAATCCGAAACGAGAGATAAACCTATACAATGTCACCGGAAACCGCCAATGGGAGATACAGCTAACGACCACCAAACCAACCTCTTGGCGGTTGCTGCTGCTGCTGCTGTTGCATCAGAGCTCCTCTATCTCCATTCATCAGCTTATCTAAAACAATGTTGAGGTCAACGGCTTGACCACTCTCGGTCAATGTCCTCACTGTTCCTCTCACTTGGTCCCTTGGAAATCCCATGCTAGTCACCGTGTCTATTACATCCTCCACTGGGGCTCTGCTTCCGGAGCTTGGAGAACTGGAGCCGCCACTTCCACCGCTGCTGATTGCTGAAGCCATTGGTACAGCTTGCGGCAGTGGGCGAGCCATTGGGAGCTGCGGATAACCAGACCCGTTTCCACTCTGATGCGATGGTTTCATGGATGGGGTGTTTCCAAACTGTGAAGGAGGCGGCGGCCCGGAATATTGGTAAGGTTCAGGAGAGTAGCCGGAAGGGAAACCTGAGCTGGGTCTACCACCTGGTCCATCGTATATTGATGGTGGTGTTGGAGGACCGTTGTAGTACTGTTGAGATGGGGTGGAACCTGGAGGTGGATGAGAAGGTGGTTGACGAGGAGGGTTTGGGTTTGGCGGGTAAGATTGCAGAGGGTAAGGTGGTTCTTCCGGGTTGTAGCCTGATGGCGGTTGTTGATGCTGAGGAGGTTGCTGTTGTGGGTATTGTGGTTGTTGAGGAGGTGGCTGGTAAGGGGGTTGGTGCAGTGACTGGGTCGGAGCAGGAGGAGGAGGAGGTTGATAAGGAGGCTGGTTTGCTGGAGGCGGCTGGGACTGACCAGGTGGAGGGAAATAAGGCTCTTGTTGAGGAGCAAACTGGGTGGGAAGCTGAGACTGTTGTGATGAAGGTGCAGGGAGATTGTGCTGTGAGGCGGACGGTTGGACAAATTGTAGAGGCGGGAGGCCCTGCTGAGGCAAAGACGGAGGAGCTGGTGGCTGAGGCGGTGATGCGGGAGGTTGAGCAGTGGGTTCAACATGTGTAGAGTGTGTCTCGGACTTTGATACCTGAAGCTTTGAAAGCTGAAGCTGCGCTTCAAATATCTCTTGTTTGTCCTTCAACGTATGTACACCGCTTTGCACCTGAATACAATTGTAGAAACTTGATCAGAATACTGAACATCATAAAAACCTAAAAATTCTTAAAGTATCTATCTCAGATTCATTTGGTTACTCTAGTCTCAGACTAATCTCTATAAGGTTTCCGAAAAGCGTAAAGTTACCTCTAACAGGATGTTTTCAAGGTGTCTCATTTTGCCGTCCGTGTTTCCGTGACTGTTCCCAATAGAAACTTTCACATCATCTACAAGGTTCTCGAGATTCCGGGTTCTGGTCTCCAGCTGTGTGAGACGCGCACTGACACCTTCCATAACATGTAGCAAGTTATCAACATGTGTCTTCATCGTCCGATCTATCGCAGATATAATAGCTGCTGAATCAGGTTCAGGGGCACTTCGATCCTTCTCAGCAAACAGCTTCGAAGGTTCAAGAGAGTCGAAAGATCCATAACTCTGCAGAGACAAACAAATCAAATGCCATAAGTAAGACCTGCGAAGATGTGAGTTCGTAAGTGTGATAATTATCATTATCCTAACCATGCCACCATCAAACAGGATTCAAGCAACTTGATGATGCAGTACACAAAAATCAGGTAGTAAACTCGTAATTTACAAAACCTTATAGATTATCAAACAATAGAAACAGACAAGCAAGTAATCGTTGTGCTTATACGACTCGTCTACATTGCTTTCAACTCCACACGATGAACAAAAATACATACCAAGTCAGCTCAAAGAGCCTAACAGGCACTAGAACTAGTAACACAGTCAAAAGCTAAAACTTAGATCAAACTTATGTCTACCGTATACCAAAATCAGAAACTACAATCACCAAAGGTAATTCTGCTAAACCTTAGAACCGATTCCATTAAGCCAATTAGTCTTAGTAAACGGACAATCCTCGAAAAGGAGATTGATCACAAATCATAAACACCGGGAGAGAGAGAGAAGAGAATTTAGAAATATTACTCTAGCGGATGAAGTCGGAACAGGTTGTAAATCAGAAGCCCAAACTCTAGCAGCCGTGGAATTGACAGATCCGGCGAGATCTAAAGCGGAGTGAGACAATCCGACGGTGGCATTAGGGCGAATAGGCTGGAAATCGTAGCTAGGCACGATCGCTTCCTTCTTCGACTCCAGACCATTCTCGCCGACATGCTGCCTCTGGTGATCGCCGTCCTGTGAATTATTGTCGTTCATCAGATCCATTATCTGTTTATCCAAGAACAGAGCCTTATTCATCGATCGAACGAAATTTTTTTACATATATATAATGGTCTCCCTTAATATTTTTATATGATTTTCGAACTTCCTTGGAAAAGATAATTTTGATCGGTCAAGTTGCTGTTTCCTCCCAAGTCAGATTTCTATTGTAGCGTGTCAACATCATTATCAACCATTTGGGCCTCGAGATAATTGAGTAGGCCCATGACTATTTACTTTCTCTGACGTTAAATGTAAACATAACTCAATGTGGGACAAAAGGTGAAACAAACCAGAGATTATCCTGCAATGGCGAGCAAGTGAAATCGTTAAACAAAGAGATCAAAATTTAACATGGCTGACTATAAATCATTTAAACTGTGATTGATGGGATACGCCGAGCCTTTGCAATAGTGCAACACAAGGGCGACGAACGTGAGCACAAATAGCAAGCTATTTTGATGGCTCACTCCCTAAATAAATTAAGTTAATATCGTGTGAACCATTGATTCACATATCAGATATTAAACTGATAAGAACAGATACTACACTTGATCTTAGCCAAAAGGCCGAGAAAAGTATAATTTGTTTTGAAGTTTGTGATTCTTTTTAAAGCGAGACTTCATCTTTGTTTCCCAAATACTCTTCCGATGTGGAACTAACATAAGCTTACACTTTACTAAGATTAACGTAAACGTCAGCTGTAAGGAAAGTAACTCTAAACTAAAGTAGTGTATTACACGACAAGGAACTGTCAAGTTTATGAGTTGGCTTTTTGAGAAGATTATTATTTCGAGAGAAAAGTTCAATAGATTAATTGATAGAGTTGATCTCTGTAAGAGACAACCCTCCAAAAATAGGCGTATGCCACTTAGCACGACAAGCACACGGTATTCTTTAGTAAAAGGCGAAAGAATAGTTCGCTATGAGCTTATCGCACGGCTCCGTGAGTTTTGTGGAAAGCTTCTCTTCATTTTTATATGTGTCTCGTTTTTTGTCTTTCTTTGTGTACTTACGATGTGGGACTTAAACATGTATATGCAAAAAAATCGCGCTCTCCTTTGTAGTCTTCGTCATTCGTCACTACGAGCACCAACCACTACGCAAGTCATTAAAACCAAATTGAATAATATGAGCTTTTATTACTTTCCCTCTTTTTGCAGTTGTGAGGTCACTTTTATCCAAAATTAGAATATAGGGACTACCATGGAAAACTCCGAAATTTTTTGCTAGTGTAGTACAAAACTCGCCGTCGTACTTTAAGAGAAGTACAATGTTGATTTTACTTTCCTTTCTTTTCGTCAGTTTTGCAGTACACAAGTTCGAAGTTTTCTTTTGTACTATACAAAACGCAATGAATGCAACAAAATTTGGCCAGTGTACTACATTTCATGTTTTGTATTATTGTGTACTACACAATCCTTTCACAATGCGTGTATATATAGATCTCAGCAGTTGTGTAGGAATCGAAACTCGAAATGTAATAAAGAGAAAAATATACTTAAGGTAGAAGATCTCGACAGGGTCGATATGAGAACACATGTGCAATCAACGGCTGTAATGATGCCACGTCATTTTTACAATCTCTCCTTTTCATGTGTTCTCAGGTCACCCCTGCTGAGCTCTTTCTCTACCGACTACCGTCCATCTCTATCAACTGTGTGTAGCTTTATTCATTCGTCATGTGGTAAGTTTACAAGTAATTTCGATATGATGATATTACAAATCACAAACACAAACTCTTCGTAATCTTATGTACCTATGTGTAATATATGCTTGTGAATGTTGAAGGGATCTACTTAACTTTCTTGCTCTTTGTCCTTCAACAAGACAGACTGCCAAAGAAACAGAGGAAGAAAGAAACCCACAATGAGTTTATCAAATGTTGTAATGTTATTTCTTAGTCTCAGCGTTGATTGTGTAATTTGCGGAAGAAAAGCTAACCTCACGGAGGAGGCGGAGAGCGGCGGGACGAGTGAACTTCCTGGCGAAGAGGAAACACGGTGACGGTTTCCCTTTACTGCTACACCATTCTCGCCTGTATTCCGTCTCATAGTTGATATTGTCAATTCCCTGTAAATCATGTTGCTGGTTAGAGATTTCTGTTACTGTGAAGCAGCAATAGCAAGAACAAACAAAACATATCATGTAACTTAACCCAATTTGATTTTAGTTTGGTAACTCTTTGGCCTTTAGTAAATCGGAACAAAAAACAAATGCCCAAGTCTAACCAACAATTTCTGTTTTGGTCCGACAAGTGACAAAGATGTGTTACCTTAATGGACTGTACAAGCTGAGGAGTAGCATCAGAGAACTTGTAAGTCATGGGATGCCATCCACGACGTTCATTACTTTTAGAAGAAGAAAGGTCCCAAGCTGAATGTGTCAGTGACCGCCGTGTGAGTTCGCTTTCTACACCCTTTTGCTGGAATTTAAGAAGCATAACCAGATCTAATTAACTGTACAATAAAACCAAATGACTATGCATATGGTTAGATCAAACATTAATCTTACAGCTAGCAATGTCTGAACGTAGTGCTCATCTGGTATACAATTGTGTTCCTTCCAACCTTCAGCTGGCTACACAATAAGATTGCATTAGTACAACACATCCTCTCCTGTTCATATATCGGACCCTAAATGGTAAGCCAAATTAGATATGCAGACTACAGTGTTTCATTATGCGACCAGATAAAAGCAACTTACTACAGGACGATCTCGCCAAAACTCTGGAAGTGATTTCCTCTGCAAGATCATATGCAAAAGAATTTCATGAGTGAACGGACAGTGATTAGTCCACTAACAAAGCAACTCTCACAATAACATCCAATTCTAAAATCGGTGGTTCTAAGTCCTTCTTGCCAGCTAAACCATCTTTCTTTTAAATTAATGAAATATCCCTCTTTACAGTATCATACTAAAGGACAGTTCATAAACTTAATTACAGCATTTCCAATATTTCAGCAACTTACCCTGCAATGCTGCTGAAACATAGGTAAGACGACGGTATCATTCACCACAATTTCTGCGTGTTTTCTATTCAGAACGACCCACTACAAGAAGATAACAGCATAAGGAAAACAGAGCAAAGAGAAGGTCAGCAAAACTGCAAATCCTCAGAATGATAATCCACATTATTTTAGTGATTATTGTAACTACACCTGTGATCCTTTTCTCCAGTTATGAACAGGAATTATGGGATTCATTCTAGGATTATAACGGCTATCTTTTTTATCTGCAAAGCTGCAATACAAAAACAATAATTTGGTGAACCTTCCTTGTCAGTGACTATGCCGACGTATGACGATGTGTATTTAGGTAGGTAGCACTAACCTATCAACGAAACTAGTTGGTGTTGACATGATGTAGTTATAAGTGTAGCTGAAACTGTACAGAGGAATGCAGCTGAGAAGAAACCAAACAACTGAAGTTTAGTTAGGAAAGTCATCAACTGCAACCCGGAAAAGAAAAGGTATGTACAGAATCAATCTCACCTATCAGAAAGAAAAACAAAGCGGTGATTAAATGGATCTCTAAGTGCATGTCTGAGTAACACACGTTCTGCTTCAATCATGGTGGCTTCTCCCCAGTCCACCTGTAAATAGCAAGTGAATCAAATGACGTTAAGAAAAATGATGGAAATGGAAACCTTCATGATTTGGAAAACTGATACATTCTCGTGGCAGGAACCTGTATACTGTCGTTAACTTGCCGATTCAAGAAGTACTTGGATCGAGTTGTTGCCTCGCTGAGAACGAATCCAGGTCTAGAGTGAACATATATTGAGAACTTGCCATCCTCACCCTGAAAAAGGTACACATTATCATGTCTCAAGCTCGGTGATATAAAAAGAATTAACTAAAAGCGGACATTGTCAGTATTACACATGATTTCTTGCTAATAATACACATTCCAACTGAGAAAACGTCCAAAAGTTTTCAACTCCAATAACGCTAAGCTGGTTTTAGTGTCAATTCTCAATTCTCAGATTCTCAGGGAATCAGTTAATTTGATCACATCTGACTATGGACTAATCTTATCCTCAAAGCCATGAATCCAATATTTAGTTTATAAACCGGATTAGAGAAGGAGAAGTGTATACCAGAAAGAAAGCATCCCAGACAAAATCGAGAGAGAGCCGGTTCCGGGCAATGAACAAGAAGGCAATCTGTGGTTTCCGATCGAGACGAGGCTTGAGAGACTCGAGCGACGCAGTGATTCCACCGTAACGAGCTTGAATAAACGCGAAACTCCCCAAGCAGAAAGCGAAAATCAACGTCGCCAACACCTTCCTCTTCCATCTGTTTATCAACTTCTGCTGCGACGCCTTCTTCCTCATCTGGATCCCAGTGAAATCGAGCTCAAGTCAATTTTCCCGCCATTTGCCTCTCCGTGAAATAGACTTCACATAGTCAATCGGACGGTATACGCGGATTCAAATCTCTCTATCTCTACTGCTCGCTCGTTTCTGGGTAAACTCAAGCAGTTTCGAGGCAATTCAACTCTCGATCTCTGGAGGCGAATCAGATCGAACATGGAAGAATCTTCTTCAGAAATCTCAGTGAAATCAGTGGCACATACCGGTTGATTGAAGCAAACTCCAGGGGAGGTGGAGTTGAATGCAAGGGATAGCAACAGCGAAAAAGCTTGTGATCGGGAAGACAAATCACGTGGAAGAAGAGGACCTTTCAGGAGGAGACTTGGAGAGTGAGAAAGAGACGGAGGTGAGTGAGTGAATGAGTAGAGCTGGTGAGGTGGGCCTCTCTCATATCGTAAAGCCTACACTTCCACTTTATAATTTAAAGCCCGGTCCAATTGATAAATATATGATATCAACACATCATGTTGATATAAATACAATTCGAAACTTTATGGTGAAAAGATTTAACTACTAACCATGTTACTAACCCAAAAAAAATAAAGCAAGGATATTTCATATGATTCATATCATATCAAGTATAAAATTAAGCTACATCCACGTATATATGGCAAGTGTTTCAATGATTTGCTTATTCAAATGAAAGAATAATGTGTGTAACTCAATCGACTGCTTTCAATTTTTATATTTATAGGGACAGTATACAAAGACAAGTTTTGATTACATCCATAAAAAAACATCCCAACTACGCAATAATCTTTGATAGGCTCTTCGACTTGACAACTGTATGCTGCTAGCTAATAGCTTAATATGCTGTAATAGCTTAATACGCTTCTGTTTTGGCCAAACGAATGGAAGTACAGGTGCAGAGTTAAACAACGACACGTAAACTATCACTATTCACTCGGTCTTCCTCGTCATCGTCTACAAGGAGCTGCTCGGAAAAATCATCGGATTCTGAAGATGACGAAGGACCACAACATATTCCACCCCATCGTGGAAAATATATAAGTGTAACAGAAAGAGAAGCGACGAAAGTCATTAAACCCATAAGTGAAATGCTTCTCTGCTTTTGAACATTTTCGCCGGAAAACAACAGAAGCTGCGTCACCACCGCACCTATAGTACCGCCGCTTCCCGTCATTCCCGCCACCACTCCTAGAGATCTGTAACCACAAAACATAAATTAAACCAAATGACTTAAACCGAACCGAAATGGTACTGTCATTTTATATACAAAACAAACCAATTTGAAATCAAACCGAAATTAAATTTAGTACAAATTGAACCGGAATTATCAGCCACACAAAAAAATAATTTGAACCTTGTGGAGACGAAGGGAACGACGCCAAATACGAGACCAGAGGCAGCTTGAACGAAAACAGAGAAGACACACATGACGGCGATTGAGCCCCAGAGCGAGTTGACTCGTCCGAGTAACACGCACAACAATCCAGCCACCGATTGCACAGCCCAGAGTCCACAGAGCCTCCCTCTCATCCCGAATTTCTTCCCCAGCAAGTCCGAAATCATCCCTCCCGCCGGACGCGACGCGACGTTCGAAATCGCGAAAGTCGCAGCGATCGTTCCCGCCGCCTCGAGATCAACGCCGAATCGCTCGTAGAAATACCCGGCGATCATGTTGTCCGTCGTTAGCTCAACGCCGAACGAGTACCCGTACAGTAGCGCTAGGATCCATGCTCTGTAATTCCCAAGTCCGTCGAAGAGGATCTCGAAGAAATCGGAATCTTCTTCTTCTTCTTCTTCCAGATTTTTTATTTTCTTTTGTTTCGAGGTTTTTTGGTTACCGTCGGGAGTGTCTTGACCGTAGAGGAGAACAAGGACGGCGGTTACCACCTGGAAAATGGCAGGGAGGAGGAAGGACACGCGCCAGGAGATGGAGGATGGGAAGAATCTGGCGAGGGTAGAGTAGAGGAGAGGCATAAGGAGCTGAGAAATACCTGAGCCGACGTTAGCCCAACCGGCAGAGACGCCGTTAGCTAAGCCAACGATGTTGCTGGAGAACATGGAGGACATCCAGTACTGATTAGCTACGAAATTAGCTAGCGAGAAGCCGACGAAGAAACGGACGAGGATGAAGGAAGTCGGAGAGTTGACGAATGCGGCTGAGAGGATGGCGGGGGCGGTGAGGAGAGAGAGGATCGCCGAAGATGTCCGTGGTCCGATGAGGTCACAGAGAGGGCCCATGGCGAGGCGGGAGAAGATAGAGCCAGCGAAGGAAGCGATTCCGGCGGCGGATACGGTGGAGGCAGAGAGACCGAGGTCGGAGGAGATGACGGGGATGAGAGGAGGGATGGAGAAGGTGGAGAAGAAGCAGGAGAAGAGTGAGAGCCACGCTAGGTGAAAGGCGCGTGAGTGCGGCGATTGTAGAGAGAATGGCCGGAAAACGGTGGCACGGCCGGCGGAATCCACCGGGACAGTAAAATGTGAAAAGGACGACGTTTTGGTATCGCCTTGCGATGGCTCCATAATTGTTGGAGTGAAGAAGAATCTCGCTGACCAATCTAAACAAGCTAAATTATTTGTGTGTTTTTTTTGCTAGAAATAGTAGTGAACCAAAACTTTAATATCCGAATTAATAACCCCATCAATATTTTTGGCTAACTCAACAAAAATATCTTGCTGAGACTGTGGCTTAAATTAGTTTATCTTTGACATCAATTTTCTTCTTTTAAAAATAATATATACGGTCAGAATAATATTGGAGTGCGTACTTTTTGGTTTTAAGCTATTACCCAGATGTTTGTATTTTTGCAGAAATGGGGAAAATAAGATGAAACTTGCGTTACGCACCTATCTTAACTTCACAACAAGTAATCTTACGTCACTAGCCCCTACCTCAAACAATCCCTCCCCCAAACAGCCCATGAACCCAGTAGAAGAGAAACAAAAAAACGACACGCCAAAATCACCGATCTGGTTCAATTTCTCTTCGATCCAAATTCTCCGGTTATCGCTAGTAGATCGGACCAAAGCCAAACTAAAAAGCGACTAAGCCTGCAAAAACATACAAAACAGACAGTTACACTTGCAGTAACTGATTTCATTTTTCTTACAAGAAAAACCTTTGTGAAGCTAATGATAAACCATTTCAAACTAAACGCTCATACCAATTCCGAGTGATCTCTCGGATGCAGAAAACTTCAAAAGAGGAAAGAGAGTTTACCATTAAACGTCCTCGTCGTCAACCAAAGCCATCACAGGGATTCCTTTACTGCTAAAACTTGTACATTTCACCTTCAATGCGTCTCCAATCTCAAACTCCGTCTCTACATCTCCCTGTACTCGTATATAGCACTAGTAGTAAGCAAACAATACAATAATGTATTAAGTATATGAGAGAATGGAGAGTCAAAGTTGATGCTCTAAAACACACCTCGAATTTGTACATCCCACGGAGTCCACCACCTAAGTCAAGAACCAATCCATGAGTTCGAACCTGCTGGATTTTGGCCGTCATTTCAGTTCCTATTTTCAGTTCCCGGGCACTGATCGATACACTCTCTTCACCTTCCTTCTCTGATTGGTTCTCCTTCCTACCAGATTTCTTAGTTTTTGAAGATGATACCAGGTTAGCAAAAGTGGACTTGAGTTTCTCGTCTTGCTTCAATGTCTCACCAAATTTAGCTGGACTTTCTTCGAGTGTCTCCTCTTCCTTCTGCGTCACAGTCTGTTTAGAGGGAGTTGCTTTGAGTTTCCGGTCTGGCTTCACTGTCGCAGCGCGTTTAGGTTTAGAGATCTTGTCCACAGGAGAAGATTTCTCTGCTTCATCACACTCCACAGCAGTACGGATGACAACTGCAGGAACTGCTAATTTAGATTTCTGAGGTTGCTCTACAACACTGGACATGCTTGCAACTACCTCCCCAACACTAGACGTTTCTACGGAGACTGTAGCCGGCTCTTTCACCACCGGTTTGTTTGCAGGGTTAGAGGCTGGTTTTGGTTTAGGTTCAGGTTTGGGTAACAGTGCCTTGAGAGATAATTTAATGTTACCGCGGACATCAGTATCAATGCACATCATAGTAATGTACTTTCCAATATGTAACACATCTGAAACCTTGGAGACCTGGAAGATTGATTGTCAGTTAAAACCGATTTACTTTCTATTTTGAATCAAACCAAACAGTAACACTCTTCAGTAGAAAAGCTTACTGGTTCATGAGATAACTCAGACAAATGTAGAAGCCCTTGTTGACCACCATTGAACTCAACAAACGCGCCGTACTCTTTTATAGATGTCACTGTGCCTTTGTACACGGCACCAACAACTATTTCACGACCAATGATGTAGTCAACCTAAGAACATGCATCAAATCAAATCTCTGGAAACATCATTTATCAACTATAATCTCACTTGACTCGTTGAAAGATAGATACCTTTTCTAGAGCCTTTTCCATCACAGCCTGTTTTTTGGCAACAATAGTTAATCTTCCATCATCAACATACAATCTTGCACCTGAATAGTATAAACTTATTCATCAGAGAAAAGGTCTGAAATCAAACTATATAAAATCAAGTGGAATATTCAAACTAACCTGTTTCCTCCTCAATCTTCCTCTTGACGACACCCATAGGTCCGATCAAGCTACGAAGGGCATCGTTGGTGTACCTCAAAGTTACTGCAAGGCAGACATAATTCGTCAGTTTGAACAAGCGAAGCTTTCTTAGCCATAAAGTGAACAAAAAAACATACCTAGGCGAGGGGAATTAACATCTTGGACTCGTGGAGAATTGATTTCTCTCTCCATATGATCAAGAATCTGAAGACGGGCTTCTCGTGCATTATCTAACGATTCACAAACTATATCCAATGGTATTCCAGCTGGCTTGATATCCAATTGAATTGCTGTCACACCATCTCTCGTGCCAGCAATCTTGAAGTCCATATCTCCGAGATGATCTTCCAAACCCTGTCAAAGCAAATGTAAGTCTCTCTATAAAATTCATTTTCACCAACAAATGGTTCAGTTCAGAAGACAAATGTTATATCATCATAAAGAAGAACCGAAGAAGAAAGAAAAAGCAGCAAAGTCAATAAGAAGAAACTTACCAATATATCGGTTACTATACGGTAGTCTGTAATTTCTGCACTTGTTGGATCAACTTCAGTCACAAGACCAACAGAGACACCTGCAACATGAGCTCGCAGAGGAATTCCAGCGTCCATCAAAGCCATACTACCTGAGACAAAACCATTCATTATGTATTTATGGCTTTTCAAATAACATATGAACTTGTGGGTGAAAAATGATAAATACCTCCACAAACACTTGCCATAGAGGTGGAGCCATCTGAGGACATAACTTCTGAGTTTATACGAATTGTAAAAGGGAAACTTTCTTCAGGGGGCAAGACGGCAAGTAAAGCTTTCTCAGCAAGTGTTCCATGCCCAACTTCACGCCTGTTAAGACCTCCTCGTTTTCCGACTTCATTTGTACAATACGGAGGAAAGCTGTAGTGAAGCATAAATCTCTTTTTCGGGGAGCCAACAAGAGAATCCAAGCTTTGTGCATCTCCTAGGGCTCCAAGCGTGACAACACAGAGCGCCTTTTAACACATATGACAAACATATTTAAGAAGGATTCTCATTCAAATGCATTGAAAAGATTTAGCTTTGTCTCCTGCAATTCAGTTCTACAACTTATGGTAGTGATACAGTGTAAAGAGTAATGTCATTCTAAATATTCAGAGTTTCTCAAGTTTTGGTCAAAAGGTCTTACATTTATGAGAGTCATTGGGAAATAAAAGAGACTGAAGTTCCAGTAAGAACCTGTGTATCTCCACGTGAGAAAAGAGCTGAGCCATGCAATATAGGTAGGTGATGGGATTCGCAAAAGATGTCCCTAACTTGACGAAGATGTCTCCCGTCGACTCGAAATCCATCTGATAGCATCCTTGAACGAACTACCTGATATTTCAGTGACACATTACTCATTACTTGTGACATTTTATGAATTCCATGAAAGTCTTAAATCAATGTCTTAATGTGCATCTCAAAGTAAAAAAGAGCATCTCAACTATCTAAGAAAAACAGAACAAATCAACTCTTTTTGCAAAACATCACAGAGTCTGGCCTCTATAATGAAACATAATCCATCATATGGTTTAAGCACTAAGTTCTATGTCAACTTTTCAAGAACAAGATAAGCGATAACAAAAAGCAAAGAGGAACAGGAGCATACTTCCAAATGTTAATATACGAAGCTTACCTTCTTTCTAACTGTATCAACAGCCTTTGGAAGGATGCTCAAGCTTTCTAGATCGCCCTCTTCTTCAAACACTTTTTTCACATCTTTTCCAATGTTATCTAGAGCTTCTCCACGTTCAAACTGTATATACAAAGTTATCAGGCCAGCTCCAAAAAACAAAACAAATTTTGAGGCATAAACAAAGTTAGCCGCACCTTGCCATATGAAGGATCGGTAAAGATGGATTCAATACGCGTTGAAGCCAAGTCGGCCACTTTTTCTAAAACTTTCTCAGAAAGCATTGACAGTTTGTACTCCTTCTTTTCTTTCCCAGCTTTAGCAGCCAGTCTTATTTGAGGATCAATGTACTTAACGGCCTGCGTCAACAAAGATATCAGACAACATATAACATTACACTGTACTGAAAAATCTAATTAAGGTTCTAAAGATACCTCTGGATGGGCTTGCCTCAGAGCAGCTGCTAAATCTTTCTCTGTGATCTCACGGGCTTGAACATCAATCATCATAGTCTTGACTCTTGTGCAAGCGTATATCAAGTTGAGATCACTTGAGCTAAGCTACACAGAGTTTCACCATTACAACAAATGAGAAAGAAGCTACAATTTGTAAATTTTGAGGAGGATACCAATATACAGCTTTGTTTTACCTCATCCATAGTTGGATTCACAACAATTTGCCCATCTATCCTTCCTAGTCGAACGACTCCAATGGGACCTCCCCATGGAATATCCGATAACATCAACGCAGTCGATGCTGCGTTGGCTGCCAATATATCTGGATCTTGCGTACCATCCGATGATAAAACACTTGCCATTATCTACACATTACAACATTCACAGATGAAGAGAATTGCGAAAAAGTACTTCAAGATAGATTATGTCTCCTAGTGAATTGAGAAAGATTCATACCTGAACTTCATGGTAAAACCCTGGAGGAAACAACGGTCTTATTGGCCGATCAATGAGCCGGCCACATAGCAGTTCCCGTTCTTTTGGTGCTCCCTCTCTTCGCATATACGAATTTGGAATCAAGCCTTGAGCGTATTGCTTCTCTTGGTAATCAACCTGACAGTATATAGCAAACGAGTCACGAGTTGGTTGGTTTCCAACAAGAATTCATAAACATCACTCTAAGCCATTACAGAATACGCAATTTAACACACACACGAACAAAATCTCTTCAGAAAAAGTTGGAACGAAATGGAAATTGAGTAAAGGTTTGTAATTTGGAACTTACAGTGAGAGGCAAGAAGTCCCCAGGCGAGTTGGTCTTAGCACAAGTGACTGTGGAGAGGACTTTGGTGTGGTCCATGCCGAGGACAACGGAGCCATTGGCAAAGCGGGCGATTTTGCCAGTCTCGAGCGTGATGACGTGAGATCCGACTTCGAATTCCTCCTTGAACGATTCCAGAATTTTGGTTCCTGCCCTGGCCGGCGACGCTGGATCGGACGGCGCGAAACCCAGGCGGCCGGAGCAGATGGTGCGGAATCCCAAAGCACGCCATGCGAGGAAATTGGGAAGAGAAGTTGACCTAGCTCGGCTCACAATTGATGACATTACACATACAGAGAGTGAGAGAGATGCGGAGAAGAGAAGGAGAACGGAAATGGCTTAAGCTAAGGTTTAACGCACCGGCGAGATTGAGTCGACAACGATAAACAAAAGTGAAGGGTTTTAGCGATGCCGGTCCGGTACGGTTCTATTAGTCGAATTTTCCCAACATTAAACCGGGGCCTATGATCGTCTTTTACTGAGACTGTACATTTGTGTTCATCTATCTCCAGAATGACTGTATTTTTCTTCAGATATTCCATTAATTTAAATTTGTTCAGTCGTTCTTAACCCTGGGAAACTCAGTTTGATAAGTATGTTTAATTGATATTGTCACTCAAATTCTTAAAACAACTAACAAAAACGTGTATTTCCAAAAAAAATCATTCGACCCGCAGATATTGTTTGTGCTTATTGTGAAATTCTGAGGCGAGCATTATTTTGATATTGTTTACAGGAGATTGGAGGTCAGACAACGGAAGGCTCATTGAGCTGTGACTGGAGATTGGAGACTACTGCATCGATGAACTCTTCAGTGCTCAAGAACGAATCCCTACTCACCCTGCATTAAAAGTTTTATGAAACCATCAGAAACAAAATTAGATTAGTAACGGTATTAAAAACTGTCACCTATATGGTTTTCTATCAAAATATACAACTTAATTTGAAGACTTTCCAGCACATTCTTTAGATTTTCCCGTTCAATTTCAGATAAGAGTGGCTCAGGCTCAGGTTAATTAAATTGGTTAATCAAGAAGGTTTAAGCTCTTTCAATGCAAATGGACCAGACTGTAAATGGAAAAGTTGCAGCTAATGAGAAAAAGAAATGTTACTTACTTGGGACCATGGACTAAAAGGGCAAGATCCTTGGTCATTTTCCCTGTCTCAACAGTGTTTACACATGACGACTCGAGCTTCTTGACGAAATCCAGCAATTTTTCGTTCTTATCGAGTTTCGCCCTTGAGAAGCAAAAAGAGCAAAGAATCAATCAAAATGATGATCAAGAGAAAGTTGATCACAAACGTTGCAAGTGGAAAGGTAAATGCATCAAGGGCCACGCTTGAACGAAGCTACGGACCTGTGTTCTAAGCCTCGTGTCCATGCAAATATGGAGGCGATGCTGTTAGTACTGGTTTCTTGACCCTTCTGATGCAATCGGAAATGCCTAGTAACGGTTCCATGAGCCGCCTCCGACTCAAGTGTTTTCCCATCAGCGGACAACTGAACAGAACATATCATGTAAAAGACTTTTATTTGCAGAGAAAACTAAATCTTGGCTTTTGGTTTACGGTACAAACCAAAACAGAGGTCATGAGGCCTAATGAGCCAAACCCTACATTTGAAGAAGAAAAAAACAAGAAGTGTTGAGTATGCTATTTATTGGCTTAATCAAGACACAAGTAACAATTTAAGCATTGTGGTTTTGGATTTATACCTTGGGCAAGAAGATCGCTTTGAACATCACCGTCGTAATTTTTGCAAGCCCAGACATATCCACCTTCACTTTTTACTACGTAAGCCACCATGTCATCGATTAACCGGTGTTCATACCTAAAACAACAATGCCACTTGCATGTTACATTTACCAGATATGAAAAGAAAGAGGATGCATAAAGTAGATAAGAACAAAAATATATCAACCATATTGAGTGCTCTTCAAACTTGTCCTTCCAATTTGCTTCATAAACTTCTTGAAATATATCCTTGAACCTGTATTGTTCCAGGAAATATTTAGAGCAGCTCACTTAATGCAAAAACCGGAACTTAGAAATCACCAAGAAGATAGATACAAACCTGCCATCATATTTCTTGAGAATTGTGTTCTTGGTGCTCAAGTATAATGGCCATTTCTTAGCAAGTGCCATCGCCATAGATGACTCAGCAAAAGTTCTAATTGACTGGCATGTCACAAAAACACAGCACGGTTGTTACAAAGTAAAACAATCTTCACAACTAGAGTGAAAAACCCTAAACCAGTTAACGAAAGAACATACCTCATCTACGTTATACATAGCAAGAGCGACACCCGGGCCTTCGAAATCATATACATCGAGTTCCACAGGTGCGTTCCCATCTTCTGGGACTATTTATTTAGACAATGAAATAAATGCACTTACAATCTGCAGTATATGGTTGAAGAATCTCTATTATTTGATGGCTAGTTAGTATGACCTTACCAAAAACCATTTTCAGCTTTCCTGGCCCTTTAATCACTGCGTCAGTGGCACGATACTGGTCACCAAATGCATGCCGACCAATGCATATAGGTTTTTTCCAACCTGTAAAGTGAAAGTTTTTGGGTCCTCATGTGGTATTTCAATACAGATTCATAACAAGGCAGAATAATTTACCAGGAACAAGCCGGGGGATATTGGTGCACATGATAGGTTCACGGAAAACAGTTCCTAGAAAATATTGAAAGTTATGTTAAAATTTTTGAAAATTCAACGCCCAAAGAACCTGCAAACTGGATGAAATAACAAGTTGCAAAGCAATTTAACTAAGATGCTACGTTTTGGTAATACCATCTAAAATGTTTCTGATTGTCCCATTAGGACTCCTCCACATTGATTTCAGTCCAAACTCCTTCACTCTGCCCTCATCTGCAAAAAAATATATATATATATCGTAGGGAAGATTAGAAATGCTTCCTCTAAAGAGAACAAGGCAGCATATGTATTGCAAATGAGAGGACATCACAAACCAGGAGTAATAGTGGCACATTTGATAGCAACGTTGTACCTGCAAACAGAAAAGGTTTAAGCACTAAATCAGCTTATTTTCACATAGAGAAAGAGAAATATCGAATTTAGGCCACACAAAAGGCAATAATGTGTTGGTAAAAGAGTCTGCTAAGGAAAAATGTGAGGCAAAAACTAAAAGTTTGTATTCAGTCCATAAAATGTTTACGAATACCCCAAACATTACCAAAGAATATAAACCAAAGAATATGCAAAAAATCAGCAGCACTTACTTAAGAGCTGCTTCTGCACTTTCAACTGTAACCTTGTCATCAGTAGCATCCCGATTGAGAATCCCCAAGTCGAAGTACTTAATGTCCAAATCCAGATAAGGAAAAATCAGCTGCAAGCATAAGAAAGCGACGTATGTGTGAGCTCTGTAAGAAAATGTATCAAAATGGTGAGGACTTGGTGACAAACTACATCCTTACTTTCTCTTTTATCATACTCCATATCACCCTCGTCATTTCATCGCCTGAAATATCAAAATATATGCAAATTAAGTCAGTCTCTCGAGATATCAAAGTTAGCAAGGAACATAGGCAAATGATTTTTAAGATATCATCTCAACGGAATCAATTTGCTTACAACCAGTTTCAATTTAATGGACCCAAGCTTATCTTAGTAATGGAATTTCATGAAATAAATAAGTTTCAAATTCCAGGTAAAGAGAACACTAGCTGCGCGAAGAATCTCACCATCCATTTCGACGATTGGATTCTGAACCTGGATTTTATCAGAAGCGCCATAAGAGGCAAAACATCGAACAGATGAAGCGCGATGAAACTGAATGGGAAAAGAGACGCGGTTCCTCGAAGCGCCACCGGAGAACATACCGGAGCTGAGAAATCCCAGAGACTTCCATGAATTCCGGGGAGAAACTAACGAAGACGACAAAGCAGCAGAGGAAGATGTAGACGAAGATAACATGGTGGCGCCGGCACGGTACATGAAACCGCCGCGTGTGAGCTTGTTCAGCATCCGAGACTCCGCTCTTTCTATCAACTTCGATCACTGAATAGTGAATGCTTTGGCAAGTTTACTGCTTAAGCGTGCCCAGAACTTCAAAGAGATTCCGGCGAAATGGAAAGAGAACCGTATAGCTTATTTCAGTGGGCCCAGACTGAAACTTACGATACGAAAAGCCCAGTCAAACTATAAACCCAAACCGGTTCGAATGTAGCAAATTTGTAATCTGGTACGGTTTAACATATCCGGATTCGATTTGAAAAAGGAAAAGGAAAACCCTACGGAGTACAGAGGTTTTTCTCTTGTCTGGTCAGATTTGTTCGCACATAACATCACATAGTCATATCATTACACAAACTCCATTGTCAGCTCAAGTTCTAAGCTTTTCTGTCTTGATTGTCCTATGTAAGTATTTTCTCTGTCGTATTCGCTACTCTTACTGCTTCCATTCTGACAGAAGCTGTCCCTATCTCTGGTTAATTGTGTTTGCTTCCAGTTTATGAACCGCTTGTATCAGAAATTTGTGCTTCTTTATTGAAATTAGGGTTCCTGGATCTGTGAATTGGATTTCCTTTTTCATTCGTTACCGCTCATTCCGATATTTAGCTTTCTTCTTAGAATTTTTTAGTGTCACCAAACATTAAATTGTTTTTTCTTCTGTGCAGCTGATTCATTACGATTTTTTTTTGAATACTAACGTGGTTCTCTGTTTAAATGCGCATTGATAATGATGATTTGGATTATATATTGTATTGTTTCTGAGTAAAAATTGCGTTTTTTTTTTTCTTTTGTATTAACTCGGGACTTTGAATTTTCAGAACAGAAGCTGTATCTCAATCTACAAGTGATCCATTATCTCAAGATGTTACCAACCGAGTCAAAGAAGGCCTTATCTTTCAAAAGATGTATCGAAGATGGAGACTTAGTGATCGTTTACGAAAGACACGATGTGATGAAACCGGTTAGAGTAAGCAAAGACGGCGTGCTTCAGAACCGTTTCGGAGTGTATAAACACTCGGACTGGATCGGGAAGCCATTAGGAACAAAAGTGTTCAGCAACAAGGGAAAATTCGTGTACCTCTTGGCTCCCACTCCGGAGCTGTGGACGTTGGTTTTAAGCCACAGGACTCAGATTCTTTACATTGCGGATATCAGCTTTGTGGTGATGTACCTAGAACTCGTCCCTGGATGCGTTGTTCTCGAGTCAGGCACTGGAAGTGGTTCGCTTTCGACTTCACTTGCTCGAGCTGTGGCTCCGACTGGACATGTTTATTCATTTGATTTCCATGAGCAACGAGCTGACTCTGCAAGGTAGAAGAAGCTTTCTGTAATGTTTATCTCTCTCTTCTCGCTTTGCTTTTTTTCACTTAAAGTTCTGTTCTTTACTTTGCAACAGGGAGGATTTTGAGAAGACGGGGATTAGCAGTTTAGTGACCGTAGAGGTTAGAGACATTCAAGGAGAAGGGTTCCCTGAGAAACTCTCAGGTTTGGCTGATGCGGTGTTTTTAGACCTTCCACAGCCTTGGCTCGCTGTTCCTTCTGCAGCGAAAATGTTGAAGCAGGATGGTGTTGTATGCTCTTTCTCACCTTGCATTGAGCAAGTACAACGGACTTGTGAAGTCCTCAGATCAGAATTCATTGGTAAATTAATCCTCATTTACAACATCAAAAGGATTGCTTGTGGGTGGTTTGCTGTTTCCTAAGTTTCTTCAGTCTGATATTGTTTTGGTTGTGTGATGTGTTGAGTTTTGCAGAGATAAGGACGTTCGAGGTGCTTCTGAGAACATATGAAGTGAAGGAGGTGAAAGTGGATGATGGTCAGAGACAGGACGAGGACATTGGAGACGTGAGACCTTGCAAGAGAAAACACCGTTCAAACGAAGACAACACCGTTTCGCATGACAACTCTTCTGTTGCTCCTGCGGCAACCACTTCTGTGGTCATGGCTAGGCCTTGTAGCGAGGCTAGAGGTCACACCGGCTACTTAACGTTCGCAAGACTCCAGTGTCTATCTTAGTCGGGTATTTAATCGAATTTATCATGTATTAGATAATGCATGATTTTCCAATCATATTGTAGTTTTTTTTATGAAACAATTGTTGTGAATTTGATTGTTTTAATACAATGTTTTAGAACTTGGTAATTGCAAGACCAACTTTCCTTTTTTGTCTGAATAATAGTAGCTTCTACAGATAATTGTAAATTGTAAATCTAATCACATGTTTAAATAGATTGCTAACCAAGTAATATAAATTTAGAAACGCGGTTCCTTTTCTTGAAGGGAGAGGGAGACGACAAGTAATGCAAAGCCTATAAATATCTAAGCTTCTGTTGGCTTCTGTTCCCCCGCACAATTCGATTACCAGACACCTCTCAGTCTCTCACGAAGGAAAGAAACCGACTCTTCGAAATCCTGAGATCGAATCCATTCTCTTTTCTTTTTCTTCCTCTTCGTTTCCCTTTTTCCATCAGGAGCTAATGTGTCCGTTGAGGTTCGTAGTAGTGTTCTTCTCAGTTGTACTCGCCGGGTATTTCGCGTGGCGCACGGTGAATTCTTCGCCGGAGCTTATCTCAGACGACTCACCAGCTGCAGCCAAGGATGAGCAAGGAGGACTCGATCTCAAAAGGAAGATGGGTGATGGGTTCCGGATGTTTGTTGATATGGCTAGCGGAAGGTACCTTTGGAGAAATCTCAAGGAGATGAGTCAGAAAAGTCAATGAAGAAGAGAGAACAAAATTTCGTCTGCTTTGGCGCCTCTTTTGTAGTATTAGTTCTTCGTTCTCGTATCTCATAGATTTCAAATTGTAATGTTAGCTTTTGTCTCCTTTTAAAAGTAAAAAACCTTCAAACTTTTATTTTTGGTACCAAAGACTTTACTCGTGTAAGAGATATGGAGACCATCCAATAAAATCCTTCGCCGCTAGGACTAGCAACTATGTAGCCCTCTCAAAGACTACATATTTAAATCCAAGATTATACAAACAGAACATAGTCCACAGGAAATCGGTTGTTTCTGCTTCTAACGAAGATTGAATTGTAAGGTAAGCTTTTGTTCCGTACCATAGAAAATTTTCCTTTTCATCACAAGTACAAATCCCAAAACCACATTTTTCACATTCTACATGCCAAGAAGGCAAGCAGCATCAATAATACGTATTTTTTCTTCTAGCAAAATTCGTTACAAAGTAGCTAAAACTAGTTGGGCCTAATTATAAGGACTAAGTTAATGTAGTAAGGCCCATTTGTTTACTTAAGCCCGCTAAGGTATTTGGGAGATATTTGCTTTAAAACGTGAATTGTTGGAAACGAACAGGCACGTATTTTTCACTTTCTCTGCGCTCCGTCTCTGTGGCGTAGATATTCTAGAGAGTGAGAGAGTGGATCATAGGTCTCTGTGGTTTTTTTCTTCGGCTAATCGGCAACATCTCTCCCCAGTGAAATCGAGTAGGTGTTTTCGAAACTTACATTTTAGATTTGGGTTTTTCGTTGTGCTGAATCCCGGTATCTCTCACCTGATTCGATTTCCGTACCATTTCCGGGTAGTTAGGGATTTTAGCTGCATTTTATCGTTTTCGTAGTTTCTCGGCTAGATTTTCCGTGTGTTGTTCGTGTTTCGTTTCGTTGTATGGTGGAATCTGTTCTTTTGCATGCTAGGGTTTTCGTTCGAGTTGTTTTCGAATCTGTAAAGCTATGCCATTTGCTGTCTTTAGAGTCAAATGTAGTGTAGTTAGGGTGCCAAGATACGTTTTTTCTCTTGCTGTTGTTTCATTTGACTGAAGCTAATAATCGCTTTTGACATGTTCTTCTCCCAGGACTTTTGAGTAATGGCTGCCACAGCTACTGCTTCTACAATCCGTTACGCACCTGAGGACCCAGATCTCCCTAAGCCATGGAAAGGCCTTGTGGATAGTAAAACTGGCTACTTGTACTTTTGGAATCCGGAGACCAATGTTACTCAGTACGAGAGACCACCTCCTCCCAAGCTCTCTGCCGTTCCACAAAGCTCTCCGGCTCAGACTCAGCAACCTTCCTCTGGATATGCCCGTGTGTGCAGTCCTCGAAAAGAGGAGGTGGATAAGTATAGCAGGGGCAGTGATGGGCCTAAGACTGACTCTGGCTCAAGGTTTACTGAGGTAGTAATCTATCTCTGTTATTCTACCATGTATACCAGTTGTTCATGGTGCTTGTTGTCGTTGCCGTTTTATCCCTTTTGGTCTTCCTGTATCTGAAAATTCTCCTTCATTTGGGACAGGCTAGCAGAAGTGGACCAATGAATTCCAATGATGCTGCTTCTGGTGGATTAACTGCCACAAGGCCTCCTTCTTCAGCTGCAGGAAACGAATTGTCCCCAGAGGCCTATTGCCGCCGCCATGAAATTACTGTCACGGTAAGTACATATGTGCCTTCTCTTGGAAACCCTTCATTTTCGTGTCTCTGGTTTTTATCTGTTTACTTTCTCTCCGAGGGGGTACACAAACCATTCACATGCCTATTATGTTGGTTAGAGAAATAGCTATTGACTTTATAAGTGTCTATATCCTACTGACTCTGGTATTCATTTTTTTCATTATTGCTAGGGAGGCCAAGCACCACCACCTTTTATGTCTTTTGAAGCCTCTGGTTTCCCTCCAGAACTTCTGCGGGAGGTATGAAATCATCTTTCTTTCCATCTCACATCAGCTTTTTTTATCCTCGCACTGTTTTTGGTTGTAGAAATTGAATATGTCTATTTCGCATTGCACTGCTAGTGAGCTAGACAGTTTGAGTTTCTTTTTATTTCTCTTTTGGATTCCATTGTTTGTCTGTCTGATGAAAAAAATTGTTTCGTCTAAGATTGTAGACTTTTTTTATGTCTATGAGTTTTTACTGTTTTTGTTTGGGGGAGTGGGCTATAGTGTTTTCCCATACTGCTCTGCTAGTGAGCAGCATTTTGATTTTTTTTTTTTTGCTGGATTTAGTGTTTTAAGAAGGGAGCTATTTTGCATACAATCGCAGATTGTTATCATATTGTCCAGCCATACATGTCTTCGAGAGTCTTATAAATATAGAATTTAGAAGTTACCGGGGGGTCTATGTTGAGTAGAGTCACAATTTTATGCCATATGCACTCTGTTGTCCCAGGTGCGATATTTGCTCTTGGAGGAGCTAATGTCGTACGCTGTGCCACTTCTTTGGGGTCCTTGCAAAATATTTGGAGAGCCCTTTTTGGTGGACCAAATGTTTTGGTAAGGGCTTTCAAATTCACCCAAAGCTCGTGGCAGAACCTTTTGATGTTGATGATTCATTTTCCCGTTGGGTCTAGACAGAAGTAGATTCGTCCTCCTGCTGCATGGTTTCAATAGCCACCTTTTGTTGCCTGCAAATGGGAGGATGATGCTTCTAGAACCTTTGTGTTCCTCTTCTGAAAAGGGCATCCTGGTTTTTTGTTTTTGCAGGTATACAGTGCAGGATTCTCAGCCCCATCTCCAATCCAAGCTCAGTCGTGGCCAATTGCGATGCAAAACAGAGACATAGTGGCCATTGCTAAAACAGGCTCTGGAAAAACTCTGGGTTACTTGATTCCAGGCTTCATGCATCTTCAGCGGAACCGCAAAGATTCAAGAATGGGCCCAACGATCTTGGTATTATCACCTACTAGGGAGTTGGCCACACAAATCCAAGTTGAAGCTGTGAAATTTGGGAAGTCATCAAGAATCTCGTGTGCTGTAAGTCCAACTCCTTGAATCTGTAATTACTCAACTCGAGTAATATCTTATTGAGTCTTATTCCCGATGTTTCTTTGTAGTGCTTGTATGGTGGAGCACCAAAGGGTCCGCAGCTGAGAGAAATAGAGAGAGGTGTAGATATTGTTGTTGCAACTCCAGGGCGATTGAATGATATCCTTGAGATGAGGAAAATCAGTCTACAACAAATATCTTATCTCGTGCTAGACGAGGCTGATAGAATGTTGGACATGGGGTTCGAGCCTCAGATCAGGAAAATTGTGAATGAGGTTCCTACTAAGCGTCAAACCCTCATGTACACAGCGACATGGCCAAAAGAGGTCAGGAGAATAGCAGCTGATCTGCTGTCTAACCCTGCCCAGGTCAACATTGGTAATGTCGACGAGCTTGTGGCAAACAAGTCCATTACTCAGGTTTGGATTAGATTCGATTTCATTAGTCACCCTGGTTTTGATACTGTGAGACATAATTAACATTAATAGATTTGATGGTTGATCTTATTTGATACAGACTATTGAAGTCATACCACCGATGGAGAAACAAAGAAGGCTAGAGCAGATATTGCGGTCTCAGGAACCGGGTTCCAAGATTATCATCTTCTGCTCGACCAAAAGGATGTGTGACACTCTCGCAAGGAACCTGACTCGCACGTTTGGAGCTGCTGCTATACATGGAGACAAGTCTCAGCCTGAGAGAGACGATGTTCTGAATCAATTTAGAAGTGGCAGGACTCCTGTTCTTGTTGCAACCGATGTAGCTGCTCGTGGACTTGATGTTAAGGACATCAGGTATATGAATCTATATATGATTCCGTTTCCAAATTTGTTTATCATAAGAAAGTTGAAAGAAATGATAGTAATGGAGAATCTTGATACACAGGGTGGTGGTTAACTATGATTTCCCCAATGGAGTTGAGGATTATGTGCATAGAATCGGACGAACCGGGAGAGCTGGAGCAACTGGTTTAGCCTACACCTTCTTCGGTGACCAAGATGCAAAACATGCTACAGATCTGATCAAGATCTTGGAAGGAGCAAACCAGAAAGTCCCACCAGAGGTTCGCGAAATGGCTACACGCGGTGGTGGTGGAATGAACAAATTCCGCCGCTGGGGTACACCTTCTGGTGGCGGTGGTGGTGGCCGTGGAGGAGGAGGTGGTGGCTATGGTGACTCTGGTTATGGTGGCCGTGGTGGTGACTCTGGTTATGGTGGCCGTGGAGGTGGTTCAGGTTATGGTGGCCGTGGAGGTGATTCTGGCGGGAGAGGAAGCTGGTCTTCATCGCGTGACAGGTAAAGAAAAATAGAAACGACTCCACTGGATCTGATTACTGCTATTGTGTTCATAGAAACTTAAAATCGGTTCTTTTGTGTGGTTGATGCAGTGGCAGCTCAGGATGGGGAAGAGAGAGAAGCCGTAGTCCAGAGAGATTCAACAGAGGTGGTCCACCACCGTCTTCGACTTCTTCTCCACCTCGCAGCTTTCACGAGGCGATGATGATGAAACAAAGATAACTTATTGGTTTTTGGACAAGATCGTGGGGTATATATATAGATTTTATATTAAAGAGCCCCTCTTTCGGTTAACTATCATTTTGTGGAATGTGTGTGGAGCCAAGACGTTATCATTACTTTTAAGTTTTAACAACCACACACCACGAAGAAGAAAGATACTTCTAATGTTTAGTCGACTACGGAGAAACCTTTTTTTGTTTATAACAAATAACTCCTTTTGGCTTCTTCTTTGTTGGTGTTTATGTAGGATGCTATAAGACTTTGATATTATTTTGAAGTAACAAGTTTGTTTTGGTTATTGGTGTTTCTAAATGTGTCGTCCTTCTATATGCTTGCTGAGTTGCTGCTGTTATGAAATCTATCTTGTCACTTTATTAAATTGGAGAATGCCTTCGACGACACAACAACGGTCAAGCTTGTTTTTGTTCCTACGAAAAAATTACTTGAAAATAACTTGTCAATCTGGACCATGTTTTCTTTTTGGATCTGGGCCTTTAGCAGTTACAAGGTCTACTAAATTTGTAATCAAACACACGCTAAACGCTAAAGAGCACAATCAACAATAGACGCATGTCTTCTTCAACTCGACTCGACTACAACAACAAAATCCAGAAGATAATGACACAATAATAAAGTTCAGAGGTCTATTTTTATTTATTAAAGACTTATCCTAGTCAGACCAGATAACAATAACATAACAAAGTTCAACGAGGTTTTTTCCCAACATGATCAAGATCACCTTCTCATTCTGGCTGTTGTCTCACGAACCACCTCCAAGATCCTGCAGTACTCAAAGAACAAGATAGAGTGGTCACCATCAAGACCACTCCTGGTTACTCTGTTACCACCAGCGAGGTTGTTGCACGGACTACCTCCTATGACGAGATCAAACCCGCCATACTTCTTCATCAAGTCTTCAATTGTGTCGTTAGTCATCTCCTCCACGTCTGCATACTCGATCAAGAGTCCTTTCTGCTCTGTCTGCTTCCAGAAGTCCTTCAAGATGGTTCGGTTCACTTCAGATATCTCCACGGAGACGACTACTTTCATCGGGATTTGCAGCCGGTGTAGCGCCACTTCTGCACCACCGATGCCAGTGAACAGTGACAGAACGTTTATTCCGTTAGGAAACAATGGTTTCAGGGCAGATAGATGATATGCCACAGTATCCACCTAAAACATGTGCAAACATTTAACCACAGTTAAAACCACACTATTCCACAAATTCAAAACTCAAAGCCAAGCTTTCAAACTGTGAATGCAAAGATGCGGTGTTGTTGTAAAGAAGTTACCTGGAAAGAATTCCCCAGTGACTTCAAGCGCACGGTCCTACTAACTCCACCACCTCGTGTATGGTTTTTAGGAAATCCCAGAAGATTCTCCATTTCATCTGGCTCGAGTGGGGCTGTTTTGTTTGGTCCCACCCATACAAGGTTCCACCTCCTGCATTGGTCAATGACATACTTTCTTACATGAGCAGGCGGTTCACCAATATGAGGCTCAAGGGCTTCGCGGATCCTTTTGGTTAACTTGGCGCTACCATAAACTGTCACTACGCAGTTCAGCTTGGTTCTTTTGTCCCAGGTTGGCCACCACTTCTTGCTCAGAGGAAACGCATCGGAAATTGTGTACTTTGGAGGAGGCTGAATCTGAAATCTGTTGTTGATGGGGAGATTGTGTACATAGCCTCTCTTTCTTGCTGCAGCACATATGTACTTTGAGTCTACAAACTCCGGCTCAACGTCAAACAAATGCCTTGAGATCGTCTCCCAAACGCCTTTAGGTGCAAGAGCTACGTTTTCATAGTAGAAGAACGGTGGGCGTAGAGCTGTGGCAGGGAGTGATCTGTGTGTGATGAGCCCTGGCTCGTTTGGAAGTCCAAACCCTATCATCGGATTCGGTAGGCGAACCTTCTCCTCAGCAGTAGATGAGCTAGGCTTTCTTCTTGAGTCTATCCGCCTCTTCTTGGCGTCATGTCTAGGCTGTATACACCAAATTCTAGATTATATGGCTGCTTTCCAAAGAACAAAATAACAGTTTCCCACAAGTGCCATTTTTATATCTATACCTTTTTCTCTTCAGGGTCAGCGTGAAACTCGTCAAATGATCGAGCCAACTGAGCAGCCCAGATAAAGTCTGCGAGCTCTTCAACGCTCACCTTGTCTCCTGAAATTTTGATCAGAGAAGTCTAGATAAGTTTTAAGAAGGCGATAACACATGTTATATATGTTCAGAGATATATATAAACACATCTAAGAACTGTATCAACTACTGAAACACGATCACAATATTATAGAACCGGGGCATAAGACCACGAATTCACACCAGATCAGATAGCTAAGTATGATTTGATTTAACCATTGGGTTTATGCCACCTCCTCCGGAAGAGAACAAAATAAAAAAGAAGTGATGAGTTAAAGAAAGATTACCGCATCTCTCCAGAGCTAGAGAAGCTTCGAGCTTCGAGAATCCCATTTTCACCAAAGAACGAAATTTATCGGGGGAGTCTGGATCAATCTGTCATGGTTGAAGAAATGCACATCGTAAAATATTCAGCAAATAACACTGAGATACATTTATACAATTGATCCGTGTGATGATGCTAGATATATGTAATTACCACCAAGAAACCAACATACCTCATCATCTGAGAACAATAAATCGCAGTAATTCATCTCCTCATCACTGTCAGACCAGTCTATGTCATTCTCTTCTTTTACTTCTGGCAATTTCCCTTCTTTTACTACTGGCAAATTCTCTTCTTTTACTGTTGGCAGCCTCTCTTCTTCCTCCTACAAACCACCAACACAGTTTAAGATCTCTTCTTAGTGTTTGGAGACATTATATCTTTGCAAAAATCACTTACCGCAGAAGAGATGAGTGCATTTCCTATTAGTTCCATATTGTCTTCTCCTGCGAGAGTTATAAAAGCAAATGTCAAACAGGTCATAACAAAAATTTACTCCTTCCTTAAGAAAAAAGCAGATATGTAATTACCGTGCTCATGAATGGCTTTGATCACCTTTTCCTCATCAAATCCCATTGCAAGGAAGTAATCAATAGCCTTCGACTTGGACGAACCAGCTTCAGATTCACTCTTCACAAAAGAAATACAAGAGAAATGAGAAAATACACTAATCTAAAAAGACTTCCAAAACTGTTATGACATGAGCACATGAGATTTAAAAGCGATCCAGATATTGGAAACTCACTGAGTACTTCAAGACAGTCTCAATAATCACTGAAGCGTCTGCATTTGGTCCTACAAAATCATTCACATAACATCACTGATAAACCTGTGTATTCAAATACGAACATAACCAAGAGTAAAAAACCTCACCATTTTCCTTGATTGCTCTAGCGATCATATCCATGGAATATCCCATTTCCACCAATGTTGCAAACGTCTGGTCTGAGGATCCCATCTGAACTAAATCGGGAGTTGTCTCAGTAGGAGAGCTCGAAGAAGTGGGTGTCTGATATTATAAACAAGAAAAAATTGCATTAAGGTAGGATGAAGATATATCGTTGGGATTCAATGTATAAGAACACCACTTACCACAGCTCTCGGCTTTACAGAAGACTTTAATAAGATCATTTTCTCGACCTCCAAATCATCATCTGTGTTCCAGTCAATGTCGTCATCACCAGAAGAAGAAGAATCTTTCGCCATTGTTGTAGTGAGCTGATGGGCTTAAGAGAATGCAATTGAGCTTCAAGTTTGGATCTTGAGTGTACCTGCCAAAATTATCATCTCGAGTGTCATAAATGTGCAATCCAGTGCATGGCCTCCAAATATTTTACTTCTACAGAGTCTAACATGTTCTCGGAAATCAACGAAACGCGGAACAAAGCAGCATAAATATCAAAATTTTGAGAATTTCAGAGCAAAAAGTAACTGTAAAAATCGGATTTTGAGAAGTATAGCAGACGAATTTGAGCTCAGCGCCAGCAAAGTTTCTGAATTTCAGTTCGAGTTTCCAAAAAAGATATAATGCAGCTAAAATCCTAAGTACCCGGAGAGATGTTGCCGATTAGCTAAAGAGAAAACCCACAGAGACTATGAAATCGATAAAATGCAGCTAAAATCCCCAACTACCCGGAAATGGTACGGAAAATCGAATCCGGTGAGAGATATAGGGATTCAACTCGACGAAATAACAAAAATCTACAAAGTAAAGGTCTGAAAACACCTACTGGATTTCACTGCCGAGAGATGTTGCCGATTAGCCGAAGAAAAAAGTCACAGAGACCTATGATTCACTCTCTCACTCTCTAGAATATCTACGCCACAGGCCCACAGAGAAGGAGCGAGCGTATAGAGAGTGAAAAAAAATACGTGCCTGTTCTTTTCAACAAACTAGGATTTTCACCCGCGCACGCGCGGGTCTGTATCTTAAATTGGTTTAAAATATATTCTTAAATATTTTTTTTTTAAACTGCAAAAATCAACAATTAAAATTTAACAATATTTCAGTACCAAAATTCTCTGAAAAACAAAAGTTTTTAGATATATAATATGGTGTTGAGATAAAATCTTGACATCCTAAAATATTGTTTAGATCATATCCCGATAACAAAAATGTGTGTGTATGTCTAATGACCAAAACTTACTTGAAGATATTTAAATCATTATAATAAGATATTTATATGTTGTAAAATGTAATGTTAATTTATGAACTATTGTGACGTGATAATCATTTTCTAAACAAAAATATATTTTTAAATATGTATAGTGAAATTCTTAAAATTAGTTGTCAATAGTATTTGTATGTAACACGATGTTTATTTAAAATAACTTCAATTTGTTATGTTATAACTTAAAATGATATAAATAACATATAATTTATTTTTCAGTACATTTAACTTACACACTGTGTTATTAGTTTATAAACTTTGATCATAATAGTATATATTTAGCTTTTATATAATATAAATTATATATATTTTTTTATGGCTTAAAGAAAATTTAAATCATTATTTGTTCAATGTTGACTTTTTGTTAGTAATTTTTTCACGTTTTTTATGCGTTATGGTATACATTTCTTTTTAGAAGTAGTTTTATATTAATGTTTACTTGAATATTTCCGCCTTAAATCTGTTTATAAATACATTCTTGTTCAAAAAATTTGTTAGTTACATATTTGTTTAAAAATTGCAAAATTCAGTTAGTGTTTATTTAATTTCAAAAATGGTTATTAACTCACCTCATATCATGTTTCTAATCAAATCGAGTAATCATATTTGACAAGTTTATACTACACCAAAAATGAAATTATTTCCTTTTGAATTTGATGGCAAAAACTTTATCTTGACCGATCAAACTCTGGCTGCTCATGGAATTGATACACTGCAATCATTGTGACCATCAAAGAAACAATATTCCATATCTTCTTCATATGTCTTTTACAGTATGAGTCTTGGATGAAGCCCTGCTTATCAATAAACTTATGGCAAACTCATACATTTTTCAGAAAATCTTAGAAGATGTAGAAGAACTGATTATTCTACCCTAATAGGTTTATTGCCTATATCTTTTTATCCTTATATATTTTGCCATTTTTGGAAGGTTCGTGTTTTTCTCTATTTGAAAATCGCTATTTACATGTAGATGAAATCTCTTAAAAGATATGAAGAATAACTAAGATAAATTTTTGGTGTAATATTTACATCGTAGATATGAAGAGTAACTAAGATAAAATTGTTTTATCGTAGATATGAAGCTACGATGAACTAAATATTATGTAGTATGCTATTGTTTTCTTGATTTTTTTGTTTTAGCTCCCAAAGCTTGATCTCTCTCATCACCTAAAAAAACTGCAAATGAACTCATATGTCTTCTATACGATATTACACATTTTCGTTTCTATCTCCATTTTTTTATTCATAGATTATGTAATGTTGAGATCGACTCTTTTGCAATGTTGGCTTTATTTGCTTATAACAATTCTTCAGTTATTATGGTGTAACCTATTCTTTATTTGTAAAAATTTAAGTTTCGTCAAGGATCACCTTAAGCTTTATTTAATTCTTTATAACTAATATTTTAATTATACAATTCTTTTTTATATAGTTTTTAAAAATTTAGTTAGTTATCATTTTTAACAATAATTTTTAAAAATACTAATTTAATTACATTGGATTTGTGGAGTTTCTAATTTAAACATGTTCTATTAATACTATTGGTTGTTTAAAATTTGGAAAATTTCTTAATTTTATATAAATATGTGGAATGATACTATTAGTTGTTTAAAATTTGGAAACTTTCTTAATTTTATATGTGATGTGGAATTATACTATTGGTAATTTAATATTTGGAAATTTTCTTAATTTTGAAGATGCTTTATAACCAATAAAATCATGTTTTATAATCCTATGTGTGACGTCTTCAATGCCTTATAGCCTCTATAGATATCTCATCACAATACCTTAGCGGGCTTAAATAACAATGGGCCTACTTATATAAACTCGGTCCACATAATTAGGCCCAACTAGTACTAGCCATTTTGTAATGAATGTTATTGTTAGATGGATAAAAATATGTACTATTGGTGCTTCTTGCCTGCTTGTCGTGTAGAATCTGAAAAATGTGGTATTGGGATTCTACTTTGTTATGAAAACGAAAATGCTATATGGTACGGAACAAAAGCTTACCTTAAAAAATTCAATCTTAAGACCGTTACATACAGACATTTAAATTCAATCCTCATATATAAAGTAGAAAATTATTCAGCATTTAAATAAATAATACATCATCCGTGGCAGGACACAATACACAGCACTGATACATAGTCGATAAAACCTAATGTAATAATCCTGAGAAGCTAACTTCATTACTTAAGAGACAGAGGAAGTAACATTGATCAGCATATGCATACATCATATATTTAGTGTTTTGGAGAGTGAGAGATTTAAAGGCCGAGGAAGGAACATTGTTTCCGGGCGTGGTCCGGTATAAGCTTGGACAACAACTCTACGCTTGCTCCTTTAACCTCTACAGTTTCACAAGAAAACCAAAAATACACACACTTTTAAGTTTAATCTTCTTAAAAAAAAATAAGTAGAATTGCAAAACAAAATGGGAGAAGGCAAACCAAACCTTGAGGCTTAAAGTTGAAGAGAGGAGGCAAGGGACGACCATTAGGTAGACGTGTACTGGGATCACGTAGCTCATCGAAAAACGGGTGAACTATTGCCTCCATCTACAATCACAAAATGTGTTATTGAACACTTTGCATCAACCAAATGGATCTCTAAAACGTAATGTTAAATGCGAATCAGTAGAGATTTCATGGACTTACAGCCGTTGATCTGAGGTTTGGAGAATACTGGAGAAGTCTTGAGACGAGGTCTACAGCTTCTGGAGGTGTACGCTTATGGAATATCTTTTAGGAACACAAGAACAAATTTTCCATCAGCAATGCGAAAACAATGAATATGGAGAATGTTGAGAAACTTATGAATATCTTTGCTTACTTTGTGCCAAGGATGAGCTTTTATCTGAGGGAACTTGAATTCAGTGTAGTTTGGATTCATACATTTGATCTCCTCTCGAGTTGGTGTTCCAAGAACCTGTAAACAAGCAATAGAAAAACAATTAATCACAAACAATGGTACTAAATGAAGCCTCTTCATAGATAAATTATCGGTTTAAGCATACCTTAATAATCTCGACTAGCTGGTCGACTCCACTCTCACCTGGAAATAGAGGCTATCCAAGAGTTGGACCAGCCAAGGATTGGTACAACTTAACTTTAGACATCATTCGGTGATTAATAATCAGAAGTAAATAAAGGGAATTTGGGACAATCAAAACTACCTGTCCAAGGAGCAATTCAGCAAGAACACAGCCTGCAGACCATATATCAATAGCTGTTGTATATTCTGTGGCTCCAAATATAAGTTCAGGTGCTCTGTAGTAACGGGAGCAGATATATGAGATGTTTGGTTCGCCTTTGACCTGTCACAGAGTGGCATAGCTAAAATGGTTACTACAGTTTATGTTATTCTTCTATCAACAAAGATAAGGACTAGTACGTAACATTTTATAGCACCATAAATGTGCAGCTTTTTCATAAGAAAACAAAATCAACATATCTCTTTATTCATGGAAGATGCTTTACCAGAACTTTTGCGCTACCAAAATCGCAGAGCTTGACTTGATGTGTATGAGGATTAACCTACGAGAAACAAAATATCAATGAGGCAGAAGCATGTAGATCATGCAAAGTTTTGACCAACATCTCAGCCTAGGACACTAACCAGAAGATTCTGTGGTTTTATGTCTCTGTGGCAGACTCCTACTCCTCCATGAATATATGCCAAAGCCCTGCAAATCTGCATCCACAACAGAAAAATCATTGCAACCAACACTGAATAAACTATCATAATTCAAAAGACCAGAACACATATTATCGTTAGATGAACCATAAATTACCTGATATGTATAGAGTTTAACATATATCATGGGCATCCTCTGATTTGCTCGACTGTAGTGCTTTGAGACGCGATAGACAGTCTCAGGAACGTATTCAAGGACCAAGTTGAGATACAGCTCATCTTTCTCCGTCGTTGAGAAAAAGCAATGCTTGAGGGACACGACGTTAGGGTGATCAAGAAGGCGCATCGTCTGCAGCTCACGGTTCTTGTATCTCTTGTCTTGCAAAACTTTCTTGATTGCAACAGTTTCCCCCGTTTCCAAACACTTTGCCTGCATATATACAAGTACAAAAACCGAGTTTATTCACCAGCCACTAACTTAGTAAACTCAACTATTCAAGAGTATGTAATCGAAACACCACCTGGAATACAATTCCAAATGAACCTTGTCCAACGATACGCTCTGCCATGTAACTTATGGTCTGAAAAAGGGCCAAAAGAAAAACAGTTATCAGATATTTTCTCATTACACACTAGACACTACAGCAATTGCAAGTTATCTAGTTTCAATGCGAAAGATTTAGTCTTTGTTTCACTATGTGTATTCCTCGAACATAGTGTTACACAAACTAACCTGTTTAGGCTGACCATTTTTACCACCAATAGTTGTAACGATGATGTGACCAGTTTCAGTTCCGTTCCCATCAACCACAGCTGCTTCCATTTCCTAAAAAGAGTTCAGCAACCAGTTAACACATTAGTAACAAAATAGAAAGAGTCCCAAGTCCGATCAAGCTTAAATCTTTGAATCTGAGTTATTCAACCTTATCATCTTTAATCTTCATCTCATTAATCCCTTCAGGTAGTTTGTCAGCGCATATAGAAGCATTGTTCTGTTTTGTAGCCATAGAAGAAGGTAATGTTCCCACAGACGCCATTTTTCAACAGCTTCAATTCAGTTCAATTCGTCAATCTGTTAAGGCCAAAACAAAAACGACAAACAGAGTTGATAAGTTATCGCTAAAATTCCTTCACACGACCAAAAAATTGGAACAAAATGAGCAAGTACAGAGACTGTGAAGAAGATCTGAAAGTTAAAAAATTAGCTACATTTAAGTCCGATCCAGTTAACATAGATTCAGGCGGATAATATATGCAGACTTGTAACGCTCCTAACGAGAAGAACACTTATTTAACAAAACTTAAAGTTCCAATTCCATAATCTCTCGGCGTGAAGCTACAAAAGTGAACAAAACAAAAGAGCAAACCGCCACGTCGGTCATACCTGAGTGTCTCCGGCGCAATATCACTCGAACATCTTGTGCCGGCAGCAAGTAGAAGCACTAGAAAACTCTTCCTTGCCGGAAAATGACAAATCTTTTCTCGGTGTTGTGTTTTTCTGAGTTTTTTCTCTGTATTTTGGTTTTGTTTTTCTTCTGATGGCAGAGAAAGCGGACCCCAATAGGTAGTTTCAAAGTTTTAGTTGATAGTTAGTTTTGACGTCCGCGCTTGAGGAAGAGTATCCCTACACGTGGCGTGTTTTGGTTGGAAATACTAAGACTCACGTCATTTGTGTTGACTGCTTTTAATGTGTTTGAATTTCTTTCCTGCAGTTGGATGTATGGTAAGCTTCTCTTATAGACGGTTAGATTTAAGTGAGGAAAAGTGACTAGGAATAATCGACGGTTACGATTGAGAAGAGTAGGAAACGTGTAGTGAAGCACTGCGTACGTTGATTCTCGTTCCTCACTTTTTCGGTATTTGTTAATTGTGAATGTTGTTTTGTCAGAGAAAAGGAAAATCTGTAATTACGAAATCGCCAAGTCAGCAGCATAAAAACGACAAGAATTGACTCGCTAAACGATGTCGTGTCCTTACTCGACCGTTGTTCACACACGAGATCGATCAGCCTTAAAATAATATGGGCTGCTAATGGGTCAATAATGTTAACTGGGCTTTGTTTTTGTTGAATGTCAAGCTTTATCATCGCTTCGTTGGATATTGTTAATTATCATCGTTTCGTTGAATATTGCAAGTGATTGTGTGAGTGTGACAACAATTTGATAGGATTTACTGAATTACCAAGATTATATAAAGAAAATGGTTACGACAAAAGAGTGAGTTTCGTACACGATATTGGACAAAACCATCAGACAAATTGGCGTTATACACAGCAATGCCTTGCGTTTGCGTACAAATCCCAATCATGTAAACATTCAAATAAACGTTGACAAAAAACAACACGTGATTATAAAATAATGTAATTTATGTACGCCTATGCACAGCTATAAATTTAGATTATACGAAATTACATTGCATTGTTTACCATAAAACAAGAATGTAACAATCGTTACATCAAATCACGGGTTAATATACATAATGGAACAGTTTTCAAACATTACGTCTTACGCGACTTGTTGCGCTTACCAGAATTATTCTACCGAGTGCTAGAAAATATTGTTCATGTGAATTGCGAGTTATGATCTTGTGACTACTTCCCGTGAAGTGCTATCCAACTTTTTCTTCCCCCACCGTAAAATATATACACATTTTTTACCACCAAATATTTCCTCTTCCTCGTGAAAAAACATTTGAACCAGCCATATGATCAAAATAAAGCTTGTTTATTAGAGCAGCAGAAATTTAGAAATATGCAGCTTACCTACCCCGTACTTAGGACAGGAAATCAGTTACTTGGAACCATTTTATTTTATATGATCACACTTTCAACTGCCAAAAGCAACAAATAATTAATGAAACATGGTAACAACAGTTTTAAAAAAATCCAGTTGTTAAATTATTTTAGTTTTGGTGACCAATAGGCTTCTCAAGATCATGAAATCAAATAGAATAATTTTGAACAAACGTATTGTCAACGTCAACGCATGGGATGCATACGCGTAACAACGTGCTAAAACATACTCCATAGCAGCCTATATCCTTCCACCTAGGGCTGCATGCATACAAAGTGTATCTTCATATCACGAGTTCAATTTCATACATTGACATACCATAAATCCCACATGTTGTTCTGATATTCTGTCTATAGCAAAAAACAGAAAACCGTGCATCCTATATATTGTCATGTTACTAATGGGATCTTTGAATATTCATGAGTTGAAGATAACGGATTAACAGATTTAATTACCGTTCAAAAAAGATTTGGTGACACCATAGATCATTTAACCTGAATTACGGTGCTTGATTTAAGGAACTAAAAATTAAAAAGATTATCTTATGCTGAGGTAGGTTTACGTGACATACCTGTAAGTCTGTAATTATATGGCAACTTTTCTTGACTCTTCGTTAAAGCCTTCGACATTGCCTGATAAATGGATTTTGGTTCACTAAACCGAAGAGCTTACCAAGACCGGTTAATTATCTGACCAGACCCATGTTCTGTTATAAACGAAAGTGATCAGTTGTTTCTAGCGACTCGGAACTGCACACAGACCTCTATATCAGTAATACATAGCCATTTAATGAAACTTTGAATTAATGCTAGAGAAGACTAAGATGTTTATAGCTACCAGAACAAATTCCAAGTAATATTCTAGAAGAAATCAAAGGCAAATCGTTAGTTCAAATTGCTGATATTGTATGATGATATTCAACAACAAATCCCAAGTTAACCGTGATGGTGCGGTCAATAAAACAAGTTGATCAAGTAAGTAAACCAATCAGCATTTTATTTCATTTGCCAATTAAATTAAATATAGCAAATGAGTAAGAACATGCTTGAAGAAGAAGAGAGTTCTAAGGCTTTTTGTCCTCATCCAACTGTTTTAACTGTATCATGGATTCATAACTCAAATGCGTAATAGTGTCTTTCACTACTTATAAATATGAGCCTCGCTTCTCTCCATACCATATCTAAAAACACTCTTCCTAGAATCAAATTCTTTTTCGATGCTCAACATGTATAGACTAAACATGAAATGCCTTGCCCTGAATTTTCTCCTTTCAATCTCGTTATTCTCTTGGAGTTTCGAGACTTGTGAGGCTAGGTACAGTGTATACTGGAGAGGAAACCGCAGGTCTATCGCCGAAGGGAAAACTTCCGGAACATTCAGTGTCCTTGACTATGGTGCAAAAGGTGATGGGACAAGTGATGACACGAAGGTGAAATGAGCATTTCTCTATGGTTGTATATACCTGTTTTACCGATAAATAATGGAATCATACAGTCCAAAAAATAAAGATTTTAATGATCAACGTACCAATAAATATCGCAGGCTTTTGAAGATGCTTGGAAGGAAGCTTGTAAAGTGGCAGCATCGACATTATTAGTTCCATCTGGTTCTACGTTCCTTGTTGGACCTGTTTCCTTCCTGGGGAAAGATTGTAAAGAGAACATCGTGTTTCTGTTAGATGGAAAGATCATAGCTCCAACGAGTTCAAGTGCATGGGGATCAGGTCTCTTGCAATGGATAGAATTCAAATCACTTAAAGGAATCACTATAAAAGGAAAAGGGGTTATAGATGGACGAGGATCAGTATGGTGGAATAAGTCCCCTGACTATGATCCAGCAGATGAGTCAGAGTCAATAACTAGTAACGACACGGTAATAATAAATTCAATCTTTCTTTGCTAAACAAAATTAGAAAATCTAGCTTGCAATAACCTCTACTTTTTTTTATCTCTGAAAGATGGTGGAAGCTCAACTGGGTACGGAAATGCCACGAACTAAACCAACAGTAAGTTTCATTTGGTTCGTCTTAGAGATGGAGGAGCCAATTAAAATCAACATTTGAAACCAAATTTTTTATTGGAATTACCTTGGTTTTGTATGTAGGCTTTGAGGTTCTACGGGAGTAACGGTGTAACGGTCAGTGGAATAACCATACAGAACAGCCCTCAAACCCATCTCAAGTTTGATAGCTGCATAAGCATTCAAGTGTCTGATTTCACAACTTCATCCCCTGGAGATTCTCCAAACACAGATGGAATCCACCTGCAAAACTCTCAAGATGCTGTTATTTACCGCAGCAAGCTGGCTTGTGGTAATCACAGACTTCAACTCATTCTTAATAACACATTACAAGTCAAATCATCATATATTTCCAGAGTATGATACTTCCTGTATTTGCATTCTACAGGAGATGACTGTATATCAATTCAAACAGGATGCTCGAATATCTACATACACGATGTAGACTGTGGGCCTGGCCATGGAATTAGCATTGGAGGACTAGGAAAGGAGAACACAAAGGCGTGTGTTTCAAACATTACTGTCCGAGACGTCACGATGCATGAAACTACGAATGGTGTTCGAATTAAGTCATGGCAGGGAGGGTCAGGGTCAGTAAAACAAGTTATGTTTTCAAATATTCAAGTGAGTGAAGTAGCCAATCCGATTATAATAGATCAATATTACTGCGATGGTGGAGGTTGCCGCAATCAAACTTCAGCAGTCGCTGTATCAAACATAAACTACATAAACATAAAAGGTACCTACACAAAGGAACCTGTACGCTTCGCCTGCAGTGATAGCTTGCCATGCACAGGGATCTCGCTGTCGACCATAGAGCTTAAGCCGGCCACAGGAAAAGCAAGTTTACTTGATCCTTTCTGCTGGGAAGCACACGGCGAACTGAAAACTAAGACTCTTCCGCCAATTCAGTGTTTGAAAACAGATAAGTCAACAGGAGGTGCAAGTCAGGCTTGCTGAATATTAGAGCAAGAAAATGTGTGATATGTTACGATAGGATAATACGAATAAAGAAGGACTCATTCCCTTAGTTTGTCTTATACTAGTTTGTATAAATCAACTGCAAACAAAATGTAGCATATTGTATGTTAATGTATGAAATTCTGTTATAGACTAGTTGGAGTTTACAGCATTGGATAACAGCGCACGAACAGACAGACTGAATGAATATACTACTCTGACAAAAAGGATTCTGAAATATATGATCTGTGTCTCAACCGTACATCCTGATTGGGAGATTTAGAAAGGCAAACGAGTTTCTTGTCATTTTCTGACTCATATACCATAGTTTTAAATCCTGCAGCTGAATATAGGGAAGAAAATATTCAGGACAAACAAATTAGGAGAAAAAATAATAAATACTCAAACTCAGAAATAACAGCTTTACCTATATCCTACACGAAGATGAAACTTGAGCGAGGATATTGTAGTCATCAACGTTTGCCAAAACCAACTCCTGCTTTCCTTTTTTGTCGTTCTTGTACTCTTTCAGGGCTTGGCAATCCAGTTTTCTCTTCATACTTCTTCTCTAAGGCCTACGGTACAAGAACGAATTTTAGATAACAAAACATTTTAAGACAACGGACTACTAATGCAAAGATGTTCACCAAAGTCACTACCAATGTACACGAAATTTAACTACAGCTTGACTCACCTCTAGCTGTTCACGAATGCTGTCAAGAACTTGATCCGTCATTCTGTCGAAGAAGAGAACTCCCTGTAATTCACAGATCGTTCCATCAGACGGAAACCAAAGCTTGCAAGTGATACTAACATATAACCAGCACCAAAAACCTCCATGAAAACAAGTAAAGAGTGCATGCCTAGTATCACACAATGTACTAACATTCTAACTATAATAACTTTCTCTCTGGTTTCTACCAAAGTGTGAGAAAGAACCTCGAGATGGTCGTATTCGTGCTGAAAGATCCGTGCAGGTAGACGTGAAAGACTGATTGAAAATCTTGCACCAGTAATGTCCATTGCATCAATCTTGACAGATTGTGGTCGCTGAAAAAACGCAAAACCAATCACATGAAAAACCGATTTCCTAGAACAACGGCGGTGAATTTGGTGAAAAAAAAAGTAATTCGGTTTGGACATACGACAACATCACCATAGATCCCCGGGAAGGATAGGCATGCTTCCTCATATGGTACTACTTTGTCTGAGTATTTCTTGATCTTCGGATTCACAAGAACGATTTCTTCTCCTTCACCAGGCTCCCCAGCCGGATTAAACACCATCAGTTGAACATTCAGACCTACTTGTGGCGCTGCCAGCCCGATGCCATCCGTTCTGTCCAATAGCATGAAACCACAGAGTCACATTTTCATAACTCGAAACATATATTTACAAAGATCTCAGTACAATTTTATAATAGCTGTAGAGAAGATATGAAGCATAGACGCTCCCATATTCTTACTTGTACATTATATCAAACATAGCATCGACCAAGTTCTTCAGATTCTCGTCAAAAACACCAATCTTCTTGTTCTTAGCCCGTAAGATAGGATCCGGATACTTAACAATCTTCAACGGCGTCTCAAATTGAAGATCAGAAGCTATTACATAATCACAAACAAACTACAAATCAATCAAAGAGTACGCAAATATCAACTAAATTAACCGAAAATGCAGACCACCACAAGATACTAGCAAAAATAAAACGATAAGATACTTATAGAGCAATTCACAGCTACTATCATCTCAATCCTAGATGTAAACCAGTTTGTAGATAAGTTTACCCAAAGCTACTTCATCGTCCTTGCGCGAGGCGCGCTTTACTTCAGCTCGGACCGGAGATATCAAAGGTCCGGCCCGGTTCACGGAGGAGGAGAACATGACGGTGGCTTTGAGCCGACCGTAGCCGGCGGAGAGAGTCGCAGCGCGGCGGGAGAAAACCGGTAGTAAGAAGCGAGAGAGTGGTGGAGCTTGGAGGAAGCAGTTACAGACGGCCATGGCTAGAACTGGAGTAGAGAGCGTGAATTTGTGTGGAGAGTAAGTAACGATTGAGTTATACTTGTTTGCCAATTTCTTCAAATTCAAGTGAAATTTGAAATATTGCTACATTACAGGGACAGATCTGCAATGAAATTTTTTACGGATGCTCCCCCATTAATTACAGATTCTATTATTAGAGCTCCTGTGGGAAGAGAGAGTGGGAGACATTTTCTCTTCGAAACTCGCGGCTTGCTCTACGACCGATCCTTCTTCCTAAGGTAAATTTTGCTTCTCTCATGCCAATTCCTCGAATTCCAGTTTCTGTAATCATCCTTTCTCAACATCTCTGGTATAGTTATCTTTTTCGTTTTTGATCTCCATCGTTCTTCGAGTATCACGAGGTTGATCGATAGATTTTTCTTGTTTGTAGGTTCTTCTTCTGTTTTAGTATACAAGTTTTGGTCGTCGATTCCTACATTGAATTCATTTTTTTTTTTCAGTTTGCTTTGTATTTGTTTTCCCCGATTTAGAACAACCGAATCCTCTAGAATTTTCGTCACTCCGCTTTATTCAGGGATCTGGTTATTGATATTGTTTCGATCTATAAGAATGGAATTTTTGTGTTGAGATTGTTTGGACCTGATCATGTTTATCGATGATTCAGACTTTCTGATTGTGTTGAAGCTGGATTTAATAGATCTTTGCTTGTATTGGATCGTGGTTTGCTTGACTTTTGTTCTTGTTTTGTGGTTTGCTTTGGATCTTAGGGAGTAGCTAAAGGAAAATGGGTCTTAACTTCACAAAGTTGTTCAGCCGGCTTTTTGCCAAGAAAGAAATGAGGATTCTGATGGTAGGTCTCGATGCTGCTGGTAAGACCACTATCCTCTACAAGCTGAAGCTTGGCGAGATTGTCACCACCATCCCTACCATTGGTAAGTTTTGAGGGTTCCTCGAATCAATGTATTTGTCATTGTGTATTCAGATCTTGCTCTATTTGTGTTTCTTTCTTCTATGTCTAATGTCTCTGTGGATTTTATGTATTCCTCTCCTGCTCGCTCAGAATGTCTGTTATTGGAAGTGTTTGCTTCTCAAAATTAATGTTGAAGTGTTTGTTTCCAGGATTCAATGTGGAGACTGTTGAATACAAGAACATCAGCTTCACTGTTTGGGATGTGGGGGGTCAGGACAAGGTACACTTTCTAATTTTTGACTCAAATCATACTATATACATCAGATTTGGCTGCTCAGCATGACTAGTACTGACGTTTCATGTTACAGTTATATGCATCATGTAAACGCAATTTGAAAAGATTTGTTTTTTATAAATTTCTACGTTCACGTGTTTTTATCTCAAAGTCCAGTTTCCATTAGTGTTTATTTGACAATAAGAATTCGAACTTCTTGAAAACCAGATTCGTCCCCTGTGGAGGCACTACTTCCAGAACACTCAAGGTCTTATATTCGTTGTTGATAGCAACGACAGGGACCGAGTTGTGGAGGCGAGGGATGAGTTACATCGCATGTTGAATGAGGTTAGCTTTTCTTTCTGGTTTTCTCTTGTATCACGGTAAGACAGAAACACATTTCCGTAATGGCATAATCTGATTTATACCCTTCTTTGCAGGATGAACTGAGGGATGCTGTCCTTCTTGTGTTTGCAAACAAACAAGATCTTCCCAACGCAATGAATGCTGCTGAAATAACTGACAAGCTTGGCCTTCACTCTCTTCGCCAACGCCATTGGTAAAGTTATCTCTTTCTAGAATTTTGTCCTTAATGTGGTTAGATTGATCACACTGTGTGGTAGAATGTACCTTTTATGCTTCTTTTCCTCTAACAGGTACATTCAAAGCACCTGTGCCACATCTGGGGAAGGTCTCTATGAAGGCCTTGACTGGCTCTCCAACAACATCGCTAGCAAGGTGATCTACTAAATACCCACGTTCTGTAAAACTTAGTAGAAAATTGAAAGGAATACTCTTTTGATACCCTTAGGGGATTTCGATTGTATGCTCATTTCCATATGCAAACTCTGGCTACGGTAGTATATTCACTTACTTATGTGTTACATTCCTGTTATGCACAAGTATGATTCATGAATATTGATCAAACCTTCATTTTGATTTGAGCAGGCATGATGAAGCTGCTGGAACACTTTTTTGCACTTGAAAAAGATCACTAGTGATTGTGGAGAAGAGAGAATGAAGAAGAAACAAGTATTGTGTCTGATGTTTCAACGGTCCGTTGATGTTTTGTGTCCTTATGTGTGTGTAGTCTCTAAAACTCACCTCTACTCTTTCTATCCTTTTAAAGGATTTGTGATAGTTCTTTTACTTTTACCGTTTCGTTTATTTTGTGTGTTCCCAAATCTATTCAAGTGCTCTTTGTAAGCAGTAGATATGTTACCCTTCTTCTTAGAATATAAAGTTATAAGCTACCTTGTTGGTGTATTTTTTTTTATTTGCGTTTTTGTCTCCTAAATTTCCCTAATAAATATCCTGCAAGCTCTTGCAGAGAAGGGAAGTTGAAGCATCTTAATATGTCGAGAGGAAGGACAAAGTGTAGATGATAATCTATTATGGATATTATTATGTAACACAACACACTGGATAGCAAATATGATTACACAACAAATAAAGGAACTTTTGTTTTCATGTTTGAGAGGATGAAGACTTGAAGGCAATGCACGCACAAATTGTATAAGGTGTGTAAATCATCTGAGTATCTACTACAACTACAGACGCACTTCTGTACTGCAAGACACCATTAATCTCTTGTCTCTCAAAAGCTTGCGGGATCAGCTGATATTGAATCACCGCACGGTTACTGATGCTTTTGAAAATTTTAATCATCAGCTGGGTCTTGTGGGGATTCTTCAACACTGCGTTTGATTGTGATGACTGGGCACTCTGCATGCTTCACACAGAATTCACTCACAGTTCCAACAAATACCCTGTCCAAATAGTAACAAGTGTGAATCAAATTACACGATAGTATGTGATTTCAAAGCTCGAGTTCTAATAATAAACATAATGTAAGTGCAAGGCCTCACTCTCCTCAACTTATGTCAAACATACATTTGTTGCGGTAAAAGAGTCTAGCGCATAAGCAGTGATGCATATGATCAGAAAGTGAAGAACATAGCATTTCTTTCATACGAACAAATGACTAAATTGATACGGGTGTAAACTATAAAGCGACAAGTCTACTTGAGGCAAGTGTGAGGATTTGTACATACTTTTGAAATGGACCGAGACCACGACTTCCCACAACCAGAAAATCTGGCCTGACCCGAATCACTTCATGGCATATCACTTCTGTGGGATCACCTTTCCTGATCCAGGCCTCGCACCCAACCTACAAGTTCAACAACTTACATGCATCAGAGCCATTAAAAGTTACTGTGTCTTTGATGAGATTATGATACAACTGAGATACGATCCATCTAAGAGCTAAAAGAGTCTCTTACCCCAATCTCATGGCATTTTTTAACGAAAAACTCAAGAAGGTGAAGTCCTTTTGCCTTGTTACGCTCCCTCATTTGTCGAAAATCATCAGGGGAAGCATATATGCTGTCCATGTCATCAAAACCTGATTCCCAATTCATGATTTAAAACCAGTAAGATCAACTTTATGCAAAGAACATACATCATATCTACAGTAACAACAAGGGCCAAAAAACAAAACAAAAAACAAAGGAGAGCTAGTTAAATCTCTCAAAGGAGACTATTCGAGCAAACCACCGAACGATATTGGGAACAAACGCAGTCTATCTGGGAAATGTAACCTAAACAGAGCAGAATCACAACTCAATCCTTCTGAAACTTGCGATTGCATTCACAAACAGCTAAAACGCGATAATAGCTAAGATAAACACCGAATTTAGTCTACAGTGATCGACTCAAATCCTAAACAGATTCATAGTATATCATTATTGAAACCTACAATCAACATTAGGCAGGCAGTGACGCAAATTCAAGTATCGAGGATAGAAAAAGAGAAATAACCGTCTTCGTCCTGGACTTGTGCGTGAAGCAAGAGAAGCTTGAAGCCGGAAGTATTGGAGCGAACGATCTTCTTCAGTGTCCACTCGAACGCCTTTTTGCTGCTTATCGACGCGTGCGGATAGCCTTTGATCGTCGACTCGTTCACCGCCACCATCACTCGAGTCGGCTCGCTCTCCATTTTATTCACCGACTCTCTCAAACAATCGACTCTGTCGTTTTCCTGACGAAGAACGGAAGAAGGCGGGGAAGAGGGAATATACTGAAAGCTCTCTGTCAAGTCCTCTGAGATGGAAAGAGGTATTGTGCGCGGACAGCGCATATTAGAGCACGATTGTTCAATAATTCTGGGAGCTTACTAAAATACGCACAATCTGTTAAGACTTACGATCAGGGGCCCATTACTATACTTTATTTATGAATAGGCCCATTCATAAATCCAAATTGTTAAGATTTCGAGGATTATTATATTTTTTTCTAGAATTAACTGTTTTTATTGTTTTACATCTATGTCCATTATAGACTTATAGTACATGGATCGAAGCTTGAACCTCATAAATATGCACACTCCTGTCCTTAATCACTAAACTAGCATGAAGTCAGCATTTATAATATTTTGATGGAATGAACACTTATATTGTCTACTACTAAACTAGCATGAAGTCAGCATTTATAATATTTTGATGGAATGAACACTTATATTGTCTACTACTTATAAATATGTACATTGCCAAATTTGAATATACGAGTAATTTATTTACTACTTGTCGAACAATGCGAGCTAACTAAAAAATCTACCATAGATGATAGAAACACATAGACTAGAAATTTCACGTTATATATTTTTCCGAAATTTCTGAACAGAAACTAAAAAATTCCTACATACAGTAATATTGATTAATCACTGAATACCAGTGAAGGAGACTCTACCAAATCCAAGATGACCAATCTGATACAACTCTAACCACACTCTCTCGGCTTCAACTCTTGCACTTATTCTCGACTCATCATCTCCTCCTAACGACGTCGTTTTCACCTCCTCCTCCTCCTTCGTTAAACTCCCATCTCTCTCCACCACAAACCGGTGATCATCATAACCACCGCCGCCACAACATCCTCCTCCACCGCCGCATTTCTCATCCCCCTCGGCCATCTCAAACCGGCGGTGATGGTTGTTATGATGATCTTCACCGTTGGTTTTCCCGCGGCAAGATCTCTTCCTGCGTAGTAGTCTCCGCGTTTTCTTCTTATTCATGCCGCAGCCGCGGAGACATCGCCGTCCGATCATCCAGGGAACCTTGACGAAAGTGAGAGTGAGAAGGTTTATGATCGCACATGGACAGCAACAAAGCGCCACACAGTCAGCAATCGCTGCCGCCGCCCACGACTGACATCTCTTGCCGGAGCATTTGCTTTCGTCGGCTTGAGTGTGGTGGTTGTAATGCCGTTGGCGACGGTTTTCTTCGTCGGCCGCGTCGTTTCGACAGTGGGTCCCGCCATGGTTTCTACGTGAAACTCGATGCGGGATTTCCTCCATGAAAACTAATAAATCCTGCTGGAAAGAAAAAGAAAAGAGATCAGTCACTCGATATATATGTGATACATCAATATGTAGATATATATTTTATGTTCGAATTTATGGATCAACGTTTGAAAAAAGTTTTGCTTACAAATTGATACGTATAGGAAATAGTAAAAAATGAAGAAAACAGAGAGGTGTAGGAAACAACAACTCGAGATTTTCCATGCACTTCACTTAATGACTCAAAGACAGTTCAGGTTTAGATTCACTACTCAGCCACGCTCTCTTTACGCGCGTGTAAACCATGGCAATGCACTATTTCGATTTTCTGTTGTTTTCTTTTTCTGAATGATTTATTTTGCGGAAATCTTACGTATACAAATAATAAATTAATAGCCAGAAATAAACAAAAGAATAGACGGCTTGGTCTAATGATTACGAGAATTTAAGGAGCGCGTGAGGAACTGATCATTTTTTGGGATTATTTACCATCGGAAAAATTTAATTTAATTAATTTAAAATGAGTTAATCTTGGGATATGTAATGAATTAATGGATTTTAACTTTTTTCTTTCGTCTGAGTTTGTGACCTTGTGGTAGCCGGTAGCCTTGTAGCCAGTAGGTATCTCATTAGTTTTTTTCCTAACTTTTAGTTTTGAAATGGGCGTATAAAAAGTTTTATTGATTGTAGTAATTTGTACTTTTTTCTAACAAAGTATTTTCTACGTTAAGCTATACTAATGTGGAAATTAATTTTTTTTTTTTAAATTAGTCTGAAATTGTTTATGCCACAAACAAAAGATGGATATCGAACCAAAAACCGAACTTGTATTAAAAATGAATAAGAAAATATTAGAAGATTAATGTGCTAACGTGGATGGTTAGTGGGAAGGATTCTCTTTCACGTGGCTTGTCGGGTTTTCTTGTGGCCCGTAATAAAATACAATGTATAGAGCAAAATAATATAGATAGATTATTGTGCATTTAGCCTTCCAACTTAGCATATGAAACAATAGGATGATGATACATATAAATAAGATAATCAACAGCCATATAAAATATTAGTCCTATAAAGTCTGTTAGGAATCTCCCTGCAATTGCTATTAGAAAACGATGACATACATTTAGATTTGTAAGAACTTCTATTTATATATTAACATTAATAGTTTTAATATTAATCATAGTCCAAACTCCAAACCCAAGAAAAAAGTATTGCTATTGATCATGAAGGTGTTGCTATTGTTTTTATTTAAAATGAAAATGTTGCTTTTGACTCTTGCAAGGTTGTAGAGCTATATTTATCTGCTTCATCTTAAGTTGAAATCGTATAATTATATCATAATCTACAAAAACATCATATTTTTGTTCCGTGATTAATTAATTAAAAAAAAATATGTTAACTATATTTCCCTTTTCATTGGAGTGGACCAAGTAAGTTGGTACTATTGTCCTTTTCACTTGTCTAATGCAAAAGTGAAAAATGGTGGATAAATTTTTCGAAATACGATTTGCATGTTCATACATAATATAATACTGATACACACTGACACACACGCATGACTATATATAGTTTTGTGTGAAGCTAAGACTTAATTATCTGTGAAAAATTTCACAAGACAAAAAACATTTATAAATTAATCACGAAGTATAAGTTTATATTTCCAGCGTGTTACTCAATGCTTACAAATGACACCCATGCAACCTATAAATCCCTCTAAGTAATCATATAATCAAGATTAAAACTTAAAAGTAAACAAAGCTCCTCGGATATATATGAAGTAGCGATGAACACTGTTTCTGGTAATATGATATGAGTCATGAGAAAAATGTAGAGATAGTCAATGGTGAATTACCTTGGAGCTAGGATGCTTTCTTCTGGTAATATATGTAATTATATAGCGTACGCATATATATAAAGTATCAACAGAATAACATTTTTCATGTATGTGTGTACATGTATATAAACTGATAATTCTACGATATGGTCTGTCGTATGATATGATGGATATGATAAAGAAAAGAGAAAGGAGGTTATATAAAACCAACAAAAGAGGAGAGGAGAGGATGAAGAAAGATGATTGTCTAGCAAAGGCTCCGTTTATGCATATATATATATATATATATATATATATATATACTTGTGTTACTCTCTCTCTCTATCTCTATATATATATGTATGTATATCATATACCGATATACGCATCGGCATGCATATTAACGTTTACGGGGATTAATTATTTAAGAGTAAAGTACGTTAATTACAACTATAATCTAGCAGCTGAGTAAAGCTTTATTTGAAAGAGTTAATTAAAATTATTTGCGATATACGACAACATAAAGAGCTATATGTACATATAAAAGCTAGTAAATACAACTTTTTGCTAAATTGCTAGTAAATACATATGTAAAATTAATATATTTATTTTTAGTAGAGATTTCTGTACAACTATGTTTTTTTATCAAATTTTCGGGTATGAATCGCATCCAGGTTTTTATTGAAGTAAACTGAAATAGAAAATTAGTTTGCTTCTGCTTTACTATCATAATATATATCCGTCTAAACTTTAGGCTTAAGCTAAGTAGATAATCAAAAATCATTCATTGCGAGCCTTGAATACTTATCACACGAGAGAAATACTATGAAATTAAAAGCCGAGAAATGTGTGATATGTTCAAAGATTCAGTGATTCACGATAATGATAATCAAATACTAGATCTTAGTGCCTGTATAAATAAGTGCAGATTAGCAAACAAATTACAACGAGGCAACGACAATTTTCAAATGGTATTATAGATTGAGGTTTCCGCATGTATATACTAATGCCCTTATTTTGTGATAACCAAAGGAATATCATATGATTATGCTGAGGGTAGCTAAGTATTTGATCATATGATAATGCTGAGAGTGACTAAGTACTATTTTTCAATGATACGATGACGTGATCATGATGTTTTACAATTTTCTTAATCACGTAATTATGAAAGAGCTGGTAAATATAATCATGTAACGATAACGTAATTAAATTATTTTCTTCTTGATTTTCGACCCAACATGCTAGTATTAAATTACTATTGATATCGTATTACCTGTGAGTATGAATAATTTGAAACAGAGATGCATGTCACTTCTGAAAACTATTGCTCTCATTGCTCCGTGTGGAGTGGCGAAGCTAGGTAGACGGACACGGTGTCAAGTGACACCATATAGTTTTCAATTTTCTTAATAGTTTATTTAGACAAATTAACATTGACACCATCTAAAAATTGCAATTGAATCCGTAAACTATTTTTATTTGTAACATTGCTTTATTTATTCTGAATCCATAAGCAAATTTTAGATATTAGCTTACATTGTAGAATAAAATTAACATATTTAGAAAGATCCAACGTTAATTTTTTGTCAAACCTAAAACCAAATGTTAATTTCTATTCATTTTACTATCTAAACTGTGTTTATCTATCTAATTTTTTTCTATTTTTTGTTTTTATTTATTTATTTGAATCCGGTTAGAAAATTTTCTGGATTCGCCACTGTCCGTGTGTACAACTAACTTTAAACCTTATAACTTTAACAAGATGTAATTTACATGTAAAGGATGCGAAATTATTGGTCATATTTCGTTTACTCCTATTTACTAAAGTTAAACGATATCTTCTCATAGTTTCACATAATTACAAACCTATTCAAGTGTGAAAAATATAAATTAATAAGCATAAATTACTGTACGAATTTATAGGAAATATCGGAGCTTCGTGTTCGATGAGTTCCGAAGACAGAGAGAATCAAATCATGGGAACTCGGCCCAATTTGTGTTGCTTTCCATGTATTTTTAACACTAAAAAGAACATATACCCAAATTAGAAATATTTTCATATTTTAAAATTTTAGCAGAAATATGAACATTTCATGACCGTATGTTAGATTACGCAGTTAAAGGTTGCGTTCAATGATGGATGTAAGTACAATGGTAACAGTGCCATGAAAGTGAAATCCAAGCTTCTACGTTTCAGTGATGCATTTAAGAGTTGAGTTGTTATTGCACAGTTGATATAAGTTCTTAGTACAACTTTAAAATTTGATGTTGATATTCAGAACAACTTTTTTTGAGTTAACTACTGTATTTGTTTGTTTTTGAAGCATTTTAGTTAATGTTTTCAAAATTTTCCGTGCTTGTTAATATAAAAAAAAAATAGCGTCGTTCACGTCGTTCAGACAGACTTTGCACGTGCATTCGACTCTCAGAACGCCACGTTGGCAAGTGAGATCCTCTTCTTTTCTAGAAAAAAGGGAAAAAGTAAAAGATTAAGTAAGTCGCTTCGCCGCCTGGCAACACACACATCAGTCTTCTTCAGTTAATCATTCGTTCTGTTATTTCTTTTCTCTAATTATCACCATTTACACAACGACACGGGTTATTCTGTGTACTTCTCTGCTGCGAACAGATTGCTTGTTACATGAACCGGTACTTGCGTGTTGGATCGATCATAAAAGAAAAACTTCAATTCCTTTCGGTACCAATTTCTTTTTTTTTCTTATTACGAATATCATATGATTAAAATCAAGAAAATATATTTTCATTACAAAATGAAGAACGGCAAAATGTTTTTGTCATTTTGGACAGGCAACTACCAAGTTTACGTATTGACTTATTGTTATGTTTTTATTGCTAGCTACCCAAAATTGGAAAAACAAAATTATAAAATTTCAACGTATACCAACTGTACCACCCTTTACAACAACCTCCCTCCACACAAAAAACCACATTCTAAACAATGATTAGAAGAAAACTGAATATGAATTATAAAGCATATACTATTAAAGAAAGAAGAAAAGAATAAGCTTAAATCAGCTGCTCCTTGTTGTTTATTGTCGTCTCTAGCTAACTTTCATGATAGCAACTTCTAAGAGTTCTCGACATAAGATCTAAAAGCTTTTTATCTGATATTTGTAAATTAGGAGAATAAGCTTCTTCATCTGCGTTTGCGTTTACGTTGCTACCGCAAATCTTTTCAATTTGGACACCAATATCTTTAGCAAGCTTTTCAGCACCATCTTTAGAGAGAATGGTGTCGAAACAAACGTATCTACCAAACGCTGTTTTGTTACCCAAACCTTCCCACAAACACACGTGAGCTTTAGCCAACCTGTTAACATCTATTGTCGCTAATAACCCGTTGCTATACATCTCTTTTGCTCCTGCGTTTTTGCCAATAACAAAACAAAAAGTCAAATCGTATTAGCTGTCTTTGTCTCTCTATGAAATGGACCACCCGTGAACCACGTACGGATATGCGAACACTTAGATAATATAAAAAAACTCAATTTTGGATTCATATACAGTACGTTAACTATAAGGTTATTTCAAATTACCTTTGAGATAAGCCAAGGTTGAAGTTGAGTTTCGGTGGAAGAAGTCAGGACCAGTTATAAGAGCAGGACATATTGTGGCAAGCTTTAATCCTTCTGTTTCTGCGATCCTCCACGCAGTTTTCTCGGCTTTCAGTTTTCCAAGTGCATACCAAAGCTGTGAAGTTAGTATAAAGGACGTTAGTAATGTTTTATAGAGCTAATATGAACAAAATAAAATGAGAATTATGTTTTCTTAAAAAGATATTAACCTTATTATCGATGCAAAGTTGTTCATCGCTCCAGCTTTCTTCGTTGATAACAGAGTGATCAAGATTGTGAAAGGAATTGTCTTGCCAAGCGCAGGCTAAGATAGATGATGTGAAGACGCATTTTCTCACTGACCCTGTTCTTGTACATGCTTCTACTACATTCTCGCTCACTTTTGCTTCTAATTCCGCCATTGATTTCTGCAAAAACATTAACAAATGAAATGGGTAAGATAAATTTTGTTAAAACGAGTTTACAAAATATCATAAAAAAACATGAACACCTTAGGTGTACTTTTTACACAAACTGGTAGGTCCAGTTTTGTTATTAGACAGATGATGACATGACATGTATGGTATTTTTTCTACTGAATAAATATTTTGATTCGTACACGTTACAATTGATATTAGCCACAGAAAAGGTATGGGTACCAAACACATCGTAATCAAACTTACACACAAAAAAAAACCTTTTTAGATAGCTGTCCTTATTAGTAGGTAGAGAAGATGTCATAAGGGAGTTCACAGTTAACTCTCTTCTGAATTAAGTGGTTGAGGACGAATATTTGTCAAATATGTCTAACAAAAAAAAGAGAAATCACTCTCAAGTCTCAAATAAAGTGGCATTTTCTCAATCTATTAAAAAAAAGAAGTGTTGAAATTTCACAGTGCAAGAGCTATCAACTCTTTCAGTGTCATCCGAGTTGCTGATTATTGTTTTTTTGTTTTCAACGAAAACAGAACAAAGCAAGGAGACAAAGAAGATATACAAAATCTAAGCTTTTGAAAGCAAGAGTAGCTAGGGCGTTGAAATTCATGGTTGAAAATACGTACTTTACTCAACAAACATTCAGAAATAGAAGGTACGTGCTTACTTACCAACCTCAACTCATAACCACTTTGTTAACAAAAAGCAGAGCCACTTAAAAAACTGTTCTAGAAACGAAAACGAGGAAAAAGAACAAAATTCCAACTTTGACACATTCTAATATCCACACCTGACACGTACGCCATCCAGACCAATAGTGTATTAACGCATAAAACACAAGTATAACGAAAAATTTATGTTTACATGCAATTTCACTTGAAAAAAACAAATTGTTTTCTTGATTTAAAACTCAATAAATGGCATGTGCCGTGAGACAGAGGTTTAAATTGGAATGTAACTGGTCCTCTACATTCCACGTGACAACTTCGTAATCGTACGTATGCATTAATGCATGTGTATGTAGAGCAGTAGAGGATGAAAATGAAACATTACCGAATAACCAGAGATTCCAGCAGGATCTACGAATGCAGTGGTGTGGAAAACGCCAGCACAACCATCAAATGCTTTCACTAAACTCTCTGCCTCTGTTAATCGACAAACCACTGAGCTAATCCTGTTGCTAAACGACGACGTTTCAGCGTCAGCTTCCATCTCCCTCACTTTCTCTTCCTCCTCTGCATTTTCAAATTTAGGACAAAGAGAATTCAACTTTAATATCCTCAAAATTTAATTGGAAAATTTTCTTGAACTGCAAACACAATCTAAGCAATAACTCGTTGATTTTTTTTACTAATTTAAGGATTTCAACGTTAATCCATAATTAGGAAATAAGGAAACATGATCAATCCTCATCTACCAAACAGAGCAGGTATCAAATTATACCTGGACAGTCGACGACGATTCTAACGGAGTATCCATGAACAAGGAGCCGCTTAACAATGGCGCGACCAAGGTAGGAAACGCCGCCAGTTACGCAAACCAATCTGTTCCCGGCGTCGGAATCAAGATCCATCGCATTTCTCGATTTACCACCACGACTGCCTAGGAACCCGTCGTCGTCTCTCCTCCTCTGCACGGCGGCGCACATGAACTCCTTAAGCTCCGTCGAGAACTTCTCCGTCGCACGTACGATCCTCATCGTCGGATTAACAAAACAACAAATGAACGAGTTAAAGATATTATTATCTTCTTTGTTCGCTGCTTATTGATTCGTTAGCGCTTGATGAAGATCAAAGAAGGTAGAGAGATACACAGAGGAATGAGAAATGAGGAAGACGATATATATAGAGAGAAAGAGCAGAGTTCGTTACACATGACACGAGAGATGCAAAGAGTCTGATTCTGATCTTTCGAAGAAAGAGATGTCTATACAAAACAGCTTATCGGCTCGGCTTCAGGTTCAGGCGTCATCTTATATTCATTGTTTCACCATTAATAAATTACTTTAAAAAAATTATAATCATGCCATTATTATTTGCCCTTAATCCTTATCATGAATATTTGCATATATCAGAAAATTTTACATTGTACCTGATATTTTTTCTTATAGTTTAAAGAGACCCCTAGTTTAAAGTTACTTTTTTTTTGTTTTAATGTTAAGTAGTTTAGACTTTAAGGTTACTTATCAGTTACAAGAATGATATTTTTTAACTAAAATGAGAAACGTTTTCTATAATGGGATAATCAAGTTTTAATGGTGAAACAATTATGTTTTAGTTACTGTATGCAAAGTTGCAAGCACGCGATGCTCTATCATAGACGAAGTCAAAACTTTATTTTCCCACTTAGAAAACGTTTCTTTTTTTTTGTTAAAGCACTTAGAAAACGTTTCACATTTTACAAATATGTTTCCAATAAACTCATGTTTCGTAGTTGTACATGTTTTCGTTAGTGTATGCAAAGTTGCAAACACGATAATATTATATGGGACAATTGTAATAGAAGTTGTTTTTGTTTGACATTTTATTGTTATAAACTAGAAAGCCAGATACGCTACAATCAAACAAAACTAGATTAATCTAAAACACAAAAAATACCGTTAAACACTTAAAACTAAAAGTCTTAAACCAAACTAGATTAATTTGGTGGTTGATATTATTTGATGTTTTACAATAAAATGTCAAAAAACTATCATTTGGGCGAACGAACTGCTATTCATATTATTCTGAGACAAGCTTTTATTTCATTTTTTTGTTGGCTGTATATTTTCTTATTAACTCTCACGTTTAAACCTATGGTTTCTTTGTTTTTTAACGCAAGTGGATTAATCGTCGATGTGTTGACACATTCACCAACTCTTCTTACTCTATGGGCTGCTATTAGTTTTATTTAAAAAGGTCTAATCTATTGCTTCTGCTTAGAAGGTCTCGTAAGGCCAAAGTCGAAAGAGAAAAAGGTAAAATCTACTGCTCAGGAAACCAGTAAAGCTATTATACACGATAAGTTTCACCATTATTATCAGGAAATTCATTGTTATTGGATAGCGTATTATGCAAATTTGAGATAGCAGGGATTTCCTTGAACAGAAAAAAAAAAGTTATACACTAGAAACTCTATAAAACAATACTCGATAAAACAATAAACACTATAAGATAATATTTTTCTCCGGTCCCAACTCGGGCCAGTGTAAAAAATAGCATAATGCGATAAGATGATAAGACAATAATATTTTTGAAACTCCTATGTAAAAATATAGTCCCAACAATAAGCTAAGACAATAATTATAAAACTAATGCATATATATCTAAGACAATTTAGTAAAATATGACTCCAATGTAGTTTGTATTTTCTGAAAATTGGAGATGTATTCTCAATATGCAACCAAAAGTTGTGAAGAGTTCTCGAAGCCACAATTGCATCCTTACGTGTAACTACTTGCACATGTCCTTCCTCATCATCTTCAACTTCATCTTCACCATTAAGAACAGTAGACATAATTTCTTATAGACTTTGAACTTCTGAGCATGAAATATGTAAATAACAAAGTATAAGGAAAATTTGAATAAAAAATCTGAAAAAATATATTTCTATAAAGTTTCTTGTTTTTGATAGAATATTTCTATAAAATAATAATTATTGTTTTATCGATAAAATAATAATTATTGTTTTATCGATAAAATAATAACTCTATAAGATAATAAAATTTCAAAGTCCCAACATTATTGTTTTATAGAGGTTTTACTGTAGTAGGGACTTTGAATCACACATTTCGAATCGTTTTACTATGGTTTATTTTTATTATACTAACACAATCTTAAACCTAGAATAAATGAATAATCATGCATTACTATCGATTGCATCTTAAGCCCATTTCTGTCAAATAGGTAACGAGTGGGAAAAAAATATGAAAATGCAGAGAAGTGGTCAATTGTTTTGCAATTCTGCTTTTGGACCAACTTTTATATGTTATGACCACGAAGTTACAATTCAGAATCACTTAGATAATGGTCAAACATTATGGCATTTTCTTTTAATCTGACGAACACAGTCACATCTTTGGTCAATTTCTGTTTGTTTAGTCACATATTTAATCTCGATATATATGTACAAATATGACTTACGCAAAATGATATTTTATGGGTTACATCACTAAACTAATATGTGGGTTATAATTGTATTTTATTAATTTCATTAAGATTTAAGAAAGCTGGATCCAAAGTTTGAAACGACATTTATAATTAGAAGATAATATTTATTATTAATAAGTGGTATTTTATCCTAAAAATTTAAGTAGAAAAAAATTAATTATTTGTATGTCTTATTTGGAATGTTTTTAATAGGAAAGAAAAACTTGTACGAGTTAAACGGCTTGGCTTAACTGGCTAGAATATTTGTGTTTGTTTGATAAACACGTGTTGAATGACGAGTAGGCACGCACGGGATTTCTGTTTTTTTAACTTTTCTCAACGAAATTGAGGTATGGTTAGTTGATGATGTGTCACTAAAGTAACGGGGCTGTTTTGGAAGTAAATTAACTGAGCTTACGTGGACGTTTCTGGTTGGCACGTTATGATTACAACAACAAAACTCAGTGGGTAGTTAGTTTTGATGGCCGAGCCACCCGGTTGGTTCGGTCCGGTTTCTCAATAGAAAAAGACCAGATTGTAATAATTCGTGTGGTCTATGTCGTTTAATACTGTCGTATACAAAATATGAGTATAATAACAATTTATCCAAAAGTCTGTCATAGATTTCGTCCTAAATAATTTATTTTATTTTTGTCGGCGGGGTCCATTGGTCACGTGAGAAGGAGTCGAAGTCAGCACAGTGATCAGTGTGGTCGTGACTGGCGGTGTCGTTTCCTAGGTTTTTCGTCAACTAAAAAACAATTTCACAACAAAAAAGTTTTCACCAGGAGAGGGAAACTTTATTAACGGGCCTTTTATCTACTGTTAGTGGGCTTCTTCACTCGGGCTTAATTTTATGAGCGTTTTTACAAACGATGTCGTTTTGAACAACAGGCGATCGTGTTTCCGCTTCTCTTCTCGTCTGAGTTGGGAAGCAGAAGACAGAGACACTCAAGAGGAAGAAGAAGAAGAGGTTTAAGAGAGAGTTGCAAAGACTGATAATGGAAAGCCTGGACGCTAATTTTCCTGTGCGACACAGAAAGGTCTCATTAGAAAGCAAGGTAATTTGAAAGTCTAATCCAATCGATCGGATGGATTATGGTCGATTTTTATGAAGGGATCGTTTACTTCATCAAATAGTGTCTACTCTGTTTTGAAATTTGTTGTCTTGATAGTGAGTCTGTGCAAATTTTAGGTTCTGTTATCTTCACTCGAATTGATTTTGTTATTGTAAAACCATTTTACTGTTGTGAAGATAATCAGCTGGAGTAATTTGTACAAATTTTGTTTTGTAAAGGGAAACAAGACAGAGATTGTGATCTGCAGCTATGAAGATCATATCCTTGTGAGTTTTTTCTTTCTGTGTAGGAGCTTACTTCGTTTGATGTTTGAAGCCATAGTTTTGTTTTCTCTAAATCTCAGCATAACTTTGTTTCAGGTCATAGCAACGCAGATTGGAGCCATGGGAACTATATTGCACGCAAGGTCTGTGATATTTTTTGTTATTGATCATGCCTGTAAGGCTGTATTGAATAATGAGCGTTCTCTATTTGTTCAGTCTCTCACTTAGGCGATTAATCTAACCGGTTTATGTTCCAAATGGTGGTGTCTTGGTTCATGCTTTTAAGATATTCTTGAGGAATGAAATTGTTATTTTTTCTCTTGATTTTGTCGACAAGTCTAGTTATCGGTTGTGGACATGTGAGTTATATATGTTTGTTGACAGGAAGGAAGAAGGGATGTCTGTTGAGCCAACATTTAGTGTCTCAGTGATATTTGGAAAGCGAGATGAGGTAGAACTCTTATTTTATCATATGGTATATTGATATAGCTAATGCCTATCAAAATCTTTCTGAAAATTTTGCCCACTATGTTTCTTGAAGCCAATGCTGACAGCAACTGCTCGAAGACTCATTGAACACATAAGGTCTCTCCCATCTTCAAGTCTTGATTCTTTTCTATTATTATCTGATTAATATGGAAAACAACTAAGTGTGTGATAAAATCTCTTTTGATTTTTTTCCAGTTCTTATGTTCCCTCGAAGCCTCTGGTTCTCTCACTTGGTCTCAAAGATCATTCTTCGGTACTTGACTTTTTTTTCTTGGAAACGTTTATTTGATTCTGGAAAGATCTGCTAAAAACCAATGATACTTAGAGATTATGTGTTTGTTTTTGTAGGAGACGTTGAAGGAAATTGTAGCGGCTGTGATCGAGAATCGCCTTTGGTAATACATAGTTGACCATTGAATGGATTGGATAATGAAAAAAAATGTTTTATGTTTGGTTGATATTATTAGCAACGAGTTCTGGTCATTTGTTTTAACAATTAGTTTGCTAATCCAACGGTATAAAAGACCTTGTTTTGAGATAAAAGTTTTGTTAATTGTCTCAAGAATTTTTGTTTTCCCACTTATATTTTCTTCACAAATAATAGTATATATTGTTTTTCATTTGACAAAGGAAAATACAAACGCTGTAATATAGCAAGTCATAAACCACACAAGTGACAAAAGGATCAGTGGCAAAACCCCACAAAACGAAGATAAACATCGTAGTAGTTGACGCAGAATATTAACACTGTCAATAAATTACACCCAATAAATAAACATATATGGAACACAAATCTCTCTTTCTTTTTTGCCTTGGAAGGGAATCTAGATTTTGACTCAAGATCCCCAGCAGTTTCATCCCTGAGCTTGTGATTTGTTGTCTCGATGACTTATGAGACTCAATCGTTTCTGTGTGTTAATGCGTTTAACTGATTCTCTAACTGCATACCATGGAAATGCGAAGATTTATTATAGAGTTGTGTCTCAAAACTTAATAGTAACTAAAGTTAATTCTATCTCAAAAGCAATTGATAGCGAATGAAGTTAATTCATGATCTCATATTATACAATTCAATGTAGGAATCTTTATAGAAAATGTGAGAAGACAAACCTGCCCGTTTTTCTGCTTCTGTTTCTTTAGTTCTTCTGTTAAGCTCCAAAAGCTTTTACATTTAAAGGGTGGAAAAAGAGAAATAGATCAGTGTTGCTGTTAAGTAAGAATAAGACATGTTGCAGTTTTGGTCGCGTTGGTTGGCCCATTTGAGACATTTCATCTTTAATTTCATGATTAGTAAAGAGAGTATTGGTGAAAGAAAGAGATGGATATGTACCTTTGTTGAAGTAGCATGACTTGAGACTGAAGTTCTCTCTCTCGCAGCGTTGCAGGAGGCGTCTACATGATATCAAATTCAGTTTAGTGAATATGATTTGAATTTATGACAGATAAGAAAATGTTTTCCTTTTTAGTTCATTCTTCTTATACCTGCAATAGCTCATCGACGCTTGTCTCGGGTGATCCAGGTTTGACTAAGAAATGAGATAAAAACAAACTCAGAACATTTTGATGTTGAATTCTTCAACAAAAAGGAAAAATCAGTCCTAAAAAAACCAATGTGTAGATAAAGAGGATTATAGTACCAGAGGTTGTTAACTCCACGAATTTGATTAGTCTCAAGATTTCTTCCTGCCAAGAGAAAACATATATAACTAACGACAGTAAAATTATTTTCCTTGTGGTTTTTGAAATTTACCCGTTGCATGGCGTTTTGCTGCAAAATCGACTGAATTGATGGGAGGATTGAGGCGGTCGTAGCATTGAGGGAGCTCGGGCTGCTCGAACCACCACCAAACGGTGTGAATGTAGTGTTTGTAGATCCCTAGTTGTACCAAAAACCCAAACACATCCTCAGTTTTCACAAAGACAAATTAACTATTCCACACATTGATCTTCAAGCATAAGAAGTTTACAGACTAACGGTACTTGTTATACCTTGGGACTCAGATCTGCTGATGTGACCTTAAACCGACCCTTGTGCTCCACATGAGGAGCTTCTGACGTCTCGTCCACTGCATAGAATCGTATTGGAATTGAAGGCTCTACAAGAATTACATGTAGACTAATGAGCGGATGGGAGGTTAATTACCGGTATCTCTCTTGGTGCGATACAATGATCCGCTGTAGCTCCGCTCTGTCTGATATCTACGCTGTTGAAACTCCCTGCAGAAGGAAGTCAAGTGGACTTTAAAAATAACGCATCATTGAAGTGCATAATAAGAGCTTCAAAGTCAATAAAGCATGTCAAGATAGGTTTAAACACTAAAATTTAAGTTTTCAGGATGCTAACCTGTCAGCATCGGAACTGATTCTTTTTGGAGAGACAGTACTCTCTGGTATAACTGAACCGCTCAAATGTTTTTTCTGTTCGGAAATGACATGACGTGGTAAAGAAGAGTTTTGTGCTGCAGTGTCTTCTTCTTTCGTTGCCAGAGATCCAATAGCTGCCTTTGTTAAAAGCTGTTGTCCAGAATTCACCAAGTTTGCATCCTTCCAATCAGGGGTAGTTGCATTATCCTCGTCCTCACCGATATCAAAGCAGCCTCTGCATCATAGAGCAGGAAGAACAAAGTTCAATCCTTCGTTCAAATTTTCAGAAACATTGTAGCTTTACAATACTAAATAGAAGGGATACTTCTACTACTCAATGAAGCCATCATGTGTGACAGTGCTTGTAGAGTTGGATTTGATTATTAAAATACAGATCTATAGGAGCTAGATAATATAAATTTAGAGAGTGAGATGTACTTGAGTGCTTGAAGAGGTTTTATTGGAAACGAGGAGAAAGAACTCTCTAAATCATGAATATCGTTCAGTTCTTCCTGAAAAGAAGAAGACAACAAAGAAAGACATGCTGAGCTGAGTTGACATCGTGCAGCGGAAGGTCATACTTGAAAAAACTTTATTCCGATTCCCAAAAGCAGGTAGATAAGAGAATAAAGAATAGTTTCAAATCATACATCTTGACTGGGAGCTGTTGCTGAGCTGCTATCCCTTTCAGGGGAAAGAGCAGGTTCATCCTGTTGCTTTCTGTTGAACTCGGGCTCTTCAGCGTGTGAACTATCATCATCCGAAATCTACAAGGCCAGCAAACTTAGCCCCCTGCCATGTATAGTTAGCTAAACTAGAAAATTAATAACTTACAAGGGCAGCCTGACTCTTTAAGTCCTCGAGATTGAAGTTCCAAGCGCTAATTCCCCTTATGTATTCTTGCTGCAGAGAAACAGGAAGTCTGAGTAAAGATGCTTCTTTCATATTCTCAGGCTAAAAATTTGCATCTTAAAAGACATTTGTTGAATAATGTCAAACAGAAGGGTGACAATCTCTGTTTCCTAATCCTTGCCTGTGATAAGTGTGCTTCGTATTCAGATTTGTTTTGCATTAGAAGATCAGCTTCCTTTGACTGAAAGAAAGAATTCACATATCAATCAAGCTTTTCCAGCAAATTCCTTTCCAACAAGAGACAGAGTAAGTTTAAGGAATGGGCCAGAGACCTTTATCGTTCTATAGCGTTCACCTAATGGAGGAAGACCATTTAGAATTGTTCGAACAAGGTAATCAGGTGGACGTGCTTGTTTGAAGAAAGGGTGCTTTAGAAGCTTTTCTGAAGTTGGACGCTTCTTCGGGTCCTTCACCAGGCATGTACCCACCATTTCCTTGAAGGCCTGTTAAGGCAAAGCAATCACTAAGGTGGGAAGAAAAACACATGAAGCTAGAATGTTACAAACAAACTGTGACCACTCACGCACTTTTGAGAATCGTTTGTCTCTCTCGTAGTCAAGTCCGGGAGGTGCATTTTGTAAGGTCATCAGCAAAACCTACCGGTGATGATTACCAGTAAAAAGGAAAATACACAAACTGAGTACCAGAGAGCAGTGATAATCAGTACAAAAATCGGATGGCATCATTAGAACTTTACTTTCATTGGCGGATACTTGGAAAATGGAGCATGACCATGTGCCAGTTCAAGTGCCGTTATTCCAAATGACCATACATCTGCTCTGTGACAGGGAAATGTAAAAGACAAAACACCTGAGTAATATGGTGGGGAATTAATGTTGTAGCGTAAATGCAGAGTTTAGAATACAGAGTACCAACTTACTTGAAATCATATCCATGTAGTTGCTGCATAACTTCAGGAGCCATCCTGTGCAGAAACAAACATGAATTGGAAATTCTGTCTAAGATGTAATTCATTAGCTACCTACAGAACATGGCAGTACTAAAGTTGAAAACGTACCAGCATGGAGTCCCAACGAATGTATTTCTGGAACGTTGTCTATCTCCAGTATCAAACATGCATGCTGATACTCCAAAGTCTGCTAACTTAACGGCACCATTGGAATCCAACAAAATATTTCCAGCCTGCGAAGGAAGACGTGTATTGATAAAACCGAAAACACATTCTCACCACTCAACAGAGGAGGCACTAAACCAAAACAACCTTCATATACTAAAGAGAAACAATGCAACCATATACCTTGACATCCCTATGGATATGTCCATGAGCATGAAGGTATACAAGAGCTTTCAAGGTCTCACGGAGTAAAGTAGCAATAACAGGTTCTTCAAAACCATCTTGATAAGAAGACTTTATTATATGGAGACAGGATCCTCCAGCCATGTAAGGCATCACAACCCATAGCTGGTGCCCAGCTGTAAATGAGCAATGAGCTTGTAACACATTTGGATGGTTGATCAGACTCATTGTTTGCACCTCTCTCCGGATTCCATCCTACAAGCAAGTCAATCCCTTATAACTACCGTAGCATCAGAAAATATGCAACTACAGTTTCACAGATTCGTTTAGGTGTTCTCTATTTTATTAGGCAAAGACAAATAAGCAAGCCGTTCTTTCATATTTTCAGAGTAAGTATGAATTAGAGTGCCTACCAGATCGTTGTTGCACTTTTCCAGATCAAGAACCTTGATAGCAACTACCTCATTAAGCGGTATGCACAAAGCTCTGTGCACAGTCGCACTAACACCATCTCCAATTTCTTCACATAACTTGTAGTCTTTTGCATTGAGAGGAAATTTTTTCTCTGAACCCGACTCCATAACTTTTTATAATTATTTTTTAATCTTCTTAAAGCATATGCTATACACCTTTGACCCCGTAAGTATCAAGAAATTTACAGGAGAGGTCGACTGACGAGCGCATCAATCTGTGTGTGGTTTCTTCCAATTCTCCACCATTTTACTTTCCTTCAAAGCAGAGCAAATGCGGAGATATCACCAACGCCATATCACCAAAATTCTTATCTGCGCAAAAGAGCAATTCCAGTCAAAAACGAAGAACTTGTTTCCATTTCATTAAAATTGATAACAAAGCAGAATCCCAAATCATAAAACCTCTTACTCAGAGCTGTTTTTCAAGTTCTAGAATAAAACGAGAATGCAATTCCAACGAAACAATTCAAAAGCCTATGGACACTAATTTTGTATAGAGGCGCATTCAGATTTCATCTCAAAAGTTTTTCTACACCACACAATTGATCATCACCATATCTCTCAATCAGATTTGAGAAAATGATTATGAAAAAAAAAAAAAAAACAACAACAATCAAGGAAAAGGAAACTACGTAGAAATTACAAGGAGGAGAAATGAAATCTGAAACTCTTCCAACAATCCTACCATTGCCAATATGAAATTCGAAATTGAAAAACAAATCTGGGAGAAGAAACAACGCTGACCTCAAGTCAAATCAAAGGAGGCGTTACTGAAGCTGACTTCTTCTTCTTCTGCTGCTGCTGCTCCTTCTATCACGCACAAACGAAAGCCACGTAGACACCGCCGTTGATTGCGGCAGAGGCGGCGGCGGAGCTCGATAATCTGCGATCGATCCGCTAAGGAGAATAAATTATTTGAATTGGAAGCACGAGATATGTCAGAATCTCGCTTTCTCGTCTTCGTCTTCGTCGTCGAGTTCTCTCCTCCTATTGTGTAGCTTTTTTGTCGTCTGGTTTTCGCTTAGCAGAAAGAATCTCGAGGGGAGCTACGAGAAACGGTTTAACCGTGTCAATGTCAATAACCGAGTATTACTGATTCAATATTGTACCGATTCTGGTTCGGATTTACCAAATCACAGAATTAGCTAACGGATTGGTTTACCAAAAATTGACTAAACCGGATGCATGTGATATCACGCGAAATTTTTTAAAGGTTCAAGATTATGAGATTTTTGGTTACTAAAACTTTTAGTCTAAAAGAGAATGGATAAAAGGATGGAATATTACCGATAAATTTAAACTTTTAGCTTAGATTGATTGTAGAAATTGAAATGTTAATTTGTTATGAGTGATGAGTACTGAACCGAACATCCGGTTTTAGTTCTGTTTATCGTTCTATCACTAAATATCGTACCGATAATCTAAATTAAGAAGAAGAAAAAAGACTCGAACTTGTCGAGCTGGCGAAGAGATGATTGCTTCACAAGGGAGTTGCTGTTACTGGGGTCAACCCCGCTTCTTGATTGGGTGGAAAATATTGTTTTGGTGAATAGTGAAAATATAAAATTATATTGGCAGAGAAAGTCAAGTATAAAGTAAAATTATACAAATATGCCAATTAGCGAAAAAATAATTATACTTAAAGTCATATGATAACTTTATTATTACAACTCACTTGATGTTGACAAAATAAAGCTTTATTACAGTTGATATCAATGTCCTGTTGTCTTTCTCCGCATGTGCTTAGGAAAAAAAAATATCATGGAGAACAGTATTATGTGCTTTAGCATATTTATTTTTGTTAAAGGCTTTAACGTATTTAAATGTTGATAGTTTTTCTTTGCGACAGAATACGTAAACACAAGGATGTATGTGACTGAGAACATGCCAATATAATGTTCAATAATGTTGATGTTTGAAGAGATGAATATTAACAAGTGGACTAATAAATGTTTGTGTCTTTCTGTCCAAGTTGGATCAACACAAGAGTGCATAACATAGTAGATAATAGTACGGAGGGTTCATTTAAGAATTAAGATATATATTTAATTTAGTGTATTTGCAAAGTAGTTGTTAGTTGTTATTTGGAATTACGTTAAATGGAACAAAATTTGATTAAACCAAGTGTATTTCATTCAGAATAAGGATTCTGGACTAAAGCATCGTTATAAACAAACGTAGCAATAGCATAATCTGAGGTTTTTTTCAATCATAAACATGTTTAGGCTAGCATCCAAATGAACGAAGGAAAATTTGAAGTTTAATCCATATTTTTTGTTCCACTAAAAGCTTAATCCATCTAAAATGTAGCAATAACATAATCTGAAGCTTTAATTACAATTTTTAGCATCGTAATGACCAAACAAATTGAAAAGTTCAATCTATCTGAATTTCGAAAAATGATTGAAAACCTGAAATAGACCTATATGCATGTCATTATTCAGCTACATATTCGATATTCCGCTACATTTTTTTGTTTTTTATGCTCAGATAATCATTTAATCCAGATGTTATCGTGCCCCTTCTCCCGTAAATCGTCAGCTTTGACGCAACACTTCCAACAGATCTCGATAATTATATACTATAGATAATCCTTAAACAAAGACAAAGAAATAGATCACGTTTCTTGTCAAAGCCGCCTCCTCTTGATGCGCAAGTAAGCCAATTCATTCACTTCTATACGCACACACATACGCAAGCACTTTCACATTCACATATATTTATACACAATACACACACACACAGAGCAAGTCAAAAGTGTATGAACAAAGTCAAGAAGACAAATTTTATTACAGATAGCGAAGAGCAAACCACAATGCAGGATTTTTCTTCTACGGAGTCGTTTAGCCCCAGCTTCAGTTTCTACGTCTCCGGTGACGGTGACATCGTCGAAGCCGCCGTTAGAGTTGTCCGTGAGTCCCAGAGTTATTATTCCGTTAAAGTTGACGGCGACTACGACACGGAATTCGAGTTCGAAACATCACCGTTACGCGAAGAGAGCTTCTTCCATTTCCCGACGACGACGACTACTTTAAAGCGCTCATCCGACGACGATGACGTGGCATCCGATCACGTCACCTCGAAGAATATTTTCGATGGCGGATGGAATATTGATCAGTCTCTGTCTTCCCCGTCGCAATCGCATTCATCGTCGTCGGAGTCTGACGATTTTGATAACCTCTCCCCCAGCAGATTCTACTGTTTCTGGAGCCCGATCAGATCTCCGGCGAGAGACGATAAGTCGAAGACGAGTAAATCTTCGAGTACACCGACACGGTCCCGTTTTAAGGATCTATTGAGGAGATGCCACAGCGACGGAGCCGTTTCGACCAACAACGCACCCAAACGATGCCGTTTCAGGGATCTTCTGAGAAGAAGCCACAGTGACGGCGGCGGCGTGTCCTCGATCTCGCCGAGCGGAAATGGATCACCGGTAGTGGATGGGAAGAAGAAAACGGCGTTGTATAAGCCTGAAGTGGATAAGAGAAGAAAGTCTTACTTACCTTACAGGCAAGACTTGATCGGCGTTTTCGCCGGAATGAGCAGATTCCGTTACTAACGAAATTTGTTGCTTAAACTAAACTAGTGAAAATTACAAATAGCTCCCTGTGTTCATTTTTTTTGTTATCTTTTTCGGGCCATGTAAATTCGAAAGACTGTATATATTTTCCTTTTTCCCGCTGAAGCGTCATGCCACGTGTAAGACATTCGAGGAAATAGAGGTTACGTATACGTCCACGAGAAAGCGGGACCCACGTGAAGCCCCGTCAACAGTTTGTTTCTAATCCGTTTTTTTTTTTTTTTTTTTTTTCAAGCGCGAAACAAATCCCGCCTGCCTTCTCTTTCAGTCTTTCGTAGTTTTTGTCTGGCATAATATTGTTAGGAGCATGTTGACATGTTGCATGAAAATGTCGACATAGCTTCATCTCTCACGCAATACATATAAGTAGCAAATCAAACCCTTTGCACATTCTCTTATCGCTCCTCTCTCCCATTCCTAGAGCAAGTAGAAGCTCGTCAAGCATTCCGTGTTTCTGTTTAAATCGATTTATCGACAAGACGGGAAGTATGGGAGAAATCGCATCTGTTATATAATACGATGTAGAGAGAGACCGTTTGCTCCTTATTTCTCTGGTTTTAATTTATCTCCCTTCTTTTTGGTTCGTCTTTCGCTATTATAATCTCTATCTCTAACTAAGCTTACTTTCATAAGTTCGTGTTTGCAAAAAAAACTCCGTACAAGATGTTTTGTTCTCATATCTGGTTCACTTTTTGTCCATAAGAAATATAGAATTTTCTGTTAGTAAAGCTCTACTTGCTCCATGCTTCGTAAATTTGGTCCTTATGGGATTGCAGCAGTTTCTCCAAATGGCTCATCCGACTCAGAGGCGGCTCTTTCATCTGCCTCTAAAGCCACAAACAGATGGAATAATTACAAACGCAAAGTGAAGGTGTTTATTTAGATAAGGTTACCAAGAAAATAAAATATATAAGTGGACCCTTTGTTTTGGTGATAGCCTGATAGGATCTTATCCTCTAATAGTATTATTTAGTGAACCTCACACCTATCAATCCCTTCTTCATCTCCACCACTTGTTTTTGTGGTTTAAGTTTTCCTCTATCCGATAAAACTTCAACTTTCGATCAATAATCTCCCTAGCTATCTTGTTTTCAAACCAACTCGGATATGGTAAGACCAACATACTTTCCTTTCAACCAGTTGAATGAAATAACAACATTTGGGACATGTATTGTGGAATGTTATGGTTGATAAGATTGGATGCATAATAATCAGGGACAATCTATAGCCGAATAATATCTGTCAATCCTTTTGTTACTTTCAAATGTTATATAGTATGAGAAGTACTTAGTTGGAAATGTAACTAAGCAAATTCCACAATTTTCCTCATCCACCTCAAGAAAAGAGAGACGTACTTTTCTATTCACCTCACCTTTCGCTTTCCTTATCCATGAGAACCCAAAAAGCCTATCTCCCTAGTTTGTGTTTTACCGCCCATTTTCCTTCTTCTGTTTACTCTTTATATATAATATGTTTGGGTCAATGACTAGGCAAATAGAGATAAGAGTAACTGAGAGTCTGAGAAGGCATGGGAAGCGAAACATATGAAGACGCTATCGAAGCTCTAAAGAAGCTTCTCACGTAAGTAAATATTAAATATATTGAAGACATTGTAAAATGGGAGGCTTATAAGAAACTTAAAGCATTATGTTTTTTTTTTTTTAATCAAACGGAAGATCAGGAAAACAGTGGAACTATTGTTGTATATTAGCCTATTATAGGTATAGTTTCCTAATATATCGTGTAACAAACATTATACGTACGAGGCAGTGAGAAGGATGAGCTGAAGACGGTGGCTGCAGCCAAGGTGGAGAAGCTCACGGCGGAACTTCAGAAAGTCTCGTCATCGGACAGCAAATCTTTCGATCCCGTCGAAAGAATTAAGCAAGGATTCGCCGCCTTCAAGAAGGAGAAATACGAGTAATTAATCAATTCTTCTTGTCTATATTTTCCTTTTAACTTTCTTTTTTAGTCCAATATATTATGATCTTAATTTGAGCTTAATAATATGGTATCTTAATTTCTGCAGTACGAATCCTGCCTTGTACGGTGAGCTCGCCAAAGGTCAAAGCCCAAAGGTAAAAAAACAAAAGAAGAAGACAAAAATTCAATTGATGAAAAAACATGTTCGGTTATGCTTATATCATATGGTGACTGACTCATGATATGAATTAATGGTGCAGTACATGGTGTTTGCTTGTTCGGACTCACGTGTGTGCCCATCACACGTGCTAAACTTTCACCCTGGAGATGCCTTCGTAGTTCGTAACATCGCTAATATGGTTCCTCCTTTTGACAAGGTAACAGTTCTTCCTCATACAAGGCACATTAGTTACATCATTAATGATTCAAGAACCTTCTGGCCCAGAAACGGAGTGTTTGACTTTTGACTTATGATGAAGGCTTGACGTGGCTTTTCTACTTTTTGTTTTGTTTTTAAATAATTGAAGGTCAGGCATGCAGGAGTTGGAGCCGCCATTGAATATGCTGTCTTGCATCTCAAGGTCAATCTCTCTCAAGATTGTTGCTTGATTTTGATTTTCTGATAAAAACATGTTCTATTCTTTTGTACTGTAAGTAGTATACAGTAGTTAGTTATTCTGAGAAGTCCAATTAGCATGTGCTTTAAATATATGGACCATACTGGGCCGGACCCTTTTATTGTGATGCGCGTATATATATCCAAAGTGTGTATATGTATTAATGTATAAATTGATGATTATTGTAATTTATGAATATAGGTGGGTATATCCAAAATGTGTATATGTATTAATGTATAAATTGATGATTACTGTAATTTATGAATGTAGGTGGAGAACATTGTGGTGATAGGTCACAGTGCATGTGGTGGCATCAAGGGGCTTATGTCATTTCCTCTTGACGGAAACAACTCCACGTAATCTCTTTTGTGTTTACGTTAGCTAACACTTTCTGTAAAATTTTACCAAATCTGTAAATTAATCAGATGGAAACTAATTTTTTTTGTGTATTATGATGACATGTGTACTCAAATTGCAGGGATTTTATAGAGGACTGGGTCAAAATCTGTTTGGCAGCAAAAACAAAGGTTTTGGCTGAAAATGAAAGTTCTGCATTTGAAGACCAATGTGGCCGATGCGAAAGGGTACGTATTCTTATTCTACGAAAATGTGTTTTATATTCAAAATAAAACTATTAGTAACTGAGATCGAAATATTTTTGTTGAATATCATAATTATTTTTACATCGATGTTTCTACTATAACCGTGTATGAACATTGCAGGAGGCAGTGAATGTGTCACTGACAAACCTATTGACATATTCATTTGTGAGAGAGAGGGTTGTGAAGGGAACACTAGCTTTGAAGGGAGGTTACTACGATTTTGTTAATGGCTCCTTTGAGCTTTGGGGACTCCAATTTGGCCTCTCTTCTGCTCATTCTGTTTGAACCAATACATCATTACCATCATAATCATTTTCACCATTGTCATCACTTTCGTCATGTTTACTCTTGATATCCCATCTTATTTAAATGTTTGTATAATTAAAATCAATAATTTCCCTTGGTTGAACAACGAAAATAATAAAAATCAAGGAAGGGTGGGGGACAAGCTTTCAAAGATCATATTAAAATCAAACAGAAACATGTCGAATAACATAAATTAAACTATTATGAAGGGGGACAACTTTGTCATAGAAATTTATAGAATTTTATTGGGAATGTGAATGCAAAATTTGACCCGTTATATTTTCAGACTACGGTTTACTTTAATTAAGGTTGTACGGTAATCAAGGTTTGTGGCTAATTTCATCTACATACGAATTACTAGCATCGAAATTTTGAAAAATCCAAAAAATATTTTTAAAATCATTTCTTGAGTTAAATTAGTTAATAGGTGAAAGATGAATATATCAAGTTGGTAAGTAATCATATATGTACATGTACTAGTTAGTTTGTGTATCCACATTTGGGTTTCTCTTTCCATTTTTATAAAATTATACATACAACTTCTAACCTTCATCAAGGAAGCTGGGCTTATATGTTGAGCTAACATTTTTTTCTTTTTCGAAATGTACTATCGGAAAAATGGTATATGGAAGTTTGGGTTGTAAAAAAAAGAAGATAACATTTATGCATACAGTTATAAAGCATATACATTAGAAGATTTAACAGAAGACAGTTCACTAAATTAAAAGACTTAGCCAATCATACACTACCACATCAACAACTTTTAATCTAAGATAGTTGATGTAATAGTGTTTGATCAGCTTTGAAGATAACAAGACAAAACAAAAACCAAATCTAAAATGAACAAAATTAGAAACATCAAAAACAGTGTCCATCTATAAAATCCATCATGTTGGTGAGTGTACTAAGCTCAAACTCATCCTCATGAACCCAAAGTGAACTCAAATAGTTACTTCCTTGACGATCTTCTTGGATTTCATCTCTGGGAATATCATTGTTATCGTTGATATTCAAGATTTTTGTTTCTTCTGATGTTTCAGTGGGATTTGTGAGGTTGATCTGATAAACAATATCACCATTCATCTGCTTGGTTTTTGTATCTTTGATTCCAAGTTTCTTACTAAGATGTGTGTTCCAATAATTCTTCACTTGATTATCTGTCCGACCCGGCACTCTTTTAGCAATCAAAGACCACCTAAATACATCAGCATATCAATTTATACATTAATCTTATTCATATCACTTATTTTTTCTCGAAATAGTTTATTGAGTAGATAAAAGAAACAGAAGATAAATATAATTAAATAAACTGAATTTATACCTATTACCAAGCAACTTGTGGAGTCTAATGATTAAATCTTCTTCTTGCTCGGTGAAATTGCCTCTTTTCACATTTGGGCTGAGATAGTTCATCCACCTCAATCTGCAACTCTTTCCGCATCTCTTTAAACCTAATTTATATATGTGATTAATTTATGAGCTTAATTCATCAGAAGAAATACAAGGACCATAAAATTAGCATAACCGATTATATCACCCATGATCAGTGAATAAAAGATAAGTTCCATTTCCAACAACTAACGAGATAACCAAGTAGAGTTGACTTGTTAGTCTAATGGTTTATACCGAGAAACACTAGATACTATTGTATCTGCGATATACGAACTTAATATCCTTAACACTAAAAAAGCCTATCAACTAAGATTAACATGAACATCTAAAGATCATTAATAAAAAAAATATAGAACGTCAATTTTCGCCCTCACCCTGGAGAGAGAGAGGGAGCAAGAGAGAAAGAGAGAAAGATACCAGTCTTTTTGGCAATACGATTCCAGTGGCCTTTTCCATGAGCTTTGACATAATCCATGAGGATCTTGTCTTCCTCTACTGTCCACAAACCTTTCTTGTACTCATTGTTTCCTTCTTCACCACTACCACTTACTTTCTTCCTCATTCTTTTTGTTTCTTTGGAAGATAGAGAGAGATCACAGAAAGAGGTAAATAAAGAGATTCTGTGAGTAGTTCTTTGATGGAGTTATTAAATAGTACTACAAGTTCAGAACATAGCGGAGTATTTAGTTGTAGAGTTTAAATCATAATAATGATATATATTTATGATTATACGCTTATTAAATACTATATTGATTGTGTCTGGCATGTGGTGATAATTGTAAATGATAATGGACTTCTGAGATGCAAGCTGGTAATTACTGATACAGATAATTAGTTTAATGGCTTAATCCTGATTTCCCGCTAAGAGATATGAAAACATGGACCGCCTAAGATGGTCTTGGGGTACACAAAAATCACGTGTATGTTTAGAAAGATTCGTCTTTGATCTTAGAGCTCTTTCGGCATCGAAGTTTCATGTGTCAGACCAGTGTTTAAATATCTTCTTGAACCTTGGTTAATTGAAATGAATCATAAGGTTTTTTGTTGTTGGTGTTAGTGCAAATTAAGATAAATGGGTTAGAGCACAAATATGTACACCGCTATTGTTTTACATTCTATCATCAGAAAACAACCCATGATGATAATTTATGGAAATCTTAAATTCAAGAAACCCAAAGAAGTCTGATGAGACTATTACAAAAACTGAAAATATAACTCGGGGACTGAAGGTTCTTGCTGCAACCGATCAGAAGGTGAGAGAGACAGTAACAGGCTATTGACATCCTTATCAAACAAAATATTTATATGCCATTAAGAAAAAAAGTTGAAATGCGTAACAGATTAAATTTGATGCCTTTGGACAAGCGTCCGGGAATCTTGGATTAGACTATCCATTCTACTAATTAATGACTAATATGTTTGCAGTAGTATTATAAGTAAGTTGCATGAGAGTTAGGAATTAGGTTAGGGGAGATATTTTAATTAGAAGATGGTTTGACACTTTGACTCTCTTGGGATTAGGATTTTTCACGAAAAAAACAGTGTTATTGTAAGAAAGAAAGAGAGAATAGAAGCTCCCTCTCTTATCATTAATTTTTTTTGATCTTTGTGCCCCACCATGGATATCGGTGGACCGGTGGTGAGTATATGGTATTTTCTGGCTAAACAGCATGTGCGATGCATATTTTCTTATATAAAAATTTCCATCCATGTTGTAGTAACTCGTAAGCAAATAATCTATGTCAAGTACTCTTTTGAAAAAAATATATTCAGAACTGTTTATTTTGTTTCACATCTTGTTTTGCTGCTTTAATTATTTAAGAATTTAAGGCTATATATACAAAAAAAATGAGTGTTTTAATTTCAGAGTTTGCTGCGTGAGAGATGTGGTTGTTACTCTCGTGGGCAAATGCAGTGACATTTAAAAAAAAAAAAAAAAAATCAAGGCAAGGATATAGCTGGCACATTTTAAAGTCCAGACATATTAACTCTTAACGCTGGGAGTTGAGTTGAGTCAATAAGAGGAGTAATAATTCTCTGCAACATTTCGTTGTAATAACTATCTATGTTCTCTTTATTTTCGGAGTATTTTCGATGAATTCGGTGAACATAGCACCTTTTTTTAACCATCTATCATTACTAAATTACCATGTCCGACGATTCTGTGAGTCACAGGTTTACCATCATTTCAATAACTATGTGATGATATATGCTACGAGTTGAGTGATCTATGTAGAGACACTCAATTATGTAACTATAGCCGACATATTATTAGTCTAATACTAACAAGAATAAAGTTGATATAGCTAAATTTTCAATATAATTGTTTATTTCTATAGTTTACGTGGTGAAATTACAATCTGATTCGCCCAAAATTATATCATTGGAATGTAAATGTGGGAAACTGGTCTTTACATTACATGTGTGCGAGTTTTAACTTTTAACAACAAAGCTTAGAAGCCTTCGTTTCTTTCCTGAAAATGGTACGTTTTCTATAAGCCGGCGAAGAAAACTTTACAAGTTTGGTAATTGGTAAAATGGTAGATTTGAACCGTAACCATACCCGTGACGGTATTTAACCATGGTCGTACATTTGGCCCATGAGAGAGGTGAGCCCACTTCCATGTCAAATCAAAATCATCATGGGGCCCATATTTGAAATGGGCTTAACCGGTGATAAAGAGAAGAATGTTTTGTAAGAAAAAAACAAAACAAAAGGACGAGAATTATTATAGCCATTCAGATGCCAAAGTTTTCTTTCTATACAAATTGCATTTTCTTTTATTTAGAAATTTCAGTTGTCGGATGGGAAAATTCAGGAGCCATCAACAAAAAATCATTAGTCAAAAGAAGACTCACCACCAACAGTAACACCAACTCACCAAGTAGTCTCTCTTTTTTTTTTTTTTGTCAAGAATTTATAATTTAAAACAAATATAAATTAAATATATGGCCGTTGGAGATTTCATTGGCCACGACTCATGGAAAAGTGTTTGTTCTTTTTTCCATGATTCTAATTACTTACAACTTACAAGGTCATGCTTGGTGCATGCATCAACAACATATGTAAAGCTCTATGCAACTTGTTATAATATTTTTAATTTTATTTCGCTTTAGTTTTGTTTTTATGTAAAATATCTTTCTATACAAGTATTTGTTACTGTATTTGCTTTTCACAGTAGGATCAATTCTGACTATTTTACTTTCACTCAAGATCCTGACAATTTTCGAACAAATTTGTTAGATATTTTATTGAAAAATATAATAACTTTTATTAGTTAAATATATTGATTGGTCTTATTTTATTTGACAAAAGCCAATGAAAATAAAGATCCCAAAACCATAAAGCGAAAAAAGAAGAATAAAAAAAAGGACCAACAGTGGGACCTGGGGCTGCTCATACACAAAGGAAGGCGCGAATTTCAAGGACCAGAAACCTCTGCGACATTTTTGTTTTCATTTTTCTCAAAACAAAATTTCTTTCTTCTTCTTCTTCGTGGAAATTTCTCGTATTTCGCTTCATTTCTCTTGCGTCGTATTTTGATTCTGTCCTCTGCGAAAAAGTCGCGTCTTTTTTCAGTCTGAACCACGTTCGATTCAACTACTTGAATTCCCAGATTTTAATTTCACCAACACACGTGCTTAGATCACGGCGGCTTCCTGTGATTCCGTAAGAATTATGAGTTTCGTTACTTTTTTTTGGTTCCATTTTCGACTTTAGATTAAGAGAATTCCGAAATTTTGTGTGATCTTCGATTCTCTCTGTTCCTAAATTCTAGAATTTTGCGAGATTTCCACTGCCTTTTTCGGTTGTTCATCTGAGATATTATTACTTCGGCTGGATCTGTTGGAAACACATTTTCCTCACTTCTCATCATTCTTCAATTTGGATTTTTGAGCAGAATGCATTTTTGATATTACAATATACAGAGAGAAATGTTTCAAGTTTTCTTTTTAATGATGAGAAAAACTTGATGATGTTGTAGGAGCTATAAGGTCGGAAAATGGCGGCTAATGTTTCTGCTGGAAACATTCATCATCTCTATCTTGCCGGGAAGGTTTACAAGAGAGGACAAGCTTACCGGCAAGATTCATGGAGCTCCGGGCTCACTTTCAGAGCCAATCCATTCAAAAACCTCTCTTGGTATCACTTTTCTTACTTTCAATCCAAATCCACAGCTTTTTCGGTTTTCTTGTTTAACTTATCAAACTTGTTGTGTGCATAGGTCAAGTGGCGTATCTAAGCCTATAAAGCCCGAGAGATGTGGTTGTTACTCTCGTGGCGTTTCCGCCATCAAAGAGAGCTCAAGGTCAAAGATTTGTACAAGTACTATCAGGGCGTCTTCGACAAAGTATTACGATTTCACTGTGATCGGCAGTGGAGTGGCGGGTCTGCGTTATGCTCTAGAAGTTGCAAAGCAAGGGACAGTGGCAGTGATCACCAAAGACGAGCCTCACGAGAGTAACACAAACTATGCTCAAGGTGGTGTTAGTGCTGTCTTATGCCCTTTGGACTCTGTTGAAAGTCATATGCAGGACACTATGGTCGCTGGTGCTCATCTTTGTGATGAAGAAACCGTTAGAGTAAGTTTTGGATCCTATCACTGTTTTTGTAGTGTCAGGAGATGGATGGTCCAAAACCTGACTCACTTTTTCACTGGCTGAATTTTCCTGTTTCAGATTGTGTGCACAGAAGGGCCTGAGAGGATTCGGGAGCTGATTGCGATGGGAGCATCGTTTGATCACGGCGAGGATGGGAACTTGCATTTGGCGAGAGAAGGTGGTCACTCGCATCGTAGGATCGTTCACGCAGCTGATATGACAGGGAGAGAGATTGAGAGAGCTTTGCTTGAAGCTGTACTTAACGATCCCAACATATCTGTCTTCAAACACCATTTTGCAATCGATCTTCTCACTTCTCAGGTTCCAGTTCAAGACACCCTTGAGAAATCAATTTGACTGTGAATATGTGATCACTTTGGCTTATCAGATTAATCCTTTTTCTTTTAATGTAAAACAGGATGGTTTGAACACGGTTTGTCATGGTGTCGACACTTTGAATATCAAAACAGACGAGGTACAAAAGATCTTGTTTCTTTCGGTTTGATGATATGCCAATGAAGCTTAGATTGTGATGTAAAAAACAAAAGCTGATGTTTTTTTTGCAGGTGGTACGTTTTACATCGAAGGTGACATTGCTTGCTTCAGGTGGAGCTGGCCATATCTATCCATCAACCACAAATCCTCTGGTAAAATTCTCTTTATTTATACAACTATCACTTGTTGATTTGCATAAACATACTGCATTGGACTTTTAGATGTAATAGTTAAAAAGTTACAGAGATAGAAGTGATTTCTCATTTTTATCACTTGTGGTGGTGCTAGTTCTTATACTGCATTGATGACATTGTTTGCTTTTATCCATTTTTCATATCATCATGTTTTGTGTTTATAGGTGGCTACTGGAGATGGGATGGCTATGGCTCATCGAGCTCAAGCTGTGATCTCAAATATGGAGTAAGTAAACACACAAAAAACCAAAGTCTGAAGAAACTTCGTGTTGTTGACTATAAAACTTATGTTTAATGTTTTGTGTTTGTGGTAGATTTGTGCAGTTTCATCCAACTGCCTTAGCCGACGAAGGTCTTCCCATCAAACCACAAGTCGCTAGAGAAAACGCGTTCCTCATCACCGAGGCTGTGAGAGGCGACGGTGGCATTCTCTACAACCTAGGAATGGAGCGGTTCATGCCTGCTTACGATGAACGAGCCGAGCTAGCTCCAAGAGATGTGGTTGCAAGAAGCATTGATGACCAGCTCAAGCAACGGAACGAGAAGTATGTGTTACTTGACATAAGCCATAAGCCTAGAGATAAGATCCTTGCCCATTTCCCAAACATAGCTTCCGAATGCCTTAAACACGGTCTGGACATCACCCGACAGCCTATCCCGGTCGTGCCTGCAGCGCATTACATGTGTGGAGGAGTTCGTGCTGGTTTACAAGGCGAGACCAATGTCCTTGGCTTGTTTGTAGCAGGTGAAGTAGCGTGCACTGGTCTTCACGGAGCAAACCGGCTTGCTAGTAACTCGCTTTTAGAAGCTCTGGTTTTCGCTAGACGCGCTGTTCAGCCTTCGAGTGAGCTCATGAAACGCACGAGACTTGATCTAAGCGCATCAGAGAAATGGACGAGGCCTGTTGTTGCGACTGGTAGGTCTCTAGGCGACGAAGTGATATCAAAGATTCTTGCTCTGACTAGAGAAGTGAGAAGAGAGCTTCAGGGAGTGATGTGGAAGTATGTTGGCATCGTCAGATCGACCACTCGGCTCAATACCGCTGAGAGGAAAATTGCAGAGCTTGAAGCGAAGTGGGAAACGTTTTTGTTTGAACATGGATGGGAACAGACGGTGGTAGCTCTTGAAGCTTGTGAGATGAGAAACCTGTTCTGCTGCGCTAAGCTTGTTGTGAGCAGCGCTTTAGCAAGGCACGAGAGCCGTGGTCTTCATTACATGACAGACTTTCCTCATGTGGAAGAAAGCAAGCGGATTCCGACAATTATCCTCCCGTCTTCTCCTTCAACAGCTAGCTGGAGCTCGAGGCGGTTGCAGAATATAAGCAGCAGCTCACTTGTTGATTGTTAAAACTGCTGGAGTTTTGTTCTCATTTGAAGAGAATCCTTTCTGATTCTTGTATTCAATTGGAAAATTTTGGAATTCGAAAGAAATCTCTGATTCTGACACTGTTATACAAAACAAGATAGATTATATATATGAGATATCAATCATTGTGTGTTGTGACAAATAATCTTTCAATCCATTTGCTATCGTTTATTGATGACTTTCTTAGCAAAAATAAACAACTGTTTAGTGTATGAGGATTTCCCAAGCAAGGAGTAGGATTGAGAGCAGTCTTGTTTTCATTGACTCCATATCCTCAGTTCTTTTTTTCCCATTCAAGAAGCTTCCATTCTTTTCCAGAGGAAACAGCGAGCTCCAAGCTCGGTAGGGCTTCCATTACCAGACCAAACATGAATTAAATACGTCCTGTCCAGTCTTCTTCAGCTAGACAGGGGTCAGATCTGAGAAGGCTGCACAAAGGCAAATCCATTAGGAAACAGATATCACTTCTTCAATGCCGCTTTAGCCAGCCTAGTTAGTAGTTCCATCCAGAAACCAGCTAGATCAACAGTCTTGCCTACTCTGCAGACGCCTTTCCGTTTTGCTACAACGAAATCCAATGGATATTCTCAGGAAATAATTTTGGCATGTGAAATTTGATGTAACAAGGATATACCAAAACATAATTTGAAGAATCACTACGGTGCCATAATCTCACCGGCACTAACCCAATTGCGGAATGAAAATTGCTTAGATGTCATGTTTGGAGCCAAATCTGCTACTGTGGTATATATCTGAGAAAATGAAACATTTGAGTAAAGTTGCAACCGAGTCTTGGAGCGAGACTAGAATTAAAAGAACAGAAACAGAATTACCCGAATCACGAATTCGAGAAGCGAGCATTCTTTCTCTTGTAACACTCCTTCAAGAATCTTTCAGCATCAATCTTCATTCCAGGTTTAGAAAAAGCAGCACTTATCCAGTAGACAGTTTGATTACAAGGAATATAACCCTTTCCTTCGATCATCTCTTTCAGCAACTCTTTTGCCTCTGCCAAGTACATTGCTTTTTTGTTCCACTCAACTTCTGGATGAGTGCAAAGCTTGCACAAACCAGTTATCATAGTACAGTAAGTTGAAGCGTTGGGGCTCACTTCTCTCTTCCCCATCTCCTTCATTAGCTCTCTCGCCTGAAGCATCTTCCCAACTTTAGCAAATTCACTGATAAGCACATTGTAAGTGCTGGTTTTCGGTACCAACCCATCCGCAATCATCTCACAATATAACGTCATACTTGCTTTCTTATTCCCCATCTTAGCTTGACCAGAAATCAAAGCATTGTATGTAAAATCGTCAGGGCGCATACGCCTACTCTTCATCTCACTCACCCATCTTTCCACTTCTTCTATTAGCCCTGCATCAGAGAGACCTCTTATTATAGTATTGTAAGTTGCAACATTCGGTGATATTCCTGCTTCCAACATAACCGTATATGTCGAGAGAGCTTTTCCTACATGACTGCCCATAAAGTACCCGTGCATAAGAGCATTGAACGTCACAGTATCAGGAACAAAGCCTCTTACTTTCATATCTTCCATGACCATAGCTGCCTTTTTCGTCATGCCTAGTTTGCACAGAGTTGCAATAAGAGTGTTGTAAACTTGCCTACTGAGTTTAATTCCATAACTCAGGAGTTTCTCGTGCATTTCAAATATCGCATCAGCTCTTTTATGCTTTGAAGACGTGTCGAGAAAAATTTGGTATGTCTTTAAGTTAGGATGCATCTCCATGAACATCATTTCATCCAATATGTCCAATGCTCCCTCGATCTTACCCGATTCACAGAGCGTTTCACCCACAATGTTGCAACTCATCAGGCTCGGTTTTATTCCACGGCTCTTCATCTTATCCCAAAGCTTAAGGATACCTTCGACATTCCCTTGCTTTCGTTGTGAAATCATCATTATGTTAAATGTGGCGATATCTGGTTCTATACCCTTCTCTCTCATTCCTTTGTAAGCCCATTCTACTCCAACTTTGCCAAACTTTAACAGACCATTGATCAAGACGTTGTAAGAAACAACATCCCATGGCATCCCTTTCTTTTGCATTTCTTCAGCCCAAGAAAGAGCAGCTTCTTCATCTCCCCCTTTAAAGAACACATCAATCAAAGATGTGTAGTTAACACGATCCAGCATCACTCCTCTAGATACCATCTCTTTGACTAATCTCCCGATTTCCTTGATCTTACCATTTCTCTTCAAGTGGTTCACCAGAGCATCAAGTATATAGTTGTTCTCCTCCAACCCAACGAGCCTCATCTCCTTACTCATTTCAAGAGCAATCTCTTGTTGACCTGACTTGAAGAAACCATCAATCACTCTACCATAAGTAAAACTATTCGCCACAATGTTCTGTTCCTCCATTTTCCTCATAACACTAACAGCTTCTTCGAGCATCCCTTTCTTCACATAGCCATTTATCATACTAGAGTAGGTGACAACATTTGGAAACACACTTTTCTCTAACATCTGCGTTACTACAGACTCCGCACTGTTCAAATCCCCAGCTTTGCACAAACCATCTACCAAAGCTGTATAGGTCACTGCATTTGGAACTTGATCCTCTTCCAAAAGCATCCTAAATGTTCTCTCAGCCTCGCTACGTTCCCCGGCCTTAAACAGACCATCCATCAAAACTGTATATACAACTAAATCTACAGGAATCCCACGCACAATCATTTGACTGTAGAGAGCCAAAGCATCGCGGTAACTTTCTGCTTTAAACAAAGAATCAACAAGAGTAGTATAAGTTACATGATTCGGATATACACCCATCTCCTCCATTTCCCTCAGTAACAATCCTGCTTCCAGCAGTTTTCCGTCTTTGCACAATCGGTTAATAATCGAACTAAAAGTAACAACATCCGGATAAAACCCGTTCATAACCATATCCTTGTAGGCTTCTTCAATGGCATGGAGACGGTAGTAAGAGCTTATGAGTATAGTGTGAGTGATGAGGTTTAGCTCCGAGATTTCGTCAACTAAAGCCTTCGCTCTAGCAAAGTTCCCAACTTTACAAAACCCATTAATCAGAGTGTTGTAGCTAACCGTATCGGGAAGTATACCTTTCTTCACCATTTCAGAGAGAATCCCATAAGCCTCGTCAGCCAAACCATGTTCGCATAAACCCCAAATCACAGTGTTGTAAGTAACAGTATCAACGGCGATTACTCTATTTCTAAGTAAACTAATTGCGAATCTCAATTGACCCACTTTGCAAAAAGAATGAATCAACACATTGAGAGCAAAAACATCCGGCGAAACTCCACAAGCTATCATCTTGCTGTAAATCAACGATACCTGGTGGGGTACCAAACAATTGACATTGAAATGGTGAATCAAACTGTTCCAGAGACGCGAATCCGGAGCAACACCGAAGGTGCACATCGCAGAGAGCGTCCTCGCTGCTCCGTAGAGCCTCCCGCAGCTTAAATAGAGCCGAAAGAGGGTGTGAAAGAGAGAAACGTAAACCCGAGTCTTGTTTTGAGCTGAATCAGTGTCGAATCTGGGTTTTGAGGTCAAGAGGCTAAACTCTTCGCTTCCCGGGATTTGGGGTCGTTTGATTGACGAGAAAGAGCGGCAACTGGAGAGAAAGAATCTGTATTTTCCCGTATAATTATTCCAAATCCTTATCATTATCAGCAGCGGGATTGGAGTTCATCTAAATCTCCAAAGTTCTCCAGAGACTGATGCAAGCTCTCATGGCGTCCGCTTGTGACGACGCATCGCTTCCCTTAAACACGACCAACTGAGAAAAGAGTCTCAAAGCTCGACGACGGAGAACTCCGACGGCGCCGTTTGGGTTTAGCAATACGATGTCGTTTAATCGATTCAATAATCATCTCTATATAAACGGGCCTGTATTGGGCCAGACTAAATTAGCTTTGCATTTTCGGATATATAATAGTCATTTTGTACATTAATTAATAATGCGATGCTATATCACACGCCTTATCCAAATCGTATAACGACGTTAACAAACGATAATTACAAAGTACATGTAATGTCTCAAATATCTCTTATTAATATTTCCACGTGGCACTTTGTAGGTGGTCCGGAGAAAACGATGATTTGGTTCCCGTTTCGGTGCATGAACGCTCGTGCTGTATAAATGCTTTCTTCTTCTCCAATCAGAGATTTTAAGGAAAAAGTAACAAAGTTGATAACAATCTACTCATAACTCTTCAGACCTTAGAGCCGATCTACTGAGAATATGGCGATGAGACGAGCCACCGGAGCAGCGATCAGAGCCTGTGCTTCCTCTTCTTCTACGGGTTACTTGGCTCGTCAGTTTCATGTAAGAACTCTTCGATCGCTCTCCTTATTTCCCTCGATTTTCTGGTGCTAATTTAGTGTTCTAAGTTGGCCATCTGGAGATTTCGTGCTCAATCGAGCTTTATGCTGTAGATTTCTCCAAGTTTTGTGTGGTGACTCAGCTTGATTTGACTGGTGTAGCTCTCTGTTTTCTATTTTTTTATTTTGAATACGCTTCTTTTGCGGTGGGAGACGGTTCCGATTGTATGCATGATGGATGTTTTTAAGATCGTTAGCCGTATGATTTCACTAGAATTTGATTTTTGAAGAACCCAGTTTGTTGTGAATTGCGATATGATCAGATTCAGACTGTGCATGACTGAAACGTGTGACTAAAAATCAGGAAAGCACAACTGTCATTACTGATTAGCCACCTAAAATTTCATTCTAAAAGCAAAAACTACAAGGTGTCTCTTTCTATAACTATTAAACGGCAGGACGTTCTGAGCTAGCTCTCTAATATTTTGGACTTTACAAGCATTTGGGGTTTCAATGTAATGCAAAGACGCATTTTCTGACGATATTTCAGAGTTTATGCAGTTCTTATTAGATGCTTGGAGTTCATATGTTTTGATTAGCTTCCTGAATCCTGAAAATGGCTTGTGAAACAGGCATCTTCTGGTGATAGCAAAAAGATTGTTGGGGTATTCTACAAGGCCAATGAATACGCCTCCAAGAATCCAAACTTCCTTGGCTGTGTTGAGAATGCCTTAGGCATCCGGGACTGGCTCGAATCAAAAGGACATGAATACATTGTCACCGACGACAAAGAAGGCCCTGACTGCGGTAACTATACATTACAGTCACAGTTTGGTATTTTGAACAATCACTTCATTGCATTAACAACAATCACCAATTTCTCCCACTCTTATCAATGGCAGAACTTGAGAAGCATATCCCTGATCTCCACGTCCTAATCTCAACCCCATTCCACCCGGCATACGTGACTGCTGAAAGAATCAAGAAAGCCAAGAACCTGCAGCTTCTCCTCACGGCTGGTATCGGCTCCGATCACATCGACCTCCAGGCCGCTGCAGCTGCTGGCCTTACGGTGGCTGAGGTCACGGGAAGCAATGTTGTCTCTGTAGCAGAAGACGAGCTCATGAGGATCTTAATCCTCATGCGTAACTTCGTACCAGGGTACAACCAGGTGGTCAACGGCGAGTGGAATGTAGCCGGCATTGCCTACAGAGCTTACGATCTGGAAGGGAAGACGATCGGAACTGTAGGAGCTGGAAGAATCGGAAAGCTTTTGCTGCAGCGGTTGAAGCCATTCGGGTGCAACTTGTTGTACCATGACAGGCTTCAGATGGAACCAAATCTGGAGAAAGAGATTGGAGCTAAGTACGTTGAGGATCTCAACGAAATGCTCCCTAAATGTGACGTTGTAGTCGTCAACACTCCTCTCACGGAGAAGACAAGGTACTAACGCTAATACCACAATCAATGAAGAATGTTTTTTGGTCTGAGAGATGACAAATGGGTTCTTTGTTTGTACAGAGGAATGTTCAACAGCGAGATGATTGGGAAAATGAAGAGAGGTGTTATGATAGTGAACAATGCGAGAGGAGCCATCATGGATAGGCAAGCGGTGGTGGAGGCGGTGGAGAGTGGACATATCGGAGGTTACAGTGGAGATGTGTGGGATCCACAGCCAGCTCCTAAGGACCATCCATGGCGTTACATGCCTAACCAAGCTATGACACCGCATATCTCCGGTACCACCATTGACGCACAGGTAATAATGTTTTCCTTTAACATTAACAAATAACATAAATATATATTTCTTTGAAAACATATGCTAAAGATTTAAAAATATGTTGTGTGACAGTGTGAGTATTAGGATTGAACATCCATAATTTAGAGGTACTAAAACTTTCGTTTGTTTAAACAGCTACGATATGCGGCGGGGACGAAAGACATGTTGGAGAGGTACTTTAAGGGTGAAGACTTTCCTGCTGCGAACTATATTGTCAAGGACGGTGAACTTGCTCCTCAGTACAGGTAAAGCTTTTTTAAAAGTTTTTTTTGTTTCTGTATCTCTTTTTAAGTATCCAAAGGGCAAAGATTTCAATTATTAAATAAAATAAAGACTCTGTAATTTGTTTCCTTGGTCCTTTTGAAAATTTGTAATAAACCAACAAAACATGTCTCGTTAGTCGAGAAGGGAAAGATAATTACTCTTGTTTTACTTATCAGTTTGTCATTTTTTCTAATAATACTGTCCAAGGAGGCAAGGAACCACAGTTTCAGCATTTGAATGCAAATGCAACTTTAATATTTGAATAATAACCGAGTGCTGGCTATAGTCTTGGATAACATTCATGGTTGTTCCTGATAAATCCGTATGGTTGGTTGTTTTATTGTGACCGACCGGAGCTCTTGGTCTTTCTTCTCCTTCCTCGAGTTTGGGCTTTGTTAGAATTTCGGTAAAGGCAAATAGATTCGGAAAATGAAAAAGCCATTTGGTTAGTGTTGTGAACTGTTACGTTTGATAATGTTTCCTGTGCCTTACTGTTAAAAGAAGAGAATTACGATGATCTCTAATATAAAATTTAAAACCGAAAATCAAACGGCTTGACCCACACCGACGCTGGTCTAACTACGATATTACGACAAAATATTTGCAACGTGGGTCCATATATCGATATTCATTTTTCTCGACAACTATATCAATCAATATTATGGGTATTAAATTAACCACAAATATAAATAATTGTGAGAATGGGTGGGATGATAATCATTGAATTTGTAATTTGATCAAACAGTGGTTAGATATGGTGACACCCAACTTCTTGCTTTCTCTTTCTTTCCAAATATGCCCTTCCTCTCAAATCCACAAAATTAACGTTAGAGATAAATTTGTATAGTGTCGAATATAACTTATGATCATTTCGCGCCATTGAATCCATTAAAAATGTTACCATAAGAAAAACACGTAGAATCGCAATGTTATTTCATCCCTGTTCTACAACAGAATCTATGAATTTGCATTCAGAACTGTGTGATAACTTTTTTTATTACTAGTCTTACAGTATCTTCTCAAAATCACACGTTAAAGTCAAAGCTCAATCTTACAATCTGGTAAAGTTAATTATGATACGGATCTGACCAGATTTGAGTTTAATTCTTTATATAGTGAAGTACGATATGGGTTTTAAAACTCTTCGACCAACCACTTTTCTGTGTATCCAAAATATGTCAACATATCCAAGATAGCTGAAAAATAAACAATTCTAAAAGATTATGCTAGATTCTCAACGACAGATGATGAAGATGTTTTTGGCGCTGGAGTGTCAAATCAAAAATCTAATCAAACAACTTTATTCAAATTAACATAAATGTAGTCGCTAAAAATGAAATACAATCACATTTTTATTTGGAAATGATAATATTTAGTCAGAGATATTTTATGGAAATATACGAACAAGAAAAGAAAAAAACATTAATTTCAACCGCGAGGCGATCGCATATGGTAACTGCAAACCGACAAAAATAACTCTTGTACACATGGGTCCCATTTTAATCTGCAGTACGACATCGTTTTCATTTCACTCCAAACAAATACGACGGCGTTTTCGAAGCACACTATATGAATACGACTCGTGAAACTGTGAAAGTGGCTCGCCGGTTAGTACACATTTTTCCGTCTTCAACATCTCTCTCTTTGTTTTCTCTTTCGTTCTCTCTATTTTCTCTCGCATTTCAAATTCCATTTCCTTATTTAGTTTTTTAAGGTCGGCGATTACTCGAGTCCGTTGATTCTCGCTACTCCGCCGTCAGTTTTTCTACTCAGAGGCTTACGCTTTTGCCGTCGCTTGATTCGCTGGTAAATTTCTTTACCTCCATTTTTGTGTAAACACACACAACGCAAATTTGAACTGGTATATGCGAATTTTCAAGTGGTTTTGATCTCTCGAGTTCTAGAATTCGTCAGCCGGTGAAAGGTATTCTGAAATCGGATTTGGAATCGCGAGGACTTGTTTGGAAACGAATTGAGATCTTCTGAGAGTCCTCGAGTGAGATCGTGTTTTTGTCGTTATTGATAAATTGCTTGAAATTCGAGTTCGAAATGTAGATCTATGCTATGAACCATTTTTGCAGTTGAATTCGTCCGCTTTGATCTTATTCAACAGTCTGTGAAGTTGACAAGTTGATTTTACTCAGATTTTTAGACTTTTTCCTGCTCTATTGATGGCATTTACCAGATAATAGTTTTCGTAATCTGCTCGTTTGCTGGTCAAGTTTCTTGGCTGATTTAAGCTTTGTAGACTTGAATTCATCGAGATCTGTGCGCAATTTTCCAAAGATCCATTGCTCTGTGAGGACTGATGAGTTAAAAACGGATTTGAGTGTCTCACTTTATGCTTAGTTAGTCTGTCAGTAATACGAAAATTCAGTGTCTTCTATAATGTGTGAGATATGTTAAGTAGATTATGATTCTGTTCTTCATTGTTTTGAATTTAATTTTCTTCCTGCAGTGTAAGTACACTTTATAATCCATGGATTGGTTATAGCTAGGCCTAATTATAGCTAATATCTCCATGGTATTCTTATAACTGTTTGTATAGCGTTGCGATGGTGATTTATTTCTGTATTCACGCAGGTAACTTCTTCACGTATGGCCAGTAATACTTTGAAAGATATGAATAGTCTTCCTGTAATTGAGAAAATAAGTGATTGTAAACCAAGCTTAACCAAGCCTTCTGCTGGCAAAATGAATGGAAAATCTGACGATAGGCCACTGCCAAAGCCTGGAGCCTTGTCTCCTAGTGATCATCTCAGCGTTGTAGAAACAGAGAAACCAGATGCCGAGATAGCTGTCGTGGAAGTTGAATATATTGAATCCGAGAAGTTGGATAACGTAGACGATGCTGATGCAGTACTGAAGGTATTCATTCTGTGTTGAAACTGTTTGTTTATATCCATCTGTTTGGAGATATGATTGTTTACACAAGAGGAATCGGTTTGGTCTTGTTTTTCAGTCGGTTCTAGCTGGACTTGACTCTAAGGATTGGGTGTCAGTCTGTGATGCTCTTAATAATGTTCGTCGGCTTTCGATATTCCACAAGGAAGAAATGCTGCATATGCTGTAAGCCAGTCTCTCTATGCGTCTCTGACTTTATTATCTCTTAAAGTTGATTCGACAATGCAAGTCTCACCATATCCTCTTAACAGAGACAAAGTGATACCACTCGTCGTGAAGTCACTGAAAAATCCAAGAAGTGCCGTGTGTAAAACCGCATGCATGACATCTGCAGACATCTTTAGTGCATATAACAACAATATAACAGATTTGCTGGATTCTCTGGTAACTCTTTTATCCTTTTCTACTCTTTCACTGAGTTTTGCTGATTGAATCTTACAACGTCTCATACGCTCTGTGTTTTCAGCTTACTCAACTCCTCCTCAAGTCTTCCCAAGACAAACGGTTTGTTTGCGAGGCAGCAGAGAAAGCTTTAACAGCAATGACCAAATACATTGCCCCAACTCTGCTGTTACCAAAGCTGCAACCTTGTCTCAAGAACAGGAATCCTCGGATCCGTGCAAAAGCATCGTTATGCTTCTCCCGAAGTGTTCCCCGACTGGTAAATACACTTTCAACTTCTGCTCTTATCAGATATCTCTCTCTCACACAAAGGCATCACCTCTTTATTTAACATATTCCAGGGCGTTGAAGGTATTAAAGAATATGGAATCGACAAATTACTTCAAGCAGCCGCATCTCAGCTTAGCGATCAGCTCCCTGAATCTCGTGAGGCTGCACGAACCGTCCTGCTAGAACTCCAGACCGTGTATGAAAAAGTTCACCCTCTCACCAAGCCCGAGACGCAAACATTATCATCATCATCGTCGTTGCCAGAGGAAGAGCAAATCCCAGAGGCAGAGCCAATCACTTGGGAAACCTTCTGCCACTCAAAGCTGTCGGCTCTTAGTGCACAAGCTGTGCTTCGTGCCACCAACGTCGTGACCGTCACTGCTCGGGAGGGTTTGGTTACTAAAGGTCCATCATCTTCATCCCAGTTATAAACCTTTTCGACTACATTTTGAAATTCTTTTTTCTTTTGAAACCGTTTGCGATGGATCATACGATTACATGGTATTCTCCGGGCATATGATGTGATCTACCAAATTGGCAAATTATGGACCGATGAAGAGAGTGAAGACCGTTTGTTAAAAAATCTTGGTTTCTTTTTTTTTGTTGGGTTCTCTTTTTTTTTTTTTTCGATATTCATCATTGCTTTCCTTTTCCCCCTTATGTGTATATATATCCATACCATGATTTGGTAAGATAGTCCGAGTCTTTTGGTTTAATGCAAATTGGTTGGATTCTTTGAAGATTCAGTCTCCGTTCTTCATATCAATATCGAGACTTGTAGTTATGCTTCTTACTTGTTAGTGTTCTCTGATTAAGCCTTGACTCATAGTCATTAGATGGTTTCGTTTAGTCAAGCTTTGGCCTAGTAGTGATATGCTTTCTTAGTAATGCGTTTTATCACCCTTACAAGTACGCAACGCTGCTTTTCTTAGATTTGAGAACATATAAAAAAAAAGTATCTGAATTCTGAGCCAATAGAGTCGAGATAAATAATTTTCACCTCTGCTATGAAAACTCAACATTGACGTGCAACATCCATAACCCTTATTCTGATAAACCTAGTGAGGTGAAGCAATAGCTGCAACTATATGTTATCTTAGCTCTGTGAGAGCTCGCGGCTTCGGTTAGCAGCAGCAACAACAGCATTCATTAGTGTTGCACGGAAAGAGCCTTTCTCCAGTTCATGAACTCCGGCGATCGTAGTGCCGCCAGGGGAAGTAACATCATCTTTCAACACACCTGGATGCTTCCCTGTTTTGCTCACCATCGTTGCAGCTCCTAGAACCTGCCGAGCAGAAGAGAAAAAAATCCACAAAGTTCAGACTTCTTTTTCACTTTCGGTTATCCAATACCATAGAACAAAAACAAACTAAAGAAGCGGTGTGGATAGGTTCACTAACGGTTTGTGAAGCTAAACCCAATGCAAGTTCTCGAGGTAAACCAGCAGCTACTCCTCCATCAGCTAGTGCTTCAATGGCTAAGTATATGTATGCTGGTCCACTTCCACTGTAAAAAAATTGAAATTCCCAAACAAAAAAAAGTCAGCACATAACTACTAGATTAGCGAACTGGAACAACTTAACACTCACGAACTGTAGCGGTTTTTAATGTACCTGAGGCCAGTGACAGCATCAAACAATTTCTCATCAGCTCTCAATATTTTCCCCACTGAGCCAAATAACTTAGCAACAAGTGCTCCATCCTCTTCCGTCGCTGCTGTTCCGAGGCTCATAACTATGTAACACACGACGCAATGCAGCAAAGGTAAGCATTTGATAGTTTCAGAAAGAAAATAAGTCCGGTAGAGACAATTTCAAATAACACAAATTGGACCTACATACCTGTAGCTGCCTCACCAACTGCGGCTGGTGTATTAGGCATCACCCTTATAAATCGATCATTGCCAGACCATTCCTAACACAAGTGAAAAAGAGATCTTCAGCTTTTTAACCAAATTGAACTCTAGAAACAAGTTTGATGGCAAACACTGAAACTACAACACCATGGATAGTGACATAACGCCATTGTGACACTAAAAAAAAGAGAGAGCTAAATGGCAGTTTACTAATCAGGACTGATGAAACTGTAAGATGCAAGCAAACCTGTAAATCTTTCAATTTGATTCCAGCTGCAACAGAAACCAGAAGCTTATTCTTCGAGAGCTTCGAACTCAATTCCGTGACAGCTTTCTTAACTACATATCACAGGTAAAACTTTTGTTGTAAACACAAAATTCCGTTGATGAATGGATCATATGGATCAGAGGAAATGGAATATACCAACTTGAGGTTTCACAGAGAATATCACAACATCGCTCTCTTTGACGACCTGTCATTTCGAAGATCGTCAGTTTCTATCAGTTTCACGCCAGCAGATGAAGTTAACACATCTATGAGACGACCTAAACAAAAGGAAACTTACATCTTCGCTACTGGAGAAGACATTGACGCCGAAGGATTCGAAGACATCTCGTCGATTGAGATTCGAGTGTACGGCGGTGGAGATGCGATTCGGGGGAAGCACACCAGAGGCAACCACACCTCTAGCTATACTCTCCGCCATCTTTCCTGCTCCGATGAAACCAACCTTGAAGCTATCCGCCGGAATCGGAAGTATCTCCATCGGGAAATTGTTGATTTAGGTTCCGTTCTGGTTCCAGATACTATAATCTGAGCTGAAGTGTTAAAGAGATCAGTTCAAGCGCGCATGTGAAGATCAGGTGGACTAATTAGTTTACTAAGGCCCAATAAAACAAAGGGATGCAAATTTATAAACGGCCCGCTTAAAAGTGGTGAAGCAAATATCGTGTCGTTCACACAAAAATTATCAGAACATCACGGCGTTTTGTTTTCTGGCATTCAAAGCTTAAACCAACCCAAAACAACATCAAGTTAAGATACAGAAACGTAGTCAGTCAGTCAGTCTTTTATAGCGTAGACGGCCACTGAGGACTGAAGATCTCGATCAACCTTGAAATGCGCGTGGAAGAATCTTTTGACCTGTTTCATAGCGAACAAAAACAAAAATTCAATTCACAAAGTGATAAAAACAAGAAAAAGAGTGTTGATTTCACCACCATCTTTGCATCTAACTTACCTCTTTAAAGGAATGTTGGATCATGAAATCTCCGACTTTAGTTTCCTCTGATGCAAACAATACAATGTGACTAGGCGGCTCTGACCAATTTTTAGCTAACTCTGATGCGAAACCTAAAGGGTCCATCAAGAACTTGTCTGACTCATCAAGTTTTCCCTTCTCTTCGCTGTTTGAGAAGACGAAGAAAAAGAATCCGTAAGAATCAAACAGTAGACAGATGAGAGAAGAAGCAAGAAGTGTGATTTCGTTACCTTGGCGTGCAGTCAAGAAACTGCATTGGAATGTTAATATGGAGAGTGGAATAGTATGGAGTAGAATGACATGGCATGAGAAAGAGAATGCTCTTCACTCTCCCTTTGTTTGCTTCTTCTGATAAGTAGTTCATCGCATCCTCCGTTCCTCTCTGTCATCAGCAACAACATTCCTTTTCAGCACAATTAGAAAGAGTAAACTCAGAAACTAAAGAGAGCACTCAAGTGATTGATCTTTTTTTACCTGATGGAATAAACTCATGTATAGTGCCATTGGGATATTGGTCACAAGCAAAAATAAGACTGAAAGACTCAGTTTAGAAGACCACTTGATGATATGTTTCTTTCGAGGGACTTGCTTCTTTTTAGTGACTGATGATGATGGTGAATCAGATGATTCCATTTGAGCAAATGCATACCCAGAGAACATCAAAGCTACGGGTAGCACAGGCAGCACAAACCTATCATTCATAATCTAAGTAGACGAACACGGCAAATATAATTCATGATGAAGAGATATGTTCCTTGTGAACTTTTTTCAATAACGGTAAAGTGGTTCATTTCTACATCTATATTACCTGAATTCCTTGTGGCCGAGTATGCTGTATATAGCTAAAACCCAAAGAATAAGAGCTGAGAGCTTCTGATTCTTAGACTTGATGATTCCAGCAATGGAGAATGGTGTAAAGGTGAAAAGCATGACAAGAAATCCTTGGGAGAAGTACCAGTGCCATGGGTGAGTTCCGTAATAGTCTCCACCGGACGAAAGGAAATTGAACTTGAGAAAATTGAGAGGCACAATGACCCATGAGCCGTACATCACACGGTCCAACCAACAGGTGAAACCAAGGACCAAGGACCTAAACACCATAAGCAAGTAAGGCCAATGAAATCTTCAAAAAGGAACATTCAAGTGTAGAGCTACAGAGTTACACTCACCCAATGGGGATCACCTCTAGGATTATGAACTTGATCTTGTTAGGCGTCAAAAATAGCTCAAGCATCCCAACATATAACCATATGATTGCACTTGTTGGTCTTATGGCACATGCTAAGGCTGCTATGACCAAACCCCATTTGCGGTTCACCGGATAGTCCTTTGAAGAATCTCTGATACAAGGCCAGTAGTACAGGCTTATGATGGTAAGCACAGTCTCCAAACAGTTTGAAAAAGTACGATTCAAACAGAAGAATGTGAACCAGTTTGCCATTTCACAAAAGAGCTGCCACAAAAAAGTTAAGGAAGCAATTTGGAATAAAACGCAAATACAAAGTAAGATATTAGGCTAATCTTGTTATTTTTCACTGGTCACAGATTCGTTGCTATATCATTCAATTGATTTGGTATGCTGCAAAAGAAAGGATACGGACCATCTTGCAACATTTTCACCGTACAGAGCATCTGAGAGTTTATACAAATAGAGATCACCAACAGCTGAAAATATGGATTGCATGAGACGTGGAGCTTTGCTCTGCAAAGAAAGGAAGCAAAGAGTTATAACAGTTTTTGAGCAGTGCAAAAAATGAAAGAGGATATGATTCTGAAACTATCCAGAAACTAAACATGATTTCTAATTATACATACCATAACGTAGGGAGTATCAAGGCCTGTGAGTTGGAGAACTTTGTACAAGAATGCGAATGTCATGGGATGCAAATAGCTTCTTATCCCTCTCTTCCATTCCCATGTCAAGTAACCATATCTGTCATTACGATCAATCAATAAACCATCTTCGAAATGGCAAATCGCAGCTCAAATCACTGACTCTTATGAATTCGTCACATTTCTCACTTCGACTATTGGAAAACTTCACTAACAATGATTCATCGAACTTAACAGTATAACATTGATTCAGCCATTTTTTTATTTGTTTGGAAAGCTTACCCGAAGACGTTGCGGTGAGCTACTTCAAGGGATTGCCAATGTTCGTCGGGATTGAAATAAGTTTGAATCAACAACGCATTTACCACGCGAAACGCGAGGCAGAGCAGGAATATCCGCATCGGAGATCGTCTTCGAGCTGTTTTTGAAGAAAAGCTAAACGAGCTCCGATCATCTCCGCCGTTAGCTGACGCGCCGCCGTAGACATCGCCGTCGGCGTTCTTCCGCTTCCTCATTTCGATCAACGACGGCAGAAACTACGAAGTCACTTACAGACACGTTGGGTTTGCTAAACAGTCCATATTCTTATGGGCTTATAGTATGATGAGAAACAAGGCCCAATATAAAGTAAGAGAACAATGACATTTGGCCTAACATGACTCACGAAGATGGCTCTTACTGCAAAATCGAGTCTCAACGGCTAACCCTTTTGATCACATATGTTTTGTTTTGTAACGTATAAAACTTTAAGTTTTCTTGTTATTTAAACTGTTTCCAGTAACATCCATTTGTACAAGTGTATGGACTCTTCACTAAATAGTTTGACTCTTTCGTAATGTTAGTACTTAATATCTACGAGACTATACAACAAGTACGTAACTCCTCGGAACTACAACAAGTCAAAATACAATAACTTCAGTTTGGAAACACAATTAAGTAAAACTCGACCTATAAATAAACTCTTGTGAGAAAATGTTAAGAAAACAACAAAAAATGGCAGTTTCATCATCTTCTCATCATGTGGTTCTCTTCCCTTACATGGCAAAAGGCCACACCATCCCTCTCCTCCAGTTCGCCCGTCTCCTACTCCACCACCGCCGTCTCATCCCCGGCGACGTTGAAGAACCGACCATTTCCGTCACCGTCTTCACCACCCCAAAAAACCAATCCTTCGTCTCAGATTTCCTCTCCAACGACACGACGTCATCATCAATCAAAGTAATCTCTCTCCCTTTCCCTGAAAACATCGCCGGAGTCCCTCCCGGCGTCGAGAGCACCGACAAGCTCCCTTCCATGTCACTCTTCGTGCCCTTCACGCGCGCAACCAAATCTCTCCAGCCTTTCTTCGAAGAAACGCTGAAGAACCTTCCACATGTTTCTTTCATGGTCTCCGATGGATTCCTCTGGTGGACATCGGAATCCGCCGCTAAATTCGAGATCCCGAGACTCAGTTTCTACGGCATGAACGCCTACGCAGCGGCTATCTCCTCCTCCGTTTTGGTACACAAACTCTTTACATCCAAACCGGAAATTGTTAAATCCGATACCGAACCGGTTAGTTTACCGGATTTGCCATGGATACGGGTTAAGAAGTGCGAGTTTGGTCCGAGTTTCACTGACCTTCAATGGACTCCAGACTTGGAGCTTATGATGGACCACTTAGCGTCCTCGAAGAAAAGCCGTGGAACGATAGTGAACAGCTTTTACGAGCTCGAGTCAACGTATGTTGACTATATCAGTAACGATGACGATGAGCCTAAGCCGTGGTGTGTTGGGCCTTTGTGCTTAGTAGATCACCCAAAACCGGAGAGTGATAAACCGGAATGGATTCAATGGTTGGACCGGAAGAGTGTGGAAGGATGTTCGGTTTTGTATGTGGCGTTTGGAACGCAGACCGAAATATCGAACGAGCAGCTCAAGGAAATAGCATTAGGGTTGGAAAACTCCAAGGTACATAAAATTATCAATGGCTTACAAAATATATAAATATGAACGTAATAATGCATTTGTGGACTGACAAAAAAAAAAAAAAATGTTAATATACTTGGTCTTTGATTGTTGAATGGATTAAAGGTAAGTTTCTTGTGGGTCACGAGAAACGACTTGGAAGAAGTAACTGGAGAATTAGGGTACGAGAAGAGAGTGAGCGAGAATGGGATGGTTGTGAGAGATTGGGTGGACCAATGGGAGATTTTGTCACATGAGAGTGTCAAAGGGTTTTTGAGTCATTGTGGATGGAACTCGGCGCAAGAGAGTATCTGTGCCGGAGTTCCGCTGCTCGCTTGGCCGATGATGGCTGAGCAGCCGCTCAATGCGAAGCTGGTAACGGAGGAGCTTAAGATCGGAGTCAGAATTGAAACAGAAGATGGAAGTGTACAAGGGTTTGTGACAAGAGAAGAACTTACTCAAAAGGTATATTATCAAAATGTTCTAAATGAATATGATATCAGATGGTAATAACTCAAAGTTTTACAAAAATAAATCTTTTTCGTTGGTTTTATTTATGTTATTTGTTATGTGGGGTATTTTAGGTCAAAGAATTGATGGAAGGAGAGATGGGAAAGACTGCAAGGAAGAATGTGGAAGAGTATGCCTCAATGGCGAAAAAAGCTTTAGCTCAAGGGACTGGTTCGTCTTGGAAGAATTTGAATTCGCTTCTTGCAGAGCTATGTAAGCCTAGAGAGCCAAATGGTGTTAATAAGTTGTCAAGCGATGAGAAGAGAGACTGAGAGTGGTGGTTTGGGTCACCGCATGGGAATGTATTTGAATTTCGTAGGTGGTTTGGGTCACCGCATTGTTCTTCTGAATGATCTCTCATAGTAAGTTTGCATGCGAAATAGTATCTGATATGAGTAAAAAATATTACAATAATATAACATTGAGACAGTTTAAGAACAATACTCTACACTCTTTCGCTATATCTAACATCCTCAAACCGAACCGGAAAGAAAAAAAAAAGTGTTTGAAGTTGGAAGTAATAATGGGATTTCCTAACTATTTACCATCTAAAACACATTTAGTCTTCTTTGTCTATAGAGAAATCAGGCTCATCTGGTTTAAATAGTTGAGGCATCTTCAAGCTGTTTGAAGATCCATCTTTCTTACCAGTACCACCACTACTTGAAGCCTTTTGATTTGTGCCTCTTCTTGTGTTCGCTGCGAATTTAGACGCCAAGATTGTCGCTCCCAAGTTCTGGTTGTTGTGTGCGTTGTCAACAGTATCGCCATCAAACTCATCGTCGTCGCTTCCATAGTAGTATTCTCTGGCTTCATCGTCCTCGTCGTTGTAACCTGTTTCATCCGGATAATAGTATCCGCTACTCTCGTGAAGGCTGAGCTCTTTCGCTAGCTTCCTTCGCTTGAATCTTCTCCATGCAGATTGCACGAAACACGCTCCCCATGCTCTCCACTGATGTGAGTAGTACCTGAAAATAAATGGATCTCATAAGATTTTGATTCACCACCGTTCGGTTTATGATTGGATGTCCATGTTATATGGTTTACCTGAAAGCGTGTTGCAGCTTTTTGCTTTGAAGACGTTTAAACTGATGAGCAACGAACTTGAGGTCCTCTGCACTTAAGGCAAAGGCTTCAACTTCAGAGAGAGCACGGACGCTTCTTGTTGAAGAAGGAAGATTGAGTGTGGAGTTTGGCATTAAGGCCCATGTAAGAAGCTCTTCGCCGCAGAAATCACCAGGTCGTAGAGTGGTTGAGTTGAAGAAACCAGATCTTCCTCCATTTGTTGTTGAGCTCTCTATCTGTCCTCGGATCACAAAGAGCATCTCATTCACCGGATCGCCTTCACGGAATATATACGTCCCTGCCGTGCTTAAAGACGAGACTAAGCATCCACATATAGCGTCAAGAAGTTGATCATCCATTTGAGAGAAGAACGGGACCTGCACTTGGGAAAACAGAATGAGTTCTGAAACATAACGGCTTTTTGGGAGGACTAGAGTTAGTGTATGTACCCTCCGGACAAGGGCGAGACAGAGATGGCGTTGGATTTCACGGCGTAGATCTGTAGGTAAAGAATGGAGGATTGATTCTTCATCGACGCCTCGAGTCGCAAGCCATTTGTACTGAACGAATCTACGGACACGTTCTTGAAGCTCTGGAGGTAGCTGACGATGCCTCATCCATTCTTCAGTGTCTCGTCTCTTAACTCTCCACTCCTCAACTCTTACAGACATTGATTGTAGAGAAGTCTTTCCACCAAGTTAAAAAATCAAGATTAGAAAGACTAAAAAGATTGAAAAGATTCAAGAACAAGCTCTGGAAATCTTACTTGCATGTTACCAATGAGGAGTGTGAAGAGAATCAACCCAAAGATACAGATTGTGATACAGAACAGGGTCTCGCCAAGATACACACTTGTGGTTATATTCTGGCCATAAGAACTGTAAAACAAAAACCGGTATTAGAAAACCAAAGGAAGACCAGAAATTTTGTTGGATCAAAGGCTTGCCATACCTTAGATTTCTTAGACCCCACCAAAGACAATACAAGTACTTGGAGACGATATCTGTAGTAGCAACTTGAGTGGTGAAGGCTTCAGCAAACATCCCGAACTTGAAATTGGTAGTGCTGCTTGTAGCATCGCAATGAGAAAGGACCTGAGTCACGTTCTGCCAATACTGGCGCTCAGGTTGCTCCAGGCTCTTGCAGTCCAAGAAGCTAGGAAGACAGTCCAAAACTCTCAGGGCGTTGTCTTTCTTGCATACGTTGGACCAGCACGAGAACTGCCGCCCGATTGACGATAGATACCACATTGCTCCTAACACCTGCCCACAAAAGATAGATTCTTAAACTGAACTAAGACACACACTAAGAGAGATAGAGAGATGGAGAAGAGCTTTACGTGACTAGCGAGGATGTAGAGGAGGAGGTTGTACGCAGCTCCAGCCCAAGCAGTCTTGGCGATGAAACCGGTTGTTTTGATAATCCTCTGGTTGAGGGGGAAGATGATGAACGATCTTGGAATGTATTGAACGAGAACGATAAGTGCGAGTGTGCTATTGGCATGATTAGCAGTCCCGTTTGTCGCTCTTGGAATTACTAGCCAGATTACAAGCTGAGATATCAAACGATGGTCAGAAACAAGCTATGAGTCTCCGATGATGCAAGTCTCAGACCATAATGAACATTTTTGCTTTCATATTCAATCAAAGTTTCTAAAAAGTTCCTATGATAAAACGAATTAATCTTCAGAAACCATAATCCACTAGAAACAATGTAAATCTTCAAAATCTAATTCGAATTTAGCTCACGAGTTGTCACAAAGCTTAATTCACAAATTTGTTAATTTTGGAAGCTCAAATTGAAGAAATTGGTACCTGGGGAAGGGGAAGCATGGCGGCAACGTCGATGAGGAAATCGGACCTCATGTACCTCCGAGAGATTTCTTTGGAATCCATGACGAGCTCACCGCGACCGAAAACCCGGGAGCTCCGCGCGATGAACGCGGTTCTGAATTTCATGATGATGTGCAGGAGGTGGAAGAGATCGGCGACTGTGCGGAAGAACGTGATAGTGGCGGCGAGCTTGACGTCGACGGAGAGGCACGCCGGTCCGCCGACGTAAGGGACGTAGAAATAGAGGGGATCGAGGAAAAGCGCGAGGATCGATGTCACGAGAAAGACGTGGTTCCAATACGTGACGATGTTGCTGTCCGGGTCCAGGATCTGATGCCGCCATAGGAGGAGCCTGACTTGGCTACCGTTTACGGTGTCAGATCCCCGATTTGAGGCGGCGGAGGTTATGGTCTCCGGGAGGAGGCAGCGGAGAGACCGGATCTTATTCATATTCCATGGCGGATTCCGGTGTTAATCGGATTCCGCATTAAGAGACAGATAGAGAGAGATTGACGGGGAGAGAAGGAGTGTTTACGGCACTTAGGCTGCGTCGTGAATTTTTTTTTTTTTGGCTTTCATTTTGTTTTGATGATTATGGAAGATGGAGAGGATTTCTCGCGGGAAAACTTGGAGAAGGGCCATGGAAATAGGGAGGGTAGGTTTTCGGAAATACGATGGGAGGATGAGGGTATTTATGGAAACTTAATTCCTGAAGGGACTCGTTGTTTATGTTGTTTTTATGCTTTAAAAACAGCGCACGTTTCGCTTTCCAAAACGTTAATCGGCAGAACGTTTATAATCAGTAATTATTGGACCTACCGGCCCAACAGCTATGTAGATCGGCCCGTTATGTAATTTAATATTTTAAGCTATAATTATTAAACTGTATTTTCTTTTTCGTTTTTGACAGCAATTATAAGATTGTCTTAGCCATTGAAAACAATTAGAGCACGCGTACCAAACATTCTATGAACAAATATGATAGTGTGATGATAGTGTGCAATGCTTGTTGACACCATAAGATAACAAAAAGGAGCACAAATCCTTAGAAACAATATAAAAGGGGAATAATAAAGAAAGAAATGGAAAAAAAGAAAGAAATGAACCATTTTCTTTAAAGAGTTACTCATTTCATTTTGTTTCGTTATTCGATATATTTCGTTATTTTAATCAAACTTTTAAACGTAATTGATGTAAGGCCAACTATTCATGGATATACAGATACGATGTTAAACATTATTATTACCGACTAATTATGATTCCATGATGGCATGGCTATTAAGTATGACCACGTGTGGTAGATTTGAAATGTTTAGAGATGTTGAAATATAGAATCTGACCGGATCCAATTCTTATTTTATTCCACTTTACACAATTATTATATAACCATAACTAATTAACAAATTTGTACTTTAATGGTTTTCTTTATTCTTCATGTGGAGTAGTAGGAGACTAGGAGTAGACTATACGAAGAATACTTAGTTGTTAGTTTGTTTTTTTTTTGTTAAACTTAGTTGTTAGTTTGTTATCAGAAATTTTAAGAAATGCAATTCTTATGGTGTATTTTTGAAAATTTCTCTAAGAAAGAAAAAATTATTGTAAACATTTATTAAGATGGCAAAAGTTCCCACTTCCCATTCTAGGAAGCAACGATTTGCCTTTTTGTTTGATTTATATAAATGCTTACGGACACGAGAAGAAAAATCGTGATCGTGAACATATTAATCATTTGGGACCCAAATGAAAAAGAGTTATATTTTTTTTTGTTCTATTGAAATAACACTTTCTTTTGAAGTTTAAAGCACTCGTTTATCATTAATTATCTAAAGAAAGAAGATAAGTTGCTTTCAAAGTGGCAAGAGTTAGGTCTTGATAAAAAAGAATTGAAGGTGGTGGTGCCACACTACAATCCTTGCACCTCCATACACACGTGTCCAGAGATTTAAATCAAAATCAAAATCAAATCAAATTATTTTAAAGATTTGTAGAATAAATAATCTTTAGATATGTGTGAATAATTTTGTGGATTTGAGAGCCGGAGAGGATGAACAAACAGGTCACATAATATACCCTAAAATAAACCATCAAAGAATAGAATTTCTTGGTACTATCAAAACAAACAATAAAAAAGAAAGAAAAAAGTGACGAAGACACCAATCTATTCATTCCCCACCCATCATCTCCCATTAGTATTTCTTTATCCCCCATATAATTTTCAATCTCTGACCCATTTTTTGGGTCACTAATATTTGTCTTTCTGTAAACAATTTTTTTTCTAAAAGAATACAATAAATACATTCTGGATTGGTAATTCTTAACATTCATACCAAAGACACTCTTATAACCAATTGAACCAACACACAATATATTGTTTTGAAAATGATATACTGCAACAGCTGAAAAGCGTTTAATATAATATACTACTGTCTAGCATATTGCAGTAGTCTAAAACTTATCGAAAGAGTAAAAGATTTCTTATAGCATAGTGTTGTATGACTGTTTTAATATTACAAACAATCATATAACTCCAATATGTATATAGTAAAAAAAGTACAGTTTTATAGTGATAAATAAGAAACCATTTATAAGATTTGCACATTCTTCCATAACAAAGAAGGCCCCACAGTTTCCTTGAGGAGTATGATATTTGCAGTTATATTTGTGGCAGTTATCTTAATGATTCTTTTCATATGTTTTGTGTGTCTCTTCCCTCTCCTCCCTTTCTCTCTCTCTCTCTCTTTCTCTCTCTCTCCCACTTTGTGATTCTTGATTTTGGCCAAAGCTTTGTACTTTCAATGCATTAAATCACAATCACACAGCCAAAGAATCTAAAGTCAAAATTTTGTGTAACGTCAACCCTATCAAATCCAATCAAATCTCCTCCCATTTTTCCTTGTTTCTTCCCATCTCGAATCTCTTATCCCCAGAAATGAAACTCTTTGTGATTTAAGAGCAAAGAACCAATCATGGATCTCGAGCGTCTGAGCCCAAGGAATCAAATCAAGGTTAAATTCCCAACTTCATTCACTCCAATTCCGATTTCAAAAACCTTTTTTTTCAGTTGCTAAATTTGTAATTTTTTTGCAGAAGGAATCTTGGTGGACGGTTCTGACTTTAGCTTACCAGAGCTTAGGTGTGGTCTATGGAGATTTAGCAACTTCGCCATTGTATGTCTACAAGAGCACTTTCGCTGAAGACATCCAACACTCAGAGACGAACGAAGAGATCTTCGGTGTTCTGTCTCTAATCTTCTGGACATTAACTCTAATCCCACTCGTCAAATACGTCTTTATTGTTCTTCGAGCTGACGATAATGGAGAAGGTGGGACTTTTGCTCTCTACTCTCTACTGTGTCGCCATGCCAGAATCAGCTCTCTGCCCAATTTCCAGCTCGCCGATGAGGACCTCTCTGAGTATAAGCAAAATCCCGGGGCCAATCCGAGGAATTTGAAAGCTCCGGGGTGGAGTTTGAAAAACACGCTTGAGAAGTATAAGGTTCTGCAGAACATGTTGCTTGTTCTTGCCCTGATTGGGACTTGTATGGTCATTGGTGATGGTGTTCTCACACCAGCAATCTCTGGTAAAAAAACAAAATTTTGATTCTTTTTCTCAGATTTGATTTGAAGATTAAGTGGAATTTTCAAGATCTTAAAGGCTGATTTTTGTATAATTTTTGCAGTTTTCTCAGCAGTCTCTGGATTAGAGTTATCCATGTCCAAGGAGCAACATCAATGTAAGCTGTCTCTACTTCTTTGACCAGAAAGGAGTGTATACGCTAAAGATGGCAAATTCATTATCAGTTTATCACTAGATCTCCAAATATGTCAAATTAGGCTGTTTCTAGTGGTTTCCTCTTAAGTCTAATTCTTACTATTAAAAATAGATTACTGCATCAAGAAGCTTAAGAAGCAGCCAAGCCTAGTATTTCTTGATTTCTTGATTGGAGTCGGATGCTATTTTGGTCCTTCTTCTGTCCACAGAGTCAATTAGCTAATTGCATGTTAATCCATGTAGGATCAACAGGAAGCTTCTTAATTAATTATAATATGATAACTTTTTCTTGGTGTGGAAGGTTAGGCTGATGTAGATGCGGCCTTCTTATAATCATAAGATAATGAGTGTGGTTTAGGAGTTAATGATTATCTATTCAAAGATATAAAGCTAAAGGAATATTAAAGTCGTAAAGCTTAAACCTTTTGAAAAGTGATCACAAGTGGTCAAATAAAAAGTTAGTTGGTTTGCTTGGATAAGACTCTCAGGTCAGGTCTTACTCTTAGAATCTGAAAGTTACCTTCTTTGTCTTATGTCTAAAATAGTTGATTTCACTTAGCTTCTTTATTAAATTAACTAAAAACATGTTGCCACTCTGCAGATGTGGAGGTTCCTGTGGTCTGCGCCATACTGATACTCTTGTTCTCGTTACAACACTATGGGACACATCGTTTAGGCTTTTTATTCGCTCCAATTGTGCTCGCATGGCTTATCTGCATCAGCACCATTGGTGTGTACAACATCGTCCATTGGAATCCTCATGTTTACAAAGCATTGTCTCCTTATTACATCTACAAGTTCCTCAAGAAAACTCGTAAACGCGGCTGGATGTCTTTAGGTGGCATCCTTCTTTGCATAACCGGTAAAAGCAATAGAAGAAGTGAAAGAATGTTTTTTTCTCGATTTTCAAATATTGTTCTCATAATTTTTTGCTTCTTTGTGGTTTCTTTCAGGCTCAGAAGCAATGTTTGCTGATCTAGGACACTTCACTCAGTTGTCAATACAGGTAAAGTTTATGACTTTATCGGAAAAGTTTGAAACTTTTTGAATTCCCTTATGAGCTTTTTCTCTGAAACTTGCATTTTTTGTGTTGTCTTTTTGGCTACAGATTGCATTCACATTTGCTGTTTACCCGTCGTTAATCCTCGCATACATGGGTCAAGCTGCGTATCTATCAAAGCACCATGTCCTCGAGAGCGATTACCGGATTGGATTTTATGTTTCAGTCCCCGGTAAATCAACAAACTCATCAAATCTTGTTCACCGGCTCAAATGCAAATCCTCTGTTTCGCATAGTTTCTCACTTGTTTAGTCTCTTTGTTGTGTACGTACAGAGCAAATAAGATGGCCGGTTTTGGCAATTGCCATATTGGCGGCTGTTGTTGGAAGCCAGGCGATAATCACCGGAACATTCTCGATCATCAAGCAATGCACTTCTCTAGGCTGCTTCCCCAAAGTCAAAATCATGCACACATCGTCCAAAATGCACGGCCAGATTTACATCCCGGAGATCAACTGGACTCTCATGCTCTTATGCTTGGCAGTGACGGTAGGGTTCCGCGACACCAAACACATCAGCAACGCCTCCGGTACAGTATCAACAACCCCATAGCAATAACCACTAAACCAACGACTCCGGTTCTGAATCTGTTCTTCTCTGTTTTCAGGTTTGGCGGTTATTACCGTTATGCTTGTAACGACTTGCCTGATGTCCTTAGTAATCGTCCTATGCTGGCGAAAAAGCTCACTCTACGCGCTAGCTTTCATCTTCTTCTTCGGAACAATCGAAGCTCTCTACTTCTCAGCTTCACTCATCAAGTTCCTCGAAGGCGCGTGGGTTCCAATCGCGCTCTCCTTCATCTTCCTCCTCATCATGTACGTTTGGCACTACGGAACCGTCAAGCGTTACGAGTTCGACGTGCAGAACAAAGTCTCGGTCAACTGGCTCCTCACGCTTTTCGGCTCCTCAAACCTCGGCATCGTCCGTGTCCGCGGAATCGGAGTGATCAACACGGAGCTTGTCTCTGGCATTCCTGCAATCTTCTCTCATTTCATCACTAACCTGCCTGCGTTCCACCAAGTTGTCGTCTTCCTCTGCGTGAAATCTGTCCCCGTACCGCACGTTAAACCGGAAGAACGGTTCTTGGTCGGAAGGGTCGGACCGAAGGAGTACCGTCTGTACCGGTGTATCGCCCGGTATGGATACCGCGACGTGCACAAAGACGACGTCGAGTTTGAGCAAGACCTCATTTGTAGTATCGCTGAGTTTATCCGTTCGGATAAAGCATTCGATTACTCCCCGGACAGTGAAAACGAATCCGGTAGTAACGAGAGGTTAACCGTGGTCGCGGCTTCCTCCTCCAATATGGAAGGTGTTCATATCTATGAAGACGATGGTTATGACAAACAAGAACAAGAACCATCGTCTTCTTCGGAGGTTGTGGTTGTGGCGGTAGAGCCACGTAATCTTTCGCCTAGAGTGAAGAAAAGGGTACGGTTTGTGTTACCGGAGAGTGCGAGGATCGATAGATCTGCGGAGGAGGAGTTAAGGGAGCTGACGGAGGCGCGTGAGGCAGGGATGGCGTTTATAATGGGGCATTCGTATGTGAGGGCAAAGTCGGGGTCGAGTTTGATGAAGAAGATCGCTATTAACTTTGGATATGATTTTCTAAGGAGAAACTCGAGAGGGCCCTGTTACGGTCTCTCTACTCCTCACGCTTCTACTTTAGAAGTTGGTATGGTTTATATCGTGTGACTATATACCTTTTTTTTTGTTGGGGCTAATTTTGAATAAACTTCAGTTTTGTAAATGATGATAAAGATAAAGTGTCAGGGTTTTTTGTTGTTGTAATTTTGGTGTAGAGATGTTGGAGTTGCTTGTGGCATAAGTAAGATGTGCTTTTTTGTTTTTGTAATGATTTGTCCCTACTGATAAAATCAGCAGACAAGACTCGAGAGCATATGATTCTTGTCTCTTTATATTTCTTTAACTTCAAATCTTCTCTTTTGTCGGCTTCTCTTGTCATATATATAACTGCCTAGAAACACATGTATTACTTGTGACTTGTGAGCAAGCCTTGCTCTGTTTTCCTTAAAATAAAAGAATGATGAAAAATACAAATTTTGTGGTTTTGTCTCTAATTTTTATGTTTCTCTTTTGTGGGTTTTCTTCGGTTTCAGCTAAACCTCCTCCTGTTAGTAAGTTACTGATTACCCTAAACTGATAGCTGATACATGCTTTCATTTTTGTTGTAATACCTGGCTAAAAATGTTCTTGTTTTCTCTTTGTTTTGGGAGCAGAGATCGTAAGTGGGCTTGTGACAAATGTAGCATCAATTCTGTGGAAATGGTTGTGGTCTCTTCAAACATCCACAACCACAACAACCACCACAAAATCTGGTAATGGAATTTACTACCTACAACAAAAACTATAGCTTTTTATTATGATTTTGAATTTTTCAAAGTTTCATTCTTAATCACGTGACAGGTGTTTCCAGCCGTTCGATGGTGAAATATGAAAGTGGATATAACATAGAGACAGTGTTTGATGGAAGCAAGCTTGGGATTGAGCCCTATGCAATTGAAGTTTCCCCTAATGGAGAAGAGCTTATTGTCTTGGATTCTGAGAACAGTAACATCCACAAAATCTCCATGCCTCTTTCTAGATGTAAGTTCATCTTCTTCTTTTCCTTTTCCCGATTTCGATAACTAATCTTGAAATGGAATTGATTAAAGTAAAAGAAAAACTCATATACAATCACACATTAATGATCTTTCTTTTTGGGATATTCGATCTGTCTACACCTAAATATGACCCACCAAAATGTTGAATCATATGATATATGTACTATTATGCTTTGCTTCAAGATGGGGATTCATTTTCTTTTGCTTTTTCTAGTTCAGTTAAAAAGTGAGTTTCTTCATTTTAGATTCCAAAGTTTCTTTCTTCCACAGCGAAAGCCTTTTAGAGATTTAAACTTTTACACTTTAGTCCACAACACGACTCATTAGCTTTCTATCCATGTTCTGTTTCTCTGTTCTTCAGGTTTATTCTTTATGCTGTTTCTTGATCGTCAAGTTAACATACTTTTCTCGCATTAAAGCACCACACATTAGCTTTCAAATAGATTCAAATTATGGGTTTGAATGTTTTGAAGATGGTAAACCGAAGCTAGTCTCTGGTTCACAAGAAGGCTACACAGGACACGTCGATGGAAAGCTCAAAGAGGCGAGAATGAATCGTCCTCGAGGATTAGCCATCGACGACAGCGGGAACATCTACGTCGCCGATACTAAGAATATGGCCATACGCAAGATCAGCGACGACGGTACCTACAATTAGCGTCTGCGATTTCAAAACGCATATACAACAACGCTTTTTAAACTGATTTATTTACTTCAGGAATCTCAACCATCGCTGCCGGAGGAAGATGGAGCGGCGGATCTAAAGAGGAGTCAATGAGATTCTCCGATGACTTTGATTTGATCTACGTCTCTTCAAGCTGCTCTCTTTTAGTCATTGATCGAGGAAATCAAATGATCAGAGAGATTCAGCTTCACGATCACGACTGTTCTCATCACGAACCACCCGCCGACACAGATCCCTATCTTGGTAAACATCGGAAAAAAACGACGCCATCTCATTCTTTTCTAGAAATGGAAACCATATTGTTGTTGTGCTCTGCTTGTAAACGATGCCGTTTTGGTTTGCATCTTTGCAGGAACCGCTTTGCTCGTTGCTGCTGGGTTCTTTGGATATATGTTAGCTTTATTAGTTCGTAGAGTACGTTCGTTGTTCTCTTCGTCTCGCCATGTGAGTGATTCGGTTTGGTTTGACTTTGTTCGAGTTGTTTCTGAAAACCAGTTAGCATCATTGTTGTTCTTTTTACGTCTTGTAGGATAACAAGAGGTACGTAGCAAAACCGAACATGACAGTGGCCCCATATCAGCGTTATCCAAGACCGGTTCGACAGCCGTTAATCCCGCCACAACATGAACCGGAGAAAGAAGAAGGATTTCTCGGTTCGCTTGGAAAGCTAGTCGTGAAAACCGGTTCTTCGGTTTCTGAGATGATGTCCGGTTCTAGGAATGTAGCTCCCCAAGAGTTCCAGTACCACCACCATCAGCAACAACCAAACCAGTGGCCTGTACAAGAGAGCTTTGCTATACCGGAGGAAGACGGACCGCCAGCTTTGGAACCGAGATCCGGTGCAAATCCGGATAAGCCTTACCTTAGAGCACAAGGAACCAACCAGAACCGGTCTTATTACCAAGATTATGACCAATACCAAAACCAGCAGAAACGTAACGTGAGCGATACGGCATCATCTTTCGAAGATAACCGAGAGAAGAACGAGATCGTGTTTGGTGCTGTTCAGGAGCAGGACGGTCGCCGAGAAGCTATGGTGATCAAGGCCGTTGACTTCAACGAATCAATGAATGAACAACGAAATCTACGGCCCAGAATTAATTACATGGGATATTCTTCTCATGTTTACTGATTTACCATGTCAAAGTTTCATCGTTTTCTTAAGCGTGTGTAATCATGGGAGTAGCTTTTATTTGTCTTAAATAGTTAAATTTTTCACTTTCTTGTATTTTTCTGAAGGATACTTTAATATCATGCATATACGTATGCATAATCAGTCATATTTCAACTGATTTGTGTATATATTTTATTCCCAGGGCTTGATGGTTTTTCTAATTCGAACAAAATATTATAATATACAGAATCATATCAATATGGTCGTTGGAATAAACTTGGCCGGCTCGGATTTTGCGAAGATGTACTTCAATGAATCTGTTAATCATTAAAAAAATGTACCGGTTCAGTTTCGGTTAAGGTAGAAAATCGAAGATCGGTTAAGCGAAGATGCTTCAAAACCAGCTTGGCAGTTACGCAATTCCAGCTTGCCATTTATTTTCGTCCCTCTCTTTCTTCCCTCCTTAAAAAACGGTTTCGTTACAGAGTAAGAGACAGAGAGGTTGAGAAAAAGAAAGAAGAAGAAGGAAATTTCTTGAGAGAGAGAGAGAGAGAAAAAATTAGGGTTAGGGTTGCAGAGAAACAGAGAAGGGAGGATTCCAAGAATCGGAAGAATCCACAATCCACCTCTGCATTTGTCTCTCCCTATCTCTAAATCTTCTCGATCTTTCCTTCTTTATCATTTCGCAGGATTCGAAACGCGATCTCGAGATTTCCTTTTCTCGGAAAAAAACTACAATGGGGCACCAATCTTTTCCGATCTCTGAAATGGACGCTACCGACGATCTGCACGAAGCGATGTTCGCGAAGCGAGGCTGTTGTTTCATCCTCCCCTGTTTCGGATCATCTCAGCCGTCTGGTCACGACGGATCTGTCTGGTGGCAACGAATCAGAGCCGTCGATAAACTGGAGCCTGACGATCGGTGGTGGATGTCCGGGTGGAATAAGATGAGGGAGTGGTCTGAAATCATGGCTGGGCCCAAGTGGAAGACTTTCATCCGACGTTTCGGCCGTAGTCACTGCTGCGGCGGCGATAACGGTTGTAGTCGGTCGGATCAGGTTAACGTCCGGTACGATTCGTGGAGCTACTCGTTGAATTTCGACGACGGAAGACAGACGGGTCGTTTCGAGGACGAGTTTCCTTACCGTGATTACTCGATGAGATTCACGGCGCCGTCTCTGCCGGTGTCCACGAAATGTTCGATTGACTTTGACAACGATAACTACGCGCCGTCGCTGCTTAAGTAAAAGCCACGCGCTTCTCTCTGTTTTTTTTTTCGTGGGTTTCCTTCTAACGTGCGGTGTGCACCGATGAAAGGCGAGACGTTTTAGATGAAAGATCGGAAGAAATTGTATTATTTTTTTCCTTTGCAAAGAAAAAGAATTTTACACATTTTTTATGATTTGTAATTCTTTTACATAAAATGAAATTATTAATTTTATCAATATTTTCTCTCAATTATTTAACTATATTTTCTTCTGTTATAAATTCATAATGCACACATTTCTACTTCTCAATTTCTTACTCGTACAAAGATTCAAAAAATTCTTAAAAAATAAATGTTTATGATTAGATTGATAAAATTAGTTAACACTTCAAAATCAGATTTTTTGATTTTTTCAGACATGGCACATTTAAAAATGAAAACTATAGGCAGGAGAGAAATAATTTATCGAGGGTGTTTATGTCTTTTGACCTGATTGCTGAATCCCTTCCCTTCCTGTGGATAATGTGAGAAGAGGGAAAAAAGACCATTTCGTTACTCACAAACCTTATCGAGTGAGAAGATTGGGTAGTAGCGAAAATGGCGTCGATTCCAGCTTCTTCTACTTTCCACTCGTTCTCAGCAACCAAAAGCCCTAATCTTTCTGCGACCCATCTTCTTCCTCTATCGAAAAACCTCAGCTTTCGAACCAGACCCATCGGGAACAGCAGAATTTGCAGTTTTGCTGGGTTTGCGAAACAGAATCGCCTTGGATTGAGGAAGCTTTCTTCGGTTGGGGAAGGAGGAGAAGGTGTCGCAGTTGCAGAGGAAGAGCAACAGCAAGAGACTGTCTCTGTCCCCGTCTCTCCTTCAGACATGCTCACCATGTTTTTTCAGGTACATTACTCTCTTTTTCGATCAATTGATCCAGTGACATTGTGCGATGACTATCTTCAGTCTCAATTAAGTGTAAATATATATGATTAACAAGTTAATTACACAGTCAGCGAGTATACAGTTGTATAAATAGCACATTGTATCTATTTGCACAAGTTTATGAGAATGAGTGTTTCTGTGTAACAAAATCTAAGAGTCACTCCATTTTATGGATTGGTATTATATACATTAGGCCGGCTCGACTGATTCATGGTTGTATCAGGTCTTAGAAACGAGCATAATTGCACAAATGGTTTGAATTTTCATGACGGTCCTACAAGTACTAACTACTCTGTTGCAATTTTCAAGTGTGGCCTTAAATTGAGTCTGATCATTGTTGGCTTTTATTGCTTTATTTTGAAGGCTGATGGAACTTTGAACGAAGCGGCTATTCCTAATGTAACAAGGGCCTTACAGGTAATACTTTGCTTTGAGCAAATCTGTGCAGAGCGCAAAGATAACTTTTTTTTTTTTCAGTTTCTTGGATTATGTGTTTAGATTCTATCCAATCTCTCTAGTTGTGTTATACTTCAAGTTTCATTGTTCACTTTACTCTTAACACGCTTTAGATCTTCGTTAATAGTTCACCTGTAGTTTTTCAGATACAGTGAATAGATAACAATAGCCAACTCTTGTTTGTTGTTTCAGGACATTGATGGAGTTTCCAATTTAAAGGTTCAGGTTTCTGAAGGTGTTGCCGTTGTTGAGGTATGCTTACATCCAACATTCTCTTGGTACATTGCTTTTATATGCCTGAGAAAACATATACACATGCATATACTAGTAGATAAAAGGACGGAATTTGAATAAGTGTGATTAGAGAGAGAGATACTATGGCTTGCATGATCAAGTATTGTATGTCACTTTGTTTTACATTTTGTCTGGGAAGACCAAAGCCGGGTCTGGGCATAAACCTATAAAGGTCAGGGCCTTTATAAGAACAGTCGTGTTATGGCCTATGGGCCTATTGCTGGATGAAAATCATAACAACGTAGAGTGATAGAGACGTCTCTATGTATGATGTTTGGATTGAATCTGACTTATGTAATGTTCAATGTGTGCGTGAAGCTTTCAAAGCAGACAACGGTTCAAGCAACAGGAGTGGCGTCAAGCTTGGTGGAGACTATCCAAGGAGCTGGCTTTAAGTTACAGACTTTGAATCTAAGCTTTGAAGATGAGGATGAGGCTCTTGTCAGTTAATTAATGTTTCTCCTCCATTTTGTGATTAAAGAAACACCTCAGTGTTCAATATTTAGGGATACTTTCTGTCACTTGTTTCTCGGAAGAAGACAATGTGGTAAATTACAAAAAGTGGAAACTGATGATTCCTATTTCCTTTGTTAAAGAAAGAAAAAATTAATTAAATTAATTTATAGCTCATATGGGTTCCCACAACGCATGGAGGTTGCGATTGTATAGACTTTTGGGTTCCATGCATGTGGTTGTGTGTGAATCTATGATTGTCACTATGTATATGGTGTTTCACAGCTCATGCATTGTTGTACTTATTACACATTTCTTTACCTTTAAAAAATTTTGGGTAATATTTTTGAACAAAATATCTGACACTGAACTGGAGTAACACAACTTGGTTGATGTCTCACCGATGGCTTTATATTATCTTTGTTTCAGTGAAACGAATAAGATAGAAGAAAAGTACAGTAAGTAGAAGCCAACAACATACATTCGTGACCAAATTTATCATGTTAACAAAAAAAGAGGAGAATGTGCTCACGACATCTGAAATGCTACAAAACAAAACTCGTTGTCGATTTCACTTTAATGAATTGTTGACCTTTTTCCGAAATATCAAAACTGAATAATAATAATCACCGAAAACATTTAAAGGACTCATGTGCTATTGTCTATATCGGATTCGATAACACTTAAGATTTTTTTGTAAGAAAACAGTGTATACACGATACGAATAATATACTACTATAACTTAGATATTTCAAGACACTCTATTGGTAATTTCGAATGCCATGTTAACATAAGTTGATAAGCGACAAATCCTTTTTCACTGATGCAATTATCGAAGCGAAGGTCCTCTTTATATATGAAATATATAAGCGACACAGCCTTATGGGGCAAGTCGAATGCTATTTATGAAATTTTATCATTTTAATAACAAATTTATTAATGTCAAATTGTCATCCACTAGTTCATCGGCGTACTCACACTGTCACACATATCCCGTATTTCCACCATAGGCCATAGAGTTAAAGTTAGTTTTTAAAACTTTATTGATAAAGTATCCAAGTTGATGTACGAAATAAAATGGCAATTTCGTGTATTATCTTATACGATCCATTTTCGGAATCTGATATTTGTTCCTCGAGCTCTGAGAAATTATGATGCAGTGAAAGTTCAAAGCTGGCATGCATATAATAACTACTCTGGACCTAACACTTACTACGCATTTAAATTACTGTTTATTTGTATTTAATGGATGATAATATAAATTAATAATTTTAATTAAAAAAGAAACTTCTATTTATAGCACAAAAGGCCATTGGGTTTCTACGTGTGACCTTCACCCCTTCCTCATCTCGCACAAAAATGGCTCTCTCACTTCTATCGGTCTTCATCTTTCTTCAAGTCTTTATCTATGTAAGTTATTAATATTTTTCTTACTAGTAACTAGTGTTAAAGACTAGAAATTACTATATACTTATGCGTATTTTAACCTTTGATTAATCACCGAGCAGGTTGCATTCGCTTCTTCAAATGAAGAATCCAAGGCATTAGTACGTTTCTAAATTTATAATTTCTTATCTCCGCTTTAACTTGAAATGTATACTATTTTTTTGGTCATAACTATTCATTATTTAGGCAAAAAAAACTGAAGTTAAATTTTGGTATTCCATTGTTTGTAATTTATAGGGCACTTTACCAACGCCACCGACGTCTCCGGTAATCAAACCGCCGTCCCCCACGTACAAGCCACCCACGCTGCCTACTACTCCCATTAAACCACCCACCACAACACCTCCGTTCAAACCTCCGACCACTCCGGTTACACCAACGAAACCACCGGTTAAATCATACCCAACTCCTCTGGTCAAACCACCCACACTACCACCTGTCAAACCACCCACGTACAAACCCCCAACACCACTAATCAAACCACCGCCGGTTCAACCACCTACGTACAAACCCCCAACGGCTAAACCACCCACAACACCCGCAACCAAACCACCACCGGTTCAACCACCTACGTACAAACCCCCGACACCACCGGTCAAACCAACTCCAACTACTCCGGTCACAGCACCACCTCCAGTGAGGACTGGGATAAGTAAGATTTAAATTAATAATATATTCTCTTCTTAAATTATAAGGGCTACTGATCGTTGATTACATTGGACTCATATATTTGGACGGTTCAGATTGCGTGTCTTTATGTGGGACCCGGTGTGGCCAACATTCGAGGAAGAACGTATGTATGAGAGCGTGCGTCACGTGCTGCTACCGCTGCAAGTGTGTGCCACCTGGCACTTACGGTAATAAGGAGAAGTGTAGTTGCTACGCCAATATGAAGACACGTGGCGGCAAATCAAAGTGTCCTTGAAACCTTAATGATGGTTGTTAAATGCGAAAAGGAAATCATTAATATCAATGGTTTAGAGGGGACAAATGATGTTTTTACAAGTTTGTAATACGTTTTACATTTCTAATTAAGTAATTTTGAGTTGAATGTGCGTTTACGGCATCTAGAACGTGAAAAAAAAGAAACCTTTTTCCGATGAGTTGTTTTGTTTTGCTTTGTCTATGGATAAATAAAGTTTTGAGAGCCATAAAATAATATTTCAAAACGTTATCAACTTGTTAGGCATATCTTCTTCGGCCCATAAAACTCTTGTATGAAACTATAAAATTAAATTTCACAGGAGAAACAAAAATATTGTAGTAATATTGTTTGGGCCTGTGTATTTGAGGATTATTCGAGAAGGTCCTTAAGAGCATGTGCGTGCTCACTGCGTTTCTTTAGCCCAAAATTAAAGAACAATTGCAAAATATTACACATGTGGCAAGCCCAATTTCCAGAATCGACTCTCGGGGAAGCAGCCCAGAACCGTTTCTACCGGCCACGTGTCAGGCCCCAACGCTCCGCGACAATTTTTTTTTTTGTTCTCTTTCCTCCTTCTCTCTTCGTCTTCCTCTTCTCCTCATCGATCAATCCAATCCGGCTTTCTTCGTCTTCTCTTCTCTTCGATTATTCCGTTAATCTGCACAATCAATCCATTCCAGCGAGGCAGTCTCTCCGACCGGCGAGAAAGAAACTAGAATCGACGACGAAGATGCAAAGCGATGCATGACGGTTCATCCACTGAAAACTCAGGTCATCAGCTCCGGCTTTCTTTGGGGATACATCACTCACTCCACTGCGAAACCTCGTCTTCTTCGTCTCTCCGTTAGTAATTTCGATCTCCCTCCCTCTATTCGATTTTTTTTCTCTCTCTCTCTATTGAACTTTTTCAATTTGGATTATTTCCGATGCTTATTGTTCTTTTGGTGATGGATTTGATGAAATTAGTTTAGGTTTCTTATGTTTTTCATCATCATAGATTGTGATATATGTGTTTGTATCATAGGTCAGTTAGGAAAACATAATCTGTGATGCAGTAGTAACATTAGCAATTTGTTTTAAGTTCAATGATTGTATTAAGCTTTTCGTTCTATATGCATTGTTTTCATGAGCTATTGATCATTTTAACTTTCTGATAAATCTATAATGATGTTATTAGCGTATGATATTCTCGTTTTGTCTTCTCTACTGTAATAGGCTCTTCTTCACTCTTCACATATGCAGCTCTCTCCGGCGACAACAGTAAGCTCTTACTATCCGCAAAGAAAGCCAGGAAAGCGACAGGGGCGGAGTTTGTTGTATCGTTGTCCGGGAATGACTTCTCGAGGAGTAGCAGTAATTACATAGGAAAACTGAGGTATCTGAAGTTGGTTTTTTCGCCTTCGTCGATCTCCATTGCCATTGCCATGGCGTTTATAAGTTTTTGTTGTGTGGACAGGTCTAACTTAGTGATTCCCTGTCTAATTTTCTGTCCACCAAGTTTACAAACCAAGGAAACAAGAAGATGAAGAAGAAGTCGTTGATGGATTTCTGCTCAAGGAACTTAGGAGGAGAGTAAAAACAAGTCGCCGAGATGGCACGAGCAGCTCCAATGCTGGTGTCTAAACTTCAGAGGTCGAGTCACGGTGGCGTAGGTGAAGCTACTGCAGAGGCAGGGAAGAAAAGAGGAACAAGAGAGAGTGATATTACAATTTGGGAAGATAAGTAATGACATTTTTACTATGGATTATGTTACCCGATCTCTGTATTTCAGGCTTTTGCCATTTGATTTTTAAATAACTCCATATTCGGTTTGTGCAATGTGAGTGTCAAAATTAGAGAAGCTGTAAACTTAAATTAATAATATAAATAATCTTAAAATATGTTAAAGAGCTCTATATGGAGCTGTGCATGCACATGCTCTCAGAGTTAAGAGAAAGACTTGTTCATGGTTTTTTTCAATAATGTGTCATCTTATTCAACATTTTCGCCGACAAAAGAAAAAAGAAAAAAAAAAATTTCAGGGTCAACTACATATTCTTTGTTTATATGATGATATTATGATTAAATAGATGGTTTAAGAAATAAACTCACGGCTGTGAGAGAGTTTTGGCACTTAAGTATTGTTATCTATTGTTAAACAAAACGTTAATGCTACTGTTTTAAAATGGAAATGCGTCTTTTTAAATTCACGCTTGTGTGAACAAAAATATCGTCTCGCAAGCGTACAGTGAACGAGTCCTCTCTTTTTGAGATTCTTCGAGGAAGAAATAATTAAATATCTCTTTTATTTATTGGTCGCCGAATAATTAACTTAGACGCCCTTATTTATTTATAGTAATGAATAATCAATAATTGACGCCTCCCATTTTCAGACATTGATTGTGAGCTTTCGACCGATATAATTCGTCCTTTTTTTTTTTAACTGTCTTCTCTCTACAGATCTGTTCCAGCTCACGCCATGGATTTGGATTCTTCTTCACTGTAAGTATTAAGATTACTACCTTTTTGTCTTTCTTTCTTAGTTGCTCAACTTCTTGCGCTCAATACTTGCTTTGTTTTCTTTGATATTGTTCTTGTTCTTTGAAAGTTGACTAATAATTTCGGTGGGGGATGTTTTCCTTGGAATTAGAAAGGTTTTTGAGCTTGGGAAGCTCGTGTTGAGCTCCGGTCTCTTACACAGCTCATGGAGTAAGATCTCAGAGATACATAAATCAACCTCTCCGAATCAACAACGTTCAGGTCTAGGAATCAAGATTTACCAACAAGACAAATACACACTTGTGGTCTTTGACGCACCACCGATTCTCTCTTCAAACTCCGCCTCTACTCTTCTTTCCGGTTCACAAGATGATAATCCGTTTCACTTCCTCTTCTCCGAGAACATCTCCTCCTTCTCTCTTCACACACCTGCTTACAAGCTTTTTGACTCTGCCTATAAACGTCTCTCTGAATTAAAAGAATTAAAATCAAAGGTAACAAGTTATTGCCAAAAATTTTGATACAAAAACCAGAATCTTGAAAACACTATATCTGTCTTGCAGTTGCTCCAGAAACTCAAGGCTAATAAATCAGTGATCATCACCGGAGCTGCTCTAGGAGGATCCGTCGCATCTCTCTTCACGCTATGGCTTCTAGAAACCATAGAGCCGAAACTAAAACGGCCCTTGTGCATCACATTTGGCTCGCCTCTAATCGGTGACGCTTCTCTGCAGCAGATTCTAGACCACTCCGTGTGGAACTCATGTTTCCTTCACGTTGCTGATGCTACACAACAAACTCCAATCACGGCCGGTTTCAAACCTTTTGGAACGTTCTTGATCTGTTTTGATTCTCAGTGTATCTGCATCGAAGACCCTGACGCGGTCTTGGAGTTGCTAACCGGTGATACTAATACGGATTTACTTGGCTGGAGAGACTACGGAGAAGTTCTACGGCGTTTAGACCAATCCTCAATGGCGGATTCAAGTCTGAAGTCGATGGTGTTATCAGTAGAATGGAGGAACGTAAGAAGCTGCGTTTTGATCAGCTGAAGAAACTAAACGACATGAAGATCTCGATGATGTACATCGAGTGGTACAAGAAGACGAGCAAGGAGGAGAAGATCGGTTACTACGACCGGTTCAAGAACAGAGTCGCGTCACCGTTCGACATAGACGTGGAGAAGCGGAAGAGAGAGCTGAACGAGTACTGGAGATCGATGGTTGAAGAAGTGGAGAAGAAGCCTCAGAGCGAGAAATCTAGACTCAAGACTCGGTGTCTCTTCGCCGGGAACAACTTCAGACGAATGATCGAGCCGCTCGACATTGCTGAGTATTACCTCGGTGGTGGGAGAGAGTACCGGACCTCGGGGAGGTCTCGACACTATGTCATGCTGGAGAAATGGTTCAAGGAGGAGAAGATAGAGCCGGTTCGATGCGAGAAGAGAGACTTGACTCATTTCTTGACGTTTGATTCTTGTTTCTGGGCTGAAGTTGAGGATGCTGTGATTGTAGTGAATGCGTTGAAGACAAAAGCGGGGATGAGAGACGAGGAGTTGACGAGAAAGCTCGTGAGGTTTGAGGAATACGTTTGGGGGATGATCGGAAAACGTGAGGTTTCGCCGGAGATATTCTTGGAGAAGAGCAGTTTCATGAAGTGGTGGAGAGAGTACAAGGAGATGAGAGAAAGAAGGGATGGGTTTAGTAACTCTTCAGCTTCTTCAGGCTTCACCAAGTTTATGAACACTGGGAGGTACGAGACTTATGGTCGTCAGTTTGCTGGGGAAGAATGATTTTGGTTTAGTTTTGTTCTTTCTTACAAAGAACACACTTGTTGTTGTTGTTCTGTTTTTTATTCCAACAAAGAGAGAGAGACAGAATAATAACAGAAACTGACTTTTGTTTTTATTCAACCTCAAACTTGTTAGCAACCTAACCAAAACCAAACCATAATAGTTTACTTGAGTTTCAAGAAACAGATTTTTTTTTTCCATATTGTGTTTGTTACAAATAAAAAGATACTGATGGTTTGTTATTGTAAGCAAATTATTTATTTCATATCAATACAGAAAACAATAAAAAAAAAAACAACAAATGTTATAAACCACACATCCAACAACAACTCACAATTAGAAAAAGCACACCAAATTCAGGTTAGCAATGAAGTGATGAAATCATGAAACTCTCTCTGCTTTCTTACAAAAGCTTAGGGAACCTTTCAACGTACTCCCATGACATAACAGCTTTAGTAGGACCTTTGAATCCTTCAATCACAATCTTTCTAAATCGTATCGTCACTAGATTGTTGTAGACAACATAGAACTCAGTTCCATTCCTCGGCGTTAATATAATCTCACCCATACGAGTACAACCCTCAACGTTAAAATACCCTGTTCTAGGGTTTCTTATTAACTTTATCATAATCATTACGAATCTTATATATACCCTTCAAAAATCGGATAAACCGAAGTGGGCTGCCCTTTTACAGCTGTGTATTTGATTATAGTCACATAGGACAACAGTTTGGTTGTTGAAAGTATTGAGATAAATGCACATTAGTCCCTTAAGCAACCGTAGCTTTACAATGATGCACGCCTTGGTCATAGAGAAAAGTTCATAGCCAACGTTGAGAGAAGAAAAAGCCAGTCAATATAAATTTGCATTGTGAAAGAAAAATCTTCTTCTTTCTTTTTTGCTAGTTGATTCAGAGAACTAGTCAATTACATAGATATTAGAACTCTGACCCAAACAAAGAAACGATGATTTGTTCCATGAAAATATAAATGGATTCCTTTATAAGAAAAAAACCCTAGGAAACTTTAGGAGAAAATCCGAGACAGAGGAAAATCTATCTTTTATGTATAAAACTATAAAAACATAGCACTCTCTGCATAATCCAAAAAACATACCACTCCACTAAATCGTTCAAACACACACTCTGAGTTTTCTTCAATCTCAACCACTTTTAGATCATTCATCTCAAGATCGTGATGGGCAAGATAAAAGTCGTCCACTTCATACGATGCGTATACAACCTCACCCGTATGAGTAGTGCCTCTAACGTCTAAAGGACCCCTTCGGACGTTTACTTTCCAAGGACTAACATATAAAGTTTGTTTCACCCATTTTTGTTTCTCGACATCCTCCAAGACCCACAAGACAAATTCATGCATTCCTGGATTAGATCGGTTGACGAAGGCTACATTGCCTTGGTAGTTTATCAGTTCTGGATTAATAGACCTTTTAACCAAACACCGAACCTCCTCAGGCAGTTCAGTGAGAAAATCAAACTCTTCAGACCTCACTTGGAATCTCACTAAGCTAGTGTGAAGAAGATAACTTGATGATCAAGCTCACGTGATTCTGCCAGCGTGGAAAGTAAAGACTAACTATGGTGGAAATAAACCAAACCATGGTTAAGTTGCTTTTGGACCACAATCAGGGGTAACGGCTTTCTGCAATATAAAACAAGCTTAAGTCTGTTTCTGCCTTTAGGACGACCTCAGTCTGTTTGTGCTCAAAAAGGAAAGTCCACGCTTCTGCTAAGCTAACGGCGTTTCGGAGACGTTAACGCGGCGGCTTGTGTAGCACAAGAAACCCTAGTGTGTCATCAATATAAAAGGACACAAGGGGCAAGAGAGAGAGTTACGAGAGACTTGAGATAGATTTAGAGAGAGTGTTGAGAGAGAAACTTTGAATAGCATAAACAAGTGTTCATTGTGTTCTCTTAGACAAGAAGATAACAGAGTAGTGTCTAAGTACTAGTGAAGGGTATTAGAGTGACTACTTGTATCTTCTTGTGCTGTAAACTCTCTAAATCTAGTGGATTCCGAGGTGAGTCTCGGCCCAGACGTAACGACCCTAGTTAACGGGCGTGAACTGGGTAAACTTGGTTGTGTGCTCTGTTTTTCTTTCTTTCCTCTGTTCTTACACAAAGCTCTTTCTTCTTCTCTGTTTTCACAACAAACGTGTTCTGTTCTTGGTGTGTTTGGTTCTTATCTTGAGGAAAGTCGACGCCTCAAGGCATCCTAACAGCTAGGTCTCGTCACGCTCGTGCCCACGTAAGCAAAATAATACAAAACCCCGTTGATACAAAGACCGTTAGATCGAGGATGGTGAGAGATGCTACACTCGATATCTCTCCATGAGTTTTCATCATGAGACCCCAATCCCAGTGTCATCACTTGGCAATGATTAGGTGAAACTCTCGTACCTGTACCGAACATTGGCTCGATCATGCACACTACTTTGTATTGTGCGTCAACAGGATCATACCCCAAAAACCTTCTCAGTACGTTTTCTCTGGACTTGACCAAAGGTAGGGTTATGGATTTACCAATGCTCGGGTTAACTATGATTTGTTCTTCACCATAGACAAAACTTATCAACCCTTGGACGTAATCAGGTCTATTGTAACGAAGGTCCGGGGCGCTGAAAGACTTGCGAAATAGAAATACCGGCGACGATGATGATGATGGTGATGAGTAGAAGAATAACCAATTCTCGCATCCTTTTTCTTTATCTAATTCACTGAAAGCTAAGAGGACACGTTGCTTGTGCTCCGGAGATGGAAGCGAGTACAATCTGAAGAAATCTCGACTGCGTATGGCTGTTGCAAAAGACTTTGATACGCGAACGAATCTCACTAAGGATTTCAAAGGCAATCTCAATAAGATCTCGACCAGCAAGTCCTGAGGAACTGAGACAGAGTTTATTCTCTCTTCATCAGTTTCTCGTGGATTGTTCTCCACCTCTGTCCTTCTCCTGCTGTGATGCCTTTCCATGACAGCTCTTTCTTTACGAAACCCTAATGGAAACCCTAACAAAACCCTTTTTCCTTGATCTCTTCTTTGATTAGTTTAGTACCCCTAATATATACTTCTTTATGTACATTTTAATATCCCTAATGTATTACTTTCGCATTACGTGAGTTCCACGACAGAAATTGATAAAAATGGAAACCTTTTGGATGTCAAAAGAAGAAAAGGAAACGTTTTAAAAAAGTAAAATATAAATATTGAGGCATCTGGTCAAAATGGATCGGATCAGGCCCATAAGTTAAATAATGGGCTTTACTTATTGACCCAAGAGTAGTAGGAAAAAATTGTCTTTAGAAATGTAGAACAGAGTGTTGAAACAGAGCAAATCCAATGGTTCTCACTTGTCACTTCTCATCCTTTATATAAAGTTGAGCACTTCAGAGAAAGAAAAAAAGAATGTTAAAGTCTTTAGATCTTTAGAATATGTTAAAACTGTTAAAATTGTGGTATTAGATCGGTTAAAATCGAATTAAGAAACTCTAGTTGTCTTCTAATGGTTGGGAGAATATTTTGAACAAGAACCTGTTTTTAAGTTTATTAACATTTTTCATCACATTGACCATCATCATCATCATCATCATCATCATCATCATCACTTCTACTCTTGAAATTCTTGCAAATAACAATATACAACAAAAAGCTAGTAGCACTAGTGAGAGCCAAAAGCCAATAATAGTTATCAAGCCGAGCTTCCGACATATCATCCGCAAACCAGTTATGTTTCCCATCTCTCGACCTCGTGTAACTCTCGATGATCGAGATCAACGCAGCGCTCACGAAACTCCCCACACCGAAAACGCTCGTGTACAAAGCGAACCCCATCGTTCTCATCCTAACCGGAACCTCGCTGTAGAAGAACTCTTGCATTCCAACAACCGTGAAAATGTCCGAGATCCCCAAGAGAATGTATTGAGGTAGGAGCCAAAGTATGCTCAAGGGTTCCAATGTAGTCTTGCTTATCTTTAGTCTTTTTCTTTCGACTAACGCGGCGATAACAATGGCGATGATGGACAGGAACATCCCTATCCCCATTCTTTGCATGACGGGAATGCCCTTTTCGTTTTTGGTTATTTTCTTGGCCATCGGGATCAAGAACTTGTCGTATAACGGCATGAGGAGGATGATGGATAAAGTGATTGTGCTTTGTAGCGTTGCGGGTGGGATCTTGAAGTATGGTCCGATGTTTCTCTTCATAGACATACCTTGCTTTGTGAAAAATGTCGCCGGTTGCTGGAAGATGACTGCAAACATTAGAAGCATCGTCCATATCGGTAATAGACGAAGCAGTAGCTTCACGGTTTCGAGGCCGGAGAAACCATTCTTGCAGCTTTTTTCATCATGCAATGTCTTGGTAGTAGCTTCAGTGTTGCTACACTTACATAGAGGCTTCTCTTGCATCCTACAAAAATATAAAACAAAGAAGAGAGACAGAGAGAAGCAAGATTAATGAGGTTTTAACATCACTAACAAGAAACATTAAAAAAATAGTGGTGACTTACTCTAGCTCCATGGCATTCAAATCGTGGTCGTTCCCAAGAGTGATCTTACTTGTTCCCCACACTTTTTCTTTGACAGTATCTAACATCTTGTGAAAGGGTTTAGATTGTTTAGCTTTGAGGTCAAAGCCAGGATCAGCGTAGACATAAACTCCGCAGCCACAAAGGAACAAGAAGATCAACAATAACATGGAAGCGGTTGGGATTGCAAAACCGAGAACCCAACCAAATGTGTCTTGGATATAAGCCATGACGGTGACTCCAAGAAGACTACCGGTGCAGACACCAAAGTACCACCACTGGAAAAACTGACTCTTGCGGTTAGATTTGACTTCTTTGTTCTCTGAGGATGGCTCATGGTCGTGGTCAAGGTCGTGGTCGAGCTGGTCAGCACCAAAGGCTTGGAGTGATGGGTTTAAGACGCCTAAGCCGAGAGCGACGAGGCAAAGTGAAGTGTAGAGGAACAGAAGGGAAATGGTTTTAGTAGTGGAACGTGACCCAGCATATGCCGTGAATGTCAATCCCACTAGTCCCTTTACAAAATGCCAAACATTAGTTAGTAACTGTAACTTACATAATTAGGTTAAAAAAAAGAATCTCTAAGAACATGAATATTAAATTAAAATAACAGTCACAAATTCTAATCATTAAAAAAGAATTAAAAACATTTTTTTTAAGAAACAGCTTACAATAATGGGGGTTTCTTTTTTGAATTAGTCCTAAATATTCAGTAGTGAGGAATGATTCGAGTTCCATTATCATAGTTGAGTATACAGTAAGCTTAACTATTTATGATAAGTTTTCAAAAATCAGATAATGGAACCGAACTTTACTCAATTCCATTAACGTCTCATACTCTAAAAAGGAATAGATTAGAAAACAGTCGGTTAGAAAAGTTTTTTCCCTCAGGATAATCTATCGAATGTTCACATGCTTCGTACCAAACCACATAAGAAAAGACAAATAAAAATCTCTAACGTTTTGTATGAACTCTTAAAGGTTCCAGTTTTCAAGAAAATATACGTCATAAACAAACAAATTTGAGAAACAACTTTAAACTCTGATCAGAAAGTCTCGTATAAATTTGGTTGATTGGTTTCGATTAAAAATCGTAAAAAAAAACAGGGCCTATTATAAGAGGAGAAGTTGTAACAATCAAGGAAATGGAACATCTGATTGTCATATGAATATGTTTCAATATGTTTAGTATTAAGGAAACAATTCTTGAATTGAATCTTGATTCTGACTGTTGCTTCTAATAAAACGTTGTTATAGTGATTCTTACCACAAAGTAGACAGAAGAAGAAGCAAGGATGGTGAAGAATCTGTCCCAACAAGAATCGGCGAAAGGAGCAGAGAAGAGAGGCAACATGAAAGTGAAGCCACTCCAAGTGTTGACCGTCTTGGCTGCTCTCGAATTGCTCATCTTTACCACATCAGTTAGATATGTCACTAAGTTTGATGCAACTCCTTTGAATGCATATCTCTCTATCCCAGCAATCACTATGAGAAGGGCACAAGATTTGCTAATTCCTCTTCTTTTCTCTCCTCCTGCCATCACAGAGAGTATATTTACGCTTGTGCTTTTTTAATTTGTGTGTGTGTTGAGGGAGAAAGAGAGAGAGAAGAAGAAGAAGAAGTAAGGTTACGTTTTGTGTGTGAGAGAGAAGAAGAAGAAGTAAGGTTATGCTTTGTGTGTGGAACTGTATTTATAAGGCTTTAGACCCAAAATAAGGTTATTATCTGATAAGTTCTATTAATGTACACATACTTGGGTGGAAATATACATATACGAATGAATACATGATGCTTTTCTGCTTTGTAACTTTTGTTTAATCTAGAAAAGAATCATATTTCCAAGACTTCAGAAAACTAACTTATTCTTAATTACATCAAAAACAGAGCATGTAAAATTTCAAAGAATGTCTTCTTTTGTTTTTGTGTGTGCAACTCATAGAATGCAGTCTATATACGTTTCTTCCATATAAATCATGTTTGTAAGATATCTTTAATTCCTCAACTACTTTTTATCTAGACTCTTTTTTATTTCTTTATGAGATACATTTAATATTATGAAAAATGACACTTTAGTAGTACCGTGCATGTAGAAACTTATGACAGATTTTTTTTCTTTCACTCCTACTCTCTTTACTTAAAAAGAGATTGAGACAAGCATATTGCAACTAAAGGAGTTTGTATAGATACGTAAAAAGTAATACGACACTATCGGGCATAACTAATTTTGGCCCATACATAACATTTTGCTTTTCCATCCATTCGTCTTCTTATATAAAAAGATATATTTCGAATTGTTTATAGTAGAAAATAAAATGAATAACTCATTATGTGTTACGTTAAGAATCCTATGTCCATGTATTGGGGAGGAGACTAGCGAGTTCGCATCATTCTTTCGTTATATATTTTTATTTTTTTATACAATTAAGAGATATATAATAAAAACTAAAAAAGAAAGGAAGATAAATTAAAGTCCACTTTAGGGTCAAGCTTTGGAGAAAGGTGAAGTGAGTGGCTATATGTCGACTTGCACCATCGTAAAATTGAGTAGCTTACGTGCGTCACACTTCCTTTTGTTTTGTTTGTTGTATCATCGGTACCACGCATCATAATATTGAATTATTATAGATTCAAATTGTAGGTCTGTATCCTCTATCCTGTAATGTGGATTTTTGGCTCTTTGACGTTTTTGTTTTTAAAGGTGTTTTAAATGGTGAAAGTGCTTACGGATTTTCTAAAAACGTGTTTACTATACAACTAAACAAGAATTAGTTAGGTTCATACTTTCTTTAAAGGACCATAATTTGGTTTTTACTATTAACCATCTATCAGTCCCTTTTATCGTCTACTCGCGCGAACCCATAATCAAACAATGCTACGATAGAGTTACCATTGATCTTATATCTTGCAAAATTTAGGACAAGTAAGTTTGGTGACTCGGTGTCCTAAAGACCATGGAAGAGTGTGTATGTGTTGTGTCTTGGTTACTTTGTTGATAATAAATAATTCTGTAGTATCAAAGTTATATCGTGTTTTTAGACTATGGTTTTGTGGTTATGTATCAATCTTCTTTTTCTAACAATTACGTGTGGTCTCGCATGGTCAACTTTCGTTTTATTCATTATGATAACTATGCGACATCTTTTTGTTTCACAAGAGTATTCTTTCAAACAGCAATTACAAAAACTAAATGAAAAGTATGATGTTTTTGTCTGGTTCAAACGCGATGTATAAAATTATGTATGGATATTAATTAAAGGAAAATCTAATTTTAAAGTGTTTATCCTACAAACAAGTGAAACTATAATTTATCTTATCGCAAGAAAAAGTTAGGAACTAGTCAATTTTTAAGCATTGTAACGGTTCCGTTTGATCCATCATTGTTCGTTCTTATCGCTAATTTTGCCCTTTAAAAACGAGTGTGGCCATGAACCTTTCACGCCTAATTTACATATGGTATTATTTAACCAACAATTTTATAGATTAGTAAGACTTATTTGTATTTACTGTCTTTGGACTCTACATATATATCAATCGAATGTGTATAATACTGTTTATATACACACAACATGACAATCCCAACCAAATGGCAAAACCAATTAATATCGCTTGTTTTCAACAAAAAAAAAAAAAAAAAAACACACACACACACTGTAACTAAGGTCTTACTATAGTTGTTTTACATGGAGAAGCACACTCTAGCTTCTACTCTCTTTTGACAGTTGGGATCTCCCGCACAACAAAGAAGCCGATTCTGAGACCAACTTCTTAGTCAACGATCTCGTAAGGCCGTACCAGACAATAGTCAACGATCAGTAGTGTGTGTGTGTGTTTTCACTTGTGAGGTTGTAGCTCAAGCTTGTAAGCTCTAATTTCCATGGGAGAGATCGAGACGAGTCCTTCTCGCTGCCGCGCTGAACTATCTCGAGGCTGATCTTGATCGTCGTACCCGAGAACATCCATGTCTTCTTGCAAGAGATTCAACGAAGTTGGTTTTACATTTGTGGCTTCAAGATCTTTAAACATGTCAGAGAAGTTCACTGGCTCATTAGCCACGCTTGTGCAGTTTGCTCTTCTTCCTTTATGACAATAAGCTGGATCCCAACCTCGTCTGTTGAGGATGAGAGCAAACCTCGGTTTCTCATCTTCCACTTGCTGAGAGTATTTCGACGGACGTGGAACCTTGAAATTCACAATGTGGAGGTCACACGGTAACGGTTTGGCTAAAGGAGCAAACGAACCGTATTGCGGAACACGCACTGATATGTCTTGCGGTTTCTTGGCGACGAATGTGTTTATGGGATAGTTCAAGTGAGCGCCAACAAGGTGAGAGAGGAGCGAAGGGTTCCTCGGGTTAGGGTCGGAAACAGAGCTCGGCTGAGAAATGTTGGATTCCGCAAGAAGGTGAAAAACCACGGTCATTGCGCGGTTATCCATCACGCCTTGCCCGAGACCACGTCCGTCATCACGGACCAACCGTCTGTCCATCATAATCTCCAACCAACCATCTTTAAGGCCTGCAACGCCGAGAGACTGGCGGGAGTGAACGGAGAATCTCTGACCGTTGGATCCTTGGATGAAAGCGAGAGATGGCATTGGGTAGTAGTTTCCTTGGAGAGGTATCTTATCATAAGTCTCTCTCCTGCTCATTTGGAAACCGTTGAGATCAGAGTAGAAGACCCTCTTGTTGTCAACATCAGTCTTGTACCGGACAATTAATTCCTTGTCATCAAAATCGTCGCCGACAAGCTCAACATGATATTCCATCTCAACCACTAGATCCTGAAGGGTGTTACCTCCAGTGTAAAGTCGAGTGCTGTGCGAGATTGGCGATGTCTCCCATCTGGTTTTAGGGTATGAGAAGACTTCTTGGACCAGCAGTCCCTCGGAGGTGACTAGATGTCCACCAGATTGAACAATCGGTTGAGCTTCACCTTTCGGTTTGAACAGGTAAGCTCCACTATCTGGACTAGTGTACATACCAATCTCTTCTCTCACCACAGTCTCTGATCCGTCTCTACTGACTATCTTCTGGAGTAAGCCGTTCTTAACATCAAACACAAGAGTCTGATGATCATTTCGGATCTCAGTCACATCCGTATCCAGTTTTGAACATGAATATGGAGAGGGGCAAGGAAATGGGTCGAACTCAGAAGCGTATTTGAGTTTAGACAGTGTAGCTTTCTCGCATTCAACGTTCCCGTTAGCAATGTAATACGTTTGCAAACCAAAAGCTGGAATGGAGGCTTTCCAGTAAAGTCGATGCCTGCCTGTGTATAGTTTGGTGTTGTCATGCTGCATCTCAGGAGAAATCTGGCTAGGGACACATGTCCAGTTTGAGTCAAGAACCGAGATTTCAGCGCGGTTTACAACGACCGTCACTACCTCATCTCTCGTCTGCTCCGTTGGATTGAAGAGTATAACTGTGTGTGAATTTCCTTCACGCGCAGCTATTGGCTTGTGAACCGCCCGAGCGTCGTACTTTGATCTCACTTGCTCTGCCTCGAAGAACGATGGGGACTGATCAGATTTCTCTTTCTCGTGGCGTACTCCGAGAAGAACTTCGATTGCTTTAGACATAAATATCTGAAGATCTTGCAGTGAAGTATGCATCCGGATGCCGTAATCTTGCACCACATGATCCTTAGCAGTTCCGGTTACTCCATCATGGTGCTGGAAAAGAGCTAGATTTCTTCTCGCAGCAGTTAACTTATACGCAAAACTCGTCGGAAATTTCTCACACTGGATTCTATGGCAGTAACCTAGAAGAAATGACATCATGATCTCAGCTCCACGAAGGGTTTGCTCGAGCACACGATCAACAGCTTTGAAGAAGGGCCTTGAAACATAATAGCCGCTCCAATAGTCTTGTTCCCTATCTGAATATGTGAAGAAGTCACCTGACAGAGAAGGGAAACCAACAACCTGACCAGAGCCAACCTCACCAGGAAGAGAGTAATTTACTCTCTCTGCTTCTTCTCGAAGTGTTCTAAAATAATCATCCAAAGTACCAAACTGCGCCTCTGCGTTTAGGCTAGGATCAGAGTTGATGTGATCAAACAAGAACTGGTAGTTACGGAACTGAGCCTCGGCTTCATCAATACTGATGTACCGAAAATCATCTCCAAGAGGTATAAGAAGGGTATTTGTTCGATACAAGGTGGACTTTTTCCTGTACTGATCCAAAAGCTTCGACGCCCTCTCCTGCACGTTTTCTTGTGTGGTCTCCACTGGGTGCTTCCCCCATGGACAAAGTTCATACTTAAACCCCCGCATCCGACCAAAATCAAACTGACAGCAAACCGCAGGCTCTGGTCCACAAGTGTGTGGGATGTCGTATGAGTAAAAAGGCATCATATGAACAAAGATATCAGTTGTTTCCATGGCATCCCAACTCTGACGCCAAATGTATTCCAGATTCTTATGCTGGGCAAGGTCTTTCTTAAGCTCGTAATGAGTCCTCTGAATAAGCATGTTTTCGAAACCCATACGCCGGAGGAGATAAGCCATGGTTGATGAATAGCCAAATGGGTCTATGGCCCAAGAATTCTTAGGAACAACCCCAATTGTATCATTTAGCCACATATTACCCTCTGCGATCTGCACAAGGAGTTACAAAAATCAGATACAAGAGCACAGCCAGTACAAGGAGAAAATAAGGTTTACACTCGTACAAGATGCTTTACCCAAAAAGGAAAAAAAAAGACATGATTAGAACACAATGCAACAAGCGGCTGGTTTAACTAGCATACATCTAGCCAGTCCATATTCTAACATCGCATGTTCTTATGTATGCATAACCAAAACAAGAGGATTTTCAGCTCAAGTGAGCTTTTAGGCAATGTCGAGCTATAAGCAACCAAAATTGACATAATAAATACAAACTAAATGCCTAGCAGAATCAGAAACAGGAACATTAAGTGTAAATGCAGTAATCACTGTCATCAAAGTCAAATTTTCAAAAATAAATAAAAACAGGAGCAGAAAAATTAAGTGCATAAAAAATTGGAAAGTCAAGCGATGCAACACATACCTGTTCAATTATGGCAAAATAGTGTGAATTGGCCTGCAGGGAACATTAAGAAGAAACTTAGCTCATCTCAATCACAACAATCATTATCAGGAATGACATAGGACTAAACAACCATTTATTCTTCTTTCTTTTTTTTCATCAAACAATTCAGAAACATACCTCATCATTCATTACCCAGCCACCTCCAACGATCTCTAGCTGCCCATTCTTGATCAGGTTACTCAAAGCTTCCTGCTTATTTGGCGAAGCGTCTCTCCACCACCTCTCCAGATATGACATCTCCTCCCATATAAACTTTCTTCGTGAATCCTATTAAACATATTTACAAAAAGAACCACCACACAAATAAGATTCTAGCTAGATGGCAGGAGTGAACACTGTAATTTTCAGAAGAACAAGCTTAATAAAAATCTGTTTCAATTCGATAAGAAAGAGAGAAAAAGAAAAAACAGAATCCAGAAAAGCAGCTGGTTGGATTTCAATGCGATTCACGCTTTAAAAGTATAGTGACGTCATGAGAAAATTTTGGCTCAGAGATTTGTTCACGGGGAAAGCATGAGAGAGGCAAAAAAAATCGAATGATTCGTCACCTTGGATAGAGTCTCAACGATGGTGTCGAGAATATGCCTCGACTGCAGCTGGTAATACTCTTCCACCGTCAGCTTCCATCCAGGATCGTTATGCGAGTGAGGCACCACGAAGATTTTGAGCTTCTCTTGCTCCCACTCATTGCCTTTGTACGTCACTGGCCAACCCTGCTTCCACGGACCACCGTCTACATCCAGAAACTCAATCCTGTCGTACAGATCCTTCGTTGTGATGTCCACGACGGCTCCGGAGACGGAATCGTTCACGGATCGCCGGTAATTATACTTCCGCGGCTTCACGATCCGACTGGATCTGGAGCTGAGGAACCGCGAGGAGATCGGTCCTGGAACGCCGAAATGGAAGAGCGTGAAGATTAAGAAGAGGAGGGAGACGACGAAAGCGATGACGATGAAGTTGGCGAAGAGAAAATTGATGAGAACAGTCCGTTTTCGTGGTTTCCGATTGATCGCTAATTTGGACTTCGATAAGGCCGTCGGGAGTAGCGATTGGCCCCAACCACCTCCGCCGCTGCCGCCGGAACCACGGCGGGTGTTGCCGATGTAGGAGGAGAAAGGCATAATATCTCCTACTCGGAAATTCCAAAGTCTTTTTCTTATCAAACCAATCAAAAACTACGTCGTTTTCTTCGCCGGATCTTTATTTACTTGGAGCTCCTTGGCTCTGAGGACCAATTTAGTGAATGCATCTTTTTTCAGATTCGATGGACTTTTCTTCTGAATAGTGTTGGCTTTTCTGTAAATTCGAGTAATCGTTCAGTGGTAATATTGTCATTTTCAGATTTTGCTTTTCAACTACAAATTCGAATGGAATGGTATCACGGAGGGAAGGTGGTCACCGGTTCTTCCGCACGTGTTGCTGAGACGCGATTATGTTGCCAACCAACATAATGCATGCGTACGTTGGTTGGTTATTACCTCAGATTTATAAAACTAGAGGATAGTCATATGATGATGCGATTTATAGGTTTCATTCACTACAATAAGTAGCTTGATTGATCATATATATAGCATATCGAATTATTAGGATATAATTTGATTTAATGGGATATGGAATGCGTCTTGGAAATGTGTAAACTTATGGTTTGATTCGAAACGCATTTGCTCATATTTTCCTGGGATGCTAGAACAGCCGTCGGATTTGCGCACCTTCAAAACGGATTTAGATTATCTCCATCTCTTAAGTTCCTCCTTTGAGCTCTTTGAGTTATGTTTAATCCATCCACTCTCAATGTTCGTGCTGATACACTTGCAAAAGAGGCACAAGCACGAAGAGTTATTAATTCGCATGTAAATCCCATTCGATTGGATCATTGGAATGGTCTAGTTTTCTGAATTCTCGATCGTCCAATCGACATTATTATTTTTGTATTATACAGTATATGAGATATAATTTCAAATTTCAATACACTAAAAGTTTATAATACCATTGTCTTCCATAATCTTGTAGTTTTATATACTTTTGAAATTAAATCTCATATATACAAGTATAAAAACATTAATAATTTTTTTTTGTCAATCATTAAACCATAGGAAGTTGCACAGACAGAAAATAAAATAAATTAACTAAATATAAACATTAATTTATTGTGCGGGAAATTATTTAGTAAAGTTAAAAGTTTAAAACTTTAAAAACCATGGAAATTTGAAAAGACGGGTCAAATTAATTAGCAAATCTGCCATATTTGAAAAGACCCCGCCTAACAAAATTGTTTTTTGAGGTCACAACAAAGCCGATATCCAAACACGCCCCTCTTTCTCTCTCTCTCACACTCTCTCGTCGGATATTTACTTTTTCATCGGAAAATATCTCTTGTTGTTTCCCAGGAAGAAAATGGAATCTCTCGGTCGCCATTCGTACAGTCGGAAGGAGAAATCGCTCGGGGTTCTGGTCTCCAAGTACTCTCTCTCTCTCTCTCTCTCCATCTCTCAAGCATTTACGAACGTTTAATCAGATTTTAATCCCTTTTATTTCACGGTTTTTAAGTTGGATTTATGATTTATCTCACTACTTTATTTATGTTTCTGTTCGATTCAGTTTTCTGAAACTGTATAACCGAGACGATGTTGATCTAATTGGGCTCGATGACGCCGCCGGAAGATTAGGTGATTTCTTCCCCCCTAATTTCGTCTTCTCACAGTTCGATTGGATTTTCAGCAACTGAACTAGAAAATATAAAATAGATTCAATAAGAAGCTTGATGCGAATGATGTAATCGCCTAATTTTTTCGTTTACATCTCAAAATTGCAGGAGTTGAGAGGAGGCGTATTTACGATGTGGTCAATATATTGGAGAGCATTGGGGTAAAATTTGATGTCGTTCGATGTCTAATTTTGAAGGCTGTTTTATCGATTCGAGCTGAGAAAGTTTGTGTGTTGTTACGTTTTACGCAGCTTGTAGCAAGAAGAGGGAAGAATCAGTACTCATGGAAAGGTTTTGGAGAAGTTCCTCGTGCTCTAAGTGAACTCAAAGTACTTAACCAATCATCTAATCAGCTTCAGAATTGTTTTCCTGAGAATGGTTTTTTGAGTTTGTCTCTTTTGTTTACAGGAACAAGGAATGCAAGAGAGGTTTGGGATCGTCCCATGTGTGACTAATTCAGAGATGGTATGTTCATATTCATATTCAGATTCTGTTACTGTTGCGGTTACAACTTAACATTAGCCATTAGGTCATTTATAAGAATTTTAAAGCTCATTGTGTCCCTTCAATTCGATATTGAATAGGTCTTGTACGACGAAGCAAGAGAAGAATCTTTGAAGTTAACTTCTGATGATCAAGAAAACTCTCCATCCCCCAGACTTGGTAATGTCTTTATTTTGGAACATCATTGATTAGCGAAGGACTGAATATTTTCTCTTTGCAGTTTCCTATTTGGTCCAGCTAAAATCACCTTTCATATACTTTTAATCTAGAATCTGATGCGCATAAAAACAAGCTTAAGTAGCCTAACTAAAACTTTCTTACGTTTTGGTTTGCAGACAGCAAGAAGGAGAAATCACTGTGGAATCTTGCACAAAACTTTGTGAAGCTTTTTCTATGCTCTGGTGTAAGTAAATAAATTGTTATGACATGTCTCTATCTAAACAACGAATTTGACCATCTGACAACTCTCTTGTTGCTACTTTGACGTCAGGCTGATCTCATAACCCTTGATGGCGCTACAAAAGCATTGCTGAATGAGTCTCAGGATCCCCTGAATATGAGAAGTAAATCCTAATTCATTCCCTTAATCTTTTCTCTGATCTATAATCATTACATTACACAATCAATAAACCAAACCTCATTTCTGCAAATTCTCTGTGCAGCTAAAGTTAGACGCCTTTACGACATTGCAAATGTGTTCTCCTCCATGAATTTAATCGAAAAGGTACAAATACTATATGACCTTGTTCCTAAGCCAATCTTGGATACACAGATCTCGTTAATATTTCATTTTTTCCCTACTATATATGCAGACTCATATTCCACAGAGTAGGAAACCGGCGTATAGGTGGTTGGGATCCGAAGCAATATCCGAAGACCAATTCGTTGCTGCTCCTGCAAGCTTATGCGATCGTAACGAGCCTAAAAAGCGGGTATTTGGAACCGAGATCACAAACTTTAACGCAAAGAGAAGCAAAACAGACTGTTCTTCTAAAGACAGTAAGCATTATGGAAATGAAAACACCTGTAACGAGAACGAGCAGCAGCAGCAATGTGATTCGAAATCGGCTGTGAAGAGACTTGTGTCTTCACCACTCGCTCCCGCAGGTACTTCTAAGAAGAACAATACAGGAAACAACCATTCCCAAAGACTTCAAGATCTTGAGAACATTTCTTCTACCCACAAGCTTCAATATTGCAATCAAGGTAAACAAAAAACTTCCTTCTCTATATATATATATATATATATATATATATATATATATATATATATGTCACAGTTTTGCTTCCTGTGAGATTCTTGGTTTTGTGCTTATTTGTTTTCCTTACATTGATAGTATGTGGGGATTTATTACAAGTCGAAATTTTCTTGAATGAACAGAGTTATTTGGTCTACTTGGGCACTACACAGAGACATGGAGGTCATGGCATGCAGAGTTTGGTCGAAAATGATTTAACAAGGTAGATGAACTTTCGGCGTTACTACACACCTATGTGACCAATGCCGGTTTTTGCTGCTCTTTTTTTACTTCGGTTACTGAGTTGCTAGTAGATTTGCGAACATTACATTCTAGCAAATTAGACATTTACCTTCTTCTTCTTTGTTTTTAAGAATTAGAACTTTATCTTGTAGAAGAAAATATTAAACGTAAGCTAACCGTTTAGTTTGCTGGCGTTTCTTATTTGTTCCAACTTCCAAGTCAGTTTTGCAAGTGAAAACAAAAAGTTCAAACATTAATCGGTCATTTCTTTTGTAAGGTGGTTGGTTCCATTGTTACTATAGTTTGTTCTGCTATAAATAATGTGAAACAGACTCGCAGTAGAAAGTTTCTTAAACCGGTCAATTTCTTTATTAACCCGTAAGAGGATGAGTTTCTATTAGTCGACCAAACACGAGAAAAGACCAAAATCTAGATTAGTGGGCTCAGAAAAACGAACGAAAGGAAGATTTTTTATATAAATGATTTTGAACAAAATGAAACAAAGACAAACAAAGCAGAGCAATTAACAAAATATAAAATCTAAATCTGAAATATTAAGGAAACAAAAAAAAAAACAAAAAGATTCTTCCATAGCCAACGCATATCACGCAGCCACACAGCGGAGAGAGAAAGTAGCAAAAGAAGAGAAAGGGAGAGCTCTCGAGACGCTCATTTAATGGCGGCCACATCAGCTCGAGCCTTCATGCTCTTCCGTGTAACGGACGCGTCACGGAAGAAGCTCCTCCTCCACCAACCGCCACCGTCGTCGTCGTCTCCTCGCCGCTTACCGCGCCGCGTTCCGAATCGCGCGGTGACCTCCTCTGTCATCAGCTGCCTCAGCGGAGGCGGAGTCTCCTCCGACGATTCATACGTGTCTACTCGTAAGTCGAAGCTGGACCGAGGTTTCGCCGTGATCGCGAATTTGGTGAACCGGATCCAGCCGCTTGACACCTCCGTCATCTCCAAATCCTTATCCGATTCGGCAAAGGACTCGATGAAGCAGACGATATCGTCTATGCTCGGACTCCTTCCTTCCGGTCAATTCTCCGTCTCCGTCACCATCTCCGAGCAGCCTCTGTATCGTCTCCTCATTTCTTCCATCATCACCGGGTAAGAAGCTAATATCATTACTTCCGATTACTGTGCTGTGAATTTAGCGATTTGCTTAATCTGTTTGGTGGGTTTAGGTATACGTTGTGGAATGCGGAGTATCGTGTGTCACTGACGAGAAATTTCGATATACCGACTAATCCTAGGAGGGAGGAGGATCAATCTTCGGAAGATAATGTTGGATTTGGTTCAGAGAATGGAGTGAGGGAGGATTTAGGGAATGGTGTTGAAGAATTAGAGAGAATGAGTTCTCAGGTGTTCGGAGACTTGTCACCGGAAGCGTTGAGTTATATTCAGCATTTGCAGTCTGAGTTATCTAACATGAAAGAGGTAATGCCAAAAGTTGTGTGTGTAGCTCACTTTTTCTGTTTAATTAGTTTTGCTATAGGAAATGTGAGAGTTGTGATTGGTTTAGTTGTTGAGAATTTGATGGAATTTTGGTTGCAATCGAAGTAATGCTTGTGAAGCTCTTGGTCAAGTCCGATTATCTCTCCATGAAAGTTGGTTTGAGATTATATCCCAATGTATATTTCAGGAGCTAGATACACAGAAGAAGAAAGCTATGCGGATAGAATGTGAGAAAGGGAACAAGAATGACTTGTTGGAGTATTTGCGTTCGTTAGATTCGGAGATGGTACTGAACATTGAGATTTCTCTTTGATTCTTGTTCTTGGTTTCAAGATCCTCAGTCTGATTACTAGATTCTTATTGACAGGTGACTGAGCTATCTCAACTATCTTCACCGGAAGTGGAAGAGATCGTGAGCCAGCTTGTTCAAAACGTGATACAGAAGATCTTCGAAGACCAGACTAGTTCAGCTTTATTGCGAGGTTCTGCTATAAGGGCTACAGAAGGTGGTGATGGAACCGGTAGAAAAGTAGACACTTCCAGAGATTACCTTGCAAAGCTCCTTTTCTGGTAAGCCTAACTCCTCCTCTTGTGGCCAAACAGTTTAATAACAGAGCTTTTAAAAAAAGTCTGATCAACTGTCTGTTTCGTTCAGGTGTATGCTATTGGGACATCATTTAAGAGGGTTGGAGAATAGATTACATCTCAGCTGTGTTGTTGGGTTGTTGTAAAATCAAAGGATCAGAAAAAGGAGACAAAAAAAGTAGAAAACACCAATGTATATTCTTCTCCTCTTCTCTCCCCATTTTGATTTCTTTAATCGAAGCGTTAAGTTATAATCAATCATATGCCACCTGCAATTTTCTACCTATTTGAGTTCTCACAGTTAGGTTTACATGACCAAATTATGTTTAAGTTTAACTAATATAAGGATCGGTGGAAGTAGAAACTCATTTGTAGATTAGTTTTTAATCTGTTTATTAATTTGATTTAATCAACTTATTTGACTGTTTCATGTATGTTGCTCTTGAAGTAGGTGTGGTTATGTATTCGAATTCCTCACGTTTACTCACTTCACCAACCCCATCTGATAATTTATACCTTTAGCTAGGCGAAGAGTGTTCGACCGAGCTTAGTTTCAAAGTTTATATCCTTGAGAAGATTAGTAGTTCACCAAAGCAAATCGAATTCAATACGGATTGGTTTGGTAAACTTTTAGTTTTCAGTTTTGAGTTCATTTCCTGTTCTAATGTAGGCTTTTATGGATAAGTTAAGATTAATTGTGAACCAACCGAATTGTGTCATTTAGCCAAATGTTATCAGTTTATAGAGGGATATATGATTTGAAAGTTAGGTGGGTTTTGTTTGATTTTTTTTCTTGAAATATAAAACAGAGAGCATATGAAAGAACATTATGGACACGAAATCAACCTTAAAAGCAGCAGCATAGTTAGTAAGTCACACAAGAAGCATTGGACTCTTTTTTATTTTTGCATTTGAACACCTTTTTTTATCATCACTTCAAATATACGAATTTAACCTCAACGGTATAACTAAACGAAGATGGGACTCCACCCAGTCTCCGAAGCCACCGCCTCAAGCCCATTCGGCTCTCTCTCCGCCGCCGAATTCTACTCCCGCCACTCCGTCTCCCACTCCTCCGCCTACGTCACCAACCCAACCGGCCTCAAACTCTTCACCCAATGGTGGACCCCACTCCACCGTCCCCCACTCGGCCTCGTCGCCGTCGTCCACGGCTTCACCGGCGAATCCAGCTGGTTCCTCCAGCTCACCTCCGTCCTCTTCGCCAAATCAGGCTTCCTCACCTGCGCCATCGACCACCAAGGCCACGGCTTCTCCGACGGCTTAACCGCTCACATCCCGAACATCAACCTCATCGTCGACGACTGCATCTCCTTCTTCGACGACTTCCGTAACCGCTACTCCTCCTCCCTCCCTTCCTTCCTCTACTCCGAGTCCCTCGGCGGAGCCATCGCTCTCTACATCACCCTCCGCCAGAAATCCAAATGGAACGGACTCATCCTCAGCGGCGCAATGTGCTCCATCAGCCACAAATTCAAACCTCCGTGGCCGTTGCCGCTACTCTTAACCGTCGCCGCCACTCTCATCCCCACATGGCGCGTCATCCCCACTCGCGGCTCAATCGCCGGCGTCTCTTTCAAGGAGCCATGGAAGCGAAAGCTCGCATTCGCTAACCCGAACAGAACCGTCGGCAGACCGCGCGCCGCCACGGCTTACGAGCTCGTGCGAGTCTGCGAGGATCTTCAGAGCAGATTCGAAGAGGTCGAGGTTCCGCTGATGATCGTACACGGAGGAGACGACGTCGTCTGCGATCCGTCCTCCGTCGAGGAGCTTTATAGGAGATGCAGTAGCGAAGAGAAGACGATTAAGATCTATCCAGGGATGTGGCATCAGCTGATCGGAGAGTCTGCGGAAGACGTCGATTTGGTTTTCGGTGATGTTTTGGATTGGATTAAGAAACGTTCTGAAATCGCCGCCATTAACGGTGGTGTCAAAGCTTAAAAACTTATGTTATTTCAAATATAAATAATCAACGGAAATTCAAAATTTTATATTAGTAAAACAAAAATGCTCCGAGATTTTTGTATTCAAGATCCATTAGAATAGGTCAAACTAAAATCCTTAAATTCAAAAGAGATATTGTTAACGAAAAGATGAGATTTTTAGAAAGTTTATTGAAGAGAAAAATGAAAGATACGATGAAGGAAGTGGAAGGGAAAGTGAAGTTTTCAATGGCGGATTCAACGATGATGTTGCTTGTACAACAAGCAATGGACAAAGCTCACGAGAAGATCAAGACGAAACACGGCCTTCTCCTCCGTCTCAACGCCATATCTCTTTTCTACGAGCTCGCCGTATTACAGCTCGAGAGCTGTCTCAGTCTCGTCAAACAAGAGACGGATAAACTCGAGAGCAACCACGAGGAAGTGGTTCACGATCTGAGAGTGATCAAAGACAGGCTTCACCACCGTCTCTTGGAGACAGAGCTAGCGATTCTCGAGAAAGACAGAGAGTTGTTGGAGAGGTCTGAGAACGAAGAGAGTCTGAGAAACGTGTTGGAGAGTAAAGAGACGGAGATTGTTCATTTGCAAGATCTTGAGAGAAGCAGAAGTCATAATAATAGTAATAAGATTGGAGATTTTATCAAAGAAGATGAGTTTTCTGAGCTGAAGAGCTCTGTTGATCAACAGGTGATGAATCTCAGACAGAAGCTAGAGACAGAGTACGATGAATTGGGGAGAGAGAAAACAGAGGACCCTTCAGGGGTTGATATAGATGTTTTGAAAGGGACGATGGATCTTGCGTTCAACAAGATGCACGACGCGATATTCTTGTCGGAGCTGGGACCGATTGAGCAGAGCTGGAGATGGTCTATAGAGAGAGATTCAATGGCGTTGCTGATAAAAGGTTTCATGAATGGTTTGGAGGAGAAGAAGAAGAAGGCGATGATGGTTGTGAGAGAGTACGAATTAGGGTTTAAAGATAGGGTTTGTTCGATTCGTAGAGATGTAGAGTGTTTAGAGTCTCAGTTAGATCATAGATCATGTGTAGAGACAGCTTCATCATCTTCAATAGGTTGTGAGATTGGTGATGATAGAGAAGATGAAAAAGGAGAAGAAGAAGAAGATTCAAGTAATTTACCTGTTTCCAAGTTGATAAAGAGTCATGAATCAATCATTAGGAGGAAAAGCGAAGAGCTTGCTCCTCCTAAGATTGAGTCTGTTAAAAGACAGAAGAGCAGCATCAATAGCCCTAGGTTTAAGCGAGGTGTTGATGATATTGTTGCAGGTCTTGATAGGTTAATGAGTGTTAACACTAAGATGTTCGAACATATGTTTGATGATTATGATGATGATAGATATGATCTTGTTCGTGGTCAAGAAGTGGTGGTGGTGGAGGATGGTTTGGATGATGTTTGGATGAAAATGCAGAAACGTAGATCGGTGTTTTCAGACAATGGGAAAGAGGAGAAAGAAGATGCAGAGATGGAGTTGATGATCTTGGAAGATATTTACTTGACTCTTCTCAAAGGTTTAGTAACAGATGAGATCATAAACAATAGAAAAGAGGAAGAAGAAGAGATCAAGAGTGAAAAGATGGAGCCTAGGGTCGAATGTGTGGATTGTTTAGAGAGTTTGAAATTGGAGAAGGATTTTGAGATTATTATTCGTGAAGATGAAGAATTTAGACATGAAGTGGATTGGATTGTTGTAACAGAGCTGGTAAGAGAGGTTTCGGAGACTGTAGAGAATCTTGAAAGGATTGAGGCAAACAATAAAAGGATGGTTGAGGAAGAAGGAAACAGAGCTTGCATGGAAATGTCTGTAGTTTTTGATGATTTTGATTTCAAAATTCTAGAGAAGTTAAAGATGGTAACGTCCAGGTGAGTAGAAAAAAGTCGTTGAAAATGTGTGAAAAAAACGTTATGTTGAGTGTTGATGATATGTTTTTGTTTTTGGAGGTTACAAAACTTGGAGAGAAAGATTCATTCAAAGATGGATTCGGTCGCAGAATGTAGAAGAACAGAATCAGTTTATAAAACAGCTTTTCTTCTTATGTCTGAAAATCTCAGAAAGGCAGAAACTGAGGTAAAACAGTTTGATCATTACTATAATTTTTTGTGAACACATTCGATTTGATGATAGTAAACTGTGAAAAATTGCAGGTTGATCTTCTTGGGGATCAAGTCGATTCGCTAGTGAATATTCTCAAGAAAACACTTTGGACATTTCATCAGCATCCATTGCTTCTCTGCAATCACTCAGATGTAAGTTAACTATCTCTTATTTTCATGTAGATTGTTTCACAAGTAATCTCTATGTAGAAAATCTCTAACTTCTTTTGTTTTGTTTTTCTTTCAGATATCAGAGATCTCGAAGATGATCATGAAAGAGTTGTCATCTGAGGATTAAAAAGCAAATTAATTTTGTTTCTTGCGTGAAATTCTTCTTACTACTAAATACTAATTGGAGGAATACAATCTTTAGAAAATTTATCAAATTCATTTTTTTGTTTTTGTATATTTGTTTCTATTTCTTTTCATGTAACTAAAATTTATGAAAGTCAAACGCTAACTATACGATTTCTACAAAAAAAACTGTAAATAATTTATTGACAGTCTGAAGAGGCAATGAATTTATAACTAAAATAAAATATTTGAATTCAAAAATAATAGTTATGTTTAGCTAATGTTTCGTTATACAGTATCTCAACATGAGAATGTAACTAACAAAAATTAAACCAGTCACCAAAATTCATCATGTTTTAAACTTGCCTTAGGAAAGCACACACCTAGTCAAGTGATATCAACATGGTAAAATTTACAAATCTAATAAAAATTAAATAAGTTACCAAAATCCTCATGTTTTAGTCAAATTCCCATCTTCTTATAAGAACCCTAACTAGAAACCTTTATTCCACATCTCAGACACACAACAATATCTAAAAGAAAATATTATTTCTCCAATATAAGAATGGAAATGAAACAGATTAAAGCTATGTTCTTCTTTTTAACTATGATCATGGCTTTGATTTCTCATCATCAATCGGAAGCTTTTAAACTTCCCTTTAAACTTCCTCCGGTTTTTGGTCCCGTGAGTTGCTTCTTGGGAATAAAGAAGGTCGAGGGTTGCGCGAGTGCCATAGAACACGCAATACTGCATGGAGGAGACTTTTCAGGTTTGGATAGGAAATGTTGCGATGCCATTACTATCCTCGCCGATGATTGTATGCCGATTATTTTCCCCGGAAGACCATACATGGCCCTTGTGGCTATTGCTGCTTGTATCCGTAAATTCGACGACGTTAGTTATGGGCCCGTTGCTTCTGCGCCTGTTAATTATTAGAAAAAAAAAAACAATATCTTGTAATGCAAAGGCAATTTGTAATTGTATTATGCATGGCCTTTTATTAGGAAACACATATATGATAAGTTTGTGTACGCAAATGTATTTGTTAGTGATCCCGATATGACAATAAAAAAAATTATTATAACCTGTTGTTGTTTTGGTGATAACTGATAACTAATAAAATTATTATATACGTCGAGGACTGTCACCTCAGATGGAGATTTAGTTGGAGGCTTTAGTTTGAAGGCCTAAACAAACGTACAATTTCCTTTGTCACGGACTGTGTGGATGTAGTCAATATGGTCTCGACACTTGAGAACTGGCCGATTTTTGCGATATTATTGGAGGATGTACTCAAATGCAAGTAGAAATTCTCCTTTTGTTCCATCACACACATCCCACGAGCCAAGAATATGAGGGCGAATAAACTAACAGGAAGTGCTCAAGATATAACGTATACTATGTAAACTCGGTTCCACCGTTGACACAAAGTGCTCAAGATATGGATTTTTGGAACGATTTAGGAACTCCAAAAAAAAAAAAAAAAAAAAACTGATAACTGATAACGCCCAAATCACACAAAAATAAAAAGATACATTGGGAAGAAATTATACTTTGAATATTACTTTGTACATCTACGCATTTTTATCAAAATATCATTTCTTGACTAAAATACCCCTATTCCAAATCTTTGAATATCTAAAATGGTTTAAATAATTTTTAATACATATTCAAATATTAAAAAGAAAACTGATGTATTTAAGAAAATAAAAATTCAATTTCACTCCAAAAAGTCAAGAAATAATATTTCCTAAGATCGAGTCTGTTAAAAGACAGAATAGCAGCATTGATAGCCCTAGACTGAAGCGAGGTGTTGATGATATTGTTGCAGGTCTTGATAGCTTGATGAGTGTTAACACTAAGCTGTTCGAACATATGTTTGATGATTATGATGATAGATATGATTGTGTTCGTGGTCAAGAATTGGTGGTGATGGAGGACCGTTTGGATGATGTTTGGAGGAATACAATCTTTAGAAAATTTATCAAATTCATTTTTATTTATTTTCATGTTTTTGTTTATTTGTTTCAATGTTTTTCATGTAACTAAAATTTATGAAAGTCAAACGCTAACTATACGATTTCTACAAAAAAAACTGTAAATAATTTATTGACAGTCTGAAGAGGCAATGAATTTATAACTAAAATAAAATATTTTGTATTCAAAAATAATAGTTATGTTTAGCTAATGTTTTGTTATACAGTACTATCTCAATATGAGAATGTAAGTAGTAAAAATTAAATCAGTCAACAAATTTCATCATGTTTTAAACTTGTCTTAGGAAAGTACACACCTAGTCAATGATTTCATCATTTCAACATGGTAAAACTTATAAATCTAATCAAAATTAAACAAGTTACCAAAATCCTCATGTTTTAGTCAAATTCCCATCTTCTTATAAGAACCCAAACTAGAAACCTTTATTCCACATCTCAGACACACGACAAGATCTAAAAGAAAATATTATTTCTCCTTCTCCAATATAGGAATGGAAATGAAACAGATTAAAGCTATGTTCTTCTTTTTAACTATGATCATGGCTTTGATTTCTCGTCATCAATCGGAAGCTTTTAAACTTCCCTTTAAACTTCCTCCGGTTTTTGGTCCCGTGAGTTGCTTCTTGGGAATAAAGAAGGTCGAGGGTTGCGCGAGTGCCATAGAATACGGAATACTGCATGGAGGAGACTTTTCAGGTATGGGTAAGAAATGTTGCGAGGCCGTTACTGTCCTCGCTGATGCTTGTATGCCGATTATTTTCCCCGGAAGACCGTACTTTGCCCTTGCGGCTATAGCTGCTTGTATCCGTAAATTCGATGACGTTAATTATGGGCCCGTTACTTCTGCGCCTGTTAGTTATTAGATTAAAATAATAATTATCTTGTAATGCAAGGCAATTCGTAATTGTATTATGCATGGCCTTTTATTAGGAAACAATTCCATATCTTTGAATATCTAAAATGGTTTAAATAACTTTTAATACATATTCAAATATTAAAAAGGAAACTGATGTATTTAAGGAAATAAAAATTCAATTTCATTCTAAAAAGTCAAGAAATAATATTTAGTAAACCGTAGATTATGTATTTTATAGTCCGTATAACACACCATAGTAGAAATCGTATACATTGGCGTAGAACACTTAGAGTTTGCAGAACATTGGCGTAAACATGTTATTCATGTTTTTGGAATGAAAATGAATTTTTATTTCCTTTTTAATATTTGAATATGCATTAAAAATTATTTAAACCATTTTAGATATTCAAAGATATGGAATAGGGGTATTTTAGTAAAAAACAAATTCTCTGAAAATGAAGATGTAGATGTACAAAGTACAAACTACAAAGTAGTCGAAGTATTTCCAAAAAGATAAAGATACACTTGAAGAAAAGAGACCTAAAAAGTAAAAATGGGCTTACAAAGAAGTTAAATGGGTCAAATAAAAGTAAATAGGGTAAAGAAATACAATGGGCCAACAAATTTTAAAAGGAAAGGAAGAAGAAGCCCAAGTATGAATAAACCTCAGCTTCATCTTCTTTCTTCACATTCTTCTTTTACAGTCTCTTCAGCTTGAGACGTTGATGATGTTCTTCAAGTTAAGAACTTGTTTGATTCGATAGTCTGTATGTTGTCGATTCATTACGTCTACATACAAATAGTCGATTAGTTATCGAAAAATCTTGGCGAAAGTGAAGAGCTTTGGTTTGTAGAATCACAGAACAAACCTGCGATTTCATTTCAGCAGGTTTCTCTTTCTCTGCCTGCAGTTACTGTTCTTCTTCTGGGTTTTTTAGTCTTCTGGGAATGAGAGGAATCTCTCTTGTTAGATCAAGGCTGTCCATTTATAGGGCTCCTGCAGTTACGTATTTGAGATCTATCACTATTTCGCCGAACTCAAGCAATTTATGCAATCTTCGACCGAATTCGGAACCTTTCATAGCTCGTATGCTTCCTTTGGGTCTCTCTTCTATGTTCTCGACTTCCGAATTGAACTCGGAGCTAGTGGGATTTACTCAGAGTAACGATGATGACGAAAATGAGGAAGAGATTGACTTCGATATCATAAGCGATGAGGTTGTCACAGAGGATGTTCTGAAGATTTCTAAGCTGTTGAAAGATTGTGGGAGTAACCGGAAGAAATTGAGAGACAAGCTTGAGCAATGCGATGTGAAGCCATCAAACGAATTGGTGGTTGAGATTCTTTCTCAAGCTCGCAATGATTGGGAAACTGCATTCACTTTCTTCCTCTGGGCAGGGAAGCAGCGAGGCTACGTTCGTTCTGTTCGTGAGTATCACTCAATGATCTCGATCCTCGGCAAAATGAGGAAGTTTGATACAGCTTGGACTTTGATTGATGAGATGAGAAAGTTTAGCCCTTCTTCTCTTGTTAACTCGCAGACGCTTCTGATCATGATCAGGAAGTATTGTGCGGTGCACGATGTTGCCAAGGCCATAAACACGTTCCACGCTTACAAAAGATTCAAACTTGAGATGGGGATTGATGATTTCCAGAGCTTGCTCTCTGCTCTCTGTAGGTATAAGAACGTTCAAGACGCTGAGCATTTGATCTTCTGTAATAAAGAGACGTATCCGTTTGATGCCAAGAGTTTCAACATAGTGCTGAATGGATGGTGTAACATTGTTTGTAGTCCACGAGAGGCTGAGAGAGTGTGGATGGAGATGGGAAATGTTGGAGTCGAGCATGATGTTGTGTCTTATTCGAGTATGATATCTTGCTATTCGAAAGGAGGTAACTTGCATAAGGTGCTTAGACTGTTTGATCGGATGAAGAAAGAGGGTATAGAGCCGGATAGGAAAGCGTACAACGCTGTGATTCACGCGCTTGCGAAGGCTAGGTTTGTCGCTGAGGCGATGAATATGATGAAGACGATGGAAGAGGAGAAAGGGATGAAGCCAAACGTTGTCACTTACAACTCTCTCATCAAGCCTCTGTGCAAGGCTAAGAGAACGGAAGAGGCTAAACGTGTTTTCGATGAGATGATGGAGAGAGGGATCGTTGGGACGATCCCTACGTACCATGCGTTTATTCGGATTCTAAGGACAGGAGAAGAGGTTTTTGAGCTGTTAGGTAAAATGAGGAAGATGGGTTGTGAGCCAACTGTGGATACGTATATAATGTTGATTCGTAAGTTCTGTAGGTGGCGAGATTTTGGTAATGTGGTGTTGCTGTGGGATGAGATGAAGGAGAAAGGTGTTGGTCCGGACCTGAGCTCGTACATTGTGTTGATACATGGGCTGTTCTTGAATGGGAAGATTGAAGAAGCGTATGGGTACTATAAAGAGATGAAGGAGAAGGGTATGAGACCAGATGAGAGTGTTGAAGAGAAGATTCAAAGCTGGTTTTCAGGAAAACAGTATGCAGAGCAGAGGATGGTAGACTCGAAAGGGGATGTGGCAGGTGTCGATAAAAGAGGTACTTTGAAGAAATGTGAAAGAGAAGAGAACTTTCTCCAGCAGCCTGAGGTGAGGAAGGTTGTGAGAGGGCATGGATATTCGTTTTGGGATGAATAGAAGACGGCGAGAGGAATCTTGAAGCAATGTTAGAATCAGGAAGAGTCATAAGTAAGAACCATCTTGAAGAGCTTTAGAACTTGTTAGGTTTGATTATAAGAGGATGATTTTGCTTTGAGAAGAGTTAAAGAGTTAGTGTTCCTGAGGAATGAATTGAAAATTATACATTTATATGTTTAACCTATGTTTGTAGATACAAACAAAGAGCATAACCATGCATGTGTTTCCAATATTTACAACATACATCATTTTAAACCTAAATCAAAGATACAAATTAGAAAATACACACCACTGTGCTATGAGCTTCATCATTTGTAGTAAACTAAAGAGAAAATATTGAAACTTAGTTTATGCAGAGAGAACTCTGATCTGTCTTGCTGTTCTTGTTGTTGTTGTTGTCATCATCTTGCAGCTGCAGCAGCTGAGAGAAACTTGTGGAATCTTTCTACTCTATCCAACTTGCGTTGCTGCGATGATTTGCCCTCTGAAATGTTCTCAATCTTCTTCTGCTTCTTCTTCTTCCTGTGGAAGAAATCCTCCGTGTCCAAAACATACGAGATCTACAACGAGAGATGTTATTAATCATAAGAGCGAGATGAAGCAATTATTTCTGTGTAGACTGTACATTGGTTCTTAGATTCTGAAAACAAGAAGCCCCATAGTTTAAGACAAGAATATTTGTTACCTTGTAGGAAGAGCAAGACATCTTGCACTCAAGGCCATTAATTACTTCTACACCTTCCATTGCCTTGCAGGCTATTGCAAGATCATCCAGACCAGAGTATCCACGCATGTTCCTGACATACAGAAAACAAAAACAAAAGGACTTGGTTTTATGTATACTGTTCTGAAACAAAAGCAAAAGTAATGGAATTATAGCAAGTTTAATATACCTCTGTAAGACAACGGCCTGTGGCTCTTTTTTCCCTGATGAGTTAGAGAGAAATTCCTTTTGTAAATAACTTGCAAATGAGGGATCCATGGAAACTGCATAAGCCTCGGGCTTTTCGATTATGTTATCCATAAGCTGGATCGACAAACGAGAGGGAGAGGAAGACTGCGTATGAATAACAGGAAACAAGTTTCAGGGTCAATGAATAATCAGAATTCCTTAATGAAGAGAAAGATGAGATTTGGTTTTAGTGTTCTTACACACTCCAGTCGATAAATATTTTCCTCGTGAAGGAGGATCCTGGCGTTTTCATAATACACCGAGTCTATTACCCTCCCTGGTTTCCGGGATTTCTCATATTCATACAGCTGAAGAAGCTTATTGTCCATGTCGTCAGCTACAACAGCTTGAAGCTGCAATTGATGAAATGAAGTCAGGATTTTAGAAGGAATCCAGAGATCAACCTAAAATCAATAAAGTCGGTGAAAATTACCTGTTTAACCAATTTATATATCAGTTTTTCCAAGGTGAACAAAACATATGATTGGTTTCCAATGATAGCTCGGCATTCATCCTCAAACTTTGAATTTTCAGCTGAGCCATTCAGCAGACTGAACAGAGCAGTCATAAACCTGCACAACATACATATACGAGTTTACAAATTGTTTTTACTGATCTGAGTAGAGAACATGCACAGTCTATATAAAAGCAATGGACACCGATTAGGGCTAAGACATGTACCTTGCATAAGGATCTGGTGTGCTATTATCTTTCGTGTTTCGCTGTTTCATTTCACCGCCTGAGCAAAATGTTTTTGCAGACGAAATTCTCTCGTACAGGATCTGGAACAGTTAAAATTAGAGTTAATAAATCTTTTCCGGGTAAGAAAATACATTTTTCAAACTTAAATTTGAGAATGCAGCTCATAAGAAACGATTGCACTCACTCGATGAAGCCTGAAAAGAACATAGAAGTCATCATTCCCGTAGAAAACTCTAGAGTCTTTTTTTCTCTCATCAAGAAAAGCCGCTGCAGCTACATGCTTTGAAAGAGGCTTGACGGATAATAGAGCACGTTCTGACGACGGAAGCAACCCATTGTCTTCTTCTATAAGATGCGACTCCATTACCTCTGCCTCTGCTTCACTTTCAGCTTTAGCATCAGTCTCATCATGCTCACCCTCTTCCTCCACACCATTATCATCCTGTGAGCATTCGTCACCAATAGATTCAGTTCCCGATCCATCCTCACCAGCTTCTGAAGCGTCATCACCATCCTCATCGTCAGCATCATCATCATTTTCTCCTTCAGCTTCAACTGAGTGTTCTGGTTTGGCACTGGACTTCAAACCACGATCTTCAAAAACAACAAAGTTGTCTTCAGAATCCCCAATAGGTGACAATTCACCTTCCTCCTTCTCAATTTTGGATGGACCACCAGATTCATCATATTTACTGATGGCTTTAGAAGCATCTGACTGCAATCCATTGGTTATAACTATAGTTTTCCCAACATCACCTCCCTAAGAGATATGACCAGGACTAGTGAGAATGGTCACAAAAAGCATAATAGTAAAGTAAGAACATATGAAATTGTGAAACTGAGTTACCGTACCTGGGTATGTTGAATGGTGTCAACATTATCTATAGCTTCACTTGGTTTAGATAAAATGCTACGAGAACCTAGACAGTAAAAGTAAAGAATCAACGACACATCAAGGTAGGTATTGCACACAAACTGAAGATTAGAGTTCAATCCTGATTTACCTGACGAACCTCCGCTTCCTACTTTAGCATTATCGTTTTCTACCACACCTGGGAATGATGCACTTGAAGTGGCTACTTTTCCATCAACCTCTCTAGATCTTTTATCGGCTTCATTTACAAATTCTTGATCTTTCCGGGGTTTTACAGCAGAACAGGTGGCAACATCTTCATCAGCAGGATCACCATCCTTACAATTTTCTTTCCCAGAAGAATCCTTATTCAACAAATCGGTACCACCATGTTTGGAGACATCAGATGAAGCATACTCATCTCCATTGGCAATAAATTTTAGTTGCCTGGAAACCAAACTTATCGCGTCAGAACTCACATTAGCCTCCCCGCTGGTAAATGAACTGTGATGCTTGGCTTCTCCAACATCTCCCACAGAATCTGACCCCTTGGCGCTGGGTGGAACACCAAGCATCAGCTCCAGGAAATTAGCCCAGAGCCGCAGAACTTTACTGATCTGCTCTTTTGTAGAACATATCTCCTCACACGAAAACTGGACTAGTTTGAACAGATCTTCGTGAATAGTTCTGTCGAAATATTCATAGTCGAGGTGAGGAAATATGGGTTGTCTGTAACCGGCAGAAATAGACAGAAGAACATCATCTTCTTTCTGAGACTTCTCTTTCAGGTCCTTAATTTCAGACACCAGCGCTAGTATTCAACAAAGGATCAAATATATAATAATCAGAACAAATAAGAAAATGCAGGAATAGACCCGTCCCAGATGAATGTATGCAATAATAAGTGAGGAAGTTCTCTGCTGGACTGTACACGTTCTAAGAGATTACTTACCTTTCGCACTCAGGTTCTTAGAATCTTGTTGCTTAAAATAGAAGCTCCGGTGGTCAAGTGATTTGTAATGGTTTTTTGCATACACATCCGACCAGACCACATTAAAATCTTCACGACATTTTGTCCACTCATCTTGTTTTTGCTTCAAACGAGTTAGAATTACAGGCAGTGCAGCAGCTGGATTCTTACGTATTATGTCTGTCACGTCAAGACCATGGTCGCCATAAAGTCTTTCTATGCACCTTAAATTTAAGGCTGTAACAAGTCAATAAGAAAATGGCAAGTGTAAGGCGAAGATATGATGGCTCAAAAATAGGGGAAGAGAGATGGAACAAAGAGATCTACAATAAACGCAATAACGCATACAGACCTGTGAAATGGTCTTCAATTCGGAACGAGCCCTCAAAACTTATTTTCTTCTCAACAATGATATTTAAGAGTTCCTCTGCGCTTTTGGCAGCAGATCCCACAGATTCCAACAACATATCCAACTCAAATCTGTAACAAGAAGCAAGTTATCAAATAATAATCAATAACATAAAATTACCAAAGACTTAAGGTATCATTCTATCATAAATAACTTCTTGTAAACGTACCTATCATCTTCACATCTAAACAAGCTTTCTTCATATTGGTTTCTGCGCATGTGCTTAAAAGAGTAGTCTTCACTTCCTGAAGTGACAGAAACCCAGTGATCGTTTAAAACAGCAGCTCCTGATTTCTGTCTGTGCCGCACAGACGGAATGGGATACTGCAAAGAAGGTATAGTAATAGTAAGTACAGTTAAAAAATGCGTTGAATGCAATATAGAACTCTAAAAATCTTATTACATCCGGAGGGAGGAGACGGTAGCTAGGAGTGCAGCGCTCGCAATCAGATAGATCAAGCTCTTGAATAGATTTCCCCATGTACTTGTCCTTAGATCGCTCCTTTTCCTTTGCAGCCTCAAGGTCGCGTTTGTGTTCTCTTTCTTTTTCCTCCCCCTTCATTGACCTAGGTAAATGTTCTTCACTGCTATCTGATTCTGCAGCATATTTACCGAGCAGTGTTAATAATATTTCTCTAACGTTACAAACCAATAGAAAAAGCATGTCCATAGACAAGAAGGTAAGAAAGTGCTGCATACTTTTGCCCATAACGCCAGCGAGGTGCTGGAAACCATCTGCAAAAAGGATAATGATCAGAACCAGCTAGATAACTTCACTAGAAAAATGACAGTAAGCAATCTTAAATACCAATATTCTCACAACGCTCGAAGAACTGAGTGAACTCATCCATGAGCTCAGGGAACTTTTCAAGCAGACCAGAAACCTGAATGAAAAAGAGAGTAGAGTTAAGACAAAATCTACTATCATTTATAAACGCAAAAGCTATTTGTAGACCTACATAATCCATCAGTTCTTTCTTTTGGATAATTCCATTGCTAAACAGATTGAGAAACTTCAGGAATGATTGATAATCATCTTGGCTGCATAATCTCTCTTTGATTTTCTCACAAACCCCAAATGCTTGGTTGTACATGCCTACCACAACGAAAGAACCAAAGAAGAATAACTATCGTTAGCCTCAGAAAAGAGAAATAGACAGGCTGCACCACAGCATACCTGTTGATCAGGAAATTAGAAAGCAACATATTTTTAGTTATTAAAAAAAAAAAAAAAAATTCAGCAATCCATCAACTTATGTATTGGACATGGTGATAGCGTTAAGATGTTGTAACATGTCACTAATCTCCTGTATAAAAGGATTGAAATCGTCGAGCCCGAGAAAACAGAAACGATGTTTTAGTTAACCATACAACTAAAAGCTTACTTACTTTTTAGACTGTTTTTCTCATAGTGTGAAGCAGGACCAGAATAAGCTTCAAAACCCTCAGTTCTTCTGGATGACTTCCTTTTCTCTGAAAAATGTTGCAAGTTATCTTGCTCCGCTTCCTCCAAATCACGGCTTCTCCTTTCTCTATTCTCCTTCTCGATACGTTTCCTCTGTTCTCTGTGCATCTTAACCATTGCTTTATCATCATTAAGGTCAGAACGGTCAACACTATGATCGCGGTCACCCCGAGAAGCAACAGCCCTTTCTCGTCGGCGATCCTGATGATGAAAAACGTATCAGCACAGATATGAGAGACTTGACAACAACAACAATAGAACCAGGAAAAAAATGAAACCAATACCATACCTTCTCTACTAACATTCGGCGCACAAGAGGAGGGCCTGATCCTCGGTCCTCATACCGTTGGGCCTGCCTCCGGATTAGCTGGGCTGCTGAATGAGGCGCCAAAGACTCTGGCAAAAACCTAGTAAACTCTTCAAGCAAATCCAGGTGGTCCTCAAAGAGATTCGATACCTAACAAACAGATATTAGAGCTATACAAAATCGAAATTTTTCAATGTAACAGTGTGGTAGAGATATAGTCACTTCAGTGTTACCTCATTGTAAACCTCAGTGATGTCTTTATTATCCTTCCGATACATATTTAATATGTCCAAGAAAGACTTATAGACCTGTTCATCCTGCTGGAATCTTTTCTGCAGTGATAGAATAACACAATGAGAAACTAGGTGTAAGGGCACTTCAAAAGAAAATGATATACGATAAAAATTTCTGCTTGACCTTAATTTTATTCACAAAGTTTATGGCTTCTTCAAATTCAACAGTTTTCTTCGGTGGAGCTTCTTCTTCTTCATCAAGCGTTATTTCACACCCCTTGGGCAAAAAGGTGTTGAACCCGAAAATCAAATTGTTGTGCCCCTTAAACAACTCCTTCACCCGTGCAATCACACCAGATGTATCGGTCCTGTTAACACAAGATGAAGAATGTTACCAGATGCATTGAGGTTAAAAAAAATCAATCTGATAGGAAAGAAAGAACTAACCGTTGTGCCTTGAAGTCTTTCATAACCTCAAGGAACATATCATATTTGTCCCTTTGATCTTGAAACATCTCCTTCACTTGCTTCAAGTATGTTAATGCATCATTGGTGGTCAGTTTCTGAGAGTTTATTCCCCCGTCACCAATGTGCCCTCCTCCGGTGCCACCACTTCCAGAGATTGGAGATTGCCCATATCTGCGCCAAACAAGCTCTAATAAGTTAGTAAACTTCACTCAAACAATAAGTAGACAACCACCTAACCCAGCAGTCAATGAAGCCATTAATCTGCTCATACACATTCACTCGATTCTCCATGCAAAGATAGTCTTGAAGATAAAATTAGACTTCCCTTAACTAAATGTCAGACAATTGCATGGGATCAAAATTAAATTTCTTTTTCATAGCAACAAGGAGAATCCAACCTATGATCACCAACTAAACCTAGAAATTCACAAAACCGCAAATCATGATCAGTTCGCCAACTACATTTGATTAAAACCAGAACCGAGTTGTTTAAGCAGGAAGACTAGAAATTTCAAAGACTCACAACAACGAAAACCTCTGCAAAAAGCAACATAAAAAAATCCAATCCCTAGAGAATTGAATTTCGAAGTCGCCGGAAAGAGAACTCACGATTCGCCTCGAGAAGAGCCCAATGGACGTTTAAATTGAGACCCAGCGGCGTATATATCATCTCTAATCCGCTTCATTTCTGCCGGGGAAAAAAAAACAGAAGATCATCAATTGGGAAATCAATAGCAATCTGAAGTTGAAAATCACAGAGCAGAAGCCCCATCACTGAAAAAATTATAAATTCAGATGAAGTTAATGATACCTACTTTCTGGTACTCCAGATTTCCCAGATAGATGAACCCAGGAAGAGATGAAATAAATCACTCAGATCTCTGAAGTAACAGCGGAATTGAGAAGAAACACTTCGATCACCGACGACTATCCAATAGATACACTTGAAAATACCGGCGAGACTTCAATTCAAATTCCCACAGTCTGTATGCAAAATCCTGAAGATGAATTGCGATGAGAACAGAGTGATATCAGAACGAAAAAGGAAAACGAAAACTAATGAGAGAGAAACATTTCCAAAACAAGTTGCTATTGACTGAGAGCCGAGAGAGAGAGAGAGAGAGAGAAAGAGAGAGAATTTCGAATATGAAGAAAAGACAATGACGGAATTTTGCCTACGGAGAAGACTCCCGGCTCCTTCTTTGCGTTAAAGTGTTTCAGCCAGCGGTAGGAAATAATATAAAATCAGAAATAAGATATTGGACCTTGGCTTAGTAAAAGCTGAAGTTAGGCCCATAATAATATTCGTCTATTCAAATCTTATTTGGGCCGTTGATAAAATAGGGTTTTATTGTTCTGATTCGCCGAGGAAGATATATAAAGGGTAGCCACAACGCAGATATCTATTCATCTAGGGTTCATTCTTCTTCTCGCTTCTTCGTTTTATGGTTTTTGTTTGATTTGGTTTTTGATACGTACTTAGATCAAATGATGAGCAAATACTGCAACAATATGAAGGATATATAATCCATATGATTCTTAGTATTTAAGTCTCTGATGATCGGTGTTTTTTTAACTATCTTCTACTTCTAGATTTCTTCATAGTTTTAATTTATTTGCCAAACAGAATTCACTACTTCGATTTGTGTTTTGTCCCCCGTTTTCTCAATTATTGGATTGGAAACAAGAGATGTGATGAGCAACATATTGGTCCGTGTTTCAGATCAACCGTGACTGAGAATCCTAACCAACCTCTGATCTCAATATTTTCAATTTTCGTATTTTTGTAATATGTTTTTGAGAGTCTTTGTGAATCATTAATGGCTCGGTGATTACTTGCCTTCTTGGCAGTATACGCTATTCTGAATACAGAGTATGAAAGAGAACTAAATTTACTCAATGAGAGCCAATTATTCGATTTTGAATCTACATTAAAATGTATAGTGTTGTTATTCAAACTTCTGCTATGATGACCTTTGAATAAAATTCACATGTCAGACTTCAGAGATTCTTAAGAATCAATGAGAATAAACATTCATTATTCTGAGCAGATTAATTTGATTTAAATCTATTTCCAGAATATTTGATTTCGTCAAATTTGAACCTTATCACATGAATCATCAATATAAGACTATTAAATTGTTTCCAAATTGTTGAGAATCACTAATTGCGAATGGAACAGTGAAAAGCAATAATGTCAATGGAGCACCTACTGTTAGAGGACATGGTTAATGCGTGACAAACCTAAAGAGTATGGATCCAATGTTGGAAATGGTCAAACTTTAGTACCGACAAAAAAGGTCAAATTTTCTTAACGCAATTTTCTGTACATTAACCACAGTTCCTCTTTCTCCTAGGCACATGGTATGTTACACAACATCACTAACGTTTGAGTATCAAATCAATTGGAGTCAACAATCAATGGACCATCCATGTTTTTTTAATTCGGTAATATCATGACAATTATGTGTAATTGGTTACATGGTTAATGTGTGACAAACCTAAAGAATATGACCAGAAGTAGGAATGTGTCCAACTTTAAGGGCTACAAATTCAAAAGAGCACAATTTTTTCTTAACGCAATATTCGGCAAATATTTAGTGCTATACAATCATCAACACACACACTCATTGTAGATTTTGATGCCATTTGTGTAAATCCCCGTCTATAATAAAATCTAAATTTGGCATTACCTGCATTGCCTTGATCTGAAATTCTCAGCTGATAACAAATAAGTTATGAGTTTCTCAACCCGTTTAGCTCCAAGACCAGGCTTAATCGCCAACGTATCTCCAATTTCCCCACACGGGTCGCTTCCGTTTTCCCTCTTTCCAACACACCAACCACCCGGAGTGACCATCCCTTTTCCCCGCGACAAGAGCTCCGAATCAATCTTATCTAGCACAGGCTCGTCTCTACGGAACTTCCTCGCAAACGGAGCGTTACTGTCCACCATTCTCTGGAAATCATCGAGCGTGAGGTGGTGAGGATGTTGCTTCGGAGGATTGTCCCATGAGATGTAATGCAAGTCACCGTTCACTGTCGTGTTGGTAAACTCTCGAGCGTTGCAGATCACCGTGTGGAAGTAGCCTTCCGGTGACGAGAGGAAGTTCGCGTAGTACATTAGCACAATCCGAGGAAGATTGTCCCATCCCCATATAAAATAATCCACAAATGGTCTAGATAACATCATCCACGCAGATCCTATTAACACACATCAACAAACACTAGAGCTTAAGATCCATTTAAGGAAGACCCACAAAGATCATACACTTTTATGATTAATCGAGCATCCAATCTATTTATAGACATTTCCCAATATGATGATTACCCAAAGTGGAAAGATTTATAAAAATGAAATCACCTGTGAAGAGTTTGAAAGCTGTAGGCATACTTCTCTTCTGTGAAACCCAGAAAACGTCTGCTTTCTTTGACATGTACAAACCCGGATCGATAATTATCGGCTTTGCTCGATGAGACCTGCAAGTTTTTATACAAAATCTCAGAAACTAGCGAAAACGAAATGTTAATGGTGCATAGTTCGTAGCTACTAATACTCACTCTTTCCATCCAATATTGCTCGTATGATCGATGAAATTGAGATCCCGAGGCAGATACGAAAACGTATGCAACAGATCTGGAATTCGAAATTGAGACAACACCCAAAATGATTAATAAACAGAGTTTGAAAACGAAGAAGATTAAAGCAAGGGAAGCTTTATTTTGTTACCATCTTGAGTTACGAGAGGGTAATCAGAGGCGCTGAGATTGATGAACCAATCCCAATCTCCACCTTCTCGGAGCAAAATCGCCGCCGCGTGAAGCGTATTAGCGACCATAGTCGGCCCACGGTAAGTGACGAAATTAGCCTTGACAATCATCCGAACGTTCTGGAATCTCTGGAACAGGGTGTGATTCGCCACGAAACCACTGAGATCCAGCCGTTCCTCCGGCGACGATTCCCGATCGAGATGAACGACGTACTGGTTGTTTGGATGGTAAAGCGCCATCAATGTCCGTTTCAGCATCTGGCCGTCTCCGGAAGAGCCGGAGATCAGGTAAGCGAGACGCGGCGGCGGAGGAGGAGAGACGGAGAGGGAGACAGAGACGGACAAGGGGTTAATCTTAGACTCGACGAAGACGGAGGATCTAAGCCCGTAGACTGAGAAAGGAATCAAACGAGTCTGACCGGAAGACGAAGCTAAGTTGGTCAGCAGCAAGAGAAACAGAGAGCAAATGGATCCAATCGCTAATGGAAGAATCCATTTCCGGTCTACAGCTTGTTGCTGGTGACGGACTTGCATATAATAGCTCTTCAATTTCTTCATCTTCTAATTAAGCTTCATCAATTCGGTGAATTCAAAGATCGGAAACAGAATCTCTCTGCGTTTTGCAGATCGACTGTTCAGTGGTTGAGGGTGAGAGAGAGTTGGAGTGAAGCTTGGGTTTTTGCTTAGACTCTGAAACCGTACAAATTACGAAATTGAAAAAAGCTGAAGAATTGGTGTGTTTTTGTTCGTTCGTTGGTCTGTTCTTTTTGTATGTTCGATATTTTTTTATATATTGTTTTATTTTTTTCTCGATATTTGTTTTTTGACAGCATATTTATTTGATTCATGTCTTTTCTTTAATTTCGAGATTATCATGATTTCTATTCAAAGCATGTGATTCTATGTGCATTTTTTTTTCTACGTTTCTTTCCAGTCAAAGTTTCTTCTACTGGAACTATTAAGTATATCAGTTATAGTAAATGGTCATTGTTAATCCTTAACATTTTTTTTTTTTTAGTAGATGAGTGAATGTTGTTCGATTAAGTAAATCCTATAATGTATGGAAAGGGTTTAAATTTAATGAAGAATATTCAATTATTTTTTCAAGTTCAAACTGTTTCCATTAAAAGCTTTTCGTTAGTCTATCAAATCTTAACCATTTCTTGATTTCCATTAAAAGCTTTTCGTTAGTCTATCAAATCTTGACTTTCTAAAGAAATGGTTGAGTAGTGTTAGTTGACTAATCATTAATGCTAATATAATCTCTAAACATGTTAGGATTACTGGGCTTTAGATCCATGCAAGCCCGCATTGAAACACGTACGCCCAACGTATGAAATTAAAAACGAAAGGGATGATGAGTCTAGAACTGGTCTAAATTAACCAAAATCAAAAGCATATATCGCCTTTAGATCCCAAACTATGAAACATGTAAATCATAAGTGATCGATATTACACTGAAACGATTTCTCGGCGCGATAAAAACCACTAAAACAATGTTTACACTATTCTGAATCTATCAAGACTACTACCATCTATATTTTTGTTTTGGAACGAAAGGACATGATCGCATAAACAAACTGTCCAGAAAGTCTAGACTGTATTTTACTCTTTCTATAGACGAATTCTTTTTCTTTACGAATTGAAAAGGGGAGAAACACTTGCAAGAGAATTGAAAGTAGAAAAACTCTTACCAAACAAACAAAAAAGGATCTCTGTATAGACAGTTTCATCCCCAAAGCGAAAAGGTCTAGAAATTGGGTGATCATAGACTTTCCACAGTTGATTAATAGAATATTAGAATGTGATCCTATGTGTTTATAAAGGAAAAATGTAAATTGGTTCATGCCAGTTTAGGCTAATAGTACAAGTATTGCTTCTTGGCCCCACGCATTATTTCCTTAGCTTATACAGTA